GCGAGAGGGAGAACCAGAGCGTCAAGGGAAAAAACGTCTTTTCTACTGCAAGGACTGTGAATCCTACAGTGCTCAAGCAAGTAACAATTTTTGTGATCCTCTTAAGAAAAAACATGGAATTGATATTCAATCTACATTAGGTCCATTTCAATCTGCAACACTGGATCAGTTGCAACAATTGTACCTCCGAGCAATATCATCAGGTCAAACAAAAGAGATCGATACTCAAGTTCTTCAAAAAGTCCTAGATAATGGCACGATTAATGAGGTACTTGTTTTATTAATTGTTGAGTGAAATCTCCCATTTGATATTGTTGAATAGCCTGAGTTTCATGTTTTCTGTCGATTACTGAACCCAGAGGCAGACAACTACACTACAAAGTTACAACGGCACACTTTGAAATTGCAAAGAAGATTGATTAATCATATGAAAGTTAGAAGGATATTATACGGAAAACCCTTTAATAAGCAGAGTTAAGTATCCATCTTTCACTTAATATCTGGACATCTCCAAACAAGCTTGCTTTTCCTTGGAATTTGTGCCCACTTTATTGGACAAGATCAAAGGAAATTATCAAAAGCCCTAATTAGTCTTCGTACAGTTGCAAATCATTCTGGAGCAGAGTGATTTGCTACTCTTCTTCCTGTTCTTCAAGACTACAGCATGGTGCAAAAGATAGGATCTTACTGACAATGCAAGTTAAATGATATACTTTGCCATGCAATAGGTGAATACCTTAATATGGAAGAAGGGCTCCAGTGAAATACTTTATTCAAACGAATCCGCTGTATTAGCCATGTAATTAACTTAGCTGTACAAGTCTTTCTATTTCACAACTGCATTGAAATGGATCAACTTGGATTATGCAAGATCTAAGAAGAAACAGGAAAGCTTGCAAGTGATACCACTATCCAGCAGACTTTTCGTGTTATAGGGCTATTAGGAAAGTGTCATAACATAGTTATGTACATTCGTGGCTCAGCTGCTTGTACAGCATATTTCAAGGCTCTTGCAGGCAGAATGATTCTTCTGGAGAACCGAACGAGGTGGAATAGCTGGTCTTAGATGTGTGAGGTGGCACTGGATCACTCAAGCGCAATTGCTACCTACACAAAGGAGTATCTCGATGACCTTCGAGATGATTATCTAACTCCGAGTGACTGGTCAAGGATTCATACAATTGATCAATTCCTTAAACCATTCCATCAAGCAACAATCGATCGTGTACTCTATACAATGGACGTCCTTCTTAAATAATTGGAAAAAAAGGGTTGTAATTAAACATCCTATTAAATCGAAATTCAACTGAAATATAAAGGTTCAATATCGTGAAGATAAAGAGTTTTGTTCTCGGGTTCAGAAATGCTGGTATGCTTTTGACATTTATTACAGCAAGACTGATGACTCACCTCTTTATGCTGCTATGCTTATACTTCATCCAAACCGTCGTACAAGATAGATCCACGCAAATTGGAAAACAACCTGGCAAAAGCCTGCGATCAACAAGGTTAAGAAGCTTTGGCGCACCTACCGAGAGAGAGCTCCTTCTCCGGCAATAATAAGGCCATATAATAAAAAACTTTCAAAGTTTGATCAGATTGTACGTGACTTAAACAGTTTCACTCGGCCAGCAAGTCAGGATGAGTTTGATGGTGATTGCAGTGGAGAGCCATATGATACTGGAGATGAATCTGCTCTTTGGTGGTGGCCTCAAGACAAACAAAGAAAGCGTTGGCCAAGCCTCTCACTCATGGCAATTGACATTCTTTCTATTCCAGCCATGTGTGGATGTGCCTACTGAAGATCGCGCAATCACTTAGCCGATCTCATTTTGTCAAAATTTAGCAAACTTCAACCTTACGCCAATATGTGGATTGATTCCGTACCTGGGCGACTAATCATATGTCCCCAGTATAACTGTTGTATTGACGATTATACTCAGTATGAACCATGCTCCTTTCTCGACCACTAGTGATACGTAGACTCATGGCAATCTAGGACCCTAAGTAATACAAGCTGAAGCAAAATCACACTATCATACAATACTGCACCTTTAATTTAACTATCGAGGACAAACACTTGTAAACTCCCATATCGGATATTTATTTCTTTTGCTACAGGCCATGGGAGTTAGCAAAATCTTTTAACCAAAGCGCTCCCTTGGTCTACACTTTCAGTTCCAGATGTCCAAGGTTCATATGATATTAACGGAATTTCTAACCTTAGAGGGTTATTATATCTCACCGTATTACGCTTCGTCTCTACCGGTACACCGTTTCTAATTTGGGCTATAAGCTGCTTGGTGGTGCTTCTCGCCAATATCCTCGTGGCCAACACGCCACAGCTGGTTTGGTACTGTTGCACTTTACCTCCAACGATGATATAACCTCCCTTATGCGATTAGAGAATGAAGTAAATAAGCTCAGCAACATAGAGTGTTGTGAATCTTAATTTCTACTCATGCAGCCAGCGAAATAGTTACTCTTTAACTGGCATCTTGATGCTCGCTCCTGGAGTCGTTCGTCCTACATTAGCTATCCTCGAGGTCGTCTCTTTAATCGGTCTAGAAATATACTCGTCTACCTAGGTAGCTTCGGCAGGTTAACAACGACGCCTGTTCCTTTCGGGCGAACATACTAAGTGTAAGATGACGGGAGTATATGAAAATCTACCAAATTTGTCTAGTAAGGAATTCTCGTGGAGCTTACCTGAACTGCTTGACCTATTGGCGTCTCGGTCGAAATTAAATGTGTAAAGATGTAATCTGTTTTGACCTAGTTCGTATCTGAAATGAATTGATTGTCATTTGATAATAACAAATTGATATAATATGGATTGTTTCGGCTTGCGTGTATCAACACCTTAGACACATTAATCATTAGGAATGTGTTTACATTGCATTATGCCACTGATAGCAGTCCAGACGGATATCATATGGTATTTCTTGAATTGTCGGGGACTTTCTCTTTACAAATGATGCTAGTGCAGTCATAACTTCCCTCGGACCGATAGCTGCAAGCCAGTAGGCCCTTATATTCTTTGTACCATTCTTTGTACACCTGATCGAAATCCAGATGTTTAAACCCGTTGCTATGAACGGTGTCAGAATCGGTCATGTTATCATTGAGTATGTGATATGGCGAGGCGCGGTAGGCTTCTCGGCCAACGTTGACATCGGCATATCGTTGGTACTGAGAGTGTTGAAAGACTGTCGAGCGAAAAAGGCTTGCCTACATCCGGGTACCGGACACAGCAGAGCAGAAATACCTGAGTCCCCCTAGCCGGAATTGACAGCGACCTTTCGATATACAATAATACTCGCATTACCATTACAGTCGAATGTGATGAACCAACTACTCCTTCAGGAGGGGGCAAAGCCTTTGATGTTTGGGATATATACATTGCAGACTTAGACCCAGCTATGAAAACCAGGACCTATTACAATAGACTAATCTCAACTTCCTCCGCCACCAGGGAGCAATGATCCAGAGGGGTTACCCAGCGTTGTTTTGAAGAAACGTAGAATTAGGTTGTAAAGCAATGACGAGTTTCACATCTTTGTGCAGAGTTGAATTTGGCCTTCTATACATGGCGCAATCCTGGTGCAATGGATAAAGCATCCTAATAATTTGGCATGACGGTGCTCGATGGTAAAGAGCAGTGGTTATTGTTTTGAGAAGCAGGGTACCTTGCCCAGCTGTTTGACCGTTCACGTAGTTACATGGAATATTCACGTATGCCCATATAGGTAGATCCATGCTTGAACTCCTCATTTTGGAATCCTATGTTACACAGAAGATACATAGTATCAATATGAACTGGGGCCAGATCTGGGAATAGCTGCTTGTTAGAGCCCTAGAGGGTACGTTTGACAAAGCACATTAAAGCTCGACGGGAGCTCCAGTATTTTTCATCTGTAGGATCTATAGATCTTTGATCCGTTTAGATCTCCGTTTGAAATATATATCACTTCTACATGGGTAGTACTTCATCTGTTATTCTCATGGATCTTAGCACCCGACGTTACGAACCTTGGAAGTGAAGTCGTAGATAAAGCTCCTGAAAAGATTAGTGCGGGGAGATTTTTAAGTCTTTTTGATCCAAGACTAAAATTGGATTGGACTTATGGGGATTATGTAGTACGACATTGGTGGGATCTACTCCGATCTAGGAATCAGCTGCCCCATAGCCCTAAAAGTTAGGTACCTATTTATGGAGTCTAAACGGGTTCCAGAGCGGGTTACAGAGTAGTTAAAACGCACGCTATTTGGAGGATTCCCACACCTCAAGTTTCAAAGTTTACCCAGAAATTTAATGAAGAGAGAACGTTGTTGATGTTTGAACGAAGAGGAGAAGAAGGGGAATAACTGATTAAGTCAAGAACGTAGACTACTATCGTCAGCGAATACTGTCAACTACAGGGCAAAATAATACTGCCAGCTGACTGTCTACTGGTAGGTCCAGGCTGCAGATCCCAAACATTACGTGGTCACTGGTCAGCGTCGCATTATGAGGCTGAGCTAGTAGTCTTCAGGGGCGGACGCTAGGGATAGTCTAAATCGTACACTACGCTCGATCAAGTACAGTCCCTTCTCTTCAGACGAATCCTAGAGGATCCCATTATTAGTGAGCTGTCGGCTGATGAAATACCTTCCGGCTTTAAACAAGGAACATGGGATTTCTATTCAACGTTTTGTTTTCAGTTCCCGCTCGAGTCACAGCTTGAGTCAGTCCCTTCTGCGGTACTACATACATGTTAGCACTGCACTAAAAATGGAGAATACTACGTACTGCCATGTCACCATTGATATGACTAAGATGCAATTCTTTCGATTTGGGCTTGTCAGTTAGGCTTTCAAGGTTGTCTATTTAACAATAACCTGTACCTACTACCTGGACATATCGGGTTCAAAGGCAGACTCAAGCACATCCAGCCCTTCTTTTCGAGGTACAGTAACTCTCACAATTCAGTACCTATCTACTAGCAGATTATCGCATCATGTGTGTCAACAAGAAGCATTTTGGGGTTGCCCTTCTGGCTCCAAGTCTTGTTACTGCCAGTTCTATGAAGAGTCTTCTCTCCAAGCGGGATGCCTCGACTTACGAGCAAAATGCTATCTGCACCGCGTAAGTTCAGATTTTATCACTTTTCAACATCCAATAGACAGGGCTGATCACATTTCACCGGTTAGAGACCAACTGCTCCGCTCCTACTCAGTGAATGACACTGCCCTCTTCGGAAAAGACCTCTGGTGGCAATCGGGAAACTTCATCTCTGCATTGGCAACATTTTACCAGCTCGACCCAGACTACGGCTCCATCCATAATGATATCTTCGCTAAGACCTTGTCCGAAGCTCCCGGTTACGGTAACTACGTCAACTTCTTGAATGGCTGGTATGACGATGAAGGTTGGTGGGGAAATGCATTCTTGGATGTATACGATTACACCCAAGACAGAGCATATTTGAACCAGGCCATTACCATCTATAGTGATATCGTCGGTGGATTGGGAACACCATGTGGTGGGATTTGGTGGGACAAGGCGAAAACATATGTTTCTGCCATTTCAAACGGTGAGTTATAACTCATATTTCTGTCATTGTGAGATTGGGAAACTTATGATCTCAAAAATAAGGTCTATACACCGAACTTGCAGCTGGTCTTGCCAACCGTGCGGGAGATTCGAGTTATCTCGAGAATGCGGAGGAGAATTGGAACTGGTTCTTCAGCTCTGGCATTGTCGGATCTGATCACATAGTCAGAGACGGATTGCAATCTAGCAATGGTTGCTCACTTAACGGCAATGTTTTCACGTACAATCAAGGAGTCATTCTCGGCGCAGCAGCTGAACTCTATAAGGCAACCGGCAACAGGACCTACCTGACAACAGCGGCAGCGCTTGCCGATGCTTCTACTGCTTCAGGCTCTGCTGTGACCAGCAGCAGTGGCATCTTGACTGAGGGCTGTGATAAAAGCAGCAATTGCGATACGACCGCTCAAATGTTCAAGGGCGCTTATATCCGAGGATTGAGGAAATTGCAGCTTGTCGACCCGGAGACTGACTGGCTGAACTATATCACTGCAAATGCGCAGAGTATTTGGAATAATGACCTCAATGTTGAGAATGTCAATGGTCAGTCGGAGTGTATCGTCGGCTCTGCTTGGGCTGGTCCTTTCAACAGCGATCAGGCCACCGTCGTTACTCAGGGAGCAGCACTAGATGCTCTCAATGCCGCGCTTGCGACCACTCGGTAATCAACTGGCACTGGGCGACTCCTTTTATGCAATGATGTCGCGAACGTTCCTTCGTGCATATAGTGTTTATCTACTTTAAGAGACTAAATTTCCGGTACAATCAACATGGACAAGGAGGAGGACCTCCATAGGTGGTTTTACTCACCTCTCCACGACATTATGAGTCCTAATATTGCAAGTCAACGTCGTCGAAAACTTATAGTCTTGGACAGTATTTGATTGTATTAACAGCCCTAATACTATTTATCATTTAGCTTCATTATCCAGATGTCCGAGTGTTAGAACCCTGGAACCTTCTAAGCAGTGTTGACTTCGAATGAGCTCTTGTTGCCCAGGTACAGTGCCATTAAAATAAAAGATGCACCCGTGGAACTCGCCAAGTAAGGTAACTACTAACCAGGGTGCGAGTTTGCACGGATTTACTTTTTGATTGAGTCAACCTAGCTTAAGATGATTGTTAAAGATTAAGCTAGATGGATTTGGCGCACTTTAAATATCTGCTGGACTAACACAATTATATACGTAGTGAGATGAGTGGAGTGGGCGGAAAAATAAAAACGTAGACTTGCAACAAGTATCAACCCCCTTTCATGGATTCGGGATGATGCTCTCGGTTCATATAAGGTATGTAAAAAAATACCAGGGCGCACACGGATTCGAACCATGGACCTCAAGGTATTTGCAGTTTAAAACAATTGATATTACTGCAATCTCGCGATCTACCGCTGATCTATACGCCCACGTCGATAAGGTTTTCCGCAAATGAAGTTTTTCAGAAAACTCCAACCGTTTTCTATACCCCTCCGATTCTCTGCAGAGTACCAAAACACCTTTGATTAGGTGGAGATACGCAACTTAACTTAGTAGTAGGTACATAGACTAAGCATTCTCTACCATCATTGTCTACAATAATCAATCTTCTTCTCTACAAGGCTCTCGAAACGTGTATTCGCAAAGGCTTTACTCAGGCGAGCTCTTGTATGAAGCTCGTACATTAGTGACAACTGCTGTCGGAATTCCCTTGCGGTACTTATTTCGTTTATCAGATCGACAAGGGTATTCAATCTAAAGACCCACACTGGTTCTGCCATATCTTTCGTGTTTTTGCAGATTCTCGACACGTCGATTCTTATAATCTTTGTACCTGTGCCAATATCTACATCTCTGAGGGCTCCTTGTCGTCGTGGTTGTCCTGGAGCCGATATTGTGAGGATAGACGAATACAGGTCACAGTCTTACAGAAACCTCCTATAACGCAATAGGGTATTTCTCCAGAGTCCGATAAGAATGCCCTTAACCCTTCTTTAGTATCCTTTTCCGGGTGGGAGGGCCGGTGGGAGAGCCGGTAGGCAGATCCCTGCATAGTCCGCCCCAATCTAATACTTCCAAGGTAGCATGATTGCGTAATGTGCGTCGCGCTTTGATTAATAATTGTCGTCGAGATCTGGGAAATTATATAACTCTCTCATAGAACTGTCGGTTGTGGTAAACTCAAACCCGTCCCCGGTAAACAGTTTTGAAAGTAGGTTCAATTGTCAAATCGAACCAGCTATGTACGAAGTCATTGTTCATGCCGGTCCCAAGGCCGAACTAGTTCAATCACCAATTCCTTCTCCCAAAGCGGACCAAGTTGTCATCAAGGTGGTGGTCTCTGGAAGCAACCCCAAGGATTGGAAAACACCCAATCTCTGGGGATGGGAAGGCATGAATCAAGGAGACGATATTGCCGGAATTGTGCATGAAGTTGGATCTAATGTGGTTGAATTTAAGGTCCGTCTTGTGAAATAAATACAGGGGAACCGGGAACCAATTTGAAAAGGCATGAAGCGCTGCTGACACGAGTGAAACCGGGCTTCACAGGTTGGCGATAGGGTTGCCGCATTCCATGAAATGCGAACGCCTGGTGGTAGCTACGCAGAATATGCAGTTGCATGGGCTCATACAACGTTTCACCTTCCCAAGCAGACCTCTTTCGAGGGTAAGTTGAACAGCGTTTTCCTCATGGGAAAGTGTAAGAAAATCAATATTAATACGAGATTACAGAAGCAGCAACGATCCCGTAAGTAATTTATTCTGATGGTCATCAGAGATGATCAAGAAAGGCATCGGTAACTTATTCCATTGATCTTATATACAGCTTGGCTGGGTTGACAGCCGCTCTCGGCCTTTTCGCCCGGTTGAGGCTTCCCACTCCATTTGCAAGGGCGACAGAGCCGATACCAACTATAATCTATGGCGGCTCCACAGCCGTTGGGGCGTTTGCAATCAAATTAGCTCAGCGTGCAAACATTCATCCTCTCTTCGTGGTGGCCGGATCCGGGTCATCTTTCGTTGATAAACTGATTGATCGCTCAAAGGGTGATGTAATCATTGACTACCGACCAGGTCCGGCTCACCTTGTCGAGCAGCTGAACACAGCCATCCAGAATGTCGGCTTGACCAAGATCAAATACGCCCTAGATGCCGTGACTACAGAACCCAGTTTCCAGGTTTTGGCTAAAGTATTGGATACCAACGGAGGGCGGTACACTGGAGTTTTGCCGTATGACGAGAGCGTTTTCGCCTCCGGCATATCTCATTCTACTACAACCGTCGGCAATTCTCATGCATCGGATGAAAAAGCACCTGGCGATGCGGATTTGGCATTTGCCTTCATTCGGCTTTTCGGAAAGGGGTTGAAAGATGGTTGGTTCACCGGTCATCCTTTCGAGGTTGTGCCTAACGGGCTGGCTGGTGTTGAAGAAGCACTCAGAAATCTCAAAGATGGGAAGAATAGCGCGTTGAAGTATGTATTTAGGATTGCAGACACACCCCAATTGAGGGAAGATCAACCCGGAATATAGCATGGCATGCCAAAGTTAGTCAGTTGTGTTTGACAAAGGGAAAGGCTAGGAGCAGGCAGAGTAATTGACAATGTTGGTTTTCTGTTTTGTAGTTACTGTACATTGGAAACTCCAGGAGTTCACACGAACACATAGTTGGCTATTTTTCTGCAATCAATATTTCAACATAAAAGTAATTGACAGACACCATAGACAGAGGAGAGATGAAAGCAATCGAAGCTAGTTAGAATCATCTTCGCATTGGGCGAGTCCAACATCTTCCCTTCCATCCTGCCAACTCGAACAATTCACGCATCGAACGGCCTTTCCCAATTACAACACACGTTAAACCTTAAACCATGAGGCTTCACACGGATTCGAAATATCGCTTACCTTGCGGTTAATCCACTTCCTGCAGTATTTACACTTCACAGTTCTCTTGATCATTGATCCGTCGTGTGAAATCAAAACATAGAAATGAGCTAGCCCATATAGCACGATGCCGACACCAAGGAAACTCATTACGTTATTCAGAAATGCCCTATTCCAAGTTAGCTCTTGCCCAATTGGTTGGCAGCGATGTTGAATACGAAAATCGCATACCCGTAAGCCATGACTAGGGCTCCATCATCCCGAGCCTGCGCAAGAGTATTATAACCTCCTGCCAAATCGTAGTTCGGCCCTTTCCGCAGCACGCTGAATTTCTCATCAAGATTACGGTGAATAAAAGGCAGCAGGGAGATAACTGGAAGGATCACATCCGAGACAAATGATGTTACGACCTTCGTGAATGCTTGACCGATCCTGAGAGAAACACGTTTTTGTAGTGTCAGATCACTATTGAATCTTTGAATTTTCATTGGCCTGGACAGGCAATGGAAATTAATGAAGTGTACATCAAACCAATAGCAACTTCAAGGACATTGTCTCTCATGGCAAAATCGACAAAGCCATCCCAGGCATGTCGGAGGCGATCCGTGGCATCTGAGCTCATGTGGAAAAGCGCATCGCGACCATCTTCTAAACCCCGCATGATGCTGAATGCTTTTAGGTGCCGAGTAAGCAAAGGCCGTGACACACACATAGAAAAAACTAGTAGGGAATATGACGGAACAATCATGCAATGTTGAGAATCTCTCCACTGGTGTTGACCTACTGCGCTAAACAACATCAATGTACGGCGGGGTAGTTAAGGGGTCATCTCCCAGGTGACCGCACGGATAGATGGAAGTGGACTAGCCTAGCCCATTCTCGATTAATAGGGGTCATCAAAAAGTTTGTTCAGACGAGGACCAACACCCTCAGATAAACTACGTACTTATAGTCAATGCTAAATATCCAGAAGTCCCTTTCCCTGCTTTTTACGTGTAGATCCTTCTATCTCCGCCTATGATCGAGGGGATTCACTCGGCTTCAATGTCAATGCGCTAACCGATATATCATCTTTTCACCCTAGTTGGTTATACATTGGATAAAAAGCCGATGCTAGATTCTCAATGGGCCTGGAATGCGTGAAACCCAAAATGGCTAATTTGACCAGCTACTCCGTGTAACTACGATCGAGGCTTAGATAGACGGTGGATCAAGGCAATGAATATGGAAATTGTTAACGGCGAGGGGACAGGAGCTGATCCACTGCTGAACTATATTATTTTTCCGGCACCAACACCTTCTAGAAAAAAAAGGACGATTAAGTTTGTCTTGCAAAGTACCAAGCGAATAGCATCCTTGGATTCTTTCTCCAAAGGTAAATTCCATATGTAGGGACGATGTACATTGAACATTGAACATGATTTTGGCCACTGAGAGCTCGGCCGAGGGATATCAAATGAGTTTGTGATCAGCCACATTCTGGGATACAAGTCAGTGGCATCCATAACGACAGTCTCTAATACATAAGTGGTCAACAGGGACAGCAGCCTGTACATCACCAAACCAATCAATTCAGCGGACGTGCTGTAATCCTAGACTAGTCTCATCAACAAAGTGGAATCGGAGAACTCAAATTTCAAGAAAGCGGCACTCTAAGATATCCAGCCTTGAATTCGGATATCAAAGCACGCTGCTGACTATTTGACGGAAACTACGTCCGGGTAGAACGATAGGCGAAGAAGCGAACTGGATATGAAGCCTCAAGCCAAGATGAGTCTTAGTGAGGTTAGTTAGGTCGAGCCGTGTCCGCGCAAAAGGATCCGTATTAATGAGGGGCAACATTCTCTTCATTGTGAGATTGATCCGGATACTATTTCCTGCTTCCCACACCTCTTCTCATCTTTTCCCTTCTTCCTGCTCCTCGCATGCTTTCACAATGGTAAGCGAGGAGCCAAACAAAGAAATAGAGCAGACGGAGAAAAAAAAAATCACAAAGGCAATGATTTTCTACGTGATTTGTTGATTCGATAGACAAGCCTTCAGGGATAAAAAAAGAGACGACTCAGTGACATAATGCCTGATCTGTCTTCCCAAACTCAACCTCCTATTCCCTCAATGCCCTGAATTCTTTCTTAGCTGGACCCTTTCAATATTACCATTGCGTACAATCTGCTTCCAATAGACCTAGTCGTGGGTCGCCCGGAGATGCTTGATTCTGACTCTGCTTGGTAAATATACTCTTTTCGGCAAGACAAGTAATAGCAACGAGTAGCAAAAGAATCTATTTGCTATTCATACTCCTTACGGACCTCAAAGCCAGCAACCAATGGCATTCAACAGGACCATGGCGACCCCTCCAACCTATTATAGAGCGATCCTTCCTCATGGCGCGAGCTTTGCAATCAAACCCGAACAGTTCGCTTCCGAGAACCTGGAGCGCAAATACCGAGTCCAGAAATCGATTATTCGGCACTCATCCTTGCATTGTTTCTGTCTCTACTGTTACCAAGGGTTTGCACGAATGGAAGATTTGTATCGCCATGCCTCTGACAGTGGTGAGGGCCATTCTCAAATTCTGCGTGAGAATAGGAATAGGGAGCCTCGCGGGTTTTATAATTTCTTCCGAGAAGCTCTGAATTTGACGGAGGCGCATATTGACGACTGGACTATCTGCCACATGCGTATCCCCGATCTCTTTGATCCCGCCATTTTGATGGAGTTACTCAAGACGAAGAAGGGCTATGAGTCTGCTATCGCCCTACAAGAAGCTATTATAATGGCCACCTCGTTGCGCGCTACATGCCCAATATGTTATCGTAGTTTTAGTCTCCACGCAACACTGAAAACCCACTTCAGAGATCATGGATCGGAAGAGCATACCAAATTGTTAGCCGAACCAGATGGCAGATTTGATACCGGAAGAGTAATAACGGAGGTGGTTAATTCAGCGTGGAACCCAACTGGCAATGTTTTTCTTATTGAACCGCAAATGAGAAGTAAGTCCCCTTGCACTCTCATATCTTTCCTTCTTGGATGCTTTGCTGAAAGTATGGTCACCTCTCTGTACAGCCTCGACCACAGTTTATAATGTGATTACCGGAGAAACACGCGTGAGGATTGTTCGTTGACAGTCGATAATGACTAGAGAAGATGATGCATTTGGTAGCGGGTTTGAAAAGCTTTTTTCGGTTGTCGTTTCAAGAGGCATCTCAGTCAATTGAAACATTGTGTGTATGTGGGCATAGAATGAAATACAAACTGGCAATACCTTCACGGCGGGGATGGTAACTTTGATCGGGGCATCAATTTTCGGGGTCATCTGCATGAAAATTAGTTTTCATATTCTGTGACATATATCTTGTTAGAGTCAAATGTTGATACGAATCTTGTACTTAATTAACCCGCTACGAATACTGTTGGTGGCTGTTGGTGTCCATGGTTTGCGAACCTGTTCCATGTAACCACCCCAAATCAGGTCATCTCAGCTCGCCCAATTAGCTTGCGACTATGCATAATAATAATCAATCAAAATCTACCGCACTCCCAATTTCATAGAAAGTGGTGCGAGGCGCGGGGGGGTCTAGATCCACGACATCCTAAAGCCGAGGTTGGCAAATCGCCTGGCTTGTTTCAAGAATGATTCAAACCGGCTGGTCGTAGGTGACATTTAGACACCGAGTGTGTAAATCTAACTTAGAACTGATATCCTTATTTGCACATAGCAGTTACTTCATCCTTCTCCGGCTCTTTTCACATGCTGCAGGAAGATTGGCAAACCTGCAACCTTCCGGCTGATTAGACTCCTGTCATACTGCAACCATGGATGTATTCTGTATTCGAAATGGTAAGAGATCGTCAGCTAAATATTCTGGTAGAGAACTAACGGAGCAATATCGGAGCAAGATCAACATGGACGAGATAACGAATACTATTTTCCAGGGTTATGCCGCATGATATGTACCGACCAACGCCGGGGTTCATGGATGGTTCATATAAATTGATTGACTTAGAGTATTGGACGTCATAAGGCATGTATATGTACCTAAACTACACAAAAACCAATACTGATGTAGGCTAATATAACAATTAGTATAAGCATGATTCCGTGCGCAACAGTAAAGGGGTCTTCCGGCATTTTGATTATCTTAGTTATGGTTGTTCTCAGCTAATTTGGAGAGGGATCATGGCAATGCTGACAGCGTCATGAGCTGACGAATCTGTTGGCCGCTAGATTACTTTGGGACATTTGTGGATTCAATTGTGCAACGAATAAGCTTTAGGATGTCCCGCTACAGCCTGTCAAGCACCTTTTTTCGCGCCATTTTTCTCCATCCCCGAATGTAAGACCCCATATTAGTGACTCCCAGATAAGGGACCAAGAAACATAAGAATTTCAAGAAAAAGTAATTGCCTCGCTTTGTCAAGATCCATTTATCCTAATTGTCAATTGAAGTTCTTGCAAAAAGAAAGCTTTTCAAGAATTTTACCACCAGAGTATACACACTATCCAGGTTTTTCTTCGGACTTGTTTCAGTGTCTGACGTTACATTTCCCGAAATATCACGAACTCCATACAAACTAGAGGACCGACAACATGGAGAACAAAGCAATAGTTGGAAGTATCATGGTTTTCTTTTTGCTCGCCCTGGTACTACTATGCCAATCAGTGGCAAGTGCTTCTGATCCCATCCATGGTGAGTTGGGCAAAACTTCAAGTCTATAGCTCCGGCAAGCCTCGCCAGGCATGTCGAAAATGCATATCTAATATTGTTTCCAATAGATTTGAAGGCTACCCCCGGCTTATTGACACGAGATGATAAACAATCTGTTCCAGATACAGGTAAGCCGACTTTTATATTCATTGATTTTCCACTTCTCCACTATCTTTTACAAACCTAGGTTCTATGAGTTAGCAGGAAGAACTCCGTTTTCATTTTTGATTATTCGTCTCATTCGAATTCATGGGCTTTCACCGTTCGCAGAGCTTGTGAAACTGTATTATATGTTCCCTTGACTGACCATATACTTTTACTACAGTGCAATGCTGGTCATGCCCCGAACCATGCAGTTTGATGTCGTGTTGCGATGATGGGTATCCATTCTGTACGGATGATGACGGTCTATGCTACTGCAGTTCATAATAATATCTTGCAAATGAATAACCAGGCTTTGGGATATTCTCTTCACATTTCTATTCTGGAATGGCAACTTGAAGAATTGATATAAGTTCATATTTGCATCAATTCCTATTGCATACATCGTCGAGTTTACTAAGTTGCGGTCGATCCACCCTACTTACGAGTCCTGGACGAGTTACCTGTGTGAGAACGGCTCCTGGGCTCTTATTGAACTGGACCTAATAATTGACGAACCGACTCGCCACTATGAGATAGGAGCCTGGTCATGCAAGCAATAAATACTTCTGATTGAGTCCTATCTTGAATGGCTCCCATCAACCAATACTTGCGAGCGTCTCACAAGCCATCGGCATAACAGCTTAAGAACCAGCCGAACATTCTGTCTACGAAACCATATCGAACAGCACCCCGAGAGACAAATGATGTTCCACGCTTCTAACAACCTGCGAATTCCCCTGGCCATGTTTCTTCAGCTGCATTTTCTTTGACCGAGACTAAAGCGTGGTAGTGGCCTCCAACTATTCAAAGCATATAATAAGAATTCGGCCCTAGATGCTAGATTCTTGTCCCACATCTTTTCAAGTCTTTATAGTCATTCTTGGTGGGCAGAGTTCTGCCCACATGTAATCAAAAAAGGCGTGGAGCTCGAAGGCAGAGGCGAGATTGAGTTTTTCAACTTCTAGGTACTTGAGTTCCTGCTTTAGATGAGGTCAACTTCGCTGATATTATATATTTCTAGATAAACACTATATGTGCAATCCCTACTACCTGAATGTGAAACACTGTCATGGCGACCTCCCTCAATGCGCCCGGGTCGATGGAAAATGGGAATGCCGACGTAAATGAGGTCGAATCTACTGACAGAAATGCTGAGTCTAGCGCGGTCTGATGGCTTGGGAATAATCAAGACTATAGAGGTGCCATTATCTTGATGCTCCTCGATCGCTTCCTTGTCCTCCTATTGACAGACTTCAGTCTCGGTCTGAAATTTCCTTATTATTCGTCTTTCCAATCATTCCGCACTCTTCGAGTCACCACCATCAAAACTGCTTACTAGAAGATATGCTGGCAGTAATCATTCCACCTTTTTAGCATTTATTTACTAAAATTACATTGGCTACGTGTATGGGAGTTTGTCACTTCAACAGATCCGCACAAACAGGCTATCAAATGATGTACTTGTTTCTCATCAACTTTATGGAACGACTTTGGTCCTATTCATTCGGATATTTCAAACGTGGAGGTTATTAGAGTACCAACTAATCTGCTGGTTAGAATGTGTTGGAGATTAGATCGGGTCCGGGGAAAGGGAGCATTTCCCGATGTCTGTGGAAACGGATGCCCGAAGCATTGGAACATAATCGTAATTTCCACCCTCCGAAAACAATAATTTGGTCGTTTATTGAATTGAATTAATATATGTTTTAAGACTGGATCAAGGTTCTATCCGGATGGGCACGGTCTTGAAATGTGTCCCCGGTTTTTATAAATGCATTGGAAGTGTCTGTCTTAGGGTTATAACTCCGGAGTGACAAAGGGATTGTGTGAAGGATCGATAAATTACTAATGCGGACAATTTTTATGTTGGCGATTATATGCACCGGGGGAGAAGGTTTATGTATATCGAATAACTCTTAGCAACTATGTATTTGTACCTCGCAGGATATTCGGAGTAAGGCTATTCGAGAGTCTTAGCCTGCAAGCCAACACTATACGGACATTGTTCTCGGAGTTGATATCGCCGATTTACTACATATCTGAATATTTCAAGAGATGAGAAGTACAAAGCCAAGCCGCAACGCCTTTTGCGATATCCGATGTTTTGACCATATCTTTTCTTGCAGAAATCTGACGAAGCACCCAGGTAAAAAACCACACATGATGGTGTCCACTGCGGTTGAACTTGCCCATGACGCGCTTTCTCTAAAATTCCTCGTTGGAACTTTTGCATTTTTGATTCTGGTTGGTGCATGTAGCGAAGTTCACCCATGTTTAGAAACTTGTTAGAACAGAGAGCCCTTGGACTGATCACTGGATTTGAGTAGAATTTTTTTTTTCGAGCTCATCAAAACCCTCTATCAAGGTATCCTGGACCATGGATCTCCAAATATACCAACCTCATCGCAAAATATTATTTCCTCTCAGGGACTAGACCCCGCTATGTGCATGCACTTCATATGAAATATGGTAAAGAACAATGATCCGTCTACCGAGGCCAGCACGACTCGAAAGAAACTGTTCAACTAACTTGACCCAACTATATGGGATAATTTTCAGGCCCCGTTGTTCGAGTCAGTCCGAACGAATTGGATATTTCTGACATTGATGCTGTAAAGGAGATTCATCGTGTGGGTGGACGGTATCTGAAGTCAGAATTCTATGAGAATATTGGCCACCGAAGCCTGAAGACATTGTTCAGCACAACTGACACAAGTCACCATGCGATTCGGCGGCGCCTATTATCTGCTGGAATGGCACGTAATAATCTTATGCGTTTGGAGCCGGTAGTTATGGAGCGAGTACAACTGACTATCCGCCGTATGGCGGAAGAGAGCCAGAAACGTGGAGTTATTGATGTTTTCAAATGGTGGACGTTTATGGCTACGGATGTGATTGGGGAATTGAGCTTTGGGGAGTCCTTCCGGACGTTGGACAAGGGTGAAGTGAGTTTGGCATCGAGAGTCCATCAAAGATAAGCGGACAAGAACTAATCACTTGTCGAAAATCCTAAACGAAAAGAAAACTCAGTACATCATGGATCTTGAAAATATCTCCTCGTTCATGGCAATTCGCACGACCTTTCCAACTTTACTTCGGTATGCGCAGTTCATTCCAATCTTCCCTTTGTTGAGGCGAGTTTCAGAAGCTGGGCAAAGAATGTTTCAATATGCTCAACAAGCCATTGGTCGATACAACAAAATGCTGGAAAATAATCCCGATCCCAAGCAGACGCTATTTACAAAAATGTTCAAAGGTGGCTCCGAGGGTTTAACACAATTTGAAATTACTCTAGAAGCTGGTGGTTATATAGTCGCTGGCAGTGACACAACTGCGATCACATTGACATATCTTGTATGGGCGGTTTGCAAGAAACCTTCAATACGCGACCGATTGGTGGCCGAGGTTAAGAATCTGCCTGAAAATTTCAAGGAAGATGATCTCCGTGATTTACCATATTTGAACCAGGTAAGTTACATCGGCAAGCGATCTTGCCATCATGAAAACTTAGATCTAATATTAGATGTAGGTCATCCATGAAGCGTTACGGCTCCATTCAGCGGTGCCCAGTGCCTTGCCACGAGCTGTTCCATCTGAAGGAGCAATTTTAGCTGGATACAGGATTCCAGGTGGTATGACAGTATCTACACAGGCTTATACCTTGCATCGTAATCCTGTAATCTTTCCCAACCCGGAAATGTAAGGCGCATATTTCTATCTCTTGCTGAGAAAGCGTCTTTTAATGATTATAACTAATTTATTTATGCAGCTTCGATCCTAGTCGATGGGAAACCCCAACAAAAGAAATGAAAAATATGTTTATGCCATTTGGAGGCGGTTCTAGAAGTAAGTTTCATCCCGGATCTATTGCCCTGCGGATCCGTGCCAGAAATGATGAAGTTCTGTGGGACGAATTATATTTTTGACCTAGGTATTAGAGCTTTTGCTAATAGTCCGATCAAACAGTTTGTATTGGAATTCATTTGGCATGGATGGAGTTACTCCTGGCCACCGCCCTATTCTTCCGCACGTTTCCAAATGCGCGCGTTTCCCAGAAAGAGGGGATGTGTGACCAAGATATGGAAGCTAAAATGTTTGTACTTGTATCACCGAAAGGCCGGCGTTGCTTGATTGAGTCTTGACGGAGTCCTTTCATATGAAGGATATGGGTTAAGTTGCCCCAATCCCATATTGGACACACCCCTGCATATCTAGTGATTGAGGGCAAATCATCCCCTTGCTCCTAATTACAATGCTTGAATTATTAAACTATTTATTAATTGTTCTCTTAACATGAAGATGGAGGCCAAAAGAAGCTACCATACATGGCTGGGTCGGACCGCTGGTTGTAGGTTTCATATTTCGACATCCTAGTAGTCTGCACGTAAGTAGGGTACTATGAGATCTGTATATCCCTACTCTGGCAAATAGACAGAATAACTGAATGAAACGCTAGCATGGACAACGCTGGTAACCACCACGTCCAATGACAAGCCTCTAGTCCTTCTCGGCACTGACAACCTCCCTAGCAGCATAAGCATCCACCTCCTGGGAAACAAACTTTCTTGCGCTGATCTTTCGGGAAAATATGATATCTAGCTCCTCATACGTTCTACCTTTGGCCTCGGGTAAGCGGAAGTAAGCCCATATAAATGTCAAAAGCGCCGTGCCACCCCAGAAAAATCCGGTCTTGCCAGAAGCATTCCAGGCTGTCGGGTTCATGAAGTATGGTTCAAGAACCTGACTCACCACGTTGGTGATTTGATAGGATACTCTAGCGAGGGATACCGTCAGACTGCGTAAACGTACTGAAGACGTTTCGGCCACAATTGCGTAAGCAATGGGCCCGACAGTCAATGAGTAGACCAGTAGCCAGAAAATGCAGAATCCGGCTTGGATCCAAATAGCACTTGTTGAACTGGAAGCGGAGTTGACTATACCAATGATGAATAATGTTGCACAGAGAATTCCCTGTCCAGTAACATATAGAATTCGTCGACCAAAGTGCGTGATCAACCACCAGGAACAAAGGGTCCCGAGAAAGGCAATTGCTGTACCACCGAGGTTCAGTTGATAAGCATGATCGGTACTCATGCCCGCAGTTGTGAAGAAATAGCTCGGTGAGTAGGCGAATGTACTTCCCGAAAGAATCTGGCCTACGAAAGCGAGACAGCAGATTTCAGTGCGGCGCAAATCAGTTCCTTTGAAACAATCAAGATATGAAGTTCCAACCTCCATGGACGATTCAATCTTGGCGGTATGCACTAGCATAGCTAATTGTCCATTAATCTGTTCTTCAGTTTTGTCTCCACCAAGGCGCCGCAAAGAATGTTTTGCTTCTTCGATACGATCATGTCGGACTAAATACCATGGTGATTCTGGGGCAAAGAAGCAAACAATCATCAGAGGTAGTGGCCACATCCATTGTAGTGCAAATGGAATACGATAAGACCACTCATCGTTTCTATCCACCAATCCTTGCAGAACGCCCGCTGCAATGAATTGTCCGATTGCCCAACATAGATTGACATAGACAGTGAGATATCCACGAAGGTTGGTAGGACATACTTCGGACGCATACGCTGGGCCAACAATGGCAAAGACACCCCAAGTCAAACCGCAGAGCAGTTCACCTGCAACTAGAACCCCGTTCGAAGGCGCGAAGAATACGATGAAGAGTAGGCCATTGAGAAGAGCGAGAGCAGCGATCATCACCCATCGATAACCGACGACCGAAGTCATGTAACCGTTTAACATACCACCTGCCTTTGTTAGCTACATACAAGCCAACTTGAACCTCCATCTAGAATTGTAGGAGGAACAGCAGGAAAGAAAAATAACAGGAGCTTACCAAAGATGGTTCCCACTGTGCTGGACATACTCAAGGCAGATTGCCACGGAGCCGGAATCTGCGTTCCTGTAGTACCACCATAATCGACGCCATATTTTTTGGTAAATTGTGGGTAGGCGTAGAAGTTGCTAATCAGTACGACATCATAGCCTTCCATAACAATCGAAAGTGAAATGAGCATCGACCATGCGACCGCTTTTCGGTTGGAACGCAACGCTTGCCAGAGGGTCTGCGAGTGCTCCTCATCTGAAGCATGTTTAGCCTCGATGATAGCCCCGCTGCCAAAGACGGTTTCAACATGGCTAGCGGCGGACTTTTCGATGTTGACCTCAGAAAAAGCCATGGCCAGGGTTATGTTCCCTTTCTTTCAAGAGAGATTTTCCAAAGAGAGCTCAAGAGAAGAAGAAAAAGCGACGAATGGTCTATTATTTATAGCCATGGAGAACGGGAGAAGGGAACACCATGCCATTAACATAGGCCACGAATACGTGTACCGGGAATCTGCATACAAAGACGAGCTCGACTAATAGCCATGGTCAATGCTCCTACACAGCCAATAGTAGAAATTATCTCGAATGAAGGTCGTATTGTGACCAGGTTTATGCTTAACCTGCGGGGAATATTCTCGTAATTAGCCTAAGTAATTACCCGGAATGCGGAGGGACAAATCTGGGGAAGATTACTGGGTCAAATTCAATGCGAGAATGGAAGTTAGAAGCCAATGAAAGTAAATGATCAGCCTCGCTAATTCGTTATTCGCCGTGATTTGAGTGACTGCTGGATTCAAGAGATCACTCCTGTTGGAACAAAGTTCTACCAAAAGGGGACCCTTAATGGGGCTTTCTGGTAAGTGGTTGATGAGTGATTTCAAGCTATTCTAAAACCTTGGGGACTTATATTATTTCTAATAGCTCCCTCTCAGTGCTATAACTCTTAGATTTTAAACCATCCTAGATATTCTCAGGTTCGGATACGCCTCTACCTAATTATTCTACATAGGACCTACCCACTGTACCTATTCATCTTAGCCTTATATAGAGGTTCTCTCTTTTTCGATCCCGGGTTCGAATTCTAGTTAAAGTTGTTGTTTCAGTGTCATCTTCATATTAGAGAGGCGATCCTAGGCTCATAACTATTGGAACAAATTGTATACCATTCACCAAAAAGAGGACCTCCATAATAAAACTTTCCTGTAAGTGGTTGATGAGTGATTTTGAGCTGTTCTAAATGCTTATATTATTTCTAATAACTCCAGCACGCAGTAGAATCTCTGAATGGCTTAATCCAGAAATTATCACCACATACATCTATATACGTACAGTAACATACTACCTAGCGCCTAATTCAGAGATTTAGTCAGATCAGTCAATAGAGATAAGTTAGTTCTCACTATACCGATACTCTCTACTCCTACAAAAGGCAACTTGAGACCAGAGATATAACTAGCACTTTCTCTTCTATCTTAGTTAACAAGACATCAGTGAGTATGCAGTGCCACTCTCAACGGAAACCCCAGATTATGATCATTAGATACCCCCGGGTCCTATGAGCCCTTCACAAAAATCACATCTAACAACCAAAAGAATTTTCCACTACCCAGTCACAGCTGCCCTGATAATGTAGATGACCCTGGGATGAACAGACTTAAACCCCCAATCCTATCTTTATTCCTTATAGCAAAGATCCTTGCTAAAGCCGCTTCTGCAGTTGGTGCCCGCTATCTAAATTAGCCCATTGACTCCCTAGTAAGTTATTTAATGTTCGGTGAAGCGTCATCCCTGTTGAGGCTTTCGAATATGGGCTTCGAAATGTATTTTGAGCATATAAAATGAGAACTGTTGTTATGCAACTCATTACCGAGGGTAAATGTTTAGCATTTACAGTAATACTTTTCAGAATCGATATGCATACTCTACTGGTATGTACTCCCAAGGTTGGTGATTAGTGATCATAAGATTCCATAATGCTCCCCAGAGCTTCGAATATCATATCTCGCATGGACTTTATTGTACCTCATGTACACATGATGAATTCCATTTACGTACCTAGTTATGTCGTGATTGCAAGTGCTAGAATAAACCAAGAATCTGTAATCCAAAAGCATTCAGTCTCAGCCACTTTTTCTCTAGGCACTGAACATGCAATCTTGCCAAATGGATACTGTTGTAGAAGACACTTGGGAAGGTCAACAGATACCTAGGTAAGATACAAGTTGTTAAAGCCGTGGCCAATGTGCTCAAGTTCTATTGGGTTGGTATACTATAGTCTTTGGGAAAAGGAGATCATTCGGTATCTTCCTTTTCTATTCACTTCGTATTACAGATCCCAAAAGGGCAAAATGGGCCATTTTGGACGTCTATATGCACAGTACATCCTTTTGGAAAGTTTGTCCAAAGGAAGTATCTGGGCGATGTACATGTCTCTCTATCAAGCCACTGCCTTGAAACTCAAATTTGATTTATATCTGCTTTCTCTTATTATTATAGTATCTGGCCACGGCCTTCAAAGACCTCTCCATTCAAATCTGAGGTACCTTTCTCTTCACTAATAGAGACCATGCAGATGATGATGATATGAAACTAATTACAGCCCCTGTCAATCATGCCGTCAAATACAAAATTCTTAACTTTCAATAACTCAAGTGGCGAAGGAATTTCAGAATATCAAGGAGAGTCAACACCGGAAAAGAACATGCTATGGGAGAGTCTATACAACGGTAAGCACCTCAATCAGCAGGCCGGCAATAGACACACTACCTAGGTATCGACCTAGGTGGATAATGAACAAGTGCTAATGATATATTTACACAATGTTATTGGAATCTCACAAATAAGCAAAGAAGTGATCAAGCTCGAAGATCAAACATCGCCAATTCCTGGACATAAGAATTCTACTACATCGAATTTGACGTCTTTCATCAATTGCATTCCTTGGTGAGTCTCATTTTAATATAGTAAATGATGGTGATATCTAACCTGTCGTAGGACATTGTTTGAATGGCTCCTTGGCCCAGCCACTTTAATCTCACTGAAAATCTGAGTCATTCGAAAGAGGGCCGGATGAAGCATATTGATTAGTGACTAGCACGCTTCCCACCAATTCCCTATTGGGACAAAGGCCGCCAAGGGGCAAGCTCTGGAGGTCAATAATTAAAAAGTTTTATCATACATGAATAGACACTTAGGCGAATTTCACGTACCTGCCGTGGTCCAGAAGTTGGCGTACTGAAATTCTTCCCAAACAAAACCATATATCCCAGGTCCCTAACCCTGCGGTGTTGCAGTTCCTTGAAGCAGCCACTCTCCCTCAGGGTATATAGGATTCTGATGGCATGGGGGGAAAACGACCCAAAACCCCGTAGGAAAAAGGGAAAAAATACCTCCACAAGTACAGATAGTCGAAGGAGCGATAGTGGTATCTCTCCTAGTGTGCTCCGGAGAGCTACGAGGTCAGAGCCTCGCTAGTGGAGAGCTGTGTTGTCGTTGTTGCTCGTGAAGAGCGGAGCAAGAATATTATGCGCCATTGTCCTTTAGTCTAATGTACTGGACTGCCTAATAGCGCCAGCATCTTTGACTATTTCCTTAGATTCAATACCTGATGAGGGGAGACTCCAATTGCCAGAAATAGGAGTGGTAGAATACATTGAGCAGAAGGAAGTGCACAACATCCACATAAACACAAGCAGCGATAGATATAGATATTCGACAAACCCTCGCTGATCAATCCATTATATCTTAGCGTTGAATGGTGGATGCCAGATGTGATGCAACCCAGTATCCTATCTAGATTGAGGGGCAGCCGTTAGAATGAGTCAATATGCGATTCGTGCCTCATCTAATTCTCTCTCCAACAAAGACACGACTACCGGCCCATCTTTCTATGAATGTATATTCAGCAGTCAGGCTAAAATTGAGAAAAATGTTCGTATTCTCGCATACATGTAGTCCCGATCTCGCGGGGTCCTATAAAGGCTAGTCAAGTGTGTGGTTCAATGTGGATCTTTTACTTCAAAATGTGAATGGGCATTTTAACCTTAAATCCATTCCACTCTTTGCAGTTTGACACAAACGATAGCCATGGAGGGAACCCGCATATCAACAGCCAGCTTCAAGCAGATCGGAAAAGATATTATAATCCGCCTCGGAGTAGCAGCAGACATACCGTACTTGCCGGCCATAGAAGAATCAGCATCGGAAATATTCAAATCGATACCTGATCTGGAGTTTATCGCGGATGACCCGCCTCTTTCCATTGACACGCTGCACTCCTACCTATCCTCGAGTCATTTGTGGGTAGCTACTGTAGAGGATGAGTCCGGATCAGAAATTCCCGTTGCATTCCTCGCAGCGAAATCCATAAATCCGGCGCGGTCCGACGAAGATAATCAAGAAATCGCGAATAATATCCAATCCCCTAGACATATATATATCGCCGAGTGTTCCGTTCATTTGTCATTTCAAAGGCGAGGTATCGCGGGCCGCCTGCTTAACACCGTTGCAGAATATGCGCGCAAGCAAGGCTTCGGATGGCTGACGCTAATAACATTTCTGGATGTGCCGTGGAATGGAAAATTCTATCAGAAACACGGGTTTGAGGAAATTGAAGCAGAGACTATGGGTGATGAGTATGTTGAGATTCTAAAGGAAGAATTGGATCAGTGGAAGAACTGGAAGTCAAAAAGATGGAGGAGGGGGGTTATGGCTCGAAAGTCATGAGGGCTAATTCTTTTGTCCAATCCTAGCCGAAATGGTTCAAACTGAATATATCCCTTTATTTCCGTGAGTAGACGACAGTACGGTATGCCCAAGTCAATCGATGGCGATTTCATGTGAGGTTGTTACAGTTTAATGATTCCACCGCTTTAAGCTCTCTTGGATGGCCACACTATCGAATTTCCTAAGAGACAAACACAAATGTCACAGCGCCATGACTCCACACCCGAGGCTCTTTACATGAGATCTCAGAGCTCTCGGACTTGGCACATGACAGGTCACAATGGAGTTTTAGGTCGCCCAGGATCGGAGAAATTATTGACTGAGCAAGCCACACAGCATGACTCCATAGGTTTGTACCAGTTTCTTGGGAACATGGAACGATGTCCCGATACTTTTCACCCTTTACCGTTCACGATAGTTATGTAGCTCGGGCAGGTTTACCGACTGGGGAATAATGATACCTCTAATCCGTACGGAGTACTCCGTACCTAGTAGCGAATGCGATCAGATCAACCCAGCGGAGGTCATAGCTCAAGCCCACCGGGGTTGACATTAGAGTATTGGTCTGATTTGGGAGGGAGCATAGTTTGTCACACATGAGGTACGTGAAGTACCACGACCATCTATCTCATGACGGTTGGGCGAAGCCAATAGGCAGCTTAGAGATGTTTTCTGCTACAATAGAGTACATGTTAAGTATTGTAGTATGTGCTCGTTGTGGAATCAATCCATTTGTTACCTAGTGCATATCTGTTATTTCAGGCAAACGCACAGTCACAGGAAGCATTGAGGCCGGTTAGGGCTTCCCTAGTCGCATCTCCCCAAAAGCAACGTCTCACACATGGGATACCCAACCCTGGATTCTGCTGCTGAAGAGTGGTCGTTATTGCCATGCAAACAGTAAACCTGAACTGTATAGGCTCCAGATCTCGTATATGATGTCTACCCACTGATCAGCCCACGGATCGGACCGGCTGGGCATTGCAGTAGTGAGTCCACCATAAGTAAGATCTGCTGGCGGCGGCTGTCCATGACCGACTATCAGATAGTGACAGTGGACACCATGAGTTGTCTGACTTAGTTACGTATCAACTGACTGAAGACACTGAAGAAATTGCGAGAAAATTAGGAAAACACTAGTAATTGCACGCTAGCCCAAAGTGGAAATGCAAAGTCCACTTATCTTCAGAAGTAAGCACTCTCATTGGCTGACCAGGTGGTCCGTGGCCGGAAAGCGGGATTAGTGAACCGCCGGCGGAAAGGCGTTCTATGATTGGCGGACGCTACGAGGCACGGCAGAAAGTCAGCCCTCGCTGGCAAATAATTGGCAGTCGTTCCCTCCTGGTCTGTTTTTCCCTCATTTCTCCGGCCGTCCATCTCCACGCCCTCTAACCACCACCATCGCCAAAACCACCTCGCCATCTGCCCCCTCTGCTCGCCTGGCGCAGTCTCTGTGTCTATGCAGTTACATTCCACGATATCTTGTAACGACTTCATCATTGCGCATTTCTGCCTCGGGCGACTGCTCGCTCTACTGTAAACTCGAATTCCCCGGTCCAACGTTCCACCGCCTTCTGCCCTCTAACTTAGTCTGTCCTGACTCTTTAGCCCTCACGAAACGACGCCCGGTCTTCTCTCCCGACTAGACCGTCGGACTCATCAAGTTGAATTCGGACGATTCTTGGAATAAGACTTCAGTTGACACTCTTCGCAATATTACCTCTCGAAATCGGTTTACAATCCGTGCTGTTCCTTATCGCATATTGCATGAACGTCCTGCGATCGGATGGATGTCTAAATACCACTAATTCAAACGGCTGGTCGTCAGTCTGATGGCGTCTCGGCTCGACATACGAGCCCTACCCTGCTAATCCGATATTAAAAAAAAAGGAAGATGGACAATCCCGTCACGTTCACACCAAATGCTTTAACGCCGGAATCCATTCGTCGTACTACTCCGCCCATGTCTGCCCCCGATCCAGCTCCGGCCGGTTTCAACTTTATAACGGTCGATCCCTCGTCACGAACAGAAAGTTCCTCCAGCCGAACGCTCATCCGTGCAAATGCCGGTCGATATATATGGAAGCGCCGCAAAGCCGGCAGCAAGGAAAGTGGCAGAACGAAACCATACGAAAGGCCAAACCCCCAGAGCCCACCTTTATCAAGCTCACCCGAAAGTAAAGAGGTCGTTGTAAAATCAGAATTCGACACTCAACAGAGCCCATCGATAACAGACGAGGGAACTTCACTGGCCGACACCGAACTCGTTCCATATAAGCGCGAATCATCATGTGATACCATCGATTTGAAGGCTCCACTTAGTCATGGCTTGAAGACGCCTATGTTGACTGTCTTTGGGACAGAGATACCAGAGGATATTGTTCGACGGACAATGAAATACTGTTAGTTCTGTTTACCATAATCACCTATTCTTATATTGTATGCTAACGTCTCCAGCCGCCTCCGTTGTGATGACCAAAATGTTGCCTCAGGACCCGAGCGCCGAAGCGCCGAAAGTATCTGACATATGGCTTTCGAGTGCGCTGCGCAGCCCCGCGTTGTTGTCGGCATTTTTATATGGTACACTGAGTCATGAATTCGTCCTCGAGCGTATGCAAAGTGGAACGCCGTCGAGACAAAGACGACAGAAAATGCTACAGATTATGGTTGCAGAGAATGAATCCATACGAAGGATTAACCAGGCTTTACAAGACCCTGCGGCCCAAAAGACAGATGAACTGCTTATGGCCGTGTTTTTCATGGGTTATAGCCGTTACGACGAAGCGGTCTTCTCACCCGGTCGTGACCACCACAAATCTCCTCTAAACGATATACAGTGGGCAAACATATACTCATATCTTGATTACGACGAGGTACACGTCATGGGTCTGATTCGATTACTTGAAATTCGTGGTGGCATTGATGCTATTAAGATGGCCGGTTTAGCCGAAATGATGTCTCTAGCGACGATCATGTTTTCGTCCAAGTTCTTACGCAAACCACTTTTCCCTTACACGCCAATCATCAAGACCGCTGGGCGGCACCAGCAACCCGACTGGCCTCAGCCTATTCAGTTCCTTTTGGAAATGTACAAGGGAGGTGAATTTCCCAAGATGGTTGAACTTGGTCTTCCCAGCGAACTTGTTACGCTATTTAAGGATATGTACAGCTATAACGCTGTCATTGAGTTATACACTCAAGGCATTTTCGCTGGATCCTTTGTCGGCTCCGATGCACCTATTATGGCTGATCGCCGTAACTCGATCCAACACCGAGCTTTGTCTTTGCCGTCCGCAGACGAGTTGGGCATGAGCGAAGTTTGTCCAACCTATGAACCGCTCAGACTCGCTACGCTTGTATATTGTCTGCTCACCATATTTCCGCTGGTTCCCGCTATGGCGCCTTTCCCTCAGTTGACGGCACAGTTACGACAAGCTCTATTCAGCCAGTCCCTGCCGAAGGCCTGGAAGACCGTTCCAGAGCTATTTGTCTGGACTTTGGTTGTTGGCGGTATAGCCTCAAATAAACCCGAGACCGTTACCTGGTTCGCTGCGATGTTGAGCCAGGTCGCCGTTGCCACGAATCTTTCAACTTGGGCCGATGTCAAGAAAATACTCAAGTCGGTTTTATGGGTATCGCCCATCTGTGACGACAAGGGAGAAGAATTATGGAGAAAAGCCGACAATCTTCGCACTCAAGTTCAACGCCATCAAGAACAACAACAACATCGACGTAATGGCGTGCCTATGCGCTTAAGGGCGGAACCTGCCAGTTAGTTTCTTCTTCGATAAATCTTTTCTTTGGAAACCATTTTCTCTTACGATTTGGTTTGCTTCATTTTTCTATATATATATATACACATATACACAGTGTATATACACACACACACAATATATATATTTGGAGTCCGGGCACAAAATACCCCAAATGTGATGAATGAAATGACATGTAATTAATTTCATTTGTTTCAAGCTTATTGTTGTTGGTTTCTTTTTTCAGAGGCTTTCTTTCTATTCCATTCTGTTTATCTATCCTACCCTTGTTGCAAGGTTGTGCTTATTACTTTGCCACACTTTTACAAACTTTGGTATTCAGTCATGACGAATATACTCGGTTTGATGAGTTCATCTACGATAGTTGTTGGTACTAAGACTATTAGTTGAGGATATGTTAGGCCTAGGTATGCTCTAATTGTCCATTAAGACGCATATGTTTCCAAGGTTTCAATTCAATACTGAGGAAGGTATAAGGGTTTAGGTGGCACAATACATTCATTAAGTTACATATGTAGGATGTAAGCGTGGTATGGCCTCCTGTCGTGAGACCTACACAAGTAGACAGTAAATATACCTGCCTATAGAGGAAGGTGATTAGTATGGTTAATCATGTTGTCTTGATACAGCGTATCGTGAGACCTACCTAGGTTTCTATCTAGAGATCGTTGGTCGAATTCGGGTCTGCATATGCCGCCATACAAATAGATAGCCACTATTTGCCCAGATACCCGATGGATATGGGCGTAACCACGATTCTGACCAGTGACCAAGCTCAATATGTGCTATATGTACTGGGTAAGGTCAGTTTTTACTACGTGTTTCTTGCATGATGTAGGAAAAGTAGAAACACCAAAGTCTGTATGTACAGTATGCATACTTGTGTTATGAGCTGACCTCATGACCATGTTCGGGCGAAGCCCTCACGGATATTGACATATAGAGTTTCGCTAGATTATTGTTCGGCAACCCCGAACATGAAGCTATTCCCAGATTACGAACGGACACCCAATATCCGGCCGGATATTGACAATAGCGCTCTCTGCCGATCCCCGGCAGCCCCGACAATCTCAGCAACCCCGGACATGAGGCTATTCCTAGAGAGAAGCCCGTCGGAAGCTCCCAATTCCCCTTGCCTATATAAGATTGTATGCGCGTGAAAAACTTGTTGTTTTCTTTCTCTTTCCTTTCCTCATGTTACGTTTTATATTCAAAATATGCCCTTATAGTGAGCATTAGACGGGACTAGCCCGTAACACTTGCTGTGTACTACACTGGTTCGAATCTGCAAAAATATGGACATATCGTGATTGATCCACAGAGGAATTCCAAGGCTTTTTGTGCAACGTACGATGACTATCGACTAGATTACTAGAGATTGATACGCTGATTCAAAGTCAACGTATCCACCTGCAATGCATGATTTGTAGATCATTGATGGATTTCAGTACCAGATGTGTTATTTCTCATGTTATTTCTATTTTTTAAGCGTTGAATATACCTACTATACTGTAAAAATCGTCATCTCAGGGTGAAAGCTGGACTGATTGTGTAAATTTTACAATTTCCTAATTAGGAAATTGCTTGGAATTGAGCCAATTGATTGCCAGTGTTGTCTGAGATGTGCATTTTTTTCTGTATTACACACCAATAGATTTAAATTTTTGTCCAGGAATTTTCCGCTCAAGAAAATGTAGTTTTAGATCCGCTTTTATTCTATGTAGACCGCTATACGAACCTACTGTCTCTTAGCAATAAACTTTCAACAGATTTATATTGTAGTAGCATAGATCATCGATTCAGGATCTCTCCACACCGTCCCTAATATGCGCCATGTCAGAAAAACTACCGATACCGAAGGCCTTTCCTCACCGTCATCGACGTTAGGGCTTCTAAGCCGCGTCTCTACGGCCCAAACCCACCACCCGTCTCATTGGCCAACATTGCAAAAATGGTGCATTGCAATAATATACTGCTTCCTACAGGTCGCCATAATGCTTCTTACAACGACATACATTAGCGCTCAAACACCGCTGCGCATGAAGTTCGGCGGTTCTACGCAGGTAATTGCTTTAGGACAGTCTATGTTCATTGTCGGGAATGCCGCTGGACCTGTGTTTCTAGGTCCGCTGAGCGACATTGGGGGTCGGAAATGGGTTTATGTTGGGAGTATTGCGATTTATGGGTTGTGTCAGATTGTATGTTTCGTAAAAAGACTGTTTTTCCTCGAGATGATTAATTGACCTGCGTTTGAATGGTCCTGATGAGATGCGTAATAGGGGTGCGCCCTAGCAGTCAATCTACCCATGATGATTATATTCATGCTGCTATCTGGAGTTGCTTGTAGCACAGCACTCTCGAACGTCGCCGGTACAATTGCTGATCTCTTTGGTAAAGCGGATAATACCAGTCAGCCGTTGGCGTTGTATATTATGTCTTCGACTACGGGGTCGAGTTTGGGGGGAGTTGTTGGTGAATGGATTGTCAGCAACCCTAATATGGGGTTGAATTGGATCTTCTGGATTAAGTATGATCTTGTTGTCCTCTCATTGAAAGACCAACCAACATGACGATGAGGTTTGAAGCTTACATCTCCTAACAGTGTGATTCTTGCCGGATTTTTCGTCCTGGTAATGACTTTTTTGCCAGAGACGCTACCCCGAATAGTCATTTCACGAGCGATGAAACGCTCCCAGACACAGACACAGATAACACATTCTGAGAATGACGAACGGCAGAAAGAGATAGCAGAGACGAGAATCGCTATACTGAAGGAAATGCGGTTTGTTACTACCATGTGTTTTCGAATCTTATTGACGGAACCCATCGTCACATGCTTAGGGATTTTCAACGGCTACATATACGGACTACTTTATCTTTATCTATACGGTGTCTTTGATGTTTTTGTTGCCAATAATCACCTCTCGTATGTGACCCATTTTCCTATCAACTTCTCAATATCGAGGGGAAATCGAGACGTAAAAGGCAGGAAAGCATACTAATACAGACCTCCAAGTGTCATCGCCGCAAATTTGACGTATCTCAATTTTGTAGCAGGAGCAGTTATCATGTTTCTTATTTTCGTCCCCATCCAAACAGCACTCTACAAGCGGGATCGATTGAAGAACAATGGCATTGCACGACCCGAGGCCCGCTTCTTACTATCCCTCATTACTGTGTGGGGATTTCCTATCTCCTTGCTCTGGTTTGCGTTTACTTCCAGTGGGAGTGTATCTTACTGGTCTCCTGTAATCGCAGGCACCGTTCTGGGTGTTACAGATCCGTTGTTGTGGTTGAATATCTTGAATTACATCACAGACAGTTATCCGAATGTGGCTGGCAGTGCAATTGCCGCGTTTCTCATCCCGAGTCAATTATTGGCAGCGGCATGTGTGCATATAGGTACGTGGGTTACTTTCTTCTAGCATCTAGGACTATATCTATCCTCACCACAGCTTTTCGGATATGGCCAGAAACTTAATATTCTACCCCCATGGGACATATCACGATCCGCTAGTGTTCCAAAGTCTCCCTTTTCAACAAGCTGAAACTGTATAGGAATTCTAATGTTCAACAATCTCAGCACTACTTGGGCTTTTGCAATATTGGGCTTCGTATCGCTAGGAGTTGTGGCTTCGGTATACGTCCTGTATTTCTGGGGACCGGCACTCAGGAGAAGGTCGAGAATAGCATTGAACCCCAGCTCTTCTTGACCAGAGCGGATAAAAATTTCATGCTTTTGTATTTTTCTCCCATGGAGAAGTCCTGAGTCCCTTGGCTTACTCGGCATTGTACAATGTGCGGCGTAGCTGAGAACCACCTGATGCTAATTGGATTAATCCATAACCCGTGTCCCCAATGTGCTTTGATCTCGGTCCAAGCCATCTTTGATTACCTATAACTAATTGGCAGTAAAATAGCCAAGGAAACGCCATGAATTTGATGAAAGCGGGGGACGTCACAGCTACAGTATATACATAAGTAGTTCTCGGGGTCTGGTTGTGGCTCGGATCATCCTCTCAAGGCTGGGGAAACCTTGGGGTAAGGTCTTTTCCCCGCATAAAACACGGTTATAGGCATGTACATTGAGCGAACTGCTATCCGAAAGCAATGAGAGTTTAATCCCGGGATTTTGGCAGCGGCAACGAACTGGTAACCGGCGAGTAAAATAGGAACAGCTGACAGGTCTTGATGTTCGGTAGTTGTGTTCGGTCGGATACTGTATATGTTATACTCACATTGACAAAGGTAGTTAAAACTTATATTATGAATATACCAGCTTTGCACAGCTCTCATACGAGCTGGGATTAGCCGAAGAAGATTATATTCCGTGTGAGATTCCTTGCACAAATCTCGACATTTCGGAAGTCTTGTATCCAATATACGCATCATCAGCTTATCCTACCGTACAGTCATACGAATAATGGAGTCTCATGTATCAAATATCGAGAAAGGAGTAGCTCAGGAAGACAAACCTGAAAGTTTTCATATTGCCAAAGCACATGATGCTGCCGAAAGAGGACATGCAGCAACTGACAGGTAAGGAAAATTACAATTTATTCAAGGCAAGACTGCAATCGGACCGCTGACAGTGCTACAATAGATACGGTCAGCCTCTTGTTGATTTTGATCCTATTGCCGAAAAGCGTCTGTTGCGAAAAATCGATCTGTTCGTCATTCCAACAGTTGCCATCCTTTACCTTTTCTGCTTTATCGATCGTGCCAACATCGGAAACGCAAGATTAGCTGGGTTCGAAAAAGATCTTGGTTTGAAAGGAAACGACTATAATATTGTCTTAACCATCTTCTTCGTTGCGTACATTGTGTTCGAAATTCCATCCAATATTGCGTGCAAATGGATTGGCCCTGGCAGATTTCTTCCGGCATTAACTTTAGGATTTGGTATAACTAGTCTCGGAACTGCATTTGTCAAGAATAAACATTCTGCTTCTGCAGTCAGGTTTTTACTTGGTATGTTTGAAGCAGGTCTGTTTCCTGGGATTGCATACTACATGTCGAGATGGTATCGTCGCAGTGAGCTTGCGTTTCGACTTTCGTGCTACATCGTCATGGCTCCCCTGGCGGGGGCCTTTGGAGGGCTACTAGCATCGGCTATCCTGAAGCTGGAATCAGTCGGTAGTCTGCACACATGGCGGATGATCTTTGCTATTGAAGGAATCATCACATGTGGCCTTGGCATCATTGGATTTTTTACCATGACCGATCGGCCTTCTACAGCCCGTTGGCTTACCGAGGACGAGAAAGATCTTGCTATTGCGCGTGTCAAGTCCGAGCGTGTGGGCACAACTGAAGTCCTTGAACAACTGGATACCAGAAAAGTCCTCCGCGGAATCTTCTCTCCAGTAACCTTGACGACTGGCTTGATCTTTCTGTTAAACAATGTCACCGTGCAAGGCCTATCAGTGTTCGCACCAACCATCATCAGGACAATCTACCCTCATTCCAGTGTCATCTCACAGCAGTTGCACACCGTGCCTCCTTATGTCGTCGGCGCCTTTTTCACTCTTTTTGTTCCATTTATAAGCTGGAAGCTAGACCGCCGCATGATTTGCTGCATTTGTTTGGCTCCCTTAATGATCGTGGGCTATGCCATGTTTCTCAGATCGGAAAATGCGCACGTTCGCTACGGTGCATCTTTCCTTGTTGCCTCAGGGTCTTTTGCATTTGGCGCACTTTGCAATGCTAATGCGTCTGCAAACGTGATATCTGACACTGCCCGATCCGGTGCTATTGGCACTGTTGTTATGATGGGTAATATCGGAGGCTTGATCAGCACATGGAGCTATCTTTCCTTTGATGCGCCTAATTATCATATTGGTAATGGACTGAACCTGGCCTGTGCAAGTGTCACTTTTTTGTTGAGTATTGGCTTGTTGGTGTGGATGAAATGGAATAATGCGAAGCGAGAGCGAGTTGATGTCGATTCTGCATTAGAGGGGAAGTCTATTAAAGAGGTGCAAGTTATGGATTGGAAGAATCCAGCTTGGAGATGGAGGTACTAATGGATTTTTTATGTGTTCGGTCATCGCAGTTCTCGGTTGTATCTCTCTCTATTCAAGTCCAGGCAATGGAAAGATAGGTCTAGGAGAACCTTCACTTATGGCTACAGATAGAACTTTGTCTTTGAATCTTTGAAAGAAAATTTGAAATGAGGTCTTTCTAATAAACAAATAAATCAAATAAAAAATCTAGAGCATATCCATGAGCAGTATCCAATACGAGTGAGCAAGAGAATTAAGCGAGTAATCACTTCCCTATTAAGATTCAACGGACCATCATACCTATTCCACAACCAAGGTGAATCCTTTGACTTCCTGCGAGTCACATTCATGATAAAAGGTGTTTTCTCTTCTCATTATCCGCCAAAAAGTCTGCCCTGTCACTTTAAATGATTCCGAAGTCATTTTGTAGTGTATTCACCAAACGCCTTGATAGAGAGAAATCAGGCTGGATATCAGAATCACTTTCACCAGAATAAAAGATTTTACTAGTATACCCATGCGTCACACAGATAATTGTCAAATAAATGATAATTTGTATAGGAATAGCTAACAAAATTACACATTATCCTCAACAACACGAATTAATCTTTGATCAGACGATCGCAGATAAATGGGGTCAACCATATTCCTCCACACATTTACTCAAGGGCCACCTCGCCGCTTGCTGAGAGCCCAAGGGGGGGAGAGGACATTGCTCCTAACGGGGCTTTTTGTAGCTCTTTGAGAGCCTTTCTTTGAGCCTTCTTTTCCTCCTGCGTAGCACGCTTTTTAATAGCTCGATTTGCATCCTTCACAGAGAGAATTCCTCCAACTTGAACTTGACGTTTAAATTTTTGTCGACCTCCAGCCACCCCCAACGGCAGACTTGTCACTTCCATCAGGTCCAGAAAGGGCAAAGCATGGGAACCCGATGAACTTGAAGGAAGATGGCTCATCATGGTCTGTGATAGCGAAGAGATTCAGAGAACGTTTTCCGGGAAGGTCTCAAGGCTCTATTCAGGTGTATTGGAGCATGAAGTTGAAATATTTGCATTGATTGTAACAATTACACGTTTCAAGGTCACCGTTATCGCCGATTTGAGCGTAGCTTTATTACCATTCCGTACATCGGATATATCTAGAAATTTATCAAAGCTCCATTGGCCAGGGGATTGGGATAAAATGTATGAAAGGCACTTCATCTTGAATCAGAAATGCGATGCGGTTCGACGTGTTCACCAGAAAGTCGGCGTTCCATTGGAGATCCGGTGAAAGCGTATTTCGCATAGACGAGGTCAGTCAATGGAATGCTAGCAACCAGGGTTTGTCGCATAGCTTAGATAATGCTCATGGAAGGAAAATACAACGCGATCGTGAGGAAGAACCAGCTTACATTATAGATGACTTGAAATCTGGAAAGTTCATTTTTCTTCTCCAAGAGGTTCTCATTACCAAGCATGGGGTTGTATGCCATATAAACGAACTGGGAAGCCGGTAATAAGCTCCAACAGAATCTTCCTCATGTTGATAAAGCGTGGAACTGGCCACTTTGATAAGAACATATAATTGCTAAATTACTAATCATGCTGTGATGGGCATCGATATGCACGAACATCTTTGCTGTAAATGAATCTGGTAGTAATTAGTACCAACAGCGAAACGGTAGGGCAATAGTCTGTAATTATTGATTCTAAATGCCGTGACTCGTGAGCAAGGCGGGCAATCCTGGAATATCGATTAAATAACATCACTTCCTCAAGATGCACTGCTCGTATTGCTAAGCGCCTCTCATCGCAGTACATGGTCGACCCGCCAATAGCACTTGAGACCATCGATCAAAAGGATTGTATCAGCCAGAGTTCATTCAAACTATAGCCAATGGAATGATGGACTTTTCTACTGCTTGGCGAGGCATGCTCAGCCTGATATCGACAGGTCTACCCAGCCTTGTTCTACTATACATATAGCGATTGTTGCCCACTTTCTACCTAGCCTCGAAAATCCCATCAGATTACTCGTCTTTCAATTCCAGACACAAAAGCTCCTCATGCAGTCTTTCACTTCGATGGGTAGCGCCCGACGATATCCCCTACGAACCGCAAGACACGTCAATATTTATGTATCATGGCAGGGATCATGATCATCGACCTGAAGATTTCGATGGGCCTGATACGGTGGGTGTGAGCACAACAAAAAAAGGGCAACTTGCTACCACAGATATCTGGTAAAAAGAGTGAAGATTCCCGTCAACCTCATGTTGACCTGATTTGCCGTCGATTTACTCTGAAGTGGGAACCGATCGTGAATATAACACACCGATATTTCGCTTGTCGCTGTGTCATCCGGCGAATTTCACCATCTCGATTCGAACCGGAGATTGATATTTTGTGTTTTGCAATATGCCCACGACACAATAGTATGGGAGTAAACTTCAAAGACTACCAAGATTACGAAAACCATCGGGACGATCTATATTTCCACAAGTTCGGGGGATACGATGCTGTCCGTGCTTTTATTTATTCCTGCTTGATGCGGGTTTATAACAACCTTGGAAGTTAACGGTTTCTTGCGCAGGAAGAAATTGAAAATGCCTATGATTATCTTCAAAGTGCTAGCGAAGTATTGGGGGAAAGTTTGTTGGAAGCTCAACAAGACTATATATTTGAGCATGATGATAAGTTGATGAGACTGGGATTCGCTTCTTCAGACAATGTCAAGGCCTACATCGCAGCCGAGAGAAAGAAACGAGGACTGGATAAGGCCGGGGGTATGACTGACAGCCAGTTCAGGGATTGAGAAGGGAGTCCAATGGAAAAGGAGGTCAAAATGATTATAAATGGTAAATGGAGAGGGAAGCGTCATTGGTTACCTCTTGTTGAATGCCCTGCATGCCACCTTTCTTTTTTTTTTTTCCTGCTTTAATTGGGCTTAAAAATCGTTATGCTTTGATATATCATTGTCAGCCTCTTGCCGTAAATTGCCAGTAGGATTGTTCCTCATGTTGATAAGGTGCGGAACTGGCGGGCACGCTGAGTACGTACTGGGTTTTCTACCGCATCGGAATCTTCTCTTTTCCGTTTGCGCGAAGGCGGTGCTGAGATCGCATGTTCCATTGTGTCTTGGTAATCTTGATTAATCAGGGCGAACCGTACGTCGAAGTCGACGTCGTGGTCGTGTATGATCATCCTCCTCATCATCACTTATTTCAATGGCTCACAAATTGTTTACAGTCATCCACGCCGGTTACCTGATTGAGATTACGGGACATGACACATGGGCCTCGCGACGGGTTTGCGACTTTTACTTCCAAATGGCACATGACTGGAAGCCGCCGCCCACAAGCATCAAGGCCATATTTTCGGCCAGCTGCCTCGCCGACTTCCTCATTTTGGAGACCGCAAGCTCTTTACTATAAGACCATCTAGTCGTTTAGCAGAGCAATCAGAAGCCTCTTCCTTCGATCTCAAGATCTTACATCACAACCGAATGAAGGAGCGAACATTTAAAGCGATACAATGTTCTCGGTTTCACCCTGTCTAGTCTAATGCTTCCGCAATGAAACCCCATGAAAGAGTACGTTTAAAGACGCCTCGTGATTGAAGAAGCATAGCAGGGTTAATAGTAGGCTTTCATCAGACATGACGGTCAAGTTGAAGGATTGTCAGCTGTGCTTGTGTACCTTCGATAATCGTGTCTACGAACTCTCCAAATCTCTTCATTTGTACTAATAGATTTGACTTCAAGCAGGAATTTGTGAGAGCAGTATGACAAATCCCTTGCTGACAGTGATTTGTGAAACTAACTTGCACCTTCAGGGTTGTCTTGAATGTGAATATTACTTACAGAGCCTGACCGAGAGGTTCTGATATGAATTAAAGGCGTACATTCTAGTTTCTAGCCTTCGTTTGTTGTGATACGTGTGACGACTCAGTAAATACCTGGTGGATGCATTAGGCTGCCTTTCATTGGGGAAGATGTTGATGTCGGCAGCCCAGTGATATTGAATCTACCTCGATGAATTCATCGGCTTCCAGTAGCTTCGGGTCGGCTTGAATATTGTCCAGGCCATATTATTTCGTCAACTGTCCTTCAATGAACTGTGTCAGAGTCAGCGCCTAGCTAGTCATACGGAGGTAATTGACATTTCTAGGGCTCCTACCACCGAGATCTGTTTCAGCGTTTGCGGTACGATCCGGCATTGCCATCAAGTAATGTGTAGTTGACTCAGTTGACGCTAGTAGGTTATGACTGTTCTAGTTTTTTTGATCGTGCAGGTCCTCACCATTCAGTGAAGGAAATTCTCCATGCGGGCAGTCTCACATGCTCTCAGTGTCTCACGGGGTTCCAGATCGAAGATAGCGCAGTACCTGAACTCGGTAGCAGCACTCTGATACCATGAGAATAAAAACTACGGACTCAGTAAACAACTTCTCCATCCGTTCGATGTGGCATTTCGTCGTTTCAGCGTAGAGCGTCGTCGCACGAGTCGAGCTTAATCATATTTCTGTCGCAAGATCTCACGGGAACAGATAACAGCAGCCGACCAGCCTGTGTAAGACCCTCCCGATTGCAGTGTACCTGTACACAGAGCCTTGCGACGACCCATATTCGACAGTGATAATAGTATAGCTCCGGGGAAGGGGGAGGCGGAGCGACGAGTCCGTGAAGGTGGGAGGGAAGAAGATGGTGAGGACAGCATGGCGGAAAGTCAGGGAATTTAAGCACGAGCGAGAGAGATGGGAGATGAAGCCATTTCTGGCCTTCGTCGAGCGGACACGATTCGGTACGTCTAGAAAAGCATGGTCGAAGTCGGTTCAGGTCCAGGGCCCACCAGCAGCGTCACCGAGCCACTGAGGGAGAAAAAATGGTAAAGGCGCATTACCGCAATTTGCACGGAGTCGAACAGAATGCATCGTAGCCACGCCATCTGTGTTGAATGCTATTTCTTTCTGGCAACTGATAGAGTGGAAGCGATGAGATAGATGGTGAGAGAGTGAGAATGCGAGTGGTGGTTCCGTGTTCCTTAAAAGCGGCCACGATTAGGTGAGGGACCAGCTGGTGAAATCAACACTTAAAACAGCGGTACTTCACACTCAAAAGGGCCACGCTTTCACCAAAACAGACATTTAGGAAATAATTGGAAATTATGAATTATTGGGCTCTATAGATTCTATTTTTTCAAGTTAAATCTTATAATTATGGCGTTGTGGTGTGTTATTAGAGCTGGTTATAAAAAGTTGATTTTTCGAATTTGTTAGCGATTCCCATGTAAATTCGAAATGTCGATTTGGAAAAAATGTTGATATGACCCGTGAGCACCAACCCCGGGAAAGGGTGACATAGTTTCTCATAAAGGTTTATACCACCTTTTTGAGTAGCCTTCTCGTCAAGGTAGTCATGTAGGTATGTCTAAACTGCCACAATAAACACTCTACTATGTACTCGGTTTTCGATCGTCCGGACGGCCCGTTGGTGCCCAGGTGGTCTCCTATTTCAACCTTTTTCCTTTCTAATTGAGATTCCTATTCGTTCCATATTTTAGATTCCTTTCAATTTTTCGCTCTACTCGCTGTTATTGACGGCTCGATGTCTCATCATCACAGTTTTCCTGGCCCGACTTCGATAGCCACAGGTAGAGTTCATGCCGGTGTATATTGAGCCGAGACTTTTAATGCCGTACTTACCGATTACCAACTTCAGGGTACGGTTCTTCAACAATCCATTTGCATGCTGCCGCAACAGCTGCAATGCTTAAGTCATGTTCGGGTTTGGTTTTTAGGGATTTAATCACTACAACAAGAAGAGGCACATACGAGACGAGCCACTCCATGTCGAATGAGCCTGGGAAATCACCCAGGCATTGTTGATACGCTCACCGCGAAGATAACAATTTCATACCATACTAATAATTGAATAGGGACTTCACTACCTTGACACCAATTAGCCTCCTCTAGCCGAAACTCACAACCCGGACAAACTGTCACGCAATGGAGTCAGGTTGCAAATTTTGTGCTATTTTAAATACTGCTAGGACTATGGTGATGGGATCCCCTTCCTCCTCATCGAGGAACCTTAGCAGTCATGACAGGATATACGTTCTCAAGATATCAGACTTCTTTCAGGTCTTAAATATCCATTCTACAGTCATTGTTCAGTCATTGTCACTCGCAGTACACAACGTATCACCAGCCGAGACAGTTCGTCCGTTTGTATCACGAGGACACAGACCCCGTCCTTCGCATTGCATCGGTTGCACCTAAGTAGTACCAGTACCTGCTCCCACAGTTCCCATTGTTCTCAATGTTTCTGGACTGAAGGTCATGAGATCATTTCACACGAACCTTTTTTAGCACTTTGCTTTGGTGAGATCACAGTACCGACTACCTATTTTACATCCAACTGAGTCGATCAACTTCTAGAAATCGGACAATAAGCAACCCTGCTCTTCCGATTGTAGATCGACATGTGTAATACTTAGGTTGGTCTGAGTTTCTTATGCTTATTAAACAGTCGTTTGGGGTATGTATGAGGTTTCGCAAGAGTAACTCTTCTTGAAACTTCGATGAACATTGGTCAAGAATTGTGTCTGGATGGTATCGGCTTGAACTCTTTTTTTTTTGCGGACGACGTTGGTATTCTGGACAGCTTCCGAGTTCTATTTACTTCGTATCAACGTTTTTGGGTTCTGGAAAAAGAGTCCGCCGCCAGTATCCCAGGTTGGCGCATCACCTCTATTCATATCTCAATGGAAATCACTTGTATAATGGCACAGAATTACCGCATGTCGTAATCCTCCCAGTCGAGTTGGGACTCTGTTCCTTATTAAGTCAAACATCAGTAGAAAATGGCAGCGCCCAAAATGTCCTTTTTTTTTTGGCAAGGTACAGTAACATAAACCACACAACACGGTCATTGCAGATTCAAGGAAAGCCAAAGATCAACCCACAGTCATGCCGTGATCTGATAGGACAACATATAGAAGATGACGCCTAATCCCGAGTCTTGTACAAGGTACTAATAGGTGCGATGTGACCTTATGGGAGGGGCATTGCCCCCCACTCAGCAACATGACATGTTCAACTGACCAGGTTCTTTTGAAAGAATAGTGTACCTTGTCAAGTTAGCCTTTACCGAGCCATGTACATAGTTCGAGCTTAACGACGCCCTACAGATTAGCTACTTGCAACCTCACGTCGATAATCGGTAAAGCCGAGCCAATCTGATAATCGACCCGTATAGTTATTAGGGTAGCTTCACGGTGATTCTCCCACACTTCTGGCGGGTTAATTATTCGTTTCAAAATAGATAAGACAGACTAAAAGCATTATTTCTTAGTGATGTAACAGTTCTTAACCGGTTCAATCCGCTGCTGACGAGATTGTACCGCAAGAGTCAAGATTTGTACCTCGTAGTCCAACATGAACCACAGGTTCGGCCAACACTGCATAGTTACGACGTGGTATATATGCAATGACGGATTATGAGTCGTCGAAGCTCGAGTGAGTATAGATTGTACATGTACTCCTGTGAATGTATCAGGGCGGGGTAGCTCTCTCGAGTCATATAAGTAGATGAAACTACCTAGTCCAAGAGGCGACTTGGAAGAAAGTGGTTTTATTTTACATGTTGAGGTTCATAGGTACTTGAGACCTTTTATGATCAATCTATATACTCAACTGTAAGAGAGCAGGGGCCGATATGCTGTCCATTCTAGTTGCCCTTTTAGCCCTAACCCGGCTTTCGGCTGGCAAAGCCGTGTTTGCACATTACATGGTACACCTATTCTCCACGTATACAAAAAGTTACAATCTGACAATGTATCAGGTTGGATCAATGACTTCCAGTGAAGCATCCCAAGACATCAGCAATGCCATCGCCGCAGGCTTTGACGGTTTCGCACTCAATACACACACCATCAGCAGTAGCGATACATGGAACACAGATGCAATCAACTACCTCCTCAACGCTGCACAGGGGACAAACTTCAAAATGTTTTTATCTTTTGACATGTCCTGGAACCTAGATGTAGCTAGTCTGGGCTCTTTCCTGCTGCAATTTAGTAGTCACTCTCAATATTATACCACAGATGACGGGAGGCCGTGGGTGAGTACATATGACGGCGGCTCGATTGATAGTGCGACATGGGATAGTTCATTTATTCAGCCTCTTGTCACTGGTGGTGTGACACCGTACTTTGTGCCTGATTTCGATGATTGGTCTGGCTTTCCGCAGGGGTTTTTCGATTCGTTTCCTGTTGTGGATGGGGCGTTTAGTTGGGAGAGTGCGTGGCCTAGTGCGGGCAGCACGGCGGCGAATGTTAGTGATTCTGTGGATGAGAGCTTGATTCAGCAGGCTCATGCTGCTGGGAAGGTTTATATGATGCGTAGGCCCCCTTCCATCTTTTGTCGTGTTAGGCGGTTGAGCTAATACAAAGAGAAAAGCACTATCAACATTCCAATTCAAATACCTCGGCTCAGGACAAGACTGGTACCGCATCGGCGAAACAAACTTACCAGAACGCATGGCCCAGATACTAGCCCTACAACCCGACTTCGTCGAAGTAATCACCTGGAACGATGCAGGCGAATCGCATTACGTCGGCAGCTTCTGGCCCGAGCAAATCGCAGGCACGAATGAAGATGATTATGCAAATGGGTTCGATCATACCGGTTGGCAGAAAGTCATCAAGCCTTTTATTACGGCGTTTAAGAATGGTGCGACGGAGGTTTCGTCCATGGTGAGTGAGAGCGGGAATCCGGAGGGAGCGATTTGGTATCGCACCTTACTCACGAGCGCGAGTTGCTCGAGCACAATTACGAATTATCAGCAGGCTCGGGATGCGATTAATTTTGCCGTGATTTTACCGTCGTCTTCTTCTCCGTATACGATCGAGGTGTATAGTAACAATCAACTCATCGGTACATTTTCTGGGGTTGAGGGACTCAATTATGAGTCTGTGCCTGGTCTGCAGGCTGGTGGCGGTCAATATATTCAAGTCTTGGATAGTACGGGGGATATTGTTGCGTCGGCGAATGGGACGAAGAATGTTTTGAGTGAGGGTTCGGATTCGTCGATGTGTAATTGGAATTATGAGGTTGTTGGGTTGCCCTAATCAGACTTCAACATTCATGAATGGAGGATCCACTTCTAGATTACAGAAATCCTGCTCATGCTTGCTTTGGAGCGGCAGTCTAGCAATGGTTGGTGACTGTTGACGAATATTAATAGATACGAATTATGAGTTACAATGAATAAGCAATAATGTTAAATCATTTATTTATGCATAAAGCTAGCACAAACATAGTCAATATCATAGACATAAACGAAACTCGAAGGTTCTAGGGATTGTACAGGTTCGAAGGTGACAAGTTTTTCGATCATATAAGACCGCAGAAAAAGGAAGCTTCTAAACTGAAGTTGTAATGAGTGTTACTTATGAATGCTGGAACACAGCTTTCCAAGAACAGCGTACAAAACAACCATACCTGCCATGTTTAGAAGTGAGAATAGATATTAGACAATAGCGTAACCAATCGCTACTCTAAGCGTAAAAAGATGTTTAAAAAAGAAACGAAGGCAGAGTAACGTTGTATGTAACATTTTGTAGAAGAGAAAATGAAGTCATGACGACTCCAGTTTAAATCAAGGCCAAGATAGCGATGGCACCAGCTAATACGCCGGCCTTACCAACCTTGACAGCTGAGGCGGCACCGGTGTAGAGAGGGCTGCTGGGTTTAGTGGTTGTTGCACCAGGCTTAGAGAAGGGAGAAGGAGTGAAGGTTGGAGCAGCTGATGCTGGTGCTGTAGGACCAGCCGGTGCGGAACTGGTTGATGCTCCAACGGGGTAAGGAGGAACAACAGTGCTCACAGCTTCGGGTGAGATGGAAGTTGGGACTGGAACGACAACAGTGGATTCACCGCCAGGAACTGGAACCACGGAAGTGGTTCCACCAACGGGAACAACCGGGACGATTGTAGTACCAGGAACAACCACCGGAGGGGTTGAGGTGCTCACTGCAGTAACAGTGATAGTGCTTGTTCCGGTCACGGGGATGGTGAAGGTAGACGATCCGCTTGTTGTGGCTGCGTAGGTGACTATCATACAGTTAGAAAGAGATAATGTGGCTCAGGATAACTCTAGCATACCAGGGCAAGTAGTCGTGGTGTAAGTGTAGGTAACGAGAACAGGGGTAGGAGTTGCCGTTGTCGGAGTGACCGAGGTGTGTGGCTGGCAAACATCCTTAGTGCAGGTAACAGTCTGTGTCACGACAATGGAGCTGGTCTCAGTAACTGGCTGGGTGATTGTGCTAGAGCCAGAGGTGAAAGTTGTGGTGTGAACTGTGTCCGTAATCAGCAACGAGCACTATTTAGAAGGCGCAAAAAAAAAAAAATTACCTGGGCAAGTAGTGGTAGTATAAGTTAAGGTCTTGGTAACCACAGATTCAGGAACTGATGTCACACCAGTTGCACCTGCAGAAGATGGTACTGGGATGGGGCTAACAGTAATGGTAGAAGCAGGAACTGTTGGTCCAGCAGGTACGGTAGTTTCACCAGGAACGCTGGTTCCAGGGACAACAGTCGTGGGGGCTACAGAGGTAGGGATAATAGTGGTTGGAACACCAGTTGTGGCTGTGTGCGGCTGGCAAACCTCTTTGGTGCAAGTGACGGTTTGAGTAACGGTAATGCTGCTTGTTCCGGTGGTCACAGAAGTAATGGTGCTTGATCCAGATGTGAAAGTAGTGGTTCCAACTGTACTGCAATTAGCATGTGCTTGTTCAATAGCGGGATCATACATACCTGGGCAGGTGGTTGTGAGGAAGGTAATAGTCTTCGTGGTAACAGACTCGGATGCTGGTCCAGAAGGCGCCACAGTCGTAGGTCCAACCGAGGTTGGAACTGTTACAGATCCGGGGACAGAAACAGTAGTAGATCCAGAGCCAGGAGCGGGCGAGGTCTGAGTGCCAGCGGGTACGGAAACAGTAGTAGATCCAGAACCAGAAGCGGGCGAGGTCTCAGTGCCAGCGGGGACTGTACCGGTGCCAGGAGCGGACGAGGTCTGAGTGCCAGCGGGTACGGAAACAGTAGTAGATCCAGAACCAGAAGCGGGCGAGGTCTCAGTGCCAGCGGGGACTGTACCGGTGCCAGGAGCGGACGAAGGAGCAACGGAAGTAGGGCCGACTGAGGTGGGAGTAGTACCAGGAACAGTAACTGGGCTGGTCTCACCAGGGATGGTGGAAGTAGCAGTGTGTGGATGGCAAACGTCCTTCGTGCAAGTGACAGTCTGGGTGACAGTGATGCTGCTAGTGCCAGTTGTGACCGAAGTGATAGTGCTGGAGCCAGAGGTGATCGTGGCAGTTCCAACAGGGCAAGTCGTGGTCACAAAGGTGATAGTCTTGGTTGTCACAGTTTCGGATGCTGGGCCGGAAGGAGCAACAGTGGTAGGTCCGACTGAGCTAGGGCTTGGTCCGGTTGGGGTCACAGAGCCAGTTACAACAGGGACAGTGGTAGGACCAACGCTGGTAGGACCAACGCTGGTAGGAGTGGGTGTGTGCGGTTGGCAGACCTCTTTGGTGCAGGTCACTGTGGCTGTCACGACAATAGTGCTAGTACCAGTTGTCACAGAAGTAATGGTGCTACTTCCAGAAGTGAAAGTGGTGCTTCCAACTGGGCAGGTAGTTGTCGTATAAGTGATAGTCTTGGTAGTGATACCTTCCGAGGCAGTTGTTGCAGGTGCAGAGCTAATACCAGGAACAGATGAAGATCCACCAGGAACCACTGTCACAGAGCCGGAAGTGCATGGGGTGGTGCTGGGACGCTGAGGGACGCTGCTGGAACCGCTGGAGCCGCCAGGAACGGTGGTAGGAGAAACACCGGTAGCAGTGGAGGAGACACCGGGAAATCCAGAAGTGCTAGAACCACCGGGGAATCCAGGAGTACTTGAGACACCAGGAACTGCAGGAGTGCTAGAACCACCGGGGAATCCAGGAGTGCTTGAGACGTCAGGAACTCCGGGGGTGCTAGAAACACCAGGAATTGCAGGAGTGCTAGAACTAAAGCCCCCAGTAACGACGGTCGTTCCAGTGACAGAAGTGATTGCAACACTAGGAAGAGTTACGCTGGGGGTTGCGGTAGGAGTGTGAGGATGGCAGATATCCTTGGTGCAAGTCACAGTGTCTGTAACGACAATTGTGCTAGTTCCAGTGGTGACTGCAGTGACGGTGGCAGAGCCAGATGTGAATGTAGTCGTGCCGACTGGGCATGTGGTCGTGGTGTATGTACGAGTGACAGTAGAGAAGGTCTCAGTCCAGACAGTCACCGGAGTAGGAGTGTGTGGGTGGCAGACGTCCTTTGTGCATGTAACGGTGTCTGTGACAACAATAGTAGTCGTTCCAGTGGTGACTGCAGTAATGGTGCTAGCGCCGGATGTGAACGTAGTCGTGCCAACTGGGCAGGTTGTGGTGGTATAAGTCGAGGTCTTGGTAGTAACTGGATTGCTTGGAACACCAGGAGCAGAAGAAGCTACTGTTGTTGGACCAGCAGGCTGAGAGACGGATGAAGGAGACCAAGGAAGCGAAGTCACAGGAACCACAGTGTTGCTCTCGCTGGGACCTGATGACTGAGGAGGACCCCAGGGTTGAGAGGATGGTTGCCAACCACCAGTTCCAGGCCATTGAGAGTGAGGTTGAGGAGTCGAAGTAGGCTTGTCATCATCACATGGTGTGGTTTCTGGTTTCCAGTGGCGTTTGTCGACAGCACCGGCAAAGGCAGTGCCCGCGAGGAGCACCAGAAGAGAAGATGCCTTCATTATGATTAAGGGTTTCGAGTTGTGTGCTCTTTCAACTCTTGGTGCGATGAAGGTTCTTCAGAAGGGATTATAACGATTGGCAAACCTTGGGAAAGCGAGTGACCGACAAGGTATCAAGAGCCGCGTAGTTCGAGGGGAAAGTAACGAAAGTCTTCCTCGAAACGCCTACTCAAGAGGTTGAAGATTCCAACCAGGAGATGAGAAACAAGAACAAGATATATGAGCCTGATGAAAACAGAAATGAGAGACAGCGGCACATAAATAAAAGAGTGAATGAATGGATGAGAAGAAAGAGAGTGGGGAGGTAGTAGGCGCATAAACGTAATATAAGGACAGGATCAGGGATGGACGAGAGGATTGCATTGCATCTTGCATTTTGGGCTGCGTGGGGATGTCTTTGGTCATAGCTTTGGTCTTGACTATTGCGAGTCTAGTCATGATTCGAAAAAACAGCGGCTCACCGGCACCGTCTAACGTGTGATTAGTGGCGTGTTTTTAGTACGGAGTTGAACGTACTCCATATGTATCCACATGAAGTTGAGATGGATTCTGATGAGCGAGCAGTTGACTGGATGATCAACGAGAGCAGGCGCTAGTGCCAACATATTTGTTTAATTTTTAGCCGGGTCATGTTGTACGTGATACAACGAATCATCAAATAAGAGCAGGTTTGCTATTCTGTTGCCGACATGGGATGGGAGATGTTTCTGTCGATGAATTCTATGAGTTCTATGAATAGCAGTGCCGCGCATAAAATAGACCACTCAGAGGGCGGTTCCCAGGGGCTTCCAGTAGCGTCTGCCCCGTGGGGCCACGCTTGCCTTTTTGGGAACCGACTGTCACTGCTTCCTTTTTGGGCGAGGAGTAATTAACCGCCTTCCCTCTTGCTCTACTACGATAAGTCTCAATTTATTTTGTTTCGTCCCTGTGGCCCACAGTCACGCTCTCTGCACAGGAATTGGTCCATCTCGAAACAAGTTCTCGGTGCCTTGGGCCACCATCCAGATCACCCCGCTGTCCCTCACGACAACGTGGTTACCATTTGATGGCCAGGTCTCAAAGCCAGCTGCACAGACGAGTCTGCAATCAACTCGGGCGTCATTTAATAGGAATGGCACTGGATGCATGTCTGAGATGACCGGCACGGCTACGTAGGTGTGTTGGGTGACAGCAACAACGTCATTGATGACTTCTAGGAGTCATATCGAGAATATGCCAGATTAGACTGATGAACATGTCTGGAAGAAATACCACGTCACCATCCATACAGTCCTTCATAAATCTAACGAATATCCATCGTCGACTCGCGGTAACACCTGACGAATCGTGCTGACCGAATACTACACAGCAAATACTGCATCTAGTCTAGTTGCAATATACCCATCCATACGTACTGACATGATGCCTGTCCAGGATCATGGCTGTGCACCAACCGAATCAAGCCACCAGGTCAAAATACGGCCACCATCAAAGTCGCTTGTGTTTCAGGAACCGGATGCTGCGATGTGGCCTTGGGAACGGTGAGCTTGGCCTTGAAACATTATCGCCACAGAATGGGAAATCATAAACACAAGGCTTGGAGCAGACTGGATGAAACTTGACGCCCAGTGAGCGCCAAATGCTGCAGAATACTTCGTACTGATCTCTGCTTTGCTATTTTTGACTGCAGGCAGAGTCAGCGGCTACCAGTGGAAGCCTGAAACAAGGGGTTGAAACAGAGTTGGCCAATTGTCGATCAGCAAGTAAATTAACTGTCTGATTGGTGGTTTGGCTTACTCCGGCGGGCCGAGATTACCTTATTTTCAGCCACGTTGCGTATTGTAATGTCCAATCACATTGTGGCAAGACTATTGACAATAACAACTTGTCCAGAATCAAAGAAATAGTTCTGTTCTGCCCGTACTATAAAGAGCTATTAAAAATAGTTCGGTCTATCGATTCCTTTGATAACTTGAAAGCTAGTTGCTAGTAGTATGTACTATGTTATGTTATCATTGTTATCATATTATGGATCCATCCATTCAGCCACCAGCCACATTCTTCCAATACCGAAATATCCCGTAACGAGGGGATTACGGACTATGATTGAGTTTTTCAACGGTCCGCACGCGTAACGGACGGAGTACGTAACGTCGTACAACGTATTATCGAATATCGAGGACAGGTAGGAAAAGTGGCTGAGACATCCTGACGCAGCTAATGGACGACCCTTGTTCTTCGAGTAATTCTCTTTATCACACAACTATTCAGATTGAGGTACTATGGTACGTACAAACCTTTGTCTTTGCTGTCTTTATTCTCATTGACTCTTTGGGGGAACAATGAATGGGAATTATCCAAAGCCATGAGCGTGGGCTGATCAGTGATAGGGGGAGCTATCCGAAGAATCTAGAACAGAATACACCGCAGGAAAAATAATATCTATATTATTATAACTTATTCGGGAAGCGCACGGAATCAACAGCTCCACTAAATGTCTCTGAATTTTCATTTTTTTTTTTCTGTTGTTATGGGGAGAAGTTCTGGGTTATGATAGGGAGATGGGAACTACAAATCCATCTGCCTATGTTATCTGCACGGAGTTTCGGTTGGACCCGGATAGGAGATATTTCAATGTTCCAATGGCCTGTCAATTTAAGAGCCAACAATGAATAGGACTCGAAGTCAAAACAATGCATGTAAGCAATTTTCTTTTGAAAGTACGTCAATGACTCTTCAATTCTCGAATTCTGATTCTATCAGAGTCCAGAAGTACAACAGATTCCATCACATTTTGGACTTAATCTACGTATGCACGGACCGAATGATTGTCTCACTCTGGCTGCGTAAGATGAATGTCATTGATTTGATCAATCACAAAGTTGGACGAAAATGATCCATATTTTACAAGTTTCTGAAAGCACATGCATAAATAATCGAAACCCGTCGAATCGATCGATCGATCAATCAATCAATTGAAAAATGGGATAAAAATCAAGAATGTGTATCCGGTACAATGCGGAAATTACAATGTTCCATAATCCATGGATGGCAGCGCCGATGACATGGGTTGCCATGTCTAGAACCAGTCTTTAGGCAACGTGGGGTTTTCTCTTTGATCGGAGAATCTTTTGGGGTGCGTTCCATGGATCGGTGTGGTGCGTAGACATCATAGGCTTCGTGATCTGACTTAAGTACTTGATTTTTCAGGACAAGTAGACAGACCGGACTGTCGTTACTGTATGAGTGAAGTCAAGGTGGACAGTAACATCATCGACTACGCACGTAGCTTGTCGTATGTTGTCCGTTGAATCAACATGGACCTCTCCTTTGGAGATCACTTAACACGAAGATCTTTTATTTTCTTGCATTGACCTGCAGGTGTATCGACCAATGCCGTCTAGCCAAGTCATTGGATTTGCAGAGGTGGATTTTAACTTCTAATACTTCCAGACAACATTACTGAGAAAGTAATGTCATGACTATCATCATATATCCAGAAAATGGACTTGTTGAGATAATAATATATTCAAATTTTGAAGCTCATTGTACTGTTTCTCCCTAACGAGATAAGTCCAAGGTCATTTGCGTGCATATTTGGCCCAAGAGGAAGCCTATCTCGTTCAACAACAACCGTTCGCTATATAGATGTACTATCCTACAGTATCAGCTTGTGCGACAGTAAACCTCCATGAGCTTAGTTATACATATGACTCTCTAGGTGCGTGGGTACAGGTGTGCTGATTGTGTCCTGTTCCCAGCCAAAAGAATACTTGCTTCGGTTTATGTTTGGACCATCGGTGTCTCAACGAGCTATGTTGTCAGCACGAAACGCTTTATATCCAGCTGAACAACCCTCGAAAGGCTCGGATGCCCTGCATACGAGTGTCGCACAACCATAGTCGCTTCCGTTTGCCCCCGGACTGGTGCTCGGCGTGATAAACTTCTCAATTGGGGGGTGTTCGATCAAGACTAATGTGACACAGCATTCTTTCGATGTTCATCCATGAGCTCACTGTTATGCATCTTTACCAAAATATCTCCTTTGACAGCTCTCTATACAGAGGAATCAAACTAAAATCAGGCGATCCACGTCGCACGACAGAGTACGGGCGTTCATGATCCCTGCGAAAGCTCCTTGATTCCGCATACTTGCTATTCTCCAGGCTCGGGGAGAACCAAGGAATGGGCTCTTGGAAGCGCCAGAAGACTGTGTGCTGCTATCTTTCCGTTACAATTCCCCATTCCCCCGAAGACCAACAAGCTATCAAGAACTTCTGTTCAGCTGTTTGTTTAATGATATTCAGGTATAAGCATCTCGAATCCAGACTCAGTTTACTCCGACAGATTCGTTGCCAAAGACCCGAGAATCGGATGGGCGCATATGGCTTGGTAATATCAAACAACGAAAAGTAATTCTAAGGTCACCACATCGAAGCAGTACCTTGGATGAGTATGCATTTGGGTTGAAGGTTGTAGGAACAAATTAAAAGTTTCTCTTCGTCTGTCTCTCGGATTCGATGTGTAGACGTCCGAGACTCTTGTCCATGTATCAATGAATCCAGCTGCCTTCCGGCGCCACACTCGCTACTGGGTTCTCGTAGAGGCTGGAATTTCTTGAGCACTCTGGAGCAGACTTCGAGTCAAGCCGTCCACATATTCGGAATCAGCCACCGATACTCACCACGGAGGAGAAAAAGATTGGCTTTGCAATAGTAGAACTGGAATGAGTTATTTTGATGTGACATCCAGGGCTTGAGGACTATTCCTTTCGTCGAATGCGTGGAATTTGCCGTTCTTGAAGAGCTAAGAGACAAATATGAAAGTCCCTTCTTATAGCTGAGTTCTATCGTACACTCGATTATGTGATTATATGGTAAATACAGAACTTCAAAATTTTTTAAAATACCAATCGACAGAACGCCAATAGCACATGTAGGGCCATCCGCCTTCATAGATATTGTGAAAATACTAATGGTCTACTTCTTATCTGTGGTCCATGGAGGTAGCAGTTGGTAGAACAGGCCATGCCCAAGGGTTGCGCAGAAAACTCCGACCTATGCGGCGATACACATGGTTAGTACACAGGAGTCAGTGCAATCCACCATGTGCGGAAGCTATTTCGAGCTGCTTTCGAAGTCGGAGGAACTTACCCAGTGTATCCAGTGATATCCAGGAAACCCACTACCAACGTACACACCAAAACAACGAGCCGGGTTCATGCCTAAAACTGGTCAATATCAAGTTCCACCAGGCCAGAAGAGATCATGAATAAAAGCAATTAGGGATAAAAGAAGTAACTCACTAGCACCAGCGTATCCCGGTTTCTCATACGAAGAACTCCAGCTCAACAACCCAAGCGTCAAGCCTACAAGCCATGGTGCCAACGCTGGTCCAAAAATACGCTCCTGTCGCGGATTCAGCGCAACACCAAAGGCAATGAAAACCAAAGTAAGGGTGCACATAAACTCCAACAACAGCGCCTGTCGGACCTCAACCAAGTTTGTTTCTATAAAACAGCCGCCCACTACAAAGTTAGACGATCCAAAGAGGTTATGGAGCACTAAGCCTGCCAGAGCACCGCCGCCTGTTTGTCCCATCAGATACAAGGTCATACGCGGAAGAGAGATGAGACGGGCGAAGAATGTTGCTAGAGTAATAGTGGGATTGATGTGACCACCACTGATGGGCGCGAAGCTGTAGATGAATAAGGTGAGGAAAAGCCAGTTTGTGATTCCGCCGATGAGAGGTCCAAGAAAGGTCGAGGTTCCAAAGACGCCGGCTGCAGTTGGCTCTGTTGATGACGATGTTGACGAGGCTGGCCTGGGTCGGATGGCAATCCAGCCGGTGATGAAGATTAACAAAAACGAGGCTATAGTGTCATTGAAGATCCACAGACTTAATATCAAATTGATGACCAAAAGAATTATAGAAATTTGGCATCCACCCACCTACACCCTCTACGATAGCGAACTTCCACAAATTCCAGTCAAGAAAACCTCTCAAATCCAAAGCTTCCGATACTCTCATGAACGGTGCCGCGTCCGGCACGGCCTTGAGATACTCGGTATTCTTGGGGTCATTGCGGTCCAGCACCAACGCCTGATTACCACCAATACGACCGGCAAAGGGCTGCACAGCGGGGTGCACGCCCGTCAGTGGTGTCGACCAACTGCGAAACCGAAGAAATTTGGTCTCGCCCTTTTCATGGTCTGGCGGTAGAGTGTGCAGCTCCATTTTTTGCTGTCTGTCTCGACCGGCAACAAAAAGAGGAAGACCGAGCTAAAGAGAAGCTTGCCGGGATCGTGGACAGAATTGGCAGGGTTTCACTGCGGAGCAATACAAAAATTGATCATTCAAACGCCTTAATTTGTGCTTCCTATAGAGAACTTCAGTGGTGAATTTGAAGGAAGATGAATTTGGCTTTCGACATGGCCAAAATCATAAATGGCAACAATACACTAGTCCATATGCGGTAGGTCGCCCCTTTACTAAGCAGCGTAAGCAGCTGACAAAGCCTTAGTTATAAACCCTAACCCTACACCCTCAACATTGGATGATTGGAATGCAGCAGGGGTTAGTTACTGCTCATCCTTTCCTCGTACTTCACAGCTGTTTTATTCCTAGGTATATATTCCCGCATTCTAATTTCTGTTTATGAGTCCTCAAGGAATAACAGAGTGTTAAGGGGCTGCATAAAGCAAATCGAGCAGAATCAGATAGAGGGGTGACAGTGTCATCCAAATCATTCATTTCTTTCAGGGTATCAGTCTCAGTTAATCATTTATAAAACTCATCACCAAGGTCAATTGGACAGAATCTTTTGACAAGGTTCATGGATTGAAATAAAAGTGGTAAGCATAAGCATGTAATAAAGCTCAAGAGCAAAGACATTTCCCTCTGTGTCCACGAATTTGGCGAGCAAACCCAGTCCTTTTCCAACAGTTTGCTTGTCTCTATATATGAGTGTCAATTAGTCAAGCTGTCCAGGAAGGTAGTGTCGAAAACTAGATCAGAAGCAATGAAGTGTAAACATACTGAAGTATTTTCCCACCACAATCCACAATCTTCTCCATTGTTTCATCCGTGTCCTGAACCATGAATGTAACAGTAACCGCCCGTAGTGGTTTCGCTGTTGCAGTGTTCTATTCCTGTCATTACAATCCCTCGGAGAACATGTAAGCTCTTCACTCATATTGAAAAATCGATCTTCGGAAACCACTGAAAAACTGCCGTGGAAATGGCCCTTGCCGAAGAAATAAATTCTCTCAACTCCTTCGATGCATTGATCGTAGCCGTTTTCCTGGATATTGAATTGGAATACATCCCGGTAGAAGCGCATTGCACGTTTGATATTTGTTACTGGGATGTCCATCCAGCATGGTTCTCCGTACTGTGTATTTATTTGTTAGTCGTTGCGATGAGTTAACTAACTGATCTTGGGGATAGCAAGCTCAGTGTGTAGAAGTTATTTTGATATTTAGAGGATGCTAGGACACAAGAGCACGTCACAAACTCTAGGGAGGATCTTTCATACACGACTCATCTTATAGCACAATGATTGCTGGGGCTATGTTCTTGTTGATGAATGCGGTAACAGGCTCAAGTAATGAGATAAGACGCTCGTCGGATCAAGGCGTATATCCACAAATTCTAAAAAAAATCGGTTGCTTCTAGTAACTCGGCTTGATCCTTGGAGTTGTGGTTATGTAGCGATCTCGTATATCAGAAATGCAATGCTTTCGATGAGCTTGAAATCTGGAAGAAGGATTAGAATTCAGTAGCTTAAGTACATTCTTAAATTGAAGCAATTGATCTCAGCGTTCGATATGATCAAATGATCATCAGTTTAATCGGCAAATAAACATGTCCTATCATTGAAGCAATACGATTCAAGTGATTCCCATTGATAAGACAAGCTGTTTCAGTTGACTAGTAGGCCGAAGATTATGCCCATATGGGGAAATATAGCTATAACATGACTCGGTCAGCATGATTGTTTGCCACTGAGATTGGCTTTTATGCGTCTACCTAGGTAGTAGGTAGATCGTAGTATTAAAAATCCAATCACTTTGAGCTCATCCGTATACGACTAAGGATGAATGTAATCTCAATTTAGAACTCGAGAGTCCAATCTATATTCAACAGCATGCTAAGTGGCGATCCGGCACAGATTATCTAGGGCTAATGCTTCCGGTGGATAAGTATCTTTGATGCGCTAGTATAATGCATGTTGACTGCACAAAGAGTCAGATATCTCTTTCATAATAGCCACGAGCGATTGAAATGCTGGGGTAAATTACTAAATATAGACTACTATGTGGCAATTCTATATGAATTCTGCGTAACTGAGTACAATATTCGGACTGCGGTTGAGATGAATCTATTGAGATGTATTCAACGATCAATTAGTTTCACGAGTCAATTATAAGAATTCTATAAATAGGCCTGATGGGTATAAGAACAAGTGTGACTTCAGAACAAAGGACTGCTTAGGAAGAACACCATCGCCTAGTGCCAGCAATCAGCCTTGTCGCACCTTTGAACACGAGTTCGATAGGGATTCTTTGAGATCTTCTCAAGTCTCAAGGCACCTGTCGAGGTCTCCTTCCTATTTCGATTCCGGATGCTGTATGCTATCATCGTCTGCTTTCACACATGGATGGCTACTTTATTCAAAGAATCCGTTTAACGCCGCACCGTTGCACTGATGGGATTCTAAGTCATCCGGTATCCAGTTATCGGATGGCAGTATCACAAATCAATCTGCGTCTTCGGTATTGGATAAGTCACGGACACCCTTCTTGGACGAAACGGCCTATTAGGGGAGAAGGGAAAAAGTGTCTTTATAAACACTAGCCATACAACTTTATGAATAACGTGGTCCTTAATCCAGAAAAACAAGGTATATTTATATCTATACTAAATAGTTTATGATTTGAAAATGAACACCTTGAGTCCTCAGGTCTGTCCCGAAATGTAGTATCAACTAACAATCTCTACTGTCAACACGCCCCTCCCTCTCAATCCTTCCCTTATCCAAAACAACATAATAATCCGCATCATTAATAGCCTCCAACCGATGCGCAATCGTAATCACAGTACTCTCCTTCATCTCCTCACGAATGATCTTCTGTATCTCCAGCGAAGTCTCATGATCAATGGATGCCGTTGCTTCATCAAGGATCACAATGGGACTACGTCTCAGCGCCGCTCGCGTTAGGCCTATAAGTTGGCGTTGTCCCTGGCTTAGATTCCGGCCTCCGGCTTCAATCTGGAAGTCCAGTGTCCAGCCATGTCGCGCACAAATCCGTTCTAGGGCGTCGGCGCATTCCTGGTCTGAGAAGTCGTCTGTTGGGTCAAGATTCTTCCGGATACTACCGGGAAATAAAATCGGGTCTTGAGCGACGAATGTGATGCGTGTGCGGAGTGCTTGTTTGTTGACTTTGCTGATGTCGATGTTGTCGATGAGGATTTGACCTTGGTCTGGCTGTAGGACGCCGAGGAGGCTGAGAGCTAGGGTTGATTTACCGCTGCCTGTACGGCCGATGACTGCTGCTGTGGAACCGCCGGGAATTACGGTCGAGATATTTAATAGGGATGGGTCGAGGTGAGGTGCGTAGCGGATTGTGACGTTCTCAAAGATGATGTCGCTGCCGAAGCGAGGCCAGTAAGCTGGTGGATCGATATCTCCTTCCGGTTCGACGTCGACGTGACGGAGCTCATCAACACGTTCTACCGAGACAAAGTCCATTTGGAGTTGTCCGTATTGTCGGCAAAGCCCATGAGTGGAAGTAACAAAATTGTTGGCTGCGACAAGGACGAATGCAACCAGACCTGCTGATACATTTGTGTACAGCGCCAAAGCAGTCAACACGAAGGTGGAAATACTTGACAGGGCCTCGAACCGGTACATGAGCCAACTCTGGAGCGACCAGTAGAAATGATCCATTCCTTGGAATTTATCAACAACTTGTATGACGCGGTCTTGGAATCGTACTTCGGCATGGAAAGCGCGCACGGTGGTCAATCCATGCAGTAACTCGCCAAAATTAGAAAGTAGTGGACTCAACGACACCATTTCCAATCTTCGCAGACTTTGCGAAAGAGGCAGAAACCATAAGAATATGACGACGAAACTGGCGGTCAAGACAACAGCAAATAGAAGAAAGGTAGGGGTCACGGATGCAATCACGACAATAGAAGAGATCCAAACGATTACTTGAAAGGCGATTCCTTGAAATTGAATGCTGATATTGCGGTCGACGGCACCGATATCAGATGTTAGTCGATTCATCAATCGGCCAACTGGGGTAACGTCAAAGAATCGAAACGTGGCGTGACTGACGCGTTGCATAACCTCTTTAAACATGGTTCTTCCAGCGCAGAAGACAATAGCTAGCATGAGTAATTGTGCTATAAGCATGAAAAGAGATTGAACAGCCGCGAATCCGAGATATATCCGCAACCAGGGGCGAACATCATCGGCTGGAGATGGGATGTGGTTACGGTCCAGCGGCCACCTGCGCATACTGGCATTATCATGACTAGTAATAGTCGGTGCATGGCTTATCACCCATTGTTCACTCGCTCTCGTCCTCAATTCAGTATAACCGAGCACGACCAAGAATTGACTATACGCTTCACCCCATTCTTTAAGGAACCACGACTGCAAAATAGCCACAGTGCGATACAGCGCGATGACGATGACAAGGAGGGCCCACCACTTGAGTTTACCAGCCTTGATATACGCCCAGTACACGCGGGTTTGTACGCCCCAATCTGCTCTGTGTTCCTCTTCGATAAATTTATCGGGAACAGCAGCTGAGATGTCATCCTCAGTCTGCTCACTTTCCACGTGTTGGGTATCATCTTCATAGGCATCACGCACGGATGAAATGTCCTGTTTTCCAACACAGCGAACTTTACCTCCAGCGACCTCCAGGATCTGATCAGCCTGAGATTGTACCAATGATACACGGTGTGTAACAAGTACAACTGTACGATCTTGCATCAACGGTCCAAGGAGGCATTTGCGTACGATGAATTCTGCAGTATTATGATCGAGGGCAGACAATGGATCGTCAAGAAACAAGATCCTAGCTGTGCTGTACACTCCTCTAGCTAGAGCCACTCGTGCTTTTTGGCCGCCTGACAATCCAATTCCATTCTCCCCCACAAATGACAAGTCACCATGGGCAAAGTTGGCTAGATCAGGGACTAAGGCGCATGCCTCCAGCACACGCTTATATCTTTGTTCGTTATATGGTGATGAAAACAGAATATTATCGCGAATACTCATGCTTTGCAACCATGGTGTCTGGGCACAGTATCCCACCATTTCGTTCGGTAGATGAGAAACGCCTTTTAATTCATCGAGTTCGCCGAGTAGAGCTTGTAATAGAGCAGACTTCCCAGCCCCAACCACACCACAAACAACAGTCAAACCCTGAGGGATGGTGAGATTGATATCTGATAATACTGGAGTATGCTTTCCGGGCCAGGCAAACGAACAAGACTCCAACTTTATCGGTGATAAATTTGACGACGTCTCTCCAGCTCTGGTCTCCTTGTTGGGCTCTTGCATGAAGTCTTCGATTCTGCCCATCGCAATAGACGCATTGATGAATGTAGTGACCAGCGGCGGAATTTCTCGTAACCGCTGTTCCAACATAGTAAAAAGCTGAAGCGCCGGGAAAATGACATCGATGCTCAACGGATGGCCTGCAAGAATTGTGTATCCGTACAGAGCGACTACTGGAAATACACCGCTAGTGAAGACTTGGACAACGTTGATCGCAACCTCCAAGAGATTTGTAATAATCTGAACATTAAGCTCTTTCTGACGAGCTTCCATAACCTGACGAAGCCAATGGTCCTGCCACCCGTACCATCGAAGATGACGGAGGGCTTCCACAAACTGTGAGGAGATTTGTAGTCGAGCGTCGGTTACTGCTCTGCGAGTTCGACCCCATTGCAGGAGGTAGCGGGTTACGAAACCGTTGATCACTTGAGCAAAGACAACGGTCAGCACACCCAAAAAGCATGAAGGACCAAACAAATCCCAGACAAGCACGACGGCAATCAAGAGACCCACAGGCTTGTCTAGTATTTCACTGATGTCCCAGAACCGCTGTGCTACTTCGTATACGTCTCCGCGAAGTAGGTTGAAGATTTTACCCATGGACGCTGTTTCTTTGGTGGCTTCTTCCTTCTGATCTTTGCTCTTCCACGGAATCAGACCGCATAGGTTTCTGTTCTTTTTGCTTTGTTCGTCGCTGCCATTCATGTGACCATTATGCATGGTGCCGTTTGGCCCTTCCTTGGTGGACACTTTCTGGCCGAATGTATTCTTCCGCGATAACGCTTTCTCATAGACCATCATTACCATTTCTCCTCTACTCCGCTCATAACATCTGCGACCATACCAGAGATTGAGAACTTGCGTCTGCGCAAAGAGCAGCCGCATAATAAGCATGATAGCCGCGTAGATCATGGCTACCCTCTTGTCACTTATTTCGTCGGACAGAACTTTCAGAAGTTGTTGTAAGAGAAGTGGTGTTGAGAAATCTGTAAGCATTAGCATTCCTGTCTCTGTCTCTGTGATATGGATACTCACTGCAAGCCATCTGTACAAGAGAGATGCTGCAAATGATGACTATATCAATTCCATTAGCTCGTAGTAAGCGCCTCAAAACGGATCCGCGAAGCTGCCGAAACTTTTCATGTAGTCTTCTATGCTGGAATTCAAATCCCAGAAGCCAAACATCGTCTTCGTTTATCCTCCGTTTCCGTCCAACAGAGATTAGAGGTGACATCCATGAGACGGTAAGAAAGTGCCACAGACACAAGTCGTCCTCGGGACTTCGTAGGTTGTCGGATGGTGTCTCTCCAACTTTGCTGATACCTTCTTTAGGCAAAGAAGGATCCCGAGCTGGCATCGATAAGATGATGATGATTGATACTGCTGCGGCTGCAATGACTGCATCATGCGCAATTTGCCCTACCACGTGTGCCATATTACCAGCACTAAAGACGGGGTATTGGACCAGTAAAGCTAAGGCATAAAACACTAGTAACGCCGTTGGGGCTGTTCGTGGTCTTTTGATAGCTAGTACTGTAGAGACGAGACCCTGTACTGTAGTCAGTCATCCAAGGTTCATAGTATACTGAACAAAAGATATCACATACCCATGCTACTGTAAGCATGATATATCCAAAGCAAGGTAACATCACAATTTGCACAATCTCAGCTCCGAAACAAATTACGGCAAGTAGGAAGAGAGCCCAAGCTTTACGCAAGGGCTGGCGGCACGCTGTCAAGAAGGTCTCATCTGTCACATCTGTCTCTTCGTAGACAAATGGATGGGTCCATTTTGGACGCCATCTGTACAGATATTTACTGCTGAGCAGGTATTTGATCGCAATGAGCACGATTAAAAGTGTCGGGATAGATGCAACGTATGGCAGAACACATGGAGAAAAGGATGCCTCGGCGGAGTTCTATAAAGAATCAGCAGCTATCTTAACTGTTGGAGTTTCGTCACTCACCCATAAGGGATAGCAACTCAATTGTTGATCATCTTTCCGCATGATGACTCCCAAGCCGACGTGGAGAGTTGTGAAGACACTACTCGAATAGTAAAAAGACACTCGCGAGCTAATAACTACATAAATCTGGCTGGTTAAGTAATATTTTTGAGAGAAAGAAAAAAGTCATCAACATGAGGATATTGAAGAATATTTATAGAGAGTCAACAGACCGACAAATGGCAGGAACCTTTAATGCCAAGCGTCCCCAGGCCTCTGGCGTTGAAAAAGTTATACACTAAGCCAAATATGGATGTGCAAAAAATAAGCAAGACACGCTAAATTTTATAGCCTCAGAAGTGGGACCCGACATCATTTTCATTTTTGTCATTCGCCAACTACAACCTCAACATCCTGATTATCCTCAAATGAACTTGATGGTGGCAATAGTTGTAGTTCAATAGATTGATCAACCTTGTGACATACTGAGGAACCGCGGAACAAAGATGTATATTGTGCGGATATATGTTTCAACAGCTTAGATGATCAGATAGCGGCCCCTCGTGTTCCCTCGTATTCCTTGCTCAATTTATCCATACATTTACTGCCTCATACTATATCTTCGGAGTCTTGCCCCTCTCTTTCTTTCTTTCTTCTCATTCTTAACATTTGGAACTTATATAACGCATCAAAATGGCAACTGTCAATACCGTCCCTCACCGCCTGAGGAATAAACCCACCTGAGGAATAAATTTACCCCAAAACGCGAAAAATCGCGAATATTTCACACCGCGATATATCAACCAATATGGCTTCAATGGAGCTCGCACTTGCAGCATTACGTTCAGCGGATCCTGGAGAAAAGCCTAATATTAGTTTGGTTGCAAGAACATACGGCGTTAGCCAATCGGGCCTTTATAAACGTTTTCACGGCGTTACAGGCTCAAAAGAAGAGCAATACGACAAGCAACGAATACTCACCACCACGCAATCAAGAGCGCTTATAAAATGGATAAATCAACTCACCGAGCGAGGCCTGCCCCCTACAAATTCAATGTTAGCGAACTTTGCAAGAGAAATATCTGGTAAAGAGCCTGGGAAAAACTGGGCTTCACGCTGGCTCAAGGCTCATTCGGATAAGGTGATTTCTCGCTATTCAACGGGCCTTGATTCGGATAGAAAAAAGGCAGATTCGGCATATAAATATGCTTTATATTTTGAGCTTATTGGACGGAAAATACAGCAATATAACCTCGGCCCAGAGCAAATCTATAATATGGATGAGAAGGGCTTCATGCTTGGAGTAAGCACAAAACGGAAAAGAATCTTTACTCGGCGCAAATATGAGCAAGGGGGCTATAAGCAGCATCTTCAGGATGGAAATCGAGAATGGATTACAACAATTGGTTGTATCTGTGCCAATGGAACTGCTTTAGCGCCTAGTCTTATTTATATGGCAAAATCGGGCTTTATACAGGATTCTTGGCTTCAAGATTACGATCCCCAAACACAGAGATGCTTCTTTGCAGCCTCAGAGTCAGGGTGGACTAATAATGATATCGGATATCGCTGGTTGGTGGATGTTTTTGATAAAGAGACAAAATCTCAAGCAAGCCGGGGATGGCGCCTTCTTATCCTCGATGGGCATGGATCCCACGTTACAATGAAGTTTATTGAATACTGCGACTCGAATCGAATTCTATTAGCAATCTTTCCGGCTCATGCAACACATACTTTACAGCCTCTTGATGTCGCTCTTTTCTCGCCTCTTTCTAACGCTTATACGAAGCAATTGGATGATTTTATAAGGGATAGCCAAGGCTTCACCCGGCTCACTAAACGTGACTTTTTTCGCCTTTTTTGGGCTAGCTGGAATGAGGTTTTTATAAGCAAGAATATCAATTCAGCATTCAGAACGACTGGTCTATATCCCTTTGATCCGGAGATTGTTATCAACAAATTCAACAAGAAAATCACCAGCCGGCCATCCTCAAGCGAATCCGGAGCTTCAATTATTCCTCCAGAAGATTGGAGACGGCTTGAGAAGCTTGTTAAAACTGTTGTTAATAATATTTATGATGAAAAGGCTGTACAGCTTCGAGAAACGGTGTCACATCTTTCTACTCAGCTTATCTTGCTTCAAAATGAGAATCAAGGCCTGAAAAGAGCTCTCATAAATGCAAAGAAGCCTAAAAACAAGAAACAGCCTTTATTACTAGGTTTACCATCAGAACAAGATGGTGGAGCGCTTTTTATGAGCCCTACTAAGGTTCAGCAAGCTCGTGATATTATTTCTCAAAAAAATGACGAAGCCGCGCAGAAGCAGGTTCATAAAGATGATAAAAAGCTTCAACAACAGCTTAAAAAGCAAGCTAGAGAGGCTGAAAAGGTTAAAAGAGCTCAAATCCGACAAGAAAAACGCGAGCAGCGTGAGCAAGAGGCTGCGGAAAAGCAACGGCTTAAGGACGAGCAAGAATTGGCTAAGCTAGCTGATTTACAGCTTTAAAATGATGTTATATCAACTTCAAAGGCTTCAAAAAGGCCTACAAAGCAAATTTCTAGGCAAGCAAAGCCAAGAGTGCAACCTGAGGCTCATGTGGAGGATAATGAGGTGGTTGTTACTACAAACCGTAGGGGCCGCGCGATACGGCCCCCTGCACGTTTTCGCGATTAACTTTTATGCTTTTTAGATTCGCCATAGCTTATTTAGTGCTACACCAGAAATTCACTATATTTAATTATTATGTGGTGTTGTAAAGCTTCAAAATATTCTGTACAGTAAGCCGTTGAAATTATTCCTCAGGTAGGGTTATTCCTCAGGCGGTGAGGGACGGTACTAAAGAAGTTTCCGAAATCACCGGGGGGTGTTTATGTGGAAGTATCCAATACACAATCCACTTCGACACCGACCATCCCTGGCCACCAAAAGTAAGGACTTCCTCCTTCGCCCAGGCTGATCAAATAAAGTCCTGTCAGTGTTAGCTAACAGTCAAACAGTCATCATCCTGCCAATGTACCATGTGCCGAAAATGGACAGCAAGTCTATATCCCCAATTTCTCACTCTGGACTCAAAACAACTCAGTCCGGAGCTCTCTACATATTCCACATACAAGGAATATCATTCGTCAGAGAACTGCCTACGCGGGTTTTGTGTTCAGTGTGGGAGCTCATTGTTGTGGAGGACGGAGTCCAAGTTGGATGAGATTGATTTGTTTCTTGGGACGATTGATGAGAAGTGGCTTGTTGGTACGGAGCAAGCCGATGGCGAATCAATGGGGAAAACTCTGGGAACGCCCATGAATGGACAGTATTACTACGAGAATACCATCAAAGGTGTAACGGATTTTGTGCAAGGCGGGAAAAGATATCTTACGCATCCATCCAAATGCGAAGGTTTCTAACTTCCAAGTACGTATATTATCGCGTATAGGATTTATGATCAGCAGATCGCTAACCTACTTGCCAGGGCTTCCAAACACGCAAATGAAGTTCTTCGCCGTACCATCCGTCAAAGCATTCTTCACCATATTCCACACATTCAAATCATATGCCTCTCCAATATGTCCCACGGGATCCAGGGGACAATAATCCTGGACATATTCATTCCTAACTCCAGCCTCATTAACAGGTGAAGTCGAGGTCGGCGTAACGAGTTCATCATTTCGAGAAATAATAACAGTCAGCTGGTTTCCCGGTTGAACAATGGGTGTACCATCATTCAATTGCTCAATCGCCGCGCCACCATCGACCAAATCATTACACGCGTCACATCCAAATGTATGAAGCACATCTTGCACAAGATTATCAATACCCAAATCCTGCGCCAAAGTGATCAAGTTCGCGAAATTTGTGCCGCGCGTAGGAGGCGCGATGCTAACGATCCGTTGCACAAGTGCCGAAATGCCGGCCTCGAATTTCGGCACATACAAAGACTGAAAAGCACCCTCAGAGTGTCCCACAAGATCTATCTTGCTCTTGCCGGTATTCGTAGCGACATCTTTTATGAAATCTGCGATTTCGGCGGCGCTTTCATTAATGGGTAGGAATCCGCCGACGAGTGGGAAAGCAGGGTATGCGCCGTAGGTGGCGCGGTAAACGCAAAATCCCTGGGATTTGAGCCAGTCGCCAAGGAAGTTGATGTCTTCATAGTAGGTTGCGCCGAGACCGTGGAGGGTTATGACAGGATTGTGGCTGGAAGTGCAGGAGTAGTCGTTTCCAGGGTCCGGGGTGAGGATTGCTGAGACGAGGGTCGTTGCGGCGAGGAGGGAGAGGACAGAAAAGAATAACATGGTGGGCGATTATATACTAGGTTTGTATATATACAGAGGAAAGTATTCCGGTTCAAAGAATGCAGCAGTGAATGAAACAAATGTAAACAATGAGCGCAACGACAGAACAATGGGGTATATAACAGAAAGACACCCTCCAAAACTGGAAAACCTGAGTAAGCAAGAAATTATCACGAGGATGACAGATACCAAACACCAGGAGGGAAAAGAAAAGAAAGGAATGTCATTCATAAACAAAAAAGGACAACCGAGAAGAAAAAAAGATTCATCACATCTTGTCCAACCCTAGATTAACCGTCACGAGCTTTGCTAGTATTTAGTGGAGAGTTCGGCTTGTTAGGCTTGACTAGCCTCCCAATAGTTCGGGACGGATCGCCTTTTTTCAGCCATCCATCGAGATTTTGATATTCATTGTTTTGCTGAAGAGGTTGATGTTTAGGGTCTGAGCACTTTTAGTTCTAGCTGACAGTCTGATTATTGAGTTAGATCATAAATAGATTGACTCAGTCAATTGGGTGTTTGACTCGTGAATGGAATGCTAACGATGATCTCAGAAATCGAGACAGGCCCAGTGCGGAAGCGGATACCAACTCAAACTCAAAAGCTTTGACGAAGATATGGGATCCATCAAGATCCAATTCTTTCGTGCTCAACAAGTCAAAATAGCGGATTCCTTCCCGGGCTGAGGCAGTTAATCATTGTCGAATTGCCTAATTCTCTTTGTGCAACATGCCGGAGTCTATCTCAGTGTCACAGTCCCATACAATTTACATCTTCCTACGAGTCGACAGAGCTGGCTACAAGTCTAGGCCTGGCTAGCCAGTCCAATGGGCCAGGACGGAGGTGACACGATTGTTTCTGTACTGCCATTATCAAAACATATCCGAGGTAGAGACTCTTGCGCCATGCCACGAAAATCACGCCAAACAGATACTCACGGATTCGAGCCCTCACGCTGTAGATACATTCGAACTATTTCAAGCACCAGTATGAGGGTCTAACTGTGCAAGACATAAGGTTATTATCATATCATATCCCTCTCGTCATTATCATTATCAAACGCTGGCAAACAGCCATAAGCCGTACTAGAATCAAGGAGGAGACCCAGCACGGGCACTCAACTCTGGCATAAAACTTCCCCATAAACGCAAAGAATGACGCTTCTCAACAAGATTAAACACTTGGGCCATGAATTCACGCTCGGGGCCATCCGGTGGAAAGGCCTCCCATGCAACTCGCGTTGCGAAAGCAAGTCGATTGATCATGTTTCCGGGGGCACGACGGAGGTAATCTTCAAGACTTCGTGCGATATTGCAGGCAAATTGATACTTCTCTGGCATACTGACGGCGCCTTCGGGGCGGTCGTCAATAGTAGAGAGTATCAGTCTAGTCGCATAATAGAAACACATTGTCTGTAGTAATCGTAAATCCGGGTAGACAAGTGATGGTGGCTCGATTATCTTCATTGTTCGCAGATCACGACATCGGAATACCGGAAAAGGGTCAGCAGGGTTCTGGGATATTGTCATTTCCTTCACACGGCCTCTATGGTAGTTGTCGACATGTTTCCTCTTCCACCGCTCGAAGCGCTGTGTTAGATCGCCCACTGCGTTCCACAGGCGGGCCTGTTTTGCGCGGTATTCGCCTTTTCCAAGTAGTTGCGATTCCTGACCAGCGACGAGATCGTCATATTCTCCCAGTAAAGCAGGGATTTCGACCACAAGATCAATCAGATAATGAAGCAAATCTTTGGTCGTTGTACCCAGAGACCACGGAATATTCTTCCAAGCATCAGTGTCCATGAAACTCGGTTTTCGATCGACGAGTGAGACTCCAACCTGAAAAAAATGTAAGTGTAACTTCTTCGTTATTCATGAATGCTAGAACCAACCCAGTATGGACGTAACTCTGTAAATAGCAGATGCTCAACACCTTGGACATGATTCTCGGGTCCTCGGTGCTGAATCAACTGTGCTGCTCCTCTAACGTGCGCCAAAACTCCTGCGTCCGACGTACGTTCGATACTCTCAAAAGCTAAAAGTAGTGTAACAGTGACTAGCGTCGCTTCCGAGCGACTTCGTTCTGGATCCAACAATGCCTCCTGCAAGGAGCGCAAGACTTTGGGATACAATTTGATACCTGCCGCTTCGATGCGAGTGTCTTTGACACTGCGGCCAAAGAAAGTCAAAGATACAGCATCGTAAGCACTAGATATCAACGGAGAGAACATTCGAATATCGGCACCAGCTCGTAAGGCTCCTGCGTGGCCCGAACTTGCATCTACTTCGGGACTGAAAGCGTCAACGAACCGCTGTATAAACAAGTCCAGCATCGGTTTCTGAGGAGCAAATCGAGATAATGGGCCACCCCAGTCTTCATCAACAGTGATACTCTCAGTGCTGCTGCTGCCGCTACTACTACTGTGGGAATCACTGAAACCTGCATTTGACTGCCTTGCTCGGACAAGGTGCCATCCTTCCAGAGTCGACTCCTCGTCTTCTTTGTCATCAAAGCTTGAAGGAGTAAGCATACGCAGAGGTAAGCTCCCTTTTGAGCATAATTAGTAGCCATCCACTCCGAACATGTCAGGTCTCTCACCTCTCTGTTGCCCAATGGCTTGGGCGCGACGATTCTGACGGCCGGATCGAATACTACCAACCAGATCATCAACTACGTCGATTGGTTCTGAGCGAATTGCCTGGAAGAGTTTTTCGAGTTCGGCCAATTTGCGAGATTGTGCTGCTTGTCCACCTATGCCTCAGATCGTAAGATATCAGCCGATCTCGCGCAAGAAGGATATACTTACCTTGTTGGCTAATCCTGAGCTTCAAATCCTTGATCTCGTTTCGCAGTTTTTGAATCTCCTCCGCCTGAGCAATTGGCTGCGTCTCATCATCATCGGGTCCAATGTCGTAAACACATTTTGAAGGATGGCCATGGGCGCAGCAAGCATTGCATGGTTTAACTCGATCACACTAGACGATATGAGTGAGCTTCATAGTAACCTAAGAACAATGCAATCACAAGCAATTCAGATACTTCCACGACATCATAATGAGACATAAGAGTAATAAATCTGCTAAAAAGGAGAAGAGCCAACCTTGACTTTACGCAAACGGCACACTCGACAAGATCGTGACTGACGCGTGGCGGGTTTCTTGTTCTTCGATTTCTGTCCCTCGCCACGGCCTAGGTCCGCCATTGCGGCCAGTAGCGACCGGGGAGGGTTACCGTCACAGCGGCGCCTGGCACAGGAATAGAGCCCTAATTCCCCAGGAGATCCACGCCTAGAAACAATATTCTAACCCTAAAAAACCCCGGAAGTGGAATGAACTGTTGGAGATTTAAGACATTGTGTGTTGGTGAAGTCCACGAACAGGAGCGTAGGAATGGGCAGGCTGAGATTTGTGAGATCTCGGAGGTGCTCGCTCCAGTGGAATCGGCGGGCGAAAAGCGATCTGGTTTTCCTATTTAGCTTCAGAGACTAGAACGTCTGCGCAATGCACCATACGGCATAAGCCGCCGGGTTCACACCAATAATCTCATGAAGACTGCCCGCGGAGGCCTTTCAGCTAGCCTCGTTAGTCGATCAGTTTGAAAGCCCCACTGAGGAGACGTCCGAGACGCGATTCATTGCCATGTCGACTGGCCATAGCCCATAGCCCATGACGGCTGGATGGTACCATCCATAACTACGTCGTACAGGTATCACTCGCTGATCTCGGACTATCATATGAAATGCCATGTTGAATGGATTTATCAGATAGCCATTTTGCCGTGAATACGATGCTTGTAAGCATCCGAGTGACAAGAGTGACAGTCACGAATTGGATCCAACCGGCCTGCGAGCCGTCTTCCGTCTCCAATTTTGCCTGAGCGCTATCCGTGCATTAGCCCAACGGCTCAACGGTTTGAATACTTGATTGGCCTGATATAAATTGACCTCCTTGCATTGGCGTTGCTATCTAACACTGGATTTGGCAATTTTCGACGCAGCAGTCATTAGATCGAGATTATTGATGCGGCTGTCGGACAATCCCGTTTGCTGGTGCTTGCTCTGGATAATACTTGGTGATATCGAGAAGATCAAACGGAGGCCAGTGGAATCTTGCAAGTATCAGTATCGGTCACCAGTGGTCTATACGACCGGATGTAGTACTCCGTAGACACCAGTTGACGGGAGCCATACCTAGGTATACAGACTGAATCCTAGGTATACATCGTGATAGTCCGATTACTTGCCGAGAAGTGACCGCATATTGAGACCCGCAGGACACAGATTAGACTCTGGATTGCATGAGGGTGAACTACTGGGCGGAGTGACTCGTCAGGATGAAGTTGTGTAGAAGCTGTGTAGAAGTGTCATTCTATAGGGTGACAAGTGTGGGTAGTTCCTGCACTCAGGTACGAACTTCCTGCCTCAGGCCAAACTTCAACTTCGCAACTTATTGATTACCGATGTGATGGAAACATTCAATTGATCATTTAATCATCAAGGCATGCGACGCTATATACATAAATTAAAGAACATAACGGAATCCCTTCTGCAACCGACGAGCTGCCGCAACATCAATACCCTCAACTTCAGCAGTCTTTTGCAATCGTCGCAAGTCTCGCTCCGACAAGATACTATCCTCATTCTCCAGACGTTCCAGTCGCTTATTCTCCGACCTGAGGTCAACATACAAGTATAGCCCAGTGAGGAAGGCTACTCCCAGCATGGCAATACAAATACCAAGCGCGGGACGATAGTGAGGCGCATCCTGGGCGCGATAGGTATATGCTGTCCAGATACTGGCTGAATTACCAATGGAATTGATAAAGGCGTATGCAGCAGCTCGTTTGGCCGGTGGGCGAGCAATGGTGGAACCAATCCATCCGAATATAGTGGCGATCATGCAGAAGGCAAAATTCATCAGGAAAAGCGACAGATATCGTGGGCCGAAACTCGATGTTGTCATGAAAATGATGAATCCGACGATGGAGATTGGGATGGGAATAACGTAAAAAATGAATCGCTTCTGGAACTTGTCCGATATGTGATTGTGAAGAATGGAATAGAACACCATGAACACGTACGGCGGCGCAACGAGTAAGAGGGAGATGATATTGCTGTATCCCAGGGTTTTGGTAAGGGTTGGGAAGAAGTATTGGAAACCGGTGGCAGCGACAACACACATGTATGCCAGGGCGAAGAGATAGGTACGTTTATCAGTGAAAGCGAGTTTTGCACCGCGCCACTGGCTCATGCCACCAGATTCATCACTGTCGGCCTCTGCGGCATCGATGGCAAGACGTCGCATGGCAACAGCCTTCATTTCGGGGGATAAGAGCCTCCAGTTCTCGGGGAAGTCGGGAAGGAAGAGCATGATGAGAATTCCAACGAAAATAGTGATTGATCCTTCAATGATATAGAGCCATTGCCATGCTGCCATTCCGCGAGCATCTTCAAGACCGGACAAGATGCCAGCTGCGATGAGGTTTCCAAAGGCACCACTGAGGAGAGAGCCAGAGTAGAAAATACTCATTCGAAGAGCGAGTTCTTTCTTGGTATACCAACTGGAAAGGTAGAACAAGATACCGGCAAAGAAGGGGGCCTCGACAATACCGAGGATAAAACGACAGGCGATTATGGCGCCGTAACTCTTGACCTGGCTGGTCAGAGCAGAGACCAGGCCCCAGGCAGCGACGAAGAAGCCGATGTATACGGATGGCCGTCCGATATAGTTAAGAGCCAAGTTGGAGGGGACTTGCATCAGGATGTATCCGACGAATAGAATGGATAGACCGGTCTGGTATTGGGAGTCGTTCATATGCAATGAGGCCATGAGACCTTGCAATTTGGCAGAGGCATAGTTATTTCTATCCAGTTAGCCAGACCATCCCTGCTAGTTTGGGTTACCATGCTTACCGATCAATATAGTTCATCAGGTACACGATGATAACAAAAGGGAGGATGATGGAATCGATTCGACGAAGCAGCTTCTTCTCCAAGATTTTCTCTTGTGGAGTCAGCTCAGTGAGGTGAACAATCTCCTCATGCGCCAATTCGGCTTTCTCCCCCATTGCCTCATGGTCACGAATGATTCCGTCTGCAGCCATGGCGACTATTTCAGAGTACTACAGACAAGGAACTGCAGGAACTTCTCAGCTCTGGAAAGAACGTCAGAACGGCAGCCATGTGGTTTATATAGCTAATTAGCGTGGGGGATATCATTTTGATTACAAAACATTCATCCCTGGATTACATGATAATCATTTACCGATGAGAAGAGCAATGACCAGGGTAGCTGTCCTAGCTCCAGGCATAGTGATCAAGTTTTACTCCGTACAGAGTATTACCGTATTGTTGCATGTTCAGGCCTCGGATCCGACGATTAAGCTTAGACCTTAACTCCATGCGAAAAGTGGATATGGAAAGGTCAAAACGCGGGGAATGACGCTTGATTATGTTGCTACTGGTCGAGAGACGTGAAGAGGACCACGCAGCGTGGGGGATGTGCTGGGTAGGCTTTCCTTGTCTGAGCTTGCCATTTGAAGGGGCTTGGCTTGCCACTGATTCCTGGAGGCTGGTAAGATATCTTTCCATTTGGCCAGGGATAAGTCACCTATACATGAGATTAGAGGCGAAACAAAGTAGAACGTCCTGCAGTACACTGAGAAACTGATTGCAGTATGGATATTTGTCTGATCTGTTAGAACAGATCACGAGTACACATTCTGGAGTACAAAAATCCGGGGGAACAAATTAATATGCGGGGGAAAAAAGACCCCTTCCGGGAAAATCCTCCGCTTAAATTCACTTCTAACCAAGATCCGATCCTATTAATGTGCTCCGTATACATCCAAGCCAATAATGCCATTTAAAAGGCTGGAATTAGCCGCTTTTTAGTTAATTACCTATGTTATCACATGGTTGATTGCGTGGGGGGGGGGAGGGGAGTATAAGCTGCAGGGATACTAGATTTGGTATCCCGAGATTATTCTTACTTTTGAGATGGAAGTACGTACTATGGGTATTGCATGATTTGAGCAGTGAGTATCAGTTGCCGATAGTTAGCAGAAAGGATATCATAAATCATTATCAATAGTCGTCTCGTCATACTGGTACATGTAGTCATGATTCGTATACCGGAAGAGTCTCAGACTCTTCACCAGCTTCAGAAATCCATAGCTTCTCATCCCCATCTTCACCTTCACCACACAATTCCTCAGCATTGATCTTTCAACAAGTGGCACGCGCTTCAACTGACTCGAGGCGATAGTAACACGTCTGAGTCGGATTGATTGAATCCTCAATCGTAGATTCTTTGATTTCTGCTCGTCTGTGATATAAACCACATTCCGGACTGTGGATAAGTCTAGACTCGCTCTCTTCCGGGTTAGGATATTGGCCAGAGTGGGAGTTGATATGGCTCCATTTCGCATTTGTTAATGTCGAGAGGCTATTGTGCTAAGAAAGATTTTGCTTCGGCGTATGCATGTCTTCTTGTCCGTGGTGCTACTACTCTCGCTGTCGACGTGCTCGGAGTTACTATCCGTGTCGACGCTGTTACTTGACCATCGTCCAAGATCTTCGATTTTGACTGAGTACTCGACTTTGGAGTCGTAGTTGATGGCTGCGAGTATTGAATCTGGGCGTGTGTGTGAGAGGCGCATTGTAGCGAGTAGGAGAGGAGTTTTGTCTCGAGACGGGACATTGAGACTGTTATTTTGGGTAATTATGAGGGAATTGTAGAAAAAAGTTTTGTTTTTTGTTTTTACTTATTCATTTTATTCATTCATTACATTGAATCTCTCGGGAGGTTTATATACCCAAATTATATGCATTGAATCCTAGAGATCAAAGCAAAGTGAGTAGATAGAAATGCGGATGCCTACTGTAGTTGCAACATCAACACCAAAACAGCCAATAGTCATAACGAATAATTGTTCTACCTAATTTCATATCTCAATTCATTTATTGAAATGCAACTATATCTTAGATATACGGCAGCCTGCTGAAGTTCGAACAAGCTTAGAGAGGATTTGAGAATTACCGGATTGGGTATACTAACACTAAGAAAGGTAAGTGAATTTGTAGTGTATCATCGTACATGATTTGTATGTGCGATGAAGTCATTATAAGAATGAGAACTGCAATGCCTAAACCCTCGTCTATATGATCTTCTGAGCATGGCTATCAGGATGGGTGATTGCAAGGCAACCGCTTTTGGGCTTGATGAGTACATACAACTCCATCAACTATCAACCGACAACTCTCATTTCTTCCCCCCCATTTGTGTCTGCGTCTAACTCTGAACCCTCCTCCACCACTCCCACGCCTCCCTAAACGACTCTTTCAACCTCTTATTCCCCTCAGGCTCATACCCCAACACCCGTCTCGCCTCGCCAATATCAAAATACCTCATCGCAACCGCATCACCAACTTCACTCGGCGAGATAGCAGTCGTCTTCGAAAACAACGACACTATCTTCAGTATAGCCGTAAATAGCCAAACCGGAATAACCGTATATCTTCCATAGCTTTTGTCAGGCTCATCATCCACAATCCGCCAGATCATTTCTTGTAATTCCCTGAATGGTTTTGGAGATCCATCCGTAACGAAAAAAGCGCGCCGATTTGCGCTTTCTTTTTTATGATCTGGAGAATCAAGTAGGTTATTCATAGCCAACACATGCGCCAAACCGACATTATCAGCAGACGAAAAATCATATAAATTCTTCCCCGAGCCTAGGCTGATCCTGCGTGGACTTGTCGCTATTAAAGGGAACAGATTTGCATCTAGCGTGCCCACGACGCCGTGCGTGCGGATTGCGCATGTTCTTATTCTCAGTGTTGGGGAGAGGATGAGGGATTCTGCTTTTGCCTTCCACACTATTATCAGATCTACCTACACAATTTAAGAAAAGGAAAGGGGACTGACCTTAGTCCTAGCATACTCACTATCCCACTTTTCCCCCTCCCTAAGATGCTCCGTCTGAATTTCCGAGGCATTCACCAAATCCATCCAACTATCCGGTTTGACAGCATCACACGAACTCGTATACACCAATACCTCAACCTCCTCAGTCTTTTCAGCGATATCAATCACATTCCTCGTCCCGTCAACATTAACCTTCCACAACTCCTCATCGCTCAATCGCTTCTTCTTAGCAGCCGAAGGAATAATCGATGCTGAATGAATAACCACTGTCGGTCTCACGGATTTAAATATCCTGCCCAATGCGGGAGGGGACGTGATATCCGCGTTATGGAAATGGAGTTGTCCATTTTTATATACCTGCTCGAATAGATTGAATGGATAATCGGCGAATGATGGAGAGGTAATGTCGAGGATGTGTATGATTGCGGTTGGATGGTGGGTTAGGAGGGATTTGAGGATTGCGAAACCGATGCAGCCGGCGCCTCCTGTTAGGATTATTTTCAACCCATCCTCCTTTTTGGGGCTATTGGGTTGAGCGGGTTGTTGGGACATTTTTTTTGATTGTTAGTTGCCTTTTGAATGTAGTGAACAGAGTTGAGGGTATTTAAATTATGCAGGACGCTTCTATTTATGCACGACATTCCTATCTGGGAATGGCTAAGGCTCATGTTACATATATATCTACGATCCAGTCTCAGCTTGACATGGATGCCATAACAGCTAAACTTATTGGACAGATAGAGAACATTTAATCCATTTCTTTTATACGGGTAATATACACACGCGCTAAAAGAAAGCGGAGACGATATGCAAGTGACAAATGAAACAAACAGTTAAGTTAAATTGATATTACATCCTTTATGAAGATCCCTCAAGTTCAGCCAAAATCTTCTCGCCCTTGGCACGAGCAGACTCAAAGTCACCGACCATGTAGAAAGCAGCCTCGGGAAGATCGTCACCTTCACCGTTGATGATGGCCTTGAAGCTGCGGATGGTGTCCTTCAAGTCGACGAGCTTACCCTCGATACCAGTGAAGACCTGGGCAACGGTGAAAGGTTGGCTCAAGAAACGTTGCAATTTACGGGCACGCTCGACGGTAAGCTTGTCGGCTTCGGACAATTCGTCCATACCCAAAATGGCAATGATATCCTGGAGGGATTTGTACTCCTGGAGCATCTGCTGGACACGGGAGGCGGTCTGGTAGTGGTCCTCACCGACGACACGGGGGTCCAACATACGAGACTTGGAGTCAAGAGGGTCGACAGCAGGGTAAATACCCAACTCAGAGATACCACGAGACAAGACAGTGGTGGCGTCCAAGTGAGCGAAAGTGGTGGCAGGGGCAGGATCAGTCAAATCGTCAGCGGGCACGTAGACGGCTTGCACGGAGGTAATGGAACCTTTGGTGGTGGTGGTAATACGTTCCTGCATGACACCCATGTCGACGGCAAGAGTGGGCTGGTAACCGACGGCAGAGGGGATACGACCCAAAAGGGCAGACACCTCAGAACCGGCCTGGGTGAAACGGAAAATGTTGTCAATGAAGAGAAGCACGTCTTGACCTTCCTCGTCACGGAAGTACTCGGCAATGGTCAAACCAGTAAGAGCGACACGGGCACGGGCACCGGGGGGCTCGTTCATCTGACCAAACACGAGAGCGACCTTGGACTCGCCCTCGAGCTGAATGACACCAGTTTCCTGCATTTCGTGGTACAAATCGTTACCCTCACGAGTACGCTCACCGACACCAGTGAAGACAGAGTAACCACCGTGAGCCTTGGCAATGTTGTTCTGAACGTTGTTAGCACAGTCGAGAATTACAGGCGTAGGGAACGTACAATCAACTCCTGGATAAACACAGTCTTTCCGACACCGGCACCACCAAAGAGACCAATCTTTCCACCACGAGCATAAGGGGCAAGAAGATCGACGACCTTGATACCAGTGACCAAGACCTCAGCGGAGGTGGATTGTTCAGCAAAGGAAGGGGGTTCGGTGTGAATAGGAGCGTACTTGGTGGCCTTGATAGGACCACGCTCGTCAATGGGGTCACCAGTGACGTTCATGATACGGCCGAGCGTACCAGGACCGACGGGAATACTGATGGGGGAGCCAGTGTCCTTGGCGGGAGCACCACGGGTAAGACCCTCGGTACCTGTACGAGTTTAGACGCGTTGAGCATAGATAATGGGTTTTAATACATACCGTCCATAGCAATTGTACGAACGACACTCTCACCCAAGTGTTGCTATTAACGTTAGTATCGTCTCTAAACACACGTACGGATGATACTTACAGCAACTTCGAGCACAAGCTTCTGGCCGTTGTTGTCGGTCTCAAGGGCGTTGAGAATGGGAGGAAGAGACTCGGAGTCGAATTTCACTATTTTCCATCAGAATTTATCCTTGTAATACAAGCAAAACGGCATTGGCGATGGCGACATAATCGGGGTGGTGATGTTGAGAAAAAGATTTTCCATCAATCCAAGCTCACCGACGAGCTGTGCCAATGCCAAGCCTTGCCGGGTAGAAAAACGTGTTACATACCGTCGACGACGGCACCGATGACCTGGTGAATCTTTCCAACGAGGTTGGCATCTGTGCTTGCAAATCGAGCAGAGAGAGCAGGAAGAGCATTGGAACGAAGAGGCTCGAAAGCGCGACGAGCCACAGGGGTCGGTCGGGCAAAGGCAGCCCTGCCGAAGGTCCGGGCGAGGCCGCTGTAGAGAAAAAATTAGAATGGCTAGATCAGTATGAAGGAGAAGGGAATAGACAGGAAACTGAAAAGCTCAATTGACTTGATGACATACCTCTTGAACATTGTGATGGGTGTTTAAGAGCGAAACAGAAAAAAAGGATGGGGGAGAGGAGAGAAAAGAGATGGAGAAGTTTGGCAGGTTTGCTGAATGAAGAGTTTCTGAGGTCGAAGGGAGGTGCGACGGCTTTGCTGGCGTTGCGCTTCGGCGGAGGTTTTTCCGGTTCCCGTGACCCGACCACACCCGACCTAGCAACCACAAACTCGATTTGAGCACGATCAGGCTGTGTTATTTTATAGAATTCTCTATTTATTATACTGTTTATAGATATTTACCAATCTCTATATACAAAATTACTTCAACATACTAACCTCTTCGTGGACAATCACTTTGTTTACATCTCTTCCACTCCGTTCCGTAGCCGGGGTTTCAGGCCCCGTACTAACCCATCTCATCCAAGTCATTTTCTTGACGAGATTTTCGTTCTGCAGTGCAATGGCGTCGATTGGCCGCCAATTAGAGGCGAAAATAGTCAATTGTATGGATATATCAACATGAACAGAAATAAATAGTAAATTCCAGGTCAATTGCTTCACATACATAGCAACCTGACGAGCTAACTGCTACGTCCAAAATACGTAGCTTGTTGGTGCCTGAGGCTGCAGCTCGTTAGCCGCGAATGTTCCACGGTTGACCGGGATGACGTCCTGTCGACATTTGGCTCGGAGGATTTTGATACAGGACTTTATCGATGCCCTTTCATTCAATTGGAAACAATTAGAGTACATAATATTGGATTTTGTGCAGTAGATAGCTATTACCTTCCTGATATGTTTTCTACTCAGGTATATATCACTAGCTAGAGCTAGCTAGATAGCAGATTGCGGTCGATTGAATAAATATAAAACTAGATTCTTTTCTCTAAGTAGATAGGCAATGCTCAACATTGAATAGATAATCCAAGTTACAAAGGAAATAGATTGACTATGGCACAAGTAGTAGACGATACATGGAATTCTGCTCAATTCAATTCAGTTCAGTTCAGTTTAATTCAGGTCCAACTGGAAGGGAACAGGAGATCAAAGAGAGGGAGAGAGCGGGACGACAATACTATTGTATATTTAGACAATGCGAGTCCTCTCGCTCGTGTTCCAATCTTCAATTTCTATATTGTTTGACAATTCCTTCCAATGTAGTTGACGGATTATAAAGTTATGAGGACTTGGCAGGTGCGCTCTGGATGTAGCCGGGACCTTCATAGTTGGGGTTGCTGATACCGCTGATGGGTTCGATCTTCTCTTTCTGTGCGTAGTAAATCATCGGGTTAGCCGCTATCCTGATAGAAAGTCATGATGGGAGGGACGAGGGACGAACCTTGGCATATTCATTGGTGGCCTCTTGCCATTCCTTGGTCAATGTGCGAGGAGGCTCCTTGGCAAAGAGACGGGTAGTGTAGAAGAGGGCAATGGAAACGGCGAACAATTGAGAGACCTTGGCCAGGACCTTCCAGCCTTCACCCTTGGGGGTCTCTTTGCGAGGACCATGGGATCCGAAAGCGATCCAGTAAGCTATTCCGCCACATCAATACGGTCCTATTTCATCTGACTGACGGATCGTAAATACATACCGGCCTTCTTCTCCTGCAAAGTCATCTCATGCCAATCAACCTTCATACGATCCCGGAGCTGCATGAACAAATCGGCCTGTTCCTGAGGAGGCATTCCCTCCCAGCGCTTCTCGATACCGGCGAGCGTGGGGTTGGCAATGGCGTGTTCGGAGGCGGAACGGGTCTGCTGAGCAGCTACGCGAGCCATTGGGGTAGCAGTGGCTCGGACAGCAGGGCTGCGAGCAGCCTGGGAAGCGGCGCGAACGAACATTGTGTGTGCGAGCGACAAAAAGAATTGGCGAGAGATATAAAAGGCAGTCGGGAGAGAGGATTACAGAGAGAGCGATGCTCCTCGAGAAGAGCTGATCGATCAACAGGAAAGGTATGGAGTAGAGATTGGTCGACCAGGTGGGTTGTGTTGGTGGTGATTTTGATTCTCGTGAGGTGAGGTGGAAGTTCTGCTCGGGAGGCCGGGCTTGGTCATGACGGTTTTTGCGCGCGGCTGATTGGCTGTCGGCAACGGCACTAGTCCCGCGGACCCGAGACTTTGCCGTCCTTTTGGGTCGTACGACTATCAACTTCTTCGAGTCTTATACTCGGGCGAGACTTTCTTTTACTATTTATCAACCCAACAAACCTCTGTTCATCAAGCAAAACTAACGAGACTAGAAAGGAAAAGCAGAGATATTTGACTTGTGCATCTTCAAGCTCATACACAGTTCAGAAAACAACGCAATGCGAACTGCCAAAGTAAAAAAGAATCCAGACTAATCGAACCTCAATCACACAACACAACAAAAGAAATCATTGATGGAAGTGGAAGGAATATTGGCAGTCCATTTCATTCATTCATTCATTCAATCAATCAATCGAGGGAATGCGAACGTTTATTTTGAGTGAATTTTACAGCAGTGCATGCAAGATGTGAAGCACATAAAAGTCCATATTCCCCCGGAAACCGGCCGGTGTGTTCAAAGTACGAAAGAGAATGTAATTTATTGGCCCTTGCCCTTGCTGACTTCGGCAAGGACACTCTTCCATTCAATGTCAGACTTGTCATCGGCGTGGATGGACTGGACGACATTCACGGCGTTCTTGAGAACCTCGCGAGTGCTGGCGTAAAGCATAGACAACTAGTCTCGTCAGCAAGGTTCTACTGACAGATTCGCCGGGGGGGGGAGCACTTACACGCGTGGGAGTGTCTTGAGGAACCCACGAAATGAAGATAATCTTGCTCCTATAATAATAGCCACGTTAATTGGGTCCCATATCTCTATCCAAAAATAAACATACCTCTGACCCTCTCCCGGAATCTCATACTGAACATCGTAGGTAGCATATCTAGGCGCAGGGTTCCCGGCAGCATCCTTGGCATCAGCGAGTTTTGTACGGAAAACCTCCCAATCGGCGTCGTCGGAAACATCGTCGACGACGACTCGCTTCTTATCGTCGGTGATTTTGTAGATGACGAACTTGGTCTTGCCGCGGCTTAGACGGAATTCGTTGAACTTGTTGATGCATTCATCATCGACGGTGACACTGGATTAGATGTTAGGGGTTGTCCTGTCGTGTGCTCTATCAATGGCAAGAAATGGCGACGTACCCTGATGCGAGCTATTCATTGATTAGTTGAATTCCGTATACAGGAAGAGATAAAGACAATGACAATACTTACAGACATGACGATGGATATAAATTGATCCTATGCGAAGAGAACTGCGAAGGGGTATATAGTCAGTGGCTGTAGATTGATGCTGATAATGGTGGTGCGACCGGATTGCGGGGAGGGGGGTGTTCGGCAAGCTGGTTCACCGGGCTACGTAGTAGTCAAGAAGGTCGAGGACGAACAACGTACAGAGAGAGTTATATGTGGAGTTCTGGTAGGAGTTGAGAGAGGTCAAGGAGTGATTGTTGTGAGAGTGGCGGTGGATAGGAGAATAGTTAATAGAAGCAGCCTGGGAGAGCGAGAGATGATGGAGGGGCTAAGCTGGCTTGTTTACTCGCAGTGGCAGGCCAATCAGCGTGTTTGTTTGGGCGGTTGGTGGGGGACAGGCTGAAGCCTGAGGCCACAATCGCATGGAATTTTTCTTTTCCTCTGTATATCATCACAGTTGAACTATACAGATGATGCTACTCTGGAATGAGACTATCTATCGAATCTGATAGCCTAGCGACAATCATCTATCAGTTCATCTGCCTATGACGTCGCGCGTCTTCCGTCTCGATTCTCGCTAGAATCCCAGACATCTTATCATCTCGAATTCTGGTGTCTATGGTTACAGGGCTTGTCTTCCATCTAGAGTCAACAGCACGAGAAATGATATATTTTCGAGAGCTCACTGATTCCAGCAAAATGTGCCGCTTTGGAGGTCGGACTTAAGCCGGGGTGGCTTTACTAATACAATGACTTTAACCTGTTTACTAATGGATCTCCTCATTCGTCATTTGTCGATGGAGTTGCGACTACTTCATTATAAATACCATCTCTTCTCCTCTTACTTGACCCGAATGTTTGTAGATTTCTCAACAGCTACAGCAGGCAAAATGTCGTCTCCCAAGATCATCCTCTACACAAGCAGGATCTGTCCATGGGCTCATCGCGCTCACATCACCCTCAAGGAACTCGGCCTAGCCTTTGAGGAAGTCACGATTGACCTGTCCACTCCTAGAGAGCCATGGTATTTGGAAATCAATCCTGTACGTTCCCAAGGCACTCTATTATGTATGCCGACTGACTAACAGCCAAAAGCGCGGCCAAGTCCCCGCACTCAGTTACGAGGGAAACATCATCACAGAATCAGCCATCGTAGCTCGATTCCTCGCTGATGCGCACCCATCCCATCTCCTCCCACCATCTACTGGCGTCGAGAATGCTCTCTATCGTGCACGCCTGGACTGGTTCGTGGATGCATTCATTACCAAAGTGAACCCTCAGATCTTTGCTAGTGCTGGCGCGGCTACTGAAGAGGATCGCGACAAGGCTGCGGAGGCACTTGTTGCGGCTGTGGCGAAGGATATTGAGCCGAGGTTGGTGGAGGGGAAAGGTCCCTTTTATGGTGGGAGTGAGAAGTTGACGCTTGCAGAGGTATGACTTTTTAATGAGTGCAGATGAATATAACATACTAATGGTGGCAGGCGCTTACGGGATCATTCCTTCTTCGTATTCATGGTTTCTCTAAGCCCGAGTATGGACTGATTAGTACTAAGCTACCGAAGCTGTTGGAGGAGAAGGTGCCCAAGTTCAAGCGCTGGTTGGAAGCTACTGTGCAGCATGAGAGTGTGAATTACATCTGGGATGAAGCCAAGGTTGCAGCGATAACCAAGCAGAGGTTTGCTAAGAAGTAGCAGTTACTCTCTAAATTGTGATGTGTGATTCGTGAATTTGGTATATCACAATGACAATGATTATGATTCAGCCTGATTGAGTGTTCCAGTAGAACTAGCCAATGCGCTTTGTTTTGTTTGTTTATGTAGACATCCTGGTTGTCTAATATTCAACTCCTACCTCTCCCTCTCCATCTCTCTCTCTCACTCTCACTCTTCCATCTATCCATCAACCAACATCTAGCCTAACAACATGGGCACTCGAAGCCTCATCTGCATCTGGTACAAAGGCCGCTTCATGGTCGCCCAATACTGCCAATGGGACGGCTACCTTGAAGGCCAGGGCTTAGACATCCTCAACTTCCTCCTTGTCCCAGGTAACATCGACCGTCTCAAGCAAGGCCTGGAGTACATTACCATCGTCGACGACAAGACGATCGAAGACCTAGTCAGCGGACACACTTACTCGACCCACGGAGAGAATGGAAAAGTCTGTGAATGCGGTGCAACTGACCCCTGGGTCGGACCAAGCCAGTGGATCCCACGAACATTGAGTCGAGACGCGGGCGCCAAGATCTTTGATATCATTGCTGCGGCGAAGGTTGATGATTTCGTTCCTATTCAACTTGCCTTGGAGTTTGCACAAGATGGCTTGTTTTGCGAGTACGCCTATTGTGTTGATCTTGATGCAGGCGTATTTGAGGTCTTTGGTGGACATGTGATGAACCCCAAAAAGGAAAGCATTGGGCAGATGGGGGAGTATCGGTTTGCGGAGGCTTGCAAGGATGCAAAAATCATGCCGAAACTGCTCATGTCTTTTCTGTTGACGGAGTTGCCCAAGAATTTGAAGGAGTTTCTGGGCCCGATTGTGAAGAATAATGAGGAGTTTCAATCTGACGATGACGATGACGAGGGGGAGGATGAGGAGGAGGAGGAGGACGACCACGTCGACTTTGACGAAACAGACAAGAGCGAGGGAGAAGACAATGCCAAGGCTGCTGACGATAAGGCTGTGGATGTCAAAAGTTACAAGACCGGTGGCGTCAAGGCTGTTTCTGCTCCTGAAGACAAGAAGCTTCCTGACAGCAGGGAAGACAAGGACAAGAAAGAAATATCTCACGACATCCACGACATCGAAAGAGAACGAGAACTGCAGAAGAAAATCGAAGAAATGACAATGGACGAAGTCGCACGAGAAATTGAACGCGAGACCGAACGCGAAACCGAAAGGATGATGATGGAGGAAATTGGCAAGGAGCTCGAGAATGAAAAGAAGAGGACCGCCAGGCAGGGGAGTGCTGGAAGCGGTGACAAGAAGAATCGTTTTTTCTTTTCGAGCTTTAGGAAGGGTAGTTAAGCGATTGATTAGACTGTAGCGTTGAACATGTCGGTCCAGACGGGGCGACTAGGAAGATATCGTTCAGGGTTGGTAGATTATACGAATAAACCAGCAAGTAATTAAGTGTATCAAATGGAATATTCATTCGAGCTTCTTCTCTAAGTATAGATAAACAAACCCAATCCAAATACCAATATGAACCCATACGCCGATAGCATGCTCCAGATCTCCCCCAAAACACTGAAATGTGTAGTTTATATGTATAGAACAACACACCAAAGTCATATATACATTATAAAAAAAGAAAATGCAACTATAAAAGAGGTAAATGCACCAATCTCGGCCACCGTCTCGGCACAAGTCTAAGCAAACTCACCACTCTACCTCTAATTTTAAACAATACATCTCCAACCTTCCGCTCAAGTCTCCTGTCCCCCTTTACCCTGAGCCAAAGCAGAAGCACAGAAAGAATAAAAGTGTGCCAGAGGAGTTGGCGCAAGCTCTGATATAAAAGCCATTTTCCCCATGATAGGAGCCAGCGGAAAAATGTTGATGGTTTGCGGTAGTTGAAGTTGTTATGATGGTGGTGGTGGTGGGTGGAATCGAGTTGTTCGCGGAGAGCGGCAATTTCGGCGGTCATCTTTGTGAGGGCTTGTTCCATGCGGTTGCGCCAGTTTGGTTGGGGAGAGGATTGGGTTCGTTTTCGTCTTTTGCGGGTGCGGTTATTATTTTCTTCTATTATTGGAGTGTCGTGGGGGGTAGGTTCGGAGGAGAATGAGGTGCCGTCTCGGGCTTCTTGGAAATCTTCTTCTTCTTCTTCTTCTTCTTCTTCTTCTTCGTCGTCGTCGTTGTCGTCGTCGTCTATACTTTCTTCGTCCTGACGGTGTGATCGGACTACGTCCGCTTCATCAGACTGACTAACAGGACTCAGCACCCTCAGTCTCGAATCCCCAGATCGTCTCCGATATATCGCCAAATCCTCATCTTGATCCTCCATCTCCACGGGCATTGAACGCGTCATTCGATCATCTATACTTGCATACCGTCTCGGGGCAGCAGGATGCACAACGACCGGCAAAGTTTTCACGGGTTGTATCGGACTCGAAGACGACGTCGTCGATGATGAAGCATTATATTTAATCTGATCCCAGACAAATTCTAGTTCTGCGACCAGTTCTCTGGCTTCGGCGGTTTGGGAGGCGTAGAGATGCATTGTGTTGATTAGGGTTGTGATGTAGCGTCGTTTGGCTTCGGTGCGGGATATGCCGCGTTGGGAGTACCATGCGTCCCTTCAATCAATCTTAGTATTGTAGTTTGAAGCTTGAGAGTTGATAGGGATATACCATTTCTCGCGCTCAGCTTGGACATCCGGCGCATCGCCCACGGGTCGGTCCATTATACCCTCCACATCCCCCTCTGTAAACCATCATGTTTAGTATAAACCCACCTACGAGATTATATTTGAACGAACCCATGCTCTGCTTGTATAATCCATATAACTTCAATCTCTCTGCCGCCGGGGGACGGGCAGTGCCCGTCCTCGGTATCTTCTTGACCGTATTGAGCGCATGGACAAAGACTCGATCTGTGCCAGACACGTATCAGTATAGCTGCACTGATTCTTGAACATTTAGTTTATCAAGGCGACAACGTACCGACAGAGTCCGACATTGCGATCTGAGGTATCCCCTACTCTACTGCATGGGCTTCAACAATGCTGGCGCGGCCCGCACGCCGGTATCTACCGCGCAACACAAACCGATAGTACAAATAATGCCGTCGACTTGTATTCAAGCTTGTAAAAGAATATCGAAATTGAGATTCGCAACTTAGGAATTGAACTTTCACGGTCGTATACCGATGACGGAGGCGCGAGCGGGCTATCTCGGTAAAACAGATTGAGCCGAAGGACGATACAGCTGTCAATCAGGCACGCGACAGGGATAGTTCACGAAGTTCGACAACTCAATAATGTAGTGCTGGTCCGAAGTCGACTTATCGTAATAATACAATAGTAGCTGAGTAGAAATTCGGCGGTCGAGATGAAAGTAGCGAAATAGATTCTGCAGTTCAATTGTAACAGAGTCAGTGTTCAAGTAAATTTGATAAGAATGCAGTCGCGCGGGTCGTGAGGATGGTACCTAATTAAGTAGCCAATATAGAATTGAGGGACTTGATAATCCGGGAAAAGAATCGCCTAGGTATGAATGAAGAAGTGAATAGTAGGCATAAGTAATATAAAGAAGCCGCATGTATTATTGCTGTAGAAGGGGAATGTGATGATGTCCAAGTTGAACCGCGGCTCAAAGAGAGAGCTCCACTATGAGTGTACGGACTGGGTTAGTCTGTCTGCGCTGATATCTGAAGAGTTCTGACGATTTTCAAGAGTAGCAATGATTTATCACTACTTCATACAGTTCAGTCAATTGACTTGATTCTTTTAATTCACATTTCGTATGATACACAACTCCCTCTCTCTTGCAGCTCAGTTCCCAAAAGTCATCGGCACATAAAACAGAAGGAATAATGTTGATATGAATAATAAACGAGTACTGAATCAACCGAAGTGCAAAATCGGATATCATCATCATGGTTAATAATGAAAAGCAAATATCATCTTCTTTTCTTTTTCAACAGACATTTCCACGTAGTACGAACCCTCCATATGCGTTGATTGCGCCAGTAAAAACAGACAAAAGCGAATAGATAATAACTCGAAACAAACCTTTTGGTTTAGTTCACGGCAGGAAAACAACGCCAAAGTGCCACAAGGGAAGAGTTTTGGTGTCCTTTTAACGTACGCTGTACCCAAACATGAAGAATGATGCGGACGTGTCACTCGATAAGGATTCCACGGACGAAGACAGGCTAAGTCTGCGCAGGAACACCGGTAGACTGCGAAGCACCGCGGCCACGGTAGTTACCTCGTCCTCGATTTCCATAGCCCCGATTGTATCCTCCTCGACCATAACCACGTCCTCTGCCACGTCCACGGTATCCACGGTACCCATCGACACTGCCTTGACCAAAAGTCTCAATGTTCTTCTTCTCTTCTTCACCGCGGCGTTCACGAGGACGACCCGTGTTCTCTTCCCGGTCTCGGATCTCGCTGGAGATGTTGTCGAAGAAAGAAGACGATTTGTTGTATGCTGAAGGAGCGGCCGAAGGGCTTGTGGCTACCTCTTCTGTTTTGTTGATCTCTTTCTCCTCTTCTACTATAGGAGATCCAGTAGCTATTGCCTCCTTCACTAGATCCTGCTTATTGAATTTGGCGTTGGCAGATTCAAAGTCGAAATCGGTGTCGGGAAGTTCTAACTTCCTTCCTGCAACATGCGGTCCGCCACGCTGGCCGTGGGGACGGCCGCCTCGTGGCCCATGATGTGTACCGCGGCTCGTACGGTTATGATCGTAAGGCTTCATATCGTTGAATTTCTTAGTCACGTCATCGACACCGGTGTCGTTCGGTTTCTTTTGAGCACCAGGTTGCGGAAGTTTTGCCATTGCTGCTGCAACCGCAGCTGTTGCAGCTCGGGTAGCCTCCGTTATAGCTGCCTGTGCTGTGCTTTGAGATGCAGCAACTGCACCTTGCTGCGCAGCTGAGAGTGGAACGGTTGGCTTCACGGCGGGGTTGGCAATCGGAATAGCCGGGATGAAACGATCATTCTTGGGGCCATTGGGAGGTAACTTGGATGGAGTCTGAGTAACAGGAACAGTTGCAGACGGACCCTGAGGTGCTGCTGGGGCAGCTCCACGAGCGACCTCTGCTACCGTAGGTTTGGATTCGACTGGAGGAGTTGGACCTTCTGGCGCAGCTCCGGGTGTTGGAGTGGCGGTCTTAGTCGGTTGAGGAGCAGTCTTTTCACCAACGGGAAGTTCTGAAGTGGGTTTGGGAGGGTTGATAGGAGGCCCGGGAGGACCACCTGGACGCTGTTGACCAGGGGTTCCAATTAGTCCTTGGTGAGGAGCAAACTGACCAGGTGCACCAGGTGGGAAACCCTGACCTGGTTGGGGGAACCATCCAGGAGGAGCACCATATGGAGGGAATCCTGGACCAGGAGGACCGTAACCAGGAGGGCCGAAACGCTGTTGACCGTAAGGAGGATAGCCGTAGCCTTGGAAGGGAGGTTGCTGAGGATATCCGGGGGGAGGACCAGGTCGGGCACTTGGAGGTCCTGGAGGAGGTTGTTGCTGTGGCTGGGGGGCTTGAGGGCCAGGGCGGGACATGCTCTGAACATACATTAGCTAGTCAATCGCGAATTTACCAGTAGCGTTGTGAGTTGAGATGGAGTATAGAAGGAAGGCAACGGAAATATCCACATGGTTTTGCGCTCTTGGAACAGATTTGTGTTTACGCCCGAATATTTCATCATGTAATGGGTAGTACGAAGGAAAGCGAGTGGCACTCACACCGAGGATGGCAGGATCGTCTGGTACTTGTGAAGGAGGAATTTCTGGCTCTTTCTTCTCTTCTGCAACACTGATATCCTTCACATCGCTGCCTCGAAAGACAATGTATTCGTAGATCGTTGTTGACGCAGGAATCTCTTCGCCCTGGTTACCTCGTCGTCCTTCAGTGCCGTGAGAGACGACATTTTCAAGTGCGATTGTCGATGCTTCGGGGTTAATTTCGTGAAGTGTGCCAACATAGCTATTATCAAATTAGCTGCTATCAATCAACTTGATGACTAGATCGTGCGAGGAGACATACCGAATATCGCTCTTTGAGATCAAGTTGAACCGCTGGCTATTTCTTGTTAATGAAAGACACGCAGAAAGGTCTCAGGACAGTACTGACCCTATTAGATGGTTCATATCCATTTTGAAAAATTTGGCGCGCACTTGCGCTTTCAAAGAAAAGAGCGATAAATAACAGAAATAAAGAATGTGGTTATAGTGACGAAGATGGGTTGGAGAGGGATGTGGATAACGAGGAAGCTGTTTGTGGCTTGAGATGATCGTCTACGGGGGGCTATGAAGACCAAAAGAGCAGTTTATTGACACTCCGCACTAACACTATGACTTTCCTCTTCTTGACAACCTGAGCAAAATGCCTCAATCATCACATCGAGACGACTTCTTTCAGACAGAGTAAGTGAAATTAAGAAAGGGTAGATCCCAGCTGACTGTGATAGTGCCTCGATAGAAGATAGTGATCGCAAGGCCGCCAAATCCAAGAATGAAAATGGCAGCCCTATAAGATTACAAAGCAAGATATTAGCGATCGTGGCTGATCCTTTCAGTACAAAAAATGTTTATGTTGCTGAAAGTGCCGGTACGATACGGAAAGTCGGGCTAGAAGTAGGTATGCAATTCTCTAGATCTGAGACCAAACTTCTATTGACCGTAAGACTAGACAGGTGAGAGGTTGGCTCTTTACAAAGGTCCAACTGCGCCTGTGACGAGTGTGGCATTCAGCCCGGATGGCAAATTGATATTTGCTGGTTGTTGGGACAAGACAATTTGGAGCTGGGATGTGCGGTCGAGACAGTCACAGCGACGGTATGAAGGACATTCAGATTTCGTAAAGACTGCGACATGCGCCCGAATAGGGGGCCAAGATGTCTTGATCTCTGGTGGAGCCGACTCCAAGATTATCATCTTCGACATCGCCAGTGGTGAACGATTACAAGTCCTAAAAGATCACTTGAGAGGTGTTCAAGATCTGTGCATTGATCCAACCACTCTGGACCAAAACCAGCAAACTATCAAGTTATTCTCGGCTGGAAGTGAGCGAGAGATTCGAGAATATACGATTGGACTAACAACAAGCAATGTCGAGGACCCGCTTATCGTTCACGAAACAAGTGTATACAAGCTATATTTTGACGAAGATGGCGACCTGTGGACTGCATCTGCTGACAAGACTGTAAAGTGTCTTACACGAGATAGCGGCTGGAAACCGAATTTGATACTTGAACATCCAGACTTTGTCAGGGATGTGGTAGTATACGAACAAGGGGGGTGGGCTATAACAGCGTGTCGTGATGAAGATGTTCGAGTATGGAACAAAGCGGTATGTTTACTCCTTCGACTCACCGAATTAATGCTGACTTAAACAGACCGGAGACCTCTATCATACTTTCACCGGACATTTTGAGGAAGTAACTGGTTTATTATTGATTGGGAGCTTGCTTGTCAGCGTCAGCATAGATGCAACCATAAGGCAGTGGAGTCTCAAGCCAGCAGATCTGCAAAAGGCCATTGAGGAAGCGAAGAAGAAGCCCGTTGAAGAAGAACAACCAAAGCAGGAATCCATGTTGACGGAAGAAGAGGAGCGGGAGCTGGCCGAGTTGATGGGCGATGAATGATCAGTATACAGAGATGTAAGGTCGTTCATACTTTCTTCAATGATAATCTTCAACCAATTATATGCATCACGTGACCGTACCGGCGTCTGTTTGCGGAAGCTGATCCGGAGATCTTCCGAGCGTCATTCCTCCGTTGTCCGTCTATGCAAGTACAACTCCAAACTTATCTTAGCATCTTCAAGTTGTCCATACACCTATTTACTTGTTACAAACAAAAGAGATGTTCCTTTGTGAAACGCTGTAGACGAATACAAACATCTTTATCTTTCAGCGGGACCGCCCAGTGGAGCATCCATTTACATCATCGTCACGTTCGGCGGGGACCGGTAGAGCTACCCCTCGACGACACGCGACGAGGCTGCTTCTTAGCTTCGATCTCGACTTCACTAGCTACAACTGCGCAAGACCACGTGAACTGCTTCGATATCAATCAGAGGATAAGGGGTGCAAGGACGATGACTGATAAGGCTAATGCACGATCCGAAGAGCACCATGCGACGACGGGTGCGCCGAGGTTGAAACTGGTGAATCGCCTGAATGAGAGCCGATCTCCTTATGTAGGTTGACTAGATGCCGCAGTTATTTATTTGTTCTGTATTGACAGGACCAGGTCCGCGGCCATATGAATAACCCAGTTGCATGGCAGCTATGGGACTCGAAAGCGATTGAACTAGCAAAAAAGCACAACCGATTGATCTTTGTCAGTATCGGCTACTCCGCTTGTCATTGTGGGTGCTTATTTTCAGTCTGATTGACCACTATTAACGCACTCTAGGGTGTCATGTCATGGAGAAGGAATCATTCATGTCGACAGAAGTCGCAACCATCCTGAACGAATCATTCATTCCGATCAAAGTGGATAGAGAAGAACGACCGGACATTGACGATGTTTATATGAATTACGTACAAGCCACAACTGGCTCAGGCGGCTGGCCACTAAACGTCTTCCTCACACCAGATCTCGAACCTGTATTTGGAGGAACATACTGGCCGGGCCCGCATTCAAGCTCGCAATCACAATGGGGAGTTGAAGGTCCCATTGGATTTGTTGATATTTTGGAAAAGCTGCGCGATGTCTGGCAGACGCAACAAGCCCGGTGCTTAGATAGTGCGAAAGAAATTACTAAACAACTGCGCGAGTTTGCAGAAGAAGGGACACATGTACAGCAGGGAGCTAAAAGTGGTGGTGAAGATTTGGAAATTGAACTTATCGAGGAAGCTTTTCAGCATTTTGCGTCTCGATATGATCCTGTCTATGGTGGATTTGGTCGAGCGCCCAAGTTTCCTACGCCGGCCAATCTCGGTTTCTTAATTCGACTTGGGATGTATCCCACTGCGGTATCGGATATTGTCGGTCAAGATGAGTGTGTACGGGCAACAGCAATGGCAACCAAGACCTTGCTAAATATTGCTCGAGGTGGTATTCGCGACCATATCGGACATGGAGTGGCACGATATAGCGTAACGACCGATTGGCTCTTACCCCATTTCGAAAAGATGCTTTACGACCAAGCTCAGCTACTAGATGTCTATGTGGACGCTTTCCGGGCAACGCATGAACCGGAGCTTTTGGGGGCTGTCTACGATCTTGTGAGTTACCTGACCAGTGAGCCAATACAAGCTTCGACTGGTGGGTATTATTCCTCCGAAGATGCCGACAGTTTACCTTCTCCGAATGATACAGAGAAACGTGAGGGCGCATTTTATGTCTGGACGTTGAAGGAACTCAAACAAGTCCTCGGGCAAAGGGACGCCGGGGTATGTGCGCGACACTGGGGCGTTTTGGCAGATGGCAACATTGCACCTGAAAATGACCCTCACGATGAATTCATGGACCAGAACGTACTTTCTATCAAAGTCACGCCGAGCAAACTCGCAAAAGAATTTGGATTGAGTGAAGAGGAAGTCATCAAAATCATCAAATCGGGAAAACAGAAGTTGCGAGAATATCGAGAAAAAGCCCGTGTACGACCCGATCTAGACGACAAGATTATCGCCGCATGGAACGGACTGGCCATTGGTGCACTAGCCAAAGCTAGTATCTTACTCGAAGAAATCGACACAATCAAAGCACAACAATGCAGAGATTCAGCCCAAAGGGCAGTTGAGTTTATCAAAACCACTCTCTTTGAACCGTCAACCGGTCAGCTTTGGCGCATCTATCGTGACGGTAGTCGCGGAAACACTCCGGGGTTTGCAGATGACTATGCATTTTTGATATCTGGATTGATTACAATGTACGAAGCGACGTTTGACGATAGTTATCTCCAATTCGCAGAACAGCTACAAGGTAAGCCTTACCCTCTCCCCCCTCCTTCTTCCCAGTGCAGTAAAATGACTGACAGAACAGAACATCTGAATAAATACTTCATCGCCCCGGGCGACGAACCCGATACATACGCCGGGTACTACACCACATCCTCCGAACCCATCCCCGACGAACCAGGTCCATTACTCCGACTCAAAAGCGGCACTGACTCCGCAACACCATCTATCAACGGCATAATCGCTCGGAATCTAGTTCGCCTGGGTTCATTACTAGAAGATGATACCTACCGACAACTAGCGCGCCAGACCTGTAGTACATTTTCAGTAGAATTAATGCAACATCCGTTCCTGTATGTGAATCTCCTCGATGCGATGGTTGGACTGGAGCTAGGAGTACGAAACATCACCGGTGTCCTGGGGACGGCTATCGTACCTACAACGATCCAGAAAGATGAGACACCCGCCGCAGCGGAGGTTATTCGTGACCGTGTCCGCGCAGAAGCTGGATACGCGACATCGACATCTGTAACGACTGTGTCTGTAATCGATATCCGCTGCTCATCATCATCATCATCATCATCATCATCGACGACAAAATCGACGATAAAATCTACATGGCTCCAGACACGAAATCCGTTATTCAAAGATGTCAAACCTGGGACTCCGCCGAGGAATTATTTACTTGTTTGTGAGATGGGGAGTTGTCGGGTTGTTGATATTTAAACGAGACGTGTACTGTTATCATTTGGTTGGATATGTTTGGGTTATTCTGTGTGTTCGAGCTATTTAGGGTGTTATTATATGGATGAAGTGAGTCATATTTCTCAGAGATTAGATATATTGCAGTATTGAATTAGGGGGTTGTTTTTCTTCGAATACGTAATCTCTTATCATCCACTCGACATTTCTGGGAACACAACAGCCTCTGTTCGATATTCTACCCGTCTCATAACCAGGTTTTATAGCTAACTCAAGACAATTCATATATACAGTGTATAACTACGACTCACCGCATACCTACTTTAAGACCGAAAGAAAGGAAGGAAAAAGTGAAGACTGCTTTGATTAATCAAAACTCTTGGTAAAAATACGCAACCAGCATTAGAAAAGAAATGAAGTAATTTTTATTCAAAAAATTTGCCCCAAAAAAAAGGATCTTCCAGAGATGGGAGAGAAGAAGAGAAGAAGAGAAGAAGAGAAGAAAAGAAATGGAATAAGTCCGAAAAGCGAAAGCATGTACATGAATATAAACGTCAAGAACGGTACGGTACATGTCGGTACTTTGTCAGATAATTGTTGACTATGGAATCAGACGATGTACTGATACGTATCTGACTTTTGTATATACCATAGTATGCATTTTAAGAGGCGACGACCATGGCGTTGCCCTTGGGCTGTAAGACGTTGTCTGCATATTCACCGCCGTAGTTACCTTGTCACACATTGTCAGTATTATTCCGTTTTTTCGATACAATCAAGGATACGTACCGGCTGGATAGTAATTGCAAACGGTAAACGGCAAGGCCAGGGAAGAATGCGACTCCGCTAGAGGCTGACAGGTCACGGTAGCACAGCCAACACTGGTCGTATCCAACCACACAATCTGACTAAAGTGACCCCATTTCTCAAATTTGGACATGTCCGGGTTGGCTTGGCCGTAGAGATCTTGATAGAACATCATTTCGTCGTTGTACATCATGTTGGTGATGATTTCGTCGACTTTATCAGAGTCGATGCCAAAGGCGATGTTTTGGCCGTAGTTGGCGGCGGGGCCGAGGGAGCTATAATACTCATTAGTTTTGTTCTTTGCTTTTGTTTCTGTTTCTATGATAGATATCGAGATACTTACGTATCATGGTGGTAGTCGCAGGTGTTGGCCAATTTGAGTGCACTCTCAGCCAAGGTCTCGTTCCAGGTAAGAGCTGGAGCGGAGTGGTTGGAACGGTGGATGTTGTGAGAGTTGAGGATCAAGGATTGGTAGCTGGAACCAGCGCTAGATGGGGCGACGCTAGGAGAGGTAGAGGCAGAGGTAGAGGTTGAGGTTGTCGAAGGTTCGACAGGAGTTGGAGCAGGTGCTGCTGCAACAGTCGTGGTAGGTTCAGGAGCAACAAAAGTGGTGGACGAAGATGAAGGCACGACCAAAGTTGTCGAAGTAGAGGTGGAAGTCAATGGCGGACGCGGATATTCATTGTTCAAATTGGCAGCTCCGGCAACGGGGACGGTGGTCGGTGCAACAGAGGTGGTGGATGCAGGCACAGTAGTAGTAGCAGCAGCTGGAGTATAACCAGGAGTTTCAGTAACGGTGATCGTGACCACAGTGACCTCGATATCAGTGACCAAGACACGCATGTTGAGCGGACTGGCAACAGCACCCAAGGCACACAAAGCGCCAATGATCAATGAACCCTTCATATTGTCGGTGTTTTCGGTGTATATGGAGTATATGGAGTATATGGATCAGCTTCCAACTTCTAGAACGGTACAGGTTGACTGCAGAACAGACTGGCTTCTCCAGGAAGTTGAGTGAGTGGTGCTCGAGATGGCGACGAGGATGATGATGATGATGATGATGATAAGGACCGGCTAAGCAGATCGACTGCTATGAAAACAACGCTGTAAAGGAGTGAACAGCGAGGACGAAAAGAGGCAGATGGGAGAAAGAAAGTAGAGTGTCGAAGGAACAAGTTGAAGGAACAAGTCGAAGTTGAGGTTGAAAGGAGAGATATACTTGGGAAGCGCGGGAGTGGACCAGGGCAGGAGCGGGTCTGTGCCGATCTTGAAATTGCGTGGGAAGCCACCTAATAATTACAGTGGAAACAGACAATCAGAGAGACCCCGTACTAAGAGTGTTCAGACCAGCAGAGTCTTACGAAAGTAATTGACATGAGAGGTCTGCCGTCTTGGTGTATTAGTAGTAGTCGAGAGTCCCTAGCCCTTGGCATCTACATCATAGCACTACTATGTATATGGTCAACGATGGCGGGGAGATCGATCGTCCGACTGACTATCACTGGAGCGTGGGCACCGCATGTTTAACTGTTTCGAAAAGTTTCGGCCCTGTCGTGTCACTCTATCAGACGAAAATGAAGGGGTGTGTCTCTAAGAGCCTGATTGGCTGGTTCCCCTGAATTTCAACCGACGGGATTAGCCGCGCAAATGATTGGCCACTGTGCTGTTTCTTAATCTGACTGCCGTTTCACCTCCGCTTTGGCAGACAGGCCTTCGAGGCTTCGACGCTTCACGCTTCACGCTTCACGCTTCAGCTTCGACTACGTACACAAAACAATATATGAATGTTACTCGGCGCTTATCGAATCGTGTAAGTCTAGATTACTCCACATGTGTCACTGTGTGCTGGATACTGTACATTCCACAGCGCATTCCGTACTAGCCATATGCTGACGACGATACAGAGAGAATATGTCAGCCACAAGCAAAATCTCAGTTTCACCTTGATGAACGAAACCCTGTGGATTCCGCCCCGCCCGAATGACCTTAATTTTGCCTTCTGTCCAATCAGCTGCGGTGCACTAACTCTATCTGGGACAAAACGGGCCAATAGGATCTGGATTACGCATGGTAAGCCTCAGGCATGCGTCGGAAACTTCGGTTAAACTACCATCGAGTATGCTCAAGTTATCGCAGTGGATTCAAGACGGTCGAGTAGAACTAAATGCATGGATTGACTAAATGTATGAAATGAGTGTCCTCATATATCCATCCTTCAACATAGTCGTTCTAACTGGCTATGTTGGCTATGTTGGCTATGTTGGCATATCCATATCCCCTTTGGTTATGTTACCCTAACCCTAATGATCACGGATAATCCATCATGCATTAGTTCCCGTAGCCAAGATCGACTTCTATTGGCTGTTATTTCTTGATTCTTCTAACACATACAGTATCTAGTGGTATATCTCGTCTGTGATGCATGGGCCTGAACTTATACGATAACCTAGTATGAGGCTTGTTCCTACCTATTTTTGAATTGCTCAGCTATGTCAGAAGCTTGTCGCGGTCTACGCTCAATGTTCAAAGTTCTCAGCTCTCTGCAAGGACTGAGTCCGAAACTGTTGGTAGCCAAACCACCAAGTAGCGGTATCCCGTCGATAAGCTGATAAGATTCAGTCTCGTCCTGGTCCTACAGAACCGGCGATTTTCGTTATGTTGCATTGGTAACTTGGCTCATACAAATCGACAAGATTCTCTAAAGAGCTATCCCAACATCAATAGTAACCACCATGTTGGAGGAAGAGCTTTTTGATTGGTAAGGCCTAATTATAGATAACAGCTGTTGGTTCATGACGTACGTCACTTTGAATATTGCCGGCAGAATGTCTACCGCTTAGGATCTGGGGTTTATCTATTGGCTGTTGGTACTTCTTGGCCAACTCTTCTCCTTGAAAAGCAGGCGGTGTGTTAAACCTGCATGATATTGATGTTGGTTCAATTAACTAAAAACATTAGCTTTTCGTAATAGTATATAAACACACAATTATTCCTCATTTCAAAGCAATATGCCGACTCCCAAGAGCATATCTAAACAATGTCCAAACAAAGAATCCAACAACTCCCGCTAGACTCCCACAGAGGTCACGATGCCATCTTCAACGCATCCTATCTCGGCGACATTCCCAGCGCGCTACAAGAATGGAATTCAAAACGTGTGCTACTCGTAGTCAGCAAGGCTCTCGACACAAAAACCAGCATTGTCTCAGACCTAGAAGCTCGCCTCACCGACAGTGTCAAATTGGAGCATTTACAGAAGAAAACCGGCGTAGGAAGCCACTCCCCCTACGCCGATATCATCGACATTGCCAATCGAGTACAAACCAACAACATCGACGCAGTAATCTCCCTAGGCTCAGGCTCATATTCCGACGCCTGCAAAATCGCAGTTATGCTAAGCGCAACTCTTCAACCGGGCTTCACAGAGACAGACATGGAGAATCTAATTGATCAAAAACATGGTCTCGCCGGGTACGAGAAATTGAATGTCCCCACGAGTTTGAGCGCGGGGGAATGGAATTCGTACGCCAGCGGGACAAACTCTAGGGGTAAAAAACAGCATTTCGGACATGCCAGTGGCTCTCCGACGTTGATTCTGTGTGATCCGCGAGTGGCGGCTACGACGCCGGCTCATCTTTGGTTGGCGTCTGGTGTGAGGGCGGTCGATCATTGTGTTGAGGGGTTGGGTAATGTGAAGTGTCATGAAGAGGCGTTTAGGCATTTTGAGAATGGCTTGAAGTGTTTGTTGGAAGGGGTTGGTGAAGTATCACGATGGGTTCGATGGTGATGGTAGCGGGGATAGGAAGGAGTTGTTGGAAGGTATTTCGGAGTGTCAAGCAGGTTCGAGAAAGGCCTTGCTTCCGTTTATTAAGTGGCACGTGTCTTTTGGGGCAAGTCATGCTATCGGGCATCAATTGGTTAGTAGGCTCCTATGAGATCTTACTCTAGATACTAACGGACTGTCTCATTCCAGGGAAGCGTTGCTGGTGTTCAGCATGGTACGTTGATTCCCACTCTATCTTTTGCTATCTAATACTAACTAAGTCGCAGGAGTAACGGTGAGTTCATCACATATACTACGAATACCCCAGCTAAGTAAAACAGAGTTGCATCCTCCTCTCCCCCGTCCTGGAATATACCACCCACCCGGCCAGGCTCCCACGACCAAGTCCTGAGCATCTTCAACAAGACCCTCAACTGGCACGAACAGTCGGCTTCAGATGCAGTAGCCAAATTCGTCAAGCTCCTGGGCCTACCAACCCGGCTGTCCGAAGTAGGGGTCACGAACGATGAGCAGATCCGAAAAATTGCGGAGATGGCTTTGACGGATGTTCTCGCTCGTGATAACGGGTTGCCAGCGTATGAGGGGATTGTGGAGATACTTGACTCCGCCAGGTAGATCGACTGCTAGAAGGCATATTAGAAGTGGTTGGAAATGTTGGAATTTCTGGTAAGTCGGGTTGCAGATGGGGATTGAGTATATTGTAAATACCTAGGGAGCTCTACTCTATGTAAGGTCTAATTGCGTCTAGAGCCAGCTACTACCAATGGGCCATATCGTGATTAGAGGGCCTGGATCATTTGTAGGCGATGTTAATGAGAGAAGATGCATCATGCATTCAAACTTTGCAGAAAATAGGGCAAACCAGGCATATACCAATCTCTCACAAAATTTGTATAGCACTTCCCCTAATGGTTCCGACTGCTAGTACTTGTGAGTTTGTAAGTATTCAATTGTGGCAGGATTTCATGTAAATTCATCAATCCCCTCTTGATTGAATTGGCCCACAGGGGATTGTGGGCCAAATGATTTCGAGCGATTAAGGTATATATTCCAGCTCTACATAATTGATTATAATCACTCATTATCCTGAAACAGAGTTTCGCTTCTTAGAATGGCAAGAAATAGCATTGCCTTTTTCCTTTCTGAATTGCAGATAGACGGCATAAAGTCTGCATCCCCACAGTCTCTACACCTCCAAGCATCATCAAATCTAGAAGTATATAAAAGCTCATATCAGTATTAAAAAACATACTTGTGTTTTCCTTTTTCTGTGCCCAACGTATCATGTGCAGACTGTTATGCTTATTACCCAGGTAAGTCATTTCATAACCTGCAATTGAGCGTATTTTCTGGTCCCATCTTTGAGGAACTAATCGAGATGTTCACCTAAGGTGGCAGAGAGAAACTCTATCTCAAAGCTGGTAGAGACAAAGCACTATAGAAAATTGATTTTCACAAGTAGAGGCTTGCTCGCGCGTTGATACTTTTCTAATGTTGCATCAATATTTAGAATGAGAGCTAGATCAGCATTCTACAAGTTATTGAACAATCAACAAAAACAAGAATCAAGTAGATAAAGAAAGACTACATTTAATTTTTGCGAGTCTAAATACATATGAGCTCATCTTAGCTTCACCCGAAGGCTACTAATCACCGGCCCTGTGTAGAAGGGGTGAGCTCGTCGCCGATGGCCCACCCACCTATGTCACGTCAGCATAAAATGCAGATGAGAAACTCATGAACTGCGCCATGTAGAAATCCCCAGATCCACCCCAGATATCCCTCATCTTGGTTGGATTGTACGCTGGCAGCAATCGGCGAAGCGCAGAAAGATACTCCATTCCCTCCAACGGTTCGGCAGCGTTTCTCGATTTATTCTGGTGTTGCGTTCACAGGGCAGGGCCTTATCTCCTTTAGATTCAATTGACATACATCCCAATGACTCAGGCAGTCTATTCCAACCCTGGAAGTCTCTCATCCATTTTTGCTGAGAGGGCAATCATAGTCGTAGAAGCCCGAACGGAGAATGTATTATACATTGCGTTAGCCAGAAAAGAAGGGAGTTCTTCTGTATTTAGCAAGACAATTCTATCGTTATCGTCAACATCCCCATACGGATTGACTCTCATCGCTGTTTTACCGTAAAGAAGCGGTGATTCTGATATCCTTCAATAAACAGTCATGAGAGAACCCGTGGATATTCGCATATATCTTTGATACGATCGGAATCAACGACCTTATAACCTTGGGATCCATACCAACGATGACCCAGCCAGCAATCATGATATCATATATTATGATTCGGACCTATATTCCTCATCACTTATTTTGTCTCGCTCAGCTTACTAGAGTCGATGGGCTCCTCACTGCTACAACATATTCTGATTTGACTTTTGTAGTCTTAAGTAGGCCATCAACCATGCTGCTCTTAACACTAAGGTATGACGCAAACTTTGCATATTTGAAGTATTATTGTAACCAGTCCGTTTCCATAACTAGCAGGATACGTATATTTAAATGTAGGCCAGATGATTTGCAAATAGTGTCTCTTCATGTAGTACATCTTTCTAATATGGAATCTGGCGTGTCTGCTGCTTTAGCACTCGGCGCTGAAGCTGTAGTAAAGTTAAACAAGTTGCTGAAGGATACTCAAACAGCAAAGTCTTGGTATGGTGATTTTTATGATATGTTTACTAGCAATCAATTATGTGTCTGGAATGGGCGCCAGATTAATCGCGTTTTCGTCGTCAAGAAAGAGGAGTGGGTACCCGTGATAAGGAAATGTCTTGATGACTGCCATAGGTGGCTTCCTCATTCTAACGGAATGCTCTTGGCTTCATATTTATCGGGCGGTATGTGAAAATCGACTGAAGAAGGGTAAATTCCGTCTCTTTTCAGGTTCACTGGAAATACCGTATCTCGAGAACACCATGTCGTCTCTCTCGTCTCTCGGCTCTATTTCCTCTTTACCTACAGCTAATCTAGACTCCTAGGGTTTGATAGTCCTGGCATTGGCAAATGGAGCAAATGTGGACTATGAGGATTCCGGGAAAGGTGGCTTTGTTGCGTCTTTGGATGCCCGGGATTTTGTCATCACGATTCAACGGGACAGTGCCGCCACGCAAATGACAGGACACCTCGAGCCTAGGGATCATCCAGAAACGAGTTGTCGAGTGATCTCTGAACCAAAATGGACCAACCTCCTGTGGTATGGACATACATTTGAGGAAGATGACCCTATCATGAGCTGGCCTCGTATTGACGAGCAAGGGGGTCCGCCTGAAGATCTGGTGGAAGAAAAATACCACTTTGCGCTCTGTAATATAGTGATGGATGATGCTAGACGAAAACTTCTTGCAAAGAAGCTTCGTGAAAGCATACATCAGTGTCATCAAGCCTGGGAACAAGTGGAGAACGAAAATAAACTCCGTGGTGTTGAAGCAGATGAAGTCAAAAAGATCAAGGAAAACCTCAGGAAGAAGAAAGTTATACTATGTGATGAGAGAGGGACAGATTATGTCTTAGAACAAACGCCTGAAGACACCCTTGACTATGCGAAATCGCAGCGGCAGCAGGCGGATTCCTTTGGGGAAAGATACAAGCAGCGAGATTTGGTGGGACATCATAAAAGAATCTATGCTCTAACGCGACTTCTGACCCTTCCTAAGATACTTAACAAAAATTTAAGTACCAGATCACGGGGCATAAACGTCGCCTTAGCATAGCTCTGCAGGGCGACCAAACTGCCGAGGACATGTGGTAATCCTGCTGGTTACTGTCAACAAAATCGAGTTATCTAACCTGTCCGAACATCGACAAAACTAGACCCAGGAAATATATGCTATGGACCGCCTTACTTATTGAATTCCTTTTCGCAGCTTTCAGGAAGGAAAACTTCGGCCCATCTGTGGCCGCTTGATGCCTTAAATAATCATTTTTGAGGGGGCTAAGTAGGCGACCTTTGTGAAGGTGAAAATAGGCACCTTAAAAAGTCCACGAATACATGTAACAGGTTTAAGTTAGCCGGGTTTGTAACATGACCCTATCAAATCATGTTGGCCTCAAAGTTATGTGGCCCATTTCTTGAACATCAAAATTGCTCAGTTTATAGAGTGCGAGCGTTCTTCTCCGCAAGCTTTCTCTTCACGAAAACATCAAGAGTGTTTCTCTCTGTCGAGGTGAGCAGTTCTAATCTATCCTCCAGGTCACCGTCCCCAAAGAACCGGCGATCGAACTTTGCTCAATATAGCATATCAAAAGCCCAGCTTCTTCTTGCAGCATAACAAACCCCGAAATCCCCATTCTGCCAACTTTTCAGCATATGTTGTGAAAGGCCATCACCTTCACTTAGAATTTTCCGTTCGATTAACTCATCCTCCTTTTCTGTAGCTCTTGCAAAAATACTGGAAGGCGCCTCCCATAAAGTCCTGTCCATTCACCAAGGACCCCTTTCCAGTATTCTGGGCGCTCTAGAAGTAGCCACGACGGTGGGCTGTATACGAACTCCACTAGAGCGGCGTATGAGAATTCCCAATCAATCGCGCCCACTGCTTAGAAGCCGAACTGAGAATTTGCAAGTACATTTGCGGGTCGAAAATCGTCACAGAGAAGCTTGAAGGGACCCTGATCGTAAGAACATAAGCGATTTTCTCGGGCCAGTTTCCGGAACAAACATCTAGCGATATATTTGCGTCTGCAGTCTTCCGGTGATTCGACTGCATCATTGCGCTGTATAGATAAGTGGGCATGCGCATCTCTGCAAGTGCCAGGAGGTACGCAGAAGCAGTCCTAAAGGTCTGCGGTAGCAGTTCCAGAGGTAAACCTCCAAGTTGAACAAGTTCGTTCATATTTAGAGTGAGAGGACGGTACGCAGCTACCCATTCATCATCAAAATCGTCGTCTTCCTGATTTTTGATGGAGCCAATTTCGTTGAATGGATTTTCTGGCCAGCTGGAATAAGATATCTGCCATATCACTATATGCCGATCGCAGTCTGCCAGTCGATCTTCTGGAACATTTGGATCTAGAATACACCGCTCATCAACTTGGAGACCCGGGGTATTTAGTGCATCAACGAGGTCCGAATCGTTCTCAATAAATTCCATGATGATGAAAGGCCCAGGTCCGACTGGGCTCCGGTCGGCCATGCCGTAATAAAGGACATAAGGGACACATATGCTGGTATGCCGCTCAATAAATCGCATCACAGACATTTCCTGTTGGGCCTTCTCTTCGGGAAACATAGAAACAGCGGGGATCGGAAAGCGGATCATAGCAGAACCGCCATCTAGAAACTTCATACGGGACATTATATTGAATGACACTTTTTGTGGATTAAACAGTTCTTCTGCCGGGCTACCTCTGTGCCGGATGACGAAGCCCCCTATCTCTCGAAGGACTTTTTCATTGAAGAGATTCTGTCTCCAGATCTTGAGAGACATTGTCGCTTCGTTCCCCTACAAGATCATCAAACCTCATCCGCTGCTCTTTAGCAATCGGGCCACCACGAGTAAGCTGCATGCTTGACATGATGCTGGAAGAGAGAATCCGAAATCGGGGTGTATCTGTATTTGACGCATACAAATTATAAACAAATTGGACGGAACGGGAGGCCAAGGGCAATCTATGTAGTATATTGATGCTGCCGTCCGATATGGATCTGCACTGGAAAGAGTCCGTGTCGCTGATATAAGCACACCGCTTATAGTTATAAGCTCTGAAAAAATGCATCTAACGCAACAACTTCGAACTCCTCTCGAACTCTCTGGAGCTTTGTACGGAATTGTACGAGGTTGGGTCTCACACGAGGCTTTAAGAAAGGTTGAAGAACAACGGAGGTTACTCGGGAGGAATCCACCTCCGTCCTTAATATGTACGGGTATCTTTACTCGAGTCTATGGGCTCCCATGCTTACATGTACTGGATATGCGTCAAGGCGAGGCTCTTCTCCTGGAGCATTTTCACCCGCATTGGCATTTGAGACGTGACCGGGCTCCGCAATTACTCCTGAGCCTCGCCAGCGAATTGAGCCAGTTAGAGCTCAAAGCTCTATCTCAAGGTTAAGTACAAAGCGAGAGCCGAGTCACTCCGAAGTCGTCGAGACTCAAATAGCAAAGCGTAGAGCTTCAAGCCAGTATACAAAGTGTAACGCAATTGGTCATACAAGGACCTCTAAAGCATGCCCTCTACGCTATTCAGATATGCTATAATATATAATCGTAATTCGTATTGCGATAGGTGTTGAAAAGCGCTTTTGGTGATAAAGTTAGTGGGGGGCTATAGCCTATAGCTGCGTTAGATGCATTTTTTTCAGGGCTTATATCAGCGACACGGACCCGTGCATCTAGTGGGAGCCCAATTCTATCTATCAATTCTATGGAAGCACAAAGTAGTAAATTCTACTGGTCAGGCGCGGAGCCCCTATAATTAAGGCTCCGGGTGTGCTCAGTTCTACTCAGTGAGTAAAAGCGGCGAGGGGGTGAGCACTAAAATGGAACAGGAAAGTCGAGAAGCGTCAAAGGTAGGTAAATCTCTTGTTTCTATGACATATCCACATGTATATGGTATATAGCTCGGTATAAATCAATCACCTGGGCAGATGCAACGCTCATTGTAACGATAGAACGCTAGATAATTTTTTCAAAATGCATTTTATAAAGTCTCCGAGGGATATTAATCCTGGGATGCCTTCTCACGTCCCTTCAATTTCAAGCAGATCAAGGAGGAGTAAGTCATCTCGCCCTCTCGGGTCTAAACAAATTCTCATACTCATCAATCAACAAGTCTCTCACGGTTTTTGCCAACGGCCATCTCGCCGCGAACTTCTTCAGAACTCCCAATGAGTTTCCGAATTCATTGGAAAGTCTTTCCCTTAATGTCCCATCAAGGGTAGGGAGTAACAAGGCAGCCATTTCGACGAGCATGGCTAATGCGATTGCATCGATGATTAGGGGACTGTTTCCGCGGACGAGGCGGGGGTTGTTGAGTTGGGTTGCGAGCTGTTTTGCGGTTGATATTAGGTGCATGCTGGATGGGTCGGAGGTTATTAGTTTGCTGTGTAAGGAGTTGGAGATGGTGGAGGTGGTGGACAGTTTGGAATGGAGGATGAAGCTGCTCGGAAAGACGGGTGTGCTTGGTCCGGTTGACGGATATGATGGTGATCTGGGATCTGGGGAGAGGTTCCTTTGGAGTTTGATGGGGGTGAGTTTGGAGGTTTGGCGGTAAAAGTATATCATTGCTCTGGCGATATTAGACCTCCATATCTTGACATCTGGACTTACAAGGACAATGGGTACTTACGAGCAAGCGATAACTTTGGTCTGCGAAAGCATTTGCGCTATATGATCTGGTTGTGCGCCAATTCCCCCAATGGAAGCTTTGTGGTCTACATGTTCCATCAGCTTTGGGTAGAACTTCTCCAGCTCGTTTGCAGTCGTTGCATCTTTGCAAGAAGGCCGGAGAGAAAGCACGGAACCCAAAAAATGTGCTGCAGTGATTCGATAGGCGAATGAAGGTAATGGATCAACGAGTTGGGCTCGATTATTGCAATGATCGAGGAGGTCTTGAATTGTGTATTTGTAAGTTGATGACTTGGATCCTGCAGAGTTAGTATATCCTCACCACTAAAAGCTTTTCAGCTACATACCGTTGAAATATGTACATCCATCATCCCTTCATCACATGGCAAGGGTATATCAGACCCAACCTCGTACAACGTTGCACTCTCTTCGACCAATGCGCACAAAAGGCTCTCGACGACAAACAACTCCCAATAACATCGACGCCACATCTCTTCCAGCATTGGAGACCCGTGGCCATGTGCAACAGCGAATGATTGCGTGTGCATACCGAGGTTAAGAGCGAGGCTGGCAGTAGATTTGATGAGGCGGATTGCTTCGAGGAAATTGCCGTGGGCGTGGGCGGTTATGGAGAGGAGGAGCATGCATTGAACTTGATAACCATCTTGTTCTTCTTCTGCATGTGATAGGCAGGAGAATGCTTCTTCTTCGAGCGCCCGGTTTGCTTTTTCTTCGTAATTATTGGATTGAATTGATCCGTCCGATATTGCTCTCCTATGGTCACCTCGGGTACTAGATTGATCTTCTCTTGGGCTTGTATTGATGGTCAGGAAATGGCTTCCGATGTATTGCATTACCGTAGTAAGTTTTCGAGGGATGTGTTGTGTTCCGAGGGGTCCTTCGAGAGCCGTCAACGGAAGTAATAGGGGGTGTGCATCGTGGAAATATTGATAGTATGCCCGGATGTAATAAGTGTAATGCAGTTGCTGAATCTTTTGACTCATTGCGTTCAGTCCTCGCTGGTGTAAGTATTCTGGATGCTTGTCGTAATCGAGGTCGCGGTTATTGTTGTATTTATAAGAGTACAGGCCCTGAAATAAAGGAGCTTGGACCGTCGAATTCAGGGCCTTAACTGATGAAGGAATTTGCTGAATGTGCTGCGCCATGTCGAATGATATCAAATGCGTATAGAGCTGATTTCTGTCCTTGGGTGTATTTTATTGAGCGAAGACAGTGCTCAGTCTCAAACTGAAATCGGTATGTCCTTCCAGACTCTGATACGTCTATCACGAGTTTGCATTATGCCTCTGTGAAGAGTTAGGGCATCAGACTGTCGATATTAGAGGCTCCACAAACAGCGATCAATCCCACCCAGTTGCACCACTTGTAGATACAGGGCTGGAAATACTTGTAGATATGACGCGCCGAATGTTTCGGAAAAGTAATGACAGTCAAGTCACCTGAGTAAATCAATAGATGCCTCCTCGTGACTCTGGATCACAAAATCCGTATGTTGCCGCAAATTTATGGCGGAAAGTCGCTCGGATCGGGAGACTTGACGAAACCCTACTTCAGTGTTGGAGAGATCCGTCCAGCGAATGCAGATATCAGCCTCCCTTTCGTATCATCCCACTTCAAACGAGAGACAACGCCGTCTAATTCATGGATACCGAACGGAAGGACTAAAGTGAAACTGACAGATCATCCCATTCAACATTGGCATTAGGGCTCGGTCATGCAACCACTAAGATTGGACCATGATCTTTTCCCTATGCAGATGATGATCACGCTTGTCTAGGCAGAAAGCTTCTAACCCGATGGCAGGACTATAATTATACCAAATATTGGACGGTATTTTGAGTTGGAGCTCCACAATGTCCACATCGAACTGATTCCGGGCTCCAGTTGGATGCGTATACCATGCAGAACCCGGAGAACCTTGGGCTTTGGAACGTGATAAAGGAGGTTGAAAATTTACCGTATCTGGAAATAGGTATACATTTGACTTTCGGTTAACAGGCAGTTAATCCAAGTAGTATGTTTCAAATGTCATAGGGGCCTTCCTTCTAAGGTCCTTAATGTGAAATTGAAGGTGATAAACTAAGTGATTGCCCAATGCCCACAAATCAAACCACGTACGTACGGGCCCCATTCGGCGAGGACAGTTGGAAGAACGCCGACGTCAAAACGCAAACATGCTAGTCACCAGCTTATAACAAACTATAAAACGACCCAATATTACTCCTCGTAATGCGTCTTCTAGAACAATTTCTTGTACTCGGAGTATTAATTTCTCGAGTCTTATGCTTACATGATACATGGTCTGTACCTCGTACAACCACGCACAACCACAGATTTTGAGGACGCATGGCCATGATTTGGGATACGTATATCTATCAAACTCCACTCAAACCCCCTTGCTTTCTTTTCTTTTTCTCTGGCAAATGATTGGCATTGACCCAAGAGTTCGTCATGATCGAACTGAAACACTTCAAACACGGTCAGGAACACCTGTTCGCCTATTCATGAAAATCCACTTTTGAAACCCATACCTTACATTATGTACCAATGTGGATATCTTGTTATCAGACCCGATATCTCGGGCATACTCCGTAAAAACTTAAAAGAGCTATGATGATTGATGCATATGGTCGCCGAACAATAGACCCCGCCGACGCAACTGAGTCATGTTAAAAGGGTCTAAATTCCTCGCTACTCTGATACTGGGTTCTCTCATCAATTTCCAGCCAGGACAAAAAGAAATTAAAAACAGCTAATATGATATGGACAAATTAAGGGATTGACCGGGATCCGTGGGGTTTATCATAGGGCTGGCTGTATTCGGGTTACGTTAATTACATCGTTTATATTACATTCACAGTCATAAATTACGTAATTGTATTACAACTATACACAGTGCACTATACCATATACAGCTAGATTGATATAACATGATTTGGAATTATTTTTCACTCAGATCTGAGTCTCAGCCATTCATTCATCTGAAATCTGAACACAACCTTCAATCGGATTCTCCCGGTGCCTCTAGTTCAAGGAACTGAAACCCAACACGCTGGAAAAATCAACTCCGAGGAGCAGGCATAAATCTTAAATCAGGGAATTGTTTCAAGTTCAGAATGGTCGCCGACCTCGGGGTATACTCATCTGAGACTGCCCTACATTATTTTAACTTCCTAGCCTAACAACAGTGCAGCGTGTTGGGATCGTGACGGATTGGCGCTGCATTTTACGATTCATGCGGTTTGAGTACGTCCGGAGTATGTGGAAGGGTGGTCAATTTTCGTGGTGTGGTTATTCCTCTGATCTCTAGAGATCTGTCTCGGGTTGAGATCGAGCAATACCATATCGATTGATTCGCTAGTTCGAAACCGATGAAGTGCCTCGGTATTAGCACCTTACGTAGCACTGATAGCTGTGAATACTCATGCTGGGGAGCAACATGTGACTCTCCCACGCCCATAACTACTACATGCATGCATGATCGTAGCCAGTGAATCCACCTGTGGACTTACTCATACATAGCTATGTATCCATGGGTATATATGCATCGGTCCGACGTACTCCAAACCATGCTGAACCTAAGGCATGCTTTACGCGTCTCTAATCCAATTAGTCTCCAAGCTTCTAATGTTCTCTCTGTTTTTTTGTGCGCCGAAAATTCGACTCCCGAGGTCATGCTACGTGCCCTATACAAATACCCTGAGCCCTACTCTTGTCCACTCCAGACAAGAATTTCGGTTTCAACGAACGCCATCCTTGGTCACTACCTATCTTAAATGTTTGTCCTACCTACGACGTACGGACGTATTAGCTGGTGATAGGGATGTAGGGATGATCTTCCGTAGATTCTTGTACGACATACCCTAATCACAGCGTATCAGACATACATAATCCGGAGTATGCAACATGGACTGTAGAGATTTGAAAGATGGGGAATGGGGTTGTCTCAAGAACTATTTGCGCAGTCTCCCTCGATGCTCATAAAGTCCAATGCAGATGAAGCATTTAGGCTACAGTACTGACTATCAAAATGATTTGTTACCCACGTATAGAACCGGCTATGTGAACGTGTACGGATGACAAATAACATCTATCCATACGTGTTAGGATAGATTTCGATTCCCTCGAGGTGATTTGACAGCGCAACGAGTCCAACTTCGTGATCTCTTTCTTCGCTGTTTCGAAATCGTGTATCCGATTGTCACGTCGATCTATGTACACACAAGTATCGCATGATCTATCTTGCTTCCTCTCCATATCGATCATGCAACTTTCCTTCTACCAAATGCAACAATAAACACATAGTCTACTATTTACTGCATATTCTTGAGAAGATCAAGTTTATGGCAAGGTAGAAGGCGACACTGCCCGAGAGACACATGTCTTGACGCCGGGACATATCTTGGTCCCGTGCGCAATTGGTTGCACAGCACAGCAGAGCACATGCATATATGCATGTCGAGGATGAAATGTCTAGAAAGTAACATACCTAATTGAGATATGTGCATATTGATCAATGCTAATAAAGTATGTTTTTCGGACCGTACAGTCAGCGTAACTGGGAATTCGAAGCAAGTTGACGAAACCAGGCTTCCTTCTTTGGCCCTTGTCGAGTGATCTCAAAAGACCAGCTCACCCCGACTCAACCTCTGCTATGCGTGGTACCGCCCACCAGTCATGATATCGCCCTGTTGATCCAACTTCCGGGATATCCACCTTGATTAGCAGCGATACTGTCTCGGATTTCTTCCCAGTATTCGGAACAGACGACAACTTCATCTTATTAAAGATCTTGGTAGCTGTCTGAATCGCAATACTAGCGCCTATACATGCTCGGAGTGAGTCCTTTGTGCTGCGTTGCCAGTCAGCTTCTATAGCTGGCCTGCGTACTGATTCACCGCTATTTTGTTGCTTTTGCTGCTTCTTAGAGGTTGGTACAAACGCACCCTGCGCAAGTACCGCTTCCCATGCTTTGCGGGCATCGGCAATTACTCTACTGGCTCTTTTGAGTAGTTCGATGTCAGTCTGACCTTTGAGGGTGGCATTTTCCTCGTACTGATCATATGAGACTAATTCCGGGAGACTGATGGAAAGGAAGGGCTTCATTCGAAGTTCATATCGAAGTCGGGCGCTGGAGTATGCAGATTGTGAAGCTGCATGGGGGAGGACTTTGTGACGCTCAAGGAATACGTAAAGCGCTTGAAGTCCGAGGGAAAATGACTCCGTCGCAATGAGCCATAGACTATGACGACCGAGAGTGGTAAGTGTTCTTTCAAAGGATTCCTCGTTACCTTTGAAACGGGAGCTCCTCCTGCCTTCTGCGTGAACAAATGCTTGTATTCGTTCGATATGTAGTTGGTGACTGGAACACAAGTGGGACAGATACCAATACATTCCAGCAAGTTCTTCCGGGGCGTAGATAGATAGCTCGAATCCCATTTGAAAGATTAGTTGCATCTGTTTTAGTTTTTCATGGTATACCCAGCTGCCGAGTGGATAAGCATATGTTGACTGGCCATTTTCTAATGTTAATGGTACTTCGCCAGTAAGGGGTTGAAGATGTGTGTCGAGTTCTTCGGCCTATACATTAAATGAATAAATAAGCTCCACGCCTTTCAAAAGCGAAGAGCTACGTGACGTACCTCAATTTGAAGATTATCCCATTCCAGGATAGAGTGACACAAGGCACGGCGTACTCGAGATCGATTCAAACAGGAGGTACGGAATGTATCAACGAACGGCTGCCAAGAAACAGTTAGACAAGAATAACCAAGTCCTAAGCAATCCCAACTCACATGAGCAACACGAGCCACAAACGATTCCATACTCTGATGTATCTGAAATCGAGGATCACTAGGAACCTCGATTTCTGCATTATGCTCGTCGAGTAACGAGCTCAACGGTAGTACAAGGTCTCTGAGGTCATCGTAGAATAGCTGCTTGGCCGGTTTAGAGCCCAGTATCTTCATCTCATTCACGATAAATGCTTGCATCAGACAACGAATGTATATCCCTGGTTGTGGTTTTCTCGATGCGATCGTCCAAACGCAGACCTAGGTGATAATAAACAAGGAGATTCAAGTAACACTGTGACAGGATACATACTCTCAAATCACTTGGACTGCTATAGGCCAGTATTTCGTGCATATCAATGGCATCCTGGAAAAGTCGCTTCAAATGGTCGATAGCAGTCTTTATTTCGATTGTCACCATTGGCCGGGGAGGTATCGTGCTCGCCAGCTTTCGCTGGATCTTTAGCGTAAATGAGTCCGGAACGGGTTTCCCAAGAGCTTCCGATTTGTTAAGGGAAGGAATCAGCGCCAAACAGGCCGTAAAAGGCCCTCTGTCATTCGAAAAGGGCGCACCCATATCCTTGCTCAAAGCTGCAAGGAAATGACTCCTTAAACGCAACCTATCAATCAATGCATTTCTCACATCTATGCTTATTCCGTCATTTCCAAGCTTCTGCAGATACTCAACGGCATTTTCGAGGACTTTCTGCACGGGCTCAACGTCGAACTCGCTGAGTAGACTGCGATTATAAAGTTGAGGAACAAAATCCTCTTCCTGAGCAGCATCAGAAACACTCTCCCCTCTAGAGACAAACACATTGGTGCCAACCTCATAGTAATATTCTTGTGTAATCCTCCGATGTACTAAATCACAAGCCTTGACCAACCCTAAACAGTATGCCCTCAGAACAAGGTGGACTAGAGGTATATTTTTCTCGTTTTCCAGTTGCACCCCGGTAGTTCCGCGGTGGAAGGTATATTCGTCGAAGGATTTGGGGACCGGCCAAAGAAGTTTGTCGAGGTATATCGAGGTGAAAAGAGTTTGTGAGAGAGGATGTCCCATGTGCCATGCCATCTATCCCATATTATCTCTTAGTTAAAGACCATTTGACAGTCATAGCGTGGGCGTAAACAAACCTCATGGCATAACAATTGATCCACGAGTCCCAGGACTTCTTCTGGTTGTAGTTCTCGCATCACATCGTAATCATATTCGAGCGCTTCCGCATGACTTTCACCGGGGCCTAGGTATCCACTGTCCATCTTGGAGTCCATGATCTATATCGACGATAATCGTGAGCTTAGTCTCGAGAATTGACATCTCTTCACAACAAACCTCCAACGCCCCGACGGCCTCAAATAAAGTGAATTCCGCATCTTTAACGAGCTCGCCCTGCTTTAATTCTACTCAAATATATCCGTCAGCTTTGAGCCGTAATTAAAGGTCAACATGAAGAAACCGCCGCGGGGAAAAGAGTGACGCACTAGACGCAGCGTTAACAAATTCCCGAGTAATGTCCCGCGCAACCATATGCTGTGTTGGCACCACGCGAGGAGTAACACGAGCTGGGTCATTTGGGATCATGATTTGTGACGGAAAATATATAATGAGATTTATTCCGCGAGATTCGACAAGCAGATGCGGAGGAATGAACGAGGGGAAGTTGCATGTCTTGCGGAGATATTTTCAATGAGTGGAAACAACGGCGGCTGGTGTTCGACTACTGTATGCATGGGTCTCCGTCGCCGAGATCAAGCAAGTCCTACGATCTTGATTTACTTCTATGGCCTCCAATTCATGAGAGTTTACAGTGAAATCAAATTGAGAAGAACTCTATTTCTTCATGGAGATCGACAAAAGAAATAATCTCCAACTATTGCTACAAGAATAAGATTGTACAACGATCCCACTTCCATCCGTCCAGCATTTCCTTTCGCTTTTTGCCGGAACAAACGAGTTATTTTCCTTCTTCCCCTGCTAATCACCATCGAAATCGTAGTTCGTCGTCATCGCATTTATTTCTCGGCTTGAGTAGCTTGTGATTCGGCGTTGGCATCCACGAGCTGCTTGACTTCACCCTGCTTGCCGTTCTGTATCCCAACTTGTCAGTTCCCGTCACCGTCGAAACCTCTGGGGCAAACTGTACTAACCTCCCACTTGGCGAACTTCAAATCGGATTGACCGCGGCGCTCAGCATTGAGACGTTGAGAGTCCTTGAGGGATCGGCGAACCGCGCGCGCAGCAACGGCAAGGTATTTGTTGTAACTGTTAAGGAATTGCTCCGGTTAGCAATTGCGGACCACAAAGCGACAAATAATAATAACAACTACTAGTTTGTAAAGGGTTTGACATACGTTAAGCCAGCGGCTTTCCAAGCGGCAACCATTTTGACTGATTGTGAGGGATATGAGGATGGAGATTCTAAGTGACGGTTGTCAAGCTCATCGCTCGGGTTCGAGTGGAAGGAGACGAAAAGTCCGCCGGGATGTCACGTGTATCCAAGTCACGTGATATATCTGGGTATGATACTATGATGTGATCTTTAGAAGACATAATTAATTTTATGTCAAAGGTCAGGTCTAGTAATAATGGAATCATTCCATATAGTTTTGCACTTTCAGGTAACTCTTTGTTGTGTTGGGTGGTTATAGAGAGAGGACTAATCGTCAGTAGTTTATATGCAACACCACGACCCTTATATAGAAGCTTCATGTATTCTTAACATTAAAGTATGAATTTCTGTTCTGATAAATAGCTATAGAAAAGTAAGACCTTTATGACTTTATAAGTGTAGCCAAGGTCTTTGTGTAAAATAAGTGAGAAATCACAGCTTTCTCACATATTAAACTTCACATTAGCTCCTCCCAGCTTGAGCATCACGATATCACGATCAGGCCTCCTTTTAATGTAGTGAGCATAATGTCCAGCTTAACCCCACCTGGGCAATCGAGGCAATGGCCGTCAAAGAAAATCTTCATCGAGGATTTTTCCTTCAGCTCTCTCTGTCTTCTCTCTCGTCCCTCTCACTTTGGCCTTTTGGGGATGTCATAACCTTGACCATATAGACAGTTTATCTTCATTTTCGACTCGTTTTGATAGATTGTCGAGATTCATTTTGCTTCTCCTTCTCTACAAACTCCAAATTGAGAGAAATCTCTCTCAGACCTGGCCGTTGAGCGAGAAATCTCGACGCGTTCACCTCACTTTATCCTCTTCAGTCTCTAACCTTTTGGCATCCTCACTTTGTCTTGAATGCTGCTTTATACTCTTTCGATCCAAAACCAACTCTTTGAGCTCAGATTTGACACTCACGCGAGCTATTGACGCGAGATCAAGTCAAAATGGTACACGAAAAGAAAGCTCTGAATCGCCCGCCGACGCGTAAGTTGGTACGTTGGAATGGTATGTCTCACTCTGAATCTTCAGTCATCCAAGAAATACAATAACTGATGCGTTCAGATGATCTCGATAAGCTACTCCTTCTCACTATCCAATCTGTCTGCAACAGGGAAGGTGTGAAGATCCCTTGGGCAGAGGTGGCCAAGTCTATGGGAAACAATGTCACTGAGGGAGCAATCATTCAGCATCTTGCCAAGTTGCGTGTTCGACGTGTCGAGAAAAACAAGCAAGTGCCTCCTCCTTTACGTCGCGGTGGTGGTCCGTCTGGTGCTTCCAGGTCACCAGATGCTCCCGTGACGCCTGTCTCTCCACAGTACGCAGAAGCCGTGACAGAGCGCCGGGTGAGCCAGCAGAACCAGCCTGAAATAAAGAAAGAGAAGCGTAGCTTCAGCAATGTCAGAGATGAGGTTTCAGACAGCGACGAGGACTGGACCTCCGATAGCCCTAGTAAAAACAAAAAAGCCAAAAAGAAACGTCCCCAGAAGAAACGGAAGACCACCCCTATGGAGCTCGAGCAATCCTTCGAAGAGATTAATCTTGAGGATGATGCCACAGAAGGTGTTGCCGGTGCCTTCCAGAGAAGCGATGAGTTGGTGGCCGTGGGTGCCAACTATCTTGAGTTTCTCGGTGACAGCAGCAAAGCGCAAGACGATGATCATGCAGCTGCTCTTAGCGAGGATGAAGATCAGCTAGAGACCAAGGAATCGTTGGTCATCACACTCAAACCTGGTACCAACAACATGCGTCGGCTGAAGTACAAGGGGACTGGTGTATTCCAAGACAGAAACCCTGAACAGCGGTGGGAGTTGCCTCCACCTGGTCCAAACGGTCAAAGCTGGGGCTTCAGCAGGGACTATTATGGGCCAATCCCTCAGTCCGCTCAGCACTCAAATAACCCTGGTCTACTCCGCGGAGAGTGGCCAATTGAAGTCGCCATGAGACAATATGAAGCACCTCAAGCAGTGACGTGGTCAAACGAGACTTACCATCCAGACCCAAGACTTGTACATCCAGCCATGGTTCTAGAGGATCCGAACTGCAAGCCTCAATTGAAGTTCCATCGCAAGTTGCGCGCCGCCGAAGAGGCAAATGCCGAAGCTCGTGCCCGCGACCAAGCACAGCCAGCATATCAAGTGTACGTCAACAAACACAGGGAACTTCCAAGCTATGGCGAATCAAGTTGGACCGCTCTCGTCACGAATCCATCCCAGACTCTATCCAACAGTTTTCATACTTCTCTCCCCCAAACTGAAGGACGATTGGATACCCGTCAATTCTTGGATCCCCAAAACTCTGGAACAAATGATAACCTAATGGATCATTACAATGAGGTGCCGCCTGGTAAGATTTTTGCTATTGAAATGCTTGGCGATAATATCGTCGAAGAAGCAAAAGAATTGGACTGGTGGTAACACTAATCACAACGGATACCCAGTGAAAAACCGCGGCCCTGAAGATCCAAAGGACCAGCTAGTAAATAATGAACAGGACCACGGAGTCGACTCGGTCGAGACCTCAGCCTTTGACACGGCCATCGAGAGCTATTTGGGACCCATCCATTATGACGATGATATTTTCAACTCATTTTGACACGATGACGAGAGGCGTTTGACCTTTTCATTTGTTTTGCGCGCCTTTTAGCAATGGTGCTAGTGTTTTGGTGTTTTGTTTTTGAAAAGTCTCTGGGGAAAGAAGAACGCGGTGGTGGACCTTTGATGCTTGCTACTCATAGTCTCACACCACATACGGACGTGTATTCTCTCCATGGTACCCGATTGTTTTCAAGTTTCTTGGAGAAACTGTTTCGCAAAAAGTACATTACTAATTCTTCATGTATTTTACAATTCCTCACGAATAATGACACTGAATTGACTCGAAATGGCGGAGATCCACGTGACTTGCCGATTCTATGAGGTTCTCCGTGCCTCAGGCCGAGCCAAGACAATCCGGGGAATCTAGAAGAAGCTGGAAAATTTTCGGTATTTTGGCCGGTTCATCTTCCTTCTTCTCTCCATCCTCAATTTCATCCTCCATACTTGCGACGTCCGGCTGGCTGTGTTGCTCTATATTCTATTCCTTTTAGTCCTTGTATTTGTTTCTTTTATAACGCCTTCACAATGCAGCGCGCTCTCTCATCCAGAACATCCGCGCTCACCCGAGCTCCTTTCTCCAAGCTCAGAACCTCGGGTGTCAGCCTGCAACAACAGCGATTTGCCCACAAGGTGCGTCTATATCCATCGAATTTACACGTACGACGACCAATACGCAGTACTAACTCATACTAGGAGCTCAAATTCGGTGTTGAAGCTCGTGCCCAGCTCCTTAAGGGTGTCGACACTCTTGCAAAGGCTGTCACTTCCACTCTCGGGCCAAAGGGTCGCAATGTCCTGATTGACCAGAGCTACGGTTCCCCCAAGATCACAAAGGGTGCGTGATATCTCTTGTAACCACTTTGATAGACGGTACTGACTTCCGTAGACGGTGTTACTGTCGCCAAGGCTGTTACCCTTCAAGATAAGTTCGAGAACCTCGGTGCCCGCTTGCTCCAGGATGTCGCCTCCAAGACCAACGAGATTGCCGGTGACGGTACCACCACTGCCACTGCCCTTGCTCGTGCCATTTTCTCCGAGACCGTGAAGAACGTTGCTGCCGGCTGCAACCCCATGGATCTCCGCCGCGGTACCCAGGCCGCCGTTGAGGCCGTTGTCGAATACTTGACCAACAACAAGCGTGATATCACCACCACCGAAGAGATTGCTCAGGTTGCTACCATCTCCGCCAATGGTGACACCCACGTTGGTAAGCTCATCTCCAATGCCATGGAGAAGGTTGGCAAGGAAGGTGTCATCACTGTCAAGGAGGGCAAGACCATCGAGGATGAGCTCGAGGTCACAGAGGGTATGCGTTTCGACCGTGGTTACACATCCGCTTACTTCATGACGGACGCCAAGGCTCAAAAAGTTGAGTTTGAGAAGCCTCTCATCCTCCTTTCTGAGAAGAAGATTTCCGCTGTTCAAGACATCATTCCCGCTCTCGAGATTTCCACTCAACTCCGCCGCCCCCTTGTTATCATTGCCGAGGACATTGATGGTGAGGCTTTGGCTGTTTGCATTCTTAACAAGCTCCGGGGCCAGCTCCAGGTTGCTGCTGTGAAGGCTCCTGGATTCGGTGACAACCGTAAGAACATTCTTGGTGACCTTGGTGTTCTCACCAACGCCACTGTCTTCACTGACGAGCTCGACATTAAGCTCGACAAGCTCACCCCTGACCAACTTGGTTCCACTGGCTCCATCACCATCACCAAGGAGGATACCATCATCCTCAATGGTGAGGGCAGCAAGGACGCCATTGCTCAACGCTGCGAACAGATCCGCGGTGTCATGGCCGACCCCTCTACCTCCGAATACGAGAAGGAGAAGCTCCAGGAGCGTCTTGCTAAGCTCTCTGGCGGTGTTGCTGTCATCAAGGTCGGTGGTGCTTCCGAGGTTGAGGTTGGCGAGAAGAAGGACCGTGTTGTCGATGCTCTTAACGCCACTCGTGCCGCTGTTGAGGACGGTATCCTCCCTGGTGGTGGTACTGCCCTCCTCAAGGCTTCCGCCAACGGTCTTAACAACGTGAAGGGTGCCAACTTCGACCAGCAGCTCGGTATTGATATTATCCGCAAGGCCATCACGCGCCCTGCTCGCACTATCGTTGAGAATGCTGGTTTGGAAGGTAGCGTTATTGTTGGCAAACTCACCGATGAGTACGCCAACGACTTCAACAAGGGCTTCGACAGCTCCAAGGGTGAATACGTTGACATGATTGAAGCCGGTATCCTTGATCCCTTGAAGGTTGTCCGCACTGCTTTGGTCGATGCCAGCGGTGTTGCCTCCCTCCTCGGTACAACTGAGGTTGCTATCGTCGATGCTCCTGAGGAGAAAGCTCCCCCTGCCGGTGGCATGGGCGGTATGGGCGGTATGGGAGGTATGGGTGGCATGGGCTTCTAAATGCCGTCATCTATTCGCCCATCCATCTGAAACCCATACCTTCTTTGTGTCGATTTGAGCGTGTATTGCATTTGTAATATGGCATGTCTGTTTTTTTACGTTTCCTTTATTCTTTCATCTGATGTGTTACCTACTCCCAAAACCTTTTATTTCCTCCGCTTCACGGCCAATCCCTACAACTCTCGATTACTACTATTAGAAATCTCCCAGCAATATCTCCACTCAATGCTTGCATTTTTCGTTCTGGCTTGAAGATTTGGCGAAATTTGAGAAAATGCTGGCTTGGTTTGGAAAAAGCATCTACTGTACTATACGTTATCATGTACTTTAATCTTTCTCGAGGGCAGTGGTCCCTGAATGAATGAGGACGAGTATTCAATCAATTCTCCAGTCTGGTCTTACTTAAACAGTTGGAAATTTTAAGCGATATCTGGTGCCGTAAACAATCTCTTCATGTTTTGCCAATGCTGGCCACCTTTGTGGCTTTCCGAGAATAACTATTTCAATCAAAGGCATCAATCAGCCTGTGCTTGCTTCAAAAAAGTTTTCTACCTATGATATTGTTAGAAAAAAGGGTGGAAAGTACCGTCTCAAGCATAAATAACTGATTTTCCTACCATGAGTTTATCTACTTTCTAAATTACCAGTTCTCCAGATGGCTTCGTTTCTCTCCATGTCTTTGCTGATGTGTCACAGCTTATGACATCGGGTATACGTTCAGAATGGAAATACCTGAAGTTACGATATCTCAGCAGGGCTTTGGTATCCAATCCAAGAATCACAGACAAAGAATGGCCTCAGAAAACCATTTACAGTTAGAGAGCACGTCGTGTTCCGGCTATTCTTACATTTGCTGCCAGTACTTTTCACAAATCAGCGGTATCTACGCGCTTCATTCCTCCCAGTATCTCAGTCTGAGCTGATGAAGATGCATCTCAGCTACAAATCATGTCAAGATTGTTCTCTTCGATAAATAAAACATGAAGTAAAAAGAATCATCAGTTCTCAACTTCAAAAAGCAAAATCGAGAAAAATGGCATCAGAAGAGAGCTTCGGACACCGGGCCGTGATACTAGCTATAATGCCCTTTTCATCGGGCGTATCCAGAACCTGGAGAATATCGTTTCGACGCAGCAGCGCCATATAGATAAGTTGCAAGAGGAAGGTTTCTGACACTTTTTTACACTAGTGTATTGGTATGTTGGTTTCAAAAGAAAAAACACAGTTGCACAGGAGGGCATTTCAGGCACGCTGGCATTAAGATTAAAGATCCTCCACTTATCGAGAGCCCATCGTTTGACATGTAGTGTACGTTGTCGAGAAGAATTAACTTAAGTCATGTATTTCGAACCAGAACCCAATTACACGATAATCTACCTTAAATTGTCATGATTGTGTCAGAGTCAGAGTCCCACATCGCCGCCATGAGGTCGATTTTCATGTATATACTCAGTCTCTGCTTTCCCTCCCTCCGGTGATCCGAACTGCTAACAAAGATTGGAGCGTATAGCATGCTTACACCATTCAGGCGTGCCCTCCTCGAACAGCGAAGCTCATCAGCCGTAGAACTGAATTCATCCAGTTCAGAAGTGCGCGTCTTTATATCTTTCGGGAAGTAGCAAACAGGATTATCATGCAAGAAGCCACCAAAGCAGAATACTCATTGGATCTACGGAAGACACGATTAGCAGACTACTTACACCAAAACTGTGATTATTTCCCCTTGGGACAATCGCCGCTACATTCGATATCACGATTGTTGACAGAGAGTACTGCATTCTGGAATCTGAGGGAGGCGTCCGGCGCTTTTTATTCCCTTCGGCTTGGAGTATATATCAAGAGGGCGTGCGGGATATCATTTCTCACAACAAGCCAAAAATGATCACTACAGGGACCCTAGCGAACAAGAAGCCTCGCAACGACAGAAGATATGAAGCTTGACCCCGGGCATCACAGCATAATTTTTTGATACTTTTCAGAACGATGGAAAGATGCATTGTCCATAACTAGCACGGATCTTGGTGCTGGATACCTCTGACAATGCCGCAGAAGCCGCTTGACGAAATCTTCAAAGATTGTGGCATCGGCTGAGCCTTGAAAGATGTCAGATATGATGATCCCATCTTGGGTGCATGTGGGCAGTATTTGAGAACGTTGGTTAGCCTCGGTGAAATTTGATATTATTTGGACTGGTGTCACGCCAAGGGGAGACCACCATGTCTGTCTATAGGCCATCCGTTTATCACAGCCAGATTCGTCAACGCATACTAGATAGTATGAAAGGAATTGGGATGGCTTGTGTTGGTAAAAAGCTCCTAGCTGTGGATTCTGCTCTTTGGCCTTCTGTCAGAGTTTCTTTTTTGTCCAACCTGTTTAGAGAGAGCTTGCTGAAAATGCTAGAATGTGATGGAAGAATATTGAATTCTTTCCATAGAAAGGCCGCTATTTCCTCAATATACAAACCAGGCTTCTTAGCGAGGTGCTCACAAAGAGCGTCAAGCATCAGAGGGGCGAAAGTCGGTGGTCGCCCAGCATGGCCAAGACAAGATCTTGGGCTACCAAACTTCGAGAAGATGAAAAGAAATTGTGGGAGAAAAAAAAAAAAAGCCCGATGCGGGACTCGAACCCGCAACGTTCAGATAACTGAAGGAACTGGCCTCAGATGATAAGAGTCTGACACTCTACCGATTGAGATAACCGGGCATTTTCAGTTGAAAGGTATGGGAAAATATGGCTCTATAAGGCTAGAATATATTTCCACCTACTTCCATCCCGGCTTTCAGGTTGTAATACGGTGGTTAGTACTTCTCAGTATTACAAGCCTCTGATCTCGACGCACTGGACAGATAAAATGGATTGTGCATGCTGATAAACCATTGCAACGATGTCCGCGGGTTGAAGTAAAAGGTTGATGTTGAGAGCTCTGCGACTTCGAACATGAAAGGGGTTGGTCTAGATATATATTCTCACATAGTTGACCGCTAGTCCCACCGTGGCACGTTCTGGTTGGCTTATTAGTTCGCTTTATCTCAATGCTGCCTACTGTGTACAGCCTAACTTATAATGCGGAGTAACTTAGTCAGATCCCATGATCAGAGCTGGTTACCTAGGTAACTATCGTGGAGTCTTCCAAGGTTGGCAGATGAATGGACAGCTTGTTGTCTCTTCCAGTTCATTTATCTGTCCTTGTCGTATTTAAAGTGATCGAACTCCGATATGTGGCTTCCAACAGCCGAAATATTATGTTATGAGGGGCTTTTCGGCTCGTTCCATCAACCAAGCATGCCCGGTTATCTCAATCGGTAGAGTGTCAGACTCTTATCATCTGAGGCCAAAATCTCAATCTGAACGTTGCGGGTTCGAGTCCCGCATCGGGCTGTAATTTTTTTCTTTTTTCTCTTTTTTCTTTTTTCTCTTTTTTCTTTTTTCTTCAGGAAGCCTGTATTCTGAAGCTCTATGCAAATTCAGTAGTATTTTTATTGATCAAGATTGTGGACTCTGTACATTCATGTGGCATCGAGGGCCGTCTATCAAAGAACATATACACCAAGTCCATGACATATCTCCAGTCACTCGATAGATTAACTTGACATAATTCTATGCAATAAATCTCCACCTCACATCACCATCCCCCTCAAAATCCTCACTGCACAGAAACGAAGTATCCTTCGGTGGACCACCAGTAATCTGATCCCGTCTCCGATTCTCCTTAACCAGCAAATTCCACAACAACAACGAAGTAACCAAGGTACCAACCACAAAGCCCAGGGCCATACCATGACCCAATGGATATCGTGGAGATTCATCAGGGCGATACAATTGACATCCCACCACAGCACCGATATCACCAATAGAAATCTGAATAGCTGCAGCTACGCACCGTTTAACTTGGCCCGAGACATTTGATGCGATCCATGTGAAAATCAGGGCTGCAGAGGGGAAAATACCCGCACACACGAAGAATGTGCCTAGATATTGAACACCGACTTTATGGTTACTCAGCAGGAGGGTGTAGCCTATTATGGAGAGGATGCAGCTTCCAACGATAAAGGGGCCACGGGTATGGTAGCGTTCGGACAGGAGCGCGATGCCGATTGAAATTACAGTTGCGACTGCATAGGGTGGGACGGTTAATAGTTGCGCATTCGCGGCGGAATAGCCCAGGTTCGCGATGATGGTTGGAAGGAACAGGGTTACGGTATAAAGGGGTAATGCTTGACCCATCCATGCAATCGTGTACAGCCATACTTTGACGTCGCGAAATGTCCTGCGAACTTCTGCCCATGACAAAGGCTCGTCGCGGAGGGCGTCGTTGTCTTCGAATAGCAATGCATTCAGCACTTTGCGCTCTCTCTGCGAGAGAAACTTCGCCTGGGCCGGAAAATCCTGGATAAGAAAGTAACAAATCCCGGCAATGACCACAGTCGCGATACCCTCGATAGTAAAGATCCAAAACCAGCCATGTTTACCCGCAATGCCGCTCATATGTCCTATCCCGTACGCCAGGATTCCGCCAAATGCGCCAGCAAGGGAAGTCGAGGTATAAAACAGCGTCACCCGACGCACCAACGCTGTCCGTCCATACCACATAGAGAGATAAAATATGGCACCAGGAAAAACACCAGCTTCCGTGGCTCCTAAAAAGAACCTCGCCGCTAGCAATCCACCAAAACTTGTCGACAATGCCATCAGTGTAGCAACTACACCCCATATCAACATCAACGTTGGCAGCCATATCCGCGGAGAAGTCAATTTCAGCGCAATATTCGACGGGATCTCGAATGCGCTGTATCCGATGAAGAATACGGAAAGCGTGACTAGGTATTGCTCGCCGGTCATGTGCAGATCTTTGGTTAGATTGTCGAGTTTTGCGTTGCCGATGTTGGAGCGGTCAAGGAAGGAGAGGAAAAAGAGGAGGGTGATTGGGGGGAGGATGATCCAGTCGAGTTTGCGTTGGAGATGGGATTTTTCGGAGGGTGCGATGTCGGCTTCGTCATTGTCTACTACAGTGCCGGATTGTTCAATGTCGGACACAGGGCTGATGTCGTTGTTAGTATGAGTGGTGGATTTCTCCTCAATGACGGCCGCCATGGTCGTTACTGAGGCCAATCACTGCCGACGAGTCTCACAATTTATTTAAAAACTTGGGCAAGGATTTTCTTCCTTTTTATATACTGTCGAGATAGACAGTCTAGAAAAAGCACATCATACAAATCCCCTCCCAAATGGCGTCATGCCAGTGCTATACTCCATAGCAGATACTTAGACAAGGGTTTGCAATATCTCCTTCCTGAAATCACCTAGCATAGTTGATAAATTCCTGCATATAGTGGATTTCGCGTGGATAGCTATGTAGATCGAGGTTGATTTAAGCTGTATTTTATCCTGATAGGTGAGATTACATCAAGTGCGGAGATGATAACGACATTTGGAGCAAGTTAGAGAATGCATACAGACAGCGCTAAGGAAGAAGTGTAGCCAGTATATAATGATCATGAAATAATAATGTCATTATGAGTATGTTTTAAGCATAAATAACAACCAGCCACCCTTAAACGTTATATGGTTTTCGGATAGCATCTACATAGAGCTCTGACAGGACCAGGAGAACCACTCCATTGAATCCAGCCTTCAATGCCAGATTTAGCCCACTATGATACGGTTTATACTTCTAAGATAACATATAACTTTGCAATACTACGCTCAAAACAAATCTGCTGGTAATTATTTCTCTTTTCCACTCATTTAGGTCTGTGTCGGAGAGCTCCTCCTAACCCAGATGAATGACAGGGGGTTACCTGCGTACATATTACCGCAATGACCGTCAAGTTTCTCTAAGTATAGTCTGTTCTAGTTCAGGCCCTCAGTATCTCTTTGAATTTCCAATCTTGCGCGGCGGTGCAATCTATAATGGAACCCAACAGCCTGCGATAGATAGAGTCATATTTACTCCGCAGAGTGATGATAGTGTGGTTTACTGCGAAACAATCAGGAACATTATTTATTTGAACTACAAACAGGAGTACTTCTCACCAGATATTACAAGCTGCTTTGAATGACTGGGGAATGCTGACCGGTGACCACATCTACTTGACGTTGAGAATGGCTTCATCAATCATGATTGGGATCTAGAGGTGCTTTGCAGCCATCAAACAATAGCATATCAGCCAGACAGACAAAGAGTTCAACTACTTGCTCATCTTTACTTCCAACTACAACGAATCGGTCACAATTTCAACCTCTCCCTCCTCCGAGCAAGCTTCAAAGCCTCTAACCTCGATGCCAATCCCGGATCCGCAGGAACATGAACCTTGTGATGCTCAGCAGTGGCATATTTGACTTTTCCGTCGAGGGACTCAATGTATCCGCTGATCAGGGCCATTGTTTTGCCGTGCTGCTCGACTTGGCAGTTTATACGTATTGTTGTGCCTGACGAGTCGGTTAGTGATGTTAGGGTTGGTTTTGTGGGAACGGATAGCGTACCTAAGGGGATGGCTTTGAGGTATGAGATATTTAACGTTCGTGTTACGCCGGCCAGGAACCTGGGATATTCAAGTATGAGCAAGTTCTTGTGTTTCCACGAGGGCATGTTTCCAGGAAGTGGGTTAGAACATACTCCCAATACCCAGGCCTGGAAATAGTCTGCATGGTAATAGCAGTACACATATCTATCATTGAGTTAGTAACTTCACCTGGTCCAAACATGAGCCGTGACAGGTAAATATATTCACCAAATATAACGCCATAAGCCCCTCCATGAAGGACACCATTCATATTACACCATGTCTCGTCGGCCGCCATCTCCCAGGAAGAGGAGCCAGAGGGTTCAGCATCAATGAATCGAAGGTCTTGTGTTAGGAGTTTGGTATCGTAGCCCTCAAAATAATAGAGAGATTAGTAGCAGAAGGATAATGGCGTGAGGAGGAGTACTTTGAAATTCTGCTCGAGGACTAGTTGTTTGTATCTGCATGCCGGTTAGGTGTATGTTCGATAGATCTCTGTCGCTCGATTCATATCGTGGATATCATGCTTGAAAAAAATCGAACGTATGTGTTATACTGCTTGACTGGGACGCTTACAACTCTATAAAACTCTCTACGGCATTCGTGACATCCTGCTTTGTGAGAGATTGACGCCCATCCTTGGCGGCCATACTTTCAGTCATTGTCTTGCGATGACGATGTATTGCAACGATTCGATATATGATCAAGCTATCATGGTTAAATACTAGGAGTAGGAAGTGATGACTTGAGCAATGCTAAGTGGTTGATCAATTGTTCTGAGGGGTTGCAAGGTATGCATGTCAGATGAATCGTTCCGAGGTACACTAAGGAAACTGCATCTCATTCAATTCTACGCATATTCTACGGCATCCTGGGAGCCACTTGAAGATCTGATCAAGTAGAGCGTAATCTAATACTGGCTTCCACTAAATAGAATCTTACACTCCCATTTACTATCTAATATAATAAGTTCAATCTTGCTTCCATAATTTCCCACTAATATTTACACACATTCTAACCAGACAAGGGAACAATAAAAAAGACAAGCAGACAAATCGATGCTAGGGTTTGATGACATGAATAGTTTCCATTTCTAGTATTGAGGTCCAGGATACTGAGCATAAATCTGTTTTGGTCGCAAATGCACAGGAGTCACGTTTTCGGGCGTTCCGGGAATAGTCTTCTTGAGGCCCTATATATTCAATTTGCGTTAGTTTCGATATACCAGGAGTATTAGCCAACGGAGACGAACCAGCTTGTCAAAAATACAACTGTTCAATTCCACCTCCGGTTTCCGGCATTCGAACATGTGGTGATTGTTGTTTTCGAGGCATTGCCAGTGAGCATTGAACTGCTTTAGACAGTGAGTGTTGATATCCTTGATCCTGCCAAATATTAATATCCATATTCCCTTTGCACGTTATTCGCCCAGTATGAATGGAACATACACACTAGCCGCACAGCGGGTGACTTTGCGACCTTCCTTGAGACATTCAAATTCTCCTCGACCATTGGCCTCAGCCTTGCACTTCATATAATCATCGTTATAAGCACGGCAGCGGTCTCCAATAAAGAATGACGCGCTCATAAGGGGAGCAGATGTGGTGCCGATTTCTTGCACTTTGGGGATGTCAGAGGGCATCGGCGTCGTGTCGACGAGGATGTGTTGGCTGAATCTGTTGACGAATTAGCATGTCGTGGGAGTGAATATCGAAAAGAAATCGAAAGACGCACTGGGGTTGTCTGGCCGCCATCTTGTAGATTGTCTGAGGGCTGGTGGGTGCTCAATTCCAGATTGGTTATCGAGAGGGACGAGGTCGGAATTTGGAGGAGCTGCGAAGTTCAGTCAAGCCCTTTAGCGTCGATCTGATTGGCTCGTGCCTGCGGAGCTGTAGATGCTTACATAACTCAATATTAAGGTCAGTTTAGAATACAAGTGATAACTTAACTTACGATAAGATGTGAATGAATAATAGGCGAGTGGTTTTACTCTAATTGTTTACTGCTTTGTTTGTAGCTATTGCTTCTTGTATGTGGTTGGGTTAACCAATCACGTGATCTGACTGTATCAGTGCACTGGACGGATCTGAATGTTTTTCAGAGAGCTCCGCACTAGCAAACCAAGCTCTCTCTCTCATCACGTCCAATTTCCTGGACACATCCGATCTGTTCCTAAAGGCATGCTGACTTAGTCGTTCTTTCTTCGCCTTTTTCAATTCTCTTCATCGACACATAACACAGTCGCGACCTCCATATAGGGGGCATCGAGCTCATCATGTCGCTGTTCGGTGCGCAACCCCAACAACAACAGTCTGGAGGATTGTTCGGGAATACAGCAAACAAAACCCCAAGTCTATTTGGCAATACACAGCAGCAGCCTGCGACTGGTGGTTCGTTATTCGGCAACGCACAAAACAAACCTGCTACAGGGACGGGACTCTTTGGCTCGACGACTACTACGACACAGCAACCAGCTAGTGGCGGTGGATTATTTGGCGCATCGACAAATCAGGCACAACCGCAGCAGCAAACTTCGAGTTTATTCGGAGCATCACAGACGCAGAACAAACCTGCCGGAGGGTTGTTTGGAGGTCAACAAAATACGCAGGCGCAGACTCAACCGAGTGGTATTTTTGGGTCGACCACCACGACTCAACAGAAACCGGCAGGGAGTCTTTTTGGATCGACTACACAGCAAACACAGCAGTCAGGGACGGGTTTGTTTGGAGCGACCAATAATGCACAGCAACAGCAGTCGTTGTTTGGGGGTGGTTCGCTTTTTGGGAATCAGCAGCAGCAACAACAACCTCAGCAGCAGCAGCAACAGCAAACTCCACAATTGGGACAGACCTTGAATCAGTCACAGCTAGGATCTTCACTATGGTCTCCTGGTCGTGCGATTACCGGAGGTAGGTTATCCTTTCATGGTTTCAAGTATATAGCTAATGAAAATAGTCCACCGCACGGTCCCAGCACAAATGGAAATTCTCAAAGATAAATGGGACCCTACAAATCTCACCTCACCATTCCGTGGATACACGTACAACCACCCCGGCGAGGATCACGCACCATTCTTCCAACCAACCGCCGAAGATGACCCAACCAAATGGGAAGAAGCATTAAAATCCCGCCCAGGTCCCGGTTACGTCCCCCTTCTTCTCAAGGGATTCATGGAATTGGGCCAGCGAGCCGTCCGACAAAAGGATTTTCTCAGCGCGCTTCAGACACGTCTACATCAGATCAATAATATTCTAACAGATTTACTCTCGCGTCACGATCTAAAGATCTCGGTGAGGATAGCTGATTGTCGACGTAAGCATCTCGTACTTAGTCAAAGGTGTTTGTCGCTTGCGGCCAAGACGCAGATTCTACGGAATAGGGGGTATGCGATGGATGATGCGGAGGAGGAACTTAAGAAGAAATTGATACAGTTGGAACGAGCAATCTTTGATCCGTCAATAACTGGGAGGGCGGAGGAGATTTGGGCAAGGATGCTTGCTGTGAGGGAGCACTCGAAACGACTTGCGGCGGAGATTGAGAAGACTGGGTCTGCTGGTTCTAATAATGAGGGGGAGGCTGCGCTTGACGAGAATGCTATGAAGACTGCTAAGAAGGTATGTGTCTCTACACGCCTTATTTATAGATGGCTACTGACTGTTGCATAGATCCTCGAAGATTACGCCTCTCAAATCCAACACTTGCAAAAAGAACTCACAGCCATAGGCAAAGAACTAGACGAGGCACAGAAATTGGCTGGGACGAATAGCCCATAATCAGTCTTCTACCTCGGTCTTGATTTAATGCATCAGCTTGTTATTCGACTGATTAATTAATGCGACATAACTGTTACTTTGCAGTCAATTCAGACATTGGTTACTCATCATACGTGGGATTCATAAAAATGAATAGGCGTTAGGAGCGTTTTGTCTTATCATTTCTTAAGTTAGCGGCTGAGATTGGAGGAGCATAGGAAAAGAATATCATAACATGTTTCAATGGAATAGGTTCCTCTTTTTTGTAATAGAAATGGTATACCCGAGACCGAGAATGTCTAGTTAATAGTTATAGTACATGATGCAATCCAAGTGCCTAATGCAAGGAGTATATTGAGTCGATGGAGAAGTATTCATCAGGAGAGACGATAGAGTTGATAGAAGATGGTTCATATAAGTGGAGGTTGGATCCGATCGAGGTATCGATTTATAGGAACTTCTTGGCGAGATCAATAGCGAATGGAGCTGTCGATATGCTATTATTAGCATGTGAAACGCTTTGATTGAGAGTTTCGGGCAAAAGAAAAGGCTTACAAAGGTATAGAAGGATACCGCCGACAATAGCGAACTGGACTGTTTGCTGTGCCTCGATCTCGCCGGCCTATTGTCTGGGGTTAGTCTCAGTTGAGGAAGGCGTCATGTTCGATGGTCGGAAGCGAAGGACGATTTGAAGGCGTGCGAAGTACCTTGATCTCCTCTTTGGATAGTTGTTGCTCTGTTAAGAAAGATGAGTTAGTGATGAATGATAAGAAATTGACGTATCCAGGAAGATTGTCATTACCTCCACCGAACATCTTGTCTGTTTGCAATTGAGATTTGTATTAAAAGTAATATATGAAGAGATAGTGAGAGTTGTAGTCTGATAGATGACGCTGTCACAGATGAAGTGAAATTTAGAGCTCAGGTGGACGCACGGACCACATTTATTCCGACCTCCTGCCGAACTTTGAGTCGCCGCAACGTCGCGTTTGCTTCTTTAACCAGCCACTTCCACTATCATTATCTCTCATAAAATCACGAAGATACATAGTATCAGAATAACCTTCAACAATTTCCAACCTCAGCAGCGATCAGACAGAAAATGTCGGCTTCGCCAGAACCCCAGGCAGATTCACCTGCCGCTGATCCTGACCGCGCTGAACTCCAAGCCGAACTCGACGACCTCAACGACAACAACGGCGGAGCCACAGAAGAAAACCCAGAAATATCCGACGATGAATCCGTCCTCTCCGAAGTCGACGAAGCGCAATTCGAAGACTTCAATCCCGACGATGTCGCTATCGAAGATCGACCTGCCCTCGACGTCGATGCAGAAAATTTGAAACTGATTGGTCGTCACAAGCGTAAGAGACGTGATGATGAGGAAGGAGAGCCAAAACGGAAACGGGAGGGGAGACGAGAGAAGAGGAAGCGTGCGCAGAGGGATTCTGATGTTGAGTCTGGGGATGCGAAGGCTGGGAGGAGGAAGGCGGCTAAATCTAGACGAGAGGCTACGCCGGAGGATGAGGAGACGCTTAGTCCTGAAGAGAGTGAGTAGAGAATATTATTTGGCAGGGATGAGGCTAATCTTGTGGTAGGACGTCGACGTGCGCTTGATCGTGCTATGGATGCTGCTATGAAGCAAAAGACGAGGAGACGCAGAAAGGCAGATGGAATTGTATGTCTTGTATCAGATTTCATACTTCAAAATGCTGACAAAGGTAGGACCTCGAACAAATGGCAGACGCAGAAATCGAAGATATGCGAAGACGCATGACGGACGCAGCTCGCCTTGACGCCGAAGCCCGTCGTCAGGGCCAACCAGCCATGCACAAACTCAAGATGCTACCAGAAGTTTTGAATCTACTGAACCGCAACCAGTACACAGCTAGTCTCGTGGATCCAGAAATCAATTTACTAGAAGCCGTCAAATTCTTCCTAGAACCACTCGACGATGGCGAGCTTCCAGCCTACAATATTCAGCGCGATTTGATGGATGTTCTTGGCAAGCTTCCCATTAACAAGGATTCTCTTGTCGCCAGTGGTATCGGCAAGGTGATCGTCTTTTATACCAAGAGCAAGCGCCCTGAATTGAAAATCAAGCGACAGGCTGAGCGTCTCTTGGCTGATTGGACTCGACCGATTCTTCAGCGGTCTGATGATTACTCGAAGCGTGTCTACGAGGAGGTTGAGTTTGATCCTACGTATGTCTATTTCCCCCCCCCCCCCCCCAATCTTATGTATGAATGACAGCTAATCAGGACAGCCGCCTGGTAAACCGTGCTAATATCGCACAACAAACCGCTGAAGAAGCACGAGCGCGCGAGCTTCTGCCACCGCGTCTGGCTAATCGTGCTCGTCGTGAGATGGGTCATACCTCGTACAGTATTGTGCCCCGGTCAACGGTTATCCAGGACAACAAGTTTGCGCGCCCGGTTGGTGCTAGTGGAGAGGACCGTTTCCGACGCATGAAGGCACGCCAGTTGAATGCTGGTAAGCCTTCGCGTAGGTAGATGTCTGTACCCGAGCTTCTTGAACTGTCTCTCTTTCATTCCTCTTTGGTCATTTCATTCGGCGCGTTGGTTCATGGAGTTACGGCGTTTGCATACGGTTATTCAGCGGATTTGAGAGCCGAGAATTAGCATATGAAATTGGCAAATATAAGAAGAAGCTTTTCGGTATCCAGGCTAAATTCTTTGTAATCGCTCTAAGCATTCCGAATCTCGAGTATCATGCCATGTATCTGTAGGATTACTCATCGCGCGACACACCGTCAAAGCCACAAAGCCTCCTCTATCATGAATGGCCGAATATGCAAATGTAGAACGCGATATTTCCCTTGAAAAGAGAGAGGATTTAACCATATTCGGCCGATAGGCAGATATCTAATCTCCTCGGACAGAGCATCAACTTATATAGAAGTTTATCGGGCGGGAGTCAGAGTGACAGCCAACCCGGCCGGACCCGGGGGTCACGATGACGTTGGATCACCCTTTAGTCCCCACTTTAGCTGACACAAAGAAGATGATTGGCTCGGTGCATGTTCGGCTACCATCGCGCAGCTCAGATGGCGAGACTAGGCCCGAAGAGGAAGTACTACATCTGTTTGGTTGATTACGTTATCGAAAATTGATCTCAGACTTTTGTCAGACGTTCTTTCCCTATATAAGATCCTGGTTTGCCCTCTGGCAAGACTGTCTATACATCTACCCCAACTACTTGTACATCTACGTCTACAACTACAATCAAGCTATTTTCTATATCACTTATATCAACATGAAGATCTTAACAAAAGAAGAAGAAGCTGCCCACTACCGGTATGTCTCTTCGCCCCTCTTCTACAATAACTCGAGCTAATCTCTCATACAGGGCCGTCCTCCAAGGAGGCACCTTCGGTACCGTCGTCGGTCTCGTCGGTGGCTGGGCCGGTGTCATGGCCGCCTCACGCCGCTTCCACACAATCCGCAACCTCACCCTCCCCATGAAAGCCTTCCTGGTCACATCATCCGGCACATTCGTCGGCATCGTAGCAGCCGACCACTCCTCGCGCTCATTCGAAGCCGAGCGAAACGTCGGCCTGAAGTACCTCGGTGAGCGCGAAGAGCGACTTCGCCGCGAAGAACTGTCACAAATGTCCTTTGGAAATCGGATAGGTGCATGGGCACGCGAAGAGAAATACAAAATCATTGGCGCAACATGGATCGCTTCGATTGTGGGTAGTTTTGTGCTTGTTGGACGAAATCCGTACCTCTCGGGTCAGCAAAAGATTGTGCAGGCGCGTGTGTATGCGCAAGGGTTGACGCTGGCCGTGATGTGTGCTAGTGCTGCGTTTGAGATTCATGATCAGCGCAAGGGGCAGGGATTGCTTGATACTGCTAAGAAGGGAAGGGAAGCTCTCAAGGAGAGTAAGAATCAGCCTGCGGCAGAACAGGTGCATCATCAAAGACATGATGAGAATACGGATTTGTGGCAGGATATGGTTGCTGCGGAGGAGCAGAAGTTGAAGCAGCGTCATCAGCCGTTGTATAGTCATGAGAAGCAGGAGAAGGAGGGTGCTGTGACTGAGGCTGTTAAGGCTAAGAAGGAGACAGAGGAAAAGAAGGATGATGAGAAGGAGGAGGAGGAAGAAGAAGAAAAGAAGGAAGAGAGCAAGTAAACCACCAAAAGCCATTTCATCTCTTTTCTGCTTATCTTTCCTATGCCGTCATGATGTTGCATTTGTTCTCAAGGAGTTCCGGTCTGGCAGCGAGATTATTTTGTTTATAGATGTACTTAATAGATGTTATCAATCACAAGATTGTATGTACGATAGTCAAATGCATTACCAACTAACTCCCTCTAATCAATACCCGTCTATATCTATAATCACGTAAAGAGAACTATCAATTATTCCAATTCCCATGCAAACTATCCTCCAACGCTATATATCCATTCACAATCTCAATTCCCTTCTTCCGCTGCTCCTCAATCCGTTCCCACGTCCATTCTTCCCGCGACCACGAAGCTGCATTCTCCTGCTGCAGTTTGTGTAGCACATCCGGCGCAACATCACCCAGTTTCGAAACTTCTTGAACGAGCTTGACTTCGTCGAGAGTTGTATCCGTCAACCCGTCCAGGGTTCGCGGTGTGTCAATCGCCGAACTGGAACTAGTCGTCGCCACCGGTTCTTTCGAAGAAGAGCCGTCAGGACGCGGTGGTAACAATCCACTAGCCCTAAAGACGCGCTCAATCGGAACCGTCAATCGACCTTTCTTAATACAATATTTGCTCAACCCAATGGCCGCTAACACTTTCTCTCCATTTCCGTTCTTCTTATCACCTTTCTTCAAGAAACAGGTAATAATATACATCCACTTCTCATCCCAAGCCACAACCTGCGATCTAAGCTCATACCGTTCAAGGGGTTTAATCTCCCTCTTGAATGAGCAATACGTCGCCCCCAGAGCAATATACATGGGTAGCTTCTTCTTTGGGGCTGGCTTCCCAGCTGCAACAGCTGCTGCCGCGAGTTCTTCATCAAGTTCTTTACTAACTATCCCTGCTCCGGGGGTATATAACGGCGTAACGCAAGCGCTGCGGGAATGATCCATATCAGCGAAATAGGTACTGTTAGATTTGTGGATGTTGTAGTCTGTTTCGAGGATTGAGGTGTAGCTATAAATGGATGCGGCGGCGAAGACGGGGTGGATTGGGCGTCCCTTAAGGTCGAGGGGAGGGTTTTGGGGGGTCCAGTTTAGTTTTTCGGGGGAGCGGCGGAGGTTGACTAGTATTTGGTAGAAGACGTTGTACTGTATGATTATTAGGTTGAAATATGTTAAGAAGGAAGATGAATATACGTACTGTCCATGCGAATGGGAGGGATTTCCGGTTGAGAACCGCAAAGGCGATTAGGAGTGTCTTCCATGAGAGAAGCGATGACAAGACTGGAAGGTCGCTGAGAGTAGATAGGAAGGCCATTGTGTATTGTATCTCTGACATGCGTCAAGATCCGATGGTGTACAAGGACTGAGTGCCCGTTGGACTGGACTTATCAGAAAATAAAAAGGAGTTAAAAAGATTAATAATCCTTCTTCTGACGTTGAGGGTCTGCGATGGAACGGATGGGGCGGGTGAAGAAGCCTCGGCACGGATATCTTGGCGTGTTTTCTTGCCCTAACTCGACTACTTGCTCGATCTAGAAATATTTGACACGCTTCAGGAATACACTTCTAGAGTGTATAAAACTTATGGGATAATGAGTACTGGATTCTCTTAATAATACTATTGCATATTAGTATTTCCACGCCTCCTATTGTACTATGAAAGAGAAACAAGTTGGACACTGTACAGCTGTCAGAAGGTGGCACAAATGTTGATTCTAACGCTGGCTAAATATTTAATTAGAATGGAATTATACTAAAATAGTTCGAGGTTCTAGTTAATACTTGTAATAAATGTTGAGCTGAGCTGTTATGTTACGCTGGGATACAACCCCTCGACCAAAAAGCTGTATGTATGTTAGACAATGTAGCATAATATTGATGATATTGCTGGAAAGTAATCACATGAAGGTAGGTAATGTTCTCAGATATTCTATTTTTTAAGGGAAGGTTCCTTTGATCTTATACACAGATTTACTGTTAACATAAATCTCACTGTCCTGTTGTTCTGTTCCCTGCTTCATGACATCTTTAAGAACGTTCTACCTTAGAATGACCATTATATTGAGTGGCATGTTCTGTCAACAGCATTGTCAGGCATAAATAGCTAGGATACTTCCAGTTACATTTTATTCTAATAACCAAGTTCGGAAGCATCGCAGCTTTTATTAGTGAATATCTGCTTTCCTTCTCCACTTCCAACATAGCCATGGATTTGCTGGATGTTTCGTTGTATATTCTTCTCTTAGAGAGCCATTAGCAGACAATGCTAGTTTATAACTGCATCAACATGAGCTAGGCAACATGGGCTCGGCTGCTTTGTTTATTCAAATCCGGCATACAAGCGACAAAATCTGTTTTGTGACGCGCATTCTAACTTCAAATTATACGACATCTGGAGTACCCCAACAAATTGATAACACCAGCTCTTGCTATTCTCTCAGTTGACAAATATTACATGTACAACCTCATAAATAAGACTATACCTAGGCATGGAAAAGAACCCCGACATTTAAGAAACCAAAAGGCCCAGTTCAATCCCGGAGTTTCAAGACAGCCTTCTCTACGAGCATCGCACTACTCCTGTAGGATGGCATAACATTATTACACCGAGTTACGCCTCAAAATATATCATTATCTCGTACCTCGTCATGAAGGATGGATCGACGTCTCATACCCAAAACTTTCAGATGAATTCTATCGCGCATACAAATCTCCCGCCGGGAGTGATCATAACAATCTACCCTGGACCAATATCTTACTTATAAACAAGCAAATCAGCAATGAATGCCTTGACATCCTCTACGGGATTAAGTGGTTTATAATCGACATGCGCAACACAGGCGGGGCCGATCTACGCCAAAATTTTCGCACAAGCGAATAGGTGTAGAATACGACTATTAGCAGTAGAATTTATAGGATAACAAGGTCTAACTTCCCCACCTGGGAATTCCAACCCAGACTACACATTGTGGGCGGAACTCACCCACTCTGCCGGACAATGAAGAGCCTTGGTAGAGAGTTCGTCTATGGCAAGTGGTTACTCAATATCTTAGTTGGCTTCCGCCTTATTTTCGGTACTTTCGTCGTTTGACTAATCCTGCAATTGATATTAAGGCCTTGATGAATGGTGGAAAGGTGACGAGGGATATTGCTAGGTTAAAGCTTGTAGCGTCTTCTCATCGACGATTTGTTGATAAACAACTGGATTAGGATCCGGAGAGGGTGATGATGACTCAACAGGGACTCGATGAGTTGATGCAGGACACAACCTGTCAATCGACTTGTTCAAAGGCTTTGGATATGAACATGAGTTAAGTAGGCAGTTAGGACTCTTTGAGAATTATTGGTATATATGTATTAAGTTATGAAAAGTCAATGTGACTATGTGTATCATCATTATCTGACCGAGTAAGTTTTGCCTTGTCTGTCTTTTTTCTGTATACATTTAAGTAGGCTTAGACAAGATATTCTCAGATGACATGCTGAAGATCGAGGTCTCTGGGCCGAAGCAACCTTTTCTCAGTGTTGTTGATGTTCCTGGTCTTTTCCACAGTAAGTGGTCCTCGTGTTCATGCTGGTTGGAAACTCTGACAAGGTTGGGCAACAGCTGATACCATCCACCAAACCAGAAAGGATCTTGGAATTGTTCGCAATCTTATCAAGGCCCATATGAATGAATCTACGAGTATTATGTTGTGAGTCTACTAAAGCCTAAACAAGCTGAAAACGAATCGCCAGAAACTGACTAGGCAGGGCCGTCATGGACGCTCGCGTCAACATTTCCAACCAAGGAATCTTTCTTCTGGCCCGAGAAGCAGATAAAGATGGCTCACGTATCGTTGGAGTCATCACCGAATGCGATGCTCTTCAACTCAACTCGGAGACGAAAAGGAGGTTCTTAACATTGCACAAAACAAGGTTGAGAAATTGAAACACGGATGGTTCCTAGCCAAGAATCGATCGATTCAGGATCTTCAGGAAGGTGTCGCTGTTGAGCAGCGAGATGTGAAAGAGAAGGTGATTTCTGCCAACCTGCTTTTGGATCATATTCGGAAAGAGATTCCTGCATTGTTAGCAGGTCTTGAAGGACTTCTGGCCCCAGCGAAGGAGGAGCTCAAGGGGTATGGAGAGCCTCATAGACGCTGTCTCAGCAGCGCGAATTTTCAAGAAAGACTGCGGCGCAGTATTAAAAGCTTGTAGACGACAGCCTGAATGGCGTTTATCTTCTTGAATACTGGGGATGAAGACTTCACAAAACTGCGATGGCGTATCCGGACTGAGAACGAGGAATTTGCAGAATCCTTTGCCAAACAGGGCCACAAATGGGGGGTTTAAGCAAGTCAACAACAGCGATGATCCGGAGTTTTCTAGTGCTTCGGAAAATAGTGCTGTACCAAAAAAAGGTCTCAAGATCCTGACGTGCTCCATAAATTGAAAGGTTTCCTGCATCTACATATCGTCGTCGGCGGACATTCCAAAGCCGACGAAGACTTGTGCAAACTTCTGAAGGATGAGCGTGGGGGCATATTACAGACGGTGAATCACCATGTTACTGAGACATTAGATACGATATCCATGACATCGTCAAGTCTTACTACAAACTTGCCATGAAACGTTTCTTGGACAACGTAGTCATCCAGGTGGTTGAACGTCACGTCTTGGGTCCGAATACCCCTCTTCGATTGTTCTCACCAGACTTCGTGGATGATATGGATGAAAAGGATGTCACGTCAATTGCTGCCGAGAGTTCTAGTACCACCCAGGCTCGTTCGGACCTTAGCCCAAAGCTTGAACGGTTGCAGAATGTGCTCCATCTTGTTCCAGGGGGTTTGTTATGGTGAGTGCGTGCAGCAAAAAGATTAAGGCCCGAACCGCGATTTGAACGCAGGACCTCCTCGATATGCGATGCAGTGCACAAAAGACCCCCTTTATGAGGGGTTAAAAGCTACCACCCAAACGAGGAATCATACCAACTAGACCATCCGGGCGTTGTTAAAATGCCGCTGTATATAGACTTGCACTCCCTACTGGGTCCAAACTACATTCTCTATACAGAGTATGGAGTACACGATAGATTCCTTTGGAAACTTCATGAAGAGTTTGAGGTTGATGACTGGGCGGATCTCCAACAGCTATTAAGGGAATTCATTCAAAAGCAGGATGGATTGAAATTCGTTCGTCGACAAATTGCATATCGTACAGATTTAGAGAGTCGAGACAGCCTTTTTACCTCCTCCAACATTGCATAGGTTCTCCTGAGTGATTGAGCATTACTGCTTTGGCTACGCAAGTTCTATCGGCTTATGGTTGGAGTATCACACAAACGAGACGTCCTCATATTGATAGGTTGGTGATCCTTCGCCCAGAACTAAGACATATCTTGTCCTGATGTTGTTCTGGTTGTAGAAGGGAGGCACTCGGCAATCCTTTCCCGTGGTGCAAAGGCTAGATCCGGATATTTATTATAGTCTGGCCACTTTATGTCAATGGATGTGGACGTCCTGGCTGCGCAAATGCAAATAGCAACCCTAATGTCAAGTCTGTGGGGATTTCGCTTGATCCAAGGGTAAGCGCGATTCGTAGGGAGCCCGCCCATGAGGCTACCTTATCGATGTCGCGTTTAGATGAAGGCAGCACCAGAAAATGGTGAAAATGGTCTTATTCTTTCCCTCCGAGACTACTCTCAGTATGCAGACCACCCTGCGGAGGTAGAGATCGAGTACCCTAAGTGCATTATGCGGGAACGCGTGTGCGAACGCTGGAAATCCAAGTGCCTTTGGCAAGCTACCAACAAGGAGTTAGCCATGACGGACGCCCGCAAAGCTGTGACTGCTGCCTCTTTTACTAAGAAATTCAACAAATTGTCGAAGGTTTCCAGATTAGAAGACTTTCCACCGCGTCCCGACATTTGGTTCAGCAATGAACCATACAATCGAGAATTCGCTAAGCTAAGAGAAGCCCAGAAGACTGTGGAGGACACTCGAGGGGCGGACACCGGATAACTAGACAGAATATCAGTTTACGTAAACGAAAGTTAGGAGGGATATGAAGATATTTTTTGAGCTTGTTCGACACTAATGCATTGATTGGATCAGACGTGTATTCACGGCAATAAAAGGATGAGGCGCTTTTTTCATCAAATCCCACCCAATTACCACGAACAACACGAAAGACAAATACGATAAAATGAAGAAATAGAAAATGAAAGGGAGAAAGAGTCCAGAAAAATGCAAAAACAGAAGAAAAAGGCCCAAGGGGCGAATCGAACGCCCAATCTCGCACATTGGGGCTATTGTATATATATAGCCGGGATATACCGCGTCCCGAAGCACGAATCATAACCATTAGACCACTTGGGCATCATAAGCTTTACAGTGTTCTGAAGTGAAGGTAACACGGTGAATTGAAATCAGTAAGGTATAGGGGTTGCGTCAATATATCCTCTCAATTCATCTAACTTATTTCATTTATCACTGTTTAGATTAGCGAAAGCATATCCGGTCCCTAAAAAATAGCCATACAATTAGGAGGACTGCTCACACCACGAGCACAATTCAAAGGACTACTGCTGATAAAAAAAGTCCACCTATTATGCTGCTTACACAACTCAGCCAAGCCATTCAAATCAAACATCTCGCCAATAGGCATGCCCCAGCCTGCCAAGATGTGATGATGTAAATCAAATTCCTCTTCAATGGCGGGATAAACCTCAAAACTAACGGCATCACTAGCCACGGCTGAGAAATGATTGTTCCAGAGAAATTTGAGCACACGCTCGGATTGCTCGATTCCGGCGTGTTGAGGCACTGCCTGCTCTGAGTAGGTTTTTCTTTCTGCGGCGGACATTGCGCTCCAGGTTTGAGGGAGACCAACGCGGAGGAAGAGGATGTCTCCTTTTTGGAATTTGATGTTACTTTCTTGTGCGATAGTGAGAACTTCGTCGAGAGAGATCTTGTGGCGTGTCAGGGCATAGTCGGGCTTCAGACCCTTGGTACGTTCAGCCCAGGAGGCATAGTCAATCAAAACACCACGACCGGCAATTCCCTTCTTGGCCCAATGCCCGATCCCGATACGAGGTGAATCGGTGTTCATGATCTCTTCCACTGTCGTACCACCATACCACAGTTTCTTCCCGGGATTCTCCTTGTCAGGCGCGGAATGATGTCTTAACCCATCCCATTGCGAGGATTGTTGAGGGTTGAAATGGTACTCATCGTCCAATGCAGCGCCATTGCTACTGTCAACGTACTTGATCAAGTGGTTGAATGGGCGACGACCGAATCCGGGAGGGTTGAGGTTCTCGAGTTCCCAGTTTAAGCATACGCGTTCTCCCGTTTGGATTTCATTGCGAGCGGCAGAGGCGACGATCTCAGGGGTCAGAAGACGCAGCATCCCCAGACCTTCCTCGTACGAGCCAGGGGCAGCTGGCCAGTATTGGCGAGGATTGGGAAGGTCTTCGTAGGTCGCGGGGAGAGGAGCCGACATTTTGTCTTGGCTGTTTGTTTCGGGACCAGTTGCTCTGAGATTGTAGCAATAAGGATTGTATATATGAAGCAAAGTTGAGAAGAACAAAATAATAAAAGAAGAATAAATAAAAGGTATTCCGGTTAAATTCGTAAACTCTCCCCGGCTTTTCTTCCGTGGGGATATCTCCTCACCCACGTCACCGTCGGAGATGCTCCGAGCGGGGGATATTCCAATCGCACAGGATTACATCGCTGTTCTAGTAAGTAGAAGTTGGTTTAATGGTCCGAGATCGATAGACAGAAGCTCGAATTCATTGGTGGACTAAGCGTAGACCAAAAAGCTGCGCGCATTGTAGAGGCACAGCAAAGTCGATCACGTGTACCGTGGAGCGAGATGTTTTAGATTTATAGATCGAGCCTGAGGCTTGATATATCAGTGGTTGGACCTCAATCAATAAGCGCAAGATTCATCTGGTCATGAAAGAATAGACTCACTTTGTAATAAATAATGTGAGACTTTCAAGTGTAGAAAATTGAAGCGAGTCGAGACTGCTCGAATGCTTATGAATCAATGGAGACTGGCCCCACCGATATCTGGCAAGCTTCCGGCTTTGCATCACCATCTCCTCTTTTAATCCGACATCACCTACAATATCTTAAAGCCTACAGCGACAATTCACCTATCCACAGATGATACAAGACTCAAATAAAACATCCAAAAACTCTGGTCGCAGGGTAAAACACTCCCGAGGTGGTTGTTCCACTTGCAAACAGCGGAAGATCCGCTGTCCTGGTCTGTGTTGCCTCCTACCGTATCGCGAGAACTAAGTTAATTGAGAATGCGACAGAAAATAAACCCAAATGTGATCGCTGCATAGCGGATAACAGAGTCTGTAGTTACGGCTTCCAATTACAATGGGAGGACGACTCTCGCAAACGCGGAATCAAACATGGACGCACAGTTCGCGCGGACCGTGTTGGCTTATCGGCCTCTAAATCAGCGACGTGGCTAGACATCCCGCGAGGTCATGGAGGCAAATATTTCTTGAATACATTTGTGTCTGATGTCGATGGAGATGTGGTGGTGCCTGCGAAGCAAGGGCTGGACTTTGAGAAGGATACAGTTTGGAAAAGAGAAGCGACATTTGCCACTGCGCCAGCCGGGATGCCGACATTGAATTTCGCGACCCTGAGCAAGGAGTATCACGACATGGATCCTATTCTCTTTGATTATTGTAATTTCCTCATCGTCAATTTCTCGAAACACATGCTTACATGCCCACAGATGACCGATCCGTCTCCCATTCCATACCACTTCTTGATTCTTCTACGAATCTGTTCCGCAATCTGATTCTTCCATTGGCAACCACGAATGAAACGGTGATGCATATGGTCCTTGCCCTTAGTGCGTTATCACTTTCATCAACAGGACAAACGCGATATTATCCTCTGGCGTTACGGCATAAGCAACGTAGTATGCGATTAATCCGTGAACAGATCGCGTTTGACGCGATGTCTGCGGCGAATGATGCGAATGTGATTGTTATTTTGATGCTTTCTGTTTTTGAGGTAGGTGCTCTAATTTTACGACTGCTGAATGGATCTGATCAGCCCTTAGATTTCTGATAATTGCCAAATATCATGGGCAACGCATCTGTGCGCTGCCCTGGACTTGATGCGTCTGGCTCGCAGTGAACGATCTGCACCTATGAGAATAAGTTCTCAAGTCATAGAATTCGTCTCTAGGTTTTTCCTTGTCAAAGATGCTTTGGGAAGGTCGGCGTGTCGCAAAGTGGCCAAAGTGATGCACGAAGTGCCGCTAGTGGATTCAAACGAGGTGAGTCTTGTGTGGTTGGGACTGTGTCACATTCAATAGATACTGATAGAATCGAATACAGATCGATCCATCTATTGGGTGCTCTTATGAGCTAGTCAATATAATATCTAGAATCACAGATCTGGCAAGAGATATGGTGAGATGATCAATCACAAACTCTCATCTTGCGAGCTACTTACTAACGTACTCCAAGCGTGATCCGGCAACCGACAGAGAATTCTGGCGCAATGAGACACTGGAAGTGGAACATCAGCTGGAGACGCTAATACAACTCGTCCCACCTACTTATCTCCAGGATATAGACCCCTTAGGCCCAGAAACCTTACCTACACCTCCCACAACTTCCGACGAACCAATAACAATCCTTCTCAACACATCTCTCCTAATGCAAACCGCCGCTCGACTCTTCTTCCAAGCTACTCTACGCTCCCTCAACCCACAAACGTCTCACGCTCGCGCGCTCATCACAGAGATAATTGGGTATACTCAACAACTCTCACCAAACCATCTTCGATCCGCACATCTATGGCCGCTATTTGTCGGAGCGGTCTACTCAACAGGCAATGATGAAGAGCGCGTATGGTTTTTGGATCAGTTTGATATTATGGAGAAAAAGTCTCAAGCTTTGGTCGCTAGGGGCGTATTGACGCGGGTGAAGGATATTGTGGAAAACGTATGGAAGCGCCGGGATCTGGATTGTGATGGGGTTGTGGGGGCAGACAGGGAGGGGATAGGTGATTGGGAAAAGTATGTGCAGCCTTTGAGTGATGGGTTGTGTTTGGGCTAGATTTTGCACTATGGGAACGAGTTGTGTAAAGAACTGAATGATTGTACATAGTACCCATTTTATTAGGTCATCGAATCGGCGTCGATCGACCTTTGTATGATTTATACCTACTACACCGCATCACCACTGCCCAGCTTCACAGAGACTTCTCCACTATTCAACGCCACTTGGGCAATTGATTGTTACCCAGTTGACGCCAGCATCCCATCTATATGCTTGGTGTACATCGGCCGCGTACTCCTCAGCCGTACACCATATCTCTGCAGCATGATATAGAGCGGAATGAGTCCAAATGTGCATATTATGCATTGTGCGGCATATGTCCATGTATAACCTGGAAGAGAGAAGATGTATGAGTGAATTGTATTCATATGGATGTTTCCGAAAGTAGGAAGGGTGGACGTACCTGATGCTTCGACCCAGTAGAAGATGAACCAGGGATTGATGAATGCTGAGAGCTGTTCATGGCTAGGGTATTAGCATGAAAGTCATGGCAAGCATGGAACATTGAAGGGAAGCCTACATTGATAATTACAGTGTAAAAAGTGATCACCTCATTCGCATGGTCAGGATAATTGTCTACAATGTATGCAGACAAGACCGTGTTTCCGGTTTGTAGTCCGAGAGTATCTGTTATTAATCAGTAAGTCAGTAATCCCATTTTCTTCCTCCCTCAAAACATTGATCGCCGAGATCAAAGACAGACTCACACAAGAAAAAAGCCACCTGCCCAACCATCCAATGCCACTTTTCATCAACACTAACACCCCATAACACAAGTCCCACAGACGAAACAACCGCAGCCGGATAACCAAGCCAAAGCCTCATTTCAGGAACACGGATTCCGCCGTTTCTTTTGGCCAGATAACTCATCAGTTTGTCGCTTAGGTTGCCTGAGCATACGACTTCAGCAACTAGGAGGCCGACTAAGAGGCCTATTAGGAGTAGGCCTTGGGTTCGGGGGGAGTCGTTGATGTAGGCATCTGGGATAAGGGTTGAGATGCCGCAGATCCTTTGATTTGTTAGCTCATTTACCTTTAATGATACGGTATGGATACAAACCACCAATACTGAAGAAAGCAGTAGCCAAGAACACTGATGACAATTGTGGGATAGCGGAATAAATTGAAGAATTGGATTGTTGTTGTCCATGGTTTGGGATGAGGAACATTGGGGGCTTTTCTGATGACCTGTACAGACAAGACATTAGATACTAGAATAGGATATTAAGAGTGAAGATAACTCACGAAGCAACCGAGCCTGCTTTTCTTGGATATCGGTTCGGTAATAGCGATAGCCGTCTTGTCCGCATCCATCATTTGGTTCTCCTGATGTAAAACAGCTGCGCGTGGGTACAACGTCTCCGGGAGAAAAAGATACTGTACAGCCAGTAGCACGGCAAATAGGATGGTGACATGATATGCCACCCATTCGCCAGAGGTAGCCAATAGGCCACCAACTATAGACAATTATCAGCATGCCACCATATCAGATAGTCAGACTCAATTCCTGGAAAAACACTTACAAACACCACCCAAAACCGTCCCCGCATTAGCGGCAATAGTCCACATCCCAATCCTCAAACCCCTCTCATGCTCAAAGGAGATATCATGAATAATCACCAGACCAATATTAGCCGACGGCCCAGCTCCTAACCCTTGAAAAAACCTCGTAGCCATATATCCCCCATAATTGATAGTCTTGATAGATGTACATCCACTCGCCACAACGGCTAGTGCCGTACACGCAATTAACACTGGCCTTCGACCGTATGTATCTGCCAACGAGCCCACTAGCAAAGGACCAATTGCCAGACCCAGACACGGAAGGGCAAAAGTCCAGCTGACTTGGGAATAGTTGATGTTGAGTTGTTCTTCTAAGAACCCGAAGGAGGGGATTGGTGCAGTGGTGAAGTAGGTTAGTAGGAAGTAGCTATAGACGACTATGAAGAGACAAGTTGATTTGCGGAGGAGGGACCAGTTGAGAGGGTCCTTTGGGTCGTTTGTGGGAGTTGGGCTTAGGGGGTTGCCTTTTGGGTCCAGTTTATGGAGATATCCTGTGGCCTCAATTGTTGTTGGTGTTGCTATGACAGGCTGGGAGGTCTTTTGGATGTCCATGTTTTGTGAATGATGAACAATGTGCCTCGTTATAGCCCACGGGTGCCCTCGGGGGATGGGAGGGGGGAACAGTCATTATATTTATATTCATACCCTAAGATTGATACCTAGCCCTATCCCCATAATATGACTCTGCTGAAGTTTCCCCATACGGGTAAGTATATGATGTTAGGGCTAAGTTAAGTCTCCCACGCGCTGATAAGAAGTTTATTCTAATTGGCCACTTTGATATCTCCTCGACTTTCCCAGAGAGGTGTAGCGCCATATTGTGACCTGTTCCCCAGATTCCTCGATGAAGTAAGTATCTCAATATCAAGAGTAATTCCAATCTGTCATTCCACATAACGGCGTTATCTTCAGTCCGGTAGTTAATGAAAGTAAATCTCCTCGACTTACTCTTTTCGGCTTGTTTTCTGCAGATACTTAAAGAGATCGTTATCTGTCCCCAGAACTCAGTCATTTGAACTTATCAAAAGGTCCTCATCTGGTCAACGATTGGCAGCAACATGTTGTCCATTGCCGGTCCAGCTATATCAATCTGGGTGATATTTGTCTTAGTCAAAGCAATATGTGGGTGGCAAGCCAAAATACCCGGTCCCTGGTACACGAACATCACCAGTTTTGTGTTGAAATACCATGAATTCACAAAGAATCGTCGACTTTGGATTCATGAATTGCATCAGATATACGGCCCAGTTGTTCGCGTGGCTCCTAATGAAGTCTCATTCTCGAACCTGGAAGGAATGAAGGAGATTTATCAGAGTGGAGGGAGCGGGTATGACAAGACTGAGTTTTATGATTTGTTCAAGCAATATGGGTATCGGACGTTGTTTACGACGCCGAATAAGGTGGATGTTAGTGAAGACGGTTAGAGTGCGCTGATCGGTTGCTGATGAGGATAACAGCATGCTACGAGAAGGAGGATACTTGCGGACAGGTATTCGATGACAAATGTTCTTCGTGCACCGATGCTTGAGGGGTTTGAGCAGAGGGCTGCATCGGTCATGAAGCAATGCGAGGCATCTCGTAGTGGATATCTGGATATCTACGTATGAGACTGGCAAATATACCCAAAATATGCCAAAAAAGCTGTCAGGACTGACGCTTATGTTATATCCAGGTCACCTTGCACTGCTACGCTTTGGACTGCGCTTCGCATTTTCTTTTCAATCCCGGCGGGACAGATACTTTGAATGACGAGGAAGACTTCAAACTCATGAAAGAATTATCGTATCACGATAGCATCAAGCGTAAGTCATATACCACTCGGGGGCTACCCAAACTAACTCCAAGCCAGAAAGATATGTCCAACATTACTGGCCAGTGCTGAATAAGATCTTCTCGCCATTCCTCAGTCCTAAGCGAGTCTCTCTGTCAAGGAGATATGTTCTTGATCAGAGCCACCAGAAAAGCCCTCACGAGTCATCTCTCATGCATAAGTTGCAGAGCAAGTCTTCCGAGCTCACCACAATCCAGATGGCAGCTGAATGCATGGATCATATGGCCGCTGGAATAGACACCACCGGAGATAGTCTTTGCTTTTTGATGCATGAACTATCTCTTCCACGCTCCGAGTGTATACAGGACCACCTCCGCCAGGAGATCTTACGGAATCCGACTGCAAAGTTAGATGAATTGCCGTATCTTGATGCTGTGATTAAAGAAGGTCTGCGTCTGTTTGCACCAATCCCGATGAGTTTGCCTAGATATGTTCCTGAGGGTGGCAGGACTATCTGTGGTTATGAGTGTCCCGAAGGCGCTATAGTAAGTTGCCAAGCATACTCACTTCATTTATTGAATCCGGACGTGTTCCCGGATTCAGAGTCATTTATGCCTGAAAGATGGTTGCAGAAAGACGGAGAGGCCGAGAGGAACAGACTACTCTTCGCATTTTCTGCTGGTGGAAGAGGATGTATTGGAAAACAGTGAGTTCTTTCGAATGCTCTCTATTCCCGGTATAAAAGCTGATATAACTGCAGTTTGGCAATGGTAGAAATGAAGACATTACTGCGTAGGATATACGGGCAGTATCGAACGACGATAGCGCCGGAAATGAATGGAGACATGTCAATTCATGATCAGATAATAGCATCCAGGCCGAAAGATCAGACATGTCTCCTAGTGTTTGACCGAGTATGAGCAATTTTCATGGACTGGAAAGGATCCAACTCCGTTACTCAGTGTAATTGGTGCTCGCGAACAAAGGTTGTACCTTGAGCATACCCTGGAGGCTTGTTCACATGTTCAGACATCATCTTTTCTGACTGCAGCAATGCCAGTATATGTGGGAAGATGATTGATGCACTTAGGTATCTTAGCAGAGAACACACTTTGGCGCCCACAAACTGTTACTCCTACAGATAAATAGAATTGTTGAAGTGGAGCACATCTCGGTTGTTGTGGACAACCGATGCCTCAGGCCGCAATTGAATGACCGGCTACGTAGTGTCCCGTTACCCTCGAAGCTCCTCCTGTCAGGGAGCATCGCATGATCCGTATTCAGCAGCCTCCTTCAAGCCATCCTCTTATAAACTTTTCGAGATCACCGCGTGTTCTATGTCAAGTGCTCACCCTATTTGCATGTGATCAACCTTCCCCGGAACGTCACCATCTCGCCACGATTCCATCTCCGCCCGTACTAGTAGCTTGCTTCGCATTGATCCACAGATCCCCATATCGCCCGCTTCTCCTTTCGCTCCTCGTCAAGACAACAGACAACTGCGATTTTCTTGCATAAGGAGGCAGGACAATGACGGATCAACGCCCTCGCGCGGAGAGCAGGAGCCTTACGGCTCCCAGTTTGATCGGGACGAATGGACACTTCGCGTCTGTGGGAGATGCGGCGCACGATCCCAAAGCCTATGAACATGGCGTCCAAGTAATTGACGAGGAAAAGCAATTTAAGTAATTATCCGCGCCCTGTTCTTAAATTGGGGAGTCGCTTTGAAATGTGCTAACAAATAATTCATTCAAGTCCCAACTTGTCCAAGTACCTTTCACTTGAAAATGTCGCTAACGCCGGGTTCAACTATCACCTCATCTCCGTATTCGGATCACAATCAACCGGTAAATCTACACTCTTGAACCATCTTTTCGGTACTCAGTTCTCGGTCATGTCCGATAGGGAGCGAAGGCAGACCACGAAAGGTATCTGGATGTCGAAAAACAAGACGAAACATGAAGACCCCAATGCGCGTATGGCGGACAATATCCTAGTCATGGATGTTGAAGGTACAGACGGTCGTGAGCGCGGTGAAGATCAGGACTTTGAGCGCAAAAGCGCCCTTTTCGCATTGGCGACAAGTGAGGTGTTGATTGTCAACATCTGGGAACATCAGGTCGGGTTGTATCAGGGTGCGAATATGGGTCTATTGAAGACGGTGTTTGAGGTGAATTTGCAATTGTTTCTCAAGGATAAAAAGTATGCTTTTGCATTTCGCCCTCTGAGAGCTTGACTAATATTGTTATAGCACGACTCATCGCTCCCTTCTCTTCTTTGTCATTCGTGATTTCATGGGCACTACACCATTGAAGAACTTGGAAATCACTCTCCTCGAGGATCTTTCACGGATATGGGCATCTTTGTCAAAACCCCAAGGCTTAGAGCGCTCTACCATCCATGACTATTTCGACTTCGCATTTTACGGATTGCCACATAAAGGCTATAAGCCCGAAGAATTCGCTGCGGAGGCCAAGAAGCTTGGGTCACGGTTCCGCGAAGGCCGACGGGATCGAAAAGAACAGCTTATTGGCGCATCTATTGAGAGCGGCGTATTTCTGCCCGAGTACCACCGTAGAATTCCTGCCGACGGTTTTGCGCATTATGCGGAGGGTATCTGGGATCAGATTGTCAACAACAAGGATCTGGACTTGCCTACACAACAAGAGTTGCTTGCGCAATTCCGATGTGATGAGATCTTGAGAGAGGTCCTTGTCGCCTTTGACGAAGCCATTGTACCATTTGAGGAGAAGCAGGCTGCGGGCGTCCGCGCTGGTGAACCTACTATCCTTGGAGGATTGGGGCCGGCTATGCGAGGTGCTAGGACAAAGGCTGTCAAGAATTTTGAAACAGAGGCCAGTCGCTATCACAAGGGTGTATACCAACGGAAACGCACCGAACTAGAGGGCAAGATCGATACAAGACTGAAAGCACTTTTCCAGGGTCAACTGAATGCAGCCCACAAATCAGGTGTCAAGGATTTCAGTGACGCTGTTTCCAACGCTGTCAAGGCTGGTCAGAAAAAGGGCGCAAGCTACGACTTTGCGGAGATTGTTAAGCAGGAAACTCAAGCTGCCCTTGAGCGATTCGAGAAAGAAGCTCGCGCCACAGTGGTAGAGGGCACTGCATGGAGTAACTATAAACAAGAACTGAAGCTGTACCAAAAGGATCTTGGGGAGGTCAGTGGGCAACTACGTCGTGACGAGATGCGACGACTTGCTACTAGAGTGGAAAGATGGGTGAAGTCACGTCTCTCCCACTCTGTTAGTTTGGAATTCAATTCCCTTGGTTCTGGGCGTGGTGGTTCTGGTGCGCCAGAGACTGGCGACAAACCCGCAGAGAATAAAATCTGGGACCGTATTTGGAATCTGTTTGTCCAGACCGTCTTGGACGCGGAACGACGATTCACAGATCGCGCTACTAGTCTCGATGCCAGTGTTGAAGAAGTGGACGTTGGACTTTGGCGACTTCGTAGGAAATCTTGGAGTGTTTTGCGTCTCAAGATTGAGGAAGAGATGATGGAGGGTAACCTGCTGTTGAAGCTTCGTGAGAACTTTGAGGATAAATTCCGATATGACGAAGCAGGTGTACCGCGTATATGGCGTCCTACAGACGATATTGAAGGGGTATATACTCGGGCTCGCGAGTCTACTTTGACTCTTATACCGCTCTTGTCAAAGTTCATTTTAGCAGAAAACAACTCTCCTCCCCCACTTGATCGTTGGATTGGACATACCCCTAGTTCGGCGACCGCTGCTGACGAGGAAGATCTTACACCGATTGGTGGCGTTGACGCGGAAGATGGCAGATCTCTAGAGGAAGAAATGACCATTCTCAATGATGCCAAGCGCCAGGATTTGACTGTGCGTTTCAAAAAGGCTGCTGATGGAGTTTACGTCGAAGCTAAGCGCAGTGCCATCGGTGGTATTACGCAAGTCCCACTGTACTTTTATGGGTTGCTCCTTGCGCTGGGTTGGAATGAAATCTGGGCCGGTACGTTTATCTATAAAGCCTTATCTGTTAATACTAACAAGATAATAGTCCTCCGAAACCCAGCATACTTCTTCCTCCTCTTCGTCTGTGCCGTCGGCGCCTACGTAACATATCAACTCAACCTATGGGGACCCATGTTAAAAATGGCCGACGCAGCATCTAAGCAGGCTCTTGAAGAATTGAAGAAAAGACTACGAGAATTCCTGGAAGCATCCGATACTGGACGCCAGGCCATGGCAATGTCTGCTAATGCTACTGGAAGAGATGCCGGGGAAGAATTTGAGATGAGCTCATTGAACCGAGGTGGGAAGAAGGCTGAGGATGAAGATGAGAATGATGATATTTAGATTGTATCTTTCTTCTTCTTTCTCTATTATCTTTATCACTCAGACACGCTCGTTGATATGGCTAGAGTGGGACGTGCTGTATGCATGCAAAAGCGGCTTATGGATGTAATTATGATCTTGGATATGAATGATAAATATTTCTAGTAATTGTCTGGATCGAGAGTAGATGAAGGTATTCATGTAGATAGAGTTTGTTCTACTCTGACAATCTTTTGATTGGGTAGAGATAAGCTGCCCTATCCTCTCCATATCACTCCCCACAGAAATATGCTCTACTAGGTTATTATTAGGTATTTCCTCTAGTCTAACGAGTCATCGGAATTGAAAGTCATCGACCACTGATGTTCTGAGGTGCATCATGCCACTGCGATCCCATCACGGCTGCGCACGCTGCAAGCAACGACGACAGAAATGCGATGAGAAACGACCCAGTTGTACTCGCTGCACAGAAGCTGCCGTCACCTGCGAGTATGTTATTACTCTCAAATGGGATGGCCGAGTCCCCCGAAAGCAGGAGCAAGCATCATCACGACAAAGGCGAGCGCGAAAAAGTGCTTCTACGACATGGAGAATCTGTTCGGGAGAGGGGCGTAGTCCTCCCAATGCTCGACTTTTGATGAATACGAGCGAAAAAGGACTAGATCTTATCAAGAAAGTGGATGCTTTCAATGGACTATGTTTTAGGGATAAATTACTACTGAATCACTTCATAACGACTGTGTCCATGTTAATGAGCCACACTTCACTGCGTGACCAGGCATGCCAGATCCTGCCAGTAGCGCTGGAGACACCCTCATTACTTTACGCGACACTAGCTTTTTCAGCTCTTCATCTTTCAACATTAGTCAACGATGATTACTCCGGAAATGGAAGTTTAATGTGTGGTACACCGGCCGAAGACATTTTGGCTAGTAGTATCACACATCTACGTCAGGAGCTGAATGACAAGAACACAACTACCAATACAACCGGTCTCCTACATACCGTCAAAACTCTTTGCCTGTTTGAGATTTATTCCGGTAAATACGACTCATCATGGCGAGCCCATTTGAAAGGGGCAAGGGCGTTACTCCAGACAAGAGGCCTTGTTCCTACGAATCAATTAGGTGGTTGGCTGATATCGAGATGGTACATCTCCATCGAAGCTTTATCCGCAGTGACAAAAGACGAGAATCGAGATGAAGAGCAGAAGAAGAAATTTATTTATCCCATCATTGATGCTGTGGCTACACATGGTTCTGTTCTGGATATTTATGCTGGATATTCCTCTGACCTGCATCTCGCGTTCAGAGATATTGGCCATCTGATGCAACAGTATGCATCCGTGAGGACGCCGAAGTATTACTGTGGCGACGATATTCTCACGGAATTCCTTATCCACTGCGATGAATGCATCGAAATCGAATATCGAGTCGAAAAGATGATTCGTCGAGATCGTAACGGTAAATTGCAAATCCCACCTGAAATCTCTCTTAGTCCCGACGAGCTTCGGATGTTCGCAGCATGTAACACGGCATATCAGTATTCTGCGCTACTGCATATTAGACGGAGACTGCACAATATGGACTCGGACTCTGAGCAAGTCCAGCAATGCGTAAGGGGGGTTTTGGATACTGTGTGCGAAGTGAGACCGGTTTCGGTTTTGTCGCCATGGATTTTGCTTACGACGCCTATATTTACGGCTGGGTAAGACTATCTCAGATCATCAAACTCAAGAGTCAAGATCACAACGACTTTATTTATTTCATGTTGTTCAATCTAACGGTCAGACAGATGCGACGCCATAGACCAAGATCGAGATACAGTCAAGACCTTACTACAGGAACTGTACACAGTCCTCCGAATCCGCAACGTTCTTAGAGCAATCAAAATACTGGAGGAGCACTGGAAATGGCCTTATGATTGTACTGATATAGCCAATTTCCTGCCATTCTGACTTCGACCATGACATAGAGTTATTGTGCCCTAGGACTAATTAGGAAAGTCGAGGAGAAGACGATAGCGATAAGATAAGAGCATATCTATGAGGGGCATCCATCACGGCCAGTTTGCGACATCAATACAAATTTCTCACAATCCTTCATCGAACTGGAAAAGGACAGAATCAAAATGAATATAAGAGCCTCAACATTAATCAGCGTCCAATGGCCTCCAGAACCAGTCTCCGAAGGCCCAGATACCCTCGTCCTAAGCGTGGGGACATACTACGTTGATTTGAGGGTAAATCGACACGATGGCAGCATTTATTGGACATTAGCAGGACGGCGAATAGTCGTTTCTGAGGATCCTCGTAAGTAAACCCCTCATCTTACCTCAGCTCTTGGATCAAACCCATCTGAGAAATTGGGCATAGGCAAAGTCAAATTCACACATGAAATCGATTCTCATAAACCTCATCGTAACGCCAGCAGTGACGAGACCGACGATGAGGATGAGGAAGAGGAAGAAGTCGCTGATGAAGGAGAATTCACAAAACTTCCAAATGGCGACGATCTCGAAATCGGCGAAATGCCTGCTCCGCATTTGGGTGGGAAAGTAGCGGCTTATCGTGAGATATGGCGCGAATTGAAGATTGGATTTGACGATAACGATGATGATGATGATGATGATGACGACGGGGGTGATGATGCTGGGAAGGGGGCATGTTGGGTCCTAGAGAGTCTTAATAATAATGAGAGTGAAGTACCCAACAAGGGAAAGAAGAAGAGAACGTTTTATTGTAAAGTTGGGAAGTTTTTTCTTGCTTTACGTCGAACGGAGACGGATTACTCTGAAACAAATGAAATTGGGAAAAAGAATATTGAGTTCTCGGTTATCAGACAGGAACTCATCAACAAAACCGAAGAGGATTGGGTTACGAAATACAGCATTGGCACGGAAGTCAATAATATGTTTCACTTGTCGAAGACGTCGGTATTTGCGTTGCAGAATGCTAATGGGAAATCAACCTGGAGTGATGGTGATCGGATACTTGTGAGTAATAAGCGTGATGCTAGCGTACGAGAGGTTTGTATTGTTAGAGCTGTGAATTGACCATCTTTTATCCCGCTACTTCTATGTACAGTAGAACCTGGCTATAACGAAAGGAAGGTCGTCTCATATTTCCACTGATCTCAGCCTGGATTACTTTAACATGGGACTGAAGAGCATCCTATTTACGAACATTAGACTAGAGAAGTATATGGAAGGTGCCCTTCATCCCTAAATCGAACTCACTTCCGGATATATTGACTTGGACCCCGAGAGGCCTGCAGTTTGTTATAACCAGGCTTTACTGTACCAAGGTTCGGTCAGCTGTGTCTGTACAGGATGAATAGAGTAGAGTGGTATCACTGCATAAATCCCATCTGGGCATCCTCCCAGCCCAAATACACAAGAAAAGAAAACAACCAACCAACGCCTTCCCATATGGTATATTCAATTAATAGTACATAATACTCCCATGATCCAACCAACCTTACCGTAACCCTCTAATTTTATATTGGGATCTATTGAATAATATCCGCATTAGACCAATCAAAATTCCAACCCTGGTCCAAATCCAGATCCAAATTCATATTCGGCCACAGAGCTACATTCTCATTCTCAAGACCGCTCATAAACCCATTCATATACGCCGTGTTTGGCTCATTCATCATTATGTTCGCATTCGGCATCATGCCTGCGTTTGGTAATGTGAGAAGACTCTCTAGTTGGACGCGTGAGGAATCATCCCAGTATGATGGGGTTGTTTCTAGGCTTTGTTGTTGGGACTGGGATTGTTGAGTATGGTGTTGTTGTTGCTGGTCTGAGCAGATGGAGACAGAGACGTTACTGAAATCGATGTTTGTATGAGGTGGAGTGTAGAGTTGGAAGGGACTTGGCTGTTCCGACGTGGAACCCTTGACAGAGGAGGAATAATGGCAGTTTTGACTGTAAACGCTGCTGTTGGTTGGCGTAGGTTGCTGTTGTTGAGTTGTGGATGGGCGCTCAGGTCTTGTTTTGCATGCCTTTTTACCTGGTGTCACTGTAACGCTACCAAAATATGGAACAGAGATTTTGCAAGATGCGGATGATGGGCATTCTTTATCCACATTACTGCTGATTCCTTCAAGGATGAGTAATGATTGTCGGGCGACAGTGCCTGCAGGCTCAGCGGCTGCGTGACGAATGACTTCTGTAGTTTCGTCTACCAGTGCCCAGTCCTTTTCGTCTTGTTCGGGACTATGATTGGGCGAGTCTTCTGAGTATCCTATAAGATTGATGATCAAGAGCATGGCCACTGAAAAGGCCTGAAAGTCGATCAAGCGGCATACATATGGGCTCATCATACCCTCAGAACGCAATCTATTATACGCGCGCATCGCGTTCCGAGACGATTCCAACGCGGCTTGTTGGCTAAATCGATACGAACGGTTGCCGTGGGATTGCAGCATGAACGGTAAATGTAGCGTCGCCCGCATATAGTGGAACATGAAGGGAAGCATTACACGCTCAACTGCTTCATCAGTAGACATTTTGTGACGGGGAGGTTGCTCCTGCCAAAAGTGGTCGGGCATGGATCGTGCCTGGGTCTCCATTTCTTGTTCCACTTTTAAGGTCTCTGCAATCGACATATTTGCCGGATCTTGTTGATTCCGATCAATTATTGGACCCATGATGAGTGAGAGTTGGAGGCAATAGCTTTCCATGTTGGGAGACTCCGTCCTCAGTCGTCGCTCCACCTGTGGACGATAGATATTTTCCTGGATGCCATACGGTAGACCTAAAATCAAGCAGAGAAATCGATCATTCAAGCCGAGCATTGTCCACAGCTTAAGACGCCGATTGTAAAGTGTGTCCTCTGGATGAGGATCTCTGGCAGTGGATATGTGCAAGCCCGCCAGCTGTGCTAATTCAATCCCACGTCTCGTCATAAGCCACGCTTTTCGGGGGCGCCCCAGACTGGTATACCATTTTGATAGAAGTAATATCGCTTCAAGACTGGGGAGGGTGCCACACAAATCTTCGTCATTGATAATCAAGCGGTCGATAGCGTTCACACAATCATCGCCGTATTCATTCGGAACGATAGGCCTCTCGAGAGAGTTATAATCAAAATCGGCAGGAAGCTGGTCAATACACATCAAGTGACAAAGTAAGAACTTTGCTACTTCACCGGGAGATTTCGGTATTTCGAAATAGTCCCGTTCGCCCATGAGAGTTGACCGATCCGGTTCGGGAACTTCGGGGAACATGTAATGCCATACAGACCACCAATTCGCTGCCAAATCTCGAATGCGACGGAGGTCCCCCCGAGGTGGAATCAATTTGACGAGTTCGTTCCGCGCTGCAATTGCCTTTGGTGATATGGCCAGTGTAGCGGCGACATTCTGATTGCGTGTTGCGGTTCCCTCGGTGCGGGATACAACGTTATTATTTAAGATCTGGAGTACGGGGGCGTTTTCGATCTGATGACTTTCTGTGATTGGTGCGTCCTTGACTGTTTCGCATGCAACTGTGACGGTCATTTCCTGCCCAGATACTAAGGATGCATTCTCAGCGGATTTGCTAACGGAGTCCCCTTCATATGCATATGATTTACTCTTCTGATTTGTGCTTTTGAGGTAATCATACTGAGCCGGAGACGCAGAGGCTGACGACGGAGTGGTATGTTCCATTTGTTGTAAGATATCTCTGACCACATTCTCCAATTGCGTAACTCGCTCACGCAGACTGTAGGATTGTTCTCCGGATAAGAGGCCTGTAACCTTGGGATCCAGGGTTCCATGTTCTTGGTCGATGCATTCAAAACCCCTCGAGTGACATTCATTACATATATTAGGCCGATCTGAGTCGTATGTGCAGCGAATCTTTCGTCGACGGCCTATTCGGTGTTAACGCAATTTGCAGTTGATGGCGATGACAATGACGATGACAAGCACGTAGGAAGATTGAGACTCCGTATTTGGTTTGTGAGGAACTCTGCAGTTAGATACTCACATTCAGTACAGCTCTTGGTCCCTTTTCGCATCTTCTTCCGAGGCGGACCCCCGGAATCTAAGAATCGAGCCGCAGACATTATGTAGATAGTTTCCGTAGATCCAGAGTATCAGATGGACTCACAGCCTCAATCGCGAACAATCAACGATGCCTGCGCCGGTAACTCAAGGTAACACAGTAGCTTCACAGAGAAAGAAGATGTAAAATTAAGGTCAGTATCGACAGTCAGGGACTTCTCCTCACTCCACCCGATCGAATGATGTAAAGAACAATTGGCCAAAAAGTGAGATCTCAAACCAGGCAGCAATATTGTCAAGCTCCCAAGCTAAGACCAAAAAATCAAACGCGAAAAGTTAATTAGCGGATTTATGACTGACAGAATCCTTAATTCCGAATTAATCGTGATCCATATGGCCGGATTCGTCAGGCCTGAAGAATTGAACCCTGGTCGGACGAAAATGCACGCAAATAGGTACCTCGATCGTATCACAAGCACATATATAAGGGTCGTGGTTGTCAGGAGATGTGAGTAATTTGCTAGTGCGATGTCAGTAAGGTAGGAGGTACATAGCTTCTCGATCGAAGAGACGTGAAGTCTAAAGAAGCTGATGATGTAATCAAGCCTTGATTACGAAGCAGCGCGGACGAAAAATAGCCGAAATTTTGTTGCATGGTGATTGGTCAACTCAGTTGGAAAGGTTAAGGTTAGGGCTGATATAGTTTGAGCCAATGAGAAGCTTTGAGTTCACCTTCCTATTTAAGAATGTGACTGAGTGAGCATTTACTGTCCTAACTTAAGTGCTTATTTACTGTTGACTGCTGACCGTTTGAGTTTTATTGTTCTAAGAGTAAGCTGTTATAAAAGTGAAGGAAACGGTCTAGAACTTATACACTATTAGTATTAGTATTATCCATGTATCTATCGCCAACGCCAAAGCAAAATGTCTAATTAGCTAGCTATTCAGCACATACCAGTCCGTATACAGGTCATACATCATCACGAAGAAAAGCGTTGTCCAAGTAACTATTCTGAAGACAACCAGGGAATCGCTCAAGCAGCGCCCATGCCCGGTTGTACCTTGCCCTTAAGACTCTTCCACTTCGGAAAAACTGAGATAATGCAACAGACTCCCCCAAGCGCAATCGCAAAAATAAACGCAACCTTGAGACCGTCCATATAAGCATGCAAAATACCCGGTAATTGAGCCGCGGTGAACACTCCACGCAGATCAGTAGCTCCCGTGGCAACGACAAGTGCTGGGTTCACATCGGGGGCATAGACGGGTAATTTCTTCATCAATGTATTGGTGAAACCCGCCTGTGCGCCAGAGATCCATAAGGCACCACCAATAGTCTGAAAGAACAACGTAACGGCAGTAACGTTCGCGACATCCGAGGAGTCGACGATGGCTTGATTGACGATAATGGCGATTTGACTGCCGAGTCCAGCGCCAAAGCCACACAGAGCCTGGTAACCGATCCACTTGCTATGACCGGTATCAATATTGAAAGTGTATATGAGACCTGCGCCGATAGTCTCAATGACAACGGCGAGAATCATGAGATAGCCGTATTGGCCAAATGCGGTAATCAAGACGCCCGACATGATTGCACCTATACTGCTTGCCAGGATAAAGGGGACGTTGCGAACACCGGATTGTGAAGCTGAGACGTCCTTGATAGATTGGAAATAGATTGGGAGGTAGTAGATCATGATAAACATAGGTCCGATAACGAAGAGGACGTATGCACATCCGATTGCGATGGTACGATCCTTGATAAGTCGTTTTGGGACCAAAGCACGCTCTCCGGAATATCGCTGCGCGAGAATGAATGCGATTACCATGAGCCCGAATCCGACTAACAGACCTACAACTTCAGAGTCACTCCAGGCCTTGGTCACACCGGCCCATTGCATAGCGAGGAGATAGCAGATCGTAGCGCCGAGGATTAGAGTAGTTCCAAGAGGATCCATCTGTAGAAGCTTTTCCTTGAGGGGGGCATCGACGGGTTTAGCTGTAGGCGGAGTCTTGAAAAAGAACAGGATAATAGCAGCGCTGACACCTCCGATGGGAAGATTAATATAAAAACTATTCGAATAGATAATCAGTTCCTGAGTCATGTATTATTAGGAACTCTTTCAAACTTACCACCACCTCCAGGATACATCACTGGTAAACACACCACCAAGCAAAGGACCAACAACACTAGCAACCGAAAACGTAGCTCCCAACACACCCGTAAGCGCAGGCCTTCTACTCGGCGGCGCAGAGAACGCAATAATAATATAAACACCGCTCGAGATTCCAGCACCACCAATACCAGCAATAGCACGCCCAATAATAAATGCCGTACTATTCGGAGCCACGGCACAAAGCAAGGAACCAATCTCAAAGACGAAGATGAATATCAAGAAGGACGTCTTTAACGGGAAATATTTGTAGGCTTTGCCGCTTGTGGATTGGAATGCTGCCAGGGTTAGGAAAAAAGCAGATCCGTACCAGGCTACTTGGTCGAGAGAGTTGAATTCATCTGTGATTTGTGGAATGGCTGTGGCGACGATGGTCATGTCCAGGGCGATCAGGAACATGGATAAGACCAGGGAGATGACGATGAAGACGAGTTTGGCTGCGTTGGGGTACTCTGTTTCATCTTCTTGTTGCTGTTCTTGTTTTCCTGTTGACGGTTCATCTTTGTCGTCCGGGGGATTTTCGTCATAGATGGATGAGGGTGTACCATTGTTTGTCTCACTATATGCGATTTCTGTGTCCTTCGCGGCTGTAGGGGCAGGCTGGGTACTGTCGTGATAAGTCTGGCTTGATCGAGACGAGGCTCGAGTGACCGGATGGTCTAATGAAGATGCCATACGGAACTTGGTATTCAAATATAATCCAGGTGAACTCCTATATCAGATCTCGATGTTATTGCAATCGAATGCCCAACGACCCGTTCCAGATCTTGTCTATACGATTGAATGATGCGAAGAGAAAGATCACCAATTAAGGAAAAGAGCCATCCCTATATACCACAAACTACCTCGATCCAACATAACACACCTCACCTTTCAGCCATGACAACATAACGTTATCTGCCTAACTCCGGCTCCAGGATAGCACTCATGGCCATATCCGGCCGAAAAAATCAGTCCCATATCGCCAATAACGTCACTTGAAGACCCTGTGAGCCAAAAACCCTTGAAGTCAATCTAACCTGAAAGAATGAACAATTGACTTTTCAGCCGTAAAAGCCTAGAGGCTGAGGGCTTAACGTTATGCTTTTAAGAATCACATTTGCGCTCCGATGCACATATCGACGAATCACAGAGACGGAAAAGTGGATAGCATCTTGACTCAGTCTTGCAAGATTGATAATTGGCTTTGCAAAAATTTCACGTAAAGTCCCCCGTAAGCACGAGTGTTGTACAAGCACTTCGTATTCCCTTCGCTACGAAAGAGATATTCGGACAACGAGTGAGGTGTGTGCGCGATTACTAAGGATGCGTGACGGACGAAATATCTCCGGATGAGTCATCCTGAGCGGGATTCCAAAGGTACGGCCGGTTGTCTGTCAGTTGCACACTATGTAGATCGAACTCGACTGTTATTGACATTCAAGTATATTGTCATGAGCATCTAAAAGTAAGGGTATCACCCCCCAATGGCCGTTATACGGTCCCCTTCCGTTACCTGAAGCGAAACGAAACAAATCAAGGAATAGCATCAACCTATTTAAATAAATAGGGTATGTCGCATTTCCTTTAACGCTCGCAAAAATCCAGATGGAAGAGAAGAAGGTATAAACCAGAGTAAAAAAAAAGGATATACTCAATTTCATCAGAAGTTATAAGCAGGAATTCTGTATCAGCAAGGAGAATAATCCAAAAATATAAGATGATATGGTATGTCTGGTTATTCGAACCTGAGGAAAAAGGGGATTTTCAAAATGTTGATATCCAAAAAAGATTGGGACAGCTGAATATTCAAAATAAGCACAAACTTTTTTGTTTCCCTCGAGAAAAATAAACACCACCGAAGTTTTCCACTTTAAGCTCAGATCAGACGAAAGCTATGGAGAGACGAGAAAGAAATCAAAGACAATTGCGCGTACGCTACAAGGACTCAAGAAGAGAGTTGAGGAGAGATCGATAACATTTCCAAGATTCAAGATGGATTTGGGGTATTGTTTTGAATGGAAAGACAAGCAAAAATCTTCACTTTGAATGTAAGGAAAAGAAAAGAAACCGGCTTGCAGCATCACTTGCAAAAAGCATTCTGTGGGAGGAGAGGAAAAAGGCAAAGATTGGCAGACAATTTAGAAACCAGAGTCATCAATTTACCAAGAAAGGAGAAGAAGGTAAAAATCTGCCCTTCAGAGAAGAGAGAAATCCACTCAATATGGATTTCTGAAAAGTCGAAAACCGAAAACCATGAAACAACTCAAGACTGGTAACCGCCTTGGTTGAAATTGTTGTTGTTCTGGTTGTTACCACCGGGCTGCTGCCAGTTGTTACCTGCGTTGTTCTGTCCACGACCGTAACCCCCGGCACTACCAGGAGCTTGATAGCCTGCTCCACCAGAAAAATTGTTACCCTGTTGATCCCAGCCACGGCCAGCCGGAGCAGGACCTGAATGTTGTCAGAATACACGCGTGCTTTGGCCGTGGTGATTACTGAGCGGGCTCACCTTGAGGACTCATCGGACCTCCTGGCACCCCATACTGCGGGAAGTAAGGGGATGCATTGAAGCCTGGGCCACCTTGCTGAGCTTGGTAGCCGTCAAACTGACCCGTAGGCGGGCGATCCTTGCCCCACTATCATTCCGCATTAGCTTCCAAGGTTTACTTTTGACGACATTCGAACTGCAAACTTACGCTGCACTTGAGTGGACGACCGTTGACTTGATATCCGTTGAGCTGGCAGATAGCCATGGCTGCATTTTCGTGAGTATCCATTTTCAAGAAGGCGAATCCACGGTCTGCCTGCAAACGGGTCTCGACAACATAACCAAAGTTCTGGAACAATGGGACAAGGTCGTTCTGGGTGGTGTATGGAGTAAGGTTTCCAACGTAGCATGTTGTTTGCCATTGTGGGGTCTGGGCGACAACCATATCATAGCTATTTGCGCCGTGAGTCGGGAAGTGATGGTGGCCGAAGGGTGCACTTGGGGTCATGCCCATCGCGGCCATAGCCTGCTGCTGGGAGATTGATGGTTGTCCCTTCTGGTTGGCCCAGTTGCAACGAATCGCGCGTGAGCCTAGCCATTCACGATCCATTGACTTCAAAGCTTTCTCGGCGTCCTCGAACTCGCGGAATGCGACAAATCCATATCCTCGAGAACGACCAGTTTTCATGTCCCACATGACTCGAGCTTCAGAAACAGAACCAAACGCGGAGAAGGCCTGGAGCAAGACTTCATCGTTGACTTCGTTACTCAAATCACCGACGAAGATGTGAAAATGGTTCGAGGTATCCTCCTTGTGGCTGTTGTTGGACTGGTAGGCCCAGTTCACGCGAATTTCCTAACGATCAATGAGCCTCACTTCGATCACATTCGATATGCCAGTACTCACGGATTGATGAATGCGACGGCCGTTGAGGGTCTGCATGGCTCTTTCAGCGGCACCTGGGTCGTCGTACTCCACGAAGCCGTAGTTCATGCCTTTGCTTTGGAACTGTAGTAATAATGCAGTCAGTCAGCTAGGTGATTCAACTTATCAAGGTTGAAAGTGTAGCGATGAACAATCAAGAAAAAAATTAACTCTTGAGTGAGAGTCAAGTGGAAGAATGTGATCAAGAAAGAGGAAGCAGCTGTACGAGGCGTTTGAACTCACATTCTTGTCTGGAATAATTTTGACACTCTGTACGTGGCCAGTAGTCTCAAAGATCTGCTTCAAGATGTCTTCGGTGACTCGAGCGTCTAAGCCGCCAATATAGAGAGCTCTTTTGTTTGGTTCAGGAGCTGCCCGACGCACAAAGCCGCCCGCGCTGGTAGGCGACATCATTTGCCCCGACATGGGCGAGGTGATGGCTGTAGGGATCGGATTTGTTTTTTGTGGGATCACCACGGGCGGCAACGAAGGAGGCTGCATATGAGCGCCTGTCCCCTGACCGTTTCCCTGGGCGGAGTCGAATTGGGGCTGGCCTGGTGCTCCAGCGGATGGCTGAGGAGGGGGAGGGAGAGTGGAGGAGCTCGTAGGCGGCGCGTTTTCTGCCATGGTGGAAGAAGTGGGCTGGATTCGAATAATTGAATATCTGTCTGTATAATGGGGTTGGGTAATTCTTAGTACGGAGACAATAAGAAGCTGATAATGTGGGTCCTTCAGGCACAGGAAACAGAGATTCAATCAAGAAAAAGGAAATGTTGACAGGACAAACGACGCCTGGGAGAATAGTGAGATGAAATTTGCCGAGGAGGACGAATGAGAAGGCTCAGGCACACAATAATAATGAAGCAGTAGCGTTTGGTTGAACAATGTAGTTCGGGGGTATGTTATTACCTAGGCTGCAAAGTATAAGTAAAGAACCAAAAGCTCTCCAAGCTTCCGGTAACCAATATGAATCCCGTACAAATTACTCGTTAGCCTCCTCGATGAAAGATTGGCGAGGCGAAAGAAGATTGGGTAGCGATGCGCTCGAAGTCGAACGACGAACGGACGTAGAAGAAGCAAATCGACGACGCGGCCACAGCAAAAAGAAAATAGGGAAAATACGCACACCCGCCAACTAGCAGTGGAGACAAAGATAAAACGCACGAGAAGCGAGTACTTGCGAATAGAGACGAATAACGAAGCAAATATCGGGATAGAGACGACAAGCAGCAACGACAATGAATCAATAAAAGCAAACTGAATGGAAGGAGAGAAAGAAGTTTGGATGGGCAAGAGCCTCTTGAGGAGGGGAGCCGCTAAACTGGAACAGGCTTAGTGGCTGTGATCCTCTTTGCACCTTCTTTCGGGAGCCGGAGTAAGATGTAACTACACCTGACAAGAAGAACAACAACCTTGCAAGTCACACACGTCTGGCTCTCTTGATTTGTTGCGCTTCTTCGTTGCTGAGTCTACGGCTAGCTGCGTTGAAGTGGCCTGTGGTGTGACTGCATGGATTTTTGCAGGTACAGCCGGAGGGTTCAGACGCTGTCATAACATCCATTCTCCAACGTTCAAGGCTGTCAGGTCATACATCGAAGGCTAAAAGCCAAGTGTGACTGGAATTCACGTGCTTTTGACAGTCGACGATCAGTACTTATCGGTAGACCGACAGGCCACATAGGAAGCCTCAGCATTCCACCTGTCGACTAAGCCAAGCCACCTCCCTGCATTCGTCTTTTAAGTAGCGGGACTATTTTCCAGTGCAGAACATTCTGTATTTCAAGGGCGGTGCGGACATCACACAACACCATGGCTACTCCACGGTCTGCAGCAACTGCAGAGTCTCTTGCGACTTTAGCAGATGCAGTCAACCAGACGGTATGTCGCTGTTACAGAAGATGCTAATGCCATTATACTAACTGCGATAAGCTTGTTGATACTGGACGTTTCTTCAAAAGCTCCGGTTCTTTACAAAGCCGCGCACAGCTCAAGGCATCCATTCCCGCGTCATATCAGAGATTTCAAACCGCTTTGGACACATTGACTGAGCAAATAGTGAGTTTGTTGCTATATAGTCTAGAGCGGTACTTATACGAATAATAGTTTATTGCAAAGGCGTTTTTGGAAAAGGATTATGAGAATGCGACTGCGAAGAGACTGGCGCCAAAGCCGGAGGCCAAACAAGAACCAGCACGCATCTCTGCTCCTGCGCCTCCACCATCAGAAGATATCCTTATGTCTGAGGCACCGCTTCCGACTGTAGGCGAACAGGTTAAAGAGACTGTTGAGAAACTAGAGCACACCGAGAAACCTATCAAGACAGAGCCTGCAACTTTGCCAGACTCTGGACTTTTTACTGAACAACAAGAACATAACGCGGAACCTGTTACTACAACGGAACCGACTATTGCTCCAAAAGTGGAGGAAGTAACCGAAAAAGGCAATCAACCGCCCGTCAGTATGGGCGACGAGATGAACTTTGACCAGATGCTGGCCACTACCGGCCAGCCACCAAATGATTTTGATCTAAACTTCAACTTCGCCAACGACGCGATAGGAGACCAGAATTTCCTTGCAGGGGCAGATTTTGGCAACGCGAATACTACAATGAGCGGAGAAACGAACAATGACAACGGCGCAAACGCCATAAGCTCGCTGCTTCCAGGACTCGAGAGCTACGATACGGACAATAATGCTGGCGATAATTTCAATTTTGATCTACCGAAACTCGGGGATAACCAAGGAAACGGCGTCCAGGATGATTTGATGGCACCTGGTGAATCCAGCTTTGACGATCTGTTCATGGAGAAGGATAATCTAGAGGGGGATGAGAATTTACTTGCAGGTAACTTGATGGATTTGGGCGAGCTGGACGATTCCTGGCTCAATTAGGAAGAATGACAGGAACTCCAACAACATGTTAGCCGCAGAATGATGTCAAAAAGAATCAAGAGTGTAGCATAAAGCACATGGCAATTCGTCTTTTCCGATCCGCCTCTAATCATACAGATGATGTTACAATTGAGTGTGCAGAAACGGAGTCAAAGACTCCACCAGGTTAATTGACGGGTAGAGCGGAAATCGATGAGCTTACTTGATCGCCAAGTCAATTGCTTGTCCAATCTCAGTTTACTGGTCAATAGATGTTCCAGAAACGGTAGCCGATGTTCCGATTCCGAGAACCGAGACAACAAACGGGGCAAGAGGCGATAAGGCATACGCATACTATGTACTATTATAAATTTCATCGTGATGTAATGAATTCAGCATTGATAGGGAATCAATCTTGCAAGCATGAGGCGACGGTTGAGATCAGCATGAGGACAGAAGTCTCTCCTGACCGAGGTACATAGCAAGCATACTACGACGTACTAAGAAAGCTCATTCAAACAGAAGTTTCAAGTAAAAATAGTGCAAAAATAGTGCAAAAATACTTCAGCCCCGTGAAGAATACAGTCAATGATGTCATCTAACAAAAACCAAGAATCCTCCCCGCAAAAGAAAGCCACTGTCAAGCCACTGTCTGTTCATACATACGGTATTTCTTGAGGATTGAGTGTGTCGATGGTATCCTTGTATTTTTAGACGTATTCGGTATACAGCTCCGTTGTCCCGGAATTGGAAGTATTTAACACTGTGTTGCTTCAACCTTGTACAAATGAAACACATCTTCATTAGATGCTGGACTAGTTGGGATTCCGCTTGTCAGCGTATGATATGGAAACTTCAGGTGACTTTAGACGTGTTCTCGCCAACCGGGATTCATTCGGATATACTTCGCGGCGTTTGAAAGGCGAACCATGATCGTCCAGTGCAAAATAAGGGTAGAGTCAGTGATCATGCGATTCCATCCCCAATGCAAACCTCCTCGGAAAACTTTGCTACCCCACATAAATTTTTCTCGGGCTAACGCAGCAATTAAGTTAGTAGTAGTACTAAACTTAGTAAGTCGTATCTTGGTGTTGTGTTTAGTCAAGGCGCTTTCTTGGTTAGTCAGTGCTGAGTTGATACATATGCTAAACATAGACACAATACGGACTTCCATACAAACCGATGTATTACTACGGAGTATGTAAGCGTCATCGAGTCTCGAAAACGACATGTTTACAGTAATACCACACATTCAGCCACTCTGACGCTGTATCCGTGCTAAGCTTTGCGTAATACATACGGTAATTACCACGCCCCAGCCAGACCAATCGCAATCGTTTTACGCGGTCTGCGTCATAGGTCCCTTACCCATCATTTTCTCGGGAGTCTTTTGCGCTTCTTTCTTTTCTATCTCTATTTTATTCTGTTCTTCCAATACACTATTATAACAGGTCCGGTTTGTCTGCGCGCATCAGTCAGACATCAGACCATCATATATATATATATATATATATATATACACGTATATACATCGCCCCGCTGACGCCTCGTCCGTACATACGCATTCCGTATTTCCCGCAATTGCAGGACCATCTGAACAAAAACAGTCTTAGTCCTGCTGACCCATTCCGAAAGATCCGTGGCTTTGTCATTCATCTGTTACCATATATCATTGTGATTTTCTTCTTTCCTTCTCGGCTTCATATGACTCTTTACTGAGAACATCTGACCTCGAAACTCTCGTCGCGCTGACTCCATCGGAACCGGATTGGTCTATCCACGCCTTTGTGACCAGTTGAGCAGGGGGACTGGGGTTAGCAAAGTCTACACTTTGGTCACATTCACAACTACATCCCAATACATTATTATTATCATCCAGAGAACCGCAATCTGGACGTTGTGGTGGTGCATAGTGGCTATTGATCTATTGCCGCCACTATCGATTTTCTGCGGGACATCATTGCCTCGTCAGGCCGGAGATACAGACTAAGTTGTAAGTCTTATCTCACCCATCATATTTCCCCCCCACCCCTCTTTTTGCTGTATTCGTTTGCCCTTATTTTGGATGTCACCCCTTGATCTGTTATTCTTTTCTGTTCTGGTCCTCTTTTGCATCAGATCAGAAGAACGCCGCCGATCGGATTTGTCACACCTCCCAGTTATAGTCATCTAGTCTTTTTTGGAATCCCTCGATATGCACGAGAATAAATACAAGGATGGTGTCGCAATGCGAACTGCAGACCGAGAATATATTCTCTCGTTGCAGTTTCTTCCTCACTGCTACCCTTGTTGTCATCATCATTATACAGCAAAATGCCTAGAAACTCAATACGCTACCGTCCCATGACGACATATGCCGTAGGCAGACAGCGTGCTAACGATGGACCGAGTAAACAGAAATCAATACCGTCGTATTATTCAGATCATATTATTTCTCGATCTTGGTACAAAGCACGACTCCCCGATTTCTCGCTCCCTTCACCCGGCACAGATCTAGTTGAGCTTTGTGAGAAGCTACTGGAACGGCCGAGAGAAAGCGCGAAACGATTCTTTCGTCTGCAGACTCTGACTCGGATAGTTGAAGAAGAGGAAGAAACAATGTCACTCAGTGTACAGAGGCCGGACCGATCCCGGCCGCATTCGGAGATCTTTGTTGGCGCGGATGAGGATCGAGTAGCTCAGTATATGGCTGCTCAGATTCTAGATCGTAATAATTCGAGTAATGGTTCGCTCTCCGGGGGAGTCTCGCGTCCTATTTCGCGGGATCGGTCGAACAGTGATGACTCGAATATCATGAGTACCGGTGCGATGCCGACGTTGCGCAATGAGCGAGTAGTCGCTTCGGGGAACGGGATTAGTGTTAGTATTGCACTGGCGGAGCCTCTCGTTTTCCTGCCGAGTTATGATCACAGTGATCCAAGTACGAAAAGGTCGGCTATTTTAAGAGGTCATTTGCACATCAAGACAACCAAGTCGGTCAAAGTGAAGAAGGTCTCGATATGTTTTCGTGGACAGGCGCAGACAGACTGGCCGGATGGTATGTACTAATCAAAGCCGATATTAATGCTCTATGCTTACGTCTGGCCAGGTATTCCTCCCAAGAAAATCAACTTTCACGACAAGAAAGACATCATGACATCAGGAATGATATACTTCAACCACGGAGAAACTGCTATTGTCCAGAACCCATACGGCGCACATTACTACAAAGTAGCGAATACGGCACCTCTGTCAACTAGCAAAGAACCCAAAATCTACAGCGTGACTACGACAACGAGGGAGCTCTTGAAGAACGGCTCAACAACCACCGTGAATAAAGACACTGCTCGAGATCTGAAACGGCTGTCATTGCAGTCGAATCATTCGCGTAGTTTCAATAAGAACGATGCCCCCAACCACAATCAACCTCAAGCAGTACGGAATTACCGACTATTCCCTCCTGGTGATTATCTGTATGCGTTTGAGTTTCCTATCGACGGATCAATGCCAGAGACTATTAAGAGCGACCTTGGATTTGTCAGGTACGATCTTGAAGCTATCGTCGAACGATCTGGCGCTTTCCGTCCGAATTTGCTTGGAAGTACAGAAATAGAGGTGGTACGAACCCCCGCCGAGGGATCTCTCGAACAAGTCGAACCTATTGCCATCTCTCGAAACTGGGAGGATCAACTTCACTATGACATCGTCATTTCTGGAAAATCATTCCCCATGGGATCACAAGTCCCTATTGCGTTCAAATTGACACCTCTCGCCAAGGTTGAATGCCACCGAATCAAAGTCTACGTGACGGAAAACATTCAACATTGGACGCAGGACAAGTTTGTGCACCGGTTGCAGCCGCCGAAAAAGGTACTCTTGTTCGAAAAACGGGCCGACCAGCCTAGTGTAAGCACGTATCCCGGAAGCAGTATGCGAGTTACGGCCGGTGGTGGTGTACCCTGGGATCAGCGCGAAGCTGCCGCGCGAGGCGAAGAACAGGTCAACCGTGGAGTTTCCAGCCTGTTGGGCAATTTGTCGAATGATGTGGGAGTTGGGCCTACGGAAATGGAGTTTAGTGTGCAACTTCCGAGCTGTCATGCTATGAAAGGAAAGGATGAGGCGCACAAGTTGCATTTTGATACGACTTATGAAAATATACAGATCAATCACTGGATTAAGGTATTTCTTCTCTCTGATCATTTCATGAACATAGCTGACAGAATAGATTGTGATGCGTCTGTCAAAAACAGATGAAAAGGACCCTACCAAACGGCGACATTTCGAGATCTCAATCGATTCTCCCTTCCACATTCTTTCCTGCAAGGCGACACAAGGAAACATCTTCCTACCAGCCTATAGCGACCCATCTTCAGATCCAGCCGTTCTTCAAGACGAATACACCTGTGGATGTCCCGGTGCACCAATGACCCGTCGAAGCACCCCAACCAGTCGCATCAACTCCTCGTCTTCCCTAACCCAAATCAACAATAATAACACCAATAATACCAACAACGACACCAACGGGTCAGTTCACGGCACCCGTGGCCTCCCGCGCAGCTTCACAAGCGGATCAGGCGGCCTCTCACGGCCCGAACAAGCACACATAGCCCACGAACCCAACGAACGTGACGCGCGACCAATGCACCTCCTCCGCACCCCATCCTTTGCTCCCCCGGCATTCGAAGAACTAGAACCACCACCACCACTCATCACCCCTCCGCCCGAATACGCAAGTATCGTGGGGAATATAGACCGCGAAACTGTGCTGACGGATTATTTCAACCGTCTTTCGTATTTTGAGGAGCAGGATGATGAGGAGAGAGGGTTGGGAAGGGTGGATGTTCCGCTTACGCCGGGGGGGAGGGTGCATAGGAGTATGGATGTGCCGAGGGAATGGGTTAGATTGGGGGATGCTACTGTTCAATAGTTCCATACATTTATACGACACATGAGCAGAGCGACAGCCCGGCCGTATATACCTCTACCACTCATTTCTTACCCAGCAATCATTCACGACCTTACGATTCATGACGGGTGGCGAGACATGTCTCTTTTCTTTTGATCTATCGACATATACACCATTCTAGACCGGCGTTTAATCATGTCTATCTCTTCGAATATCTTTCTGTGATATCATTCTTTTACTCTGGAGGAAATCTGTTTATATTGGGGTTTTACATATACGCACTGGACTGGAAAGTTCCAGTGAGGTGGAATAAAAGCGATTGTCTATATTATATATATTAAATGCTGTCTATTGACTCTTCATCCTATCTTTGCATCTCTCAGTTTTAGTAATTGTAGGCAATCCGCTTTAAAATGCCTATATCGGTTAGTCCCCCCCGCTTTGATCTGGGCGTGTCTGTATCCCGAGCCGGTTAGTTAGGTTGATAAGGAAGAGTAATCCCGAGATACGCGCATCCCCATATCCCCGGTCTTTCTTGAGACTTCTACTCTGTATTATTTCTTGTTTTCCTTTTTATATATGCTCAAATTGAGATTTATGTGAATTGAACTATCTGTGGCAATTGAGAAAGATTGGATATTGACGAGTTATAGAATGTCAAAGTGTAAGAATGGCCACTCCATTAGTCCCCCCGTGACAGTTCTACATACAGGTCAGATTACACCGACTTTATCTGTCTCTCTTTCTTCCAGTATGATTGTCGTGCATGCATTACAAAAAAAAATGCAACAATCTGATTCTTCGGATGTATGGCTCTGAATGATTTGTTGCCTCCTTTCTCGGAGACAGAGGCCTGGACAACAGGATTGTTGCACAATCCTTTGGCACACCCAATATATTTCCTCGATTCGCATTTCTTGGATATATCTTTCTCTTTGGATTCTAACTGACTTGGATGCTTTAAAGTGAAATTGGTTTTATAGAAAAAAAAACCCCCCAATATGTCTATCCAGATCCTCCCGTTGCAGCAGGAAGATATCCCCGGAGTTGTCGAGTGTATCCAGGAAGGGTTCGCGGATGATCCGTATTTCAAATGGGTGTATGACGGGACAAGGGTAAGTTCTTTTCTTTTTCCTTCATGTGTATGTGTGTGTGGTATGGCAACCTCTCAAGCCTCTCCAGCTGGACTGAGGAAAGGAGCTGATCCTACCTACTCAGGCATACACTTTAACTTAGAGGCTGTCATGACATATGACAGAAAAAAAAGAACCGAAGCTAACCTCTTGTGGCCATAAACCGAGTTAAAAACTCAGCTTCTGCTGGTTTTCTACTCGTTGCCTCTTCCTTCTCGGGAAATATGATATAGTTTAATAAAGAGAGGAATTCAAGTTCACTCACTGCCCGATGTTTATGGGGGATCAATAATGCTCTTTTCTACGTTGCAAAGGAAGTCGACAACAATAATCAACCACAGCAAGGAGGCAGAAACGGACGCATCCTAGGTGTATCATGCTGGCTCGCACCACAACCCGCCTCGCAAGCCCAATCCTGGTATTCGTGGTCCCAACTCTGGCTCCTCTCATTTCGACAATTACTCACAAACATACGCTTCTTCGGTCGAGGAGGTCTAATTGTGAAACGCTACTGGATCTGGAAGGAGCAACAAACCGCCGCCCAAAAAGAGATATGGACTGATAAAGAGCGCGGCTATTATTTCTGTAATATTGTGACTGTCAGGCCGGATGCGCAGGGAAAAGGGATTGGGAGGAAATTGTTCGAAGTGGTTACTCAGCGTGCGGATAGGGAAGGGGTTAAGTGTTATTTGGAGAGTTCGAAGAGTGAGCCGAATGTGAAAATTTATGAGAAGATGGGATTTGAGTTGGTGAAGGTGATTGATTGTGATGATGGGGGGGATGTTTGTCGGGTAAGTTTTCTTCCTTCTGATAAAAAGGATTGTGCTGACTGGGATTAGCTGTTTTGCATGGTTCGAGAGCCAAAGGTTGATAAATCGTGATTTTTGAGTATACCGAGGGATCATTATGAGGCCATGACAATAAATGTTCTTTTTGATATGATTGGATCCCATTTAAGCACAGCACCTATCATTCCAAGTACTCGAGTCCATAGTAACGGATATCTGGGTTAACTTTAAGTAGCGGATAACCTGCTGTCCCTGCGTAGCAGCAGCTGTCCTCCTTCTCACCCTTATTACCCCCCCGCCGCGGCGTCAAAATCAATAAATCGTATGACTTGTGTAGGAAATACGCTAGCCTACAAAGATCTCCATAACACGCTGGCTGATATCCTACGCGTTGCTTCCTGATAAGATACTCAGCGATACTTGCTGATATCAGGAGTACACAAGCCATGTTGGTCAGTGGTTTCAACGACATACTCAGAACAATATGTGCCGAGAATGCATGGTGTCAAACAGAAAAACTAAATAGGAAATTTAATATAAAGCTTCTTAGATGAATCGACTATCAGCCTATAAAACCACAACACTGATACGTAGTAATGTTTTCATGATAAGACGAGGCCTAACTTCATATATCCAGTGGCATATTCTCATCCGGCTTAATATGAATAGTTACTATTATGTAGTATGTAGATTTTTGGTCTAGCCATGAAATTGAGTATTAAAAAAAATACACTTATAAACACAAACAGAATATGTAGAATAAGGACGACCTTAGAACTAAAAACCTAATTACCTATGCCTGAATGCAGGTTAGTTATCTAATTAACACTCAATCAGGCTTTCCACCCCATTGACACGACTCCAGATGATTTTAAAACCAGCTCTAGTTAGAAGTTGACGCCACTCAAATTCCCATCGCTCTCGCGCGGAGACAAGGCTCATCAGAGGAAGTAAGCCCTTGCTCCTGTGATAACTCACTATCGGTAAGAGTTATAGTAGATAGATAGAATCGAACCTTTGATGCGCTGTTCGATGAAGAAGTCGTGAGCCATCACCTCGATCTTCTCGAGATCACCCGAGACCTGTTCGACAACATCGGCCTTATCCTGAAGAATAAGGCGTCCTGACGCGAAGGGATACTTGCTTTGGAATCCTTGTAGATCGTGACGGGATTCCACCACCGATGTCCACTAGTAGGACAGTGTCTTGGTCAGGTTGCATGCCACGAAGGGATTCCTGAACAGGATAGAAATTGTAATCCATCCAGCTCGGACGGCCCTGGTGGTACGCGCTCATGTGGTTATTGAACTGCTAGCATACCTCAGGGCGGTCCGATGCCCATGAGAACCAGTGTTGGGAAGTCCAGAATGAGAATTGAAATAGCCCGTCAGTGGCATCATCTGGGTTGTGGTAACCGGTGGGATCGAAAATAGACAGGAATGTTGTAGATCGACTTCATCGCTACTTTCGCCCTAACCACTGTTAGCCATTAGCATTGGTAAGCTAATGTGACTGTGACCGACATGCAAATAAAGGCATCAGCATACTTTGTGACGGCAAGGGTCCGGGCCAAGTTCGTAGTAATGTAGACATCTGCCACTTTCATGGAACACTCCCATGGCGGCTAAGTGCTTCATGATTCCGCCTGTGTGGTATAATGTGGTCAACAACATGTGACATGTAAGCAAGATGGTTCCAGGCAAGTAGACTGCCTGATTAAAGCGGGATCCGTGTTGGGGATTTGAGCCAGGCGATCCGCATGAACTGGGTCACTTGGGCTCTCACTCATGTACGAGAAGATGCCGCAGTCAATTGCGGTAAGGATGGCACCGTAGAGAGTTGGCTAAACATCTGTCAGACATACCGTGAAGCTCATGGCGAGTGCTTACCTCTGCTTAGCATAGTCTCAGCACCGTCTCCTGAGGAGTCTCCAGGGCCTGCACAAGGTTACGAGCCATACGCAGTAGGTGGCGGCGGTGATACTCATGTTCTGGAAACTCTGCATAGAAGACTATCTCCTCAACGAGCGAGGGCACTCTAGCTAAATCATTGGCTTTGGTTGCGATTGCATCAAGTTTGGACGGGTCAGCGGCGTCTGGGACCTGTTGTAGAAATGGATTGCTTGATATGTGTGAAAACAAGAAGGATGGTAGGAATCTGAAGGGATTTCACTAGCTTTTTATACTTATCACTCCAGATCTTGCTCGTGGACCTGGCAGTATTTCCAGAAACCCAGAACGATCTCCGGTGAGAGTACTTACCTAAGTAGGTATACCAGGATCTAGATGCCGGTCTCAGGCACTACGTAGTGCCTCTCTAGGTATTGAAAGACAGATCACTTAACCATTACTCACTCCGGGAGATCCGGAAGATAGATGAGATTTCTCTTTGGTATGAAGACGCTGATGATAGTTGACAAGCCATCACAGCTATCGAGAAACCTATTAGTAACTAGGATTAGAGGATTAGCCTCATACACCAAGTACACCGAGGCTCTTTTTCAGAACAAATCATAGCAATAATATACGCTGTTTCTAGCCACTCGATCAAAGTATCAACTAGACCCACAAGGAGAGAGACCCATATATGGTCATTGGCATGGGTACAGAGTATATATTCCCATGATTTTCCACTTTCCGAATTTCTTCCTTTCTAAATCTCTTTTTAATTTGCTTGGAAACCTCAACTTCTACAGGCAGAATGGGTAGATGGGAATCCCTCGCTTCACTTCTACTAAGTGATAATTACGTCTCGGACTCTCCACAGGATAAAACTGCACAAAGCGACTCCTCTCCATCTTATCCTATGTTGTGATGAGATCCCACCCCCGCGGCAGGATTCCAATGGGCAGTCCTTGTATGCGAGGATGCCCACGGAGCAGGAGTATCTAATTAATTCCCTGTTGAACGTGATGGTGAGAGGAAAAAAGACTTTCAAAGCTTTTACGTGTAAGGAGAATGCTGATTTATACCTACTAGGCTGTGACAACGCAATGAGTTCAGTTTCTTCCTCTAATCCATCTACTGAGCAGTTAAATATTGATTTCTTGCTTGTAAGTACCTGTTCTTAATCTATATTTACATCAAGGTATTGATGCTTCGGTAGGATCAATTCGCGCTAAGGTCTTAGAAGCTTCAAGGGGCTTAGATAAATGAGAAAAGCGATAGCAAGAAGTGATATCGCTGCTAACCCAGCGGAACGAAGACCTCATTAAAAAGGTATTCCTCTCAGAGAAATGTATTATATTGTCCAGTGTGCAGAACACAAATCACTCTGTGTATACACTGTTATCTGGAGCTGCTCTAGATATCTACCAGGCTAGACTGCGTTTACCTTATAGTATGTATCAAATACTGTCGTGACTGTAGTCAGTCCACATAAAGCAAGTCATCCTATAAAGCCCTTCATGAAGCTATTGATAAAGGAACCTTTCAGCGTAAATCGATCTTTGAAAATTCTTTGCAGGATTTGAGAAGATCATATATGCGCTGTATTATATAGGACTGGTGGATATCTACGCTGCTTGTGAAAAGATTTTGCAATAAGCTTTATAAAATAACTGGCTATTAATGGCTAAGAATGTGATGTAAGGCCATGTGCATAGCCCTCAAAGAATCATTCCTGTACTGATAAGTAGACATCAAACATCTAGAAATAATGAACTACACAAAGGATGGATCAAAACATTTCAGAGAGGATGAGGAATAATGAGATGAAAGAGCTGTTATGACTTTACTCTTGTATATATATCTCTCCCTCTTGTCCACTAGGAAGTTTCAGCTGATATTTTCTTCCTTAAAAATCAGACAATTCTCATTAACTCGATTGGTTGAACATCTCTTGATCTGAACCTCAAGACAAAAAGCAATTAATCTCGAACCAATGGTCGAGGTACTACAGCTCCACCGACCTTTCAAACATTAACCTGTCCTTCAGCATATAAAAATGTGCCGAAGACCCATCATCGAACAGGTTATCTAAAGGTAACAACTGCTATCAACATGGAGCATCAGGCACAAGATCAAATCGAACGTATTCTTGACCGAGTTCACTCACTGGACGATCTCTCCGCTGATGATGTTATTGAGTTGAGGTGTCTCTCTGAGCAAGTCTATTGTTATCAACAAGTTCAAGATTTCTCCTGCACAATACTATGACTGGCTTGATAGAATTGTCGACGATATTCACGGCGTGTAATACGATGCTCAGAATGCATGTGTCATCTTTAGAGGGGATCCAGGCTGGATGCATGAAGCTGCGAGTCAATTGATTAGCAGCAGACTTCTCTAAGAGCTAGAAGACAGAATGAGTGCAGCTCCTGCTCCCGATACTCCTTGACCGGCAGCATGGGTAAGTATATTCCTAAACCTAACTCTTTTAAAGTAATCCATCAAGTTAACTCTCTCGTCAGATTGTCCATTGGCGGGCGAATTCAGGGGCTCTTCGAAATCTCATGAAGTCTAAAGCTAAATGGCCAGTAGTGGTTCTTGAAGTTGGCATTTCTGAGACTACAGAGAAACTCTATGATGATGTAGAGCAATGGTTGAAAGGCAGCAGTGGTCAAACCAAATCTGTGATACTTGTCGATGTTCAGAAGAAAGGAAGACAGGATACTTCGACCGACAAGTGGGAGCTATCTAAGGTTGATTTTCTGAAGAGCAGTCATGACAGCCTCTCTAATCATACATTCCAATGGTATCGATCTAGGAAAATTCGGTTTGTCGGTAGCTTCAAGCTATCTGTACATATATGGTACAGTGACGAAGACAAGCAATGTATCCTGAATGAGGTCGCCTTTTTACCAGGCAAATTAATCGACCTAACGAACATCCAGGATGCTCCTTTGAGATTGGACTATCTCATGCCTGATGGAAGTGATTTTGATACTATTGTTTCCCTTAAGTCATCTGGTGCGCACGCTACAAGATGGCCTTGAGGATATTGAAATCCAAAGAGCTAGTAACCTGGCCAAGGAGGAGCATAAAAAATATCCTCGATTATGAAGATATGTAATTTAAAAATTATAGGCTATTTTCCTAGGTTTTATGTTATTTTTTATGGTAGATCTGGCATATGATAGGTGTGTGTCCATGCTCCTCTTAACTGACTATTGATGAAGAAGTAGACTCGTGTATTCAGTTATTTATTATAGACTACATCAAAGCGGTCTTTGACCAGATAGTATATAGTGGTCTAGAACCGGTTCCTTCATGGTTCTTGAATAGCGATGATATCATATTTCCAAATATTTTCATTAGCCAGTAATGGAGCCATTACCCTTTCGCGCGATTTGTTGACATTATAATGTAGGACTGTTAGTATCTTTCTATTTATTGAGGAATCCAGTTGACATAATAGATTCCTGAGATGTTATCAGTCCGTCTTCTATTATAGGTAGCAGTGCCTGTTTCTTGCTTGTTCTAGGCATGGGGAGAGTGTTGCGATCTAGTTCCTGGAGCACTCTTCTTGTAGTATTGCCTGTTTCCTAGCTTCCATCTATCCTTGTAATCTTCCTAGGTAATCGTCCTCTCTCCTGGTTTCCTGGAGTATTAAGAATAATTGATTCTTCTATAGCTTGACTATTCTTCTTTACTCCGTGGTGTGTCTCTCTGGATTGTCTGGGTTTCCCTGTGAAATTTCCCTATTGGAGAGCGGCCTCCTTATGTGTACGTGGCATATTCATCCTTTTTTTCTCAATTCTAACCAGTTCCTGTTTCCAGTCTTCGCACTGGATGCTCTATGATGGGTGATTTGTAGAGTAGTTTGGACATACTGGCTGTGAGCTAGGTTTATCTCTTTCTGGATACACCTTAGTGCTCTGCGGACCCACACAATACTCACATATTTCTTAGGCTTTGCAATGAGTCCCTATATGTCCATACTTTTGATATCTGAAGTATTGTCTAGTCTTACAGATTCAGTCATAGTACTTGCAATTAGAAATCTATGTATTAAATACTATACTGTTCTCAATTACATGGTCCGCGTCTTCTTGGTCAAATTCCACAACCACGGTGAAGGCTTGCTTCTCCCTAAGATTGCGTTTTAGCTATCCGGAGTACAGTACGTTTACTTATTCTAGTGATGGATTATTCTATCGGATCTTTTCTTCAATTTTTGCTTTTTTATAGGCTTCCACTTGTGTACTGACCCCATGTATAATAATTCTATATGATAGGACCTTAACCTCAGCTTTTTCTCCTAGTATCTTCTGCTAGTCCTCCCTATGTGCTATCATATGCTCTGTGCTCCCTCTGTCAGACGTGAAGAGCGTTAGGTCCCCACTAGGATGCCACTTCGCCGCTAAGACCTGTGTTTCTTTAAATCGGGATTCTAGTGATTCGTTAAAGCGTTATTTATCTTTTGCTTAATTTCTTCTGCTGTTGCTCGTTGAGCTTGTGTTTCTATGTCTGTTGGATATGGTTCGACTAGGATTTTCTGGTGACCCATCGATAGACATGTCTGTGCGGTGGACTTTACTATGTAGGGGTCCTTCAGTACTTGTCCGTAGCTGGGGGTGCTTGATTTCCTGATAGGAGCTGTGAGGATCTTCTTGATCTCCGTGACATCTTTGCTGAGGATCTGCTGAGCGCGTGCCATTGCGTGGACTGCAGCGGTCAATTCGCTTATGGCTGGGAGGTCCTGTGTCTTCTGTAGATAGATGATGAAGCTTTCGAGTAGTGGTTCAATCATATTCCAGTTTGGTGTGCAATTTTTGCCTACTGGCTTGACTTGGTATTCCTTCAAGGCGCGTATGACTGCTTCAAGTTGAATCGCGTGGTCGCGTATGGTTGATGTCTGGAGGCCTAGCTGTGCCACATTTTAGCTACCCGCCATGCTTTCTTAGTACAGGACGATACCTCGAGAGCTGATGAATGACCTTAGACACAGTCTGAGCCAGATAAATCGGTGGGTATGGTAAAATTTCAAAATTAGGCTTCGACAGGTGGTGGTTATTTTTACTAGTTATGCTAACTAAGTTAGAAAATCTGGGGAAGATTACATAAGGCAGACTATGACGCAGACCCACTTCTGGTTCCTGCTCCGCGATAACCTCATCTCTCGACTTCACAGTATATCCTACGACAGGATGACCTCCGATTTCACTCCCTACGGAGTCTGAGATCTATATAATCGATTTGGTAAAATGAAGAAAACACTTCTGCTGGTCTTTATTCACGGCTTTAGGGTTCGCCCCTCCTAATGTCCCGCGAACACGAGTTCCTTATTGACACTCAAGATTCATAATAGGGCGGCAACGATACCTTTCTCAAATTTCCAGACCAACTCGCCGCTCTCGTGAGACATGCGCTCCCCAATATCACCGTGCAATTCATAACGTATCCCAAATTCGAGACGAGGGGTGATCTAAAAGAATGCGTGGCCCGGTTTCGTGAATGGTATGTATGTATACTTACAACCTCCTTCTCAGTGCTCCCTAACGGACAGAATTCGTGGTAAGGCTACAAAATAAAGTCATCGATATCGAAGTCGCGAACTCCACTCCCTCGCCCACCATCGATCCATCCGTCCATGTCATCCTCATCGGCCATTCTATGGGCGGCATCGTCGGCGCAGAAACGCTTTCGTTGCTTGCTTCTGAACAACCTATACCATCATTATCTGCCTCGCAGATTAGAAACAGGCATGAAGCACCGTTTTTCATGTTTCCGCATATCCAAGGGTTGATGGCGTTTGATACGCCGTTTTTGGGTATTGCGCCGGGAGTTGTGTCGCATGGAGCACAGGAACATTATAAGACTGCATCCACTGCGTATAATACTTTTAATGAGGTGGCTGGTATATTTGGTTATGGTGGGAATAAGGCAACTACTACTACTACAACCACAACAACGACGACTACATCAGCTGCTGGTACAGCTGGCAAATCCGGAATACTCCCCCTCCCACCCGCAACAACAGATGCAGCCGCCGATGCAGCGGCAACCCCATCCTGGTCTCGATGGGGTAAAATGGCCATGTTTGCCGGGGCTGCCGGTGCAGTAGCAGCCGGTGGTGCAGCGGCACTATACTCACAACGCGAACGCTTCACCGAGGGATGGCGATGGGTTACATCCCATCTCGAGTTTGTGGGCTGTCTTGCTCGACCCGGCGATTTACGGAAACGTGTTGCTTCATTGGCAGACATTCAACAGGAGCGGGGGATTAGGGCTATGAATTTCTATACTTGTCTTGGTCAGGGAGCTGCGTCTCGGCCTGTTGAGTCCACTACCAGCAATAATAATCGCTCACAATCATCATCTCTCTTTCTACGGATACCGCGCGCCCGTGATCGCACGTTTTGTCATCTCCCTGAAGACTTTGATGCGAATGACCATTCGCTTTCCGGCGATGGAACACCAGACCATCCGGGTTTACGATGGGTGTTAGCGCTAAATGATAGAGCTGCTGACGAGACAACGGCGCATATAAGTATGTTTGGGCCGAGGGAGAATCCTAAATATTATATGTTGGCACATGAGGCGGCAGATGTTATTGTGCGGTGGATTGATCAGGGTTGGTATGCCAGTGCTTCTACTGATCGATCTGATAAAGATGATGAGGGGGATACAGAAATGACTAGAGAAGCAGAAAGGAGGGGGAAAGGAAGAGAGGATAAGGATGATTTTATTGTTGTATAGATTTGATTCTCTGTGTATATTTATTGTATGCTACTTTTATGACCACGGAATTGTTGGAGTGTATGGATACGGTGGGTTTAATGATCATGATCTGAAAGAATTGTCAAGAATAGGACAGTATGTTATAATCGTATCATTAACAACACAAAATTGGCATTTAGTGCCAATATCAGAAGGTAGTCGTACACCACAAAAGTGAACGAAGAAAGGAAAACGTTATTATACCGCAAAGGCCATGATCCAACGGTAAACACATTAGTAAGAAATATGTATATTCTTTCAAAAATCAACCAACCAAGGAATAACGGGATATCCGAAGTAAGGAAAACAGTTCATGTGTCGAGAAAACCCCAAAAAGAGAAGTTGGGAATAATAGATAGTGTCGAATCATCCGATATATACAAAAAGAAAAACGCCGTCATAGGAATTAAGAAAGTTTGTTTAATGTTCGTGTTGCGACTTCAATAACCGGAATGATTACCGCCGAAAGTGGATGAGCGGTAGTGCGTGCTAGGAGCGTATTCGGATCCTCCGTCGGGGTAGATTGTGAGTCGCCGGTCTTCTTCTTGAATATCCTTGATGTCCCAGTTGTTTGATTTGACACCGACGGAGAATTCGAGATCTTCTTTTGTGATTGAGTCCCAGTACTATAATATCACATTAGCTTTTGGTATTTGAGAAGTCAGAGAACAGGGGAATTACCTTATAGATCATCATGACTGCAAATAAATTGCAGACTGTGCCGAAGAACAGACCGTCGAGGTAATGCTGTACTCCGTTGCAGATCGTGGTGCTGAGAGCATAAACCATAACTTGTCCAACGACGAAGAAGAATACGCCCAATGCAATGTGTCCCAATGGCCAGCGGTCATCGAGCGTATTATAGACGAGTAACAGTTGCATCACAACGTAGATCGCCAAACAGATCGCGTTCAAGATGTAGATAACAACAAACAGACCAATTGGATTTTCAGGATCCAACCCTCCCCAGCCCTTGAATGTGAAAAGAGAGACGATGAAAGAAATAACAAACATGCCAGCTGAACTAGCTCGTAGCAGCCATACTGAAAGATTTGTCCCGTCTTCATAGAGCTGAAATCCGACGAAACCATTGATCAGGAGACATGTACAGGTAGCTGAGACGAGGCCATTTTGAGCAGCGACGAACCATGGAAATGGTCCACTGTGGGGAGGGACGACGCCGGCATCAACGACGAGAGAGCATACAGTGAGGAGCATAAAGAGGTAAAAGAAATCGGTGATTTCTTTGCGGCCTTTATCAATCAACTTCGTCAGCATCAACCCAACTTTTGATCTAATCGGGACGCCGAGATACTCACCAACAGCCGTAAATTTAGATCGTACATGCAAAATCATAATAACAGTCATCATCAACGCGGCAATATGTGCAAAATCAGATGCACCCTGGAAAATAATCGTATTGCCCACATCGATATTGCGCGCATAACATGTCGGGAGGATCCCATTTGAACCCTGGATCGACGACTTGGGCCCGATTAGAGCACATAATGGCACTGGTGCCGTCCTGCAAAAGCTATCCAAGCTCGTGATTCCGGTCATTTTGGGCTGGGATTATCTGTTGCGTAACGTCCGGGTTTGTTTCGAGGATGGAAGAGACCGACCCTCCAGGGCCAGCTGTTAGAAGCGCGCCCGAGATTCGAAGAAAAACGAGAGTCGATTTTATTGTTTTGGATTTTAAGCGAGCGAAATTGGTTGCGACAGTGCAAACCACAGTGCAAACCACAGTGCGTAAAGTAACGAGGTACAATCCCTGACAGACTGAAAAGGGTCCGTGAGGCCTTGATTCCAAGATTCTCCAAAGTGAATCTGTTGCTCCGCCAATGTCTCACCCTGGCACATCATGTGACTTTGGGTTGAGTTTAACTTTTACTATTTTGGGATAAGCGTCTGGCCCACATGGAGCGGCCCCACTGCAAACGCCAAGATAATCACGTGAAACTTGTTTGAGTTGGAGTACGTTATGTAATCAAATCCTGATGGGTAACGTAATCGGTAAGCGAGTTGGCCATGTAAACGAGCTGGCCACCTGTGACAGTTAGCAATGAGGTTATTCGCAAAGTTCGAGTTGCGTAGTCACGTGATAGGGTTACGTAGGAGGGTTCGTGATCCTGTCACGTGATCACGAAACAGTACATCTCGTTTGCAGATAGCCTCATGTTCCTAGTTTTTTTCTTTCTTTCTCCCATGTTTGGTTTTCTTGTACTTAGCTTCCAATATGACTATTGAATGAGCCCTCACACCACCTGTGTCTTCCATACAAACGGTCATTGTTCATGACCTCTATATCTCAACAAATTTATATGTATAGTATGTATCAAATTAACTCATAACAATGAGAATATAGAGTATATTGAGGATTCTAAGTCTGAACTTATTCTGATAGATATTCGTGAAAATTACCAAATGTCGACTGTAATTATTGTAAAATATATTTCCTTTGGAGTTACTCGGTCTCTACTTGTTTATATATTTTTAAAACCTACTGTTTAATTACTTATCATGAATATTCAGCTCTGTAAATACTGTGACGGCTGGGTTACGGGGCAGGATATCGTACAGACGTTGCCGGCACCTGGACGGAGCCCTAAGCCCTAAAAGGATGACCCTAACGGGGATATCCTCCTTTGTCTTCAGGATTTCCTAAATAGGCACCGACAAGGCCCCGGACGCACATGTAAAAAGAGTCCTTACGAGCGGCATAGCGAGTCTTCTGTCCCTCTTTCCTCATGCTTTAGTTTTTGCTTGATTAGTTACCTCTTAGGATAGAGAATGAACACCTTCACAAATACTTAAATTAGTGAATTTATATGACTTTGTTAAGATATAGAGGTCATGAACAATGATCGTTTGTATGGAAAACACGGGTGGCCAGCTCGCTTACATGGCCAACTCGCTTACCGATTACCAATTACGTTAACTTAACTTAACTATACTATCTAGGGTGGTGATCTAGCGACACCCCCACGGAACGTAGTAGTTCTGATTGGACAATTCCTTCCAAGTTTTACCATATTTAGTAACAGGATATAGGGTTAGGGCTAAGTCCATCATACACTATCAATCGGCATATTTCCTGCCGGTCTATATTTCAGTCAATTAGGATGCACAGCTCAGAAAAGGAATTGCACCTTTGTAACGGAGAGGGGTCAATAGAGTAAAATGCATAGCATAGAAGACTAACAAGACGTGAGCTCAAGAGAAGAAACTAATCTACAAGTGTCACGGATCTGACTCAGAGGTCTGCCTTAGGCAGCGGCGCCACCAAGCAAGCAGAGGCGGTGTAGGTTTATGACACCAAGGACACCTCTGAGGGCCTTTGTTCTATGAGTTTCACGTCTTGGGAATAGCTTCACCAAAGGCTTTGTTGATGGGTTTGTTGTATTCTTTTGTTTAAGATCTTTGTACAGATGTAGCAGGCATGCTCCGTCAGGAAGCGTGCCCTGGAGCAGGCCCTGCGCAGACATAAATATGGGCTTGCTAGAGTGACGATCCCCTTAGTCATCAAGATCTCCTGTAGACTGCTTGTGGTTGTATTCCAGAGCCGCACTGTCTCGTCATTAGAGCCGGACGCCAGCAGCTGGCCATCAGGCGAGAAAGCCATTGACCGAACCGAGCCAGAATGGCCCTCGAGAGTCTGCTGTAGACTACCTGTCGATATATCCCAGAGCCGCACTTTCTTGTCGTCAGAGCCGGACGCCAGCAGCCGACCATCAGGCGAGAAGGCCACTGACTGAACCGAGCCGGAATGGTCCTCAAGAGCCTGTAATTCTGCACTCCATATTTTATTAACTTGTAGCAACTGGCATATCCAACTAGGAAGGCGCTACATCTATTAGTGTACATCTTGAATGGCTGCTGCGTACTACGGTGCTTACTAATAAAACCATGTGCAGAAGATCAAGCATACTCAGCACCTCCGATATAAGACCCAGCAGAGTCATCGCTTCTAACCAATGCAGAAAATGCTTCTGTAGGAATAGTTGCACATCTTCTAGCTCGGAAGATAAGACTCGACTTTGTTTGAGATGGTGTATCCAGTAGCGACAAGAGTATTGTAATTCCATTGGTAGATATTGGCAGATACGTTGAGGGTCGATGTCTGCCCTATGCGTTCCGGCGCTTGCTAGATGGCAGATATCTTTATGTAGACAACGTCGCATGGTCTTAAGACACAACTTAGCAATGTCTTTATGCTTTTGCGGCTCATCCACAAAGAACTTGGTGCCAGACTGGAGCAAAGGTCCTGAAATGATAGATGTAGATCCTTCATAGGCTGATCTCGATCACCGGGAATGCTTAAAATAGATCGGAATGAATCTAATTAATGGCTGATCTGGTCTGCTTCTATCTCGAGAAATAATGACAGCGCATTTATAGAAAGCGGAACTGCAAGAAGGATGATGACACTGACTATTGTCTGGAACTCTTTTAGGAGCTGCTGCTGCTCCGACTCATCACTTTCTTGGTCGTCCAGCAGTCGTTTTAGAATTGGTAGGTATGTCTTATCCATTCTCGATACATATATGGCTTGGTCTGTGAGAAGCTCCGTAAGGCGCAGTTTGGGTTCCCATTTCGAATTCTCGATGTAACGGCACACAGTGGCAGCCGAAACAAATACCGTGCTTCGCTGCCTGATAACCGATTTAGCTTCAAATCGCGAAAAAAGGTCAATATTTCAAACCGTGTCAAATCAACCAATATGGCTTCATATGAACTCGCACTTGAAGCAATACGCTCTTGAATCCAGGAGAGAAGCCCAATATTGCTTTAGTAGCAAGAACATATGGCGTTAATGCTTCACAGCTTTCAAAACGTTTTCGTGGAGTTTCGGGCACAAAACAAGCACAATACAACAATCAACGATTACTAAACGTCGAACAATCGAGAATGCTTCTACAATACGTCAATCAACTCACCGAGAATGGCCTTCCATCTACTCCTACGATGCTTGCCAACTTTGCAAGGGATATAACTGGTAAAGAGCCTGGGAAAAACTGGGTTACGCGCTGGGTAAAGGCCCATGGGAAAGAGGTCATTTCTCGCCATTCTTCGGGCCTCGATTCGGATAGAAAGAAGGCAGATTCGGCATGGAGATACACGTTATATTTTGAGCTTATTGGCCGGAAAATTGAGTAGTATAATCTATCCCCGGATCAGATTTATAATATGGATGAGAAAGGCCATTGTAGAAACTTCATCAGAAGTCTCGGTTTGAAAATAGAACCTCAATCTAATCATTCCCTAAGCACTATGATAATAGTTCTTCAATTGAAACAGAAGGAATCTATCACTAAGTGTGTGTACGGGAATCCCCAGGTGTTGAGTATCAACACCGGAATATTAGCTATTCCGGTTCCCTGGGGATATCCCCTTTACCTGCATGTAATTATCCTTCTCCTCCCTTTTTGGGGATCAGTCATAATATTCGAATAACATCAATATTATCAGGCTCATGGGCTCTTTGGAATAGCCTTACTGCGTAATCCTGTGCTTCATGTTATCAGGACGTAGCTAAACCAACACTAAGTTAGTCGAATTTGCAGAGTGACTTGTCTGCAGCCCCCACTGCACTCTTAGTGTCCGCTCAGTGAGCATTCAGTGAGCAACCATGATCAATCACATGATGAAATGAGCAGTTCAGTGAGCGTGAGCCTGGACTGAAATCTACTCAGTGAGGCTGACTATGAGCGCCCTCACAAAAGCAACCGCAGCTGAGAAAGGGAACCTCCACTCAGCAAAGGAAATCTGGTACGTATAGTCACCTACGTACGGTCACTATTCCAGATGCCAGGTTCTATGTTACAAATTGACGTGGTTCATGTCGTTATGATCAGCTAACTAGGTATTACTGGGATGGCTTAGTTGACAGAACCTTGGAACCTTCCAAGTTGTAGATATTCGCAATTGGACCATTCCATTGAACCTTCCAGTGTTCCACCGTTCATTTACATCAATGTATAAAGGATCCGGCCAATCAAATTAGGTCGTTTGAACAGCCATGCCTCAATTTTAATCTGTACTTTGTTGTACTGGAAAATTGAAGGATTACCTAGGTGTTGGATGCAAACTCAGTCACATAAACTTATATGTATACAAATGGAAGTCGTAATGTTACTTGGCAACTAGAAGGTATCTATTTCTCGCCACAAGGTAGGAGATAGGGAAAGATGGATACTTCTGAGTTCCGAGATGTCTACATAAATTTCCTCGAATACTATATTAAGGCGGGCCAGATTACATGTTTAACAAATCGTCACCGGCGTTCATCTGAAACAGCCACCCCGAAGTGATCGGCAAGCCGGGGTAAACCCTCGGCAAATTGTATTCCTATATGATGTTATTTCCATATTGCCAGGTTGGTATCATAAACCATTCGGAGTACGTCGATTTAGAGATCTGCGCTCACTGCATCAAATATCAGGGTACGGGATGATGATCCGACCAAATAGAGCTTATCATGATTATCATATCTCTTGAAGCTGGGCATTGGCAAAAGAATTGATTGATATCAACCTTGGAATAACCGGTCCAATGATATTTGGGCTAGATCAGTACGGAAGACAATGAGGATATATAAAAGAATGCTTTGATCACATCGATCTGCGTTGATAGGTGTCGGTACGTTGGTTTACTAGAGCGATGACTAAGCGAAGGTGAGCACTAAACAATATATACGTATAAGGAACTAGGTCTATTGTCCGGCTTTCCCCTCTCAGCCGCTATCTAGGAGTATTGAACCTATCTTTATATACAAGATTCCATAGAAGTGATATCACCAAAAGTCGACACTTGTGCAAATCGAACTTTCTAGAGATAGGCTGTAAAGTTGATTTGTAATGCTCAATATCGTGTCGATATGTGATGCCAATTCTCGAAATTTCTTGATACGTAAATCTTGTCCTATTCCCAATTCCTATCCCAAATTGGCCTAGCTCATCCTGAGTTCCAACAATAGGTTCGGGTCACGAGACTAAATAGACGCCATTCCCCTCATTTTATATTAATAATTGCAGCTATCCCCGCCTCTAAAGTTGAAACCATGGGATGACGCTTTGGAGGTAGGGATAGGGACTACGAACCATTTCCCCTACTGGTCCTGATGCACAATCACAAGAGATCCTTATGCCAATAACATGTCCTCACACCCCGTTTCATATTGAATAGTAGTCAAATGTGTCAATCATCTACCAAGGTACTACTCCGTATCTACTAAAAGACCCGCAAAACCGTATGCCTCGTAATCATGGAGGCTCGGGGTAGGACAAGCTTGATCATCCAGCCATTCCAGCTTGTGACTGTGTAGACGTACAACATACAAGCATTATCTATAATTTTGTTATGGATTGTAATTACTAAGGATCACTTACATCCGTTACCCGTTTCTCGTATTTGAAGGTTCAAATAGTCTCCCGACACAATCCGTAATCACGCAACATCATCACATTTTATGAGCCACAACCCTAACACATAAGCTGATAGTGGAGACTGTGGAATGATAGCAGAGTTTTCGTGCATGCATGGATGGGCCACCCAAGATTCTAATGGCTTGTAATACATGTGTGCATGTGCCAAGTACACCGCACAGGATGCACTGAATGCATGGGAGCTCTTATCTGGAGTAGGTAGGTCCTAGCGGTTCCAGCCGCAGCACATGCTTCATTCAGACATCCCCGTTACGATGATGGCTAGCTGGATCGAGTGGCCCGGAAAATTCCTGGTAATTGCCCAGACATCGAATCTAGGCCCTAAGTAGTAGTAGTAGATGATATGCGTCAGAGAACTCTATAATAGGGATTTCAAAATATACTAAGAGTACGTCCAATGAAAGAAAGCAGAAGAAAGAATACCCAAGTGTATATCAAAATGGAGAAGACCTGAACTCCTTGATAACCTGTCCCGTAACCCAAAAAAGGAAGATCATAGCAACATAGAGTTCGTTAGTTTCATCTACGACACAGATGACAGACTCCTATTTCGATGACGATTCTTTCATGAGGCCCATCATGACACTGGCCCTTTTTGTCGCCGTCGAACTCGGTTTTGTGGAAATGCCCACTGGGATCACGGCATCCCGTATAAACGTATATATTTTTGAACCAGTTGCACATCTTGTATCAGTTTATTGTCGGCAGGTCGATATCGGCATAACTAGTCGTACATAAGCAAAGCTGATATTAAAAAGGAGGGGATCTGGAAATTGCATACTTTGGGAGGATGAATGTATGGAAACTGGTCAATTGCCCAAGTAATATTGAACAAGTTCAATATCAGGACTGACTTCGCAAGTTTGGAGATTGTAGTGACGGTCAAACTGTCAGGTCATTCTCCAGGAAGACATGCTCACAAAACAGTGTACAATGAGAGCATAGTAAATCATGGTCAGTCGTTGAAATGCTTTCTTTAGTCTGATATATCAAACCACTTGAAGTGGCGACAAGCTCATGGATATAAGCTACAGGAGTCCTTCCAATCCGATGAATTCCAGGATGTTGCTTCTAGCACCTCGTGCCATGTAACAAGAAGCGTCAAGTAGCGTCGGGGCGATGTGCCTAAGTAAATAAAGCTCCTGGTAACATGGGTACATACATTAATGACACTACCAGTAGTAGTAATTGCTCCGGTTTAATTTGTGAGCAATATATTTATAAAAACAAGACACAAAAATGAAACCCAAGAAGCGCTCTATCATGTTGTAAAGTTTCCCACTTACAGAGTAATCCCGCACATCCGGAAACTCGTAGTACTAAGTACCCTGATCTTCCCGCGATTTAGGTAGAAGACCATTCGTCTACAGGAGGATTTAAGCTATATTAGAAACAAGCAAGAGAATTAAGAGTGAAGCGGAAAGAAATGTCAGTTATAGAACAAGGAACATCCATGTAGAGAAACATGTTGATTCGCTACACCGGCCTCCGGCTGAATTCTCCAGACCTTTCTAGTACTTAGGCTTGTTATGGAACGTAGGTTCCGTCAGTCCCGCTTTCATCAAGGCTCTTGAAGATCGACTAGGAGCCATGCTTGGCCACCGTCTCTTTCAAACGTCAAGCAGGTCTGGCTTCAAGCCCATAACACACATATACACGTGGCGCTAGACAGGGGTTGAGTAAAATAGACAGCTGCTTTCTTAACGGCTGACCTCGATTGATCTTGGCTGATATTGATCGTGACGGCCTCCGAAGGAATGATTTACGTACCTTGAGAGTTCCTTGACCATACCGAAGTGCATCGCAGATCTTTCAGAGAGAAAAAAATCTACCCCTCGAAACATTACCCCTGTTTAGGTCTAGACAAAAGCCACTGAACTGGAAAGTTGGCCGGAACTGAATCGACCAGGTTTTGTGGCTAAACTCAAAAATTCAGACAAAGAGAAGAAAACAATCCAACGTTGAGGCATGAGACACACTAGTAAGTTAAGATGAATCACCGTGGATCAGTTTTGACCCTTGAGTATGCCTGATCCACAATCACGACCGGGAACATCGGGAAATCGGGAGAGGAATCGGAAACATGCTGATCGATCGACCTCCCGTTGTCAAGAGCAAAAATCGCGCCACGACAGTTTTGTTTAAGCTGCTGCTTAATGTAGACACATATAGCTTAGTGCAATTCTTGCACAAACGTGGAATCTTTGAGGCCGACGGAGATATTTTTGTATCTGACGTCGTCCTGTCGATCATGATTTCAAATGCAACGGAGAAGTCTTATAGATACCTGAAGTAACTAAAAGAAAAACAAATCCAAGAACAGAGGATGAACACCACATCCAACGATCTATTTCAACCACCACTTAATGAGTACGTCATGATAAGATCCTCCGCTTCGCTGAACGGCCAGGCCACCATCCACTCCATCAACCAGCGACAGGGATAGTGGTAGTAATATGGGAGGAAACAACGACAGTACATTACGAACGGTCAGCTATGATCACAGGGGGGTTACAAATCTCCGCAGGCATGCCGTACGCCGGTTGTGTCGGTAGAAACACCTCACATCACTCGATTCCTTTATCTCCGAGTAACGTTTTGACCATCTCAACATGGCATGTGAAAATGAACAACAGCAGGGTTGTTTCAAATGTCGACTAGGTGCTCGTATCACCAACCCTGGAGATCTCGAATAATAGCTCGGCTGAACTCAAATAAGGCGAGTCATGCAAGTTCTCACTTTCTGCAGAATGATTTATCGGTCAAACACTCAAAGGGATGAAGCAATTGAGTGGATGATAGAAGTTAATTCAGGCCGCAATCCGCATATCAATTTATCAAACTGGCCCATCAACGGAAAAACCATCGTAAATAAGGTTTGTCAATCCTCGGTAATTTGTAAAGTGCCGAGATGATCATAGAGCAAATGGTAAGTTAGGTCGTTTGTTCGGCGAAATCCGTGCCGGTTCAAGGCAAAGCAAGGATGCATCGCCGGTATTGCATGCACGGTCTACCTCTGCTAGTGTGCTTCTAGTGCTACAGGCACTACAATCCTTTAGAGTATCAAGTAACAGTCTGACAGATGCAATCCAGTATGTACCATAATATAAGCGGTAGGAACATACATTCTATAGCCCATACCGAGTTGAGGGACTCGGGCCTCTTCACAACATTTGAAGGTGTGAAGATGAATTTTTGGAGGATCTATTTTTAAGACGATAAGGGGAGTTCTAACATCGACTAACAAAGAAAGGCCGTGATATATTGCTACTCTTCACTTCCGCTGTAACCTTCCGGATAAACATGATGCAAGAATCAGACAATAAGCCGGATCTTCTATTGTCTGAGCTCCAATCTTATGCAATTTATTTCAAATAAAACACCACGCTCTAAGGTCATTGAATTGTTCCATTGGACCGTTGGTAGGATTGTTCATGCAAAATTGAGCTCGGACCCTCAAACTAAAAAACCAAGAGTCTATAGACGTATTATCAGCTTCCTTATAGAAACGGCATATTACTACATACTTCATATGTATAAGTTCTTCACTGGGTAGGTTAAATGTACGGGTAAATCGAAGAGGAATGTGTATATACAACTTAATGCTACGTGATTGACTTAGGGGTTGAGAGTGCATCGTATGTACTGGTATCTTATCAATACTATCAGACGGGAGGTACAATACCATACAATATCAGGAAGCGAGCATGGTTTGATGGCCGAGTCTAGAGCTTTCACAAGATTATAACTCTAATATATCGCTCAAGTTGACTCAACTGGACTCCGAGTAATACATGGAACTAGCTTTATGATTAAGCTGATTTTTTGAGTCATTTCCAAATTTATTTCTTGAGCGAGTCAACTGCTTAATACTTAATATCAACACGCTTGGTCTTTTGATTCTTGGGACTTACTTTCAGGCTAAGGTTCCAATGTGGAGCCGAGACAACCGGGAGAATTGCACAAGCCCTAAGTCTTCGGAAATTTTCTCCTCCAGGTAGTCACTAACTACTTTGTACATACTATAGTACTTCACTTATGCCGCTCGCTCGAATAGGTAATTAACCAATATTTAACCTTCAAACCAGAGATGTAGTTAACGCTTTGGAACGTCCTTGTTGAATACAACGTACTGTACGCTAGATAGCACGTACGAATTCAAATAAGGCACTACATACCTGAGCAATCCGTGACTATCCGAGTTGTGAGCAGGAGCTAGATGTCGCATCGACTAATAGCCTTTACCTCGATTGGTGCAATTCCGACGCTCAAGTTAAAATAACTGCGTACACGGAGTACGTACATACCATGTACATAGGTATGTCGGAATGACGTCGGGTCATTAAGGAGAACTAAAGCAGAGCGATCTTCATAGATACCTAAGTCTTCGGCTTGTCGTCTGACCTCCTATACTCTGTTACTGTTCAGATCTATCGTCAAATACTCCGCACACAACGGATATATGAACAGTCGGGCGCCGAAAGTAATACGTAATCTCTTGTGCTGCATGCATCCGTCCTCCGTATAACCTTGTTACACCCGACGGCTCGGCCCGCTCCTTTATCGCCACCGAGGGTCCCAGAGAAAGAATGTTGTCTGTCTATTCTATCCTCACTTGAAGCAGATTCCCTTTCCTGCGTATTACTTATTAATGTTCAAAGTTGGTGGAAATTCCGACTCCTGAGGACCAGCTACATCAAAATTCAAAGTGCGGCCCCGTTTTCTTAGCTTATTGCATGAGGTCTATCCGCAAAAATAGCTTGAGAATCACCTCGAGGCAATGTTTCAATCTTCAAGGTTGTATTCGAAACTTCGTTACGCACGTACAATTACGCAGCGCTAAATTTGGAGACGGCAGAATTTCGGGAGAGCCTCGGAGGGAGCGGCGCGATGCCAAACCACTTCAGTGTTCACCTGGAAGTCTCGAGAATTTGAAATCCATAATCGGAACCCTAAGTCGAGGCTGGTAGATCGCCAATTCGATCAGTCCTTGCCTGTAAGAAGATACTACGTACATACTTCATAAGAGTACGTAACTAGTCTTCGGAATTCACGAAGTGTGAACTACGATCTGGATAGTACATTGGAAATTAACGGTATAAATTCAGATAGCTAACCATCGATAGTCCATATAACAGTCAAGAAGTTCTACCTATGATTCATGAAAATCCAGTCTTTTTGCCTAATGACTCGAACAAAATTGATTTGTGGGGAGAGAACCCCGCTGCAACCAAGTCCCAAGAAGACATTCACGATTTATTAGTGCGGATGTCCATTGTCCTGGTGGCAGTGCTTTGTATATTAACCTGTAGCAGGCAACATCGCGAACCCTTTATGACGAGTTTTCCCGATGGATACATGATCCTTTCCTGTGACTCAGCCCGATACTCCGTCATAGAGTCCATGAGAATCCTAGTCTGGCATGAGGCTACAAGCCTAATGGACATGAACTATATACTAGAAAGATACGTAGTGGGGCTGACTACCTGAGATACATTTGTATCCGGCTTTTTCTCCAAAATCGGATATGCTTAGCAATCAGGACACAGCTCGACATGCGAGTGGTTCGAACGAAGAATTAGATTGCCCAGGATATGCAAACCCGACTCGCAATCAAATCGGCACTTGAAGGGTGTTCCTATTTGAGGTGCTGCTCTATTTCTTTCTTTTCTTTCTTTCTTTTTTTTTTTTTTTTTTTTTTTTTTGAGCAAGGACGCAGTTCGAGGGTGAATACGACGTATCCAGTAACTATATATCCAGGTACGATCACCGGAGTCTGAGTAATTTTGGAAACCGGTATTAGTCTGCTCCCAAGGTTCTGTTACAGTACATCGTGGATATTCGAGAGACTCGGCTCATGTAGGTCATTCTAGTGAAAAATGTGGTACTCCAAAAATGTTCAAGGCTCTGATTCCTCCTAGACTTGTTGATCAGTCCTATGGATCAAACTCTAACTAACAGCATGCTAGATAGTGTGATGAGAAGAAAAATCGTTCTCCATATGTCATCGTCGACACAAGAGTTGGGAGGATTGCTAATATCACCACCTCGAGGGTTATGACATGTTGGTGGTAACAATGGAAGATAAAGATTCTGATCCTACTTCCCTGGCCAAATATATCCATGAATATCGAGTACCCGATATCGTTACCCTTTGTAGACTGCATCTGTTTTCAGAATGGGTTTAGAATTATCAGAGTAATTACCTGGCTGTTACCAGGAATCTGAGTTGCACTTTCTTGTGCATTCTCAGACCTCGACTAGGTAAAGAATCATATCCATACATCGACACCATTACCCATAAATATTTACAAAACTGCTGCGCTAATAATACATTCGTTTTCTTTTAGGCAGATTACTAATTTCTATGCACTATCAAACCGTTCAACAATGAGCTTCGTACACGCCCTACTCTCGCCGCGGATTCCAGATCCACTTCATCACCAGGATGTTGTCTGAAGATAGGTGCTGTCGAAACAGTCGCAATTGATGCGGCAGGTGCATGCCCATTCTTCTTATCCCTTTGAATAATCGACTCATCATTTGTATCCATACTTTTATTCCTTCGAGCTGGAACAACAACTTGTTTCGGTTTTTGTAGTACGTGAACATCGAACTCGAAATATGCAAAATTTGGATCCGCGCTCATCGGTGTCAAAGGATCCTTATAATTCTGCGAAAGTGTTTTGCTAGTTACCGAAGAAGCAGGACGAATAGTCGAGAATGTGCCCCTTTTTTGATAACTTGATAACACCATTGAAGGACGTCCAAAGCTGATCATGTCACTATCTCGGCTCGTCGAGAACCGTGATTCGGGATACTGTTGTGACTGTACCCGGTAGTTGTCTCTATCAAAGTATTTGCGGTAATATTGGTAGTAGTAAGATGGAATGGTAACCCTTGACGTCCTGGCTGTTTCAGGTCTACTGATTGTCTCGATATTGGTTTGGTCATCCGATTTGCTTGGACTGAGTATGAGCCACGACGATTCTGGAAATTGCTTTTTTCGTGGTAATTCAGTCTGGTTATTTGTATAATCGGTTGATATCTCATTATCGTTAGTGATGATCGACTGGGAAGTCTCGGTCTTTAGTGGAAATGAAGGTACAGACGACGGCGATTGTTCCGGTTGCGTTGCGAAAGGTCTCTTCGATGTACCAATAATCTCTTGTACTCCTCGTGACCTTCTTCTACTGAGACGTTTTAACCTAGGCCATGGATTTTCGGTGACTCTAGGGGACGCAATAGGCCTTGTCAGGACAGTTTGATATTCCATACTCGTCGAACTCCGACTCTCCAAATCGTCATGCTTCCATAGGAACTTTTGGTTTGCATTCCGGGTATTTCTGCGTGTCAGAATATCTTTGTCGTCTGGTTGAGAGAGCCATGGGAAGCGCCAATTCCGTACATATGGAATGGACCGTCTTCGTATGTAGAGCAAGACGAGTATCAAGACTCCCAAGGATAGACCCACTATTATTGAAAATCGAACATCAGATATTACCACACCCGGAAGGCGTTAATACAAAGGTGGCTTACCGACTATACCGACGATGAGGCCTGTCTTGGATCCAGTGCTGCCGGTGGTGTGGTGATCTTCATCGTGTTCGTAGGAGCTTTCATGCGAGGCGTCCAGCACATCGTGAGAGCGGGCGAACCACTTATTCAATTCAACTCTTTGCGCGTACGAATATCGAGTCTTTCTCATTATGGACCTTTCAACGAGAGAGGTTTGGAGATGTGATAAGAGATTGAGGCCTGGATGCCCCGTGAGACATTGAAACGACTGCATAGACGTTAGAAAAGGCAGAAAGGTTGATGCTTGATAATATTCCATACCAAATAGCAAAGCAAGATCTACCTAGGTAGCATTGCTACCCAGGATGCAGTGTCAAAGAAGGGAACAATTCGATTAGTGTAACTTCCGAGGCTGTAATTAGCATTTTATGAGTTTTACTCAGAATCGCCAGATGGCAATACAAGGGTTCTAGAGTAAAGAAAGAACCCAATGCCAAGGTCAAATTGGATGTTGTTGGACATATATGAGACAATGCCGGTCTTAGGTGTATCATATTAGGCTATTAGGGTTAGAGATCTGAAACACGAAGCAGCGCTGGTTGGAGTCTCACCATATAACTTCATACTTCAGCTGTCTTAAGTGTTAACTATAGGTATCAGGGTAGTCTCGTATGGTTACAAAGAATACCTCGCTAAAGAATGCCACTTAATGTAGGGAGTTAAGGTTGTAGAATGGGAAATGTTAACCTGTTGCATTTACCTGACGAACTTCGAAACCCTCAGCGCCACCCATCATGCAGGAAGAGTGTGAACTTGGGTCCTGGCGTTCTTTCTCCAAGCTCACTTGAATCCATTCGAGTAACTTTACACGCAACAGTTGAACAGCCAAAGGTATTACATATGGCCTAAGAAGCGTTCAATATTTGAAGGTGACTCTTACAAGTTATAGTTAGATCAAAAATGATCAATAATGATCAATAATGAAAATAAACCCTTTCCAAGTATCTGCGCCATAAATGCTGCCAGGAATAAAAATACACTGTACAAGCACCCGAAAGCTTGAATATGAGTAAATCTTGCAGCGATGAATGAGTAGGCCCGCTCTTGAAACATCCTTGAAACAGAAAGCTCTAAGCTCCTTATCTCAAGCACTTTGTTGCTGTGATCTTTGTCACACTCAAAATATCTCTCTCCACCCTTTTCGACCCGGTTCGAAAACCCAAGATTTAGGAGGGTGTTCTCCTAATAGGCGATCCGAGAATAGTACTTTCGTTTAGATCCCTCGAGCGAAAGCTTCCCCTTAAATTGAGAGAGTCCGAAAGAAGCATCTTTGTAGAATTCCAGTTGACATTGCCAGGCACATCGTTGATCTCTTCAAGCTTATCGCCCAATTTGACAACCGAAAATCGAATCATCCTAGGATCGAGGGATAACGTTCGACGCACGGCGGCTTGGACGGGCCCTGATGCATCAAAGCGCATGATGAAGTGCCAGCCTTCAGAGTATCGAGCTTGATGTTTTGTGGTGGGTTTGGGGAGAGTGAAGGTTCCCCAGTTTGTGTAGCCGCGGACTACGCCGCCTGATCGGAGAACTTGCACGCCGGCATTTTTGGCAATTCTAATGGTAGAAACCGTATTAGTCTCGTCCTTATGAGAAAGAAGGTAAGGAAGGTTGAATGCAGACGACGTTGAAGGGTTTGACGTACTCCTTGACTTCCTTAAGACTCCCGGGTCGAACCTGTGCGAAAATGGTCAGCATGCGAAGACAGCGCATTAGTTGAGAAATTCACAGTCCATACAATTGCAATTAATTCGTATAGCATCGTGTCGAGCTTAAATGAGAGTCGGAACCAAACACGTAAGCCGCGCAATGCAATGGAGTTTTTTTTCCGGTAGTCAACGTTTTGCGGAGGCCGAAGTAAAGTGATGGTTGTCCGCCAAGACCTGATCGGTTGGATGGCCTTGATGCCTTGGGACCGATTAGATAAGGCGGAAAGCTATCAGAGGCCGTCATAGCTCTCCATCTCCGGAGTATATATCTATCTTTCCACCTTTTTTATTTTCTATTCTACAACTCTTCCTCTTTCCCCTCAACTTCCTTACTATATCCTCTTTTTATGCCAATTGATATATATCTTTCACCATGTCTCTCGCCGCTCTCACTCGCCCATTGGCATCTCGAATGCTCTGCCAACGTCTTCCAGTAACCGTTGCGGCTCGCCGATCCATTCCCGCTTTTCCGCGGGGAACAACCATCAGAAGCTTTTCGAGAAGTTCGCAATGTACGTTGCAATTGCTGCTCAATTCCTGGAAATAGTATAGGAATGGTCATGCTAATTAGTCGTGATAGTTGAGGTTAAGAAGTATACCGAATCTCATGAGTGGGTTGAGCTCGATGGTAATGTCGGTAAGTACTAAGCTATGCGCAGACAGTAGGAGAAAGAATTCGGAATGCGAATTGCGTTATTCCTATTACCTCCCTGTGTTTAGCATAGGTTGCTTTATCTTTTCTTTCATATTCCCTCGGCTAACCACCGACAATATAACAGCTACAATTGGAATCACCGAATATGCCGCCAAATCCCTCGGTGACGTCGTCTACGTCGAACTTCCCACCGCCGACCTCGAAGTCGCAGCCGGCGAGCCCGTCGGTGCTGTCGAATCAGTGAAATCTGCCTCAGATGTGCTTTCGCCCGTCTCCGGAAAAGTGATTGACGGTAATGCCGTGTTGGGTGATAAGCCCAAGACCATCAATGAGAGCCCCGAAGGTGAAGGGTGGATTGCGAAGATTGAGGTCAATGATCCCAGTGAAGTGGAGGGTTTGATGGATCAGAAGGCGTATTTGGAGTCTGTTGAGGATCATTAGATACTTGTCCCATCCTTGTCTCTTTATGAAGTTTTTGGAGGCTGTGTTGTTCTTTTGGCCTGTCATATGCAACGTAGACGGTTGCTAGGATTCGAAGTCAGGCTCTGATTACTCGCAGAAGTTGTTGGGGTTACTAATGTTTCAAGTAATAGATTCACAGCTGAGATTTCAACATGAGCTGTATGACAAGAAAATCATCATGTACAAATTGGAAAAGAGTTATGTCTATTGGTATCGAATTATGATCTAAATACAGTAACATCACTTAGTAAACGTATTTATACAGGTGGAATCGATTCACGGCAAATCGGACACTGCAACCTTAACCTCATCCAACTTTCCAAACATGTGCTATGAAAGATATGTCGACACGGCGTCACCATATATGCCCTTCGGCTCAAGATACTACTTGCACCATCAGTCATGCTAGATGCTCCAATGCCATTTGGAGATACAATAACAGGGACTTCGATGTCTTGCATGCATATAGCACAATCAAATATTTTCTTCTTTTTATCCTTGGGTCGTGGTGGCTTGTCTGCCTGACCGCGACTGCTTCCAGCTGTAGTGCTTGGTGTAGTGGTATCTCTTTCTTCGGCGCGAAGGTAGCCGATAGGTAGAGTAGTGCCAGATTCCAGGTCGTCGCCGGTTCCACTTCTGGAGGTGTCATGTATGACAGGGTGATAATCATAGGCTGGAGGAGCCCAGCCATTGGGAACGAAGAATCGGGGGCCTAAAATATCTTGACTGGCAAGGATCCAAGCTTGGACCCAGACCCAGCCAGCCATCGCCAATGCCGTTGTAGTGTCGGGGCGAACGAATAGGACATTTCCTCGTGCAGTGAGAAAGTACACAAAAGGGACGAGGCGTAGGATGCTTTCGCCGATGACGAACTCCCATGTTAGTGCTTTGCGACAGTTCCGCATAATATTGCGGTAAATTTGTGGTATCCAAAACGATAGGTAAACAAAACTGATGATCTTTGCATATATGGCCCCGATTTTACTCGGGAAGAGAAACGACCATAGTGTAACGATGCTCACGCAGCCTAGAACGAAGTAAAACCGTGCGTACATGGTCCCAACGTCTGCTCCTATCTCTGATTGTGAAGGCATGGTATTGTTGGGTTGTGTAGCTCCAGGTGTAGTCGTGGGAGCAGGTGTGGCCGCATTGGGTCTTGTTTGATCTGGAGGTAGGACGACCGGAGTTGCACCAGAACTGACTGCTGCAGCTGCAGTAACAGGAGGTGGTAGACTATCCTGATTGTTATTCGTTTCTGTGTGACGGTCCTGATTCCGTCGCTCGGGTACCTGGACTGCCCATACTTCCATCATGAATCTCATGCCTATGTAACAGACTGAAAGAAATACGAGGAAAGCCGTCGCTGATATCTCGATAAAAGAGGTATCCTCGAACAAAGCTAATAATGTCATAGTCATGACCATTGCATCTCCCAATGACATCAGCGCAATGGAGTAGAAACTGATGCGACTTCTAGTGGACGGTGTAGAGGCCTCTTTTATCTGTCGCATTAGTAAGTACAACTGCCCTGTCATGATTGCACCCAGTGAGTATATCGTCCGCGAAGCAAACTTTCGGTACTCCTCTTGTTTCGGCCCGACGACGTAGAGGCCCTCGGAAGGAGGGAAGTCAGGTGCACCTTTCGACTCCAGAAGTATCCCACAGTCCGGAGAGAACACAACAAAGGACATTTCTATCATAGGAGGAGGGGGAATCGGTATTCCCGCCGGGAACCTAAGTTCCTGCTCGATTTTATCTAATAACGTACGATTCGGGGCTTTTCCGCCAATGTTGACTGGACGTTGTTGTATGTAGAGAATGTACTCGCACTTTGGGGTTGCGAATGCCATAGGATGGACTCCTCTAGGAAGAGAGGACCATGGGAAGAAAGTCGATTCATATCTGCGCTTCCTGGAAATATTATCTGAAAGTATCTGCACCATTGCCTCGCGAGAGATATTAAATGTATCATGCGAAAGTGTCAAATGGGGCAGTGCCAAAAGTCCGTCATATTTCTCGCTCGTAGTCGTTAATATGATTGCGCCTTGATCCGGAAAATGCAACCCAAACGTCGACATATACCAGGTGCTGCCCCATGCAGCATCGCTTTCGAATGCCAGATCTGCGCGGATTTGCCGCACCGACGTCCCATACTGTTCGACCTTTTGTTCATCGCCACTTACAAAATCAACATATACTCGTCCAGTTTCTCCTGTGATATTGAGACCGAATTCTTGGGTTATGAAGTCATTCTCTTGCATCAAGGCAGTCGTGTTTAAGAGTGGCCCATGAGGCACCGCATGTTTAGTCCAATCTCCGCGAAGCTTCCCTGTGATGTTGCGATAAACCGGAAGCGATAATGAAGATAAGTTAACGGATGGCGCTTGATCTGGCAATTCCAACTCCGGTGGGCTCTGGAAACCTCCGCTCTTTAGAGCAGAACGTATATTTCGCCTTGCTATTTGTTGTGCCTGCGGCAACAGGTCCCAGGAATAGCTATCATTCTGTCTCAATCCTGCTATCGGAAGCCATTTGTCCGCCTGGGGATCGAGATCGTCGTATACAGAATCATTGAGCCATCTGGTCGCATTTGCCTCGTGGGCAAGTCGTGCTTCGCGTTCGCCGGTCTGATCGATCAACGGAGCCCGGTTCGATGAGCTGAGCAGGATGTAGACTGCAACAACGAAAAAGAAGAAGCCCCCACGGTTATCCATTCAGGCCAGCTGAAGGTATCATCTCACCACCGGTGGGCAACAATAAATTTCTTTAAAAGCAGTAATTGAATGTTGAACGTAGTAACATGGTTGAGCGGCGCATTGGTGACTCCAATTTCCCAGTGTTGGTGGTGGCTTGGAAGGAGGATGACGAATGCGGAGGCTGCAGTTTACTTAATGACATGTTGTAAGTTGGATGGAGCACGCGCCACTGCAGGGTTTAGGGGGACCTTATCATTGGGGTTGCCGAGCTCCGCTTCCTCTCCATCCTAGCAAAAATTCCATTTGCGCTTTTATATGTTGATCAATGGGGATAACGACGGAACGGTAAGTGTGAAATGGATCTACAATTTCAAATTAGCAGGTAGTTAATTGTTATCGCAGGATGTTCTGACCCATAGCGATGGCGTCTAGTTCTCTCCCGATCCCTCAACCTCCGCGAACCCCCTCACCTTCACCGGACAGTCAAGACCAGCGCAGTTTGGCTCCAGAGCCTCAGTACGATCCAAAGGCGCTCTCGCCCATGCACGGAATCATGCAGAGCGAACGACTGAATGTCAATGCCCCTAATATGGCGCCAACGAGCCCGACGAGCCCGTCTTTCGGCGCATTTCCGACTCATGGATCAAATACAAATGCCGGGTCAGGGACTGTTGATCCCAATCCATTCAATTTTCAGCCTATGGCTTTGGCAAAGTCCCCAGTGATGAAATCGGTGTGGCCTCTAAAAAACACGCATTATGGTATCATGAAAGCTAACTAGTGCTGGGCAGAATATTGGTCAGCGGCGTGGTCACAAATACAAGCATAGTAGTATTTCGCATCAAATCTTTCTAGAACCACCCCCTCGCGCCCCATTAGCATTACCAGCCTCCTTACCGATACCCACGCTCAAAGAATGTCGAAGTAGCATGTCCAAGGATCAGAAAACGAGGTTTTGGTGGAGTGTGTGCCACATGTTGATTGCTGGATACACTCTATGGTCGGCTCATGGCTCTCTCGCAATGATGGCACTTTCTCACCTTATATTATTTGATTCGCTCGGTGCGCTTCTTTGTGTTATAGTCGACGTCCTAGGGAATTTCGAAGTGTGGAAACGGTCCAGCGTTCGCCATCCTTTCGGTTTGGAGCGGGCAGAAGTGCTAGCGGGATTTGCCTCATCTGTCTTGCTCGTGTTCATGGGCATGGATCTGATTTCTCACAATCTACAGCATTGGCTTGAATCCTCTCCAGGCCACCAGCCGCACCATTCACATGAACACGATCGTGTGTCGGCTGGTTCAGTCGATCTCACCGCGATCCTCGCAATTGGCTCGACCCTGGTGTCCGCTATTGGGTTGAAGAATCATGCGCGCATTGGCAAATCGATGCGATTCGCATACATTGAATCCCTTCCGTCTGTTCTCAGCAACCCATCCCACTTCCTCACGCTTTCATGTTCTGCCTTGCTTCTAATTTTGCCTTTGCTTTCCGTTTCACTCTACAGTTGGTTAGACAAGCTATTGTCGCTGTCTATGGCTATTTCTATGTGCATCCTCGGATCGCGTATTGTGAAAACTTTGGGGTCAATGTTGCTCATGTCCTTCTCTGGCAATGGCGTCAACGATGTGATGCGAGACATTCAAGCTGATCCTGCCGTTACAGCGATTGATGATGCCAGATTTTGGCAAGTGCACTATGGTTTATGCATGGCAAATCTGAAGCTCAGGGTCACGGGCACTGAGGAAACCTTGATTAAGCTTCGGGAAAAGATCACGAGCTTGATAAGGAATCGACTAGGTGGAGGGTATGGATCAGGAGGTCAAAAATGGGAGGTGACCCTGCAGTTTACTGCAGAAAGACTGTAATCTTAACATTCATATTTGTAAATATATTATCTTCTTTCTTCTCGCTCTAATCTTCGACAGACTCGCTGATATCCGCTGACCGATGTATATGGCATAACTGTAATATAGAAACGATTAGGAGCAAGGCAAAATACCATGTACAGGTCAACAAGTAAAATTTTTATTTAATATTGAAATACATGAATCTATGAACCCGCTTATCTGGAGAACGCTTTGCAGCGGATTCGTGGTACAAGTGAGGCCTAGACATGTCATCATCCTAGACCTCATTTCAGATATCCTTCGAACTCTTTCAATCACCGCGAGGGAAAAGGATAAATTTTTCAAGAAGTCGCAGCCAAAACACCAGCCTCCTCCGCTCTAGAAATTAGACCTTCGCGCTCATCCCTTCGTCGACGCTTCTCAAGAATGGCTTCTCGTCGTTCAGCGAGAATCTTTTGTTGTCTGCTCTCAACACCTTGCAACCAATAACCGAAGCTTCCTCCAACACCTGCGAAGAGGGGGTAGACCCAGAGGGATTCCTTGCCCAGGAGAGGGCGCATTTCGATACCGAGTTGCCAGAGACGGACGGCGATGCCTGCGGGGAGCGGATTGTGTTAGTCATTGAACACGATTTCCACAAAATGAGTAAGGGAACAAGGTAAATGACGTACCGAAGCCGCTCCAGAAGAGAACTTTGTGAACCATTTTATCGAATATCAAGATGTGAGCGACAATGCGCGATAAGCGACCGGATACCCGGACCTGTGGAAGGATGTTTTTCAAATGTCGGATAAGTGTGAGGAGGAGCGAAAACTCCGACAAACTCGAATCAAAGCTCTAGTAGTATGGTCCAACCTTCGCTGTGGCTCTCTACTTGCCGCTTCAGTGGCACGGGCGTATTGTTTTGGTCGATTAGTATCTTCAGGAGTCAAAAGTTGAAGTTCTCGAGCAGTCACCCGGTTGTCATAGAATCGGCCCCATCTATGGTGGTTTTGGTCCATTGGCCAATCATACGCGCGTTATTTGACTTTCCGCCTACGGCACCCTTTCTGCCGGATTTATTCTTGATGAAGGGAGGGAGAGCTTTCTTTCTTTCTTCGTCCTGAAGATGGTTTATTCTCAGACATAGACGATGTGTGACCTCTGTTTTCGACGATAATATTTGGCTCTTACTTAGAAGTTGCCGGTAAAGTCCCGTGCGGGCCACGATTCTTTCAAAATGGTAGACGCGGGGATGGTAAATGGAGAAACAACTCCTTCCAGCGATAAACAACAGTCGCAAGAATCAGCAAAGGCAGCAGCGAACGTCGACTTACTCAAGCCCAAAAAGTACAAGACTTCGGATTTACCTCTTACTCAAGATCAACAGAATGCGATCCAAAGCCTGCTTGTCGCTTTCAAGAAGAAAGGAGGTTTTGATAACTACCGGAAGAAGATCTGGGCAGATTTTGATAATTCGGTATGTTGTTTTATATCGGCGCGTCAACCAGTCTCCGGTGCAATTCCGTACAGATCTCATGATTGAGTGTATAAACAGGAATTCAAGCACAAATTTACAAATGCTCTACAAGAACTCGCGGAAAAGGAGATCGAACGAGAACCCGCTCATCTGTCGCGCGACAGGGGCAAAGCAGCGACACTGATCGAGGGAGCTGTCGATCGTAGCGACATTTACAAGAATACCGAGAAGGATTTAGAGAGCTTCCTGGCCCAGCATCTCGAGACTATGTTAACATCCATACGAGAGATAAGACGAAAAGATGTCGGCGAGGAAATTGCTCTCAAAGAGGAAATTGCAGGCAACAAAACAGAAGAAGACTACGATCGCTGGCGCGAGGAAAGAAGGGCGGCGCGTGAAAAGATTCACCAAGCAGAACTTGCTGAACGAGCACGTATAGAAGCAGAGAGAGAGAAAGCTAGGCAAGAAGAAGCTCGGAAGCGACGGGAGATTGAACGAAAGCGGGAGGAGGAGCAGAGAGAACGTGAAGAAAAGAGGCGCGCTGAACAACGTGCTCTCGACGAACAGAGAGAAAAGGAGAGACAAGAACGTTATGAACGCAGAAGACGGGAGGATTCTCGTGAGAGATACCGAAGCTATAATCTTCCCCGTGGCTATGATCGCTATGAAGGTACTAGCATGTCTTCCTCTCGGTATAGGGATCATGATCGACGAACAGGATCCCGGACTGGCACACCCAAAGCTGCTACTCCTCCACCAGCTCCTCCAGTTGATGATAAAACATTGGAGGAGGCGGCTCTGCAATTACTCTTGAAAGAGGGTGAAGAACTAGCTGCAAAAGCAAAGCAGAAGCCAGAGTTTGATTTTGAAGAAGCCGAAGCCATCGAAAGCGGGCGCAAGCCTGTTGCACGCCCAAAGTCCACTGCCGAGCCTCGCTTCGCAGCTTCAGGGACCCGGGATTCATCTCGTGACAGAAGACGAAGGAGTCGCACCCGGTCGCGCACAAGGAGATCCTCTCGCTATGAAAACGAAGGCAGAAACAGGTCGAGAGAGGGGTCTACTAGACTACGGGATCGTGAGGACGACAGATATTCTGTTCGTAGTCATAGAGACGAACGAAGGGATAGGACGGCTAGGCAAAGCCGTAGTCGTTCCAAAGCTCGCAATGATCGGGAGCGTGATAGAGATGAGCGGGGTCATAGGTCGAGCAGACGCAGTCGCACTAGGTCGAGAACCCGCGATAGAGACCGTGACAGGGTCGATAGTCGAGAAAGACGCGAACGAGACCGAGATCAAGATCGGGATCGTGACAGAGCTAATCGGGATCGCGAAAGAGACCGTGATAGGGACAGAGACCGTGATAGGGGCCGTGACAACTTCCTTGACCGTGGGTATGATCGATACACTGGTCGTGATATGGACCGGAGCCGCGAAAGAGAGCAGGCTCGGAAACGATCCACAGAGAGAGAAAGAGATCGCAGCAGGGATAAAGATAAAGGTCGTGACAGACCACGATCAAGATCCCGCTGCCGGCGCTCTCCTTCCCGTGCAGACCGTTCTCTGACACGACATCGTCGGGACCGGTCAGGCTCTCGCACTTCTACTCGGCGGCGGTCTACATCTCGACGAAAATCACGCTCTCCAAGTCAATTAGACATTGATCGGTATGTTCCGGTTACCAGTAACCGCAGTCGGTCTCCTCGTCGTCGGGTGCGCTCCCCTGAACGAGATAGAGACAGACCACGTGATCAGGACTGGAACAGAGAGCCTCGTGGTGACAGGTACATTCCTGGAATCACCACTGACCGAGAATCTGAACCGGAGAAATCAGGGAATAGGGACCGTGACCTCAACAAAGATGTTGACAAAACTCGTGATAAGGACCGTGACCGTGACAGGTATACTGATAAAGAGCGAGCAAGAGATGGGGAGAGGGAGCGCGACCGACATCGAGCCCGTGATATTGATGACAGGGACGATCGGCTTAGAGATCGGCAACGGGATCGGGCCAGTGACAGAGATAGGGATAGGGATAGCGAGAGACTAAGAGATGAAGACAGAGAACGTGACCGAGATCGCGACAGAGATCGGGAGCGGGATCGGGATCGAGAAAGGGAAAGGGAAAGGGACAGAGAGAGAGACAGAGAGAGGGATAGGGACAGAGATAGGGACAGGGACAGGGACAGGGACAGAGACAGGGACAGGGACAGGGACAGAGACAGGGACAGGAACAGGGACAGGGACAGTGACAGGGACAGGGACAGGGACAGGGACAGGGACAGAGACAGAGACAGAGACAGAGACAGAGACAGAGACAGAGACAGAGACAGAGAACGAGATCGGAGCAGGGACAGAAGAGACCGTGATCGAAGGGACCGCGATGACAGGCGAAGCAGCTATCGAAGAAGCCGCAGTCGATAATGGTGATTTCCTTCAAGGCCCGGGAGACAAAAGTCTGTTGTCCATATCCACGTATAGTCTCTTATTGTACCAAGCAGACTATGGGCGCATGTACAACAACGTTTAATTCAAGTCCAACCTACATACGTAGCTAGATGGATGGATACAATCTATCCAACGTTGGAAGAAAGTAGGCACATTTCAAGTAACATATCCAACTTCTCGTCTACCTCCTGAACTTGACATTACGCAAGTAAATGGTTGTAAACACTAGCCGACAATACATGTGTCCATATATATAATAGTTATTATTAGAAAGAGCCATGGTCTAATCATATCCGCCATATGGCACCAGACGGATAGCGTCTGGTGAAGTGAGACAGTTCCGGATAATCCTCCCATCACCCGAATAGCCCTAATCGTTGCACAAGTAACCAACCACGTGTGAAATCGCATTACGGAGGAAGAATTAACATGATAGTAGTAGTAGGCGAGTAGGTAAGAAAAGAGTGGAAAAGAGAAAAATAACAATAGTCAAGACTTGACTGATCTGACTTCAACCTACCCAGGTAAAACCCAAGACTATATACCAAGATATGAAACCGATATCAGTGATTGAAGGAACCACTAGTGTCTGCACATGTTCGATCTAAATTAGGCCCTCAGGGGCCAAGCATTTGTGAAGAAAGTATGGGGGAAGAATCCTCATTGGCTGATGATTCCATACAGGTCAGCGGCTAAATAGGGTGTTTCAAGTCTTAGCACTAACTAACATCTAGGTAGTATGCTACAATCTTCGAAATTTACTTCATTCTCTTGAATGATTCATTCTTTCAAGTCTTTTCTTCTTGGGCATGAGTGTTCGGACTGTTTTGAAAGAGATCTGACGTCGAAAACGGCTGTGTTTGTTGCATTAAGTCTCCGGTCAACCCTAACAAGTAACAAAGTGGCTTTTACAGGGTCTCTTCGTACTGATTTCCAAAGAGTGCTGGGCGGTTCGTATCAAAGGTATGGCCACTTATTTCCATACAGATTTTGTGGTGTTCGTTGTTTTTGCTACTTCCGGGTTGAATGGGATTGTCTTCGTGTATTCATGGAGGCATATATCCTACACAGATTCATTCGACCTGAAGTACAAGGTTTCCATTCATTGTGTACTCTATTTATGATAGATGCTTGTCTGATAATATTTTTTGGTTGTTGCATTGTATTCTATGCGATCTCATTGCTGATATATAAGCAGGTACGACAATTAACATCTCGAGCCAAGGGAACGGTGTCAAGATATCAAAATCACTCTCGTCACTGTATACATCAGACTGTGACTAAAACTCTTTTCAAGAAGTTAGCGAACATTGCTCAAGGCCCACCATCATGTCCAAACCAATGATACAAGTCAACAATGGCCAAAATGAGCTTCAAATTTCCGAAGAATCGACATCAAACACGAGGAGAACACTACACCAGAACATATTCGGCAAACTACGCCCTGTTCCTCTCCAATATCACTGGACAGTTTGGTTCGACAAGCACAGTAACCCAGAGAGCAGTACTAGTGTTGCCCTCACAAACAGCAGCAGCATACAGACGCAACAACAGTATACCTCACGCCTTACAGTGCTCTATGAAGACATTTCTGACATTGCCGTCTTTTACCGAGTCTACAACAACTTCCCTTGGGATAAAATCCGGCTCCGGGACACGGTGCACATATTCCGCAAGGGCGTGAAACCGGTATGGGAAGATTCCGAGAATCTGAGTGGTGGATGTTGGACATTTCGCGTACCGAAAGCCAAGGGACAAGAGTTTTTCCATGAGATTGCAATCTTGGTTATGGGCAATGAGTTACAGGCAGCTGTGGAAAGTGGTAAGTACCCACCTTTTTTTTAAGAACAGGTAGATACTGAGATTAGAGCAACCGAATAGAGCACGATCATATCCTTGGAGTCAGCATCTCGATACGTTTCAATACTCATTTGATATCAGTCTGGAATAAGCTTGGTTCCAATGAACGTTCAATCAAAATATTGGAGCAGACTATCATTGATCGATTGTCACCAGAACTAAGGCCTGCTGATAAGACTGTTGTATCTTCTTCTTCCTATTTTTACAAGAGACATGCAGACCATGAAGGGTTCCGTGGGGCAATTGAAAGAGCTCGGAGCTCTGAAGAGGAATAGCCTACCTTAGGTATGTATTGTAGGAAGAGTTTTTGCTCCTATTTCTTTGTTCAAACACAAAATTGATTGTTGAATATGAGTCATTTGCCAAGTTAGTGAAATTTTGTGAATATGCCTGATGGTCTTCTTAGTTAGGCAGATTACCCCAGTGCCATGGCTATCTATAGCATTGGACTTCACCCCTTTGTGGTCAGTTATTCTTTAGCCCTTTGTTAAATTACATTGATACCTTTTAAGAAATTGGTCTATTGTTTGTTAACCTCATTGAAAGGCAGCTTTGATATATCATTTCAGAAAGACAGATCATACACCCTTTACAAGAGAACCCTGAAACAGAGTCTCAACTTTCTGGCAGACTTAGGGTTTAATATACAAGTAAAATGTAGAATATAACAACAAACAAGGCAGAGGATTCCTCACTCAGAGCAAGTATTCACCCCAAGTGAAGTCATTGCTCAGTCCTCCCATCATCTAAAGTCATTTGGTGAATCATGTGATCAGCATCCATTGTTTATGTTTAGTATTTTCCTTCTTCTTAATAATTCTTCTCTCTTCCCCATCACCCCTAATTACTCTTTTCTTTTCTTCTCATCACTGAACATACACTTGCAATACCCAATTGTCTCATAGTGCATGTCCATCTGACTACAATCTGTTACTATGCATCTGCCCGCTTTTTATCGAAAAGGAAGCAAGTGCTTCTCACTACGCAATATCAAAAAAATGGAAGACTCAGGATGAGCTAAAAAAAAAAAAAAAAAAAAGAAACTTGCAGCTGTTGACGAAGTCAGTGACAAGTACTTGAACTGGCTCAGTGAACTCTGGTTTCATCTTTCATTCCATCCCCATTACAATATCCATTTGAAGGACCTCGCAGGTCTTGGTATTAGATTTGAGAGTCTCACTCTGGGCGACGAGAAAGCCAACCCTCAAGCAAACGGTCTACCTACTTTGTCTCGAAGGATAAAAAGGAACTCCAAGCATACAAGCCCGATCCCAGTTATCCGGATAACAAACTTTCTTAGAGTCTTGGACGGTAGCTGGTTCGAGGACCCCAGAGGGCACCCCGATGTCTACATCGAAGACGCAGAGTGCTTGTGTTACGAGTTTAATATCCGCTTCGCCCATGTGCAGTGGAAGAAATTGGGAGAAATGCATTCGAAAACCTACGAAGATTTAACAGACTGAAAAGAATGTATGTATTAAAGACTTTACCCGAGTTTCAAATTCTTGTACCCTTCTTCAAGTACCCCAGGTAATCAAAGCGACAACCGGAAAATGTCACTCATATCTCTTCGTAATTCTGAACGACGAGGACGCGGCTATTCGTTCGGTCGTTTACGCACATGATTCAGGCTCACTTACTGTCCATTTAGATCTGGAAGGCACCAGTCCTGGTTACTGAGTAATTAGCCCACGATCTCAACTCACTCTTGTATCATTATGCTGTCCATACTCTTTTTGTGTCTGGAGCTGTTCTTGGCTTCCACAGTCGCCGATATGCTGTCGCGTGAAGTAGGTCGGAAGCCCCCATCAGTTCATGTCTCAAAGTCTCCCTTGCTAAACTGTGCATTGAAATAGGCATGATCAAATGTCTCATGGCTGGTGTTGATGACAACTTAGAAGAACAAGTCAAACTGAATCCAGATCAAAAATGAGAGCCAAGTTGTGGTGTCACCTTCGAGCCCAGAACGGAACAATAATAACCCAATTACTTACGAGCCGAAGCCCCCTAACGGGGCGGCCTAATTCCACTAAAGCTCTATATACTACTTCTGCACGCATTTCTACATTAGTTGACTACAGCCATGCCATCGCCTAGCAAGCAATGTCATTCGTGTCGTCGCAGCCGACTACGTTGCGATGGAGGACAACCAACCTGTCTAAACTGCGATTCCCGCGGTGTGGAATGTCTTGGATACGGATCCCAACCTTTTCTTTGGGTTCGGCCCAGAAGCTCAGTCTCGGCTTCAGCCAAATCAAATTACGAGAGCAGCATTATCTCTCCTGCTATCAAGAAGAAAGGCCGGCCAAGGCTGGTTCTGATGCAGAGATCCGAAGGTATCGAAAGGGACCGGGGAAGCAACTGTCAATTAGATCTGATGGATAAGCAAACAGGTATATCTTATGTTCTTAATTCTCTTATACTCAACTGTTTAGAGTTCTATAGAAAGTTCATCAGTTGAGGTTGTACCAGCACTATCATCTCTGTTACCTGCAGGCTATGCCGACGCGTTGAGCACTTTGGAAGTCCTGGTGTATTGTAAATACCGCTACAGCCTTCATCCGGGAAGGTATTAGAAGAGTATGTGAAAATAACCATTCCTTAAATAATATTCGACCATGCTCACAGACAATACCGACGTCTGTTCCGACATGATCGCCATGCATTCATCCCGAAACCCTCATTTTATGGACCCTGAAATCTGGTAGTTTCTGCCTGACATTGTCCTGGAATTCTACTCTGCCGTCGTGGCTACTCACAGCGTAGTTCGTTCACAGCCTTACTATGTTCTTGCGGCTTGCGTCTCAGCTGTAAGTTCTAGTACAGACGATGCTATCGATTTCACAGCTCGATGTCTAAACAAATTCACGCATCCACTTGTAAAGACCATCTATAAGCATCATCACCAGGTAATAAAAGGTCTCGGGATGCTAGTCGATGATGAAGATCTAAGGTTTTCTGATATCACTTTTGGGCTGATCGCCGATCTCATGCTTTTCGGAGTAAGCGCAGAGATGTATCTGGCCAGGCACACACATGATGTCTAAAAATCTTCAGATCCAGCAATCAGCCTGGGGCGTCCGCCTCGAAGCAATGCGAATGATTATTTTCCACAGAGGTGGCTTTGGAAAGCTTGCCAAAGAATATACCTTGTCTGGTTATACGTATCACTTGCAGATGTTCATGCTGTGAGAGCCATCTTAACATATTTCGACGACCCATGCAATTGCGCTAACAAAATGATAGTGTCGATATATTAAGCTGTTGACAACGACAAGATCAGCCCTTGGTTCCCGAGTCGTTTCTCAGCTGCATTATATTGAATATTTGCCTCAGATTCACCGTAACGGGCTGGACGCGGGATTTCCATCCCAAATGCACTTCTTGAAGCCATCATATGCACCAACTTTTCTCGATCTGACGTTGAATGCGTTCCAAACGAAATTTGGGCTGTAGACCTACGGATTGAGAGTCTTCTTGAACGAATAATATCCTTTTCGCCTGCCGACTGGGCACGATCGTGTATAATTGACGCGGGTTTCTCTTCGTTTGACTGTAACAAAACATTCCCAATAACTTCACATCAGATCCTCAATGGAATGACTTCCTGGCGCTAGCATCCACCTTCCAGACAGCCGTGTTGCTCTACTGTCTCAGAACATTGGTCCTCGATCGTGATAGCTCATCTCCTTGGGTAAAAGACTTTCAATGGACGTTCAGTTCATGCAATCCAAGGCAAGTGATTCACTCCTGGTACACTTACGCCAATTGTTCTCTTCTGATGTACTTCAGCGTAAGCCGTCGCTTTGGAAATTCTTATCCTGGCCACTTTTCATCGCCGGAATGGAGTGCCCCTACCCGGATTCGCATTCTATGGATGATGGGCGAAAGTTTTGCTGAATCGCTTTGCCGAGTATCTTACATACAAGGCGACATAAGTATGCTTGATGTTGTGTCGTCCTTACAGTGCATTTGGAAAATGAATTCCGGTATGATAGTCAATATTATCGACTATGTGAGCAATAACAAACTAATGTGTTACAATAGACGAGCTGATGGGGGAACCTTTTCACGGTGCAGAGACGTCATGGGACGAGAGAGTAGCAATGCTCGGATCGCATGCGCTGTTCATATCTAAATGAATGCCATTCGCAGATCATGAGTCTCATAGATCAGACTTTAATACCAGACCATCATACATGGCAGATTGTATCAATCAGCAAACAGCCCCTGTTGCCACCAATCACGATGCGCTTTTTTCCAGGGATTCGAAAATATCGTATACAGCCTGGTACCATTAAACACGAGTATCACTCGGTCGCTACTCTTATATTGAGAGAGTAGCATAAGGACTGCCGTATTCCGGCATTATGGATCCCTCCGAACTGATCGATAGGCTGCAGTGGAGGACGAAGGCGGAGTTCGTGTTTCGCCATAGCGAATGTTTTTGAAAATGAAAGCATCGATCTCAGGATCATGCTTAGTTGTTGTTGGACATACCGTAGCCGAGATCAACAGTGGGAAGAGAGCTTGCGGAGATGCATAACGAAAATGATATTGATTGAAAGAGTTGGAAACCTTGATTATGGAAAGAAACATTTTTCATTCGAATAATGTACTAATACAATGGAGTTAAAGAGGCAGGAAACTAATACCTTACTCAATGAACAGGGCATCTGGAAGATTTTAGACTTATCCGAACAGGACTACCTCATATATCAAATAATAAATATATATAAGATATTGCCCTATATGTAGCGCACGCCCATGAGATATACCTAACATCTCTCCGAGAAGATACTACGTTGTGTAGATGGGTCTATGTAGAGCCTTAGGGTATTATCTGCAGAATCAGAGTCTGGTAAAAAGGACGAAAAATAAGCATTCAACCCAAGCCGTTTGTTATATAAATGCATGGAAATGCCTCTTATTGGGATAGTATAGTTACTCTATACCCCCACAGCATAAAAAGCCAAGCCGATCCACAAACTAATAAAGGAGCAGAGGCAGTGTGATCTACAAATCCTTGCCTGCATCTATCCAGATCAGGGTACATTCAGTCATCTGGTGAAAAGTAAAAGCTGAATCGCGGAGCTGGTTGATATGAGTTTTTTTTGGTCTGCGATGGCGGTTGGTCGGGTGCATTAGGGCTACTAGTTTCTACACAGCAAAGGCCATTTTTAAACACACTAACCATATCAGGTCATTTTCAAGCATATGAGAATCTGACCCCAGTATGTTCTCTCCTTTAGCAAGATAGAATGGTCCGTCAAAACAAACTGCAACTCCGGTTGACCAATAATTGTGGCGGTTGACGATGGCCTCGCCTCAGCTCAGTATTGTCTAAACTACATACGAAAGAGAGCGAGAGTCGGCTTAACCGTGAATGTATAAAGGCCGCCATTGATAGCCTTGCATGAAAGAAATGCCTAAACCCTTCTTAATATCTCGCTCATGCGTATCATCCAACCATTGTCACCCCAATGGACAGCCACCGCGAGCTGCATCTCTACTACCGCGACGGCCACTCCCGCCTCAACGTCACAGACTCAGACAAGCAAACCAAACCGTCCTTTATACGGTCCATCGCGCCTCTTCCAAACCCCATCTGACAATCTTCCGAGCGCCCACTCCCCACGCTGGCGGCTTCATCATTGGCAAGGTCTCCCCTCACACCTTCTCTTCCGCCATCGACCTCGACATACCAGGACCGCCACTTGTGATGCAGAAGCCGAGCAAGCTGACAAGCAATTACGAGGTTTACGGCAACAACATAAACTGGCGATGGGAGCGAGATGGGGCGCTGACAAGCAACATCCGACTCGTGGACCGCATGGGCGGTGGGGTGCTGGCGAGGTTTGAAAATGCGACCTTCTCTGTTACGAAGCAAGGCACGTTGACCCTTTCAGGGACGCCGATGTGGGACATGCTAGATGCGATTATTATCACGGGACTGGCCAAGATCGAGCACCAGAAGGAGAGTTCTGCGCAGTCCAGTGTTGCGGCCGCCTCTCCAGGCCACTAGGGACGCTGTCGACTGTTGAGTAGAGAGCGCAATTCTGTGAAATAATACATCATTCAGCGTACTATCCAAACACTATAACACCCTGAATTTAAGAAAAATACCCCTGTAAGTGTAAGTTTTGTAGGTTTAATATGTACATAATATCATAAAGCTGATTGGTCCAAACAGACACGGAAGCTAATCCCGAAATACAAAAATTATATCTTGAATTATCCAATCAGCATCCGTACCATAAAATCCAATTTCCAATCAAAAAGCAGCACCGGGAAAAATGGGAAAACAGAAAAAAAGAAAAAATAATGTTAGCATGTCCTGGTTTCGATCCAGGGACATCCAGGTTATGAGCCTGGCGATCTTCCTCTGATCTAACATGCTGTGGGAGAAGAACGCCAGAATTTGCTGTGATATCCTCGCTTTTTAAAATGAATGAATATATACAACACCAAAACACTTAATTAATCTTCTCCATTTCTCAATGTCGACCCAACCACCTCGTCTTGACTTATACTAAGCACCTTGAACAGTACATTTAAATGATGAGAATAAGAATTAAGGCATTGATATAAGTCGCTAAATGAATTAGACGATGTCTCACAAACGCAGTCATGCAGAGGAGGTGGAAGATGAAGTTTTATTATTGGCAAAACGGTCTAGAGCTTCGACATCACCGGTCCTATCAGGGATAGAGAAGAAATGTGTTCCACGATCTTGTTCTAAGAAGGATAGCCATGACAATGGACATGACAACGAGAACGACAAAGAGCAAGAAGACGAAGATTATACATCTTCCTCCGGCACATCCTCCTCCTCCTCCGAGGAAGACGAGTCCGAAGACGAAGAAGAAAAAAATCACAACGATACCAACAAAGAAAACATATCCTATATCCCAGGCCGGCCCAAACCCCAAATCATGCGACCGCCATCCCTACTACAAAATTCAGATCTATTATCCAGAATATCATCCTTTTTACCGCAACTACAGGCTGCAAACGCGGATATTGAGCAGAGACTTGCCAGTGGAGAGACGCTGGATGATATGATTCTTGACAATGTCAAGGATGATGAGGATGGTGGAGGGAGAGAGTATATTGAGATGGTAAGTCACGGTCTTTCCCTATACATGGATATCATTGAATGTTAACGATGGTTATAGAATTTGGGATTGGGTGTGCTCAAGGAAAAGAGGAAGAAACGGCGGGTTAGTATCGATTTAGGTGGTGAAAGTACATCAGACAGTAGCGCTGGTGAAGAGGAGGAATCGTCGAAAGAAGACGGAGAGGGAGATGGTGAAGGACATGTTTTGAATAGGCTGATGGGCTTGAAGAGTCGATCTCGACAGAATCCGAAGAGGAAAGCCGGTATTCAGGAGGTTGACGAGGGTTGATTTCACCGGATCACTCACTCTATGTACACTACATGACCATTGGGGGTGAAATGGTGAGCGCAGCAATATCAATGTATAAGATTTTAGCAATCTCCCACATTTAGGTTATGACCTGAAATAATTCTACATATCCATCCAAATCCCGGTATCTATACATTCTCAGATACTGTATCAGACCATACAAACAACACCAACCAAAAAACACAATAGTCTAGATTTCCTTCCCAAACATCATAAAAACAATAAACTGGAACAAAAGTTCGATACAAGAAACCTCATGCTTGAATGCAGATGGAATATAGAAGAATGATTACACTATAATGCCTGTATAGACCTGTCTTGAAGAATATATATTATCATGGCATCGTGATTGCGGTTCCCTTATGAGACTTCCTTGATGCGGCAGGTCCAGCCTGAATCTTGACTCAGTAGTGGCAAGCTGCAGACATGTTAGGAGGATAATCACTAATATAATGGAGAATGGAGACAAACCTTGCACCCAAACACCAACCCAGTTCGTTACCCTTAATCTTCTTTGCGATCTTCACCTCGCGAGATAGAGGCATCTCATAACCAGTGTGAAGAAGACCGAGCATAAAGTTGAGATCCAGACAAGACTCTGGGCGGCCTTCGAGTTCTTCCAGGGCTCCGTCGATACCTTCGAAAATTCCCCAGTTATCCTTTCCAGAGCAGACAATTTCGGTCAAGCGTTGTAGCTCATGGAGGGTGAAAGAATCCGGCATCCCGAGAGGTTTGGTCCTGTCGTAGAAGTAGGAAAAGATATAGACATCCTCCTTGGCAAAAGTCTTTTCGAGAGAAGGTTGATGAACTCCGTTGAAGGAACAAGGAGCCAATTTACAATCAGCTTCCTTGTGCAAGATCTTTTCGGTTAATCCACGGCATTGAGCAGGTGCAGATAATTCCTTGGGTCCGACCATGGTGACCGATATTTCAGGTGCCAAATCGTGTTCCTTCGGGAATGTAAGATTAACCTGTCGTGTCATGCCAGGACCGATACAAGGATTCGGGATTGGTTTGCTCAGCCAGGACTTATCCGTCGGGCTTGCTGCGAGTTTAGCTTCGACGATGGACTTGTGAACCGCGGCACGGGCTTCCATAAGACCGTAACCAAGGTGGGAGTGTTGGTAGAGTTCAAAGTCGCGTCCGCCAAATTGCAGTTCATATTTGTGATCGCCCGGGGCAAGTTTCTCTGGCATACCACCAGCCGGGCTGTCAAAGGTTGGCTGGAAGACAATCTGGGTCGAGCCACCGCCCAAATCAAAGATGGCAGCTGTCGGTGTGTGGTCTGGCCCACCAATCTTACCGAGAAGGTAGTTGGTGGTGATCCAGGCATAAACTCCCTCTTTGCTTCCATCCAAAATCTGTACTCCTCCCTTCTCGTCCGAGACGACCGGGAATGGATAGACGGTCTCCAACCGATGTCTCACTGCTCGTAGGATCTCGTCGCTCAGCTCGTCTCCAAGCAGACGCAAACCTGCTGTCGCTTTAACCGATACTGGCGTGCAGGGCTTGTACTCATCAGGGACACTTTCCATAGCAACATCCATCAGCACATCGAGACTCTTTGCCGCACCTTCGGCGTCTTCCTTATAGGAGCTGAGACCAGATCCACCTTCTCTCGGCTCGGTCATTTTAAAGACCTCATCCTCAAGTTCGGGAGTCGGTCCGCAGTTATTAAAGCGATAAACGTGAATGCGAGATCCGGTACTTCCAGCATCGATCATCAAAACGTATTGCCGTAAAGGCTTGGACGGATCATATGGTTTCGTGCATTTCGTCGTGGAACCTGTCGTATCGGAAACAGCATCTAATCGTATTAGCGACCAATCGACTACTCTTCGTGTCGTGCGTCTTACCCGGAATATTAGGGACAGAATGTCTCGAAGGAACCAAATACAGCAAGAACAAAAACGCCCCAGCAATGATCAAGCTGGCCTTGACGAGTCGTGACCTTTGCGTCATGATTGGTTTCTCTGAACACATTGGCGAAGCCTTGCCGGAGGAATCGCCAGTCGGTGGCACCGAAACAGGAGAAGACCGTTTCCGTGAGTGCGACGAAAAGACAGACGAGTTGTGATTCTGTTGATTGTCGATACTAGTGGACATGCGAGCAGATACCCAGGTGAGCGGCGCCTGCTGCCACAATGACGAACTGTGTGTGTAGAACTCGATCAGAAGGATACCATGGATGGCTGGACTAAACGAGTGGCATCCAAGTCAGACTTGGTTCAGGTTTGGCGATTGATATGAAGAAAGTGGACACGAGGAGGAAAGAAATCCGGATTATTTTTCTTTCGCTGGAGACAAAAGGGGCGGTAGTGTCTAAGATCAGTCTAGGATTCGGAGGAGCGATAGGGCGGGAAGGCTAGAGTGGCGGTTACACTGCGGGCCCAGCCTGAGGCACTCCACCGTTACTGTCACAAATCACATCCGCTTGCAGCTACTCCAGCTTATGATCGGTCAACACAGAACATACTTCTATTAACGTGTTATCGAAGCTCTATTTGCACATTTCGTCAATTAACTTGTTGACGGCAAGACGACTGGGGCTTTACATGCAGTATCAAATATGAGTTCCCTCCGGGGCATTGCTTCGACATCTCTTCTCCTTCGGCAGGCATTTGCTGCACCACGTTACTTAGCCAAACATGGCCGACTATTACAAACACCATTACCAACACAGTCGATAGGCATAAGTCAGATCCGCACAGTTTACCGCCCAGCTGGCGCCACCCCGAGCCCCATCGAGGCAAAACAAGCTGCAAAGGCACCGCAACGATATTCTCGACCGATCAACGACGAAATCGAGGCCGACATCATTCAAATCGTGAACCAGGATGGACAACTCGACGTCCCAACACGGAAATCAAACGTGATATTTTCAATGCGACGTAACGAGCAGGTTCTGGTCCAACTTGATCCTGGTGGTCCTGATCGCCCAGCAGTATGCAAAATCATGCCATTGGCCGATTTTCGAGATGAAGAACGAGCAAAGGAGAAGGCTGCAAGATTGGCTAAGCACTCGGCGAAGACATCAACGAAACAGATTGAGTTGAATTGGTCTATTGATCCGCATGATCTTTCTCATCGGTTGAAGAAGCTGTCTGGGTTTATTGAGAAGGGTCGGACGGTGGAGATTATCTTGACAAAGAAACGAGGCAAGCGTATGGCTACGGCAGATGAGATTAAACTGTTGATGGACAAGCTCAGAACTGCCATTGAGGAAGCTAATGCTCATCAAATCAAGCCCATGGATGGGGAGATTGGTAAAACACTTACCATCACTGTGGAGAAGAAAAAATAACTCGTTGACATTGCTGTACTATTACCATTTGTAAATTACTGTATATACCCTTCAAAAGTCGGTTATGAAGCACATTTACCATGGCCTCTATGAGAATTGCTGTAAAAACATCGAATGATCAATTCCGCAAATTCTGCAATTTCATTGGCCTGTCGCGCTGACTAAGCTCTCCTAAAAATTTTGGGCGGAGGCTCGGCATGATAGCCTGAGAAGACGTCGAGCTGTAAAACACCTTCTCTCTCTCTCTCACACATCATTCTTTTTCTATTGTCTTGTTTTTTCTTCCTTTCTTTGTTCATTCCATTCATTGATTGATTGTGAGGCTTAGAGGAATTCACAATGGCCGGTATCTCTAGATCAATCAACCTCCTCTTGAGGAGCAGCAGGTCCTCCTTGTTGCGTCCTCGCGCTGCTAACCCAGTGCACCATGTCCTCTCCGCCGAGCGATATGCAGCTCGTTCTTTTGCGACTGCTTTCGAGCGAACAAAGCCACACGTTAACGTCGGTATGTAGTCTATTTTAATAGATCTGTTAGATAGGTAGCTGACTCTGGCAGGTACTATCGGTCACGTCGATCACGGAAAGGTGCGCATACACGAACCAAAATCTTCTACAATTCATTAACATCCATCGTCTAGACTACATTGACCGCCGCTATCACTAAGCGCCAGGCTGAAAAAGGCCTTGCTAATTTCCTCGAATATGGTGCTATTGATAAAGCTCCCGAAGAGCGAAAGCGTGGTATCACCATTTCCACTGCTCACATCGAGTACTCAACCGACAACCGCCACTATGCCCACGTCGACTGCCCTGGTCACGCCGATTATATTAAGAACATGATTACTGGTGCCGCAAACATGGACGGTGCTGTGGTTGTCGTCGCTGCTTCTGATGGTCAAATGTATGATTTCCATTCCGGCGGTAGGTCTCGGTATGACTGTATACTAACGACGAGACAGGCCCCAGACTCGTGAGCACTTACTTCTCGCCCGTCAAGTCGGTGTCCAAAAGATCGTCGTCTTCGTCAACAAGGTCGATGCCGTCGAGGACCCTGAGATGTTGGAACTTGTCGAATTGGAAATGCGTGAACTTTTGAACACCTATGGATTCGAGGGTGAAGAGACTCCTATTATCTTTGGTTCCGCTCTTTGCGCTTTGGAAGGCCGCAGGCCCGAGATTGGCGAATCAAAGATTGATGAACTCATGAACGCTATTGATACCTGGATCCCCACCCCTCAGCGCGACCTCGACAAGCCGTTCTTGATGTCCGTCGAGGAAGTTTTCTCCATTTCTGGTCGTGGTACCGTCGCCTCTGGTCGTGTTGAGCGTGGTGTCTTGCGCAAGGATTCTGAGGTTGAGATTATTGGATACCAGAAGGACCCTATCAAGACCAAGGTCACCGATATCGAGACCTTCAAGAAGTCCTGTGACGAATCCCGCGCTGGTGACAACTCTGGCTTACTTCTCCGCGGTATCAAGCGTGAGGATATCCGTCGTGGCATGGTTATCGCTGCTCCCGGAAGCACTAAGGCTCACGACAACTTCTTGGTTTCCATGTATGTCTTGACTGAGGCTGAAGGTGGTCGTCGTACCGGATTCGGTGCCAACTACCGTCCACAAGCTTTCATCCGTACTGCCGGTATGTCTACTTTCCTGAATTTTGTATGAAAATCTACTGATGATCTATAGATGAGGCTGCTTCTCTCAGTTTCCCCGGTGAAGACCAGTCCAAGCAGGTCATGCCCGGTGACAACGTCGAGATGGTCTTGAAGACACACCGTCCCGTTGCTGCCGAAGCCGGTCAGCGATTCAACATTCGTGAGGGTGGTCGTACCGTTGCCACTGGTCTTATCACCCGCGTCCTTGAACAGAAGGCTTAAACTTAGGTCTTTGACCAACCCAAAACGAGAATAACCGATGTACGATGATGGAGCGTGTATTCTAACTTCTTCCTTTTTAAAGCAAAGCGCCGATATCAATCAATCTGTCTGGATCCGGGAAAGAAATGGGAATGAATCAAAGAGCAGAGTCAAAAGAACAAACGAGTTTACCATAAATTAGAGCAGGTGCTACCAAGGAGGAGTTTGCTTGTTGTCCTTTTGTCTCTAAAAAATCTTTTGAGTGGTCCGTGGTTTGTCTATTTGTCTGTCTATATTATATGTGGTGATATTTCATTTTTCGGAATTTTGTATTAAGTCTCCTCTTTTTTTATGACAAGATTGCTCTCCACTTTATCCGAGATTAAGCAGATTGATTTAATTGGCTTTATTCGTGGTTGATGGTTACATGCGTGTTCACACGCTGTACTCTTAAGGGGGATCTCTTCTATATCCACCATCAAAACAGCCTTGAGACTAGTGGATTAAAAGAAACCCAGGCACGACTGAATGTAGGAAGATAAACACCACCGGAATGGCTACGGCCAAAACACCACACAAACCAACGGCGATAAACCCTACCCATTCAACATACGCCGCAACCACCAAGCCACTGGATAGGCAAGCACTCAGTAGCAATACATACATGCCGTTTGACTGTGCGGCGGAAAGAGATGGGTATCCATCCAGCCAGAACGAGCACGCCAGCGTGATCATGTAGAGCAGCAAGCTTATGGCGAGGAATTCGCGAACAGTCGATAACGAGAAATAATGCGTTCGAGAGATTGACTCTGGATCCCGAGGTAATGAAATTCGTTTCGGTCTGCGATTTGTTTTCGCCTCCGTTAAGATCGCTTGTAAGCGACATGACGGCGATCAAAAATTGACTCGTGAGAGAACTATCTCAGACTGGGTAGCTATGTAAGTTGAACTGTTTTTTTCTATGAGCTAAAAAAGCCTGGTTGATTGACTTCAAATACCACATAGTTGAAAAGGGCTTTTGGCTATCCTTCATTCACCACTAAGAGCATATCTGTGCTTCAAAGTGCATATATATCGCTGTATACTGTCAAATCTAAAAAAAAAAAGGTCTGTTTGGGCCAGCAAATATGGCTACTCTGATCGGGCTCATATAGTGCTGTAAGCGCCCACCACATAACTACGCATATGTAACCCCTACCTGGTGGGCGCATCGGCGCTTGGCTGGTGTTTAGAATATGAGCTGCGCTCTTTAAATAGCCGATATCCTGGGTTCTACTATCGTTTTTATTTTGTCAGTCTTCCAACATGCGTATTCATGGGATTTGGATCTGCTTGTCAACGTAGATACGACATGTCATCAGCAATATCCACAACATGCTACTACCGCAATGGAACGGTCGCAACGAACGACATACCATGCCCTGGATCAAAAATGTGTTGCCCTAGCAGTGACTCTTGCATGGACAATGGTCTATGTCGCGACAAAATTAATCATTCAAATGGGTCGACGACAACGTTCCCGGATGGTCACACCTATAACTACACCGGTCTTTACTATACGCCGTCCTGTCAGGATGTGACCTATAATGGCTGCTTAATAGACTGCACTACTTGTACGCACTATCCTCTCTATTTAGTTAACCTCGAATTAGTTTTTCTGGTTTGGGAGAACTACAGATACAGAACTTATAGATTCCTCCAACCGTGGCGAATATATATGGGCTTGCAATGATGCATTGACGAGTTATTGTTGCCATCTGGATTCAGACTCCTTAGGCCAGGGGGACTGCTGCGCTCATGGCACTTTTTCTTTATCATCCCCTCAGGTGCTGGGCCAAACAGCGAGCACCACCGCTAATCCTACCTCTACCATTTCTACACGGACAGCCGGCACTACAACTTCGCAACTAGCAAGCCCTACGGTAACAAATTCGATCACCAATACTCTTTCTCCCCGTGCAAAGGCAGGAATTGGGGTTGGTGTGGCGGCTGGTATGATAATAGTCAGCGTGTTAGCTGCGCTATGGTATCGGGCGTATCGGCATGCTCGTTCTCAGGGTGCAAGCCAAGTGGGAGAAAGAGGAACAAGCGAGTTATATGTAAAACCGGAGCTTGACTCCATGCAAATTCTGCCGAAGAATAGGGAATCACCAATGATGGAACTTGAGGCACCAACGCAACGAAGATCAGATCCTGCAGAACTGCCAGTCGGTTGAAAGTTCTGTTCCGGAGAGTGATTTGCTGCTTGCATATACTTGATCTTTTATGTAGGGAATGATCATGTCTGCCAACGCTAAAATGAGCACATCTGAGCCCTACGCTGGGATGAGGATAAAGCAGCGACACTAAACGTCGCGTCCCACCTATCATTTGACTAAACATTAGTTCTGGTCATAAAAGATTCTAGAAGTGACGTATGTGCTCTGATAACCTCAATAATCCCATTTCCTCCCCACTAGGGAATCCTCCACCACGATACAAACTCTACTACTATTATAAGAATCATATAAAATGACGGACAACATCCCTAAACCAGCAGTAACCGGTACCTGCCACTGCGGCAAAATCAAATACAAAAACAGCAAACCCTCCTACAGAATGACATACTGCTACTGCTCTACCTGCCGTCCTCTCCACGGCGCACCATTCGCCGCATTCACAAACGTCAATCGCGAGGATCTAGAATGGTTCAAGCGTCTCCCATCTTCTGAAGGAGGTGAATATACCGAACTCGACCATACCAAAGGAGTAATCAAGGAATTAAGACTAAGCAAAGCAGCAACAAGAACGTTTTGCGCAGACTGTAGGTCGCCGTTGACCATGGTTTATCATGCTGTTCCTGATGAGATTGGGTTGGTTGCGGCGACGATTGATGAGGGATTATCTTCTGCACCTGTACCCAAAGTGGAACAGCATATTTTTGTTGGACAGAAGCCGAGTTGGTATGGGATACAGGATGATGGGAAGGTTAGGTATGACGGGCCGACGGAGTTGTTACGGGAATGGATGGATTATAGGAAAGATTGATTTTTTTTTTGCTGTATCTAACGTTTGTGGATTGGACAGTGGATGTTAGGGGTTGAGTCCGGTCTAATCTGGCATATCCATCTATACAATGCTTTAACACTGGTCGTTCCCTCGAGTAGTCCCTTCTAAGACCTCGGACGAATGCGAGGATAATCTCCCAAGTCTTATACAGCATCGGCATCAGAGAGACATTACCATCCTACAAAGCTTCAAACAATTCCAATCATTCTTTGAATCTCAAAAAATAAAAATAAAAATAGGACTGTATCATACTATTTTCATCAAGAAATCGGCCGTTGATCGCCAACTAACGATTCGGCTCATGTACTCCGAAGACTTCAATCCATATGCTATAATCTCGATACGAACTCTACAACAAACGTCTTGATCAAATCTATCCACTAAATTGACTAGGTTCTTATTCTTCCGTAGCCTGATTGTACAAACGTGAAATAGCACACTGAGCTTAATGAAGTTGATGTATCATATTTGCTACGGAATTGGAGAACGGACTTTTGACCATCAGATGGGGTACTCGTTCGTTTGAGGAGTAGGCCGATTATCAAGACTCCAGGAAACGTGCAGCAAAATGAGTGGCAAAAATACTTCATGTACAATATTCTGCCAGCTTACTTACGTACCTACCTGGGTAGATGATGAACAGAATAGACCCTCACAACATACTCCTGGTATGCCTATTGATCCTTACTACAAGAACCTCAATTTCACCCTCCAACTCATCGGTCTCAACCTTGGAAGAAAACCGTAAATCATTCCCAACCCACCCAGGAATACGGATCTATTGATTCCATGATTCCATCTAGGAAATTGTGCATGCATATCAATCACCTCAATAGAATTTTCTCCAGTACAGTCAAAAAAGTAACTCCGGTCACATCGTACAACATAAACATCGACCCCCGACAATCCCATCATTCTCAATCTACCTGGGAGTGCCAATATTGAAGTAGGATGGTAAAAGATTCACCATATATCCAGTTCCTCTTTATTCCCATTGAGCCATCATTCATTCCACTCCTGGATTCTTACAAGGTCACTCTTTAAAATATATGAACACTCTTTTCCCTTAATCATTGCCAGTTCTACTTTGATTTCTGCTTGTGTTAACCCTCTATACTAATCTTTCTAGTACGCTCCTTATTTGAAGCATAATAGGGAAAGAAGATGAAGTCTGCATCTATCCTCCCTTTTCTGTGCGTTTTGGCTGCTGCGGCACCTGCGTTTAGTGTAAGTCATCTTTTTCCGGGGCTGTATGGGAATGGATAGCTGATGAGGTAAAGATTCCTGGAAGAGAAGTCGATGTTCATCGACGACAGAGTACTGATGATGATGGGCTGGGTGATCTTCTCGGTGGAGTGAGAGCGCGTCAATCTTCTGACGATGACGATGATGATGATGGGCTTGGGGGCCTTCTCGGTGGATTGAGAGCTCGCCAATCTTCTGACGACGACGACGCTGGTCTGGACGATGTCCTCGGCGGCTTAAAAAGACGCCAATCATCCAACACCCCCAACGACTTCGGCAATGTCCTCAGCGACCTCCCAACTCGCCAAAACTCCGATTCTGACAACAACTCCAACGACGACTCCCTCGGCAACATCCTCGACGACTCTTCTCTTTCAGTCGACGGAAACGGACAAAACGTCGACATCGCAGATCTGGGTAGCCTTCTACGCCGTCAACTCCTCCCAGCACCAAGCACAAGCTCTACCTCCGGTAACAACGACAACTCAGACCAACTCGCTAACGTTCTTGACGGCTCAGCAGCAGACATAAACCGAAACGCGCAAAACGTTTCCGTCGCAAGACGACAATTCCCTTCCAAATCTGAGAATGGGAACGGAAACGGGGATGATAATGAAAGTCTTTTGAATGTTCTTGACGGTGATACCGGCGACGTAAATCGTAATATTCAGAACATTACCGTCCTGCGTCGTACGTCGTCGAAACAATCCGTGGGGAAAAGGGGGTGGTTATCCGCTCTCTTAGGGCGGGATACTCCTTCTACCACGAATAACGGTAACGGCAACGGGGACAATGACGAGTCTCTGGCCAATGTACTTGATGGCTCCGCTGCTGCGGTTGATGATAATGTGCAGGGCGTCAGCGTCTTGCGTAGACAAGCCTCCTCATCCTCTGCAACACCATCACCGACTCCATCTGCTTCCGCAGCACCTATAGTCCAAGACCCAACACTCAACGCGGCCAACGACAACGACAACAACAACGCCTCAAACAACGACGCCCTCCTAAACGCAGCCGACGACTCATCGGCGGACGTGAGTAAAAACCTGCAAAACATCACCATCCTGAAACATCGCCGACAGAATGCCGGGGACAAGAACGGGGATGTGGATGATGACGATACGCTGGGTAATATAGTTGATGGCTCTGCTGTGAAGGCTGATGGAAATGCAGAGGGAGTTGATGTTGGTGATATCCTGTAACCTCCTTATTTCTCCAGACTCGGAAGACGGGGTGGAGGGGGATGGTGGTGGTAGTGAAGTAATTCGATTTAATACCTGTACTATCTAGTAACTTTATATAGTCAATGATTCTTCCTTATTAATAGAATTTGTAATATCTTACCTGCCATCCATGCTAGAGTAGGAGACATATCAGAACATGTTATAATACATTATTCTATTGTCTCTGCTAACAGTCAAAAGTATGTAGTACACAGTACATTGAAATGAAACGGGCAACTCAAAACAGACAGACGTAAGAACAACAAAGGAAACAAGTCTATGCTTTTCTAACACTGCAAAGAAAAGAAAAGAAAATTACTCTCGAGAAACGTCACGACCAAAAACTTTGGCCTTAATCCAGTCCGTAGCAACGAGAATACGGTTTCGCGCTGTATCAATCCATCAGCTCATCCACTCCAACAGAAGAAAAGGGGAAGGGAGACAAACCGCTAAAGACCATACTCAAATACGCACTCCTCCAAAACAAATATGTCATCGTACCACCACTAGCAATATTCCCACTCACCCAACTAATATCGGCAACCGCTCTCTCCTTACCAATATACGCCAAACTTCCCTGATGCGAGTACTGGAAGGGACCGATCTGTTTCGTGCGGCGCAGTTGACGTTGTCGTTCCTTGATTTCGTCAAAGATTTTGTTGCGCGATTCTTCGTCCTTGGCTTCCTGTTGTGCGACGCTAAGACGTTTGAGCTCCTCTTCGAGGGATTCGGTTTTGGCCATTGTATTGAATAACCGAGCTAAAAAGGCGCCTTCCTGACTTGCAACTTGTGCCGTGGGGGCGTAGTTCGTAATTGCGCAGTCGCCGACGGCCCAGATATTTTCTGTTCCGTTCACGACTAGATATTCATTAACGGCGAGACCGCGACGGGAGTTCTGTTGTGCGGAGATTTGGCCCATGAGATCCTTGACAACGGGGCGGACGGCGTTACCGGTTGCCCAGACCAAGAGCCCGTAAGGAATCTTTTCGAGTTCTTTGCTTCCATCCGGTTTGGTGATTTCTGCTTCGATGTATTTGTCTGTTACTTTTTTGACCATTGTTTTTGTGCGGATGGTGATTTTTTCTTCTTTGAAGCTGGATTCGGTGTATTCGATGAGTTGTTTGGAGAACATGGGGAGAATCTATTCATCAGCCTGAATTAGTCCAAGTCCTTCAGAGAAAGAAGAAAAGGGGAATACATTTGGCAAAGCCTCAACCAAGGTAACATGGAAATTATCCTGAATACCAGGAATCCACTTCCTCAAATCCTCTTCAAAGAAATCCTGCAATTCGCCCGCGAATTCAACACCGGTAGGACCACCGCCGACAACAACCATGTGCAAAAGACGTTTGACTTCTTCCTCGGTCTGATCCTTGAAAGAAGCAGTCTCGACGCAGTCCATGATCCGTTTACGAATTTTCTGCGCATCCCCGACTTCCTTCAAAAAGCAGGAATGTTCGCGGACACCGGGGATACCTACACCATCAGTCTCTTATCTCTTCATCAGGGAGAAAACAGGCGAGGGATTACCAAAAGTAGCATTCTCAGCACCAACACCAACAACCAACATATCAAACGGAACAACCGTATGCGACACATCACCTTTAATCTCCGAATCATCACTGATATAGACAAGGCGATTCTCGTAATCAATCTTTGTAGCTTCAGCCTCGTAATACTTCACAGTGGCCTTTTTGTGGCGCAGGATATTCCGAATGGGTTCCATGATGGAGCGATGCTCAATCAGTCCCGTGGTACACGAGGGGAGTAAAGGGGTGAAGAGGAAGAAATTCCGAGGTGAGATGACGACGACATTGTAGTTTTCGGTATCGAGCTTTTTGAGAAGACTGACGGAGCCCCAGCCGGTTCCTGCTTCCATTAATATTTTGAATTGGTAACAATGAGACGAAAGGAGACAAACCGAGAATCACCAACGTCTTCTTGGACGGATCAGGCTCAATTTGTTCGGCAGGATGACGCAGAAGATAGATACGATAACCCAAGTATCCAGTCATACCCAAACCAGCCAGCCAAGTCAGACGCCATGTCCATCGCAAGACCCTAAATCGTTTCTTTTTGGGTGGTTGTGCGGCAGCTTCAGACGCGTAGGCGCGACGAGCACTGAATTGTTTGGATAGCTGTGATGGTTTCGTCAAGGTCAATGGTCGCGACGACAAAGGTGTGGTAGCTCGCGACAAAGCTCGGAATTGAGCTGTTGATGAGACAGCTGCAATTCGTTGACGGACCAACATCATTGATTGTGTTGATGACTACTGAGTCCAGTTCAATCAATGTCTTGGTGATGACTTGTAGTCAGATATGGAGTCAGATAGAGGTAAAAAGCGGAAGGCGGGTCCAAAAAAATTACAGACCGTCCTAGTTCTCAATTGGGTAATCCGGTGTACTTTCTATCTCTTCAGTTATCTCCAACAATAATTCCTTTTTTTTTTTTTCTTTCAGATTATTAAGACTATATTCAGACCTCCATGTACCCGAGAGAACACGGAAAAGACAATCCCACTCACACATACCTCGATCATCTCGACAAGAGTCTAGAGAACTATTCCCCGGACGTTCCCGACCTGACCCCAGCTACATACCGAATACTCAAAACTCAAATCAACTCAACAATCTAGATCCATCAGTCTCTTTCTCATTAAACCAATGGAGTAAAATACCCCATGCAGATATATGAAGGTGTGTCCATTCACCCAGGCGTCTAACCTGAATAAGTGACGCATGTGATAATCAGTCTGGACGAATGGAGGGTAGGCCAGATGTAGTTACTCAACATTTATTAGTCTAACTACGACTATCTCACGTTGAAAGGTTCGTGTTTGAAAATAATCAGATTCCATATCACATTGATATTCGAATCTCCACATGAGAAAACGCCATGTAATGCTAACACTCCCTTCCCACATACATGTATGCCAATAAAGAAAATGCAAAGCATGATTGCTTGCTCTCTCGACAATAAAATAAAAACAGTCAGCCTCCTCCCATAGTTTTTGTCTAAGTGACGCCATATGATATCCATGCAGAAGAGAAGTGATGAAGATTAGAAAAAGTTTTCGTCGTAGTGATCATAGAAAAAAAAAACCGGCACGTTCATAAGCCAGGAACAAAATAATGTGTACAGAGGTTTGAAAGGAGGAACCACTACCACTAGTATTGGCCGGGGAGGAAGTTCGGTTGTTGGGGAATAACTCCCTGCGGTAAGCCATCAGGATGGAGATAGGGAAGTACACCGGTTCGGCGTTCGGTGAAGCTCTTGCCTAATGGTTGATAATGCATTTGATCCATTGACAAGTGACGCGGTTGATGCAGGGATGCAGAGGGAGGCGGAATGAGGAGTGTGTTGACGGCGCGTACGGGTCGGTAGGGTGAATTGCGGTTGACAAGGAAAAAAGATGGAGAGAGGTGGGTTTGAGGCGTGTGCACGTGGAACGCAGAGGATGGTGAGACTGCGTCTGACGATACTGTGGCGGAATATGGACTTTGTCGTCGACTGGGATCGGGGAGGGATACGGTCGATGGGTTGTATAGTGCCATTGGGTTTTGGTTCTGCACCGCCGGAACTGGGGTAACCGTTGATGGAATCGGTTGAGACCATGACGATGGTGGATAAACAGTAGTCATCGCGCGAACGTGCGGTAATGGAAGTTGTTGGGGTAGAGTAGAAGCAGGTAATGTAGGAGGTACAAGACCGTTCGAAACTGGCTGGTAAGTGGTAGGTTGACTCAGACGGGGAACAGGCATCGCCAACGACGGCACCGACATGGGCATGCTGTTAAGAACCGGTGGTAGCACTGGAACTGATGGAACCGTAGTAGCCGTAGAAACTGGCATAGGCATGGGAGCCGAGTAGTTGGATACTGCCATTCGTTTGCTTGGATTCTCCTCCACGTCGTCTTCCCAGCTACGTTTGCGTGAATACGGCGGGAACTCAAAGTTGGGAATAGCGTGCGGCGAGGAATTCAGTCTATATGGAGCTGAAGCTGCAGGAGCGCTGGCCGGATTCCATCGTGGCATAGACTGTAATTGAGTCTGCGGTTGTAGAGGATTCGTCGTAGAAGGCGGAGACGGTAATTTCGACGCTGGTGAGACAGGAAGATTATATCGTCTTGCATCTGCTGTCGGCGAGATTTGAACCGGCGTCGTAGGGGCAAACTCGTTCTCCGGCGGCATGCATGAAGCTCTTTCAAAGAAATCGGCGAAACGACCAAGCCTGGAATGCCACTGCGTCCATTCTTCTTTAGACACAAAGAGGTTGTACCGAACGTTGCTGAGGAATTCGACTTCCATGATGTGGATTTCTTGTACGGTGATTCCCGAGACTTCGGCCCATGTTTTGTTCGTATACGTATTATCGTCGAGGACTTGACTCGTTAGCAGATTCTCTCCAAGCATTAGAGAGGTGGAACGTACATTTATTGCCCATCATCAGCGCAATCGTCATCAACCGAAACTCACTCCCCTTCTTCCCCCTAACGCCAGGATTGAAGTTTTTCAAACGGTAGATGAACAGCAGAGCAAGCAAAATCACATTCTGACTGACTTGCGTAGTCGACAAGACACTCGACACCCATTTCTGGAATCCAACTGTGGGGAAAGCTTCCGGAACGAGTGCGTATTTCTGTGGTGTACCATCCTCGATCGATTTTAGTTTCGACGTCTTTTCGAACCAGAACAGACATGCAATCTATAAAGTCAGCTGAATTCTCTCACTCTTTGTGTGTTGTGAGATACGTACTTGAGCGGCAAATTCGGCTAAATTACCGCCGGTCTTCCTAATCGACGACGGAATCTGCGAATACGACGGCAAAGATTCCTTTTCACTTCTCTTCTGGCTTTTTGTATCTGCACTCTCCTCGGCTTGCTTGTTCAAAGGAGGGAGGTAATTCGCCGCCGCGTTCGAGACGGTATTCGCGAGGGGGACACGATTCGAGGAAGTCTTGGCCGCGTACTGGTGACTGCTGTATTGCTTCGGAGCATAGGACGGATGAGCATTATATGCCACGCCGTTCATGTCGGCGGGAGGCGTGGGCAAGCCGTCTCTCAAGGGGCCAGACCAATTCGGCAGCCCCGATGAGATTGGATTCAAGGTGAGCTTGCTGAGGGACGACAGCGGCGAGTACGGGTGATATGAATGGGATCGGTTAGGAGGGAACGGCAGCAGCGCAAAGGACGGATACGAGGTGAGTGCGGGAGACATGGATGTTCCTGGAGGGAAGGAACTGGGACTGGTGGTAGAGGAGGTTCATGAGTCAATCTGAATAGTTGGATAGTTGTCGTAATTTGACAGCTGAAATAGATGACGACCCTTTTCTTAAGCTGGTGGTTATTGAGAAGAAGTAGTCAATCAAGAATCAGTGCAAGGCGTGTGTGTGGATGCATTCAACCCTGGCATATGGAATGGAGGCAATGAAGGGGGAAAGCCAATGCACAGCAACAGCCGCCCATGTTACGAATGCAACTATCTCAATCCATCTATCTTGACTGATTGATTGGCAGGTTGATCGGTAGTTTTGCTTCTGGCTGTTCGGTAGTCAGGTTGCTGAAGTGGTTGTGGTTGCACTGTCAGGATTCAAGAGGATCAGTCTCGTTTCCTGCAGACCACAATCTAAAGAACGACTGGCAGCAGAAAATCAAAATTGAGGATGAGAAGAATACAAAAAGTGAAGATGAAAAGGAAAAGTACGGCAAGTGAGAAATGATTACCTCATTGATGGTATTCCCAGGTAGGAACTACTCCGGCTGTATTACTTACTGTATTGTTGTATTGTATTGTATTGTATTGTATTGTATTGTATTGTACATACACATCCCTGGACTTACTATGTAGTTGACTACCCTGCAGCAGTTGCCAGTGAGAAAAGAATGAAAGAAAAAAAAAAAAGGGGGGGGGGAAGAAAAGAAAGTGAGGTGTCAATGGTGCAGCTTAGACAGCGGACACAATGCCATCTTATGAGTTAGGACTCCTCTCCGTGTTCCATGTTGGATATACTCGAAAGTAATAACACTAAAAAGTACGTATCGTATTATCGAGAGATGGTGGAAGTCAAATCAGGTCCACAGACAATACAATACGACAGCCACCATAATCAGTGTTTGATGTGGATACGCTGAATTTCTTTTGCTTTGCTCAATAATTTCTGCTACGTCGTATGTAACAGTAAATAAATAGTTGAATTAATAAATTGATTTTAGAAGACCGACTGTCTTTGTCTGCGACGAAACTGCGTCCGCTGACTAGCTGACTTTTTGCCAAAATGACAAACCCTGTAACAATACACGGGACAACTGACGTTGATTGGTGGTGACACTATGGTGATACCGTATTGATAGTCTCAGAAATTCAGAATAACCGAGGAACAATAAATTACAGGCCTCTGATTGGCTGCCGGTTGAAGAAAGGGGGATGGCTCAGCCAATGAGAATTCCCGCAGCCTGTGCCTAGTCTCAAAGCGGTTATATTGATCCCAGCATCCTGATCCGGGCTAGAGTGGTACATACTTCTGCTTCAATCGAATCGATCACTCAACAATGCGAGCATTCACGATCCTATTGCAATCAGCACTCCGTATTCTGGCCTCTAGGCTCAGAGGGACGGCCTGTTCCACCTGACCAGGCTGAGACTGACTGTCGCTCACATGGAAAACGCCGACGGACTGGTCAATTATGTCCACTCCAACCACCAAGTCAAAAGACATCTGACTGAGTCTAGGCGCACAACTCGCCACGAGCATACGTTTCGTTTCGGCCGGCACTGCCAAAGAACTGCAGAGTAATGGATTTGCCTAAAACAAACAAGTCGTCATCTGTCTTGAAAGTCGCCCAAACTCTATGTAATACGGACTGCAAAACCCCGGTCTGGTCCAGTCTGTGCGGTGACTAGTCAAGTGGAAAGCCTTTTAACTGATTCGTAGCGTACATCCTTGAGGCTGTACACCACTAAGAGTGTAAGTAAAGTACGTAGTAAAAGTATTTGAAACTCTGTGATCCAGTCTAACGTCACAGTCATTTCCTTTTCTTACTGAACATGAATATCATACTAGAATGGAAAATGAGCCGACAGTCAAGTCAGCTTGATCGGCTACCGGATTGTACTGTCCAAGGTCAAATCGGTGTGATGCATGCAAGTCAATGCATTCAAGCATTGTAGTATGCTGTTCCTTGGTTTGCCCGGGTTAGTTAGAGACCAGTCGACTCAACCTACCAGAAAACGAGACAAGAGTCGGAATGCGCCGGATATACCTATCTCGACGACGTAGAATGCGATCTGATCCTGCTGAGTGCGTAGTAACAATGGATCCATGGATGTATTGGAAAAAAAAAAAAAAAATGAAATAAACGTCGGTGAATAAATATCCATATGCCTATTGAGCGTATTGTGCTAGCCTTGCTTAGCCCAGTCAGACGCTGAAGATACGGGATAAGTACAAGCCCATTATTTGGCCCCTCGCATGCTCTACTTCAGACACTGCCTGGTCACCTGTCTGTCCGTCCAGTCATCCAAGGATTTTAGATTGCCTCATTCAACATACTTATCTGAAATGCTAGTCGGTTATTCATCGGGCAGATAACTAGTACGTACGTACTTGGCTAAGAAGTAAATGAGGTTGGTTCTCTTATTAGTTTCGTGCTATTTAATCAAGGTCAGGTCTTGGGTGTGTGAGGATGTAACAAGGTCACCTTTCAGCTGAGTGGTTAATCCCAGCAACATTGCAGCCATGTCCCGGCAAGTCATATTGATCAGCTTGGATACATCTTTATGACTTTTCTGGCCTTCTTGACTTTTTTGCCGGCGGAATTTTGTTCTATTGTTTCGCTGTCTACTTTTTTTTCATCCTTTTACTCTTGTTTGAGTCATGTCAGGCTCCGATTGCAAGTTGTATTATCCCTGTACCAGCAAATCTCGCCATCTAACGTTACTAGTCTCACCTCCGCAAATAGTGTGTTATATATATACAAGACGTCTTTCCGTATAAATATAAATGTGTACAGACTTGGGAGTGCTCCAGCTAATTAGAGATTGCCTAGCCTGTATGCACGTGATACTGCTGCTTAGTCAGATGTTCGCAAACCATTGTATTTCGTTATATAAAGGAGAAATAAAGGAGGGATATGCATCTATAGAAAATCAGGGCTTAGATACTAAAACCCTGGAATGGCTCATTTATAAAATTCATATTTACACGACATTTGATGCACTTGCAGACTCTCAGCTATACCAACTGCAACTCCCCCCTCAACGGCAAATCACGACTACTCCATCCAGCCAGAACCATAAACTCCCCCGCTGGAATAACCCATTCCTGCCTCCCCGTATCCCAAGACGATACATCCATGCGTCTCAAATCAAAGCTCATTGTTACTGACTGACTAGTCTGTAAGATTTTGGTTCTGTCGAATCCGCGAAGGACTTTTACTGGCGTCGGTGACGAGGTGTTGGTGCTGTCGGGGAAACCGAGATATATTTGAGGCACGGCACGACCGGGCATGTCACCTGTATTTGAGACTGTGACTTGGACACTGGCTAGGACAGTGTAGAGGTCTGGATTTCCGCCTGGAGGGGGGATAGTTCCATTGAGTGCTTGCGGCGTGGGTGATACGTTTCCATTGCTGGCGGAACGTATCTGCAAGTCGGATATGGAGAAATTGGTATACGAAAGTCCGAAACCAAACTCGTACCGCGGGGTGATGTTGTTATAGTCGAAATGGCGGTAATCAATCAACAATCCCTCAGTGAAATTTGACTGCCACAGGTTCGGGTCATTGTTATCGACGTTCGTGAAATTGACTACGGGGGCGTTGTAGTCGCTCTCGTTATAGGCGATTGTATACGGAAGTTTGCCGGAGGGGTTTACCTGGCCAAAGAGGACGTCGACAATGGCGTTGCCTGCTTGTTCGCCGGGGAGATGCGCGGCGATGATGGCCGTGACATTCTCGTTGTCCGCCCACGGCATGAGGTTTGCGCCGGCGGAGTGCAGAATGACAACGGTATTAGGACATGTGCCGGAGCCAGTGACGAGGTCAACGACAGCAGTCGAGTTATCGTCAGCCAGGAAACTGAGCCGATCCGCACCTTCAGTTGCAAATGATTTGAGGAATACCAGGCAGGCATCGGCAGCTGGATAGACTGTGTACAGCGTCTCGGACGGTTGCTGTGTCAGCAATGCGTTGTCGGTCACGTATTGGATAAGTGCCTGCGGATTATTCTGCTTGATTGCCTCGAGCGGTGCGACCAGGTGGGTGAGTCGACCTGCTCCTGAGCCACCGCCCATAGACAGGACGCCGTTGGTGTTGGATGGATCGTACGGTCCGCCTGATACATCTGCCGCATCGTTTCCAAAGACTGAAATGCGTTTGATATCTTTTGGTAGCGGAAGGGTATTGTTGGTGTTTTTAAGAAGGACTGCACTGGCGCTTCCGATCTCGCGGATTAGATCTTTGTGGTTCCCTCGTACGTCGCGGTTGATATCTGTTGAGTTTCCCAAATTGAACGGATGAGAAAAAGAGGGAATATCACTTCCATACAATTCCTTTGACAGTTGCGCTGTATCAAGATCAATAGTCGGATAATTCTCCTGATCAAAGAAATAATACGGCGTCAAGATCCGTTTCACCATATCATCAAGTCTCGACTCCGCCAGACTTCCGTTCTGAATCATCATGGTAATATTATTCCCAAAATAAGAGTTGTTACCACTATCAGAACCCCATTCAATCGCACCAGGCATATCCATATCCAACCCTGCCAACGCAGAGTCGAGTCCAGAATGCGTCCCACCCCAGTCAGAGACAACATACCCCTGAAATCCCAATTCTTCTTTGAGTATTCCATTGAGCGTCTTGGAATTCTGGCAGGCATATGTTCCGTTGATGCGGTTATAGCTGCACATGACCGATGCCATGCCTGCTTTTACACCTTCGTAAAAGGGCCAGAGGTACAATTCGTGGATTGTGCGGTCGTCAATGTTGGAGGATACGGATTCCTGTTTGGTGGTGCCGTTGGGATATGTTGTTGGGTTGCGTTGGGTTTCTTGTTCGTTGCCAATGTAGTGTTTGCCGCATGCTTGCATACTTTAGCCTTTCAGTTTCAGTTTCATCTGCAGCAGGGCATACTTTGCACTTTTTGTGATTGCATCCCTTTGATTGTCTCGGCGAAAGCAACGCCAGTAAGATATGGATCCGGTGAGTAACCTTCCCAATTCCTGCCCCCGAGAGCAGAGCGACCCAGAGGGCCAGCAACAGGACTACACCATCAGCATTATTCTGTGGTGACAATGTAGAAGAAAGAGAGATACCCCAAAGCAACCTGAGCACCCTTCCCCTTAAATTCAGCCGCCATCTCAACACCACGAACATACGTCAAATCTCGATCCCAAGTCGCCGCCACAGAAACTCCTGCAGGGAAAACGCTGGCATAACTCGCTTGTCGAATAGCCAATGGTCCATCTTGTAGACATAGCCCCTTGAACCCTATACGCGGGATGGCGGCGATGTTTCCTACACATGGACCCGAGACACCGGTTACTAGGAAGGCCTTTTCGGTGAGGTTTAGCTGCGCTATTGCGGCGGAGGCTTTTTGGAATGCTGATTGCCAGTTTCCGGCACCAGTGGCGTTGGCTAGATTGATTAGTTTGACGAAAATTGTAGGGAATGGCAAATGGGCTTACGTGAGGGAAAGACTTTCTCTTCTTGATATTGACCTTGAGTCAACTGTGTCCCCAGGGCAAGTGCCGTAAGGATAGTAGACCGAACCATGATGGTTGAAACTTGAAACCTTTGGAAGTCGGAGGAAGAATTGCGTATCTCCTACCTACCTACACCGGTAGGTAGGTGCTATTTAAGCAAACAGATGCAATGAACATCCCTGATCCCGCCCATTCTGCAGTCAACCCCCAGCGGCTGCAGAAACTACATCATCCTTCAGGTTTCCCCTCTTTTCCAACAACCCAATCATAAACACAAGGTAGAATAAGCATATGATCGGCGAAAGATCTCCACAGCGGCTTGAAAACCGTCAAGCCATGTGAGTTATCCTGTCTCCAACTGCGTAGAGTCTCCAGCTAGATGATTAGCTGAACTTTCACAGTCACATTTGGGTAGTCTACCGGAGTATAACCGCCTACTTCACTAGAAGCAGAAAGGACGAAATGTGTGTTTCGCCAAGCTGGAACATTGGAAGTAATCGGCTTCTACATTACGACGCCGAGTGGTCAATATACAGCCTCCGCATATATCGGAAGCCCTTGTGAGGGAATTGGCATCAAGTAGAGAATGAATTTTGCGGAGAACCCTGCTCTGACTACGCTAATAGATGCAGCTAATTGCATGGCAACGAGGAGATATCGTGGGGCTTGTCTTCCAAGATTGTTATACGGCATTGTCAAATATTTCGGTTGATTACAATGTGGAGAAGGATTTCTGTGTTGAGGTGGAGATACGTATGAGTATCTATACGGAGAAGCTCATCTTGTCCGGGTGTCTTACAAGAATTGTACACAGTGAACATATGTAACGTTGGGCCTTACCTTATGTATACCTATTCTAGATTTACCTCCAATGATACCTGGATCCTTACGTCCGCTTATATGAGCTGTATCAGCTGACGAAGGCGCTAGGACAATTCCCGAGAAGACCTACAGCATAGCCCGACAAACAAGGCAGAGCGAGGAAATCATATTCATACAAAAGAATAAAGGAAAGGAGTATCTCAAACTAACAGACTAGCTATATATAAGGTGTATCACGGATAAAACAAACAAAAATAAAACAAAAGGACTGATGTACCCAAAGGTTAGAATAACCACCCCTTTCGCTCCTTACCATTCGACTCCTTCGACAACGCTTCTCCTCTCCCGGCATTTCTAGACCTGCCTTCCAACTGCCTCAAACTTTCGATTTTCTGTAACGCTAATTCAAGAGTTTCTTTTTTCTTGATCACGTCCAAATGTCTGCGCACACGCGGATCTTCACGCGCGAAACGCTCGACTTCGCTATCAGATAAATGTCGCCCTAATCGTTGATCGAGTTCGCGGGGGAAATTGTAGTAGAATTCTGAGAGGAGTTCGACGTTCAGAAATAAGACTGCAGTTGAGGTGAGTTTATCGGCTACTACGTCGAGGAAGACTTCGGGGCAGTAGTATTTGTTTTTCAGGGTGGAGCATTGCTTTGATCGTACGGCTAGAAGGCGCATTTTGATGATGTCGGCGCGGTCACGGAGGAATATACCTTCTCGGCCTGGAATTGTTAGTAACGAAAAAAAAAAAAAAAAGGGAGAAGGGAAGTGTACCCTTTTCTAATAATGCAGCACTGAATCCGCCTGCGCCACCTGCACCATTACCCTCTAGAACAGCCTCGCCCTTGCGTACTTTGTCCACAAAACTCATGACATCTTTCAACTTTCGCTTGCCGATCTGGTCTTCTACTCGTCTCAGTGCTCCCTCACATGCTGTAAGTTCCTCTTTGAGCACTTTGCTAACGCTCTCGCGCCCTTTGGCCCACTCAGGTTCCTCAACCTCAATCTCGAATTTATACGGTTTGATACAATTTTCGACTTGATCACTTGTGCTGAAAAATCGGTCGTTGAGAATACCATTGCACGCCTCCATAATCGCATTCTGGGCGTATGGGTGCGATGCAAATGTGGACTGCGCAACAAGGCGCTCGACGTGTTGTTGCAAAGCACTAGCCACAACTGTGGTTGCTACTCTTCCGATTCCAAGTTTTGTAAGGTTTGATGTTGAAGCGTCTAGTTTGCGATGCCAGTAGAGGTTCTCCGGATCGGCTTTGGGTAGATCTTTCAAAGGATCTACATCCAACGTCGCCTCTGAAAGATCCTCAATAGGTTTATTCCAGTACCGTTGAGCAAGGATGTCCATAACTCTTTGGTCGAGTTCATGTTTTAACAGCTCTCGCACCTGAGGACGTCCGAAACTTTCTGCAAAAGCCTTGAATGAATGCTTAAAGCTATCCAGGCTTTCTGCTAAATACGACTCTGCACTGAGGGGCCGGTCGTTATATTGGACCTTGAATTCGTAGGTTGCTTCCTCCAATTCTTGGCTGATGGCATCTCTCGTACCAGCGAGACTTCGTGCCATCGTTTGTTCAAGAACGTTCATTAGCTTTTCCCGTAATGTCGGAACACCAACAGACGTCTCTGAGTTAGGTCCGAAATGGCTTGGATGTGCTGAAAAGTATGCTCTTTCATTCTTCACAATAGCATTTGTAATGTTGCCGCTTCCGCGAGAAAATAGTGTAGTGGTCTGGGGAACACGAGATACAACACCAACGTATCCAAGTCGTAGCGGATACTTCTTGTCGGTGAGTATACTAGCACCGCGTTCTGCATCCACCAGGTCCATCTTTGTTATCACTCCAATTGTACGCTCGCCTCTCGGATCAACTCGGCGGCTAGCACGGAGAGCTGTAGAGTTGGCCAAATCGACATCGGCTGCTGAAATAGCAAGAATGATATTAGGCGCTTGAATGTACTTGTCGCAAAGATCGGAGATCTTCTGTTTCAACTCCGGAGGTTGATCGCTACCGGCAACTTGAATATAACCTGGTAAATCGATCATGGAAAGGTCGGGAACGTGTGGTGAATATATATGTAATTGAATGGGGTCGTCGCTAACACAATCCTTGTCGCTGACGGCCAGGTTCAAATCCGTCAACGTCCGTTGAATTTGTGAAAAATCTGTAATCTTCCCTAGCCCCAATGCAGGGAATTCTCCGTACTCTGCTTGCGCATTCGGCGTGTTGACCAATGTAAGCTCTATCGGGCGGCGAGTAACCATATTCGAGCCTTTGGGCAAGAATTCGTGTCCGACAATAGCCTCCAAGACAGAACTCTTGCCAGAGGATTGCGACCCGATAACAACAATCGATGGTAACGTCAACGTATTTGATTGTCCAACTTGGGTCAGAATATTTCTAATCTCAATCATTTTCCGTGTCAAAACCATCATCTGATCGTTATCCGCTTCTCTTCGTGTTTGATAGTCGCCGTCATCCACATTTTCGTAGGCGTAAGCACTTCCCGCTGCTGCTCCTGCAGCAGCAGCGGCGGCTTGATTATCGCTCGGGGATCTCCCTCCACCGTGTCCATCTCCTTGTGACTCCTCATCCAGACGAAGTATCTTTTGCAGCCATTCGGGAAGTTCTGTTTCCTCCTTGACTCGCTGCCAACCTCGTCCAGTCTGAGATGCGACATCCTGTAATCCCTGAAACAAATTCGACGCAGCACCGCCAGCGGTTTCCCATCCTTGATTAAATAGATCGATCGCGTAATTCCCGGCCTCTGCCCCAATCATCAGTATACACTATCCTCAAAAAAGATCCATCACATACGTGTCGCCTGGTATTGCAAATAAGCCACCCCCGCAATCATAGCTCCTCCAAACATCGCCGGAATACGCGCCAATTTAAGGGCCAGTCGCGGAAGTATTCGTGCAAACGAGATATTCCGTACAGCGGGGACGTTGTTGTGAATAGAGCTGGCACCGACTGGCCATGCACGACCTCTGACTGCGACATTATCGACACGCAAAAGACCGCCAGTCCGACTTCTGACCAAGTTGACATGACGAGTCAACAACAAGCCCCTCCGCAGCTGTGGAGCGAGGCGTTGGGAGATAATCCTCCCGCTCATCGTGAACTAATTCTCATGCGTTGTAAATTTGAGTTAGTGAGGTCCGTATCGACATGATGCGAGATGTCAATATGAGTGGCGAGGCTGCCGGTTGGTGATTTAGTTGCATACTCCGTGATTTAGTTGCAGATCCACAGCAGGAAGCTGAAACATGTGACTTGAATATCATCTCACGTGACCTGTCACCAGCCACAATGGCGTCAGTTTCGCAGTTGCCCAGAGCAGTTAGACCGCCTTGCATGTACGACAGCATACATTTTGTTCGACCGCCTCTTTGCCCCTTGATAAGTGTTTCTTTTCTTTTTTCTCATTCAATAATAACAGCTGTTCTTTTTTGAAGTGTCGCCTATTCTTTTATCTACCTCTCGGGTGCTTCTGGTTATATGTGAGTGTCATCGTATTCGAAAATTCCATGTGTCACACTACACCTTAGCTAACCTCTGTTAAAGATAAGGCTAGAAGCTATACGACTGGTTATATGTTTCAAACACAGTAAAGACAAGAAAAAGACGTGTCAAAATAAACGGAAGACCTGATTCAACTTATACTGAATTGCAGGAAAAGGCTGCCATGTGTCGTTTTCTCGTATGTTATTATGTTACCCTGATATACTACATATACATATACATGTGTTTGTCTACGGTACTAATCAGCTACTAACAATCAACAGGTATACAAAGGCAGAAGCGAGATTCTTCTGAGTAAACTGGTTACAGAACCGAGCCATTCCATTCTAACACAATCCTATGACTCACGACTAAGACTGGTAGGTATGACTCATTACTTATATCAAGCTCCACAGCTAACTCATCTCCAGGATACTCGTCGTCCTGTCAACGGCGATGGCTTTGGGGTAGGCTTCTATCCGGACCCAAAACTTGGTCCAGAGCCTTGCATCTTCACCTCAACTCTACCAGCATGGAACTGCGAAAATCTAGAACGCCTAGCAAGCAAGACATGCTCAAACTTGATATTCGCTCACGTTCGAGCATCGACTGAAGGGGCATTGGCCGATAACAATTGCCACCCTTTCCAACATAATTCCCTCATGTGGATGCATAATGGCAACCTCGGTGGATGGAATTACATCAAACGACCACTTAGTCAATCACTAAATGATAAATGGTACCTCGGCGTCAAGGGTGGTACCGACAGCGAATGGGCGTTTGCTCTTTTCCTCGATTTGATGGAGAAAGAAGGTGCAGATCCCAGCTCCGATCCCGGGCCGGACGGGTTTGGGCAGGCTTTTTTGCGACAGGTCATGATCAAGACGATTGCCAAGATCAATGAGTTTATTCGGTTGATTCCCGAGAAACATAAAGTGACCGATCTTGAGACAAGGAGTCTGCTCAATTTCGCGGTTACTGATGGGCATACCGTGGTCTGTACGCGGTATGTCAGCAGCAAGACGGACGAACCGGCAAGTTTGTATTTCTCGTCTGGAACAAAGTGGAAGGAAGGCAAAAAGGAAGGCCATTTTAAGATGGAACGTCACGATAAGGGGGCTGATATCGTCCTCGTGGCCAGTGAGCCCATTACTTTTGAAAGACGTGAGTTTAATGTCCATTTGACTGATCAAAATGACTTCTAACATCAACAGATAACTGGGTGACTGTCCCCACCAACTCAATCCTGACAATCCACAAGCAAACAGTGTTACTACACCCAATAATAGACGAATTTTACAACGACGACCCGAATCACGACCGCTCATCGGTGTACGCTCTGTCTAAAGGATTCGCACCTCCAGCAGTTGTCACACCCACGAAGAGCACGGCGGCAGCTGCCAAAGCGTCTATGGCGCAAACGAATGGATCAACAAAGCTCGATGCGTTGGCACCAAAAGTGACGCAGTTAGAGCTTGCATCTTGATAAATAATTAATTCCGTATGGAAGTTCTTGTATCAAAATTGTTTTGATTGTCATATCACAAGGGAGTTTCAAATTGCAAAAGAAGGATCATGGATGGCGTACGGAAGGACTGGATAGCGTTTGTGAAATTGGCCATTTAATTACTTTTGGGAGCGAACATATATCTGGTATGGAGTTTTGATTATGGAGACAGACTGTTAGTTATATGAACATTGTATCTTTCGGATAGGAATATATTATACATTAAGTTACTAAGTGCAGTATGCTAACACAAGATGAAAAAGGATCATCCATCATCAGCCGCAATATTAGCATGCTTAAAATACTTCATCCCAACCCAAGCAACCACCACCCAAACCCACGCCATAACAGCCGTAAGCACCATCAAAGCAGGATAATACCCCACAATCGGCAGCGTAGGATCATCTTCTAGCTCCGGCGGCGCATAGGGAGTTTCGCCAACATCCCATGCCCAACTCCAGACTCCGAAAGAACTGCCTATTCCGATTACGAAAACCAGCCAGGTTACAATTAGGATTATCCAGCCCCACCATTCGGTTTCGGAGTAGTCCCATCCTGCTCCAGGTCCGGCTGCGGTGTTGGCGCTGTCGGCGACGCTGTTGGGAAGATCGGGGGCGATTAGTGGTGAGCGTGCGCGGTGGGTTGAGGGTGAGCGGCCTAGAGGGCGGGTTGTGGCGTCTGTGGTTTCGTTGGCAGAAGTGGTTTGGTGGTGATGGTGGTGTCGGTGATGATGGTGATGGGAGGATAGGAAGTACGATTCAGAACTTGAGGATGGCGTTGCGATGGGTGGTGGATTGATGCTACCGCTACTGCTGACTGATGAAGGGCGGAGATGAGTAGATGTTCCGGTCGATCTTCCGGTGTTTGTGCCAGTATTAGTTGTAGGGTTGTTATTATGATTGAAACTCGATAATGATTCCTCCTCTTCATCTGTTGTATCGCCTATAAGGCCGGTCGAAGTGGGTGATTTGACTATATCGGTCGACACAACATCTCTATCCATCGTCGGAGATCGGGTCCAGTATCCAGAGTACACACTAGCATGACCACCGTCGTGATCCATACTCCCTCTCGGCGTTAATTCCTCATCTGTGAGGGTCGTAGAAGGAGATGTCATGCTGGTAGCACTCAGTGAGGTACTCAAAGGTGACGATACCCCTCTAGAATTCTCAATGCTTCCATAATTGATCTGATCCCTTGCAGTACTAGCGCTATTGCTGTTTCTCCTCTCTTTCAATTCCAATCTTGTACCTAACAATGCTGTCTTGCGTAAGGAGCCCCGCCGTCGGCGCATTTTTCTCTGGTGTTGTATTGCTGTCCCCATTGCTCTACCTCCTCCCGTTCGCGATCCTCCAACGTAACCATCGTTGGTTGTAGTTGCGGGGTCGCCGTCGTTGAGATTGCCGGCAATCTCACGGCTTGTGGACGAGACTTCGTTGCTATCGGGTGACGAGCTCGACTGACTCATGCGCAGAAACGAAAGTTTGGACAGTAATGATCCAGAGACGCTGCGTCTGTGGCTGCTGCTGGCGCTGTTGGAGTGTGCCCGTTCTGTAGTGCGACGGTCATCGTTCTGGGTGGTATTTATTGCTGTCTGTGGTGACAATTCTTCCCCATTTTCCATTGGGTGCGAAATACTGCGTGAGGAACCTAGAGGTGCTATTCATCCATGAGAGCCAATGTATTGTAGATGTGAGTGTGATAGAGCGAGATAGTTGGTTTAGTTTGGCACAACACAACTGCTATTTCTAGCAAAAACCACCAATTCTCCGTAAAGTGTAAATCTATTGGAATTGCGATTCTCGATCAAGTCACATAATGAAGAATGATCTCTATTCCATCCAATTCTGCATAAATGAAGTCGCAATAACAGAATAAGGAGAGACCGCTGATAGGCCGGCTCGGAACCGGAGAAAGTCCCTCTCCGCCGCGAAAACCACCATCCAACCTCCGGAGATCAAGCAGGATCCCGCAAAAGAATCTATAAGTCACCAGCAAACCAGCAACGATGGCTGGCCGACTCCCATCTTTGACTACGCGGGTGTCACAGCTCTCGATTGCACCAAACAATCTCATCTCTCGTTCTTCGTTACTACCTCTCTTGGCTCCTCAATTCCAACAACAAACCCGCAATGCCTCCATCCTGAGTACCCTGTCCGATACCCCTGGAGCATACAACAAGAGGATTCGTAGAGGTCGAGGTCCCGCTTCTGGAAAGGGCAAAACATCCGGCAGAGGTCACAAAGGTCAAAAACAGCACGGAAAAGTTCCATATGGATTCAATGGTGGTCAAACGCCGGAGAGTATTGTTCATGGTGAAAGGGGATTTACCAACTAGTTCGTTCTTCTATCTCCCACTTATTACGCCCTATATACTGATTACATTCGCAGCTGGTCTACTGACTTAATAACGGTAAACCTCGACCGAATCCAAGAATGGATCGACCAAGGCCGCATCGACCCCAAATACCCCATCACAGTGCGCGAGCTCTTCCACTCAAACTGCGTACACCAATTCCGCGACGGCATAAAACTGCTCGGTCGCGGCAAGGAGAACGGTCTCAAACAACCAATCCACATCGTGGTATCGCGCGCCTCTGCAGATGCTATTGCCGCTATTGAAGCAGCCGGTGGCTCCGTAACGACACGATTCTATACAAATGCGTCCATAAAACGGATTCTGATGGGTCAAACACACCCATTTTTCTCATTGGCGTGGTCCCAGAAAAGTGGTAGTGAGTTTCTCATGAAAGCTTTGGGAGCTGAACAGGAATCAGACCTGAAAGAATCCAAGATTATGGAAAGAGGGAATTTTATGTATCGGTTACCGGATCCCACGCACAGAAAGGATATTGAGTATTATCGTGATCCGGCTCATAGAGGTTATTTGAGTCATTTGGTTAAGCCGAGTGAAGGACCCAGTTTGTTTTTCCTTTCGCCTGCTGAGAGGAAGTCTTCAGCTGGTGTTAAGAAGGAGAAGACTCTGGCGCCGAATAGGATTTGGTAGTTTGTCTGATTCTTTTCTCGTGTCAGGTGTATTCTTAGTGTTAGTATGAATATATGTATATTATTTTACTTTGGAGATTGGACTGTTGTATGATTTCAAACAGTGAAGTTCATTCTTTTAATTGCTGTCGAGATATCAATACTACATCAAGAGTGTAGGCAACTTGCAAGTAACACGGACTGAGAAGAGTATAAGGAAGTCGATAAGAGGCATACATGTCACGCTAGATTGGCTAAATAATACAACTCGCTCGCTTCATCGCATCAAGCCCATAGAAAGGAGAAAGAAAGCACGACACGCAAAAGCAGGGACATAAGTCTCAGAAGAACAATACAATTACCACTGAGAGAGACTCCCCTGATAATCAATCTGTGAGGGGAGAGAAGTCACAAGACTTAACAGAGCAGAGAGCAACCAGAAGAGAAGAGCTGAGAAAAACCGAGGAAACTAGTACAATCATGAGAAAACAGAACCAACGCCTAGGTCGTTCCACTCAACAAGCATGTAAAGAACACCACATGAAAGAAAAGACACCGCTCACAGGTACACGCTCTGCAACCGGGGAAAATAAGGACATGGGTATCATAAATGACCGTTGGGGGTATAACAGCTAAAACACACCAGTGACCATAATGCATAGTAAAATCAATACTCCTGAACGATCCGTGCCAAAATTATACCCATATCGTCGTTAAAAAATAGAAAAATCGAACAAAATTCATAGAGTGGTCAAAGATAGACCGTTGCGAGAAAAAGTTGCTGATGATTGAGTAGTGACCGACTGCGTTGTAAAGACTAAAGTCTCCATGACCGCTCATCGAGATGCTCATCTGAAGGTTCAGTTACAGATGAGAACCAATCGCATCCCAGGGTTTGTCGTATTGTCCACCGAGAAGATGTGTCCTTGTCTAGACAATGACGAATTAGATCCAAAGCTTCCTTGCGGCTCCGATCATCGTCTTGGCCTGCAAGAACGGCTTCCTGGTTCCATTCACCTTTAATAATGCTGGATTGTAGACGAGGGCCAAACCCATGCTGAAAGGGACGAGATCCTACCAACGTTGCATAGACGACAACGCCAAAGGCCCAGATATCGACGACCGGATCAATCAAGCCCGTAGAAGAAAGGAGGAGTTCTGGAGACGCATATTCCAAGCTTCCGGCAACGCTTGTGCTAGAGCCACTCGGTCCAATATTTTGTGGTGGCGGTCGGTCAGCAGGATTGTCATATGTATCAAGTGGTTCACCACTGGTGTCGTTTGTCATCCATTCAGCCATACCGAAATCGCAAAGCACGAGTTTGGCACTCTCTGTGCCGTCTTCCAACCTTTCGGGGTCCAGTAAGCAATTCTCAAGCTTGATGTCCCGATGCACCACTCGCATATCTTCGTGCAAGTATCGTAAAGCAGAAGCTAGCTGATAGGAGTATTTCCTAGCGAGATTCATATTCAGACCACCACGATTGGCTTTGATCAAGTCAAAGAGCGTGCCACCGATATGCAGCTTCGTGAAACAGAAAGTAGCGTAATCTGTTTCGTATACGGCTTCCAGTGACAGGATATGATGGTAATTTAACTGTCGCCAGATTCGAACTTCGTGATCAAATTCAGCCTGTACTTGGTCGTTCTCCTTCTCGCTTTTACCACTGACATGCTTCTTTACAATCTTCACAGCCAAGCGCCTGGTAGAGCCATCGGCTCCAACTTTGTATGCTTCCTTAACCGTACTGAAGCCACCGAAGCCGATCTGTTTACCAAGCACATAGTCTGTACCAACCATCTGGCCTTCGTCGTCAGGTTGAGGCGCTACAACTTCCTCAGGGGAACTCCACATGGATAGAAAAGCGCTGGCAGGAGACTTTCCGCTGGACCCGGTGGATCGGCGAGAACGCTGCTGGCGCATGACCTGCCTCCAGCTATTATGTCTGTCAATCGTGTAGCTACGGGGCTTGCTGCTATAGGATCCTGGTACGCTTGTAGACCACGTATTAGGATCGTCAAAAGAGGTTGCCCGTTGAACAAGGGGAGAGGAGGATAGTGGCGAAAGCAACATATCCTTGGGACCTTCACGTGGATACTCGTATGGCGTGCGTACCTCCTCCAACGGTGACATGGTCGAAACAGAAGTGAGTGAAGTAGGTTGGTTCATGTCGACAGCTGAAGTGGAATCATCGTTCCTCCTAGACGTGAAACATATGCCGCTATCTGGGGATGTGTCTTGTCGCGATTCATCCGCGTCATCAATATTCAACTCTTCATTGTGAGTAACGTCATTATGCTGCATCTGCACTCTACGCAATGCTGATGGCCGAGGCTTCTGTATAGATCTTGAACCAGCGTAGTCCCGCGACTTGAACTCTGGCAGGCTTCCTTCGCCGACAGAGTAATGGAGCGTATCTTGTTGTTGCTGCGATTTCGACTCCCCCTGTATCCGCGACTGATCCGAACGTAAAAAGGCTTCAAACGACCGTCGAAACTCCTCGGGCCTATGTGAATAGCTAACATCTGAATCAAAATCGTGAATGCTGTTTTCGTCGGATCGAGGAACAAGCATCGGCGGAGTCGCCGTATGAAGCTCATTTATCACGCGACTTTCTTCATCCTCTCCTCCTCCCCTGACTGAGGCTTCCCGCCCTGAAAATTGTTCTTCTTCATAGCGTTTACCTGTACTAGGAGACTGGTCTCGAGCGAACTTCGTGTTAAGTCTCAAACCGGAAAACGATTCCCTCCCAGCATATGCCATGCCCTCGTTGAGAGCAAAGGACTTATCTTGACACGAAAGATGTAGATTGCGGAGATATGCAACGATGCATTACCGACAGAGATGCGAAGATCGATGGATGTCGTGGGGTTGGATATTAGAGTGGCCCGGTGTAGGCAGCAAAAGACACCAGGCAATATACAAATTAATCGCCGTCGCAGGAATGTACGAAGTGCTACCCTATGCGTCACAGTGAGGCGTAGTGAATAACACGGTAAATCTCGGAGGGAGTGCGTTGAGTATATCGATGAGTAGCGACGTGAAAGTTTTGATCCGTTTTATCCGTTGCGAAAGATGGAGATGTCAGATGGTTGGAGATTGGAGATGGAAAATTAAATTAAGAGAGGGGCTTCGTACTGGAGTAACAGCGCCAAGATCCACTTATACTACGTCCGTGAAGTAAGTGAAAAGTTAATTACGTAGTGATGTATTAGTAATACCGTTTGTGTATTTCGATGCGGGTATTACTCCGTACTGCGTTCCGAAGACAGCGGGAGTGGAGAGCCAAATGTGCTGATTACCCAATAGCAGGCTGTAATGACATGCAGAATGTATGTCCACCCTTAGTCCCTTACCGTATTAAATACTAGTCGTGTCCGGTACGGAGTGCTCCGCTCTCCGCTGGAGCTTCCCGCGGCTGTTTCGATATTTTCTGGGCAGTATACATATTTTCCTTTTAATTGACCAAGTGTCATCCAATGCCTAGGAAATCGGAGGGTATTTCGGAGCGAATTGTGGATGCAATCTTTTTGTGTAAAGTACAGCTTCGGAAGGAATGAACAGCAGCGACCATGAAGCGTCTTTCCAAGTTCACTTGATATGCTCCCTATCCTGATCCACGACATGCAACCCGAGACTTGGAGAAGCTTCGTAAACTGTTGAATTGAACGTAGAGTCTCAATTCCTGTGATTACATGGAGAGTTGTACTTGAAACTATTGATGATTCATCTACGTGACCATCAGGAGAAATCCGACTCACACAATATTCCAGAAAACGAGTTTCAAAGTCTAGAGCCTGAGGGTTATGACTGTGGAGTCTAGAGTCGACTTAGCGCGCCTGTTGATTGATTAAAATCCCAGTCATTATAAGTCAATTGCAGGACTTCAATGAGTAATTCCCAATGACACAGCATATCTGTTGTAATGAGATCAAATGTAAGATGGTCATGAATCACAGCCAATCAAGAGAATCGACTAGTGGAAGATCATGTGACGTCAAATCATCAGATAAGCGATAAGCGCGCGCAAGCGCTTGTTTCCGCCCCGTAAATGCCACCATTCAACCAACCCCTTAATATTCCTATCCCAAGTTTCAAAACCAGATGGGTTAGCAAGTCACGATTTCACCTACACAACGTACTTTGCTCTTCTTTGCTTGATCGGGGCCAGACTCCGACGAGTTGGTCATTGCTATTATACTTGCCAATTGCTCTTTTCCTCGCTGTGCAGCGTGCTGCAGCATTCCATTCCTTTACCGCCCCGCTTGCCTGGCTTTCCTCTCACGGTCTACGTTCCCTTTCGATTTCCTGCCGACGGCATTATCTCCGCCTATACGAGCTCAGTTGATCTTCAAAAGAGTGTCAACGGGGCTTCTCAAAAACCATCACTCGACCGGTCTTCGTGAACGCATGCGCTCCTTCCCGATTCGACCACAGCGATTCGCGGTAGCCGGCATTCCACTTTGAAACGGAATTTATGAACTTTCTCGCCTAGACTCTGTCAGATTGATTGTCTTATGTTCATTGAGTGGGAATTGAAAGAACGACCTCACAATGACGAGACCACAAATTATCAGAGCCGGTTCGTTGAATTGATGTATACGGTATAGTCCATGAGATTTCTGACGCATGGCTGTGCAGACACAATTGATCTACAGGATCCAAGCTCTCCTTCTGCTCAAGATCATTCCTCAGTCAGCTCGCGAGTCGCCGAAGGCCGGACCGGTCCCCATCAGAACCAATCCTTGCGCCATGCAGAGCAAGAAGCTAGAGATGACGTGATCACGAGCCCTCGAGTTTCGCTCCACCATTTGGACAATGGAGACCAGAATCATCACATCGATATTGTTTACGATGAACCGGACGATTCCATGGCGGATCTTAAAGGGGAAGACGGAGACATTGGCGATGAGGAAAGCGATGACATGATGGATGACGATATGATGGATAAGATTTCGTCTTCACCATCTATAGATGACGGTAAGCTGGGCTACAAAGGTACATATTACATGGGTCAAAACGGAGCTCTAATGCGCTACTCAGAGGACATCGATTTCGAATTCGTTTATGCTCTACACACTTTTGTTGCGACAGTCGAAGGACAGGCCAATGCTGCCAAAGGCGACACTATGGTCCTCCTTGACGATAGTAACAGTTACTGGTGGCTCGTTCGAGTGGTCAAGGATGGCAGTATCGGTAGGCGGTCTTGCCCCTTCATAAATGGCTTATCTTACTTTGGTCTTAGGATATCTCCCGGCGGAGCATATCGAAACTCCGACAGAGAGATTGGCTAGGTTGAACAAGCATCGTAATGTGGATGTAGGTTTCGTATCCCTTAATGGATACTTGAAGTTTACTAACTGGCTAGCTATCCGCAACAATGCTTGGTGACAATGCCGAAAAATCCAAGAATCCGCTCAAAAAGGCCATGCGCCGGCGCAACGCAAAGACAGTCACCTTCGCTTCCCCAACATTCTTCGAGGCCTCTGACATTGACTACTCAACCGAGGAAGAAGAAGAAGATGCAGAACAATTGGAAGAAGAGGAAATTCGAGTCGAACCTCAAGATGCCCAATACGACGTTCAAGATGAAGATATGGTCGTAGAGCCACTTCGTCCAAAGCCACATAAGGAGAAAGTCTCGCGGGTGGTTGAGCCTGAAACAGAGGAGACACAAACTGAGCCTTCGAGCCCTGAGAAACCGCGTCCTAGCGACGAATCGTTTGAAAGACCAGGTACGGGATGTGCTTCCTTGATTAGGTGTCTTTTATGTCTTTTACTAATCACAGTTGTGCAGCTCGGTCGAGAAATGGTACACTACGGAATACGGATTCCTTCTTCAATGACGACACAGCAGAAACTAAAAAGATATCCATCACTCCAAGTCTTCTCCGCGATGATAACGGAGTGTCTAAAAGCGAGGCACAAGAGGTATTCATCTTTTATGCTTATATAATGTTTGTAATGTTTGATTAACAATTTCCTCAGGGTCGCGCAAGTATGGAGTCCATCGAGAAGACTTTGGCTGCTGGTGACAAGGGCAAGCGCAAGGACAAAAAGCCAGGTATGCTTAGCGGATTGTTCAAAAGGAAAGATAAAAAGGGTCGAACATCGGAAGACGATGGCGAAGATGCGGAAAAGACCTCCGAAGAGATTTCACGGTCATCCCCGCAACCAAAGGTTTCATCTGAATCATTACGAGAGCCTACCAATACCAAGGCGTCTGGTGTCCAGAGACAGTCGAGCAAGCTTCAGAAGCAACAGCCAGCAGAGGTTGCCTTAGTCAATCCGTCACAACGCGCCATGCAAGACACTTCGATATCTACGAGCGAGGCGTCCTCACCTGTCAAGGAGGATTACAGCTCTTCAATCCGCCGGGTGTTGTCACCGTCAGCCGGGGCAACTGTTGCACCTCTTCAAGTGCGGACCTCATTCGAGAATAATGCAGCTGCTCCTGAGCAGCGAACACCGAGTGATTATACTTCATCTCCGGTGAAGACATCGCCTGTGGCAACGTCAAACATAACGTCGTCTATGGGAATGAACGGCAAGATGCATGACGGCCCGATTGCTGAGGAACCTATTCAGACAATGTCCAGAGAAGACCCGTCATCAAATCCAGTTTCTCCATCGCGGCAGTTGAGAGGTAATGTTCACAGTGATGATAGCTTATCTGACTCTGTTGTAAATGTTTCACCTACTCAAGCCCCCATGAGCTCCCGTCCCCCGGGCTTGGTTGTGGATACATCTTCGCAGGAAGGGCGCTCTGTTTCTCCGTTGTCCTCCAAATCTTCCTCGCCAGAGTTTATCGAACGACCTGAGCCGAAGGGCGATGAGACAACACCGGTGTCTACTGTGTCGTCTGTTGCAACAGCAACATGGAGCGACGCGAGCTTACGGAGTTATCTCGATGATGAGAATGATATTCGGGATCTTCTTATTATTGTACACGACAAATCGAATGTGCAGCCCGCCGGACCCGATCACCCGATTACAGGCAGTCTCTTCAAGGAAGAGAGCAGACGTTTGAAGGAAATGTCTGGGCGACTCGATGAGATGCTCGCAGGCTGGATCTCGCGGAAATCAGATCGAGTTAGCAAAGCTTATTGATCACTTTTTCTCTTGTGGAACAACGCATTCCCATATCCCATTACATACACCACATTATGATAGCGACTAGTATATGACTGTGCCATGACCTTCATGGCCAACACCAAGATCAGCACTGTTCTCTCTGTTTCTTTTTATACCTTCGTTGCATAGCTACCTTTTTCCGCTTTCCCCTTACACTCATCCTGGAGATTCCCCTCGTCTTTATCTATCTATATATCTTCTCTTCAACCATATAACGGCGGGCACTGTTTTGCCTTCATTCTTACATTTATTTTTTCTTTTCTCGTTTCACTTATCATAGTTTTTGGCGGCATTGTTTTGACTATCTGCAAGCTGTCTCGAAATACCCATGTCCATACAAACAACCATTTGCGTACCAGGTTGGCCAAGCTTACCGGTTCTGCAACGAATACGAACGCATTATTTTCTGTCCGGTCCTGGTCCTATCACATGTAGAGAGCCCAACCAGTACGTCAACGCCAAGCACGGCGTAGGTGCCTGAGATGTATGTCGGGCTGACTGGAGCCTCTTGATCTTCTCCCCCTCTGCGGGGAGTTTGCGGCTGACTTGGCCACCTTTCCTTTCCGGGATAGATATCAGCACGCCACGGGATCAAGCCTGATGACTTGAATAGGAGATGAGTTTCGCTAGGAATTATTTATTTATTAATCATCCTGAAGAAGTCTGTAACTGTCTCATCGTCCATATTTTTTTGCGTAGCAATAAGCATCTTGGCTCGGGTACGGTAACGCATCATGTCTGGACCATACTACAACCCGGAATATCAGCAGAATCAACCTGGTGGGCAGCCAGGCTATGGACAGAGGTATCCCGATCAGCAACAATACCTTGATCCTTCGGCGCAACACAATTATCCTCATTATCAGGGATCTACACCTCCGCCTCCGCGTTCTGCGTCGGGGTCACCATATCCTCAACCTCTGCACGAGTCCGGGTATGGATATGGACAACAGCAGCGACCCTCATATGGTCCCAGTGAATATGAGCATAGCAACCCACCAAAAACCGGAACGGCGCATGAGTACTAGTTAGTTCTCGCTTACCTCCATTTTTTTGTTCGCGTACAATGCATACTGATCATTCATTCGATGCATCAGCAATGCCCATAACAGCAACCAAAGCATCCCACGCATAGAACAACACAATGCCCCCGACAACTCTCAACTAAACGATGAGACAGAAACCGGCGAACGCGGTCTAGGAGGCGGCCTCCTAGGCGGCGCCGCGGGACTCTTCGCAGGGCACAAGGCCAATCATGGGCTATTAGGCACAATCGGTGGCGCTATAGTGGGTAGTCTAGTCGAGAATCAGATCAAAAAGCGTACCGGCCATGGCCATGGATCGTCTTCTTCTGAGCATGGAGGAGGTTCGTCTGAATATGGATATGGGTCTTCAGATGGCGGTAGCCATCATAGCCACGGCCATCGTCATCATCATCATAAACATCAGGAGAATCGGCATCATAGGCATTCGTCGAGGTCGTCGCATCATTCGCACTCGAGGAATAGGAGTTCGTCGAGTGTGGGGAGTCGGAGTGGGAGTGATGAGCATGATAGGGAGAGTGGCAGGCATAGGCGTCGTCATGAGGATTATTACTGATTACATTGACTTATGTTATCTACCGCTATGAGGTTATGACTTTCATGCGCCTTTCGGATTTGTTTTATTATGGATGATTTTGACTTGTTTTGTATGATTTGATGTGTATGGGTTCAGTATGTTACGATAAATATGAGCTGTTGGGATAGCGTGTTATATACATGATGCTTTGCTTTTCTCGAGAATCCATATCCTTGTCCCGTCGCTCCCTACACCCCTGACTAGCTCAAGGGCCACCACGGCTCATGGGCCAAAATATACGATATCTCATGTAAAATGTTTTCTAGTCTAGCAACGCCATATAATTTATATATAGATCCTAGACACATTGAACATACATATATAGATCACCTATCACCCATAGAGTCAAAGAAAAACCCTAAGCTTTGAGGCTCTGTTAGAGCCTCATCTTCCTCCAGCTCATCCATACCAAGTATACGCCTCTTATGAATCCTCAATAAATCTCCCTCATGGCGGCGTTTTATGAGGCGATTGGCATTCTTCACGTAAAGGGCACCAACTGCCTTGACCTGGCTCTTGACGGGTTTTTTATTCTTACATTTTGCGGTGTCACGAACTTTCTCTCAAAGTTTTCACGGTGTAACTCGCCTAATCCGGCAATTGTGAGGCTGCCCTGATTAACCACCTTTATACGACGTGCAAGCCCCGGACTTGCCTCATCTATGATATCCTTGATACAATCAACTGATTGCTTAATTTTGTTGATATAGCGACGAAGCTTTGTGACACTTGACGGCGGTGAAATTGACTTTGTTGTTGGTGAGCTAGGAATAGCGTCATCCTCCTCGCTGTAAATTTCCAACGTATTACCACTTTTATAAGTCTATCGAATTCATCCTCAGGATGAGGAACAAGATATCGATCGAAAGGCCAAATCTCTCGATCTTTCCACCCATGCCGAATAATACGTGATGTAAAGGTCGTATAAGAATATCGCGTAATCCATCAAAAAAGTCATTTTCATCGAAATCAAAGCTATGAAAACGAGTAACCTTATTCACCACTCTTCCATGAACGTGTTTATATTGCTGAAAAAGGATACCATCAAGCGGTTGTAAAAGATGCGTTGAATGTGGAGGAAAAGTGAATAATTGAATGTGCCCTTGTTCGCAGTAATCAACGAATTCGATAGTGAGATGGGTTGTATGATTATCCATGAGTAGTAACCGCCGGCTTGAATCTCCAGGATGCGTATAATGTTAAAATGTTGAAGCCATTCGAATACGATCTCATCAGTGATAAACCCATTCTTAGCTGGTGCAACAAGCCATTCTTCATCCTTGATATGTTGATACCATTCCTCCGTATGCTTTTCACCTTTTGAAATCAAAAAAAGGTGGTAATAATCTTACCTTCGGCGTTAATACACTCAACGACGGTAATAGATTCTCGAGATGACAGGCTAAAAACTCTTTCTGATGTTTTTGGGTATGCTGTTACCACTGCTTCATTTTTTCCCTGTTCAACAACGAATCCGGTCTCGTCAAAATTCCATAGATTTCGAGGTCGAATTTTGAGGTCGCGTAACACGATTTTAAGGTTAATAAACCATCGCTCAACCTCGCCATAATGCTCAGCAGCTGTATGATCAACTTCCTAAGGCTTTTGAACGATTCCATTATATTTTTTCGGTAAACGGTCGAGAAATCGATATACCCACATGTCGCTGGCTTTCAGTGGCTCTCCCGGACCGATCCAATCTTCGGAGAGCAAAAAAAATTTGCACTTTCCTCTATTTGCTGGTCGGTAGGAGGTGAGCCTGTGATATCTAGATATTGAACCACTTAGTAAGCCTTTTCTTGATCAAAAGATAGTAATCGATTCGTTGCTGGCCGTGTTGAGTGAGAGGGCAGGCCCTTGATGCGTCGCGATAGCTTTTTCCGGGAGACCCTTAATTCACGCGCCAACTGCGTGACTTTTGGATTTTTTTTTGGAGTTAATACGCATCAATAGCCTTGGCAATCAACTCTTCCTCTTTTTTATATTCCTCAGCGGTAATTTTGGCGGTGTTTTGGGTGTTGAGGATATCGGGTTGAGATTTTGAAGATTTTGGCCCGTGAGCCGTGGCGGACCATCAGCTAGTCAAGGGTGTGGAGAGCGACGGGACTAGCAGATACATAAAAATCTCCATCTTACATATCAGAATCGAACCAGGGAACGTCATTGGGTCCTTTCATTCTTCCACAGACATCATCCAGCCCTAGGGCGCGCCCAATACGAGTCAAGCTCCAGAGGTCATCCAGATATAAGCGGAAATATCCCGGGTAGTATCGCGTGTTGTAACTGCTGCCTCCTCGATAATTCGGATCCACCACCGTGACCCAGTCGCCTTTTCGGCCACTCTGTGGCTCGGGGTGGCGGATGATGGATTGCAAAGCACCTTCATCGATGACCACACACCACCGAGACCGAACTCCCTGATGTCCGTTGTCGCTCTCCCGGACCGCCCTGAAATACCGACGGATCTCGTCCAGCATCGCGCCGTAGTAGTGAACGCCATGTAGAGGCCCAAGCAATATGAAAGTGGAAGCTATGAAAGAAAACTAAGCATGGAGGGAGAAAGAAGAATCTATCAACATGAAGCTATCTCAGGGGCTTCTGGTTTTACCACGTGACCAAGATTTACCCTCGTCCCGTAACCCTGTCCCGGAACAACGTTCCTCCGGGTATTTTGATCAGGTTTCAATGATTTCAGAAATTTAGTGGATAATTTATCGAGTAAAAGCGTGAGTAAAAGCGCGGGCAATTCACATTGGCCTCTTTGCTTGGTGAATTCTCGGCAGTGATCCATGAGCAGGCATATAGCGCTCAGTAAATACTCCGTGAGTGTTCAGTGAGTGCTCAGCATGGGTCAGTGACTGAAGGATGATTTATCACGTGATGTCACCTAAAAGCGGCAAGGAGTTGTGAGGAATGAGCTGGGGCGGCCGCACATATCATTTAGGTATAGGATACCTAGGTGTTATCGTAGTCTCTATTAGTCTCTGGGTGGGTTGCAGGTTGCTTTATAGTCTATACTGATGAACCACAACTCCGGGATACAAGCATTAATGGGTACTTCCAGGTTGCCTTCAGCACTGAAAAGAATGACATATACCTCAAGTACTGCTGGACGAGTGAATCCTGATTATGGTTTGCGCTACAAGAAGAGAAGTTTCATCTTGGTAAGCTTCTCAGGTGATGGCATAACTTATATCAAGGATCGCGTCTGCGTACGTAATTGAAGTATAATGAGATTAGGTGTTGCAATTGGAAGTCTAGAAATTATCGCTCCTGGCTTAGAATAAACGCATTCTGGAAAACATTATTCTTCTAATTGATGCGAAGTTCGTGGTTTCTCCACCAGCCAAGTAAGTTTCGAATTTACCCACGAATCGAGAAACATTCAACAAGTCGTTTAGCGTCCTTTTATCTCTAGCATGATGGCAGCATCTGTCTACTAGTAGATGAAACAAACTCACTCTATTTCAATTAAGAAAGGGAGAAAGGACACATTGGTGGAGACCGGGAATTAGGGCTTGTGGTGGATCATTTGTCTCCTCACGGTCCTACTGCTTAACTTAGAATAAAATAATAAAGAAGCTCACAGGAACCTTTTTCATGCTTATAAAATGGAGCAAAAATTTCCACTAATCAGAAGCAGAGAATAGCCCATGATCGCTGCTAAAGTACGCAGTAGAGAACGCTAATAGAGTAGAAGAAACTTTCGAAACATCTTCAAACAAGTGGGCAAATTTCTCCGCCCACTAATCCTTCATTATTGGGCCCATGGTTTATATCGAACTCCCCTATAGTTACTGGGTTAATAAGATGCGGATCTTGCAAGCTCCGTCCAGGATATGATCGATTATTCCGGCGGTTTAAGGCCCCGCAAAGAGTGTAAGCTTGCGAGTATATTGACATGTCTGGAATTTAGACTGGATATACGTATGTGGATTAGACGGGATCGAATCAATATATGAATAGGTCGAACTCCTCATATGTAGAATAAATACAGTCCGGTTGACAACTTCCTGTTTACAGTCAGGGCTTTTCTAAGATTCTTTCCATTCATTACAACCTCGTTCTTCTGTTTCTTGCTGTTCTACCTTAGTAAAATCCTCGTCATTCATAACTCTTGTAATCATGCGTTCCTTCATTGGCCTGGCCGGGCTGGCCTGCTTGTCATCAGTGGTGCTGGCCGTCCCAGCGCCAGCTCCTACAGCACCTGCTAAGTTAGAAGATCGTGCCGCGTCTTGCACATTCTCTGGCTCCAACGGTGCAGCAGCAGCTAGCAAATCCAAGACTTCGTGCTCAACCATTGTATTGTCGAGTGTTGCTGTGCCGTCGGGAACGACACTTGACCTAACTAATCTTAACGATGGAACGAAGGTGAGTGTTAATCAATTCCGTTTCAAAAGGACGTATGGTTAGATGATATCAAGGTCATCTTCGAAGGCACAACCACTTTCGGCTACGCAGAGTGGTCAGGTCCCCTTGTCTCCGTCTCAGGAAACGACATCACCGTCGAAGGAGCCTCTGGAGCTGTGCTCGACGGTGACGGATCTCGTTGGTGGGACGGCAAGGGCAGCAACGGAGGCAAGACGAAGCCCAAGTTCTTTTATGCTCACAACCTCAAGTCCTCGTCTATCAGCAACATCAAGATCCTGAACTCGCCTGTGCAGGTCTTCAGCATTGATGGTGCTCAGACACTGACTTTGGACCATATCACAATTGACAATTCGGCTGGTGACTCTCAAGGTGGCCATAATACAGATGCGTTTGATGTTGGTGATTCGAATGGGGTTACTATCTCGAATGCTATTGTTCAGAATCAGGATGATTGTTTGGCAGTCAACTCTGGCACTGTAAGTACCCCTTAGCCTCTACTCTTTCCCAATTAGAGACTTACTAAGTATGCTGCTGTAGAACATCATTTTCACTGGCGGTACCTGCTCCGGTGGTCATGGTTTGTCCATTGGCTCTGTTGGCGGCCGTTCTGATAACACGGTCCAGACCGTTCACATTGAGAACTCTACTATCAAGAACTCTCAAAACGGTAGGTCTACCTTTGTCCATTTATCTAAACCCCTGGACACGATTCTAACTAGCTATAATCAGGCGTCCGCATCAAAACCGTCTATGGCGCCACCGGCTCCGTCTCCGGCGTAACCTACAAGGACATCACACTCTCCGGCATCACCAAATACGGCATCGTCATTGAGCAGGACTACGAGAACGGCAGCCCTACAGGAACACCTACTAACGGCGTCCCAATTACTGGCCTTACCATTGATGGTGTAACCGGTAGCGTCACTAGCAGCGCTACAGAAGTCTATATCCTCTGCGGCAGTGGTAGCTGCTCCAACTGGACTTGGCAGGGCGTTAATATTACCGGTGGTAAGAAGAGTAGCAGTTGTAAGAATGTTCCTAGTGGTGCTAGCTGCTAAAAGAGTGTCCTGCTTGTGGTGTCTGGCTGGGTTTCAAAATATTTTAAGGCTTCTGTGGAGCTGGTTTCTTTTCTTTCCTGGGGTATCCCCCTGTGGTCTTTTTTTTTTCATCTGTAAATGCAAATTATGCTTATCTTTGGAATCCTTTTTTGTTCTATCTAGTTGGAAGTAGGAGATCTAAAGTATGCATTACCTCTCTTTACATTCTTGATTTACGATCGCTAATGTCCGTATGGTGCACCGTCCGTCCCGAGGTCATTAGAAATGACAGAGAACAGATTGGATAAGCTTTATAAGCTTCTCGGGTATGGATAACTGAGTTAATCCCGGATTAGCTTGACTAACGCAGAGTTACAGACAAAAGCAATAGATTCAGATTGCCACCGCTATGTTATCTCGTAATAGTACATTGTATGTGCGAGTTGAAACATGATATAGCTCAGAGAGCTGTAAGATCGAATCGTCAACTCGGTCAATGGAAGAGGTATTACATATGGAACTGTCGTAATGTACATCATGATTCATGTTTCATCGCAATGCTCATCTTCTTTATTCTTGAGTAAGCTTCTCCACTTGTTCCTTCCCCTTCTTCAGCACAGCCTGAAGTTCTTCAAGAGTCTCTTTCATAATTTTCTCCGTCTCACTTCCTTTCTTCTGAGCAATAGTCTGTAGTGATTGTAGTTGGGAGAGCAGATCAGAACCACCAGGCACCTTGTTGAGCCACTGGTCGAGACCGGACATGTCGCTATTCTTAGCTTGTTCAACCTTGTCCTTGATATACTTCTCCACATCCTCGGACTTTCCAGATGAGCCTTCTCCTTCACTAGGCCCCATAATTCCTGGAAATAACCTTTCTTCAGGGTATCGGCATTCTCTTCAATCAGTTTCTTGAGCTAGGGAGTCTTCTCGAGATAACCCTGGGACTCATCTAGACCCTTTTTCCATGCCTCGTCTCCAAGCTTCTGAAGCTTGTTCTTCTTGTCTTCGATCAAAGACTTAATCTCCTCCGCTGACTGGACACTCACGCCACGCTTGATGATGCTCGAGATTTGTTGCCAAGTCTGATCCACTTCTTCCTTTGCCCTCGGGCCACAGGCTTCTCCCATCTGCTTCAATTGATCATAGCTGCCTCCAACCTTTTCCTTCAGCTGAGGGTGATTCGACAAGACGTCCTCCGCAGCGTCTCCAGCAAGGTCAAATAGACGTTGGGCATATTGCTGCAGTACTGGGAGGGAATTGGACGCCGCAGTAGTGCTAAACCCATCCTTCTTGAAGATACAACCCAGCTCGTTATATGCATCCTTGACAATACGGTCGAACTCTTCTTTGTGGTTATTTCGGATCTTTTCGAGGTCGTCAAAAGCAGTGTCAACATACCCGCGTCCACCAGGGATGAACACAGCATAGCTCTTGACAGTATCTCTCAGCCAGCGGAACGCCTCGTCCGGTTCTGGGGTCTTCTCTACAATCTTTTGTTTGGCTTGTTTAATGTAGGCATGTGTTTCTTTGCTGGTCTTCACGAGCGTCTTGGCTCCGGAGAAGTGATACCAGGCATATCCTGAAGCAAAGCAACAGCTCCACCAGCGATGCCACCAATCAATGCGGGATTGCTAGCACTGGAGGTTGCTTGGGATGTGGTAGATTGGAAGCGGCGGTTGACGAAGCGAGCTTGAGATCGAGGTTGCTGTCTGGCGCACCGCACAGCAGGTGCCGTAGTTCGTCTGAGCATCTTGTACATGTTGTAGAAGTGAAGGATGATGAGCGAGGATAATAAAAGATTAATCGATCAAGAGATGAAGACATTTTGGTCAACTCCGGGGTATTTATATCTGGTCCAAAAGCTGTAAACAAGCTGGGGAAGCTCCGTCAAGATGACGTACTGCATCCAGGAACGTGCCTTAGCTAGGGTTAACTCCAATTAGGGTTGGGGTAGAATCAGTTATCCCGGGATATAAGGGTAAGGGTAACGAATCCTAACCTGAAATCAGTCCTGGCATAAGCTACTCGCATCATCACTGTCAATACTCAAGTCTACGTATGTGTCATATTCCAATTTACCACAACCAATAAACTCCCAAGAAGCATGGAAGTTTTCGTTCCCTTAAAACTATGAAAAGTATGGACTAGAATTGTGAATGGTTTCGAGGCTATTTCCGCTTCCGGAAGTAATTTATTGCACCGCGTCTTGTTGTCGACAGTCCAGTCAGGTAGATAAGTTAGGTCTTCAATTGTCCCGATTGCCCGGTGTCTGAAAATGTATGTTATTCATTTTACAGAATATCATATCTGCAATGTGCCATCGCCAATTGGAACAAACCCCGCATGTATCGTGAATATCAATCGCGGAGATGCGGAGGTAAAGAAACAAAACAATTTTAAATCATCCTCTCTCCTCTATATACTCCACAATCGTGCAGGATTGGATCCGGTAGGATTATGTCAGTCGTTTCAAAAAACAAGCTTGAGCCATGGTCAGTCGACGAGGGAGGATCTCATCGCGGAGAAGAGTATCGGTCATTGTGCTCAGAAGTTTGTCGGTTACTGCTCCAAACAACACGCGGTGCATGTTAGTTTCCCGTGCAGGTTAATGCCTGACAATTTCCAGGCATTTGATTTTAATGACCAGGGTAGACTCCTGCATAATCCTAGTATTGGAGGTGCATATTCCGGTAGTTGGACGTATGGATCAGAGGCTTCGACGAGCTAAAGTGCTAACCCCGAGCTAAAACACACCGCGGTTTTGATTACGGATAGAGTAGAGACTGGAATTCAATTATGGTTAAGATTGGCAGTAAGCTATGGTCCCATATTGTAACGTTGGTCTTCATCCGCCCTTCTATCATGCCCCGACATTCCGCGGCCCCATGAGTATGGAGGCAAAACGTATTATTATAGAGGAAATTACACATGGCTCATATTGATCTCCTCATGGCTATTGTGGCCATGAAGGCTGCAATCAGGATTATAAAATGACGGTGTTCTGCCTCGAAGAAATCAAACATCATCAATCGCAAACAGTCAGTCAGACACAGTTCGAATAGAAGCAAACGACACAATGTCTGCCTTGAACTCGTTCAAAATGTACAAGAACGCCCTCATTCTGGGTTCTCTCCTGGCGACAGCCCACGCTCAACAGATTGGTAATCTTACTGCTGAGACCCAGCCATCTTTGTCCTGGTCCACTTGCACATCAGGTGGCAGCTGTACCTCAAAGAGTGCCTCCATTACTTTGGATGCCAACTGGCGTTGGGTGCATAGTGTCAATGGCAGCACCAATTGCTACACCGGTAACACTTGGGATACATCCATCTGCGACACTGATACTTCCTGCGCCCAGGACTGTGCTGTCGACGGTGCAGACTACTCGGGAACGTACGGTATTACCACTTCAGGAAATTCACTGCGTCTGAACTTCGTTACGGGCTCCAACGTTGGATCCCGTACTTACCTGATGGCCGATAAGACGCATTACCAACTCTTCAACCTGTTGAACCAGGAGTTCACTTTCACGGTCGATGCGTCTACCCTCCCATGTGGTTTGAACGGCGCTCTCTACTTTGTCTCCATGGATGCAGATGGAGGTGTCTCAAAGCAACCTAACAACAAGGCTGGTGCTCAGTACGGTGTTGGATACTGTGACTCTCAGTGCCCGCGTGACCTGAAGTTCATCGGCGGTCAGGCCAACGTTGAGGGGTGGCAACCCTCATCCAACAACTCCAACACCGGCCTCGGCAATCACGGATCTTGCTGTGCAGAGCTTGATATCTGGGAGGCTAACAGTATCTCAGAAGCCTTGACCCCTCATCCTTGCGATACATCGTCACAAACTGTATGCACCGGCGATGCCTGCGGTGGTACCTACAGCAATGACCGTTATGGTGGTACTTGCGATCCCGACGGATGTGATTTCAACCCTTACCGAGTTGGTGTCACTGACTTCTACGGCCCCGGAATGACCATTGACACTACCAAGCCCGTGACTGTAGTAACTCAGTTCGTCACTAATGACGGTACCTCAAGCGGTACCCTTTCTGAGATCAGACGCTACTATGTCCAGAATGGTAAGGTCTTTGCACAGCCTTCTTCCAAGATTGACGGAATTAGCGGAAATGCCATCAATTCCGACTACTGCTCCGCTGAGATTTCCACTTTCGGTGGCAACCCTTCGTTCACTAAGCATGGTGGTTTGGCAGGTGTGAGCACAGCACTTAAGAATGGTATGGTTTTGGTGATGAGCTTGTGGGACGACTACTCCGTCAACATGCTTTGGCTCGACAGCACCTACCCAACAAATGCCACTGGTACTCCTGGCGCAGCTCGTGGTACCTGCTCCACATCCTCTGGTTCACCCAAGACCGTTGAGGCCAACTCACCTAACGCCCATGTTATCTTCTCGGATATCCGAGTTGGTCCCTTGAACTCTACTTTCAGTGGCTCTGGTACTTCTACCCCTGGCGGTGGTAGCAGCACTACAACCAGCCCGGGTTCCACTACCACTACTCCCGGAAGTGGAAGTGGAAGTGGAGTTGCTTCGCATTACGGACAGTGTGGTGGTCAGGGATGGACTGGCCCAACCACCTGTGCTAGTGGATTTACTTGCACTGTTATAAACCCTTACTACTCGCAATGCCTGTAGATGGTTGATATCGGTTGGATGGGAAATGACAGACAGGAGAGAAATATCAAACCAAAATGTACCAAACATGTTGCGTTGATGATGCTGTAAATATGACTAGTGTTCATTCGTTCATAAGTTTTATCTCAAATTGAATTCTTACTTTCCTATCTAATATATACTAATGACAAATACATTGAGATGGTACCTGCCAATGTATCTCATCATGCGTAATGCTCAAATAGTGGCTGATGAGATTTCTCTAAATCTAGCATGCTTAGACGACTTTTTCATATGCAACCCTACCTGAGAAAACTATGTACCTGGGCAGATTGTTCGTACCTACCTAAAAAAAAAGACAATTGATTACCTAGATAAGATTTATTTACCTAGATACCATGTCAATAGGCAATGGGAGTTTGGTAATTAAGACGATATATAATCTTATTTTATCGGTTTAATTGCTGTTGCGACCTGCATGTTAGATTGATCGGTCAAGTAGACCCTCGAGCTCAATGAGTGGCCTTCTTTATCTTTGTAAACGAAGAGTTGAAGACCTCATACACAGGCTTGCTCAAACCCTAAGTATTGGGGCGCAGTATCCAGATTAGGAATGTGTTACCTGTTTAGGCAATTCACGAAAACATCAATCTCACACGCTTTCTATCATTTTAAGTTTTATCACACATCTATTATTTATGTTATTTCATAATATTTTGCTCTAAGAGAAATATACTGTACTTTTCCCCTCAAAAACCAACCACATACAGCTTCTAGCATACCAGGTGTGATAGTTCAACTCCCTGGCTCGATTCGGGTTGCTCTTGGTGGACCAAAACTCACGCCGGAGTGTATATTTAATTGCCTGTCTACTACGTAGCAGCCTCAGTAGTATGGGATATAGTCATTGCTTCTCACATAATAGATAATTTGAATCTTCGAAGGTGATAGTTAGGTGGCACATCGTTGAAACAGCAAGATGGCTTATCCACAAATGGCGATGCAGGTGGGGACGATTTCTGGATGCGGTGACACCTAAAGGCATGTTACACCTCATACAAAGGCCAGGATAGCACGCACAGTTAATAAGCTAGGAGACCTTTCTGTTTGTGTGTACGGGAATCCCCAGGTGTTGAGTATCAACACCGGAATATTAGCTATTCCGGTTCCCTGGGGATTTCCCCTTTACCTGCATGTAATTATCCTTCTCCTCCCTTTTTGGGGAGCAGTCATAATATTCGAATAACATCAATATTATCAGGCTCATGGGCTTTTTGGAATAGCCTTACTGCGTAATCCTGTGCTTCGTGTTATCAGGACGTAGCTAAACCAACACTATTCTATTCTGGTATATCGAGATGGCACTTTAAAGTCGGCCTAACGATGACCTTACAAGAACCATACATCAGTCCATTGATAGTTACAGCGATATTACTGAATTTCGGGAAGAATACAAATACATTGAGGCCCCGTTCCCAGTGGAATCAAAGGTACAATTAAAGCATCTAGTCGCCGAGTATCCTACCCTTTCCGAAGGAGCACCCTTCAGAAGCTTAATGAAGATATTCAAGAAATACGGGACAGTCTATTAGTTGCACTCGAAGCCCTACTGTTGGCAGTCCGGGTTACGTGTTGTTAAGATCATCACGCCAAACATGCTTATAGGAAAATATTCCTGATAGTCCACGCTAGGATTGTCGGCATTGGCTAATACTAACAGCCGGGTTTTTTATATTGGCAAGACCTTGTCGATCGTCCTGCCATTCTGCACTGGGATACAAAGCCGGGTTGCAATATGTAGAAAATCACCCTGGGCTAAAGACGGAGTGCTAACATCAGCCCAGAAGATACCCCTGAAACTAACTTTATCAGCAATAAAAACTCTCGGGAAGGAACTATTGTACTCACGACTCGCGAACGCGGTTTGCTAATTGCAAGCAGATTTCGCTTTTCTCCTGAACCCCCATACCGAAAATGACAATCGAACATCGATTTTGTAAGCGAAAGACCATTGGCAGAGTTGCAAAGAATACTTTTCAGTTCGCAAAGAATGTCTTCACGCCCGGTAAATAATTGCGTTGGCAGGACGAGTTCCTCAACTGCCCAGTAAACAGGGTACGTGACTTGTTTAGAGACAGCACCATTCGGATTGTTCAAATCGGTCGGATCATTCGGATCGTTTAGATTCGTGTTTGTAAGTAGTCGGCGGAATAATGAAGATACCAACCGCCACAGACCTGTAACCCCTGGTTGATTAGATTTTGAGCGGGTTTATCTACGCCTCTCCACTCTTCCAAGACGGCCTTGGTACAGGCAGCCGCCGTAGTTGCAGCATATGCTTGCCAGTGCTTATCTTTGTGACTATCCGCGTAATCACATACGCTTTTGATGACAATCGTTGGGATATAGTCCCACGTTCCTGCACTCTCCATCTCAAATCCAATCACTCCTTCTTCCGTAGCGATTCGAATCCGATCCTGCCCACTTTTAATTATCTGGTTACCACATGCTATTCGACCAAAGTGGATGCTAGCTTTTCGTGCATCTTGCATTTCAGCAGTCAAGAGTTGGTTCTCAGAGAACCTCGTCCCTACTGCCTCTCGGAGACGGTAACGCTGCACGAGTTTTGTTCTATCACAGCCTAACTCCTTGCAGGACGTTCTCAGTGCCTTTTCGCACACATCATCACCAGATGTATTGCAACTGTCGCAAATAGGACAGACGCCTTGCTCCCAATGTCTGTGAGGCATGCCAGCCGGATATAATTGATCTTTCTCGGGTCCCGGGTATGCTGATTTAAGAAACTCCCTTCGAGAACAAATCTCGGAAGAGTAACTATTGGTTTTGGCCCTCAGCCTTGTAGACACGAGGTATTCTGACATCTTTTCAACAAATGCACGGATTTCATGACTACCTCGTCCAACAGTGTCCTCCACCTCTTTCTTTCTAATGAACCGATGCGGATATTGCCGACCAAAGTCTATCTGGGTTACCGAGGTGCTAACAATGACATCTCCAAGCAAAATCTCCGCTCCTGCAGTAGTCTCTGTAGCCCCTCCACAAATACCAGTCACGATGCCCAATTTGATGTTTCTGAAGCTGATGCGAAGATTGGAAGCGACGGCAGCCGCCGACACCATACCCATGCCTGGCATGTATGCCAAAACCACGTGATGATTTCCCAAACGCCCTGTGGTGTATGTATTCATATCTCCTTCGGCTTTTCTGTACGAGAGTCCATCTGTCTCGTACTCGACTTCCAGTAAAGCTTCTACGGCATCTCGCTCAACGGGCAGAGCGCAGATTATCGCAATTTCGAATTCGTCGCGGCTTCGGGGTTGAAGGAGAGGATCTTTCTCCATTCTTATTTGGTATGGAGAAGAAACTCAGGTAGACGGGCGCTTTTAGACGGGCGCTTTTATTATAGTAGCGAAGCTCATAAGCTTCAACACCAAAGGAGCTGACGGCGAATATCGAGCGATATTGATTTGTCGAGGCTTGAAAAGGTCTTTAGGTCGATTCCGCGAAGTTCAGCCTTGTGGCGCAAACGCATTGCTGGTCAGCCTCGCCACAACAACCCCTGCAAGTCGATGCTAATGGAAGGCTAGATATGCAACGTGGGCGAATAGGGATTGATGATTTTGGCTCTTCCTGATAAGGGTAGCTGGTGGTCTATCTGGCAATCTGCCATACTATTAACATACTTGGTACTACAGAGTCCCAAGGTACCATATTTTAACTTATCAGCCGTACATATGTCTATAAAACCATACACTATATAAATTATTACCACACTGGCGGCCCTTATTCTTGAGCAAGCAATAGTTATTTTTTCGGTTGTAACCTGGTTTCGCATCCGACGGTCTCTATGCGATAGGAGACCTAGGGCTGATTTGGATATTCGAATTCCACTCCTGGCTTTAACAACCGCTCTCTTCAATTAAGATTGAATGCGTCTTGAGCGTATGGAATCTGTAACTGTGTAGAATCTGCAAAATTAGAGTGAACATTAGGCGATCAGGTACGCCTGGATCAGTTAAGACTACAGATCAAGTGTCTTCTAATGACTCACTTAAAATTTAGTAACGAATTAGCTTTTATGATGGCTTGCTAAACGAAGCTTAACGGTTGATCATAACTTATTTAACTGCTCTCTCAGCCCGCCGCACGCGAGGCTATTTTACCTTAGCATGCACGTCTCGGAAACTGTTGCTGTCAGACGATTGATGAACACCTGTTCATGGGAAATTTTAATGCCGATCATATTGAAAGAGGAAATTGTTTCCAGTAACATGGATTTTGGCAAGAGCCTGTACAGTTACAACTTACAGATCCGTCGAGCATTTTATATGTCTGGCGCAAAATGCACTAGCCATCATACCTGTCAGTGGTAAGATTCGGAAATCTCAAATTTCAGTCAATGCAATCTAGTTAGTTCTACTCAGATTAAATAGTAGAATATAGCTTCGAGTTTGTTTAGTTTCTGAATACAAAGAAGCGGGTGTCAATACCACAGCCAGTGGTTCCGATGTCGAGAATAGATGAATAGGTCTATCTAGATTATTCTGTAGAATAAGAGCTGAATCAAAATAATTATTACAGATTATAATGATGAGCCCAGCCAGCCACTTCACCCTCTGACAGACGTGGGTAGTGAACATAGAAGAGAATGGCATTGTTTAACATGAGGCAAGTTTGATAGCTTCGCTCCTGGGAAAGTATTTAAAGCTAACAAGAGCCCTCTGTTGTCGAGAAGTTTCTGAAGCAAGCAGTCATCATTCCATCATACGGATAGTCTTCTCATTGTAAAGATGTTGCTATCTCTCTTTCTCTCCTCTGTGCTTCTTACTTGGGACACTGCAACCGCATTCACTTTGCCGTTTCCGTGGCCATGTTGCACATCAACTACCACATTCACCTTGTCCGGAGGCTATACCGTCACCAGAACTGAGACGGTGACCACGGTATTATATCTGATCCCTTTGAAATGATGTAAACTATACTAATTGGTATAGGGCACTAGCACGGTCACCAAGACTGGTCTGCCAACTGTATGTTTGCCTACCTAGGTACCAGATCCGAGATTATACTGACTGTAATAGATTTCAATTGACACTGTGTCTACTACAAGTTATGTGCCCACAGCCATCAATTGCTTGCCTACAGCGACAACCATCAAGCCATATCCTTTTGGCATACCTTTGGAAGAACGTGACGCTGCTTCTGCAGCTGGTATAGGTTGCAGCCCGATCACCATCATACCGCCCTCGATCACAGGGTTTCCATGCACCGAAGTGGTAGGATCGTTTGATATAGTGTGAGTTTTTTCTAAAGCATACCCGTATGCCTATAACTGATTGACTGGCTATCCCGCAGAACTGATACCGAAACAATCACCACCAGCGGTATTGCTACTCAAACCATCACACCCACCATTGTTGAAACCGTCACCGAAACATGGATCCTCCCGACTCCAAGCATCTACAGAGGCGTAAACTACTACCAATATCTGAACGACTACTTCTACCCGGACGGTGACAAGGGTTGCCGGACCTGCGGTTACGGCGGTGGAGGCTACGAGACTTCAGACTGGAACGGCAATTACAGCTATTACACCAACGGCACCACTCAGCAGATCAATTTCGAGTCGGAGAACTATCCTAGTTACTCCACAATCTTGTGTCAGTTACCCAGCCAAGCTGCGGCCACTGATTGCTCGCAATGGACTGTCGTATTCCAGGGCTATCTCCACGCCACTCAAACGGGAAATTATACTGTAGCCCCATATCTTGGCGAGGATAACGCTCTGTTCTTCTGGGGCGGAGAGAAAGCGTATAGAAGCTATGCGAATAATAACACCGACGGTGGAGTTAGTTATACTCAGCCGGCTGGTCTTCCGCATACGTTCAGTTATGAGATGGTGGCAGGCGAATTTTTGCCCATTACGTTTATTTATGCCAATGGATATGGGCCGGCGCTGAATCGGTTGACTATTACGAGTCCGAATGGGACTACGTATCCACAGGATCTAGGCTTTTTTGTGCCGCCGTGCCCCGACAGTCCTTTCGTGCCATAGATAAGGATTGTGAGGCAGTATATGGATATGATGAACGAATGGCCGTTTTGTGAAGCTTCTTAATGTCCAAGGTTCGGTTGGAAGGACATGAATGTATTTGATTACACTTTAATCCACCAGTGATCACATATATTTTTATCATCACCCAGCGGCGAAGTCTAAGCTGGATTGAGAGCTTAGAGCCCCTTACCATTACAATACCATGTCTTAAGTAGAAATAAATATAAGGCCCATTATCGTGAACTGTGGTCTGATAATTCGAGTCTACCTTACCTATAATCTGGATTATGTCCTAATTCTCGACTGATTCTGTGACACTGGCATCAACGTTTACCTCTATCAGATTCCTGTTTCTCACAGTATCTCAATGAAAGCATACTTCAATAAAATAAAATAGATTTGCGTTGTGCAGTCAGCTAAAATACCAATGGACACTGAGAGGAGCGTTCAATAAGTTCAGCGTTAGGGCTTCGGCGGAGCAACCAACAACATTTATCGCCCTTCTACTGAACATAACTATACGACAAACAACCACACAGATATGCGTATGGCAAATATTCTTCCATATGTATGAACTTACTTACAGTTGACAATGCTCCGGTTCGATCGGATAAGTACATACTGCACTTCTTCCTCTATAGTCTAAGTACAAAACACGCCTTCAGCCAGGGCGCCTCAAGCGATCAACTGATTCGCCACGGCTCAGCCCCTAGTTTGACGATGAACTTTTCAGCATTCCCTTCCACCGTGTGTCATTGGTGTCTCAAAGACGCCAGGCTTGACGTTAAGGGGCCTTTTAAACTATTGATGCTGAACAAACCATTGGCTCGTGCTTTCCATGCAAGAGAGTCAAGGAAGGGCCGGATTTGAAAAACTCTGAGACGGCTGGATGCAAGGAGTACGTTACCTTTGATCTGAGCTGGGAGTATGCCATGGCCAATCATGTACACATGTACGTTCGAGGATTGCAGGATCGGTTATTTCTTGTGCTTATCTTATTCCATTTTTGCCATCGTTACTGTATTCCATCCATCCGGTAAACGATCTTTCGGCCTGTTAGGGCTTACCGTCGACATCATACTCGTCAATATCTGAAACATGGATTAACTAGTTTTTGAGTCTTCAGCCTGTTATATTCCAAATTGCGGTCTTGTCTGTAGAAATAAAAAACAAAATTTCTCTTTTTCCATCTTTTATTCTTATTTTTGCCATTCATATTTTCTGAACGTCTCCAAGGGTTCGTGTCAAGTTAACAAGTCGCTCCTTATTACAAATCGCTGGTTGATTGCAACTTTCTTACACTGACTTTCTCTTAACTCGCATCCTTCAAGTTTCAATTTGAATACTATATTCGAGCAACTGGTGATACCAGTTCACGACAATTTGTCGTATCCAATCGATCGATTGTAAACTGGTGACGTTTACCTGTTTCGGGCCTCCTGGTTTCTCGTGGCACATGTCGTTGCATGCCCTAATTCGGACTTCTCAGACGCTCTCTGTCGCAGACGGCCATTATACCCCGTTTCGCCCAGAGAAAGCCTCACGCACTCTTATTATTATCTTATTCTTATAGAGACTTAATCCGTCTCTTTGATATCATTGTGTTGAATTCAATTTACTTTTTTTTTTCTCGTGATTTCATCACAGCTACTTGCCGAGCAAGGAGAGACAATATGATTGTTCGGCAAAGAGCTACGGCGATACGATCTGTACAACTTATAATTTTACTGTTATTATCGCGCCACGTCGCATCAATCAGCTTATCACAATTCCAACAAATACAAGGGTTCTCGAATTCCTGCGAGAATGTGTGGCAAGTGGATATCCCCGGATGCACCAAGCGCGATTTTTCAAGTGCCAACTCCTGTTCCCAAAATTGCATCGCCGGCGTAAATATAATCAACGCTGAAGTGCTGGTCGCGTGTGCCGATGCTCGGGTTAGTAGTGGTACGTTGCTGGCACAGTTTTTGGCTGGATTTGGTGTTTCTGCGCTGTGTGGAGCGAGTGGTACGACGGCGACTGCTACGACTGTAGATTCGACGATGGCGACTACGACGTCTTTGAAGACTACTACCAGCACAAGTATATTGAGTATTCAGTCGACGACCGCAATGACGACGACGACGACAACTGCAGTTGGAGGAGTTACATCAACTTTGGATACGGCAGTATCTACAACTACCACGGCTGCTGTGACTACTTCGCCAACTTCGGTAACGACATCAACTACGTCAACGTCAATCACAGACCCCAATTTGACACTATCATTTACCGGGACGACCTCAACCGCTTCATTCACGAGCACTGCCTTGACGACCACGAGTGTGAAAAGTACATCGACGTCGGATCCGGAAGCAAAAGGATTTGGTGGTGTTGGAGATGCGTTTAATATTCTCGGAGGGAATAGTGGGACTAGGTTGGCATGTATATCGTGGGAAGTGATGAGTTTGATGAGTATTTTGGTGATCTCGATTTCGAGAGGGATATGGTAGTGATTATGCAGTTAATGATACCCAAGGATGATATCTTCCGAGAATATATCAGTTATCGAGCGTAAACGTCGTACTGCGAAATGCATCATGATATAAAAGAGAAGATGAATTTACTTTGCCTTAGTAAGCAGGCAGGGTTCGACGGGAATGGATGGTCTCGTTAAACTGATCTAGTCCGTAGATGCGTGAGATATCATCATAGTAAGCCTGCTGCTTAGAAAGTGCAACCAATCGTGCGAAGTTGCTGCTAAATAGCTCGAGGAACGTATCATTCTTGTACTCGGGTGAAAATTCGTTCCGTCGTGACATTGTCACCACGCTGGTATCTGCCGGAGTGTTATCCTGATTTCTACTATACGTAAAAGGATGAACTACCAGCCATCCCTGATCCAAAGGCAGCCATGTAGCTGAGAGTAAATCGTGGGAAAGCAAAATCATTTCCGACGCTGACCCATCAGTCGCCACCATTAGGTTGCTTACCTCTGTTAAAGTCATTTACGGCACTGGAGCCTGTGATAGGTTCCTCGATTGCAGGGGAACCACCATATATCAACGTGAACTATATGATCGAGATATCGATGGAGCCCGGAGAGACATCAGTGCATACTCTTCAGCATGAGGCTGAGATACTAGATGCTGAGATAATGCCAAACCATTGTAAGGATAAAAAGCGGAAATTAGCCTCGTGCCTGTTCACAATCAAATTCTGACCAGGTTTATGGTCAGTCTCAGCTTCATAATAAGGAGAGAAGTAGATCAAGAGTGCTGGGTGACTAATTCCGTTGAGGGATCTGCGCCTGAGGCAGTCATGTGGAGCCTCAGGCAGAGTGAAGCTGATCTAGATAAGATAAGGTGCTAACTAGATTGGGATCTGACAAATCAGGGACGGGATAATCCCTTATCGCGGCTGGGGAAGGACCCTCCTGCCTAATTGGAGCGATACAACACATCGCCTTACTCAGCTTAGCCTCCTCTATTCCATTTCTATTCTCTTCGCTCTTCTCTTTTTCATTTCTGTATCTTCTTCCTTACGCTCGACTTCTTCATTCTCTCCAAGTAGACCACTGCCTGCATTCCATCTCTTGCAGCATCGTGATCAACTCCACATCTCAAGGTTCCACTGTTATCTGCCTAGTGTATCTTGGAGTCCGATAACGCAGTCACGCGCCACTGCCACAGATCAGACTGACTCACAGTCAGCTGGCATCCTGTTTGAGCCAGTTATATACAATTCATTCTCATTACCGTCCTTGAATATTTCACAACCATATCTCCCAGCTTATACCGGACACTCATATCTACGGCTCACATCTGTAGCCGTAGGCACCGCGGAGATGTCCTCACCAGTCCTTTCTCCGCTTCATTCGCTCACCGGATACTCGTTACCGCAACACTGCGAACCCTCGTCCAATTTCCTAGCTCTTCTCTCGTCAACGCTGCATATATGTATTCCTAATGAGTTAGGGTTGATATCGTCGTCACTCGGCTGTTTGAGCATTGTCTCGTGGCTTTTTGCGCAACTGCCTCAGATTTATAAGAATTATAAACTGCAATCGACAGCGGGACTGTCTGCATTTTTCCTCGTTGAATGGTGTTTGGGGGATACTGCGAATTTGGTCGGTGCGCTATTCACACGTCAGGCGACGTGGCAAGTGACGATTGCCTCATACTACGTTTTTGTAGATGTTGTACTCGTTATCCAATATTATTGGTATACATATGTGAAGAAGAAGGGGAAAGGGAAGGATAGCGTCGATGGCTCATTCGACGAAGATAATGCTCCGATATACGACGGCATTCGTGTTAGAGATGAGAACCAACCTGTGGATGATGTTTACTCGACGAAAATAATGCGCCCTTCGGAGCCAAAGGACGTGGAATTATTCAAGTCAAGCGCCAACTCTCCACCCCGATTTTATTCCCCTTCCTACTCGGAGAAGTTTGGAAATCGACGTGTACGTAACACAGGTTATCCTAGTGGAAGTATGCCACTAGGAGTGTCACCGAGAACTGTTCTTTTGACATCGATGTTGTGTGCTGTGCTAGCGAATGCATCTCCAACTCCGTCGATGGCTACCTCTCCCACCCACTCTCCCTTGCCGTCAAATTTTGACGCTATTACTGATTCTCACGACATGGACATTGAAACCATTGGCAGAATCCTGTCATGGATGTCTACCATTCTCTATCTCGGCTCACGACTTCCTCAATTGTACAAGAACTATGTTCGCAAGAGCACCTCCGGACTTTCACCTTTGTTGTTTATGGCAGCCTTTTGTGGAAACTTTTTCTACTCCGCATCACTACTCACCAACCCCAACGCATGGTACGATTACCCAGCCTACGGCGGAGGCGGTTGGGCCGATAAAGACGGCAACAATCGAGCCGAATGGGTCGCTCTCGCGACGCCGTTTTTCCTCGGTGCAGCCGGAGTTTTGAGTCTGGACGCTTTTATGGGTGTACAGTTTCTTATATACGGGGATCAAGGTGGCGAGCCGCTTGTCACTGTAGACGACCCAACAGATCCAGGTCACAAGCGATGGAGACGCGTGAGCGGATGGATGAGAGGATGGATTCCATCTGGAGAATTGAACAAGTATCTCCGCAGCAATTCTGGATCCCAGCTTGCTGAGACGCGGTCGTTACTTGGGGACTCTAATACCAGCGGTCACAATTATGGTGGCGTCTGATCGATCATACACTGTTCATTTTTTATTCTGGTTAACATTTTGCATTGGTGGCGGGCTAGTTCATTCACATGGCATGGCGTTTTGGTTTTTCTTTACTTGAATAGAGTGAGGGATGAAGATGGAATCTGTTTGTTGATATCATGCATCTAGAGCGTGCGAATCATTACGACTAAACATACTGCATTCTACAGATACCATGAATGGCATACACATTATACCTACCATCTCCATATACAAATGAATTTTTAATCACAACCCTTAACATTGAAAGATCATGAGTGCTTTTCCGTCTTTCCAAGCATCCCGCAACACTACAGTTTGCATACAGTATCTTATTCTCTGCAGCCTGATACGTTCGCCTTTCAGGAATCTAGTTCGGTGCTTTCAACTTTCCCAGATTTAAAATACTCGGAACTAGAGCTATGGCAATCATTTCTCTAGATAAACCTCTGAAGATCGTCTCTCCTATACTCTACCTAGGTATTACGGCTCTCACTCATTTTTCAGGGTAAAATTGACAAATCGCATGTCTTGCAGTACGTACTAAATAAGCGTAAGGCTACTGATGATAAGCCTTATAGGTTTGTATGGCCGATTCAATACATTGAATAACCGCAAGAAGAAAGACCAGAACAGCAATCCAAAATGTCCACCACCGGACTGGCCTACGGTCATCTCTCCAGAACCGCAGAATCCCTCTGGGCTCCCGCTCATCATATATATCCTTCAAAGTCAGAAGGCGTTCTCGCCATATTGGAACCGATCCGAGCGACGCTCAATTGAGCGTAGATAAGGTCGAGAGGTGATCTCTTTATCCACGTTTCTTCCATTGTTTCGATGTCGACTGTTAGTATGCGATTTGAGCCACGAGTCCACACTTCGGTTATGTCGTGGAAGGAAGAGTGAATACGTTTTAAGGGTCTCTTCGGCGATTTCTTTTAAGATATCCGGGATCCTGTATATAAGTGTTAGCAATGAAAAGTACTCCAGCTATGCGAGACATACCTCGGTGAATTTTTGTAAAGGCTAAGTATTGATGCTAATTGGAATATAGAAACCACCGAATCATCTTCGTACGTTAATAAATGCCTTGAAAGGTCACATGTCCACTGTGTCTTAATGCCTGCTATGTGCGATAAGTTTCGCAAATTAAATGAACTTGGAAATCTAGCTTCCAGCCCATCATCAGTCGTATAATTGCAAAACTTCCTTTTAACAAAGGTACGTAGTGTTTCATCTGTCTCCCACTCCTTCACGTCGATGAATGTCCAAATCTTGGCTGAAAGCTCAAGCATCTTGTCAACTTCTGCTTCGAAAGGTGGTGTTGATTGCAACTGAAGCCGTTCCAATAGTGGCTCGCGGAGTTGACTTCTTGAATGGGTGTCAAATAACTCTTGTTCAATACTGATTGTAGAAATAATGTCGGCATAGCTCCTTTCCTTGAGAAAGGGCTCCTCTGACTGCTTGAAGTCAAAGAAATAGGTCTCTTGATAAAAATTGAGGAACTCAGTGTACTTGTTCGAAATTTCTGCGTCTGTTGGCATGACACCCCGGATGACCTTGATGACTTCACGTTTTGCATCGTCATCGAGGGTGACTGGGCCCCTTTTGGAAGCGTCCAGGGCAGTTTCTATCCCCGGCGATATTTTCACTTATGAGGATGTCAAGACATATTCTGGCGCTCCGATTTTCCTTGAAATCCAAGTCGGAGATACAACTTATCGGAGACCTGCAACCTTGGGTGGTCTGCTCGATGTTGGTGGTTCGATTTACGGGCTTATGGTTGCACATGCAGCTTCTAAGGATTATTTACACGACTTGGGCTCCTCTGGGAAGCCGATGTCGTACGTACATTATGACGATAAGTACGAGATTCCCGAGGACAGGGAGGATTTGGACCTTAGTATGCCCTCCTCTCACGCTCTTATAACATCCCTAAAGGTTGATTCACGAGCTCTGCTAACTTTTAATAATGGTCAGAACAACCTTTATCGGATGCGGCTACTGGTTCTGATACAGCATCAACTCGGGGCCGGCTACATGATGTTCAAGAATGGCTCTCGTCTTCTAGGATGGTCTGGCCCAGACTAAATCCCTCGTTCGACGTTTCAAGGGACGGAACAGGCCACTCTCCTAGGAGGCTAGGATCAATTCGTCATATCTCTTCAAACTTCGACAGAGATCTATTCGATTGGGCAATTGTCGAATTGGATACTTCAAGCTTCGCTGCTCGCCAGGTGAACAGATTGATTTATTCAGCTACAGGGTGGTTGGAAATTCCCATTTCATCCAAGTTGGCCTTGCAGCCAGGACCCAGAAGTGCTATCGTAGCAGCAACTGGGTCCAGTGGTTATGTCAAGGGCTATCTTTTCTCTACTCCTGTACTCTTTCAGATGGAGCCAGGAAGATCTCCCTTGCAAGCCAGGGAAGTGGTATTTGAGAAAGAACTCAGTACGTCTTCCCTCATTCTATGTTTCTGTTTTCGGAGTCAACGGACTCGCATGCTAATATTCCACTCACGTTTCTTCATAGAGTTTGGCGATTCCGGCTCATGGGTCCTGAATGAAAAAGGCGAGCCATACGGCGTTGTATTTGCTGTGTAACTGGATAGAAGGTGGCATATGTACTGCCTTTGGCTGATATGTTCGAGGACATGAAAGAAAGACTGAACACAACTGTAAAACTTCTAGAGCTCGGATTCTGGGATGTTGCCATGCGAGTTATCGGCCGATTGATGTCTTTCGATATGTTCATGGCTATTGCCGGTATTTTTCTGACGGCCACCTGATTTCTTTGTTGAATGAGAATTCGTGTATGTCTAAGTATGGATTGCAATAATAGCTTTGTATTGCTATAAAGACCAACCGAGGGAGCTTGTAAAGCGTTTGTTAGGTGAAGCTATTCCCGGTTGCACCTCGGCATGTCCGGTCTCTCCGGTTTTCTTTTTTTTTCTTTTTTTTTTTTTTTTTGGCAAAGTTGGTCAAGAATGAGCGATGTATTTTGTGAGCCGTGTGGCATAGACATCGTACAAGTCCTATTTCTGTATATCTCATAGTTGATTGAATAATCTTTCTGTTGTACTATGTATGTGCCAAGTTGATATGGCGGCCAAAATAGTCTTAGTGCGGTTGCGGTATCAGATGATAATGATGATGATGATGCGATAAAAGTCAAACATGACTTCCTCTTCAGCACCTTCACTCACCCTCCACACAATTCAATCAGACAAGAACAGAACGCCGCAATCATGTTCGAGGTGAGTATCATCTTTCTACTACGGCTATAGCCACTTCTAATAATGTGCAGAGACACGCAGGAGACCGCTACCGCCTGCGCCTCCACCGCGCTCGCTCCGCCGTCCTTACCTCGGACGAAATGGTCGAAGTACGCGCAGCCCAACGCACCTTTGAAGGCGCCTACGTCCGTACCGCTCTCTCTGCATTCTCCTTCGCTCTTATCGTGCTGAAAGTATTCACCGCTGAATTTTATGGCATCGGTGCTCTGTTCGCGGTGTATGGAACGGGCGTGTTGATTATCAGTGCCTTTCGCCGGCAACAAGGGAATAGACAGTTTTTCAATGAGCTTGGAGAGGATGGACTTCACAGGCGCAAGTTTAGGACGAGTGGGAATGCGGTTGTGTTTTTGACGGCGTTGAGTGTGGCGGCGTATGCGAGTTTGATTGGGTTGACGTTGAAGCTGTAGTCATCAGCCAGCTTCCGTGACTGTGAGCTGACAGTGTGAAGAGCTCGGGTTACTGCTCAGCTATTGCCTGACTTTCCTCTCGTCGTTTGACACGACCGCGAAAAGCAATCCCGAGCCAAGACCTTCCTGCATCTCTTTCCAGCTATCGAGCGGACAATGCCACGCATCCTCTCGCCAAGAAGGGCGGAATACACAAATGCCTGGATATTCTGTCAGCCCCGGTGGAAGGAAGGACAGCCAAGCCATTCCGATCTCCCCTATCGGTGCCGGCCGGGTACACGAGGCTTGGATTGATCGACGTGAATCGTGAGACTATGTCGCGGCGGCATGTCGTACGAGATCTTGGCGTGTTCGACAGAAGGGGAGGAAACATGTCCGCCAAGTTGATGGGCAAAGATCGGTGTCCGAGACGAAGTCCCTTGTCAGGATGATTTGGGGCATACGGGCGTACATATGGGGCGAGATACTCCGTATCTTTAGGCTGCTATGAGGCTGCAAGGAGCATCACGCCTGCGGTCTATATGCACCACTTGGCATAGTATATCAGGCGCCAAGTATGGATTACGCGGAAGGAGGTTATTCGGAGACGATTCACTTTGCGCCGTGTTTGAAATATACCATCGTGTTCAATCAAATAATGTGACTATTCCAGACTGTGATTGATGTAAGTAGATAAGTCATACTACGCCCCAGCGGGATTATCCCGCGCACAATGTCAACGAGTCATCGCTCAATGCGACCGAGTGCTCGGAGTTTATTGTAGCCTTTCTTTTTGTATCAGCCGCGTATAGAATCTGAGTAAGCGTGTCAAGTTTCTTTTTCAGGCTTCTTAAAGAGTGCCTATCACTCATCTCCTGGAGCCTTCCACAAAGTGACATACGCGGCCCACACTGACGATGACTGACTTCATCGACCGACGGACTCCCAACAACCTCAACATTCGAGCAACTCAGCTAATTCCCCCCTTGGATATCAACATACTGCGTCGTTACCGCTGTACAGTATATGCCCCGTCTGTTCCAGCCTGCGCTCGGTACAGTCCATACCCAGGGATACTAACTCCGGTGCTAGAGTCTACAAGTATATCGCCTCACTTCCAACTTCCATTGACGGAGTGAACCAGTCCGGCAGAGGCCCGAACGTCCCGTGGGCTACTTACAAGTCAACAACTTGCGACAATAGTTCTACTGTTATTATCATCTCGCCAGCATCACCAAATACACCCCCTGACATCCACTGATCCAGTCTGTCCAGTGCCCAAGTGTCCAAGTGTTAGCTCAGCGGCAAAGGCAACAGAGTGGTGACGCCTCCCGCCGCCAGTGGTCTTTGCACGGACTGAGTCATTCGCGATCATTCAACCACGATCCTCGTCAAATAGTCAAATCTATCGCAAGGTCTCACCTGATTTCTGTAACACCGCTATCTGCTACGACTCTCTTATCACCTGTCGACCTCATATCAGATCCGCTTCTTTTGTTTCTGCCTTGATTTCTTTTTTTTTTCTCCTCTTGCACTACTTCCGGACCCACTGGGACTAGTCGCGTTCGCAGCGTGCTTCCTGGCAGGGCTTTCGCTGGCTAAACGAGAGGGGAGGGGGGCTTATATATTTAATATCGTCCAGGTTCCGGTCGTCAAAATGGATGTCGCTTCTTCATCGCCGCCGTCAACATCTTCTCATCCTCTTATTCAAACAACTCCGCCGTCGCCGTCGCAGTCACAGTCGCAGACAGCATCGCAGCCGTCGTCATCTTCCTCGTCGCCAACGAGATCCAACCTCAACCTCAACCTCAACCTCAATATCAATCATCAAAAAAGAATTCCCAACGGGGTTTCAACCGGAATACCGCGCTCTACTTATAATCCTCCCAAAACCGTGATCGGACGAGCGCTAGGGACCGAGCTGCATACGGAAGCCCACAAGCCTGTCCAATTGACCTCTCAGCGGCGTCTGTCCAAGGACGGAGTCGGGATGGCCCTGTCTGATACTCCGATTTCTACCGCACCGAGTTCTCCGCAGATGTAAGTATCCGAGGTTTCTACTATTTTGCATATTTGACATTTACATATTTTGGTGTTTTTCTTTTTTTCTTTCTTTCTTTTTTCTTTCTTTCTTTCTTCTTTTCTCTTTTCTTTTTGGATTGTTGCATATCATCTTATCTGCTATCTGTGATCGGCAATGCGAGATGATGTATTATGAACTGTGCCCCTCGCGCTGTCGCTACACATGCATGCCATGACAATAATACATCATGACCGGCATCATATCTAACGAATTATAGACGCGCGCAATTACACTCTGCCATATCCACACCCTCATCCTCCGCCGCTCATACACCCAAACCCCGCGCCACAACCCTCGACATTCCAGGCCTCACCCGTTCCAAAGTATCCCCCGATGGACGCATTCCCGAACGCGATCTCGGCTCCAAGCTGGTCATTGTCATGGTCGGCTTGCCGGCTCGAGGCAAAAGCTACATCACAAAAAAGCTAGCGCGGTACCTGAACTGGCTACAACACGACACACGTATATTCAACGTCGGCGAACGACGGCGTATCGCCGCTGGCACGGGTAGTCCTGATCCGATCATGAGGCATAGAACAAACAGCTCTATCGACCAAGCCCTCTTTGAATCTGTGCGCAGAATGAGCGTAAACGCTGCAAGCTTTGGCGCATTACCTCCGTCGCCGCCTGAGAAGGCCGATCCTCTCCCGCCACCAGCTATGTCGGTGTCACCACCGGCGGATATTCAGGTCAATGGGCAACATGTCGATGCGCCGGGACCGATGCCACTCTCGCCAAGGGCCAGTCTGGCCGTAGATACGAGTCCCGAACCGAAGCGCGAATCTATCGACCAGTCTGCGGCTTTCTTTGACCCCAAGAACCGCGAGGCAGTCCAGCTCCGCGAACAGGTTGCGCTAGCCACGCTAGACGAATTACTGGACTACGTTCTCGATCAGGGTGGTAGTATCGGTATATTGGATGCAACCAACAGTACACTTGAGCGCCGCAAAACGATCATGGATCATATCCGTCAACGCGCCGGTCCCGAGTTAGGGGTGCTGTTTCTTGAAAGTCGCTGCGTTGATCCGGTGCTGTTAGAATCGAACATGCGATTGAAACTGTCTGGTCCGGATTATCGCACGCAAGATCCCATCAAAGCGCTGGAAGATTTCAAGAAGCGAGTCGCCCTTTACGAAAAATCATACGTTCCTCTTGGTGATTATGAAGAACAAAACGACATGGCATACGTACAAATGATCGACGTAGGCCGAAAAGTTGTCGCACACCAAACAAACGGATTCTTATCCTCGCAGGTTGTCTACTATCTGTTAAACTTCAACCTCTCCCCTCGCCAGATCTGGATTACCCGCCACGGCGAAAGTATCGATAACCAACTAGGCCGTATCGGCGGCGATTCTGAGCTGAGCGAAAACGGGCACAAATACGGCCGTGCCCTGGCGCGATTCATTGACGACCAGCGCCAGAAATGGGAAGCATATCAAGCCGAGAAGGCCATGACAAGCCATTTCCCGCCGCACCCGGGAGATAGTACACCACCAAACCCGTCTTACGGAGCAAACAGCAACAAACCACGCAATTTCTGCGTGTGGTCCTCAATGATGAAACGCGCTATTCAGACTACGTCGTACTTTAACGATGACGATTACGATATTAAACAGATGCGTATGCTTGATGAATTATACGCCGGTAAAATGGAAGGTTTAACCTACGACGAAATCAAAACTAAATACCCGGAAGAATACGAGAGTCGTCGCAGGCAGAAACTCGAGTATCGCTACCCCGGTCCCGGTGGAGAGGGTTATTTGGACGTGATTAATCGATTGAGAACGGTCATTGTGGAAGTTGAGCGTACTATCGACCATGTCCTCCTCGTCACCCATCGGTCTGTTGCGCGTGTATTGCTGGCATATTTCCTGGGTTTGGATCGGGATCATGTCGCTGGTCTCGATGTTCCGTTGGGAGTGCTGTATATGCTTGAACCAAAGCCGTATGGAGTTGATTTCAAGGCGTACAAGTATAATCCTGAGACGGAGTGGTTTGATTATATGCCCAAGTTTGAGTTGCATCAGTCTAAGACTGGTTAATTTGTTTTCTTCTGTGAGTATCTTGTTTGACGTGTTTGATCTGGCGAAGATAGATGTTGCATTTACGGCTTATAGGGTTTGTTGTAAGAGTTGTTGCATGGTGCTGGCGTTATGGATGTATATGTGTTATCTGTATGAATTATGTTTAATGACTGTACATGTTTTACTACTGTTCAATACAATCGACTTCACAATTCGATTATATTCGCTTATACTAAGCTCTCAAGACCCAGGCCTATGATTATGATGATTATTATGATTATACCCACTCAAACCCGGATACCCATACTTTGAAAAACTCCTCCTCCAAATCGACAACGGCCGTCCATTCCTCCCTATTGTCCCACCTTCAATTACATTATGCTCATTTCTAATCGATGGGTCCGTCGTCTCGTACTGGATCGTGAATGAATCGTGGCGTGAGATGTGTGACATTGGTATTTGCTCTTCCCCTTCCAAATCATCGTCGTCTATATGGCGATCATCGTCGTAGTCGAGGATACTAGCTTGAGACTCAACGTCCGTTTTTGAGGTTACTGTAACACTCTTGATATGGCATGATTGACTGCTCGGTGAAGTAGGCGATAACTGCTTTGCCACAATGTTGTTGTGCATTGAGTCTCTGCTCTGACTACTGATGAGCGTAGAGGACATCCAATTCTGATGCGAGGATGAGCCTTGTCGACCTCGTTGCGTTCCTGCGCCTGCTGAGGGCACGGATTGTGATCGGCCGTTATTGTTATTATTTTGTTGATGTCGGTTTCGAGCGGCCTTTTTGCGGTCGTAGGAGGATTGTTCGGCTGAGCGGCCGCGGAAGACGTTGTTGCCGAATATGGATTCGAGTAAGGGGGTGATTGTGGGGATGCAGGCTGCTATTATGATTGTGTTTCCTTCGATGCTGGCTCTGTTAGATTGGGAGGTAGGCAGACGGAGAAGGGGGCGTACCTTGTCCATAGGAAGACGCCGAGGGATCTATCTGCTGGTTGTTAGCATGGAGGGGAGAGATTTTAGGGTTGGAAAACGTACATGTATAATCGGTCAAAACTTCCAGACCGGTTAAACGAGTTGCCTTGTAGACTGATACTGCGCATGCACTGGTTCAATCAGTCCAGGTTCCTAGAGGTAGGACGTAAGACGTACAAAATACCCATGCCCAATATAACCATCAATCCAATCTTCTTCTTCCGATTCATTTGTAGTCTATACAAAACCGTTGCCGGATATAGAGCCAGGAACAGATCCAGGAAAGCCGATAACGCTATAATCGTCAGGATGCCTCTTGTCGTTAGTGAAGGGAGAGACATACCTCCAGCCCCGATGGAATAATTAGCCAACACATCCGGATGCCAGCACCTCACACCCGGCAAATCATGTATCTCTGGCGTCCAAACTGCTCTCGTCGGCGAACATTGCGCAAATAGAATAATAACGCATCCGAATATAATCAAATCTATAGTCCCAACAAACACCCATAGAAAGAATGTAAAACGAGGTGTCGGATTCAGGATTCTAATCAACAGGGCCGTAACACCCAGTTTCGGGACTGTAAAGGATAATATACCCGGTGTAAACGATGCGGTGCTGTACATGAGTGCGTTGCGTTCTTGTTCGGTAGTTAGGGTGTTGTCGTGTCGGCCCATGCCCCAGTGTATTGAGATTGTGACGAGGATGGCAAAGAGGTAGCAGCATACCTATACAAACAGTCAGCACTCTTCACAATTTCCGGTGGATAAAAGTTGAGCGTTTTGAAGGGGGAGGGTTTACCAATGAAAAAGCCATCAAATAATCATCCAATCCACTCGTATTCACAATCTTGAGTCGAGTATACAACCTCGCAGCCATGAACAGGCTACTAACCGCTACAAAGGCCCATATCAAGCCCAAGGTGGCGCCGACGGAGGCCTCGTCGGCCATTATCGTTGACCCTTTCAAGGACGCATGTATGCAACAGACTCAGGGTTCGATTCCAACAGGACGGATTGACAGATCTGATCGATCGATGAGGCGAAAGATTTACTCCGTGGAGTTATGAGGGTACGTATTAATAGGAAACTTTATGACATGCATGTAAAAAATGATCAAGATCCAGAGATTGAGAAAAAGATTAACGTTACTGTCTGACCCTGCTTTTCGGGGTCTTTGACCCTCGTCATAACGTAGGTGCCCACCGTCCAGACTTCATTATCCTGAATAATGTTGACACGGGCTCAAACCTTCAGATCCCGTTGTAACTTTGCCAGCCGTTTGGGAACGGAATACTCCGCTGCTGATTCGTGCTGAATAAGAAAAACAGAAGAAAAAAAGGGAATTTTCACGGTAGATCAATGGATATTCGGTCGTTGATAGTGGATGCTATTCCCACTTGGACTGAGCACTAGCGATGCCCTAATTCGAGACCTGTCAAGCATGTGCCCATGCATTAAGAACGTGCCGCGGGCCGGGATTAGGGACTAAACTGTGTGCGGTTTATACTTGAACCACTTCGAACGGTAGGATTGGTAACGAGGGCCTATATTATCGTTCTTGTTATAGGGTTCGTTCTCAATAGTTGTCGTCTGTCGCGGGACGAGATTAAGAAGCCGTAGCTAGATAAGGTCGGAGATACTCTAGAGATACATACTTTGATGCCCAAGATCTAGACTCTCTCTGAGTTTCTCATACTTGCACGTGAATATCTGACGATCTTCATGATTTGCATCAAGTAGGTGATTCCCTCTTCTGTCCTCGAACGGTCGAGTCCGAGTCCTGAACCGGTAATTCAATAAAGGCTTAAATCTTAGTCCCTGAACTACAGAGACGCCGTCCATTAAATGCGGAGAATTTCTCACGGCCCAAAATTAAAAAGACAGCGTCGATTCCTTCCATACCTGGTATAATAAAGGGGTGGCATATTATTCTTCAGGTCTTTAATTGCTTGTTGGTAGCCAATTGGAAGGATCAACTGTATGGAGATGTGTTCAGGGGCATTAGAGACTAACTCTTGGTCCGAGGACCGAACGAGTTAGGGCTATGTAGGAGTCTGAGACTTGGCGTACTGCATGTTGATTGATTATGCTGGGGTCTGGCTATAAAAGTGTATTACTATCACTACGTACTACCTAGTACCTAGTTACATACGTAGAGTAAAAACAGCCGTAAACGATTATTGTTATGTGAGTTGAGATATGTGATACTGCTAAGTTGCCGAGGAGCATAAAAGAGGAGAAAGCGGCTGGTAGTAAACTTTGTGTCTATACTAGAACTCATAGTACATACTCATTTTGGCTTGTCTGCTGACTCGCAAAAGTTTTGATCTAACCTTATCTAATTCATGTATTCTGCTCTCCGGATTCACTATGTACATGTTTGGAAAAAAGAGTATTGTTCCTAAACTCGTTGGAATTGTACTGTGATTCGACTGCAAAAATGTGACCCAACGCGGATCAGGCATCAGTCATTTAACTATTAATACAGACAATAACTGATTGAGATAGTGATTGAACTCTCATAGCTCCGCAGTATCGGTGTCCATCCTGGACACCCCAAAATGAACTAGCACATAAAAATAGCATTTGCAGAGGATTCCATATTCATTAAGCCCCGAGTTGAATACGCGCGGCTTCCCCTTGGACAGCAGGAATGCGAATAGAAGCTTTTCAACACAAGTTGGAGCTTGCGCCTCGTCGCGGATCAAAGTTGCTACTGCTTGTCTGCCCTTTTAACATAACTTAACAGTCAACAGCTGCACTGCAGTAAGGAATTCATCAGGCGGGGTGTATGCCTGGAATGACGGACAAAGTCGTGAAATAGAACCATCTGCATTCTTGACCCATGTATCTGCCATAGCGATGATCACCGTCGTCTTTGCTCAATTGCATATTCAATCTGCGTTATTACTTTGCATAGCGAGTATCCCACTCCTGTCGACAAGGTTGCCACTGGTGAACAGATATCGGAGGTTCGAGAATGAATGTCCGACATGGCTTTGCATTTATTTCATGGTGACGCTGGCTCGGTCTCAATGATGATGATATCTTGTAAGACATCCTTGGCTGTTAGCTCAAGGACGGCAATGGTGCGTGGTTCCATTGCATACTGCCGAAGGCTCCACCGAATATCTGTGCGGGATTTTCCACTATTGTGTTCATATGATACTTTGAGTGACCTAGTAAGAAGATTCCGCATGACAGCAATGTTAATGGGGTTGACCATATGAGTAACTGTAGCGGCCAGCACATCTCCCTCAGTTGCTAAAAACCCGCATTCATCGTCAACTGGAACAAAGTCGAGAAGCTTGTCATTTGGATCCAAGGCCGTAGTTGGCAATGCCTGTTGGACAAGACCAAAAAGAACCCCAGGACTGTCATGTCTCCAACCGAGGGATCAGCCATGCTGAAGCTGGCTAGATAATGTAAAGTGGCGTAGTCCCGAGATAATAGAATAATAGGGTGGCACCACGACCGGCCGTTGTGCCCAAGGAGATCTCGGTATCAACGAGGGTATAATCTCAAGTCGAAGGGCTCCTTGGGATCCCTGGAGCGACGGTGAATTTTGAAAACATTCATTAAGTCCTCAGCAAGACCGAAAGAGCGGACTCGCTTGACCTCGCGCTTCGACAAGACTAAGGTTGCGGTTGGCGAAGTGTATTGTTTGGTCTGAGGCTTCCTGTTGACCCGACCATACAAGTCTTGGACAGGGTTGTAAGCGGTTTCTGCATTTCGGAGGCAAAACGGTGCTGCAAGACATCCCAAGAACCAGTGACTTTGAAAAGTGGCTGAGATGGACCACAAGCTATACACTCTTTACTGGGACTTGCTGCCGTGTTTTGCCACCAGAATTGATGCTGCTGTCTCCTGGCAGCAGGAAACCCATTAATGTGAGGATCCTTCAAGTCAGAACATCTTGCAGGACTTCTTCCATGATAGGCCATGCTGCGCGGCTTTTTCGTAGCCGTATTTTCTTCCCAGACAAGCTGCGTAGTCATCTTGCCAATTTGGACTGCCTCAAAACGTATGATTGGAAGGGTTGGTTTCTACAAGTATTTGTCTCAGTAGCTAATGTGCGTACTGGTGAATGTTGACACGACGGTACAACACCTAAGGAACGCAGGCGTTTGGTGCCTAGAGGATGCTGGTAAGGACCTAGGGTCAACAAGCAGAGAAATGAAGTACTTTAAATCATCGCATCATCTTCAATTCAATTCCAGCAAATACTTGCATTTCAATTTCTTGAATTTCAAATTATTTTGTCCGACATGCCTGAACTTACACCTATGAATTCCGGGCCTTCCCCGTGTCGAACTTGATGGCCAGCCATAGGCATAAACGTCGAGCAGATACGGATATTGAAGCATCTAGGAGGGTGGAATCTAGAACGCGGTGTCCAGGTTATGCCCCATATGTATGGTGGTCTGTCTTGCTGTGCTTGGACTTCCAAATATAAGCAGGATTGGTGTGTGGTACCTTTGACCTGGTGTATCTTGTCAACGTGTATCGAATGCCAATGTTGCTACTCATAGAAGCTCCAGTCCAATGCTTTTCTTTTTTGGTCGCATCACGAGTAAACTGTCCTTTGCCATTCTGTTTATCCTAGGTCTCTTTCATTCAACGTGACAGGTGTCTTCGGGCTTTCTCTAGAAGTTCTTATGATGATCTCACTCACTTTTCGTCCCTATTTTGTTTCCGTCATGGCCAGCCAGGATGTGGTCCTCTTCAGCATCAACTTTTTTCCACTCATGTCCAGTTTCTCCAGATCCTTGTTCTGGTGGCAAATAACGTCAAGGCATGCAAGGGGAGCATTCCATGTCAACTTCCACAACTTGGACTTCGAAGCGCAGTCGTAGCCTTTTGATAAGTGTCCACGTCATAGTTTCACGCGAGACTTCGTTGCTTGACATGATGACTATGTCCTACACCACAACATGGGGTTGATTGGAGTCCAAAAGTGACAGCGGACCATAGTTGTAGAACATGATAATGATGCAGAAGATAGACGACATTAAAACCTCTCACCTAGACAAGAGAATCATGTAGAGTGGGATCGATCCTGCCGAATACGAATCGTATGAACATGAGAAGATAGAAGATAGACGATGATGGAAACTCCTAACTAGACATGAGCATGGGCTTTGTGATGGGAATACAGGGTCTTGTCTTGGTCAAATCGCACTAAGACGAGCACGACCGGTTGATGGGCGATATAGGCTGTTTGAATAAGTTGAAAAGAGTAGAATCAGAGTGTCACGACGGCACAGATATATAAAAAGAGAGAAAATAGTCTTCCCGTGGAAGTGGAAAGACTCTTCTGCTATACGAAGGAGAAGAGAAAATAGATTGGGAATAAGAAAGATACTCACAGGGGAGAGGGGAAAGAGCCCCTTCTTATGTTTGGCAGGACAGGGCGCAGCGCAAAAAGCCTCTGCAGCAAAGAGGTTGCCTAGTAACTTCCAGAGACGCCCACCGACAGCGCGTGATGAAGAAAGAATAACGAGAACGACTGCCTCGTTTATATAAAAGCAAACAAAAGACTGACAAGAGAAGAGACTATGTTGTATGGCAGCGTCAATGGCGGTCGTCAAATGTGGTATATCGGCGAGAAATATAAATCTTTAGGAGTAGAAAGAAAGATGGAAGGCTTTGTCCGGAAATGTTACATTGATTGATATCTGGAAACTGCCTGAAGATCATTCAATATCGTTTTTTGGTCATCTTCTATCATACGTACCTACAAGTAGATGAATATGGTACATTGCCGTCGGAAAAAAAAAAGACATGGTGCTATACATTCGTAGTTTCATTATTTCCACAGATGATTATATGCTGACCGACATCGGATCTACGAGTAACTCCATTCAAACATTGCTCTGTACGGTGAAAAGAGAGTCTGTTGTGGCATTTGTCAACATCTCAACACTGCTGGGATAAGCATATCCACGAGCGGCGTCCAAAGTTGCTTTGTACTGTAGAGGATACGTCAGTTATTTTGGCCTATCTCATTGCTAGGGTTTCCTCCTACCTTGAATCCAAAGTTCAAAAGAAGTGCTCCTGCAAGTCCAATGCAGACAACAAGCGGACCAAACATATTATCAAGATCCTTGCCACTGCGCTGTCGGATCAATCGTGCCCGCTTCTCGTACATATACCAACCCCACACCGAGGCAAAGACTGCGAAGAATGTGTAGACAATCGCCAAGGCTTGTGCAACAATGTTGTTGATGCCCGCCGCATTGTATAGAGCCAGTGATAACGAGGCGAGCAAGACGCTGACGTGCTGCCATTTGATGAATGTTCGCTGGTTGGCGAGCCACACCTTGGACTCCACACGTACTGGTCCCGCATCTTTAATCCAGACTTCGGGTGCTGAAACACCTGGTGGAAGTTTTGAGCCTCTTTGACGATGTGCTTGCGCATAGCGGGACATGGAGAAAGATGGGAACAGGCTTCCAAGGTAAGACGTGCTCGCCGCGCCTTCTTGGCTTTGCGCAGGTTGCGAAGGTGTCGCCTCTGTCGTCGGAGATGGCTTGCTAATTTCTGTCGTACGGGGTATATCTTTGGCGGTAATTGAAGGACGTTCAACTCTACTTGGTGTACCGCTCAACATCGTCGAACGTCCAGGCGATGAACCCCTTCCGGCGCCCATGCGCGATATGGGCGATCCCATCATCGTCTGTAGCGGACTGCCTTTCGCTCCCAAGAAGCTTCCAACCACAAAATCTTCCTCCGCACGCTGGGCCTCCCGCTCTTGTTCCTGCTGGAACGCCGTTTGGGGGTCTTGTCGAATGTCATTCTCCAACTCACCAAGCCAGAACGGCAAGGAGTTGATATGGTCCTCAAAAAGTGACGCCACACCATGAACAAATTTTGAGAATCTAGGCGCCTCTTTCACAAGATGTGAGACCATAAGATCATGCAACCATTCTACATGACGAGCGCCATTTCGCAATTTGATCTCTAGCAAGGCATGCGGAAAGCGTGCAATCTCGCCCTTGTTGATAGAGCTGAAAGGATACTGCATTCCCAAGTCGTCGATATCCCTCCGATGCCAATCGTCTGGATCACGGCAGGGTCGTTGGGGGTCTAAAGCGTCCTCCCGAATCAGGGCAAGATTGGTGTCTAGCGAAATTCGAATGCGATCATCCCCGGGAATCTGGAACGCGGTCCTGGTATAGTTTGCGCGCAGCATGGGCTGCAAATCATGTTCTTTGATGAACGACTGAAGCTCTTCCACCTCCTTCTTCAAGGCCTGAGCTTCCTGAGATTCGCCCTGAGCTCTGTCTTCGAGGCGATGTACCTTTTTCTCAAATTTGTATTCCCCTTTGAGGAATTCTTGGACGTGTTTCCCCTTGAGCTGCACTCGTACTTCGCGACTGCGGTCCTCGCTCACAACAACTTTTTTCTCCAAGAAAATTGCTGGCGCTTCGTTGAGATCTCCAGACCAACGCAGCCTAAGTGACCCAGCTCCTTCAGCACGTGTGACTTTCTGGTTGTATAGATCGAAGGAAGAATTATCAAAGTACAACGATGTGATTGTCGGGTCCTTTTGCGAGACATCCAGGTCCTTGGAGGTGGTCGGATTGTACAATAACACAGGGAGTCGACGCAAGATATGGGTCTTGACCTCCACAATATTATCCGTGTGGACCCAAAATTTGTACGATACGTAGGAATCATGGCCTAGACGGCCGTCACCGCTCGCTTCTTGGCCTTCTGGAAGTTCAAGACCAAGGATTTGGCGTGTAAAAGTGTACATGGCCGATAATCTGTGCAAGAGAGGAGAATAATCCTCCGAGTTAAATGAGAGCTGAGACAGCCGGACCTGAAGAAGAGGTCGAATTCGATAGCGTGCGCCGCGCTTTCGGTCATGTTTCTTTGCAGCCTTGAGGAACCCTGAAAAGTTGATTCGGCTGTATTTCTCCAATTCGCTCACCTCTTTGGTGATTTGATCGAGCTCTTGGACCGCCTCTTCCGCAATTTCTTTCCGTTTCTTCTCGTCAATTTCTCCATCATCACCAGAAGACTTTCTGGCGAGCGGCATGAGCTTGGCCTCACAAGCATTGGTGCGGTCTCGCAATTGCTGGGACATCTCCGATTGGAAGGCGTTGACCTTGTCCAATTGGACGTTGACGAGCTCCTGCACGAATGATTCTTCGTCGTTTTCGGTCCATGGCTGTGGTTCCGAGTCGCTGTCGTCTCCATCGAGCTCACGTTCTCGTAGCATGCCCTTGAGCTTTGCATAGTCGATGTATTTCCCCTCCCATGGCGGGTAGATGGAAGCTTTCAACGTTTTTCCGAAACGCATGGTGAAAACTTGAAACGGAAGGGAAGAACGCCCTTCGGTTCACTCCTTATGCCACTCAATTGGCTCAATTGTTTCAATTTGTATGAGCAAGGTACCAGGAGCAATTCCAGTCCGTATGTCTGGTGAATTGGTGGATAGAAGAGAAGAATTGGTCGTTCGAGATGCAAAGAAGAGAGAAATTCCGCAATCGTCATGGAAGTGCGCCTGGAGGGGCACGTGTCTCTGCTGGCTCCGATTTATGGACGGGATCCTTCCGGGCCTATGATTGGAGACTGATAGCACTAAGCAAACAGTGCAAACACTGATAAGCACTTACCTAATCGGCATCGCATCAACATTGTTATCCTAGTTGGACGAGAGTATCTGCAATTTTTCAATTGTATGCTATTTATGCTACTGTTATTGCATTTGTTCAAGCATTGCGTACAGAATTTGAAATCCTCACTCATATTGAGAAATCGATAGCTTTGAGGTTGTTCTTTTCGTCATCAAGCCTCGCCGAGGTTACACAACCACACGACAGTCGATCCTTCAAAATCTGAGATATAATGGCATCAACTACAGAATCGCCCAGATTAATCGAGTCCTTTCATAATGCACTACTTAATACCCACCAGAATCCCTGTGCAGAAGTACAGAATCCTCCCAACTGCGAGAAACGTGCCTCGGTAGCCGTCATCCTTCGAGTCCGTCCCCAATATAAACACCTGCCACAATCGCCGGTCACAGTAACCGATAAGACAGCTTCAACCCCTCAGCAATTGAGCAAATTCTTTGCTCAAGACTGGGTGCAACATGGTGATCCAGAATTGTTATTCATCAAAAGAGCATCGAGAGTTGGCGATCGATGGACTGGACATGTAGCGCTTCCCGGAGGAAAACGAGACCTCGAAGATGAAGATGATAAGGCGACTGCTGTGAGAGAAGCGCAGGAAGAGATTGGGCTGGATCTAAATAAGGAGGACTTGATATTCATCGGTAATCTGCCCGAGCGTGTGGTTACTACCTCATTTGGCAGTGTTCCGTAAGTGCGCAAACTGATTTCTTGTCCTTGGTTCCGCTTAGCAAAGCTAATTTTGCTGTTAGGCTGATGGTATTGTGCCCGTTTATATTCCTCTTGACATCCAATATCTCTCCGAATCTCACTCTCCAGCCCACCGAAGTCGCGTCGACACATTGGGTCTCGTTAAGAGCTCTTCTATCACCGTCACTGCGTTCCGTCGAACACGTCAATGTCTCAGCCCGCTATGCCAAACAAAATAGGTTGATCCGATGGGGTTCATCGCGCTGGATGACTGGCATGATGGAATTCTCGGCTCTAAGACTCCTCCCTACAGAAAGTCTATATTGCAGCTCTACTCCGGGCTTTCTCCCGGACGAATCCCATCAAACGAGACCATTTATACTCCAGAGATTCAATCCCTGGGCCGCGCGGCCAGCAGCGTATGGTGACAAGAACAGAGAACTGCTGCTATGGGGTCTTACATTAGGCATTATGGCAGATTTCCTAGACTTGCTGCCCCCTCATAATGCTATTGATCTTTGGAAGCATCCTACATTTACGGCTCCTGATTTACGACTTATTGTGTCGCTTCTCACTTATTCTATTCGCAAGAGGAATGCGGCGAAGGTGAAAGCGGCTCGAAGGCCCAGTCAGACTGCAGCGGATGACTCGACGATCGCGCTGTCATATGAGGAAGATGGACAGAGTGACAATGCGAATAATGAGAAGGATTCTTCTGTTTCTGGGCATGAACATGCCACTGCTATCTTACTACAAGGCTACTATGACCGTCTACGGCTGTCGTTGGGTGTCTTTGCTGTGTGGAGACTGGCATTGGGATCAGTTGGGGCATATTACATTTGGAAGCAGTTGCGACCGCGTTGATAGACCTTGATACATTGTACAAAATAGGTTTTGAACATAGCCAACTACTTAGTTAATGAACAGAACACTTGATGGATTATGTCATCATAGCTATTATCATCTAGAAGGAGAAACGTTGATTGGATCAGAGAGCAGAAGCTACCCCACACTTTGATAAACATTGAACAATCAACGAACAAACATCAACGACACTCGAGAACTTCGACAAATTGCCAGCACAGTGTCTCGTCCTGTATACTACCATTACAGTCGACTATACCGAAAACGCCCTATTCCAAATCGCAAATTGTCCATCGAAACGAGGGAACAAAACAAATGGCCGTGACACAAAAGCTGTACCCTCGCGGTACCGTGAAGCGAATTGTCAAGGCGCGCGCTGGTCGTAACATCAGCAAGAACGCAGATGTCTTGGTACCTTGTTCATTCTGTTCCTTGACTCCGTTAACGAAGTTTCTGATGGGCTCTGAACTGATATTCTCCATTAGATCTTTCTAGATTACATGCTATTCATGCAAGAGTATGCGCCCCATTCCAAATCATTGCACGCCGTTTGAGAAGATCGCCCTACCCCCATTCGACTACATACTTACATATCCAAATCACAGACTCATGCGCGAAGCCTCAATTCGATCCCGAAAATCAGGCGAAAAGGGCATCTCAGCGCGCAACATTCGCAGAGTCACGGAGGTCAGTTCATATACCAATTCCTTTTCCATCAAGCTGTCCACTTTGGAGCGCAGTCGTGTTGCTGACTCCTTTCGGAATTTAATCAGGCTACGTTACGAAAAATGAAAGGATAGCGATCTTTTTCTTTGTCGTCCTCATTGATCTTTGTGGGATGTTGCATTAGCGGGTCGGGCGTTGCGCGATATATGTATATATAGGCATGGGTATATTGTTGGGATGGCGACGGTGTCGGGCGTTAGGAATCGACTTTTGTCTGGATCCTTTCATGTTATTTTGCAAGGAAGCTATAGAAGCCGGTTTTGTGAGGGTGGAAAACTAGTTGCGCTCTCCGGATTATAGCACACTGTAGTGGCGGATATTTGCTGCGTAAATCCCATTCATGTAAATCGAGGTTAATTGATATGATCTAATCCATACAATTGCAGTATTAAAGACCGAGGCATTCAGTCAAGTATGTTACTCTTGTATGCAGTTGAGGCTGAAGTGCCCGAGCAAGACCCGCCGAGTCAAAGACGGGGCAACCACCAACCTTGAATCCTATTGCTTCCATTGACTTCTTCTCCTCTTGTCACACGCAACGGTCGATTTCTCAACTCGCACTCCTGCATTTTCTTCTCTCTCAGTCAATTATTACTTCTCACATAAATCTAACACCTCATCTATCTCACCACGCAAGCAAGCGAACATCTGGCTATTGCCTCATAGCTACCAAAGGCTGCACACGACACTTCTCGGCATCTTTCGATTCAATCATTCACCATGTCTGCTGCGATTAACAACAACAACCTCCCCACACAGACCTCGAAGAAGAAGCGTGCTAAGAACGAGGTTTCTGCCAACGTGTCTGTTTCTACTCCTACACCTTCAAACCCCGATATTGATGCCAAAGCCGACTCTATTGTCAATGGCGCCACTGAAGACGAGACGGGCATAATCAAGGAGTTGCAACGGTAGGCAATCCTGAATACAACGTAATGGTGGCTGATTACTGATTTATTCTCGTCTGTTACAGCAACTTGCGCAATGCAACCAAGAAACTGGTAAGTGACTCATCGAGTCTATACGCGATACGAATAAGGCTGACTTGCGCCAATATACAGAACGCCACCGCCAAAGTTGACAGCATAATCGCAGAAAACTCCGGGAAATCACTCGATGAGCTCGTGGCCGAAAAGAAGATCAACGCGGACCAGAAAGCCCAAGCCTTGAAAAAGCCCGCACTACAAGCCCAGGTCGCACAGATTGAGGAACAGATCACCCAGTACAAGCAATTTGCCGCGCATTACGAGGAACGCCTGATCAGCCAGAAGACGTCATTGGAGACCGCACATAAACAGGAACTTGATGCTGCTCGTGAGAAAGCTCTTGCAGAGGCCAAGGAATCTCAAGAGACCAGCGTTCGTGGGCAGTTGCTGACTTTGAGTCAATTCCTGCGCTCTGCAGCGTCTTTCAGGCGAGCGGGTGATGCTGAATCGGCTGAAAGCCAGGCTTTTGAGGGAGTGCTGCTGCAGGTGTATGGTGGTAACCAGGATGCTGTTGAGTCGATGTTGAAGTTGATCAGTGGCGCTGATGACAAGGTCGTGGGTGTCGATGGTCAGGTTTTGGATGTGACCTGTAAGTTGCCGCTTGCCGCTGTGCTTTATATATATAGAGCTTTATTGCTAATGTATATGTAGACGCCAAGGTGAAAGACCTTTCCGTGGAGCAGGTCGCTGCAGCTCCAGCCGCCGTTGAAGAGACCTCCGCTACTGAGACCAATACTGTCACTGACCCAACGATCGCCAATGCGGGTCTCACTGAGCTTCAGGACACCTCCGTGTCTGCTGCGGTGGATATCACTCAGGCAGCACAAGCCACAGAACCTGCCATTGCTCCAACTCAGACTTCAGCAGGAGACGGAGCTAATCCGGTGGCAGAGTCCAGCTGGGAACCCCAAGCATCCGGTACTCTGGCCGCTGACGAATGGGTTGAGGTGCCACGTCCGGCTGAGGGTGAGGCGGAGTCACCATCAACTACGGCCGCAGCTCAGGGCTCTACTAGCTGGGCCGAGGATATTCCAAGTGGAGCTGCGCCTGCTGAGGGCGATGGCTTCGAGCAGGTTGTTCATCATCAGCGTCAGAATAGTGTGCGTGGACGAGGCGGTCGTGGCCGTGGCCGTGGCGATAATTTCCGAGGCCGGGGTGGACGGGGTGACTTCCGTGGCCGTGGCCGTGGTGGGCGCGGCGGTGAACGTGGTGAATTTAAAAGTGGACGCGGTCGTGGTGGACTTGGACAGCAGGGTAATCGCCAAGCTGTTGCAACCAATTAATCATTCAACAGAATTGGTCTCATGAGATGAGCCAATTCCAGATGCGAAAGCTGTTGCAAGCGATTAGCTATTGCATATTTCACGATCTCTCGTTCATCGAGCCTTGCGTGGCATTTTCCACTTCGACACGACGCATATCCATCACTTCAGTCCATCGAACCCAAGCTATTCCCTTCCCTATCAGCTTCAACGTTTATTTCCCTTCTTCTTGTATGTCTTATATATTCTCCTGGGATGGCTAGGCGTTGGTACGGGGTGAATCAATGCGACATGTCATAGGGGCTTGATTGGGTTGGAACAGGTTATGAAAGACGACACAAAAAAAGTTCCCTTTATTCTGCCTTTTTCCCATCGTACAGATCTTTTTATTGCAACTTGGCAAAGAGAAAAAAAAAAAAGGGTATTTAATGGTTGTCTTGTCATTCAGCGTTGCATATCATTTCTTCTATGTTTGTTTTCATGTCATTGCAATGATTCCCAGTCGCTTTGCATCTTTTTTTTTTTTTCTTTTTTCTTCTTTTATTATGGATTTCTACAAGTCATAGAGTGGCAAGACTGTCATCTTTGTCAATCTTGATCACCATATGTATTACTGCATTTGTTTCTTCTCATGGCTCAGGACAGGGACAGGAACAGGGACATAGCATAGGCTGGACTAGAGGATGGGTATTGCGGTGATGTGTCTTGTGGATACATAGTCAACAAGACAAAAAAAGACTGATCGTGGATATTGTCTATACATCGTATTCTTGTTGTTGAACTAGGTAAACAATGACGTAGCCCAATCTGCACCGCCTCTTAGAAAGTCTCGCGAACCTCAGCTCTGAGCTTAAACTCAGCAAAGCCACTTTGCGTATATCGAATACGCAGATACAACAAATACGCGCTTGCAGGTCAAACACAACAATTGAGAGACGCCGAAAGTGAAACAGAAGAAACACGAAGCTGGTCGATCGATGAACCTGTGGTCCTGGTCCTGTCTCATGGTGTGACCTTTTATGAAACGGGCTAGCTGTCATGTTATAAAGTCCCCTCACCTCCGTCAAGCTCAGTCTTTTTTTCCCTTCTTTCAGGGTGTGGGATCGAACTGAAGTGCTACTTGTACTTTTTATGAGTACACGTCACGACGAGATTTAAGTCTGCGATTATTCTGCTGTAAAGAGAGCAGTAAAAAAAACGCAAACATGGCCTCTTCGCAAACCACCACCTCCGCATCACCGCGGGATCAAACACAGCGCAAAAAAGTACTTCGCGTGATATTCATATCTTTACTTCTTGACCTGGTACGTCCCATCTATCTCTCCTCATATCATATCAACCCTCAGCTAATATTCAAAGATATCATTCACATTCATCCTCCCCCTCTTCCCGTCCCTCCTCAACTTCTACCTCAAACAAGATCCCTCCCCCGACTCCCTCCTAAACCGGATATTCCACTACCTAAACGCATACAAAAACTCATTCTCCAAACCCATCGATTCGCGATACGACATTGTGCTTCTTGGCGGCGCATTGGGGTCATTATTCTCCTTTCTGCAGGCCATCGCCGCACCCGTTATAGGGTATCTATCAGATCGACATGGACGTCGAACGGCACTACTCTGGTCTATGCTTGGAAATTTGATTAGTGTCGCGCTATGGGTTGTCGCAACTGATTTCAAGACGTTTTTAGCGAGTCGTGTGGTTGGAGGGTTGAGTGAAGGAAATGTTCAAATGGCCAATGCAATTGCGACTGATATCAGTGACGAGACGCAAAGAGGGTCTACGATGGCGATGGTAGGCGCTTGTTTTAGTATTGCCTTTACGTTTGGGCCTGCACTAGGTGCGGCGTTGGCGAGATCGAGTATTATTAAAGCGAATCCGTTTGCGACGGCGGCGGGGGTGTCGCTGGGGTTGATTCTGGTGGAGACGGGGTATTTGTATGCTTGTTTGCCGGAGACGCATCCGAAATTTGTCGCCCAGAAGGGTGATGAGAAGAATGGCTCTGCTACTGACAGTGGCATAAAGGCCGAGAAAACCGATCAAAAAGGGAAAAGATCATATACCAACAACCCAGCTCTCCTCAACCTCGTCCATCTCCTATTTCTTCTCCCCTTCTCCGGAATGGAATTCTCCCTCCCATTCCTGACCACCACCCTCTTAACAGAGAGTAACAGCACCATCAATCCCTCCGCCGTCAACGGACGCATTTTGGGACTTGTGGGCCTAATCGCCTCCCTCCTCCAGGGATCCCTGGTCCGCCGTCTCCCACCTTTATTAACCGTGCGCATCGGCACAATCTCCTGCGCAATCGCATTCTTCTCACTTGCCAGCATCTCCTCAATCCGTGGCCTGCATCTTTCAGCTTGCTTTTTGGCAATCACAAGCGCAACTGTGGTTACCGGACTGAATAGTTTGGGAAGTTTAGAAGCTGGTCCTGGAGAGAGAGGGATTGTCTTGGGACGATTGAGGAGTTGGGGTCAGTTTGGGAGGGCTTTGGGTCCCGTGTTATTTTGTTCTTTCTTTTGGTGGGTGGGGAGAGAGGTTGCGTATACCGTTGGGGGTGTTGTGATGGTTGGTGTTTGCGGGATTGTGGTGTTGGTTTTGAGGGAGCCTGTTACGACTTATCGTACCTAGATATGTATATATAACGGATGAAGAGAGAACTTGATTGCAATATGCAGGGTATAAACTAAACTGAGAGGAGACGGAATCATAATTCATATAATACAATATCATTTCGAACATCTTAATGTCTCATCGAATTCCACCATGATAACAGAACTCTCCACCTTTCCCTTCAACCCATCCGCCGCCCCCCACCCAAAACTTCTATCAGACTGATATTGCCGTGCACGATCTGAATCAACAGGAACAATCAATGCCGGTCCCGCAACAGTCCCCCCTCCACCCTCCATAAGGCTCCCCCTGGCCTTCCCCAACAACCAATCCGTCAACGTCACAAATTTGGCCGTTCGATCCCATCCATCCGCGCGGTCTGCATGTTCAATCGTATGACTCGCTATACGCCCCTTTTCATCAAATGCGAAGATGAATAAACCTTCGAAACGGCCTTCTTTGCCGGGGAGGAAGATTGGTGCGTCGCCGCCTAGGAGTGTGCTTAGGCTTTTGTTGATGCCTGTATCTGAGGTCCGGGTATTTGAGGTAGATGTTGATGTTGACGTCGAGGACAACGACGACGACGATGATGATGATGATGTTGTTGTTGTTGATGGGTCATGACTCGTCTTCCAACGGACGACAAACCTCTCCTCACCACAATCCGTAGTCGCATAATTCTCACAACCCAACACGGAATCAGCGCGGACCATGCGTTCACTCAGGATCTGAAGTTTGACGTTCCCTAATAGCGGGAGGCTACTCCATGCCACGGGGACAGTCCATAACGCCGCGCGGTAGAGTACTCGGCCCTTGACGTTCGGTAAATGCGGATGCGTGGATGGGAATAGATGGAGAGTTATCTGCGGTGAGAGGATTTCAGTGGGGAGAGGATGGATGAGGATATTCGGGAGGAGAGGCGATAATTTTCGTAGAGCTATCAATATCTGTCAGTACGACTCAAGTCAGTCTAAGAAGAAGGGGAAATGAATGCATACTCTTCCCCAACCTCACAACCCGTTCATCAGGTGGTTTATGATCCCCCTCGGAACCGGGTATATCATATTTCACCGTCTGATCGGCTTGTCTCGTATTCTTGGTCCTATCCCCATCATCCCTTCTATTCCTATTAGAATGTGTCGTATTCGAAGATCGGCCCGAGAAGAAAAAAGCATCAATATCGCGCCGATCGTGTAACCGCGCAAGTGGTTTGGGTGTTAATTGACTGAACCCTCGACGATGAGGGGTTGGTGTATATCGACATTGTCGTGTAGCTATAATGTCTCGTCGACGAGAGTTCAATATTTTGGGAGAAGGAGATGAATGATATCGAAATCTGATGCCGGTTCGACGGGACAATGGAGCAGTGCTGGTGGAAGATGGGGAAAGAAAAGGCTTCGGCATTACGAAGTCCTCTGTTAGAGATGATTAGCTCATTTATTGATGTTAAGAGGTCAATCTTCTGGCGGATCTATAATTGAGTAGATTCATGGAGATATGTTGTTGAAGGTCGATAGTTCAAGCAGATGACGTTGTATTGGCGACCCGCACCAGAAGGTCATGCGCAGCCAATCAGCAGAGCCAATTAATATGCATTGCTTCTACATCTTCAGAAGGACTTGAAAAAATGTACAGTCATACTATCATACTCATAACAACTAACATTAAATGCCAAAGGGTACAGCTAAGCAAGCTCATCATCCTCCTCCTCCATCCCCATAAGCCTCCTCTCTCCCAAATTCCTAATCTTATCCTCCAAAATCGACCGATTATATCTCTGCGCAATCTTGACCGCGGCCTCAATCATCTTACCACTACGATCTTGCAACATGCCCACTAATTCAAGTGCCTTCATACCACGATCTTCGCCTTCTCGGCATTCAACGGCAATCATTTGGAGTAGTATTTTGTCAATTTCGACTTCCCTTCTAGCGAGTTCAGCGCGTTGGTTGCGGGTTGCGTTTGTAGTGGAGATAAGGTCTTGGAAGAGACTATAAAATAGAGTTTCGCGGACGAATCCTTCTTCAAAGCGGGCGGCGTCGTTGCGGACGGTTTCTGAGTCGTCGTCTTCGTTGGTTTTGGAGGGTTTTGTGGAGACGGGGATCTTGAAGTCGAATTCGCTGAGTAATGGTCGTGGGAAGTAAGGGTGAGTCTCGCCTCCCTTGAGAATGATACAATGGAATTTGTTTTGTGCGACAGCGACTGGCCAGTATGTTTCTTCTTTGCGGCCTTTGGATAACCGGTCAAGTAGCTTCGTATCGAGGAGGGGGACCCATCGAGCTTGTCCTGGTGTTCGCCAATGTTGTAGGATCAACAAGACACCTTCGGAGTCATAGATACAGGGGTCCTAAGCTGTTAGCATTGTCATTGATCATAAGATTGCCAGACTTACCCCGTTATCAGAGAAGAAAACATTCTTCAACTGTTCGCCTTCCGTTATTGCCACGATATCCTCATTTTGACAAATCTCATCTCGTTTGACGTTTTCAATGGAATATGTCAACGAGGCAAATCCATTATGCCCAACGGGCCCATTGCCAACGGTCATGACATAATCTCTCCATGCCGCACAAGTAATAGCTGGACTCTTCTGTCTGTAGACCCGGAAAGGCGTTCCGTATAGTGTGTATATGCGAACATAGTTGACCGACGTCAACACCACGATGTAGGACTCACTCAAAGCGATAGCTGCAGAATTAGCTTATTTCTAATATGTATGAAAGAACACTGCTCACCTTTGACTGTCTCGCCTGGAGGAAGCTGAGTTCGCCAGTCTCCTCGCGTTGTCCATGTTTCGTGAGGACGGTAGTATATCATTGCTGGGCCGTCATCAGGAGGTGATGACGAGGTGAACAGCGCGCCGTTCTCGTCTGCAAACGTTAGTGTTTTAACGGGCATATATGTCCGTTAAACTTACTCAAACAAGCCTTGTCATACCGATAAGGGTCCGTAAAATGAAAGTTTCGATGCATTTCGCTGTCATAAAACTCAACCGTGACTGTATTGTGTGACTCCTGGTCGACTGTCCAAACAACTCCCGTCAAGTTCAAACCTATACCAGTTAGTGACACTGCCCACAATATCGACTGCACGATAAACATACATAGATAACGTCGATTGCCCTTCCAAGGGGTACTTCCCGGTTGGAACGACTCATGAACAGTAGGTTCCCAATACGACGCCAGACGTTTCCGATCTCGACTCTCAGGATCATCTAGATGCCCATTTGTGCGTTTACCAAACCCATTGATTTCTTCAGCATACCCAGCACCATCATCATCTTCCACGAAATTGTCGTCATCGTCCATAGATCCCAGAATATCATCCAAGGAATCTGGTGAACCCCCTCTTCTAGGTCTATCCGCACCACCAGGCTTGAATCTGCTCGGAATCTGCTTCCTTGCATTACCAGACGTCTCTCCCAACGGACCAGATCGGACAGAGAAGGACTCAAGTCGTTTCTCAAGGATAGGCTGGTATTCCGTACTCACAAAATTCTCGTAAATATAAAGCTCACCATCCGAAGTTGTGAAACAAAGCAGATTGATAGAAGGATGCCACGAAAGATTGATCACATTCGCAAAATCATACCGCTTCAGAATATTCTGCGTACTCGTCTCCCAAAGCAAGATCTTACCATCCGCAGCCGCCGTAGCGAGAAGAGCACCATTAGGCGACCAACCAAGCGCTGTAATATCGCCATTATGTACACTACTGAATGATTTCTGTGGACTCCAGTCTGAGGTTGAGAATATGGCGACTTCACGAGAAGCTTGGGCGGTAGCAAACGCCGTGCCATCTGGATGCCATACAACGCGAGAGGTAGCTTCATCTTCCGGTTCAAGACGTCGAATAGCGCCGTCGATTTTGCGTACTAATTCTGGTTCGTCGGAGGCAATTGAATAAATGTATAAAACACCGTCTGTGCAGGATACGGCTATGAATCGGCCACTGGGGTCAAAGGAGATGTGTTTTGAGCCTTTGGTTTGTTCGCGGAGGTATTTCACGTTTGTCATGTCGTCGACGTTTACCACTTTGACTGTGAGTTCACTGCCCCAAATATGTTAGTGATACATGGTGACCAGCAGCGTAGAGAAAGCTCACTCGCTAGCGACAGCAATCCATTGACCATCACTCGAAATCGCAAGATCGCGAACGGGAAGCGCGCATCGTACAAGCAATTTGTCCATTTTGCCGGACTCAAGATCGTAGCGCCAGACCGTTCCATCTTCAGCGCCAATAATGAAACAATTGTCCTGATCTAGTATCAGCTCTATCCCTTGTGGACAGTCTATTTCGGACAAGGTTGAATACCGTCGCAGTAATTCCAAAATGTGCTTCGACACCCTCATCAATCGTCCTAGGTTCACCCTCATCTCCAACAGTGTATATGCGAATTGCCGAATTCGATCCTGCAGTTATTATGTGTTTTCCATTAGGAGTATATGTTAAGACAGTCGTTCCGGGGGTGTCTATAATAAAAGAACAGTCAGTAAATTATTCTCTCAAATCCATTTGGAGTGAACATACGTGCTGGCCTGCCCCTCGGCCGCATTGTTACGGAGCTCATGACAGCAATTCGGTAAGTGTAATATGATTGAGACAGTGGAATAATGTTTCTTTCTCAAGTCATTAGTTATTGCTGTCAAGTCGCATGTTGATGGTGACGAAGCATGCCGCTTCGATATTGGTGAGACGCGTTAATTGCGGAAACGCGTCGCGCAGACTGCCTTAAACCTTTTTTGGACCATAAAATCAGGGCTTAGGGCTTAGGGTCGGGGTATTTCTCTCAACTCTTCTTGAGACTTGTCATCTACTTAGCAATCATCAAATGAGCCAGAATTTCTTTGTCAAACCTCTCATTGATAAAGTTATATACTAACCCCTGCACCACTCGCCGTCAAAAAATCAAAATCAGCCCCTTCCTCCGCCTGATTCACAGACTTTACATACAACCCCCTATAACCCCGTTGCGACTTTTTCTCGCCCATACTCTGCGCAACCTCTACTCTCCGCTCCGCAATTCTCCGCCGAATCTCATTATCCGAGGCCTCCAAATGAAGTCTTCGTTGCTCCACATCACAGGTAATAACATCCCCCGTCCGAACAATACCAAACGGTGATTCCGGCAGTGCCGACTCTGGCGAAATATGTAAGATAATCGTTCCGCCCGCTGTTCCAGACATTCTTCCATCTGATAAACGTAACATATCGGTTACACCTTGACTAGCCAATTTCCGCGGTAAAGGAATTAATCCTGCTTCTGGCATACCGGGATTCCCTACGGGGCCAATACTTTTCAGTACAAGGACTGAGTCCTTTGTCACGGGGAGATCGGGATCATCGATTCGATTTGCCATATCAGCTGTATTCTCAAACACCACCGCTAGACCGGAGTGTTTCAATAATGCCCGATCCTTGGACGCAGAGGCTTTCATGACAGCTCCGTTGGGTGCGATATTCCCTCTAAGCACGACAAGTGATGAACACGGATAAAGTGGATTATCCAGGGATCTAATAACCTCTCGAGAATATGCAAACGGTCGAAACGGAGAGTCATCAAGAACTTGCCCCAACGTCTTGCCGGATATCGTCATAGCGTTCAGATATAGTAATGGTCGAAGCGTATGCATCAATGCCAACATTCCACCCGCATTATGAAAATCAGTCATATAATTCGATCCACTCGGCTTGAGGTCAACCAGCAAGGGAGTCTTTCGACCAATATCATCAAATGTCTGCAATGTAATCCTTCCCTGGATTTTGGGGTGTCGATTCGCGACGGCCAAGAGATGTACGACCGCATTCGTCGAGCCACCTATTGCTTGTAGGACTGTAATTGCATTGAAAAATGATTCTTTAGAGAGGATTTCTTGCGGTGTTCGAGACGCCTTTGCGACTGCCACAGCGTTGGTGCCTGTTTCTTCAGCTATACGAAGTCGAGTGGAGGATACAGCTGGTGCGGTGGCTCCTTTTAGTGGCATCATGCCTAGCGCGGCGGTTATGCAGGCCATTGTACTTGCTGTTCCCATGACACCGCATGTACCAGACTGAGAGCGTTAGATCTCGCCTCTCAACCTGCAATCTTGGTGGGTGGGGGTTTATGTACCGTAGGAGCTAATTCCTCGTTGATAGCACTAACCTCCTCAACATCAATCTGACCAGCTCTATACGCCGCCCAATTATTTCGACAATCCGTACAAGCTCCCAACCGTTCACCTCTGTGATTACCCGGCATCATTGGCCCAGTGATAAGAGGGAGCACGGGTTTATTAGCTGATATTCCACCCATCAACTGTGCCGGCACAGTCTTATCACATCCTAAACCACATCAGCCAACTATATATTTCCTACCTAGGTAGAGGAAGGAAGTAAATACCCCCGATCATAATACACCCATCCATCGGCTGCGCCCTAATCATCTCCTCGGTATCCATACTCATCAGATTCCTCAAAAACATACTCGTCGGATACGCAAACGACTCATGAAGCGTAATAGTCGGAAAATCCACTGCTAGACCACCATGTAACTGTACCCCTCTCTTTGCGGCTTCGATTAGTTGGGGAACATTTGCGTGGCATGGATTGTAGCTGGAGTAAGTGTTTATGATGCCGATGAGAGGGCGGGAAAGGGCGTCGTCGGTGTACCCCAAGGCTTTGATGAAGACTTTTCGCAGAAATAGGGAGAAGTGTGCGTCGCCGTAGGATGTGAGGCCTTGACGGAGGCCGGTGTTGGTGTTGATTTGGGTTGTGAGGTCGTAGTCTTCGTCTTGAGGGGTGGGGTGGTTTCTGGAGTTGGATTGGACGGACATTTTGTTCCTTCGCAGCTCCGGGTATCTCAAATCACTTGTCCTACTTTGAGTGTAAGTACTAGCTACCTAAATACTCATAACAAAGGTGAAGTTGCATAGTAGCTATCGGGATATGCCCGTCCACCCCAATTGCCTAATCTAGGATTTCTCCGCAATTGCGACAGAAGCGGATTTAGTACCGTGATTTTCGGACAATAGTCCGTTGCCCTTTTTACTCATACGACAGCCGAGTTTTTTTACACATCCTATATCCTCAAACAATTGAATAATCAAGCATTATTAGCAGTATCTAACAAAGGAAACTAAACATTGTACAGTATCATACAAACACGCTAGCGATTGCTGAATCGTATCTCGTTCTCAAAACTCAAATCACGCATCGCCCCCACAACTTATCATTACTATTGGGATAAATTCTTGGTATCAAAAAAGGAATTCCAGACAGGTGAATTTGCAGTAACGTCCAAGCACAACCATTAAATGCCATCCAACGTCGGAGCAGGAGCGGCATTGGCGTCAAAGGCACGGTCGACTTCCTTCTTGAAAGTGCCGTTGGTGCCATGAGCGCTTACACCATCAGCTGGTGACAATGCATGTCCATTCGCTCCATTAGTTGCGCCTGTATGATGGAATCCGTTGACGCCGGAACCGTCAGTTCCAGCACCATCAGCCGTTGGCCTTTCTTGGAGGCGGCTTTCGGCGGTAGTGTGAGGCTTGCGAGTGACCTCGGCAGGTTTTGGCAAGTTGTTTGTTGGCGAGGAACTTCCCCAGTTGAAGACTGGTGATTGCCAACGATCACCCTTGGCAGAAAGCTCTTTGTACTCAGTAGCCTTTGTAGTGACACCGCCAAGCAGCTTGATATCCTTGAGCATAGCATCCTGGTGAGTCATTGCCAAGTTGACCTTGGGGCCACGCTGGGCAATAGTTTCGGCCTGCTTCTTCTTCTCTGTAATGACTTGGCGAGCTGCGTCGGCATACCGGGCAAAGATGTTCTTTGCGTTCTCAGGATCCTCGCGGATCGCATCCTGAGCACGTTGAGCCTCCTTCTGCACCTGGTAGGCAAATGCATCGGCCTTCTGGAATGCCTCACGAATCTGGCTCTCCAGCACCTTCTCAATAGCGGGGCGGACAACATTCAGCAGCATGGGCCTGAAGATCGTGAAAAGGATCTTGTGATTGGACTTCTTCAGGTTCAGACTCAAGTTCTTTATGTTGATCTTGACACTGTCGAGCTTAAAGATGGCGTTGCGGTCATTTTTCTGTGCCTTGGAAGCAGCAATCTTGAAACCGAAGCCTGTACCGCCGAGGAGGATATCCATGACACCAGTATCAGTAAGCAACGGGAATCCTTGCTTCCTCTTCAAGTAATAATTCACATCTCGAAGATCAGCTTGAATACCAGAGGCGGAAATCATAATCTATAAACGTCAGTGCAGTTCTTTATACAGAGGCATAGCCCACTAACCTTGTGATCATCAATGTTGCTGATCATCTTACGGCCCCAACGCCAGTAGTTGTCAGCACCAAATTCCACGACATTCGGCATCAAATTGTCACTCTCAATGATCAAATTCTCGATGACCTGTACCTGGTCAGTATCAACAAACGAAATGAAGCCGCGGGTTACGCACCATGTCAACAGCTCGATCAGACACCTCGATTCGAGGAATAGGAATGTAGCTGGCATTCTCAAAGATCTCAGGGATAATGACATTGGTGATATCCTTGATCAACTGAGGCTTGAATACCGGCTTTCCGTACTGATCCTGGCCTAGATCTTTAAATAGTTTTTCCAAGGATTGACGGAAAGCTCTGTTCTGAGGATCTTCATCGAATTGAGTGGCCAAAAACTTGGCTTCATCGGCAATTCGATCTGTGTGGCTTCTGTAGCGGTCTCGAAGCAAGAAGCGGCCCTCATCATACAGCTTGTTCCACTGCTCAGTGGCTGCATCTTGCATGATGAATCCTTGTTCGCGCAAGCATTTCCTATTACCATTAGTACTCTCAATTCAACACACAACATATATATATATATATATATATATATATATATATAGTAAAACGTGCTCACCGAATATAAGTATCGACATTCTTGAACCAGTCTTTTAGGCGTGGATCCTGGTCTGCATCACGATAAACGGTGTTGAGCGAGTCGAAGAAATCATCAGTCGACGTGCTATTCGCAAATCTCTCGATCAAAATCTTGAAACGCATCAGCGTGTCCTTCTTGTTATTCATGAATCCTACATACCCTCAAATTAGTTTCAGCTTTGCGTATAATAATGTTTTCTCTGGCACCTTTAGCGGCGGTGGATCCCTGGGAGGTAAGATCCTTTCCATGTCCAGCATATGTCTCGGCCAAACTCAAGAGTGTCTCGATAGCTTGTTGATCTGTATAGATGTTAGTATCAAAAACACGTTTAAATGGTTTGTTTGGGAACATACAATTAGAGTGGCCCTGAATCTCAACAATCATCTTCTTCAGGCGCCAAACGACCTGATCACGACGCTCAGGCGGCATTTTAGAAGCCAAGAATTCCTTGGTGCGATTGCTATATTCACTAGAAACAGCTTGCGCTTGATCTCTGATCCGTTGAGCTTGTTCCCGGTCCTCGGGAGGGACATTTCGCTCCGCAGATTGTTGCAGGGTCTCTTTAACAGCAGAGGCACCAGCACGTGCATCGATCTCAGAGACAGGAGCATCTTCCCGACCGCCAGTAGCTGAAGAGGTAGCGGCATTGGCTGCTTGTTGAACATCTTCCTTGGACTATACATGGGTTAGCAATTCGTCTCTATACGGCCGAAACAGTCACTACTTACACCAGGCTTAAGGCGGTCTGTCTGCTCCTTGAATTGTGCCTTTAGTGCGTCCTTGTTAATGTCAGGTTTTTCGTACCAGACATTCTCTTCAGCAGGTTGATCAATCTGAGAAAGAGCATTCTCGTCCGGTCGAAGTTTGGTGGCGGCCTTGCTAGCGGCATCACCAGCAATATCCCGGAGAAGGACGACAGCATCACTCACTAAAGCAAAGAGAAGTACATTAGTAGCCGGAAAACACGGAAACTCTTTTCTTTTTATGGCCAAACTTACATAGCTTGCGGAATTCTCCATTGGTAATCAAAAGCGTGCCCAAAGTCTTGAAGCCCTCAGCAGCCCTGTCGGCATCCTGACTAGCAGATTCCTTGTTGACGGGTCCACTAGCTCCTCGAAACTCTTCGCCAGTGATCTGCTGGGCATCCCAGATGAATTCCTGTAGCAGCTCGCCCTCGTTCTTGGTGAGGAAGAGTAGCTTGGTCTTGTCAATGACGTCACGGAGATCCTTGACTAGGGTCCGCCCGTCTTCGGAAAGCTCCTTTGACGGAGATGAAAGCCATTTTGACTTGATAGCGCTGTTCAGGGCTACATCGCATTGCTTGTTCTGTATGGTGTCAGTTCGTTCTATCGATTGGGGATCCCCCCACTCCCGCATTAAAGCTTACCGATGGTAGCTTGCCATTCGCGAATGCTGTTAAGACGCGATGTCAGTTCCGGGGCTCAATCTGTGTTACTAGTGTCAAGCACATACCACTGTAGATGCCGTAAAGTTGAAGCTTTGTGCTGATATCCTGCTCTCCTGTTAGCATTGCTCTGAATCAAGCCAATTGGGATCAAACATACCGCATCCCGCTGCTGGGGGTTCATGGGACGGTTCACAGCAGACTTCTTCTCACCCATGATTGGCGGTATACTCAAGTTCTTGATGGAGTCAAACGAAGATTCAAATTCAATTAAGTGATTATGAATCAATAGATTTGTTTATTAGAGGTTTCAGCCGTGAAATAGACCAAATGATATCAAAAAGGGTTCGTAACTGGGGTATCACAATGAGGAGAGGAATGGAATGGGAGCGAGAATGTTGGGGGAAAGGAGAAAGAGCAACGGTCGGGCGTGCCAGGGGATGCGACTCTCTTTAAGAAGGGGCGCGTGGATTCAATTCCGACCAGAGGGAAGGTACGAGGCATGAGGTGCATGTGGCAGGAGCGATGCAGTTGGGGTTTGTTGACGTCACGCTGTCGTGAGGGAAGGAGCTAGGGAGCTCCCCCAGCTCCTTCCTCGGCTCCACTGCCAGCAATCATTTTCCTCTCTTAGTCTCTCGCCTTATCCTGTTTAGTTATGTTACTCCTCGGATGGCTGCGTTACATAATACTAGCCTAGACCCTCGCTTACTAGGGGTGTAACTAGCGTACAAGCCACAACAGCTTAAATCAACCAACACCTTCGATCGTCATCACTCTTTCCAGAGTCACTTTGACGTCAATTGATTGTTTAGCAACAAACTCAGACATCCATTGCCATTTCTCAGCTTTTCTCCAATGGGAAATCTCTCCGACTGATTATCGATGATGTTGATGACGACGATGAGTGCTGGCAACGGCAAGGAGTAAGAAATCTTCAGTCATGTTGCCATTTAACATCACAAGGGCGAACTGTTTAATTGCCTGTCAGTCCATGACGATCCGAGTATTTATGAATCCAGGAATAATCGACATATATGTTGTTAGACCAGCATCTGTTTCCGTTTCGTCTCAACATGGCTGTCGTGGTCTCGTGCTACCTAACCTAGGTACTCCGCGTAAGAAGAAATGGATGTTGATATTTCCATACTTAATAGCCAATCAGATGCCCAAAAACTTGCCATGTTGAATGTTGTGATGACGATGATGTAATCTCCAGTCTAGTGCTAAAGTAGTTAGAACCATCTATGAGTGGGTACCTTCCGATGAAATCCGATCTGCCAAGATCCGAGATCGCCCCGTTTTGGTCGGGCCCTAACTCTTAACAAGTATTTTCTGTTCATATTATTGACATGTGATTCATCCTTGGTTTGGTGTCTCTTCTCTTGAGGATGTCATACTCATCACGGCCAGATATTAGTTATATAGAAAGCAGTGTTAGGACACCTGCGCTAGCCCTGACTCCATGAGCTGTTATGTTGGCTCTCTTGCCAGGTTTTACTTCTTTGTTCTTTGGATGATGACTCATACATATACTTCACATAACTATTATTCAACTTGTAGCCTATCTCCTCTTGACAATGTTGAAGATGTTGCTAGACATCTATGGATTAGATGAACCCTGGTTACCTGATCCTTAAACTACCAGACTAGCCCTGGACCTGTTGCCTAAATATAAACGGAAAGAAAGTCAATGAGAAGCTATGAGGTCAGTAGAACTACCTAGGTAGGCAGAAAATACTTGAAATACTCAAAGAGCAGACACTGATCATCTTTCATTTCCACTTCCACGCCATCACTCCTTAAACAGGAAATCGACTGAGACATTGAAAATGGCGCTGGACAGATACCAAACCGACAAAATTCTGACTTTGGAGTGCGAAGGGGAGAAATTCTCCATCCTCAAATCCATTGTCCGCAAGCACTCCCCAGTCATGTCAAAGGCGCGTTAATGGTCACTTCAAGGTAAGAACGATGTAAGAAAACTCGGGGGAATATTGATTATCGGATTAGCTGACTCAACCTAGGAAGCAACTACTGAAGTGATCCCCGTCATCGAGTTCAATGCAAGTACTTTGCGGTGCATGCTTGATTTCATGTATGAAGGAAAGTACGACGTTAAGGAGTCAGGAAGCACCGAGGGACCGAGAAGTCGAAATATCATGCTAATCCTGAACGAGGCAGGTAACTGCTAAAGATATTAATCATCACAAAGAAGTCAGATCTGTTGATGCTCTGCGAGAGGCAGAGCTGGATAATAAGCTAGCTGTCTGTGGAAATTTGTGAAGTCTCCAGCACCGATGATGAGTCAGACTTCATGCTCGCTAAGCTTCGGCCACACATTCTTGTGAACTCCATTGCAGGCAGACTACTACGATGTTCCCGAGCTTAAACAGCAATCCAATGACAATATACTCAACATACTAGAGAATTCCTGGTCTGCTGATGATATTGCGGCTGCAGCAGAACTTGCAGTTGCATCCACGTCGGATACGGCACTTTACGCAATCATAACCACAGCTGTAGCTGATCATATCACGGAACTGATCGACCGCGAAGACTTTATTCAACATACACTACTAGCAGGAATCTCGATTGGTATCATACAGGATCTGCCGAAAAAGCTAGCAGCAAGCGATGCCAAAGCCAAAACTTACCAGAGGTGAATTTCTTGATGCGAAGTTTGAAGGCGAAAGAGAAACATACAAATACAGACGGAAAGCCTCCGGGCTAGAAAATACGATTGAAAAGAAATGGAAAGCGTTATAGATGTTCTTTCGTGCACCCCATTCTGTCGACACTGCTTCAAAGGCTTCGGTGGGAAAATTGACAGTTACTCGCCGTATGTAGTACGTTGCAGTAACTGTAGGTGCAAACACCGCTGATGGTTTCCACTGATATGCCATCGTCGAGTGCTCTGGTATCTTCAGCTTTATCCTCTTGGACCCCTTTTAAGTATCAAATTCTATCAAGAGCCGGGAGTGGGCTCTGGATAGACTTTATAGAAATTCACTTTACACATTTGAAGATATCCTAGTAGATGCAGATATTAGATATTGTTGGATGAAGTAATATCGAAGTCAGGTGGGCAACAGTCCTTGCTCATGGTCAACTTCCAGACGCATACCAGTTATGTTTAAGAGGGGGCTGGTTTGACACACAGATAACTGCCCAGGTGGATAAAGAAAACGATAACTTCAAAAATTTGGGTATATGAAACACTGTGTTTGACGGTACCTACCGAAACCATGGGCATATCACATACCATTTTGGCCTTTGTCGCCTCAGGCCGCTAGATGCTTCTTTCCTATAAATTCATAGCTTTATTTATATATTCTTCTTCCTTTTACTGTCCTTCTGACTCTTTTCTTTCTACCCATCTACTGAAAATCATAGTCAGTAGCCGCTTTATCTCTCCAGACAGCTTTCCCAGTCCATCAGCATCTTCGACTGCTTCGTTTTCCCAATCAAGATTCCCAGGAGTAATTACTAGTCAGACTTGAGTGAAAGAGACACTTATGAGACATTCAGCCTATTCATCATGGATCGGCTTCCCATGGAGATTTACGACCGTGTAAGTTCGCTGCAAATAACATTCTAGTACTGATCAGATGTCGGTAGATAATATACTATGTCGAATGCCTCGGCTGGTCCACTCGTGCTTCATGGCCTGACTATCTTAGAAAAGACTGGAGTTACCCACCATCACTCAGAATAAGTGATCATGAGGGTGAGAAAACACTGACTATACTTCGTCAAGTCAGTAAGACTTTCTGCCGAAGTGCGTCAAGGGCATTGTTCCGGCGCGTATTTCTGGTGATCGGTAATAAGCGGTCTACCAGAAAAGTTAAGGCAATATCCCTAAGTAACTATGCCTTGTACGTTCGTGAAATAGCCTTCGACTTGTCTTGGTTCGTTCATGATGAATCGGACTGGGACTACGGAGAGCGTGATGATGGATACATCGCCTTCTCGCGTTACGTTGCCAATACCCTTCCACCTCTCGTGGCCAGGTTTTCCAACTTACAGTCTATCGATATATGGGGATGTATCAGCGAATCAGTAGGAGAATCGGTGGGAACTGCAACGACTGCGACCCTTGAGTCGATAGCAAACTTGCAATCTCACAATGTGACACAACTGCGTTTACCTTCGGAGGCTGCCAATTATCTGGCATGCCATATTGAAAGTAGCGAGAAGACACCAATTACGAACCTCCTACGACAAACCCGACATTTGGTCTTTGCTCCTTGGAACGTAGAGGAGGAGGATCTGGATGCAATGGATGGGCTCAGTATGCTACTGGGAGGTACAACCAATCTTCTTTCCCTCACTGCGCACTGTTTCTGCACCTTGGATAGCCCTTCGGAATACTTTGGAGTCAACCAAACTCTTCGACTGAAATCATTGGAATTGGGCGCTGTATTCGTTACCTCTCACGATCTCTTGGAGTTACTTGAACGGTGCAAGGAGACCATCAGATATGTTGAGCTTGATTCTGTGACATTGACTTTTGGGTCGTGGCTGCACGTGCTAGTTCAAATCAGCAAGAATCTGAAGTTATTCATGTTCTCCCTTTTCAGCTGGGAGATAAAGCTCGATGAGGAGTTTGAGTTTGATGACATGTGGATCGAGTACGGCCGCTTTCGAAAGCAATATGGGCTGATATGTCACGCACTTGGTGATCTACAGCGTCAAGTAAACGCGAATAGGCTTGATGCAGGACTTGGGCCGTGGTCAAGATCTATGTTCAAAGCACTTGATCTTCCACCTCTGAAATCTGTCATGAAGAAAGTAGCATATGAGAAGCTGAATGAACAGCCTTGGGGCTCAAAGAAAGAAGATGTGCATCACCATTCTCTCTGTGAGAGTGAGGATGAAGAGAATGATGAAGACTGGTTCGATAATGAACACGATGAAGGAGATGAGGATTGGTTCGACGATGATGATGCAGAAGAAGAAGAAGAAGAAGAGGAGGAGGAGGAGGAGGAGGAGGAGGAGGAGGAAGATTGACTCTGAGTCGAATTTTGTGATTCTTCACAGTCAAGGTCAAGGTACTATTACAACTGGATGCTGGGGGATAGGGGAATGTCAAATTGTTCATTTCCGAGACTGGTCCATACTCTGAATTTTGGTCATTTCTGTCGACTCCGCGGACTGGCGAATAGATGATCTCATGTGTTTCGAATGTAGTTAGTTTTGTGTTTTGCTCATAGGAGGAGCTTTAGACCGGATTCATTTGCTAGAAATTGACATACTATGTAGTAAGAATGAAGTTGAACATCAGCCAATGAGCGCAAATATATCATGAAACATCACGTGCTCCATGATACATGTCGGAACGTTGGTTTACTAGAGCGATGACTAAGCGAAGGCGAGCACTAAACAATACGTATAAGGAACTAGGTCTATTTTCCGGCACTCTCTAAAACCACTATCTAGGAGTATTGAACCTGTTTTTATATACAAGATTCCATAGAAGTGATATCACCAAAAGTCGACACTTGTGCAAATCGAACTTTCTAGAGATAGGCTGTAAAGTTGATTTGTAATGTTCAATATCGCGTCGGAATGTGATGCCAATTCTCGAAATTTCTTGATACGCAAATCTTGTCCTATTCCCAAATTGGTTTAGTTCATTCTGAGTTCCAACAATACAAAGCGGGGCCAAGAATAATTAGTTACCTGATGTGGGGACTTCTAGAGCTTCATTGATCTTTAAACTATGATAACAACAGAAATATACTCTTTCTCAATTTTAAATTAGACGAACATCTATTTATGGCCGGCGCAAAGGAAAAGAAAAAGCAATCGCGCCTTGCTTTTACGCCGATTGAAGATTTGCCGCCATCACCTCGCGCAACCGAATCATCTAAATCAGCATTCACGCCGTCTAGATTGCGCTATTCGAACCCGTTTACTGGGAAGGCTACTGTGAAGGGGCAATTACAACTAGAGGATTATGTGAGGGATTTGCGTAGTCCTGCAGCTGGTGATAAACAGGGCGCGTTGAGGGACAACGGGCAAGGTTCGTCTGATGTTGATGTGAAGCCGAGTACGTTTAGCGAGTTTGACTTTTTCTCTCTCTGTTATTCTACTGACCTTATGGGCTAGGAGATACTGCTAGTAACTCAGAACGAATCCAAAATTATACAGCCTCGATTGCTCTCGATGACGGTTCATCTGATGACGAAGTCATTCGGCCTTCTAAACGAAGGCGCATTACGGGCGACAACGCCAATGATAACGAGCCCAACCAAGGCTCTCGACAATCTTCACTCTCACCTGCTGAAGAACTCAGATTACGAGAGGACGACGATACATACGCAGATTCAAAAATGGGACGTCGACCGACCAAGAAGACTCAGCAGAGACGGAGTCAGAGGCTCATCGCAAGCTCACCTATGGAAATAAAATCACACAGAAACGCTCTCAAAATCGATTTATCTAACTTAGGAGAGCCAGAAGAGAGTGATGCAGGCGAGCTAGCATCACCCGGAACTCATCGCAAGGGAAGAGGCTTATGCCGAAAGCGAAAAAGCCCATCGGTCGTTGAACTCGAGGACCCAGACGATGCCATTACTAGTCCTACACCAAAGAGACAGAAGACGAATAATCAAGTAAACCAAAAGGCGGGAGATGAAGAAGAAGCTTCAGACGAGGACGTCGTCGCCTTCACACCCTCCCGCCGCAGCTCTATGAAATCGTCACAGAAATCTGGCGATAAAGATGATGGACAGAAAACTCCTAAAACCCCGAAGAGAAATTCCGAGCAAGATGAACAAGATCTAGAAGAGGATTTGGAAGACCTCAGAGATACAGGTGAGGATATACTCTCTAGAAGTTGTTGAATGCTTTGCTAACTACTTCTGAAGTCGTGCGAGAAAGACGGACTCGTGGCTCAGCTGTAAACTCGGCAAGAAGTAATCTTCAGAAACATCTCGAAACGCTACGACGTCGTCGTGCAGGTGAGAAAATTGAAGAAGATACCTCCGAGCAGGAACTGGAAGAAGAAGAGCAGGAAGAGAGTGGACCCCAACAGCAACGTTACGATACTGCTCGTCTAGATTGGGGATTATACTTTGGAGTTCCAGACATAGTAGATAGCGACGATGGGTCTATCATTGAACCAAACGACGATCTCGATGCAGATGATTCTTCATTCGTCGAAGATGACGGCGAACTCGGCGTCCCCGTCAACGTCCCCTTTGAATTCAGCCGTCATCGCACAAAATCTACGCGAGACTGTTTCCGCGATGTAATTGAATGGATGGTGCATAGCAAACTCAACCCAGCATTTCATCGTGACGATGATGTATATCAATTCGCATTCAAAAAGGTCAGTGACGAAGTCGTTGGGAGAGCCGGGTCGCAGTTGATGTCTTCTGTGTGGAATGTGAATTTTGTGAACACTTTGCGTGCTCGACCTCATCTTGAAGTTACGGGACATCCGACGGATGTTGGTCGTTCGTGTGATGCATGCAATCGCTCTGGGCATCCGGCTTCGTCGGATTTGAAGTTCAGCGGCAAGCCCTATTCTGAAGAAACACTTGAGCCGTTGTATGAGAGTGATAGCGAAAGTAACACCGACGATGACAGCGATACCAGTGATGAGAATAGCAATAAACCAGACCGCGATCGTGAAGGACGCATCCTACCCTCTGAGGAGAAACATTTCTATCTCGGCCGGTACGTACATCCCAATAACACATAAAACGAATCTACCTAATAAAAAGACAGAACATGCAAATCCAACGCCGTCCTAACCCACACCCTAATCCACTGGCGTTTCCACCTCTACGAATGGGTGATAGACTATTTGAACGTCAAAGAAGAACTCCTCTCAAATCCTCAAAAAAGCCTTGATCGCGAAAAGCTATCTGCCAAAAAGCGGACGAAATACGCCAACAAGGTTGTCGACAGGATGGATGAGGAAGGGGAGGTGCAGCGTCTTTGGACGGATTTTCATCAGACTCTTAGGACCGTGAGGGAGATAAAGGTTTGTTTTTTGTTTCATTTATGTAGGATGAGTTGCTAATATGTGGTTTTTGGTAGGATGTTCGTTACCATTGATCTCGGATTGGCTCAAGAATCACTGTGCTGGTGCATGATTTCGGGTTTCGTGATACATTGTTTTTCTTTGCTACTGCATATACCTTAATTCACCTTGACTTGGTGTCATTATGATAGGCACGAATAACGAACAAATTTATATCGTGGTCAACCCAAATTTTCTATCAATATCCACACATTCAGGCATGGAGAAATGAAGCAACAAAATCCATATCTAAAACAATTATTTTAATACATTTAATCGAAAAGAGGAGAATAGCCAATTACAAACATAATGAATGATACATAGGGCCCATCATAGTAGGACAAAAACGTTGAGACCACACAGTATACAAAGTACAACCAACATCATTATTCCCTCGAAAGTTTTCCGGACGCTGATGTAGGTAATGTATCGAAGAGCCCGGAGTCGAACGTAATGTAGTGAATAGAGTCGAAGGAGAAAGAGAGTGTACTTCAATTCCATGACTCCGAAACTGATTTTGTGTTTATCCTTCCGGATCCAGATGAACGATCATTCTATGCAATTGCAAAAACAAGTCGTTATCGGAAGCAGGAGGATAATCTTATATTATTGACAAGACAGACTCTTTACAGAGCAGGCTTGGACTGCTCGGTACCAGCAGCACCGAGCGCAGCAGCAGCAGCATTTGTCCCGGGAGTAAGCATCTACCTCAATCAGCCAACCATCCTATAATCAACAAATCGAAAGAGAAAAAGAAAAACATACCTCATTAGCACCCCTCATCATCCCCTGCTCCCTCTCCATCTGCACATACTGCTCCTCCTCTGCAAACGCCAACGCCCAAGGAACACCCAACAAAAACGCACTTGTCGAAATAACCCACAACGCTTTTCCGCTGAATGAAAAAGTCGATTTTGTTGCGTCGGTTATACTGTTTACGGTACTGATGATTCGGCGACGGGATTGCGGGGGGATGATGTCTTTGAGGGCGATGAGGCGGTCGTAAAGGGTTTCGTTGGTGAGGTCGTAGGTTGAGTCTACTGAGATTTCGGATTCTGCGAGCAATCGCGTTAGTTTCTGGATAGGGAAAGACGGAGAGTGGAGAGGGGAGAGGGAGGAGGGATGTACCGGTATCAGTGAAATCGTCGTCTTCTTCGTTATCGGACATGAGGAGAGTGTCCTTGCTGGTTGGGATGGGCTTTTCGGTGGTGAAATGCTCATCTTCGACTTCGGTGAGTTTGACCATTTTAGCGGTGTATATTTGGAATAATTGAGTGTTGATTGATTGTATTTGGTTAGATTAATTGTTATTGACAGATGGGCAGTCTTTCACTGGTAATGAGGTTGTGGTGGTGATGGTGAGATGAGGAACAGTTTTCGGATGTTCAGAGGTGCCAACTTTTTCCCGATTGCCCGTCTTAGACTGGCGGAGCTCAGGTGGATCCACTCGGCTTGGCTAATAACCACTGATATCTTTTTTAATTCTTTACAAGTCCTCTCGATAAGATCAGATTTATCAATTGATTATATATAGTACACGTGTCATTCTACTCCTCGAAAGACACAAATCTATCCATCAACTACAGTAGATAATTTCATAGACGGCCAAGCTTCCACTTGGCAATCCGATCCTGAATCTCATCCCAAGGAAATGCCCGCAACGTATATCCTTCCAATTCACCTTCCTGAACAACAACCGTCGGCTTCCCAGTCCCCTTCCCAGGATTATACACCTGCCCCCCAAACACATGTTTAGCGACACGTCGCAAATCGTTAATCGTCAATGCTTCGATGCGATCGCACATTTCTTTGACTCCGATTTTGCGTCCGTGGACTTGTACCTGGCGGCCGAGGTCTTCTAACTCAACCATGCGGGATTCGAGGTTCATTAGTAGTGATGAGCGTAGTTGGTTCTTTGCGCGGTTGACTTCGGGAAGTTGTAAGGCTGAGAAGCCCTTGTCGAGTGTCAAGGCTTGGAGTTCTCGGCACATGACTTCGAGCATTTGAGGGGTGCGTGTTGGGCTGCATGATGCTGAGATACCGAATAGACCGCTGTCGGTGTAGCTGTGGTTGAAAGCGACACAGCTCTCGACCCAGCCGTGCTGGTTCAGTACGTTTGTGTACAGACGAGAGTACATGCCCTTTCCGGGCCCACCGGCCGAGAACGAGCCACCACCTCCCAGCAATGTTTGAAGGGTCGCAAGAGCATAGATATCTGGAGATGAGATTGGGAGGGCTTCGAATGCCAAGTGGATGTGACTTAATCGAGGATGGTTAGGGTTCGCAGGGGGAGGGATGGGCGGTAATGTCAGATAACCACCAGTATAATGAGCGGCGCGGGTAAGATTAACTGTAGAGGGTTCCAGTATCGACGGATCAAGAGCTTTCACAGTTTCTTTGTCAGGAGCGGAAGAAGATAGGTTCTTAAAAAAAGGGAGTTTCGACAAAATGTTGGGGTGCGACGTTCCGGCCTGAGCATTGGTCGAGACGTTTGCTGTCGGCGTGCTAAGATGAATGGTAGGTAACTCTCCTTCCTTTTCTGCCCTAGGATCCCCCGATAAAGTAGATTCCACTCCCTTCCCATGAAGCGCGGGACCTTCAAGTTGTGATTTCATATCCCCAAAATACTGCTCCGTAAGTCTTACAGCTTCCTCATGCGCAACACCCGCAAACGCAACAACTATTCGCTCCGGTCGAAAAAACGTGGCTCGATATTTTTCCACAACCGCCTTGTTAATCTCCATCAATCGTTCCTGAGGACACAACAACGGATTTCCTAGCGTATTATTCTTGTATCCAGCCATATGCACGAGTTCCGGTAAAATGAGTTCGGGCTTATTCCAAATCTCATTAATCTCATACTCTGCCGTTAGCAATTGTTGTTCCACTTCTTCCTCCGTAATCAACGGATCACGGATCGTTTCTGCCAGTAGACCCAATGTCGTTGGTACGGTGGAATTGAAACTGGCAGATTGATACATCAACGACTCCCGGGATGAAGCGCATTGTATATTCCCACCCAACGACTCGAGGGCTTCTAACATCTCATCTGCGGATCGGGACTTGGTCGATTTAAATGCGAGTCGGTCCATGATGTGGCTTACTCCGCGGATACTGTCGTCTTCGTATCGAGAGCCGGCGTCGACGTACACACCAACTCCGGAGAAGGGTCCAGGTAGTGATTCGCTAGCGACTCGGATTCCATTTTTGAGGGTTGTAATTTGGTCGAAGTCAGCGGGGTCCTTTATACCATTAGTCTTGGTCCAGAAGCAACATGGAACAGATTCTTGGAAGGATACCTGAGCTATTGTTGTCGATGCGCTTGCTAGGCCTCTGGTGTTTACAGGCTGGCTGCGTAAAATGGGACCGATGGATTGGGCGGTCCGCAAAGCCGCTCGACGCATATTGTAGGACTGACTGGATACGTGGGAAGGAGTGTCTGATGGTGATATAGTGTTTGGCGCGTGGCCAAGATGTTGATTGCTGCCAGTTTGATATTTTTTACGGCTGTTACGTCGTGCCGTCTGCGGACCACCCGGAGGAATTCCAGGACGCCGACATGGACTAGCCCAATTGGGACAGTTTATATAGTTTTCAAATGGAAATATTTGAATGATGATTAAATCTCCGCCCACAAGCATTTCGGCTGATTAGTTGAAAAGAGCAAGAAATTTACAAGCGCTTTAGTTTTTATTCTTCGAATAACTTATTCTAATTCTCTGCAGCCCATTTTCTATACCCGTCTAAACAACCCGCATTAGCTACACTGGCGGACGTCTTGATATTTAATCCACACAGTATCTGTTTCACTGCATTCTCAACCTTCTTGCCATTAGACGTCAACGGAATCTCATTGCCAGGGCACACGTCGATAATGCCCGGTACATGACGTGCACTGAGTTCCTTGCGGATAGCAGCTTGAATCCTAGCGGTTAGATCTTGGGACATTGGTGGGATACCACCTTGTACAGCTTCTGGGACGAGCTTCACAAACAGAACAACAGTCTCGTCCGTATCAATACCCTCACGCCGGCGTCCAATGCAGAGGGAATCCTCAATCTCTTGAGAAAAGTGTTTCAAAAGCACATTATATATTTCAGCACTTCCAAAGCGGACTCCAGCTGGTTTTAGAACGCCGTCGCTTCGGCCCAGCATTGTCAATCCGCCTGTATCAGGGTTGATCCGAATAAAGTCACCATGGTGCCATACAGAAGGTCCAAAGACATCGAAATAGCTTTTCCTGTATTTAGCTTCTCCCTCGGGACCAGGTGGCCAGAACATGACTGGCTGGGCTGGAAATGGCACGGTACAAACCAAGTCACCGGGCTCGTTTGATTGCGTGATATCGTTTCCAGCGTAGTCATAAGCGGCTACAGCCATTCCCAGTCCTCGAGACTGGATCTCGCCTCTGTATACTGGCAATATCGGACATGATGCACCAAATAGAGAAATGATATCCGTGCCTCCAGTAATAGACCCGAGCATGACATTCGGGTGGAATGATGAATATATGTATTCGAACGTCGAAGGTGCTAAGGGTGCCGCTGTACTGAATATCGCCCTCAACTTTTCTAGTTGAACAGGCCGGTTAGGATGTTTGCGAGGGTTTAGAGAAGCCTGCTCAATCATTGATAAATATTTTGCAGAGGTTCCGAAATGTGTGATTTCCAGCTCCTCAATCAGCCGAGCCATCGCCATCTCTCCCTTACCACCCTCAATGTCGAAGGGTCTGAATGGACTTCCATCGTAAACGACGATAGTAGCACCACTTGCAAGTGCAGATACAAGCCAGTGCCACATCATCCAGGTGGTTGTGGTATAATAGAACAGGCGATCGCTGGGCTTGATGTCTCCGTGTAGTACGTGTTCTTTTTTATGCTGTAAAAGCGTACCAATTGCGCCGTGAACTATTGGTTTAGGGGCACCTGTTGTCCCCGAAGAATAGAGTATGAATACTGGATGGTCTGCGTCCAAGGACTCGAACTTTAGAGGTGTCGTAGAATTCCGCGCTTCATGAACAAAGTCATTGAACCAAGCAACTATCCCACTCTGGGGCTTCACGTTGTCAAGATTAAGCTCGGCCGATGCTATGGCTTCTAGAATCACGACATGTTCCAGGCACGGTAATTCTCTCACGATTTCTGCGACTTTTGACTCAGTCCCGTGAACCTTCCCATTGTAAAGAGAGGCATTGTCTGCAAACAATATTCTCGGCTGTACCTGGCGGAGACGTTCGACGACCGCATGAACACCGGTATCCGGGGAGATCGATGTCCAAAGGGCTCCAATGGAGGCTGTGGCCAGCATAATCACCACAGCATCGACGTGATTGCCAACAAAACCGCCAATGCGGTCTCCCACTGTTATACCTCTTTGTCGCATTGCATTGGAACATACTCTAACCCGTTCTCTCAATTCTTTCCATGATACAAACTCTCGATCTGCCTCTGTAGCGCCAATGATAGCAATTGCTTCGTCGCCGGGGCAGTTCTGTGGGAACAAAAGGTTCTCGGCGAAATTTAGACGGCTTCCCTCGAAGAAATGCGGCCTAGGAAAGAGTAAGGAGTCGGATTCTAAAACCTAGAACAGCCATCTGTCAATGCATGTTGTATCATTGAACAACTGATGTCCGTACCTTGGAATAGGGCGTATGTGCTATGACACCTGTATGGTGCCAAACTTCTTCCCAGAAATCAGCAGGGTGTGAGATACTCCATTGCCAGAGGTCATCATAGTTTTCCAGCTTCAGATTGTATTTCTGCGCAATATAATTCTTGAATTTGAACATCTCAGTTTTCTCAGGCGCGGACGGACGCCATAGCTCTACGGCCTGGACATCCTCGCTGATTGAAGGCATATCGACTGATTCTCGTCTTCTCACTATATCTCGCCAGGATATAGTAATCGTGAGAATAATGAATCAGTCAATTGAGCAAAAGGATAAAGGAAGCGGGGAGTAAAGGGTGGATGTTTTGTCCCCCAGGTTTAGCAGGAGGGAGTAGGCGCATCGCGGGGAAGATCCGCGCTTTCTCTTCGGAATCCGTCGCTGAGCGCACAATTCCGCAGTCGGACTGTCGAAGCCGGAACAGCCATTCTTGATCGATTCTCTTTACTACCTCTTATTTACTCTGGGCTTCTCAGGTGAAAGCAACGCCGAGGATACACAATGCTGTTACTCAACAAACATGAATAAATAGATACTCAACGAGCGGATATTGTACTGTGGACGGTATGGTTGGTTGATCGATGATCTCTATCCACTGTCCTGATACTCCTGGGCCTGGACCACACTGCGATTCAGTCCTCCAAAGACGAGTCAGTTTGTTCGTGTGGCTTATTGCTGCAACAGGCAATACGTGCTTCCACACTCTTGCAGAGAGTCAAAAGCGTGATTTTGTGAATCTCTCGACGCCTCGACGTTTGCGGCATTTTCGGATGAGATCATTCATTACAAACAGCTTTGAAGGGTAATCAACGAGTCGATATTGGTTGATAGTCCGCCTAAGGAAACCTGTCAAGAACGCTTGATTACTACGATTAGTGTTGTGTGCCAGTAATCCCTTCATAAGGATGATATCAGCATCTGAAGGCAAACCGGTGGAGATTGGTCGCCCCTGAGAGGCTACTATGTACAGCCTGTATCGATAATTCTGAATATTATCGGGCTTCTGCGGGCTGATTGCTCGGCTTTGGTCAATAATCGCTGCGCCTACACCGTTTCAGGCTTGGTTCTTGCACTAGGCAGCCTATCCAGGGGGCACCGACAAAATTTTTAGATTACTTACATATTGGTAATCCAATTACCGTAATTTATTTATTACCAGCTTATCGGTTCCAAAAGAGTGTATATGTATTGTCATCTAATCTTAATAAATTACATATACCGTCACATACACCGGCCCAAGCTCTCCGCTCACTAAGACGAATCTTACGATCATCGAACTTTGGTCTTTCCGATTTGTCTCCATCTCTTCCTACAACAACGCCTACCTCTCTGTCTTCATGTCAGGAATCATTCTCTCCTCTCTTCGTCCCTAGTCTACAATCGCTTGGCGTCCTCTGAGTGAGACTTTTGAAGCAAGAGTGTCTGTCAATTGCCTGAGCGGCAAGGGTTGTTCACGGTCGGGAGATTCTGCGCGACCCCTTTGACCGCTGCTCTGCGGCTTCGTCGGATGCAGTTTCGCTGCCTGGTTTTTCAAGACTCGCCAATGTACGTCCCTTCGTCTTTTTGCGCGCTCTTTGGATTTGGCTGGATTTTGCGTTGGATGTATCGCAGTATCTGGCTCTATATACTCGAACAGCCCTATTGACATCGCTACGGCGTGTTGAAGTGTGACTGACAATCTCACTATAGTCGCTTTGATTCCGATCATTGAAATCACGCCTCCTTCAATCCTTCAGGAGCAATTCAATGCGTGTATAATTTTCCAGTTCTAGTTTCTCGACAGAACTGTGCGCGATACGCTCATTTCAAGACGTTGTGACGAAAACGAGAGGAAAAACTTTGCCATGACTCGTCGATTGTCGAATACTTTTTCCAACAACTCCTCGCCATCTACCCCTTCGTCTTCCTCTACGGCCGCCGAGAAAGGTGGGATCTCTATTAAAGGTTCATCCAAAACAGGTCGGTTGAGTCAACTCTTTTCGACGTCGCCAAAACACAAGGCCGAGCCTTCCACCGCCCACGCAACTCTGCTCGCGGCCAGTAAATCGAACACTTCCCTGAGTACCGGCGTGCCGATAAGTTCAGCATCATTGTCTCTTCCTACAATTTCACTATCTACAGCAACTGCCGATAGCCGCAATATGGACGAACCGCCAACCACACTGTTTCAGCCTCCGTCCCAGGAAGAGACGAGGCGGTTGGCGAAGCAGCATGCGCAATTCGCTCCGATCAGCCATCCAAGCCACAGATACACAAGTCGACACCCCGGCGGACCATTCCCTGAGCCAGTAATGGACGAACCTCCTTATTATTATCTTTTGACAACCTATATCAGTTATTTGATCCTGATTGCCTTTGGTCACGTCCGAGACTTCTTTGGAAAGCGATTCAAGGAGGAAAATTACCGCCACTTAAAGCCACGAAATGGTTATGGCGCATTGAATAGCGACTTTGATAATTTTTACGTCCGTCGATTGAAACTTCGTATCAATGATTGTTTTGAACGTCCTGTGACGGGCGTTCCTGGTCGTTATATTACACTTATCGATCGTGGCACTGATGACTATAACCGACACTTCTACTTCACTGGTACCACTACGGATACCTTGAACATGAGCTCGTATAACTATCTTGGATTCGCTCAATCGGAGGGTCCCTGCGCAGATGCTGTCGAGGAGAATACTCGAAAGTACGGCATTAGTACAGTGAGCACACGTGCCGAAGCCGGCACGACTGATCTACATGTCGAAGTAGAAGATCTCGTGGCCAAATTTGTCGGCAAAGAGGCATCAATGGTTTTCTCTATGGGATTCGGCACAAACGCAAATGTTTTCCCGGCATTAGTTAGCAAAGGGTGTCTTATCATTTCGGATGAACTGAACCACGCCTCTATCAGATTCGGTGCTCGTCTATCTGGAGCTTCCATTACCATGTTCAAACATAACGATATGAAGTCACTGGAAGAAAAACTACGGGAAGCTATTTCTCAAGGTCAACCACGTACCCATCGGCCTTGGAAGAAGATTCTGGTTGTTGTGGAAGGTCTCTATTCCATGGAGGGGTCTATGTGCAATTTGCCGGGACTGATTGAGCTGAAGCACAAATACAAATTCCACCTCTTCATTGACGAAGCTCACTCCGTTGGTGCTGTTGGTCCTCGTGGACGTGGTGTATGCGATTACTTTGGAATCGATACAAAGGATGTTGATATTTTAATGGGAACCCTCACCAAGTCATTTGGCGCCAATGGTGGTTATATTGCAGCCGATAAGGCAATGATTGATGCTCTACGAGCATCCAACGCCGGCGTTATTTTTGGAGAAGCACCCACACCCCCAATTCTCACCCAGATCATGACTTCTCTCCGCCTCATCAATGGCGATATCTGCCCTGGTCAGGGAGAGGAGAGACTGCAACGGTTAGCCTTTAACTCACGGTATCTCCGACTTGGCTTGAAACGTCTTGGATTTATTGTTTATGGACACGATGATTCACCCATCATCCCTGTCCTGCTCTTCAACCCAGCCAAGATGCCTGCATTCTCACACGAAATGCTCAAGCGCAAGATCTCCGTGGTTATTGTCGGCTACCCGGCAACGCCCCTGGTCTCTTCTCGCGCTCGATTCTGTGTTTCAGCAGCCCACAATAAAGAAGACTTGGACCGACTACTCACCGCATGCGATGAAATCGGCAATGTCCTGCAACTCAAATTCTCCACTGGCATTGCCGGCGGTGCCCTCCCACCCCCAGACGGTCTCTCCCCTGAAATGGAAAAAGAATATTATCAACGCCAACAGCAACGACTCAACAACCCCAATGCCACAATAGTTCCTCCCCGATGGCGCATTGAGGACGTGGTTCGTCGCGGTGCTCAAGATACGAAGCGTCCGTTGGTATAGAGAAAGAAAGCGGCTATTACGCTTCATGTATAGAAAACTTCGCCCCCTTAATAGTCGTTTGTCCGTGTATGTTTATATAACTCATACCCTCACCCGATGGACTATCAAGGCTTGCTGGCTAGCGTGACAATGCCTTGAACTTCGCTTTTTTTTTCTTTTTTTGTTAAACAACCAAAGATAGTAATAATGGCCCAAGTCTGGACGAAGGACAGGAACTTATTAGATATGGAAATGCATTAATATGACCTTTATATGATTAATTCTGCATGATCTAAGTCTCTGTTATACTTGATCGTAGTCATGATTGCTGACGATCATCCCAGGCTTCAACATAGTCCTAGCTCTAGTCTTTGAGCACATAGTACAATTAATAGACATCCCACAGGATCTATCGGTATATGATTTCCGTCTATGTCGTCTAAAGAATCTTTTGAAGTCTAGATAGCATCGGCTACTGACAGCACCAGATACCCGACGAATTATCCACCAATCAGACCACCGCACTTGAAAGTTGGAGTAATCCCGACTTTAAGTTCGGCAAGTGCTCCGAGATCAGGTCACTCCTCTTTTATTCTCAACTTACAGTCGATTTCGTCTCAATTGATATCCATACATATTTCTAAATAATTGTCAAGTCGCAGCTAGATATCTATCATGGCAAGAGTATTGGATGCGGCTGAAGGTCTGTCGATTATCTAAAAGGATGCTTCCCCGCATCTGGTTATGTGTCTGACGGAATCACAACAGTCGCGAAACATAATACTCCAGAGAGTTGCTGGGTTATTCTTTACGGCAAGGTTTATGACGTGAGTTCTTTTACGCAATTCCTAACACTTAGGTCTTGAACAGAGCTGATAACAACAGGTCACAGAATTCATATCCAGTCACCCCGGCGGTGTCAAGGTCATCCTCAGATTAGCAGGCACCGATGCCACCGAAGAATACGACCCCATCCACCCACCAGGAACACTGGAAGAAAACCTCAAACCGGAAGCATTACTTGGAACCGTCGACCCAGAAACATTACCCAAACCAGACAAACAACAATCTTCGCCAGAGGAGGAAGAGCAAGGTCCACCACCCATGGAAACGCTCTTCAATCTAGACGAGATTGAGCAGGTGGCTACAAAGCAAGTTAGTCGCAAGGCTTGGGGGTACTATTACTCTGCAGCGGATGATTTGATCAGTAAAAACTTCAATCGGGAAATTTACCGTTCCATCCTTTTGAGACCTAGGGTGTTCATTGATGTTGGGAAATGTGATCTGTCAACTACGATATTGGGTCATAGAGTTGGCTTGCCGATATATATTTCCCCAGCGGCAATGGCTCGGTTAGCGCATCCGGCGGGTGAAGCAGGTATTGCCGCTGCTTGTAGGGGGTTTGGCGCGATGCAGATGATTTCTAATAATGCGTCCATGTCGCCGGAACAGATTGTTGAGAATGCTGCACCGGATCAGGTGTTTGGGTGGCAGCTTTATGTGCAAATGGAGAGGAAAAAGAGCGAGGCGATGTTAGCGCGAGTTGAGAAATTGAAGGCTATCAAGTGTGTTATTTTGACTCTTGATGCGCCTGTGCCTGGTAAACGAGAGGATGATATGCGTACCGATAATATTGGCAAGAAGTTACCTGTTAGCTCGGCAAAGGTTGCTGAGAAGGAAGTAGAAACTCTACCGGATGGGACGCCAGTGCCTACAGATGGGGGAGGTGGTGTCGGCAAGCAACTCTTCGCCGGCACAGCTTATGATCTCACATGGAAGGAGACATTGACATGGCTTACAAAAGTCACCAAACTACCTATCATTCTGAAAGGATTGCAGACACATGAAGATGCCTATATTGCATCCCTATATGCTCCGCAGGTGAAAGGTATTATCTTATCGAACCATGGTGGCCGCGCACTCGACACTGCTCCGCCGGCTGTTCATACATTGCTTGAGATTCGCAAATACTGCCCCGAGGTCTTTGATAAGATTGAAGTTCTTGTGGATGGGGGTATCCGTCGGGGCACGGATGTTGTGAAGGCGTTGTGTTTGGGTGCTAGGGCTGTGGGTATTGGTCGCCCGGCGTTGTGGGGGCTTGGTGCTGGGGGTATTGCTGGCGTTGAGAGGACGTTGGAAAGTAAGTTTCACCAAAGAAATTGTAGTAGAGAATTGAGACTGACATGAGTAAAGTCCTCGCGGATGAGACTAAGACGTGCATGCAATTACTGGGTGTGGAGAAAATCTCTGATCTTGGGCCTGAATATGTAAGCTGATCTCTTTTCGGATCATGTATACAACTGGATGAGCATGTTTGACTGACGAATATGATAGATTAACTCGAGGATCGTAGAGCAACAAATCTACGACGGTCCATCTGGCCTCGAAAAAGCGCGCGCTAAACTATAGACTCTTCTCCTTGCTCTCATTGTTTCAATGGATGGCAGGCGGACAAATTGAGCGTTTACTTGCCTGGTAGGAGTTTTGTATATATGACAGGATAGCATCTAGTAGATATACTCGACAAATGTATCTAGTCTGATTAGACAACAGAAATGTAACATTAGAACCTGGCTATAACGAACAGAAGGCCTCTCAGGGCCCAAGTCAAGATATCCAGGTGGGATTTCGAGTTAGGGATGAAAGGCACCTGCAATATAATAATCAATTTTGTGATTAGCAAACATGACGGGATGCTCTTCAGTTCCATATTAAAGTAATCATAGCTAAGACTGGAGAAAATACGGGAGGCCATCCTTTCGTTATAGCCAGGTTCTACTGTATCAATACTCCAGCGAATAACTTTACAATCCATGGAAGCAGACCTCTACCTAGGTAACAGCGACAATGCTTACCCAGAGACTATATCACAAATAGAACTAGCCAGGAAGAAACCGTCCTTTGGCGTGTATTCCAGAACCCTTTTCAAAGGAGTCTGGAGATGACTCAGAGAAAACCTAAAGAAGGTCAGATAAATTTCCTAAAAAGGAGATTCCTTAGGGCTTGCTAAGACGGGCTATGATTGGGCAGAAAAGTTCTAAAGATCATGACGTAACAGATCTATGAGCTCATCAGAAGCTTTAAATAAACAACTTCTTTTTTCATTCTTATTGAGTATCATCATTTTACCATCAAGAATCAACATGCCACGGCTACCCGACCACGAAGACGACGTCGTCACTCGCGTCCAAGATCGCGTCAAAAATGCCTGGGACGGATTCTGGGACTTTGCTCTTCGCGATAACGTGCTCGAAGTTGCTATCGGTTTAATGTACATACCATTCTTCTATTTCAGTCATACCGATATGAGTAAAGTGAGCTAACATCTATATAGCATAGCAGCAGCATTCACTAAGGTAGTGAATTCGTTCGTATCCGATCTATTCTTACCAATTATAAGTCTGCTGCCGTTCCTAAACCGCAATTTAGAGGATAAATTCGCAGTTCTGAGGAAAGGGAAGCATTATTCTGACTGGGGTCCTGGTGGGTATAATACGCTTGAACAGGCACGGGATGACGGTGCGCTTGTTATGGCTTATGGGTAAGTTTATGGGCAAATCACCTCAACTTCCAATTCGTGGGAAGGCTAATAATGGGGATTGATGTCAGAGCATTCCTGGATAAATTCATCAATTTTGTCGGTATAGGTCTAACGCTCTATACTGTGGGACAAGTGTATACCTGGTTTTCCGATGATGTGGTTATTAAACGGACTGTGAAATGCAGGTATTGCAGGAAGTGGATCAGCTCGAAGGTTGGGATTACCCCTGACGATATTCGATTGGTGTTGCACTTGAGTTGCATTCGTGGCTAATACCTTTAATTAGGCTGTACGATGTGTAAACTGCACTAGTTGGCAGGATGGGAGAGAGGATCACATACGCAGTTAGGTAACTTCGGAGCCGAGGTCGAATTCGGTATATGTAAGCCTGTGATGCTATGAGGTTGCGAGGATGGATTCTTGTTTAGATTGAGTCTGTTGATTTGAAGACACAGTCCATTGAGAGAAGAACTAGCACACAAATGTGTTCTTTGCTGAGTGTATGTTCGGTGAATACAGACTACATAAGTTGACCTGATTTGAGATGAAAATATTTTTTTCTTCACCAGCTTATCTCATAATTCCTTTTTTCATTAACAGTATAAACTGTCGTGGGACTGACTTTAAACGAGATCGCAAAGGAATCAACCAGACAAGGAGCAATTACTCGGAAAGGCAGCACACGCCGTGGTTACAACGTCTATGCGCGGGATAAAGGAAGGCTTCAGATGCCCACAAGCGCTAGCACAGACCAATAACGCAAAGAACTTGTACAACTCTCCCTTAAGAAGGTCGAAAAGAAGGCGCGTTGTACAGGACCGCAAAACGGGGCCCGGCCTGATATCCGCGGAATGTGGAATGCTGTCAACTTCCAATGGTCGATCAGTGTAACCAAGGGGTTAAGGTGTCAACTGGTGGAGTCGGGAGAGCAAGCTTAATTCAGTTAGAATCCGAGTTGATCAATAGGCAACTCATCTTTCACAGTGGATGTTAGAGCAAAGGGATCGTTTCGCTTGGAGGAGACTTCATTCTTATTCAACCTGCTTGCTGAGAGGAATTTCCCAATCAAGATATAGGGCTACGTGTATAGTACACCATATACGGTAATCAACATCCATGGACATTGTTGAGAGCAAGAATACGGTTGGAAAGAAATTCATGGATTAGGGCTTATCCTGTCATTGGACGTTCCACGGTTCTCTACTGCTTGCCATGGCGGAAAATCTCATTCCAATCTCACAACCTACTAATGCTAAATAAAAAAGACTCCAGGCAAGTTTCTAGCCAGCAATCGTTCCTTGTAACTGCATCATGGACCGTATCCCCTCTATCCCTACCAGATCCGCTTTATTACCATCATAGGATGAAAATGGGTCCAGGAAGGTGGACCATCCGGGAACTGAGCTTTCTTGTCAATTGCAAATACCGTCCAGAGTTGATATCATACATTTGTATCACTGGGAATGTTTCTAATCATGGGTACAAAGCTACCCTCATTGTGAAGAATGCAGCGCCAAATGCACTGACTTCATTTCAGCTCTCGGCCCGATGATATCCTCGCTGTGCAACATTAGCCAATTGCCATTCAATGATTGTAGCCAATCTGTTTGATCCACGCTTGAGATCTTGTAGGTTATATTGGAGAATGATGGCATGTCTCCCTTCCCCTTCCCTGATTGAAGACGCGTGGATGATTTCTATCTACTCATATGTTTTCTATCTGTCCCATGGCATAACACTTTGCTCCAAATCTCTGCTACAGTCAATATAGAGTCATATTACATTAAGCTAAGACTGCGAGATTACAGCTTTTCTTACTGGCATGATAGTATATTGTTGATCAATACTCTCTTCCTTTCGAATTTGTTTCTTCCCAGGTTTCTGAACGACTTCTTTTGACCACGAAGGTGCTCGAGACGTGTTCCTCGGCCCAAATTGAGTCCTGGACCTTTCTACGATGTCCGCCGGGGATATCAAAGAAGCTACTGGGCCAGGAGAGCTCAAGAAACCGAAATTCGTTAGCTATTTATGGGACACATTTGACAAGCCTCCAACAGAACGGCGACTACTTACCAAGCTTGATACTGCACTCATTTCATTTGGTGCAGTTGGTGAGATTCGAAATATCCCCTTGTTTATGTTCCATGCTAATATTTGAGGGAAATAGGGTACTTTGTCAAAAGCGTCGACGACTATAACATCAACAATGCCTTCGTTTCTGGGATGTACGTAATAAGTGAAGTTCTACTCTGCGCTAAATCTGTGCTAATGGGGATTTGATTCCAGGCAAGAGGACTTGAGACTATTTCATAACCAGCTGAATTACATGCAAACGGCTTGGGCTTTGGGGTATATGTTGGGACAAATCCCGAGCAATATTATTCTTAGTCGAACACGGCCACGATATTGGATACCGAGTCTTGAGGTACGAGCATCCATCTGATTCCTTGTATGACTTGCTCGAATGCCATATTGCAGGACTAAGGATTCCGGTTCACAGGTCTGCTGGGCTGTTCTTACCCTCTCGTCATCAAGATGCAACCAAGCATATCAATTCTATATAATCCGTTTACTCATCGGTAAGAATTATATCACAATCATTGTCAGGGGTCCAAAAACTGACAAAAGTGAAGGTCTCTGTGAAAGTGGTTATTACCCTGGTATTCAACACTCCCTCGGATCATGGTATCGAAGAGACGAACTTGGGAAAAGAGCTTGTATATTTCAGATTTGCAGTGCCTTGGGTCAGATGGCTTCAGGATACATAATGAGTGGCGTCTATCGACTAGGGGGTGTTGGGGGATTCAAAGGGTGGCAATGGTTTGTGCTAAACTACGTATTGATGGATAAGTCCATGAGAGGTATTGGTCTGACATTCTTCTGGTCTAGGGCTTTTATTATCAATGGTTCTATTTCTTTGCCTGTTGCTGTTGCAGGTTACTTTATACTTCCGGATGTGCCCGAGATCACGAAGTCGTGGTATCTCAGTGAAGAGGTGAGTTGATATCCAATTTTTAAATTTGTACAGCTGCTCACTAGGTCTAGGAAATCAAACTCGCACAACTGCGAATGCATATGGAGGGACGAAAACCTCGCGCCAAGTATACGAAGGAGAAATTGAAGAGAATCTTTACTTCATGGCACATATACCTCATGTCTCTTCTGTATTTGTAAGTCAATAGTTCCCCAAACCCTACCTGAATTTCATATCTTTACTAATTCGAATACCAGAGCTTTCAACAACGGTATTGCGAACATGCAACCGATTTTTCAGCAGTGCGTATCCTACCGCCTTCTATGTTGCTTTAATACTCACTATAAATAGGTACCTGCGCCATTCGGAAAATCCTCATTACTCAATTCCACAAATCAATAATTATCCGACAACTACGTCTGGAGTTCAAATCCTGATGACTATAATATATGCTTGTATGATATCAATCAAGCTTGACCTGTTTAGGTTACTGATTATTCGCCTAGGGCTATCTGATACCGTCCTACGAGGCAGACGTTGGCCACCTCTTGTATTTGGCGGAGTAAGTCTGAATTCGTGTCATCGATAACGAGGATACTGACGAGTTATGATAATAGGTTGTAAATATCATATGCTATGTTTCATTAGCTATTTGGGATATTCCTACCTGGTGGAAGTGGACATCTCTCATCTCGGCAGGGGCGTCCTTTGGTTTGAGTGGATTGTGCATGGCGTGAGTCTACAACTAATATCTGATATTGGCTGGATGAAGGCTAATAATATGAAATAGCTGGGCCAACGAAGTCTGCGGAAACGATAGCGAGGAACGCGCCATCACCCTCGCAGCTATGAACGAAGTTGCATATATCATTCAGATATGGCTACCTCTCCTAGTCTGGCAGCAGGTCGACGCACCAAGATACTGCAAGGGCTACATCACCGTATCTGTGATGTCTGCTATATTCATTATGATGTGCTTCTTGGTTCGTAACTTGCAAAACAAGGAATCCTTCGCTGCTCGGATATCTCAGAGACATGCCACGGAGAGCTGTATTCAACTACAGCAGCAGCAAACAATGAACGGAGAGAAAGACGCGTCTAGTAGCAGTATACAGTTGACTCGACTTAAGAGCGTCGATGACACATCCGGACACTATGAAAGTGGAGCAATTCCTCCTTCGTCTTCGTCGAATATCGTCTCACCTTGTTACGAAGAAGACAAGGCGCGTGCTTCGAAGGGATCGGGTTTGAGATCGCATACTAAGCCGGGTGATATCAAAGAGATGGAAGTTCAGCCATCAAGATTGCTTTGAATAAATTCCTCATTTTAAGCAAATACATACGACAGAGGGCCGTTTCTTTTGTTCAATGCTATACATTTTCCTTCCTCTGTTGGAGATCGCTATTATGTTTATTTCATGTCGATTCAGTTGAATGTTCCTTATCCACATAAATGATGTGTGCTGCTAACTCGCTTTGATATTATCACATTACTTTACCTGTACAGTATATTTTTCCTGTCCAGACATAACTTTCCTAGTTATAGATCAACTATATACCATGAAACCCTAACTCGATTAATCGATTCACAGTACAGTAGGGAAATAGAGACTTCCTGAGCGCCCCTGAAGCTCTCGAGTCCGCCATCATAAACCCTACATATGGCGCCAACAACATTCGAATGTTCATATTAGTGACGCATGCCTGATCTGGTTGCGTTGGAAGAGCCTAAATAATTTTCGTTATAGGAAGTAGCATGGGTTTTCGGGACTCCAAAAACAACCCGCGAAATCCGATACCTCAACGCCAACCTGATCTATATTGCTGCTGCCTATCTTGCATCTGGAGCTAAAATTGCTTGGCGGTGTAGCAGCGGCAGCTATTGGGTCGCGATATCAAAAACTACTATGATACCAAAGATAAAAGTGTAGAAAGAAAATCACCACGAGCTTCACGAACCTCTTACACTAACGGCCCTTGGGTCTGATAAGGTAGTAAGTAATGACAGGAGCCTGGAAAGCGTTCTTTTTTATCCAATTTCTTCATTTTGGAAGAAAGTAGAGTTCTCTCTCTTCCATATTTCCCAAACTTCAAGCGAATAACCAATCCTACGGTAACAGATTGGCCGTTTGCGTCATATCTTACTGGATTCTGGAGTTCGGAGTCATGGAACAAGTGCCTTCTATTGTTATGAGTAGTGTTCCTTGGATTACTGCGTTACAGTTCACGATACCAGACCAGCGCCTTAAGAAGCCATTGTCTTCTCTACCAATCCCAGACGTGGTCTAGGAGAGGCGAATCTCAAGTTCTGCCCCGAGTCCCGCAATACGGATTGTTTCAAATCGATGGAGTTGAAGTTCACCGACTCCTCCGCTTGTGTAAGAAGTGGTGCTAACCCTGTTGGTTCTCTACCTTAACCTTGGACCAAACTGACTCTATTAGTGAAGAAAACATTAATACCTACATTTATGATGATTCCCTATCGAGATGAAGTGAATTAAGATTAGTTACACTAACTGCGAGGAGTAGGATTCTTGCTGGAAGACATCTCAGATGATCCACTGGAACTGGTATGCACGCTAAAACTCAACTGATAATCCAGGAGAGCATGGCACAATTCCCTTCTGTGGTCACATGGATTCCATCGAGCAGCCATATCCAGGTCGGAAGAAGGACTGGCCTCCCCTGAAAGGGCTCGCCATAATGAGTCTTCATGCTTACGCACCATGGTTTGTAGACAAAGTATGTTGAACTATCTTTTCCCTTCCTCTTTGTTGTAGATGAACTAAAGCAATGAAACAGGGTAATTTCACTGTGAAATTTGATGCAAAGATCAAGGAAGGAGAGAGGATCTATTGTCTAGATGGAGAATTTGAGTTTAAATACCCAGAGGGAAAACACTAGTAGAGGCTGGTCAAATGTTTACCGGAGGTTCTATCAGATGTATACAAAGACCAATACAATAGTGGTTTTAAAACCTACAGGAGAATACATTTTACCTTCAGGTATCTACCTAGATAAAGTTCCAAGCTCGGAACAAATTTACATGCCTGCACTTTCACTGCTTATTTTTACCCAGAAAGACGTGAACATCCATAGTCCGAATCTGTCACATAGTAATTATAGGCCCTACTTTAAGAAAACATTGACCGTACCTAGGTACACAAAAGAAATGGAACTCATCAATTTCCGGTGTCTCCCTCCTCCACCTGGGCAGTCATAGAGGTACTCTATATGTGGCCACTAGTGCATAAATTATCCACCTAGACATGGCTATATCTCAAATACCTAGGTACCTAGGTGGGGCATTAGCTATACATGTATTTCAAGACATGCGTCAACTGGTATTTCATCCCACTTCAAAGGTTTTTACTGTGAGACTACCTAGGTATTTACGTATCCATGAGCATTCCTAGGTACTATCCTCATGTCATTCCCTTTCACTTCGAGGTCCTGACGGGAGCTGAGGGCTTGGGGACAGATGTCTCCTTTCTTTCACAGCAAAATAAAATCAATACAAAAGGAGAGGAGAGAGTGTGTAGTCACTGTATTCACACATCTTGCCAGCCCATTACTCTCTCGACCATAGTCTACTAAATAGGCTCCCATTCAAGCTTCCATTCAAAAGATGAGCGTCACCTTTCTTCCACGGATGATCTTTTTCAACAGACCGTATTATATCCACGGATTGTGTGCTACTTGCTTTGATACAATAAGGGAAACGGAGCGGGTGACTTATTATTCCAGGTGTAATATCTATCTCTGGTTCGATTTCCTTACCATTCTCATCAGCAGCTTTGGTGATGTCGAAAACAGTCAACAGACGTGAGATGGTCAAGAACAAGTTCTCATCTGCCAAAAATCGGCCGGGGCATATACTGCGGCCGTACCCGAAAGCTTCAGTCGCAGGATCGGGCTCATTGCGAGGTTTCAGAAACCTCTCCGGGTCGAACGAAGAATGGTTTGGGTAGACTTGTGGGTCATGTAAAAACCACCATACCATTGGCAATAGGTACGCTCCTTTCGGGATGCGAACTCCTTTATAGTTTATTTCCTCGTCGGTTATGTGAGTAACTCCTAATGACACAACAGGAAGCCATCGGACCGTTTCCTTTATAAGAGCATTAACGTACGGCAATTTCTCTCGATCTTCGAATTGGGGAAGTCTCCCACCCCCAATTATAGAGTCGATTTCCGCTTGAGCCTTTCTCTGGACCGACGGGAAGAGCATCATTGCCAAGATAAAACTGCTGACAGAGGAGACAGTAGTATCAACCCCTCCAGGATACATAAGCGCAGCGGTTTCCTTAATAGCTTCTTCTTCATCTTCATTCATTCTGCCATGCTGTTCAATTGAAGATGCCACATATGACGGCCGTTGGCTGCCATTCGCCATTTGCTGCTGAACAAATGTATAAGGTATATCAATCACCATGCGGTTGATCTCGTTCCATTTTCGAGCTACCCTTTCGAAAACTGCTCCTGGTAAACCTTCCGGAATATACTTGAGGATCGGAAATATATCGACGGCCCAGTACATAGGGAGCAGGGCAACGGAAAGATTATGCATCATGCACTCAGTTAGGAGGACCAAGGGGTCGGCAGTCTGCGGCTCGATAGAGTAGCCGTATACTATCTGCAGGATGATCGCACCGGTTTCCCTAAGAATTCATTTAATAAACAAGTCATCCAACCACAACGAGCACATATAGTCCGATGTTCTTAACGTGACTGGGGGGAGGGGGGCAAACCTACGTTTTAATATGAGCGATCAAATAAGCGGGATCCTCTAGGATTCGCAAAAGAAACCGACGTGACTCGACATCCTGAACGTTTCAGAAACGTGATGCTGCCGTTTTGTACCCAGCTGTTGATGTATCAACTTGCGATGGGCTCGAAAGGTGCTGTTGTATTCCATTAATGAGAGAAACCTTCCAAGACCACATGCCTTACATGCAAAGTACATCTGTGGTCTCGATGATGTTTTCGACGATCTCTTTTATAGTAGATCATGTGCTGCTTGCTTATCATGGATTATAATAAGTGTGGTTCCAAGTACTGTAACAGAGCTGATGGGACCGTAAGTGTCTTTGAATTTGAGCCAGTGCTGATATTCTGGCAATCCTTTTGGTGGGAGATCCATAATGTTCCCTACGATGGGAAGACCTTTTGGCCCAGGATGGAGGTTGGACTTGTTCTTCATTTGGTAGTATAGGTCTAAGAAAATCGTGCCTAGGACGGCGATAAGGGCCAGCAGCAACATTGTGCTTGTACTATCAAGATGAATATTCAAAATGTTAATTCTATAAAGTACACGTCCGAAACAAGAGCTGCAAAGTTGGAGAAAAGGAAATCCGTACTTTCTCTAGGGTATCTCTTATATTCTGTCCGGCCTTGTGATTGTAATAGTGGTGGGGAAACGATTGCGATCTCTTGGTCAAACTTTGTCCTTACAAGGTGCTTCAAGTCTCGTTGTGGGATGGATGGTGCTCCAAGAGAACGATTATAATCCAATGACTGGGTGGCTTACTGAGATATTTAATTAGATTGTTTAAGACTGGGGTGCTCGATACATACATGTACCAAGCACCGCAAGTGAGCTCAAATGCCCACTTGCGTGACTAAAGTTTTTGATATTACTCCGCATTTCGTGAGCAATTGGCGATAACAGACTTTCATCTAATAGGCCAAAAGTAAGGGGAAATGCAAGAAGAAGCACAGAGTGAGAATAATTGAGTCAGCTGCATATATCATTGATGCCACTGGTGGCAATATTTCTGGCTAGATCCAGCATTAGTAGAGCCAAACTTAAGAATGAGGCTTTGTTCTGACATGATATGCCAAGTCAGTCTCTCACTTCCACACCATTATCAGTAATTGGATATTGTTAAGAAAGGACTACTATTGGCTTGTCACCTATTATGTCGGCATTATGCATGGTCAAGTCACGTGGGGTGAGAGACTCTTGGAGCTGGGCGGGTAGTCGAAGATGTGCTTGAGAGTCTTGTAAAATGGTTACAGTAGTGATACCTAGGTAGTTAGGATAGCATCACGTACGTTTAGTAGGTAACATCTGCGGGGCTGGGTAAACTTCACCTTATCCTATTTCTTATACTCGAATCATGGGTATCAACGCAACGGGGACTCTGTAATGACGAGTGAGAGATACTTCCTCAACCACTTTTCCATTGTTGACTCCAGACACGAAAAACGTTGAGTTATAGCCCGTGTAATGTGTCAGCAGAAAGCAACCTGGTTCAGTCACACAGTGGCTGTTGAGCGTGCTTGTTGTACTGGTGTTGTGATGCCGTGTCAAGGATGGGAACGTGCTTGTCTGTTTCGGGACCGTAGAGGTCAATCAACCATAAGGTATGCCTAAATATAAGATCATAGAATATAAAACGTTGCATTGCAGCAAATTTGGCCATTAAAATCGATTGGTAATTCCATGGATATCTTTCCGATGTTGTTGCTGGGACTTTGCAGCTGCGAGGTTCTAGGCTTCTGTTAGCTTCGTACACTTGCCAAATATGGCAATGCTTCGAAAAACTCGTGCTAATATCGAAGATGTGCCCAAGTATTCAGATGGTGACATGTATCTTGGCTATTGGTAGGGTTTATCTCTTCCAGTCACTCATACTTCAGGCAGCTCCGAACGTCGATGCGGGGTCATGACCGCTGTCACAGTAATCTGAGACCCGATACCGGTGCGGCAGGGCCTCCTTTAAGGTGTCTGGCTGAATTACTGACCGGATCTTCTATCTCAATGCTGAGCTTCTTGTGTTGCAATCTGTCTTGGATTGTCGTGTAGAGTGGCACAGGACAAGCAGCGGAAATAAAAGGCAGGATAACTCACATTGAGCAGTTATAGAATATTCAATTTTACTGAAATAGTTTTCAGAGTATACTTAAGCAAGCTCTTGCATGCAACAATGAAATAATGAAGAAGATATTCCTAGAAAGCTGGTGAAGAGTAGGTTGCCCCGTACGACATGATAAACCACGTGGTCCACCTAGCCCTAAATTTCCGAAATTGGAAAGTAATGCGTTCCAAGGTTTCTCTGTCGTTGCAGAGCCTCTGTTCTAAGCATACCCAAAAATCCAAACAGGGAACGTTCTAACAATTCATCTATGATTAAGGCCATAAGCTCCATATACACAGGTGTCCATAAGAGGAAGAGAGTAAGCGTTCGCTCTAGCCCTAAGTTCTTGACATTAGAGTGTAAGACTCCTAGCCAGCGTACCTCCAGGGCTTCATCATCTTTGTGCCGCTTGCACCTACCTAGTAACAATTTGGATGACAGTTGACGAGCTAGCTATTAGACTTACCCTAAGGGAATACTTGAAATTGCAGTCCAAAGCGGAAGAAATGAAACTTGACTATATTCATGAGTCCAATGCGTTCATACAAAATCTGAGATTGTCCAAGTATGCCTTAATATACAAATTCGGGGGAAACAATCTACTCCGCCGTCTTCAAAAACATGATCAAATCCCTACTCTGCCTCTGAAGGTCGCGCACCTTCCAATGGGAATCTAGTACACTGTCTGCCAGCCACTCCATCCTCGATCTTAAACCATGCGGATATTTTTCATATTTCTTCCAATCGTTGAACAGTTTCAATTCAGTCTCATATTTGGCGATCTTTTCGTTCTCTCTGTTGATAAGTTCACGTACTATACCCAGATCTAATCTGTGTCTTAATATATCGTCTTGTGTGAGGTATTTGAATGCGGCGTGGAAGATAGGACGGCCTGGTTTGATTGATGCGGGACGACCGTGTACGTTTACTACGCTGATGAGTTCACGTTGTTCGAGCGCAGCTAGAGTCTTTTCACCGTCTGTTCCGCTGAACAAATCTGAAACAATGATGGTGCTGTAAGGAACTGTGCCGTTTCGGTCTTCAGCGATGCTCTTGATGAGATACCATGCTTGTTCGCGTGTCCAGGTCGGGGAGTCGTTGTCGTGGGTGGTATTATCTTCGAGAACGTAGGCCTTGACAATTTCAGTAGCTGCTTGCTCGATTATGTGTTTGACAGCGCCTGTTTATATATTAGTTTCCTGACTCAGACCGTTGTATGAAATAAAATAGTTACTCACTCTTTGGACTCTCGCCAGATTTGATTCTATGCGCCATGAACTCCAAGTCCGTCAAACGACCACCAACAATCTCAATACACCTATCCAAATCTTCCAAGCCTTGTGGTGGTGTGCTCTTCTTCGGCGAAGGTGACTCATCACCATCGCTGTCCTCCTCATCGTGGTTCTGCAAATATCGAATAATGAAGTTTCTGCCAATTTCCAATGAGCAATCACCTAATGAAATTGAGCGAAAGACCTGAGTTGGAAGTGCTTTGCTGAGCGTTTTGGAATACGAGGCATCTGGAGTAAGGAAGACGACATGTGCGATATTGCCAGTAACAAGAGCAGCGGCCCATTCTGCTAGTTTATCATCGATTATATTACTCTCGCGACCTCCGTGTAAGAAATTGTCGATTACAACGACTGGTCTCTTCTCGGGGTGCGCCTCTAGGTAGTCGTCGTCCGACATGGTGCTATTTTCCTTCTTTTTCGTCTCAAGCGCAATCTGTCTCAAAGCTGTAGCAGTATTTGTCCATATCTTACTCAACTGAGAGTCTAAGGTCTCGGAAAACCCAGCTTTGGTACCAATGATACCTTGAGAAGCCAAATCAATGAAGCTGCTGAAACTATTCATCCATGAGAAAACCGGTCGGTAACCTACTTGCTGAGCCGCAACAGAAATCGTAGCTGCATCGCCTCTCGCGTCCTGAATTTGCTTGCAATCGATAACTAGCTTGTGTTTTCGATCTTTTAGTGCCTGGTCCATAACAATCTCTCTCTTTCCGGACCCGTGAGGCCCCTGGACAACGATGAATGTATTCCCATTCTCGCCCAGCCATGATTGTAGCTGGTTAATCTCTTCTTTCCGGTCATCCGACAAGGCTCGGAGCACGTTCTTTTCGTTCCCCCTCTTAAATGATAAAATGTTGGCTCTGCGAACCTCTTTTCGAATCCACGACCACAACGGCTGATCTTCCGCATTGAGCAGGTATTTGACTTTCATCTTGATGAAGAATGTGCGGATAGGATCGAATATAATGACTGTGATCCCCGCAATCAATGCTGCAACTGCAGGAATCACAATTCGGGGATGATTGAACAGCCAATCCCTGATCCAATGAGCTTTGATCTTGCGTTCGTAAGTTATCCTTAGTACCGATCCTCCAACGCCATCGCCGCTGACAGTTTCTGGTATGGTAACACCGTGAGTGCAGCTCCGGGCCAGGATTGCATATTTGGCCCTAGTAAACTCGACAATTGCATACTTGGGAAGAACCTTCGAATCGGGCGGCTGTCGCTCAATATCCTTGATCTTGCCGTATCTGCGAAAGAGAGAGTACAATGCCTCTGGAGTCAATTCCGCTGGGGTGGCATTTGATGACGACGGCAGAAATTCAACTTTCAGCTTTGGGCTGGGGAAGTGGTACATATCCTCAATCCATGGCTTGCCCAAAACACGCCCGACTCCAACACGATCGAACGGATTGAACCATGGACGGATAGGATGTTCCTTTAGGTATTTATCAACGGCGGTTGCTATTTCCCCTTTTGTCCTCTTTTCCCCATCGGCAAGTGAGTATTTGATAAACAATCCGCCCTCACTGAGTCGAGGTATGACCTGTTTGACGTCGATGTGTAGATCCGGCGGTAATGCTCGTCTCACGATCGCCCAGTGGTCTGCTGCAGCGTAGGAGGGTTTGTCGACGTGTTTTAAGACTTGATCGACGGCGTGAGAATCTCCGATCCAAAGCAGTCTATAGAGCCATTGGAGCCTGAGAGGGAGTATGTCTGGTGTTTAAGTTGGAAATTAGCCAGTCTGGTACTGCTTAAATCGCCGAAATGGCAGATGAGATGTTATTGTCCTACTATTAATAAACAAGAGCTCCTCATCGGGCCCTACAGAGATATGTCCTTGTTCAAGAGTTTCGACAATAGAGTCAGTTGTTGACGTCTTCGACGTCGTCGTTGCTGCTGTCGAGTTGTATCGTATTAACGCACCTGGCGCGTACCATCTGACCTCGGCATACTTGTATGATGCCGATCGAAGATAACAGCCATACTGTCGATGGCGATAGCACTGAGGGCGAAGGAGGGCTGACAGCCTCATTGTACCACACATTCACCTCTTATCGGGTATAGCTATCGCAAGATTCATACTGCGCGAGTGGAGGGAAAAAAGATCAAGATCCGAAAATGACGTCGACGCTTTGAGCCGAGTCGCGCGCCTCTTTGGGATTAGTGTCTGATCACTGCTGTGGTTTCACGCTTGACCTCCACGACCTCTACACTACTTTACAGATCATCAGAATACATACTTGTGCTTTGTTTATGGATCACAGGTTTCCATGGGAAGCTATAGGTATGCTGCAGCCTGCAGGGCTATACTCATGATATACCTGTCGTCGATCCTTTTATGAGATTTGTCATCTAAAGCCTCAAGGTTTCTGAATTTATATCGTACATCTTTCTTATACTTTTTCCTACTACCTTAGGTACCACCTCCATTTTAAACAAGAAGCCAGAAGAAAGCATTTTCCAGTGCTTCATAAGCCAACATCGTACCCCCAATACTGTTGCAGACTCGCCCTCAGATGCGCGTCGCATTCTTGCTGTGATGCCGAATCCTTTCGCCATACTTTATGCGAAGCTATCGAGTTAGTTAATTCACAATGAAAATCAGGGCCTTGCTGACTCACGTAAAATAGGATGAATGGGATTGGGAGAAATAATGCTGCTAATCCTCCAAGGAGAGAGTTTCCAGGACCAATTCCAAGGTTACGAAATAAAGCCCGCGCCTAAAATCAAGCAACACATGAAAAGTCAGCCAAATTGAAGCATTTTACTTGAGGAAGTCTATATGATAGAGGCGTCTTACAAAAAGTGGGAATACCACGCCGCATGAAGCCCTGAAAAGTGTATTTCCCGCGAGTACCGACGCCGCATACTGAGGATAAGCCATACCGAGATAACTCAGCACCGGCATAAACAACGTGATAATGCTGATGGTAAAGCAGCCAGATCCCACAAGTGGTACCATCCAATGAGTACTCTCGCGGGAGGTCCATCCATACCAGAATAGGCAGACGGGTAGAGCAAATGCTCCGAAGAAAGTTGGTGGAAGGATTACTTCTGGCTGGAAATGACCATGTGCCAATCGGACCATCAGATGGTTACGAACCCAGTATAGATAGCAGGGTACTGTGACCACCCCGCCGACGAATATGCCCAAAAATGTCAACCCTTGCTCTCCTATATTGAATCCGTATATCTCCCCAAAGACTAGGGGAAAGGACTCGAACCAGATGTACAGCACGCCGTATAAAAGGGCGCAATACAAATCGACGAAGAAAACCACGGGCTCAGAAAAGGTCAACGTGAAAGCTCTACCGAGTACGACCAAATGATCCTTCAATGTTACTTCTGCGGCATCAATTTCGGATTGACTTTTGAGTGTTGCTTTGCCCGTCTGTTTTCTCAATCTCTTCGCTCTGCGGTATAGAATATTGGCGGCACTTGTCTCAGGCATGAAGAAGAAGAGTACGACCAACACGACCGCACACAGCCAAGTGAGCTCCCAAATCGGCCAACGCCATCCCTTCGCTTGTGCCGCGAATCCCCCTACAAGCGGTCCCAGGACTGGACCCAGCACCCCTGAAGCACCGTATATGCCGATCCAATACGGAACTTCGATTGGCGGATACATGTCTATGATAGTTGCACCGCCGATGGCAAGGACGGGACCGCCGAAGAATCCGGTAAGGAAGCGGAAGACCAGTAACATTGCCATATTGATTGCGTACCCAGTTGGTAGTTGAAGAAGTACAAAGGCGAAGAGGGTCCAGAAATAGATTCTGCTGCGACCTATTGTTGGTATTTCGGACATTGGGGAGAAGAGCATCGGTCCTAGGCCGTAGCCACTAGTTATTGGAACGATGAGTACATGCGCTCCTTTGACTTCACTTTGGTAAATACATACAGTACGAAGAGAGACAACCCAAGGGTAGCTACGACCTCGCTGACTCCAAACTCGTCTATAATACCCTCCTCTCCCGGGGTGTAAATGGAGCTACCTATGTATATCCCAAAGTTGAGGAGACATACTTGAAAGGCGATCAATAACTTGCGGGCCTTCGGCCAATTTTGAGGGTTCTATAGTCTGTCAGCCTAGAATTCTGCGTGGCCATGAATCAGAGAAGAAGAAGGACAAACCTCCTGGTCTTTTGCATCATACCAATCCACCAGTATGACCTCTGCGTTCCTTTCATGGCGATTCAGGATGTCTTGACGCCAAGAGTGCGGTCCTTCGGAATATAATACTTGAGCAGAATCTAGAGTATTTACTGCATACTCTTCTTCCTGACAGATCCTTATACCATCTCCTGTCGGCGTACCGCTGTTGTCACTATCCTTTTCTTCATCGCGGGTAGCTGGCGGATTCGGTTTTCGAACAAACGTATCCCACAGATTCAGATCCTGTTCATCAGGAAACTTCAGGAACTTCCTTCCTGAAAGTAAACGAACTATCTGTCCAAATACTGTATCGCACAAGTGGTCACTCATGGTGGGCGTTCTCTAACCATAACGAGAACCTTATTTACCACCATGTGATACGAATTTCAGGGTGAGTAGAAAGCACCCGGCTCTTTGAATTTATATTCGTGACACTGAGCGTACAGGGCGTAAAATACTTCTTCCATCCCAGTACCAACAGCTTCGCATAAAGTCCTCATGTTTAACTCCGGAGAGCATACGGATTTAGCGGAATTAGGCAGGAGTTTCAGACTTTTAGGATTAGCTATATCGGGGGTACACAACATGACATTTCCCTAATTGTTATCAATTTTTGAAGATATGTATGAAGGTCAAAGGGGTCATATATGATATTTACTCATCAAATTACGGCCAGCGAAGCACTCAGTCAGTTAGCTTTTACCAACAATGATGGCAGGGCATCATTATGTCCTTCACGTGATGCTGTGCCACAAGGCTGACTTGGAAGCGCTCGAACTTGACTCATGACTCAGAGTCGTTCACCATCCATTCAACTATTCCTATTTCTGATCTGTAAAGCTTTCTGAAATCAGTGATTAAATGGATGTGTCGTACATCGGCTATCGGTCGAAAAAACCACTTGAAGACAGATCAACAGATGAACATAGAGAAGTCTACAGTGCTAAAATCCGCATCAACAATGAACCGCAAAGAAAGCTCTCACCATGACTCCGAGTCCTTATTCAACTCCGGCTTCCTCGCAGAGATCCACAGTGAAAAGCCATAGGGTCCCCGGGACTTGATCGGATCATCACTCGATTTTCTCCAGAACCAAATGGCTTTCTACACCTGGGACATGTCAAAGCCATTGTAATCAATTTTGGATTTGCAGAGTATCACGGCGGAATTTGTTATCTGAGTTACGACGATACTAGTCATGCCAGAGAGGAGGGAAAGTATTTCATAGCTGTCGCGGATATCATTCAATGGTTAAGCTTCAGTCCTGCTAAGGTCACTTATTCGAGTGATTATTTTGATACACTCTATGAGCTTGCGGAGGACTTGATTCGTCGTGATGGGGCTTACGTTTGCTATTGCTCCAGTATGCTAGCATATAGTTGTTCGGCACGTTTTTATGGGTTATTCAGGAAGCTCTGCTTCGTGTGGGGCAGGGTCTTGAATCTGATAATCCTTAAATGTGGGATTTGATTGCTTATCGTGATTCGTTCACGGGCATCATATTCCCCGGAGAAGTCAGATAGTAAGACTGGGATTCACTATCGTACTGGAGGTAAATGGAGGATTTATCCAACGCACGATTTAACGCATTGTTTGATGGATAGTTTCGAGGGTATCACGCATTCCCTGTGCACGACCGAGTTTCAGACGTCGAGAACTTCGTATAATTGGTTATGTGACAAGCTGGGTGTCCATAGGCCAATGCACAGAGAGTGAGTGTCACCTAACTTTTCCATGAATCCTTTGCAGTAATGTTCAAGTCCGTATTGATACATACTGATTGAAAAAGATTTGGCCGACTCAATCTTTCCAGAACAGTCCTGTCTAAACGGAAAACTCTGGAGCTGATATCCCATGGACCTGTCCGTGACTGGGATGACCCTCGTCTCCATACGTTCATTACTCTTCGACGTCGAGGCATTCCACCCTGAGCAATACTTTCATTTGTCAATAGACTTGGAGTATCCAAGGCGATTACGACAATTGATGTCAAGCAATTCGAAGAGTCTGTACGGCAATATGTCGAACTCGGTGTACCGCGTTCGATTGTCGTTCTTGATCCTGTCACTGCCATTATTGATAATTTGCCGGAAGATTGCTTGGAGATTGTTGAACTACCATTTTCAAAAGATCCAGAATTTGGGGTATGTCCATTCGGATCGTTTTGATTGTTCACACCGTACTACATATGAGCCAGTCACATCGCGTCCCATTCACCTGAACAGTCTACATTGATCGAGCTGATTTCCGTGAGACATCCAGTAAAGATTTATTCCGACTTACGCCAGGCACCTCAGTAGGGCCACTCAAGGTCCCCTCCCAAATCGCCGCGACCAGTTTCGAGAAAGATCCTACCAGCGGATCCGTGACAATAATACACGCTAGCTATGATAAGCCTGAAGAGGGCGCAAAGTTCAAGAAGCCCATAGCGTAAGCAGTTTTTATAATGTATATTCGACCGTGTTCGTTATCACTAAACTGTTATAGCTACATCTGCTGGATCTCAGATTGCCCATCGCTGAAAAGCCCCATCAAAGCTTCCGTTCGCAGTTACAACCCTCTGTTCACCTGCAATAAGCCAGACACGCATCCCTCCAGCTTTTTATCTGTGGTCAATCCACACTCAGAAGAGACCTTTCCGAATGCTATGGTAGATGTCTGTCTTAACGAGATCATCCACGGAGCTCCATGGCCGAAGACAGAAAGTACGGAAACCCGAGAAGATTTGGAGGTGACCCCAGAAGTTGTTTGATTCCTGGGGATGCGTGTGGCATATTTTGTTTGGATTGTGATAGTTCGAGTGATTCTGTGGTCTTGAATCGGATTGTGTCTTTGATGGAGAATGCAAAAAAAAGACCGAGCGCCAACATTAGGGCTTCGACATGTAGAGTTAATAAACCCTAACCCTGATAAAAACGATACATGATTGAAAAACTGCTCTTTGAACAGGGGTATACTCTACCAAAACTCCAGTAAGAAGATGATTGAATATCTATTGCAATCATATATAATACGTATCTTCATGGAATATTCTTGATTCCTAATTCTCGTACTGGGTCTACATCCTAGCATATTAGAAATGCGCAGTTGGTGTCTCTGGATGACCGTTAAAAGCTATGTGATTGATGGGACTTTGACTTCACGCTAAAATTAATTTCGATATCTCGACTCTTACGAATCACAACACCCAGTCTGCGCAATCCATTGATCAAGGACAGCGATATTTGTACCATATCTTTCCTACCGACTGCGATTGACATATTGTTTGAACAACTTGATAAGTCATATATCCGCTATGGGTTGGTGGTGGTCATCATCAACCTCCAGCGACAACAAAAATGCGCAACCACAACAGCCAGATAACATTCCACCACCGCAACAACAATCAGAACCAAAACCGAATCGACAATTAACGCGCGAAGAACAAGCCGATGCCGAATTACGCGATTTTCTCAAAAGCCTCGAGTCCTCAATCACACCTCCCACATCGCAACCCTCAGTCTCTACATCAACCACAACAGCATCTCCCACGGACCAACGTTTCGACACTCCCACATCAGAATCCTCCATATCCCCCGACTCCCTCTACCCAGACACCATGTCCTGCCGCTCCGCCTTTGACTACGCCTTCTTCTGCCAATCCTTCGGCGGACAATGGGTAAACGTCTACCGGTACGGCGAACTACGCAGCTGCAGCGAACACTGGGAGAATTTCTGGCTATGCATGAAAGCGCGCGGAATAAGCGACGATAATACGAGAAAGGAAATGATTAGGAATCATTATCGGAAAAAGGCGGTGAAATATAAGACGGGGCCGAGTAGTGAGGATGTTTGGGAGGTGAGGATGGAGCCGTTGAAGGGGGCTTTTCAGGGAGATTGGGAGAAGTTGGAGAGAGAGATGAATTTGGCAGAGAAGCAGCAGCAGGAGAAGAATCAGGGTATTCCAGAAAAGGAGGTTGTTGCTAAATGACCTTGGGGAGAGGCCCGGAGAGGTGGCTTTGTGTATGAATATATATATGTATGTATAGTTATAGATTGGATATACCCATTTCAACTCTTATACTTGGTAGTACTTATTTCATATAAGGTAGTTGTTGGTTGCTTCGTGCAATTGAGATGCCTGGCACTGGTATGAAGCAAGGAGAGGTCATGTATGGCTTACACGTGACCTCGTCAAGCAAGGACTATATAGACCGCGTCGGGGCCTCATTAAGACAGACAGACACAACAGAACACAGAACCGGAGAATCACCTATTGAGATTGACTCAAGTGCTTCGTACGTACGTATATGCACCTTAGTGCACCCACAGTAGTCAACATGATCCCCATTGTCCTACTCTTGTACTTGGAAAATCTAACCATCATAGCTACCGGCCCATCCACTACAAAAGTCTGAATTGAATAATTTCCAATTGAAATCATGCATTAAAAAAGAAACAATAAACTATTCACAGCTCGAACGTAAGAAATCAAAAAAAAAAACATATTCAAACAAACCGAAGCGGAAAAAACACTCTAACACTAAATGAGAATACCTCCCTTTCCACTTTCCAATTTATGAAAATCATGAAAAAAGAAACAAAAGAAAAAGGAAAAGAAACGCTGTCATACATCCATACATCACATCATAGAACATGGAGTAGCATAGATAAGAAAATTAGTCCTTCCCTCTATGGTCTATTCATGTTCAAGAGGAGGGAGGAAGGAGGGGAAGGACTTTTGGGGAGGGTATTTGGTTGGATGATTGAGAAGTATGATATGATACTTCTAATCGGAGATTCGTGTAAATTTTTCCGGTCTACTGTAAATTCTATGCAGAAACAGCTGCGGCGAGTTGAGGAACGGCATCAGCTGCTGAGCGGCGGACGATACCACCGGTCACTGGAAGGAGAGATCCGGTTCCCATTAGGTAAGTATCGACTTCGCGAGCGGCTTGACGACCTTCGTTGATACCCCTGTAATCCAATTAGTAATTGCGTGGAAAACGAAAGTAAGAATGAACTTACCAGACAATAAGAGACTGTCCACGTCGGCAATCGCCTGCAGCGAAAACTCCAGGGATATTGGTGACGTATTGACCAGGAGGAGTCTTAACGTTCTTGCGAGCATCACGCTCAATCTCATCTCCAAGGAGACGGTCCTCAGGACCCAAGAAACCCATGGACAACATGACCAAGTCAGCAGGGAAGAACTGTTCGCTGCCTTCGATGGTCTTCATGTCCCAACCGCCAGAGGCGCTCTTGGTCCATTCAACGCGCACAGTATTGATACCCTTGACATGTCCATTGCCATCATCGACAAACTCCTTAGACATGATGCAGTACTCGCGAGGATCCTTGCCCATATGAGTCTTGACCTCAGTGTGACCATAGTCCACACGATAGATACGAGGCCACTGAGGCCAAGGGTTGTCGCGGGCACGCTCTGGAGGAGGCTGTGGCAGCAGTTCAAAGTTGACTACGCTCTTGGCTCCATGGCGCACAGAGGTACCAATACAATCGTTACCAGTATCACCACCACCAATGACAACAACGTGCTTATCCTTGGCGGAGATGTATGCACCATCAGCATGCTCAGAGTCCAGAAGAGACTTGGTGTTCTTGTGCAAGAATTGCATGGCAAAGTGAATGCCCTCCAACTCACGGCCGGGGATCTTGAGGTCACGAGCCACAGTGGCACCGGTGGCGATGATAACAGCGTCATTGCTCTGGCGAAGAGATGCCATGGAAACTTCCTCATCAGGACCAACAGGGGTACTGGTAACGAACTTGACTCCCTCTTCAGCCATGAGGTCAACACGGCGCTGAACAACCTTTTTGTCAAGCTTCATGTTGGGGATACCGTACATGAGGAGACCTCCAACACGGTCAGCGCGCTCGTAAACAGTGACGGAGTGACCGGCGCGGTTGAGTTGATCAGCAGCAGCAAGACCAGCAGGACCAGATCCAATAATGGCAACCTTCTTTCCAGTTCGGCTAGGAGGAGGACGGGGAACCATCCAGCCCATCTCGAAACCACGGTCAATAATAGCACACTCAATCGACTTGATACCGACTGGGTCTTCATTGATGCCAAGGACACAAGCTCCCTCACAAGGAGCAGGGCAGACACGACCGGTGAACTCAGGGAAGTTGTTAGTCATCAATAAACGGTTAAGAGCATCCTGCCATTGGTTCTGGAAGACAAGCTCATTCCACTTGGGAATGATGTTGGAGATAGGGCAACCGGTGTCGGATTGACAGAAAGGAACACCGCAGTCCATGCAACGAGCTGATTGATACTTGAGCTCATCCTCGGTGAGACGGGTCGAGAGTTCGGCCCAATCACGAGTACGAGTGGTTGGGTTGCGGTACTTCTCACTGCGTCGGTGGTACTTCATGAAACCACGGGTTTTGTCGAGAATAAGAGCAGTACGCTTCTTCTCTACTTTCGAGTCGCTCACGCTATCTTCGATATCAAGCAGGTCGGCTTTCTTTGCATCTTCATGCTTGTGGTCCTTCTTCTCTTCCTCGGGTGCTGGGGTGCTGGGTAGCTTAGGCAAGGTGAACTCAGCTTTCTTAGCAGCCTCAGCCTTGGCAGCTTCCTCAAGCATGACGCGCTTGTAGTCGGTAGGAAGAACCTTAACGAAGCGTGGGAGAGCACGGTTGAAGTCAAGGAGGATACGAGCAGCGAGCTCAGAGCCAGTGTAGTGGTGGTGATCCTCAATAAGACCGCGGACGAAAGCGATTTCAGCTGGATCTTCCAAGCCAGACACCTCAACCATCTCCATGTTGACCTTGGAGTGGAAGTCCCGGTTGACGTCAAGGACATAAGCAATACCTCCAGACATACCGGCAGCAAAGTTACGACCAGTTGAGCCAAGGACAAGGATTCTACCACCAGTCATGTACTCGCAACCGTGGTCGCCAACACCTTCAACGACGGCAGTGACACCGGAGTTTCGCACGGCGAAACGTTCAGCAGCGACACCGCGGAAGTAGCAAGTACCGCTAGTAGCGCCATAAAGACAGACGTTACCAATGATAATGTTTTCTTCAGCTTTGAAGACAGCATTGCGGGGAGGGTAGATGATAAGGCGTCCACCTGACAGACCCTTGCCGACGTAATCGTTGGCATCACCTTCAAGCTCCAACGTAGCACCGGGAGCGAGGTATGCACCAAAAGATTGACCAGCGGAACCCTTAATGTTGACATGAACAGTATCTTGAGGCAGACCAGCTTCTCCGTAGCGACGGCTGATCTGGTAGGAAAGAGTAGCACCCAAGGCCCGGTCAGTGTTGACAACGTCACATTCAACTCGGCAGGGAAGTCCCTTCTCAAGGGCAAGTTCAGACTCAGCAATCAACTTGTTATCAAGACGAACGTGCAGACGGTGGTCCTGCTTGCGGACATTGTATGTGGCGACACCAGGGCGCAAGGAATGAGCAGGTGTCAAAATGAGGGAGAGGTCGATGTTCTCCTGCTTAGCAGAGCGGATGTCGTCGCGGACCTTGAGTAATTCAGCACGACCAACCATCTCATTGATAGTGCGGATACCGAGCTTCGCCATGATAGCACGGAGCTCATTGGCGACGTAATAGAAGAAGTTAATAACATGCTCGGGAGTACCCTTGAACTTCTTCCTCAGTTCAGGGTCCTGTGTTGCTATGCCTACGGGGCACGTATTGAGATGGCATTTCCTAGATTACAAAGTTAGCCAAAATTCAAAATATAGATGGAAAGGTCTCTCCAACCTCATAAAGATGCAACCCATAGCGATCAAAGGAGTGGTTGCAAAGCCCCATTCTTCAGCACCAAGCAAACAAGCGATAGCCACATCACGACCAGTCTTCAACTGACCGTCAGTCTGGACAATAACACGACCACGGAGATCATTCAAGACAAGGGTCTGGTGAGTCTCAGCAAGACCCAATTCCCAGGGCAAACCGGCAGCCTTGATACCAGTCCATCGAGAAGCACCAGTACCACCATCGTGACCAGAAATGAGAATGTGGTCAGCCTTAGCCTTAGCGACACCGGAGGCGACGATACCAACACCAACCTCAGAAACGAGCTTGACGGAGACACGGGCACGAGGGTTGGAGCACTTGAGATCGTAGATAAGTTGTTTCAAATCCTCAATGGAGTAAATGTCGTGGTGAGGAGGAGGGGAGATAAGACCAACTCCAGGGGTGGAGTGACGGGTGCGGGCGATAGGGCCAGAAACCTTGTGTCCGGGAAGTTCACCACCTTCACCAGGCTTAGCACCCTGTGCCATCTTGATCTGGAGCTCATCAGCATCCGCAAGGTAGTTGGATGTAACACCGAATCGTCCAGAAGCAATCTGCTTAATAGCAGAGCGCATAGTATCGCCGTTCTCCATGACCTTGCTTCGCTCTGGGTCTTCACCACCTTCACCAGTGTTCGACTTTCCGCCCAAACGGTTCATAGCAATGGCCAAAGTGGAGTGGGATTCCATAGAAATAGATCCATAAGACATAGCACCAGTAACGAAGCGGCGCACAATCTCGGTCCATGGCTCGACCTGGTCAATGGGGATAGGTTGACGCTGCTCATAGTCGAAATCAAGCATACCACGTAAAGTACAATTCTTGATCGCCTCGCGTTCTGAGCGAGCGTAGGCTTCGTAAGACTTGTCGTTCTTCATGCGGACAGCATCCTGGATGTTAGCAATGCTGGTAGGGTCGTTCACGTGTGGGTCACCACCGTCACGCCAGTGGTATTCACCGGATTCAGGAAGACCGGCAATTTCAGCAATGGGGCGAGAAGGATAGCCTCGCTCGTGGAAGGCAAAAGCATCTTGAGCAATGAGCTCGAATGTGACACCACGAATACGGCTAGCAGTACCAGCAAAGCATCGGTCAATAACAGCGTCGTCAATACCAAGAGCTTCGAAGATTTGAGCACCTTTGTAAGACTGTAGAGTAGAGATACCCATCTTGGACATGACTTTGAGGATACCGCCATCGCAGGATGCCTTGTAGTTCTGAAGGACTTGCTCATCAGACAAAGGTTTACGGATAAGCTTCTCACGGTTCATCTTCAGAATACATTCCATAGCAAGGTAGGGGCAGATGGCATCAGCACCATATCCGAGAAGAACACACATGTGGTGAACTTCACGAGCCTCACCAGTGTCGACAACGAGAGCAGCCATAGACCTCCACTTGTTGCGAACCATGTGGTGATGAACGAGACCAGTGGCCAACAAGGCAGAGACAGGTACTCGGTCAGCAGAGGTTGCCCGGTCGGAAAGAATGAGAACTTTGTCGCCTGCTGTGATAGCCTCAGTTGCAGCATCACAGATACGGTCGAGAGCATCCAAGTAACCCTGAGTACCCTTGGACTTTTCGAACGTAATGTCAATAATTCTCACAGTCCAGTCAGGGTGAACCTTGTTGATGTTCTTGATGGCCTCGTATTCGCCCAAAGTAAGGATAGGAGAGGGAAGCATGAGACGATGGCATTGCGAAGAGTCTATCTCTAGCAGGTTACCTTGAGGGCCAACGTAGCATTCCAACGACATGACAATTGCTTCACGAATAGGGTCAATAGGAGGGTTAGTGACCTGTGCGAAGAGCTGACGGAAGTACTCATAGAGAAGTCGTGGTTGTTGAGCAAGAACGGCCAGAGGACCATCGTTACCCATAGAACCCAGGGCCTCCTTCGAATCAGCAGCCATAGGTGCCAATAGCAAGCTGACCTGCTCAAATGAGTAACCGAATGCCTTTAGCCTAACATCGGTCTGGAGTGTAGACTCATCGAGCTTAACGCGGAAGTCGTGGCTTTGCTCACGGAGGCCCTTCTCAACATGGGGGAGAGTAAGCAACTCCTTGTCCAACCAGGCGCGGAAATCCTGGCGATGAGCGACGGTCTGTTTCAATTCTGCGTCGTCGATGATGCGACCAGCAACGGTGTCGACCAAAAGCATCTTTCCGGGCTGCAGACGGCCTTTCTGCACAATAGTCTCAGGATCCAAGCTGATAGTACCAACCTCTGAAGCACAGATGATACGGTCGTCGTCGGTCACGTAGAAACGGCAAGGACGGAGACCATTTCGGTCAAGGTTAGCACCACAGTAGCGACCGTCGGAGAAAGTGAACAAAGCAGGACCGTCCCAAGGTTCCATCTGGCAAGCAGCCCATTCATAGAAGGCAGCCTTTGCGGGGTCCATGGCAGCATTGTTTTGCCAGGCCTCTGGAACCATCAGCATAACAGCTTCTGGCAAAGAGAGAACACCGTTGATCATGAGGAGTTCAAGCACGTTGTCGAAAGCGGCGGAGTCAGAGCCACCATCCTCGACAATGGGGTAAAGTAGATCAAGTTCTTCACCGAAGATGTCGGATTTGAGAACACCCTCTCGTGCCCTCATCCAGTTCTTGTTACCTCGGAGTGTGTTGATTTCACCATTGTGAGCCGCCCATCGAAGCGGTTGTGCACGGTCCCAAGAGGGGAATGTGTTGGTGGAGAAACGAGAGTGCACGAGGGCGAAGTGGCCTTCGTAGTCAACGTTGACCAAATCGTGATAGTATTCATACACTTGTACGGGAGCCAATTGACCCTTGTAGACGATGTTTCGGTTGCTGAGAGAGCAGAGGTAGAACCAATTGGCAAGGCCAAGGACATGTGTAGCACGCTTTCGTAGAACGTACAATTGGCGCTCAAAGAGTCGCTCATCGAATTGCTCTGGGTCTGTGATTTCAGGCTTATTTCCCTCGCCATATGCAGATCGCAGCACGACGAATGGCTGCATAATCATGGGCTCGCGCGACAAGGCAGCCGGCCCAAGCAGGGTCGAGTCACGAGGCACTTCACGCCATCCGAGAACGCGCAGACCGAGAGATGTGGCGATCTCTTCGAACGAGGCAATAGAATCCTTCAACGTCTCGTTGTCGGGTTTGAAGAAAAGGTTACCGGCGGCATACTGTCCTAGAGGAGGGAGTTCCACTCCGGCGTCACGAGCAAAGTTTTTGACGAAGAACTTGTGGGGGATACTTGTCATGACACCAGCACCGTCACCGTCGCGCACATCTGAGCCGACAGCTCCACGATGGGTCATGTTGCACAGCAAACTGCGAGCTATTGATCGTCAGATTAGAGCTAAATTAGACTATTGAGGATCATATACATACCATCGATGACAATTTTGTGGCTCGGCTTGCCCTTGATGTGGCTGTATGATAGTTAGTCGCTGCAAAAATGGCTATACAATCAAAACTCGGAGTACTCACGCAGCAAAGCCTACACCACAAGCATCCTTCTCAAGCTCAGGGTTGTAAAGACCCTGTTTGGCAGGAAGAGCATCAGCCCAACCAAATCCATTCTCCGCCTTGTACTCAGTATACTCCTGAGGAGCCTGCTCGTCAATTATTTCATTTCCGTAGACTTCCTCCAAGAGACCCATTCTTCCGCCGGTGGCCGACAGAGAATGCGTATCGATTTGGGGGGAAAGTTGCTAATGATGGGAGTTTTTGTTAATTTGTTCTCGTTTTCTGTTTGATTCAGAACAAAATCGTCGTTGGCTTATTTCTTTGGTGGTCGTAAAAGAGAGAGAAACTTTTTTGGAGTCGCTTCTCTTTTTTGCCTTGCCTTTCGACTCGCAAGAAGAGCGATAACGGAAGGCGGCGGGGTGAATGCCGATAGTTGTCGTAACGACGACTGGGGGTGGGTCAGCAGCTGTTCGCAACGAGAACAGCACTTTTTAGAAGGGTGTGCAGAGAAATGGCAATCCACCCAGCGTCTGAATTTTTCGTGGGAGAGTAAAAAGTGAGGGAAGGAGAAGAAGAAGAGGAAAAGAAGTGGGAGCAGAGAGAAAATAATAAATAATGGTGAAGGAGGGGCAGGAAGATTTGATTAGGTCGGCTGAATTGGTAAAACGAAGAAGGCAGGACAAGGAAAGAGAGGTATGGGGAGGAACCGGAATACAAAAGTTACGTTACCGATTGTAGCGGTTTGTTTCCGAATATGTATTGAAATTACGGCTACGCAAAATCGAGAGCACAGAATTGTGGGGAGGTTTTTTTTTGACTGTCGGAAATTACTGGGCTTTACAATTGCTGTGGCCTGTTTGGCTGGAAACCATTTGTAAATAATACGGCTCCGGGCGGAATGGATGCCTTGTATTGGGTAATTCATTTTATTTTTCATTATGTATTCTCATTATGCGTTCTTATAAGCTCGGACCGACTGCGTCTTCGGAGATGCTCTCTTGCCCCGTTTTCGTCTTGTGCGCCTAGTACTCAAAAGCTGAAACAACACTCTCTAGCAGCAAACAGAAAACATACAATCCTTCTCTGATAGCTTGTAATTCTCGTACAATCGCATCAGTGGCATACAAGCGACATCAGCAGATGTTGACACGATGAAATCATGCCCAGCAGTCCCTGGCTGCACAAGTTCTGCAGATAAAGCAGATAAGCACACACAGGCCAATCACGAACCATCTAATTGCATGACAAGGCTTGCTGCGGGTCGACGTCAAAACCCCACCATACCCGATCCATACGTCCATACATACGTAGTATGTATTGGACGGGTTTGGTAGTTGGTATATATTTCCCGCTGACCGTATTACCGTCACGAAAAATTACCGAGCTTATGGAGGCCGCCGACCGGAGGCTGCCCGGCCACTCACAGAGCTGCTTATTCAAGCATTGACGCGAATTGATTTGCTGTGGTCAGTCGGACTGTAGGCCTCCGGAGCGGAAATTTCGCCAAATACCTTTTTGTAAATAACAGTACAGGCCAGTCACTTAATAAGTTGGACACGTTCATCGAAGAAAAAGTAAGTATCGAATTTTATATTGTTGATTGAGTTCTATTCTATTTTGGATTGTGGTGTGTCCATAAAGTGGTCACTGATCAGCGTCGAGTGACTCTCTGAGTCTGACTACTCAGTCGGCCGAATTATTTCTGACAAGCCGAATTACATGACATGCCAATTCTTTCCGCTCTGCATCGTCTAGCTCAGAGTTGAAATGCATTAGCTGTAGAAATTTGTAACTTCAATATACTACTCACTATTCGGTGACTCACCAAGTCACCAAGTGAGTCGTCGCCAACACCAGCTAAGTGACTACTCACTAACATACCCCGCTTGGAGAAATTCCTTTTCCCTTTCTGTCTAAGTTCTCCCTAATCTAGCCATAACTCAGCAGTCTAAAGGTGATCGACAATTCAGGCACTCTTCATAATCAATAATGGCCGTTCCAAGACTTTTAGAAGGGGGTAGAAGAAGTTAATGAGTAGGTGATATCAAATCCGTTTGCAGATGCCGAGCTTCGAGTCCGTCCCGGAACAGGCTAAGTCTTCCTGAGCGGGTATCCAATCATAAGTCAAGTTAGAGCTATAACTAGCGTCCGTACTCCGGAGGGATAAATTTCCGTATCACACTTACGGCTCTGTATTACTTAATTACCAGTGTATGAAAATCTCCAGTTTACGTATTTCATTACAACCGTGCCTGCCGCCAGGAAAACAATATCTTGCATGGTGAAGAATAAGTGATGATTCAGATTCTTGCCAACATACTCCTTATTAATGAAGAGTATCCAAAAAGTTGAGCTCCTTTCGAGGAAAATGTATACAAACAAAATGATAGCAGAAATTTAAGGACGATTCCTCTATCCACTTCCAGTATACATTTCCCATCGCCCACAAAACAAAGCCCTAAGCAGAAAAAAAAGGACGTGCATGCAGCTAACCAAAAGCACTGACCCAAAGAGCTTACATTAGTACGAATCGGGTTTAGTGGGGTTAAGCACGGAGAACGAAGCGCACCCCGGCGTAAGTACGGAGTACGGATGTACCCCACGCTTGCTTGCTGTCCTGCATAGCGGAATGCACTGATGATTTGGAGTATGCAGCAGACATCTCACGCGATGGTATATATAGGCTATGGTCTCGTGCTGTATAGTTGAGATTCCCCTGTATGAGACATCAAAAGGATAGAATGTTTCTTTTGTATTCTTTCTGTTTACCAGTTGTTCGACTGGATTCATTACTTCCTTGACTCTTGAGATCTTGACTCGTCACTCGCGAGATCTGGCGCTATACCGAAAGTAGAATCCCATGCCGAGCTCTCGGAACTTCACGTGCTTTATACGTACATCTACCTTCGACCTCCATGTCTTTTATCTTCTGTTTGATATTTATCACTAACGAGACACAGGAATAGCAGGATCAAGCCCTCCCATTGCCATTTTAAAAACAACATCAATACATACTTCGCTCCCTGGAATCAAGACGGACTACGGAGCATCCCGTTGTAAAAGACACATACACGTCTCCGTATTGAGTGGATACATACAAACCGCAAGCCGACATCGGCTAAGCGGGAGCCTCACTAGTTCGTCCACTCATTGCCATCTCGCTTATTGGCTGGGCATTAGTTGAATTGTAGTTCATTAGCCTTAATGGGTATAGTCTCTCTGAATAAGAATTATCAAATTGGAACGGTCATGGTTTAAACACAGCTTATCTTCACACTAGCTCGGGTGGTTGTTGCTGTAGGTAAAGCCTGACTTGGTATGGCTATTTTGATGCTTTTGGCTTGGATTTGACTAGTTCAATTTGGATATTTGGGGATTATAAGCACCTATATAGACATGAAATTGACGAGTAATGATGATAGAGTGGAAGGTACGAAACTGAATATATAAGACTTGCCCGGCTCACTGTCCACACCCACTGCCAACAGCTATGAAATGTACGGCACACGAGTCCTCCCTTCATATTTCATAGCCATGCCACCGTTCCATCCATCTCGTTTTAACACCAGTCCCATCCGGAGTAAACTTCATGAGTCCGGCATCCCCACTTCTCCATTCAATACGTACTCCATGTACCATCGTACATCCATACATACAAGCACCAACTTGACAACCCGGAGAAAGAGAAGATCAGAAAAAGCAAAGTGAAGGTGCAATGACACGCGCTTCACTAGCCCCGCTTTGGGTTTGCGTAGCTGTCCTACTATTCTCCGTATTTCTCTATTAGAAGATATAACCAATAATATATCGCTTCACTTATCCAGCATTCTGTTTGTTGACTCTGTACAGTATACACCTTTTGAAATTTAGGACCGAATTCAATACATACACATTACAATACCCGGCAAAATATAAAACAATCAATACACGGAGCCGGTCACATGATACCGGAATCTTCTTGGCAGTAACCACATCCGAATTCCTCCGACAGACCATTTTTGACTGAAAAATGACTTGGCATGTTCATCCGAAAGAAAACCCAAAAAAAAAAAAAAAAAATAGAAAAACTTCCTCCAGTAGTCCCATACTTGAGCTCACCGAAACACCATTTCTGCCCAAGTTCAGTTTGAATTGGATGTTGTTTTCGTCGGGAGGATTCGGGATTCTTGCTTTTTTGACTGTCTGCAATGCAAAGAGGAGGATTTTTATCCTACATGTCCTTTACTGTTTACTCTCCTGTGCGAAAATCGGAGACTTTTTCTCCCCTCGATTACTCGACGTACGTGAACTGTACTCCATAGAAACTGTGCAATATTCTCCCGTGAGGTGAGAAGAGAGTCGATGGGGACATGCGACAGTAGATTTCTTCGACCAATCATGTGCGACGTAGTAGTAATCAACTTTCAAGCAGAGAAGTCATGCCTATGTCCATGTGTACCGGTGTCTATTCGAAAACCTCCTACAGCATATATACAGGTAGTTGAGAGAGAACGGATATCAACATGAAAGTCACACACAGAATTCAATTCATATACAGCGACACCCGATCAATCCATGCTTGATCTTGTGCTTAATCTGTTCCAAAGCTGCTTCAAATGGAGGTTGTCGAATCTGGAACTGATTAATATTATGGGCACTCTCGCGCCATCACTACATAGGTACGTATATATCTCGGGTTTCGATTCACAGCCTTCCAAGGTCGATTTCACATGCAACTCTAGAAAACCATGACGTTTTGAATAAAAACCTGGCAGAGGTCGAAAGAGGGAATGAGATCTAGCTTTGACAGCCTCAAGCAATATCCTCTGTTCTTTCAAAGATCCCCGACAAGACCAAGACTATATATTCAAGTATCTTTGATGCTCACAGTATCACGAGATGAACGGATAATGTCCTCTCTTCGAATACCAAAGTTAACTCATGTTGTCGCTTTCATTCATTACTGGCCGCTACTCTGGTGGCAAAGGCATCGCATAAGCTAGTAAACTAACTGTAAGATCCAATAGGAAACCTTGGACCCGATTGAACAGGCATCATACAATTCGCCGTCTCTGGTATGCGGATTTCCTACAAGGCGAGTCCAGACATATTTTACCTCTCCGATCAAGTCTTCATTCTACATTATGTATGCTGTAGAGGAATATACTAGTACAACAGATAGGATTTTAAAAATGCGAGAACAAACCAACGTAGAAAATACACAACCACAAAAGCAAATCAGGGAATCGCCAGCATCTATCAAACACCGCGGAGTTCCCGAGCACGACGAACCAATGGTGGAATCTTGCGGAGAAGAGGATCATGCGGATTCGCATCTACCACAGCCCTGTAAAGTCCATCGAGGCGCTGGATGAAAATATTCATGATCTGGGGTGCAACTTCGCGGATATCAGAATCCTATCGATATATGTCAGTCGATGACTAAATTAAAAGGAGTTATTGGACTTACACCTAGATCCACGGTTCGAAGAGAATATTCAAGCCAGGCTAAACGCTCTTGCACATTCGTCGAGAGAGCTGTAGTCACTGCAACTCCCACAGATAGCGACACAATAGGCGATACTGTAGCCAGGTAGGCTGGGTTCAGACGGACGAAAAAGTTGTCGAAGAGATCGGCCTGCTGCGATGATTGCAACCACTAAAATATATCAGTATACTATTCAGACCATACCCACAGAGAGAAACTTACTCTAACAGACGCCTCCTCGAGGTTCCCTTCCGAAACCAAACGAGTAATATCAGTTAATTCCATCTCCTCCGCAGTAGGTTGTGAAGGTGCTGGAGGCTGAGGAATAGGAACAGGTTGAGGAGAAACGGTCTCGCGTCGTGATCCCAACTGCTTCTGCAATGCCGCAACCTCGCCCTGCAGAGCAGCTTGAGACGTCGCCATAACATCAATAGTCTCTTTCAAGCTTTGGACCGCAGAAATCAATTGGTCGATCTTGTCAGAGTCATGCTTGCGGTGCGTTTCGTAGTGTTTCGACTGAGCCTTAAACTGCTGCTCAAACTCTCGTGCAACAGTTTCCGATTGACGAGTTATAGCCGCCTGGATTGAAGGAGCGATGACATTCTGCACCAATTTCGCTACTTCTCCCTCCATACGAGAAGTGCTAGAATTGGCGATTGCTTCCGAGATTGAGTGCAGCACTTCTGGTTGCTTGACAGCACGAGTCAGGGAACTTGGTAGACGCTGACTTAATTCACGTGGGAAGTTTTGACTGAAATGCGTGGAAATTACCCCCTCTAACTGCTTACCCACTGCCAGGGATGCAGAGTTGACAATGGCAGGCAAAACTTGGGTTTCGATACTTTGAGTGATAATGCGAGATAGACTCTTCTCGACATTGTCAGCAAGGGTACTAGACACAAGTCGAAGGATTTGATCAGTCTTGCTGGCTGATGCTGCATCCCAAGCTCGACGCTCCTCATCAAGACGTTTCTGAAGACCATCGAACTCGCGGTTGAACTCCTTGACAACCTCTGCTGAGACGCCTCTCTGAACATCTTTGATTAGTTCACTAGGAATAGCCAAGCCTGTAGTAGGTTCTGTCTGAGCTTTTGTGTCCGTAACCAAGGTCTGTCCTCCAATTGGAGTTTCTTCTTCCTGCTGAGTAGACCTGGCCGGAGTGAAGTATTTGGACAGATCATGCGCTCCAGATGGTTTGCTAACATCCTTGGCTTTGTCCTTTCTTTTCTTCTTTTTGTCAGTGCCACTAGTCACCTCTGACTGTTCGTCAGCCGACAATTTACCCAAGGGTTTGACTGGCGATGTAGTTCTAGAAGCAGCCGCATGTGATATAGCGTCAACAGCAAGATCGGATGCCTTCCTAGCGCCGTCCTTGGCCGATGGCTTCTGTGCACTGCTAGTAACTGAATCTCCATTCACAGAAGGCTCATCAATAATATAAGTAGGGAACGATAGTAGATCCTTGACTTCGATATAGCCCTCACTCAGTGCATCAATTGGCTCGATGATCTTGTTATCTGGAGTCCAGCCGAGGTCTTCTTTCCTGATATTCAGACAAGTAACGCCGCGTGAATACATAGCATAGATTTCAAAAAGTCCAGCCTCTTCCTCCGAAGCACGTTGTGCACCCATCGATTTGCTGAGAGGGAGGATATCTAAACTTCTCAATTGGCCTTTGCAAGCAAAGGAGATTTCACGAATGCCACTCAAGCAGGCTGTAGACTCAGGCTTAGGCAAAGAAGTATCCTTCTCCGTGACGCGTTTGATATAATCTGCTTGAGACATAGGATGCAAGTTGTATTTCGGTGCAGATAAATGAAGGAAATAAATAGAATTCCTTGTAGGGTGGCCGACAACAATGATGCCAGACGAAGGATGATAGGCAACGCTACAGATAGCATCGGACTCATTCTCATGTGGGAAGTTGACTTCCTGGACTGCCTTTCCAAGCCCAATATCCCAGAGCTGAAGTGTGTGATTCTGCTTAAGCCCAACGAGAACATAACGAAGAGCAACGGCTTTCACGAATGGGCGCAATTTATCAATAAATTGAACAGAGGTGGGCCACGACTTCTCATTTGGCGAGCCGGTGACAAACGTAGTCAGAGGCACACGGACTTCAGGTGGCTGCGAACCGTCCATGGTCTGACCAACTTCTTGGATATCCCAGAATCGCAACCGACCAGTCTTGTCGAGAGACGCTACAACAGTATCATCCTCACTAAAGGTAAAGTCCTTGCCTGCTTTACCCGTGGAGATCTTCATCGCACGCTCTTTGAAGAACTTTTCAGTATCAACAGTACGTTGCGACCCAGATACTCCATAGCTAGGATGGGCCGCATATTGAGGAGAGACAATGTAGATGTTTTTCCCGCGACCAATACCGAAGAATTCCGGATGACGAGAGCTGGGTTTAGCGCGCGTTTTCAGCTGCCCACCAGATGTGTTCTCGTCAGAGGCAGGGTATGGAGGGAAAACGAGACATTCACTTTCCAGTGCGTCCATTTCAAACAAGTCATTATCTCCTTGGAAGACTGGTGCCCAATACACGGTCCCACTAACGCCAATCGCAATGATGGCTTGATCTTTGGTGGCACTGGTGCTGTTTGCTGCAGAGTTGCTCAGTGCGACATTGAAAAGGCGGTCCCGAGCGAATCGGAATACCTGCTTGTCGCGACCATCGTCTTGACGGATGATACGTAGTCCACCATTCTTTGCTAGAGCATAAACAATATATTGAGCAGTTGCCGAGGTCAAGCAGCGGTCGAGCTGATCAAATTCTTTTTTAAGACGTGCAACATCCATGATACCATCATCACGGACCGCAGGGAGTTTGCCCGTATGCGGCTTGAGACTAATTGAGATGAATGGTCGCAGAGGGAAGTTGAAAACACGAACAATGCGCTGGTCAGTTTTGTCCGCACCGTCTTCGGCACTTTCCCAGCTGTCTGCAAGCTTCTCATCTGCGGCAAGGTTTTTGAGTAGTTTGCCTTCAGCAGCTTCGTCAACCACTTCTTTAACAGTCGAAACATATTCTGCAGGAATGGTTTCATCAATTGTACCGGTCTTTTCTTGCTTCTCAAACTCTTTCTTCACTTCAGCTGCGGTGTTTGGAAGCTCTTCCACTACCGCATTCACAAATTCTTCAACAGCCTCCTCCGCTTTGGGTCTCGGTACTGCCTCTCCGAAATTGACTCGGCTCAAAGCATCCTCCACCTCTCGATCTAGTTGTCCAGCGAGTTGATCGACCGCCTTGGAAACCGTTTCCTTTTCGTCCGAAGGCTTCTCATCAGCAGTAGTACTCGTCTTCCGGGCTGTTCCCAGCGATGCACGTTTGACATGCTCTTCCGGAACGGCACTAGTATCGGTTTGACGATGAGCGGAAGCCTCTGTTGCGGGGGTGTCGCTACGGGTCTTGGGTTGTGGGGTCCGACGAGGTGAGGCGGCGGCCAATTGTTCAAAAGGATTGACATAAGTGAAGATACTAGCCTTCTTTGGGGCTTCAAAGCTGGAGGTTTCCTTGTCGGCGGAGCCAAAAACATGCATGGATTGCTGACCAGTAGCTTGGCTTGCGTTTCCGAATGTCGTCGTGGTCTCATACTCTTGAGAGGCACGACTACCCTCTTCAACCTTAGCCTGAGAGCGGTTCAAAAGACGCATGAGCATATCCTGTGTTTCTGCGGCTGTGCTAGCAGGTGGCGCAGCAGACGGACCTGGGGCAGGAGGATGGGTAGAGGGAGGACCAGGTTTGGCCATGAATGAAGCAACAAGGTCCGATGCTGAGATAGTCCGTGAATGAGAGGGTTGGGTTTCGGAGGCACCACCTTCGTGGTGAGTTGCTGAAAGAGACGGCGACGAACCAACAGCGGCTGAAGGCTGTGGTGAGCTTGGTTTATTTTGGCTGAACTTGAGAAGATTGAGGAGGCTCATGGCCTGGTCGGCGCTAGCTGTTCGTTGCTGCTGCGGTTGTTGGTCCGGGCGTGGAGTTGGCACGTTCGGACTGAGGATGTCTGAGGCATGGTGTGGAGGCGTACTCACGGAACCAGGAGTGTAGACAGGCGAGGAGACAGATGGATGATGATAGCCATGAGGGAAAGGATATCCTTGCGACTGCATACCGAATCTCTGTCCATCGGATTGCGGGTTGCCTGCCCGATATCCCGGTGGAGGATAAGCTGCGGCCTGAGCTTCTTGAGATTGCGCAGGGCGCGGCTGCTTCATGCTCGCGAAGAGAGCCTGAAGGTCGCTTGGGGTGGACATTTCTGCCAACTCGTCTGTAATATAGACGCCCGTGATGCGATTATCAGGCTCAAAAGGAAAACTCAGCTGACAGCTCTGTCTCAAGAGAGCAGTGAGCTTCCTAGCAAGCTCTAAGACAGGAAAAAACTGGAGGCAACAGGAGATTGCAAGTGTGACAATCGTGAACCTCGTAATGCAGACAACACGCTAAAGGAGAGAATTAAACGTAATTGAATGTAGAAAGAGAGCATAAGCTCAGGCAAGGTGAAGTGAGAAGTGAAGGTGAGGTTTTGAGGCGAACCTGCAAGCTGGGAAGGAAGCTGTCTTGGCAGGCGCGATTGGGTAAGCGGCACACACAAACTGAGCAGCCAATCATATTGTACCTCCAGCTTGGTGCCTGTGGCATCTCTGTCAACCTGAATTTGGGGCCTCAGGCTGGTGCGCTGTCTGTTTCAGAAGGCACTGAGCTTGGCAGGCTGAGGGGGCTCATCCTCTCCACCTCCACGTATGTAGGCTGGACTCAGCCTCCATCGCATTCGTCAACTGTTATACAGAACCTGAGACAGCTGGGCTGGCTCCTTGTTGATCTTTTTTATCAGCATTTCTATCTACCTGACTTTCTTCCTTGGAGCTTCTTCATGACATCCAAGTCAACCTCCCGCGTAACACCCGCCTCCGCTGGACGTCCGATGTTTGTTTACTTTTCGTTGCTCCGTGACCTGAGTTAGAGCACCAGCATTTCAGAAAAACCACCACAGCATAATTGACATTGTCGATTGATCCTCATAACTGCCAGCAAGATGCTTGCCATCAAGAATTTACTCCCAATTCTCCTCTCATGCGCCCCTGCTGCGATTGCAGAAGTCATACGTCGAAATACCGCCTGCAACAACTCCCCCAGTCTGTGCAGTAAATCATATGGAGAAATAACTCATCTCGGAGCTCACGACAGCCCTTTTCTACGAGATGCTAGTACAGGATACTCTGTCTCTGGAAATCAGTGGGTTTGCCAATACCATTCATTCCGCAATGAAATAGGGAGATCTATGATCAATTCACTAACTATTACAGATTCTACAACACTACAGTCCAACTCTCCGCAGGCGTACGGTTGGTGACTGGTCAAGTCCATAAAAACAACAACGATTGGCATTTATGTCATTCAGACTGCAAACTTCTCGATGCCGGAACGCTGGAATCGTGGCTGAGTGAAATTAAAACTTGGCTAGACGGGAATCCCAACGATGGTAAGACTGCATTCGGGTGAATATAAAGTATTGAGGTCACTTGAGACTAACGTCTGTACAGTGGTGACTGTCCTGCTGGTGAACTCAGACGATGCTACCGACTCCGAGCTTGCTACTGCATTCGAAGCGTCAGAAATCACTCAATACGCATATACTCCTTCCTCCACAAGTGCTCCTACATCGTGGCCTACTTTACAGGAGCTCATCAGCAAAGGCACCCGCCTTCTGACCTTTGTCGCGTCGCTATCTTCAAACAGCAATGCGAAATATCTCATGGACGAATTTGCATATATCTGGGAAAACCCCTTCGAAGTCACATCCGCATCTAATTTCTCGTGTCTCCCAGAGCGTCCGTCAACGGTATCCAAGGACATTCCATCCGCCTTATCCTCAAATCGCCTACCATTCATGAACCACTTCCTTGACAAGGATATTGGCCTTGGCATCGAGGAACCCGACGTGGATGCCGTCGCAACAACAAACGGCCAAAACGGCACAGGTAACCTCCTCACAGCAGCACAAACCTGTAAATCAGCCTACTCCGGCCGTCAACCCAGCTTCATCCTAGTGGATTTCTTCGACAAAGGTCCCGCAATCGACGTAGTCGATGAATTGAACAATGTTACCGATGCAACCGGCCGGGTCCCTGTACCCAACACCAATGCTGATGATAACAGTAACAGTACCAGCAGTGGAACATACGTGGGCTTGCTCGAACTCGTGGATGAAGTCAAGAATGGCGCTAACCCAAGCGTAGGCAACTGGATTTGGGCCGGCGGAGACTGGCTCAGTGTCCTCGGGGGCGGCGTCTCCATCTAGTACTGGTACTTCCGATGCTAGCAAGAGTTATGTTACTTCAGGATTATGCATAGCGTTGGCGTTGGCTTCACTTATTTAGTGGGATATAATTTGTTATTCATGAGAATATTCGTTGATCGAAAGATAGAGATCAAGAGCGAGCACATTTCGGTTTTCTAAAATATAACTTTGCTTTTTAACCTCATAGTCTATCTTACTCTTTACCCAACAACTTATTAACAGCAGCTACCTTGTCCTCAAATGACTGAACTTTATCAACCCTGAATACCAGCAACAAAAGTCAGAACTGTGTCTCTCATCAAACCGGAAAAGAAGGGAAGACATACCTCGATCCACTCCGAATATCAGACTGAATACGCACGACACCCTGTTGGTGCAGTATAGTATGAGCCTGTCCAATGACATGATGGACTTTATCCCATGGTCCTTCTACCATACTATTTAGTATTTTAACGAAGAAATAGGGGAGTTATAATAAGTAGGTGGTTAGTAATGGACATACCCAACGTCGTCCCCGCAGAATGCATCACATATTTCAGCCCCGACTTTTCAATTAGACGTTGCACATCGGCGATTTGAGCAGAGACTGAGGCCGAGCCTGTTCCTATCTGTATTTGATTGAATCAGTTTCCTGGTTGTCTCTATAGTTCATGATTTAACTCACCGGGATCAGGCAAAAGTCGGCTGTGCAGTGATCCGGGGTGGGAATAGACTCGATGGATGAGGATGACATTGTGTTCTGATTAATGCCTATCTATATGATTATTGAGGTATATTCGGTAATTCTGCAATTCCCTTATGGAGGTAAAGATCTGTGTATGTATTCCTTTGGTGGATGTTGTAGAGTTGGAAAATCAAATGTTCCCCCGCCAACTTTCCCCCTCCACATTTTACTAATGATGCCATGACAATTATCTCCATTGTATTTGCTAGATCTTCCATTGCGATTGTTCAGGTGAATCATCTGACACAAATGCAGACTCGATACACTCTAGATCAAGAGCTAAGCAGTTTGAAATATAAGTTAGCGCACCTGGAGCAGAGCCCATCCATGCGATTGTTGTAATGGCTAATGCATCTACAGATCGTCGATTTCTATCAGCATAATAAATCACTCAGCTAGGCCTTGCATGAGATAAAATCTTGAACTGATTATATTCTTGACAGATAATATAAGCTAGCAAACATACAGCGTCACCTATACCTAGCGTACAACCAATGCAGAATCACTTGAAAAATGGCTTCTGATACCACTCTCATCCCTGAACTCTCCCCAGATGTACGACTCAAATACCTCGCCGAAGGAGGCGCCAACATAGTTTATCGCATCATCCTCTCAGTGGCAGAAGACAAAGTCCTACAGCAAGAAATTCAACCATCCGAAATCCCTCACTACGGCCGAGCAACGCCTTCACCAACAGAAATTGAAGACGAGGACATCAACATAGACTCTAATGTTGATACCGACATAAACATCACCAGCGGAAAACTGCTTCGTCTCCGAAAAAATGTTCGTTACGGTCTTCCTTACCGTGAAACAGCGCACGATTTCCATACAAAGATTCGTCCACTCTTCAAAACTGAAGAATTAGTCGATCAGATCATAGTGCGCATCCCACCATCGATTATTCATCGATGTAACGCCAGCCTGGTCGAAAGTGAACAATTAGGACAACGCCCCATTATTCGACATGGCGTCTATCTTGCTGAAGATGAGCCGTTGGGTATGCTCGTTACTGATATGACCAACCATTCTACGACAAATGATTCTGGCATAATAGTCGAATTGAAACCGAAATGGCTCGTGCAGTCCCCCTCTGCGCCGGTTAATGCGCGGAGATGTCGTACTTGCGCATTACGAGATATGAAGTGTGCTGATGAGCCGCTTGATCTGACGAGTTCTACTACACCGAGAGATGTACCTCCTGGGAAAGCGAGATTTTGCCCGTTGGATCTCACGTCTGATAAGCAAGAGGATATGCAACGCACCGTACGGCAGATATTTTCCCGGTCTTTGCTACCTGCAAAGATTGATATTGTTGCGCAGGCTCTGTATCAGCATCCTATAATACTGAAGCTTTTGGAGTTGCAACGAATACATAATAAAGTTGGCTTGCATGGCCCACCGTTTGCATCAAGAGAGACTTCATTATCAATGACGTTGCGAGATTGTTCTATATTCGTGAAGGTAATGAACTTGGCTCTACCTTGTTAATGCAAAACTAATCTCCTCAATGTAGATCCCTTCTTCAGCCGGTCAAAAAATGGACACTGATATCGCGCACAACATCGACATCCGTGTAGGCGATCTCGATCTCAAATCAGCTGCGAATGGGAAAGCAGAGTACTGGCTCAATATTGAGAGACGACTTATCGACGAGAGATGGTATATGGGGCAGCGAGAGAGCCAGTCTGTGACGGAAAAAGAATGTGCTTTGAGTCGTTAAGGAGACTTATGATACCCAGAGCTAAAATGGAAATTTACTGTCGAAATCCATTCATTCAAGAAGGAATGTTCATACATGGCTGTAAATGATAATAATAATATAGTACTCGAAATGAAAGGGAATTTAAGCAACCTAACCCGCCCATCTCCATACCACAATCTATACCCTCCCGGAGAGACCAATCCGAGAGAAATAAATTATCAGTAAATTAAAACAATATACGAATGAATTCCTTCCCTCTCACTTATATCCTTAGTTCCTCCAGTCAGCTACGCTACTAATCAACCCCGTCGAGTACTCTTCTTCATCATCTTGCGCTGCTCCTTCTCCTTCTCCCTCTCCAAAAACTTTCTCTGCTCCTCAGCCGTCATACCACGCAACAACCGCTCACGTTCTTCCTTCTTGAGTTTCTCAGCGGCATATTTGCGCTCTTCAGCTTTCTCTTCTTCGTCTGCGCGGCGCAGTTTGCGAATCTCTTCTTCGCGGGCGTTGCGTAGTTTGCGGGTTACCTCGGGACGGAAGTGGGCGCCTGAGACCAGTGTGTCGGGGAGACGGAGGAAGTAGCTGTAGAGAGATAGGGTGGATGCGTAGCCGTTGGAGGGGATGCTGAGAGAGAGTTGGATACGCTTCTTGGGGGTGGCTTCTTCGATTCTGTAGAACGTTAGTCTCGGATCTTTGTTCACGTGCACTATAGGTACTTACTTCAACGGTTTGTCAATTGGTTGATCGGTAATGATCAAGTACTCAAATGCATCGCCAGCCTCCTCAATAGCATTAATCAATTGCGGAGTCAACAAGAATTCAGTGATCTCGGCACTCTCGGTCATCACAGTAACCCAGTTGGGTAGCTTGGCGTTGTCCTTGGTAAAAGTCATAGAGGCATCGTAACGGTCCTGACGAAGCTGGCGCATAACGTTCTTATGCACAACAGCCCAGATAAATCCGTCGTAGGTCGAATTGGATACCTTGAGAGAGGAGGCATCACCACCACCCGGTGTAGGGACAATCTCCTTTTCCTTGCCATCAAAAGTGTACAGAGTAGATTCCACTCTCTCCACTGGTTGGGGGAAGCTCTCAAAGAATAATCCCAATGCATTATCCATAATAAATACAATGGGATTGTAGCGCTTGACAAGCTTGATGGAAACATCAAGGAAAGCAACATTCTGACGACCGGTCGCGTACGATTGATATTCCTGCTTGGATTTCTCCTTCAACATCTTCTCGGGATCAACCAATTCGGACTGAACACCTTTAACAGAAGAACCCCTGCCGACACTGCCGAAACCCACAACGGCGAATTCGCTTTCGACAACGGGTGCGTGCGCGATTGCCCATGCTTTGGCCTTGCTCTTGTTTTTGCGCGTGCCCCAGAAATGGAATCCGAGGAGGATAAGCAAAAAGGGGAGGATGAATGCTTCTTGTAGGAAGTCTTGAGGGGTGACTCTTTCCCATACGCGATACCATGCAGTGTATGGGACGGTGCTGGCTCCTGTGACGGCGGCCGCTGGGGCAGACTGTCCGGCTGTCGAGCTTGCAGGTGAAGGATTGGGGACACCGGCGAAATCGGCAAAATCTGTAGACAATTCAGTAAGTTATAATTCACTCGAGCTGGCCGATGGACAGCTTCAGAATACGGTAGCAATGCTTCGCAACCGCAATTGTTAGGAGTCTCGCGACTAACGATCGACATACCGTCATCACTCTCGACGGCGCCTGAAGAGGCGCCGCCGCCAAACACGTTTTGGAAAACACCAGCCATTGCGAGGATAACGACAGACCGCGCACTGGACAATGCAATGGCAATTGTCGCAGTGTACAAGTTCAGGAGGGAGCTGGGGGAGAGGGATAATGGAGTGGCCAGAGTGCGGAGTGGATGCCGGAGCTTTCTGGCGTGAAGTGCTAGACTAGACTAGGGTTAGTGGCGCCCACTAGAACGCTGGAGAACTTTGGAACTTTGGGTGCTTTGACCTCAACAATACTTTCAGCTTGATTGATATTTTATCTCGATGTCGATATCATTGATAATGTGCTGACTTCTCCCGATTGAGAACTTGAAGTTTTTGGCCACACTCAACGATCGTAATGCGTGTACATAAGATTAGGGTGTGCATTTGTATTTACACGACTTTCACACCCGTCTACTTCCTCCATCTGTAAGTGAACTGTATATTACTCATACCTAGGTATCACCGATACTATTCGACAAATCTCGCAGCAGCCTTAGTCTCATCCCTCGTTGCCTTCAAAAACGGAATCAAATCCGTCCCTCCAGTTCCATAAAACACCTTCTCTTCCCTCGGGTTTGTGGTATTAGTACCCATCGTATCTGACTCTGCATTATGGGACGTGGCACTCGCAAGGTTGACTCTAACCTCTTCATACTTCGACGACTGAGGAGCAGGCTTCGATGCAGGCGTAACGATATATCTCGAAACTATCCGGATATGCTTATCACGGAATCCGCCTAGTTTCATAATCACTGCGTTGTATGCTTGTCGCACGTCCGACGACGCTGGGAGACTAAGGGCATACGGACGTATATTGGCGATTGAAGCGATATACTCAAGAAACTTGCGATGAGGGCCTGGCATATAATTCCTCATTTCCTTCAAACCATGTCAGAAACCCTAATTCTCAAACGACCAAAAAGGGGACCAAAGGGGAGTCACCTTCATGAAAGCAGTGCGCTGATCCTTCCCCGTCTTATCAGAAACCTCTCCACTAGCAATATGTTGAATCCCCAGGGCAATATCAATCAATTGAACCAGTGAGCTCTGCGCATTGCTTCCACCGCTATACTGATGCCATCGCCCATTGTTATCGCCCGTATCATAAAACATGCCATTCGGCAAGCCGGCTGCAGCCATATTCTTTGATCCGGCTAATAACGGTCGTATTTGATGATAGAATGTCATGGGGTCGTTTCGTTCGTACATTCTTTCCAGTATATGGCCTAGTTCATCTATGCATTTGCCCATTTCATTCAGGAGGTTTGTCAGGATGACGTTTCTGTTACTGCTGATATCAGTGTTGCCGTCGTCTTCGGAAGTATTATTAGTAGTCATGTTGATGGTGACGATACTGTCGAGAACCAGACGAATCATTTTTGCGCCGCAGGCTTCCATGGCAACCGAAACGACGAGGAACCAGCGTTCGTCGTCTGTGCCAGTAAAAGAGTTGATGGTGTAGAGATTATCCGGGTTGGTGAGATCAATATCTTCGTTATCTTCTGAAGGTTTGGTGGTGAAGTTCCACAGATTTAGTGCTGCATATGTCGCGCAGGGAGGGAGTTCGAGGTGAGCCGAAATCTCTACGAAAGGACGGGATATGCTTGGTGGTAGTTTCTACCCAATGTCAGTATATCTACTCATTTTCGTCAGATGGTTCAAAGAACGAACGTCTTCAGCCTTCTTTCCACCCCAGATATACGCATGCGTCAAAAATGCAAGCACAAGGTACGCCCTCTGCCATTCGGCTTCTTCATTTGCATCAAGTCCGTTAACAGACAGGACCGGTAAGTCAAGAATCTTCTTTCTAATCTCGCCACTTTGAATGAGTCGGGGTAAATTGGTCATGACATCTTCCCATGGTGTATAATAAGGGTTTGAGAGTCTGTGAAGAGGGAGTTTTTTGTTGTTGGCGGTGGAGTGAACGGGTAAGAAGCCTGTTTCGTATGAGACACGGAACTCATCGAGGGGGATTGGTGGAGAGGGAATGTTGAGCATTGTGATGTGTTTGTGCTGCTGTTAAGGGATGGGATGGTTCAATGATGAGGGTAGATAGGAGATAGTAGATAGTAGACTCGGTGGAGGGTGGATGACAAGTCGATGTGTATTGGGTACTTCCAAGGTACTTTCTGGTTCCAGAAAATGTCACAAAATTATATACAACAAAGTTATGAACAACCTTCCAGCCCTCAGAAGGTATATACCTCTAGGGGTTGGCAGACAATGATGACCAACCCGGCGAACGTATGATCACAAAGTAATCAGCTTACGGTATCACATTCCACCGAATCCACCAGAAATGCCGTCCGATATCAGGTTCCCGTGAATATTCACCAGAGAGATAAGTGTTCGAAAGCTTTGGTTGGCTGTATCCTCAATAGTACGTGCCATCAAATTTTTCTGATGTCGTTTTTAGGGCTTTGGGCACGGCAAATCACGGTATAACACGGAGGCGGAAACGGAAACGGAAACGGGAACGAGAGCGGGAGCCGTTACGATCCATCTTGACGTTGCAGAGACAAATTATCTTGAGATACCTGGGTACGTCAGTTTTATTTTTACTGGCTCTTTAGGTAACTTAACATCCTGTTTAATAAGTCCTGTGTATCCCACCTTGAGCGCGAAAAGTTGTGGTTCTCATCCATAACCTCGATATACACACAATATGGCCCCCTCATTGATAGCACCAGTATCTCCATCCTCAGAAGAAACAATACACAGAATGGAAGCCACCAAATTCATTCCCACTTCCTACCCAAGCAACGCTCAAACCCGTGAATATGCAGAATCCCTCGATCAAGCTGACACCCTCCGCTCATTCCGCGATAAATTCATCATCCCGTCGAAGGCAAATTTGAAAGCTACAAAGTTAGCAAAACCGGGATTATCAGCAGATGAAAGTATTTATTTCTGCGGGAATTCTCTGGGGCTTCAGCCACGAGCTACGAGTGCATACATTCAAGCTCAGTTGGATACTTGGTCTTCAATTGGTGTGAATGGTCATTTTAGGGATCTTGAAGATTCGCCGTTGAAATCCTGGCAGTTGTTGGCGGAGCAAGCAGCTGGTGATATGGCTCTTATTGTTGGTGCGAGTCCCGAGGAGATTGCAGCTATGGGGACGTTGACTGCGAATTTGCATTTGTTGTTGGCTAGTTTTTATAAGCCGACGGAAAGCAAGCATAAGATTTTGTTGGATTGGAAGGCTTTTCCTAGTGATCATGTATGTGAATCAATACCAATTCTGATCATTCTCCCAAATTCTGGAGAAGCTAACGCGAGTATAGTATGCAATTGAGTCTCAAATTGCGTGGCACGGCCGAAAGCCTAGCGAGTCAATGGTCTTGATTGGCCCCGATGAAGGTGAATACATCATTTCAACCGAGAAGATTCTGTCAATCATCGATGAGCATGCCTCAAAGACAGCACTACTTTTACTCCCTGGTATCCAATACTACAGTGGACAATTGTTCGATATCCCCACGATTACCAAGCATGCCCAGGCTCGGGGTATCATAGTCGGTTGGGACCTCGCACATGTTTACGCCAATGTGGATGTGAAATTGCATGAATGGAATGTCGATTTTGCTGCTTGGTGCACATACAAGTATGGAAATGCCGGCCCGGGGGCAATTGGTGGTGCCTTCGTTCACGAGCGACATGGCACTGTGGACTACAGTCAAGGAGAAGACAAGCCGGTGTTCCGCCATCGCTTAACAGGCTGGTATGGAGGTGATCGATCGGTAAGATTCAAAATGGATAATAGTCAGTTCCCATCCTCCAATTGGTATGATTGTTCGGTTCTGACATAGGCGCCAAAGAATTCAAACCAATTCCTGGCGCTGGAGGCTTCCAGGTCTCCAACCCCTCTGCTATAGACTTGGCTGCCTTATGCTCCTCTCTCTCTGTTTTCAATGAAACGTCCATAGCTCAGCTTCGAGCAAAGTCATTACGACTCACACATTATCTTGAGTACTTGTTGCTCGCCGGAACAACAGACGAAACGAGAAAGTTTCGGATCATCACTCCGTCAGATCCTAATGCTCGAGGTGCCCAATTAAGTTTGTTGCTCAATCCGGGGCTTCTCGACAAAGTCGCTCAACGATTGGAAGATGCGGGCATCATTTGTGATAAGAGACAGCCGGATGTTGTCCGAGTAGCTCCTGCCCCATTGTATAACACCTTCACAGAAGTGTGGACATTTGTCAATGAACTGAAAACAGCCATCGCATAGTTAGCTGAATATTCATTAATAATGAGAAAAATTTGATAAGTATCTCCAAGTATTTAAGGTCGGTATCCTCGATATATCATAAGTTGCCTGCAGTAAACCAATCTTCTGTATTGCGCAAAAAGTCTTGTCCTTGGGAGAAGAAATTCTCGGCTAGCATGGAGTACTGGTCTCCATGAATGTTAATCTCTGATGGGAGCAGTCCAGTGTCAAAGTCATAGCCAGATTCCTCCGGTATGGTCCCGCTATTGCCAGTGGCTTGTTGTGACGTTCTCCGTGAAACCCTTATTCTGGTTGGTTCCGGCAGAGGTGTGGTGCTGGAGACTTCATGTGCCTTGTTACGGCTCTCTGAGAACAGTGTCGATCCAAAAAGGCTACTTCGCTCATCCGAAAAGCCGGATGAATAATCAAGTATCTCCCAGAACCTAGATAAATCAATGACAAGACTTTTGTCTTGTGTTCGGCTGTATGGAACATATGATGCGGAAACAGCTCCATTCAAGGCCTGCAGTTTCTCTGCCTATCAAAGAGTTAGTAAAATGGTACACAACTTGTCGCAGCTGAAATATACCATTTTCGCCATGTGTGGCCACTCCTTGCCTAAATCTTGTACAAAATTCAAACAACTCTCGAAACGTTCTTGCTTGTCCTTTCGAATGCTTTCGTCTTCGGTAAAACTGAGCTGTAGCTCGATAGTCGCAACAACAGCAGCGCAGTATCCCAAGAAAGGATCAGATATCCGAAATCTCTTTTCCTCAAAATACCTCACAAAATAAACAATCCAAGAAGTGTGCGTTGATATCATGTCCGATGAATGCTGTATGAAAATCTCAGGAATAGTGCTTCTGTGGTTGCGCAGACTCAGTGAGAGTAATAGAGGATGATTGAGAAGACAAAGGATCGTATGATACATAAACTGATTAAAGAACCAAGGACCCCAGTAGTCTCGATTAGACTGCAAATCATCCACAGTTCTATCAGGGATACCTGAAAACTTGAAGCGATGAACATACGGAACGCGGGTCTCGCTCTCCATTTGCAGAGCAATGATTTTTGAGTATTCAGATTCCGGTGACCATGGTAAGAATCCATTAGACCTGCCCCTGTGTTTGACGTATCCTGCTGTCCGAGAAAATATCTCGCTTAGTTGTAGATAATACGCTACAATGCCTTCGTCTTTCATCCCTCTGGCGATTCGGACTTCCAGACTAGGAGTATCAGTCTTCGTGATATCGGGAGCAATTCCGGTACTCTTTGGATACTTTGCCAGAGTTTCCGGACTGGCAAAATCCAGAACATGTACATCTTCGCCTTGAAATCGACGCAGTAAACAGATGCTCCAAAAACACCTGCGACGTTCCTCCATGATGGCGTGATTATGTATAGATGCCGATTCGAACGCAAGGTTGGCACACTTGGCAAGGTTCATAGCCAGACTGCTAAGTATTATTGCTTGATGGGTATTGTCATCTTTTGCTGTCAGTGGTTGACCAATTGTTCGGAGAAAGGAGTCATACTTGTATATTCCACCATGCTCAATAAACAGAGGGTCTGGAGTGTAGATATTTCTACCGGACCACCAAGAGCGCGCTTTATCACACGTTCGCGCGCAGCTTCCAGATAAGACGGTACCAATGCACCCAGAGAAGATGTGTTACCGTCTGCATTAGTCAACACATCAGACGAACAGAATCTGATAGCCAATGCTAAAATAGCATAAACAACTTCAGGATCTCGATGACCTAATGTTGCTAACAAGGTTTGGCGATGAAATAAAGGAAGTGGTTGGCAGTCGCAGTAGACCAAAAATACTTGGGCAATCTCAAGCACCTTTTCCCACGGCGGTAAGGCAACTTCTGCATTGTTTTCCCAGTTAGGTAATGAAGGAATTGCATGATCTTGATAAAATGGGATGTCTATCTGACTCTGTTGTCGTTCATTGCGCCTGGTGGTATAATTAGTTGGTCACACACCGTTCATATAATAAGAACTATTTCATCTTACTCTAGACTATGTAGCACGCGCGTCATTTGGAACTCCAAGTGCGCCAAACGGCGTTCCTTCAATATACATGTAGTATTAGCACGGACTTGCTTGCAGGATAAAAGTTCGTACCATCCAAGGAGGTCCATCAGTCGAGCTCTCAGAGCGAGCATCGATGGCTGGGGTCTCAGACGATCTCCGAGAGATGCGACCACTCGGAATATATGTACAAGTCTGATGAAGCCGTGCACAATGCGAGCAGACAGGATGTTCACCTGAACATTTTGTCTTTTTGCGTCTGATGATCCATTAGTTTGCACTACTTCAGCCCGGCCTCGAGGAAAGAAGGGGGAGTAGGTACCTGCATGGCTCACAAGCCAGACCGACACGCTTGCGGCGTGGGGTGTGCGGATATTCCTGGCGATGCGTTCCTTGCATGCGTATATTCTCTGACATGGTCAATCACTGCGAGTCACTTGCGGTTGAGATAAAGTTGAAGGTGAAGTTGAAATAGACATGCATGATGGAGACGGAAGGACGGAACGAGCCGTTGCACAGTGGGGCGCTCTTTCCTTCTGTCATCCTCGACATCCATTACACAGTTATCAATTAAACGTCTTCCAATTCCAATAAAGAAAGAAGGCTGGTTGCTTTTGTAGATTATATCACTATCTAGATGTGATTTTAGTCTACGGACTATACTTCTTTATGATCATTTCTTTGGTCGAACGCTCAAGTCTTAACAACGCCAGTTATTTACATTTACCTAGGTGCTATCAAAAAAGGAACTATTCCAGGGGTATGTAAAAATATAATTCTGGGTTGTTAAGATTTTACTGGAGAAGGAGATATTATAAAGGTAACCGAAAGTCGCTGTTTTGATATTCTAAGGAGACTCTCCCGTATGACGTATCGTTTTCCAATGAGAATTTCCTGAGAGGTGTTTTTTTTCCCTTTTCCAGGTTCTGGATCTTTATCAAGCTCCTGATCTCTCCCAGATAATTTCTGTTCCCCAGATCTGTCGACAGAGGCAACGACCCGAGTGAACAAATGTGTCCTTGACAACGTTATGATAAGGAATGGAGCGGTCTAGACGAGCCCGAGTGACCAGCGGACGTATAATAGGTACTGGCGACGGAGGAAACAGTTGAAGTAGACTTTTTATCATTTCGAAATGGAAGTCACTGAAATGCTTTTCCCCACCATGGCCCATCCTTAGATGTCACCGTTGATTGCTGATTCCTGGATGATGGCTCGTCCAAGAGGTTGTATAAATTCCATTTGGGGATGTTTGAACTTGAGCTGTCAAGCCTAAAGACATCATTCAATCTAACGCTAGTTTCTTCCTCAGAAGTATAGGAGGCTAGAAGTCTATCGTGTACCATCTCGAGCATATTGTCGTGCAGCCACTGGAGCGCATAACGGTAGCGTTCAGTCCAGAGTTCAGCACCACCACCGATAAAAATTCCGGCTCCGGAGAAAATCCATGTCGCGACGGAAACTAAGACTATTGATATGTAGAATAATGATTGAGTTCCATGTAATGTTGCATTGTCAAAGAGGTGCATTCCGAAAAGACTCTAAAAGCAATGTTGTTAGAAGCAATAACAATTCAAGGTTCTGGTAAAGGGAGACGGGGACACCACCAGTGACGAAATTCAACGGGAGGTAAAAGATAGTCATGACAGTGAAGATGAAAATATATTGACTTAATTGTGTTCCTTTTGAAGCCTCACGGATAGATGTGGCATGAAATAGCTATACTTTTTCCATCAATAAATAGCGGCGAAGAGTGCTATCAATTGATAACAACCTCACTTACCCCGTCTCTCAGACTGGCCTCCAGCTCGGCCAGTTACTTCGACAGTTAGCAAATCACCAGTCAGAGAAAACTTTTAAGAGTTTGTGTACATCGATTAAGATCTGCTGGAAAAGAGTCCAAGATAAACAATGTATTGGCCGCATTTCAAAATTGGCGGAGGGGAGGTGGCGCACACTCCTCAGCCTCGCCAATTCCGATAGGGAAAACCAACAGTAGAAAGAAGAGCCCCAATATTAACGAGAACCATGCATGAAGGGAATGGAACAATATCTGGTAGAGGTGTGGTTGATAGCTTGAGCATAATTTGTAAGCCGCATCGGTCCGTAGAAGGTCTTGATAGTGCTAGACACTCAATCAGTAAGCTTCAAGAAAACGTAATGGCATTGCTCGCTGCAGAGCTTAACTTGCGCATGTACTACCACTTCATACACGAACAGAGTAATCGTGTATGAAGGTTTGATATGCAATGACATGCAAGATGTATGTCTCTAAGGATCAAGGTCGGAATATCAGACATAATTTAGACGAGATGAGAATGGTTCTTGCACAACCAACTGTAGATGTATTTGCTAGCCTTATTTTTGCCAGATTCCTTTATTGATCAACCACTTCTACCTCAACAGAGGGGTCCGCTACTAATAGGGAAAGAGACTTTTTCAGTGGTGTTGCATCCTCGACACCCCCGCGTTATACAAAGTCATCTACCTATCAATAATAGCAAGAAGTCAAGATGAATTCTTTGTTTCTCCTTGACTCGCGCTGTCTACGCGTGATCTAGCATGCGGATCATACTTCCCCATGAAGGAATTCTCTACACCTACTTCAGACGATTGCACATAAATACTATATATACTACGTGAATCAGTACGTACATTCTCCTATTCTATTCCATCGATTCAGACATTTCCAAAAAGTGCCCTAGATTCAACGACTAAATTACCAAAACAGGAAATACTGTAAGAACGAATAAAAATCTTTCCTGGTGGCAAGGGGCGGCAGACTGTCCCGATTCCGAAAAATTGCCGTGCAGTTCAACTATTAAAGGGGGACGTCATATAGAATAATCATCTGGCAAATTGTTTAGATGTACTTGAAAAGGAAATAATTGATCCATTTGGCATGACTCTACCGCTCAAAGACGGAAGCCTTTCGACGTTGTTTGCAGTGATATAAAAGCGAGTGTTCCACCCGAGGTCACAAAAGCCTCTTTTTGGAGGTGTACAGGGTTAGGGTTTTACGTCGCTCTTGTCCAACCTTGAACAACTTCAATCATCACATTCGACCATATTCTATTCTATAAAAAAAATTCATCAAAAAACAATAACAAGCCAAGAACGATATATATCTCCGGTCTATGAGTAAATCGAGAAAATACAAAAAATACACAAAGATGACCGAACCAATAGCAACTGAACTCTCGACATCAAACGCAAACCAACAACCATCGCGCTCACCATCCTCCACCTCCTCCTCAAAACGGTCATTCTTTAGCCGATGGCGACATCAAATCCATCACAAATGGACTACGGATTGGGCACCATTGATGGCAGCCAAGAGCAATCTCGACGATGATTACAATTTCCCAGCGGGTCGATATGCGGGTCAGGGCTTTGAGTTTGCAGTGGGATCGAGGCGTTGAGCTTCTTTGATTATTTTGGTCGATATCGGTTACATACCTCCTGATTGCTGGGCTGGATTGCATGGGCTTTGGGGTGGTGTTTTATGGCTGCGTCTCCTCTCTTTTGGTTTATTCATGCGACATCTACTATCCCGGAAACGGACTTCAAAGGCGATTTATTTTTCTATCACTGAAGAAAGAGAATAAATGCCAGGGACTCTATTCATCTAGAACAGTTGCTATATACATTCATCCCCTCTTAATTAGAAACAAAACCTATATTACTATCCGTACACTTACTGAGCACCGAAAACCTTAACACGCTCCTCAACAGGCTTGAATTGCTTCTCGCCAGCAGGGGACTCAATAGAACCAAACACGAGCTGAGCCTTGGACACCCAGTCGGTAGGAATGTTGAAGGTCTTGGCCAAGTCGGCATCGATCAGGGGGTTGTAGTGTTGGAGGTTGGCACCGAAGCCGAGGGACTCGAGACCGGCCCAGACTGTCAAATATTTGTCAGAGATATGTTGCCTCGTTGTAGGATGTGAGAATACTTACGGAACCACTGGTGCATGGCGTTGGTGTGGTCAGCCCACTCAGGAAACTTGGAGCCAAAGGCAGGGAACTTCTCAGCGTAAGGCTTGATGTGAGTAGGGTCTTCGTAAAAGAGGATCTATAGCAATTCTCGTTAGACGGCATTCAATTCAACGTTAGGAAAGGAAAGAAATGTACAGTTCCATAAGCAGCCTTGAAAGCCTCAAGCTTAGGCTTAGTCTGATTATCAAAAACCTCCTGGGGCACTGCACCAGTAGAAACGAGTGGCTTGAAGGCGTCGATGGCAATGTTCCATACTTTCTCGTGGTCGCCGTGCAGAGCGACAACGATACGGGTGGATTGAGTATTGAAGGAGCTGGGAATGTGGAGGATGGCCTGGTTGACCAATTCGATGATCTCGGAGTCAGGGACGGGGGAGTTGCGACCCAGGTGGTAGTAGGTGCGCCTGTTCTTGGCGACTTCGATGAGAGCCTGCGTTGAGGGAGCCATTTTGTTGGTAGATTGGTTGAATGACTTAGAAGAGGATGTTGAGAACTGTCTCGAGGGAATTTTGTGTTTAAGTTGATGAAGTAAAGAGACCGAAGAAAGAGGAGGAGTGCGAGGAGTAGATATAGTCGCGACCTTCAAGATAGTCCCACCAGATTGCCAGCGTCGAAGATGGGACGTGGAAAGCAATCGAAGAGGGGTGGTGGAGCTTGACGCGAGAGCCATTGTGAATGATGATTGTCACATAAAGAGCGTTGCAAATTGTGCTGCAGAAAAGATGTATTTAAGAAGGGTTGAGGGCCAATGAATGAGGAAGATTCGGCGATATCGTCAGAGAATCTTGAGATTCTGCCGTGTATTGTAATACTGGTATGGTATTTTGAAGATCAGACAGTAGAAATAACCGTGTATTGTAATCAGATTACTAGGTACCATTGAGCGGAATTGCCCCGCGGATAATTTAATGCACAAAAGGAACGGCATCTGATTGGTTACAGCTTATAATTTTGCTTAGCCAAGCATTACAAATCCAATCCATCGGATATACTATTTCCGTATTGCCGATCCACGTGATGCAGGGTTAGGGTTGCGCTCTCCTCAGTAGATGCAAGACCGTTCCTGACTAAGGAACGGAGAAGCGCTGGGAATTGTTAAGGACACCACAGATTTTCACTAGTGGGAGCCCTTAATTAGGTTTAGCTTACCTAATCTTCAACATTCACTGGTCACCATGTGACCTTATGATCATATTCTTTACACATTTTGTGCAACTAAAGTAAAACTAATCTGTTCAGCTTCTTCCAAGGAATTCGAATAATCAACTGCGTCCTCGATTGCAACCATTTTGACTGATTTATAGCACTTTGAAATCTGTGTTTTTCTCGCGTTTTGAGGCGATGCCGTGCATGAGGTGGTTCCGTGCACGAGGCAGTGTGTGAGCGTGAGTGGGACGTGTAATTGTGTGTAGCCTATCTAAGGGAAGAAAACTTGGACACAGGCGTCCATACAAAATGTGGGGCAGATGTGTGTACGCTAGCTTAGTAAGAGGGTTCTCGGCGATCGCTATAGCGAGGATCAAGTTGTGGGTTTTATGCTGCCTATTCCATACCAAGCCTAGCCGTAATATATGGTTGACACGGTGACGACAGTAAGAAGCCTCCAAAGGGGTCGCGAAACCTCCCATCAACACACAAATCTCCGTCATTGCTTTTGTTCAAACTCACTAGTCGGGATATTTCCAGTTCAGCAAATATGTTGCAGCCAATACTCACACCTGAAAAGCTGTGGCCAGGTGGCATTCCCTCGTTTGTTCGTCCTCATCCAGCTGAAGATTTGACCGTTGGACCAGAGGATGTGGATTGGAAGGACTGGACAGAGGAATGCAAAGGATGGTGTCAGTTCGTAGAGGTATAAGGCTCTACTATCAGAACCAATGGCTTAGCTAATCTCCTATGAACTGTGGAATGCACATAATACTGATGATTTTCACCAGGAGGAGTGGGTTCCAAAAACTGATCTCAATGATGAGATGCAACAATGACGGGCACTCATTGCAAAATGGGCCTCTTCGGATCAAGCCTTTCGAGATGTGCGCCATACATCCAAATCTACCGCCTAAATTCTGAAGCTGGACTAATATATCCAATTATTCTAGTCTTATCAAGAGCGTGCTCCTCCCAGAAAATCGGCATTGGACTACCCACCCCATCTTCTCTCCAAGGCTGGCCTTGGGGACAAACGCTTCTTCTGCCTGGATTCAGTGGATAAGGAGCATCATGCAGATAACTATTTACGTCTGGTCAAGAGCCTTATTCTCCTATACTTCCACAACAATGACGCGGCTACTCACCCCCTATGTCATGCAAGCCAGGAGTCCTCTCAAATTCCGGATATTTTGGTTGACTCATCTACAATACCGAATTATACCAACTTTTTCTCCTATCACAATTTATTGATTAACCTCTTTCTACACCCAGCTGATTTCCGCGCTGTCTCCATGACCTATTCCGGCACGGTGGTTTTCCCTAAAAAATACTCAAATACACCTTATACTGTGATCGACCAGGACAATTTAAATCAGGGTCGAGTGGCAGTGATGACATTCAAACCTAACGGAGAGATAGGAGAATTTGCCAATCTCCTGCCTTGGAATTATGCCCAGATATCTTCGTTTTATTATGGGCTGGGCTGGTCTTTTCATCGACTATTTGATTATGAAAACGACAGAGCGTTTGCTGACCCTTATTTTAATCAACCGTAAGATTCTTCTATGTCTAGATTACCCAAAAAGTAGCTAAAATCGCGATAGAATAAATATGGACGAACCCCTTCTATCTATTGTTGGTGTTCTTTTAGAAAGAAGAGATCTTAGTGCAAATAATCTTCAGTTAGTAGACTGGAAGGATGAAATCGAGATATTTGCGCCAGGATTTCTAGCATTGGAAGCTCAGGGATGAGGAATTGACTTTGACCTGGCAGGCTTGTGGAATGAAGATGATTTGAGTTACACTCATCATACAGTAGAGCAGAAGAGAAAGAAGCGGGAGACGGGGTCATACTTCTAAGATCATTTATTCTGTGCCCTACCTATGTGAATAATAGTGCAAAGGTGTGAACTGCGCAGACAATGAGATTGTTTTAGTCGGGGTGGTGATCTAGCGACACCCTCCTAGTTCCAGCGACACCCCCATGTGACTTGCTTGTTCTGATTGGACAATTTCTCGTATCATGTGATCACAATATCAAATTTCTTTCCAAGCATTGTCATATTTGGCAATAGGGTTTAGGGTTAGGGCTAAGGTCTACCACTTCACTATCAATTGTCATTTTTCCTGCTAGTCTAATTGTACAATATTCAGTCAATTATTCTTAGAAAAAGATTGCACCTTCCTTGCCTATTACTCGTTCTCATCGCCTAGCCATGGCGCTGGCTGGCCATGGCCACGTCGCTTGCTTCTTCTGATCTGATTCTCGTTGGTCTCGTCATCCCCATTCCTACTAGTTTCATTATCTTTATTCTCGTGTCTTTGAGTGTTGACTTTAGTGGTGCCTGCAGAGCCGCTACCACATTTACCGCCCTGCTGTCTTCCTCCATGCCTACGGCCCGCCTGTCCTCTTCTACGACTACCATAACCTCACTATCTTGGTTCACGCCCACTCCTTACCTGTCCTCCTTCACGGCTACCACAGACATGACCACGTCCTCGTCCTCGACTTAACTCTTGGGTCAATAGATGTTCAAATGCAGAGGGATCTCTTCTAGTAGATCTATCTTCAGCTGACTAGCTTTGCTCACTTGTAGTAGGCCAGTTAATCACACCAGGAGGGCGGCCACGCGGTCTAATTACTTCTGGCTCTAGGACTAATTCTCGTGGATCTGCAGGAGGAAGGTCTTGGTTAGCATACAACCGCCAATATTTATAGAATTTAAAAAGCTCAATCGATGTGTCAGCCTCATAGTATTCCTTAATCTTATGAATGCAAGGGATCCCTAGAGTCTGTCGAGTCACACCCGTGCAGGGCTCAATTAGCTTTTTATCAGGGGGCTCTCTAGAGGAGATATCTTTCAAAGATACTATAGACCATTTTCAGTGTATGATTTGAGACCTTTAAAACATGCTTGAAAAGCCGCAAATTCCTGAAATCTATCTTCACTCGGACACGCTCATCCTCCATTTTATGCCATATTTTTTAGTGTTGGTTTTCAATTGTCATTTCAATTGACAGCACAGCTCTAAGTAGGTCCATTGTGGAAGTTCCAAGGTCACGTTTGATAATCTAATGAGCGCCTTCAACCTGTGAGCTTGCTTATTTGTTAAGATGCAGATTGTTACAGCTTGACATACGGCACCTGACAGGACGTTCGACGGAGCTTACCGGCCGAGGATTAGGACCCTAGGCGGTACTACTCTGGGAATAGCCTCAGCGGTGCCAGATTGGGAAGAGGGTGCGCACAAAGGGGTATATAAAGGGCCTCTAGCGAGGTGGATTTCTGCTTCTTCTTTTCTTCTTCTCTCCCATGCTTATTATTCTCGTGTATGAGCACCTCATGTACGTCTTCTCAGCTAGATCAATACATTGAGCTTGGCCACCGTCACACAGATACTTATTAGTATAACATTTTAAAAAGGGTTTTGCCTTGTCTTCTTGAAGCCATTCCTTATTGATATATTTGAATGCCGTGTCCCACACATTATGACTATATTTAGCCCTGAAATTATTCCACTTAGCGTCTTTCTCTTCCTCAGTATGTGCGTTGACGAGTTTCAAAAAGTCCTGCTAAAAAGATAGCCAGCGAGTTTCAACCTTCTCCTTAAGTTCATCAATTGGAGTGCTCTTTATACACTTGCCCTCATAATTGATTCGAATGACTTCCTGGCGTATAGCTGACCGACACTTAACCATCAGATTTTTTTAGATATGCCAAATGCATAAGATTCTATGTGTATATGGAAATACAGTTTTAATTGCACGCAATAGGGCCGGCTCTTTGTCGGTAATGATTGTTTTTGGATGCCCTAGTCCCATACGGAAGATTACCTGCTCAAGACTTTGTAGAATAAATAAGATTCCTCCTTTTCATTTTTTATGAAGATAAACCCAACCCAGAATGTCTTATTAGTTCCTGTGAAGCCAATAATGTTAAGAAAGGGCATCTGATATTTATTGGTCTTGTAAGTAGAGTCCAAAAAGAGCACAGTATTGTAAACCTGTAGTAAATCTAAACAGCTCTTATGGTTAAGAACACTACTGTGAGAATATCCTCATGGGTTTGGTAATTGACAACCCAATCTCCAGTCTCCAGGAATGAGCTGAGAAGGACATGAATTGGCTCCCGACCATTTAAGAAGCGGTTTCGCATGTTGCGTCTAAAATTATATATATCTTGCTCCTTTATCCCAATGTTATCTCCATGTTCCTTCACAAGGGAAGCCATAATATGGCACGTGTCAATTCCATTCTCTAGTTGGGCTTTGATTTGGGTAGCATGTTCAAGTATTTGACGACGATGATAGGCTAAATAAGTAGATACTGGCGAAGAATTGTGATTATAGCGCTTTTCTTTAATATCAATAAGCCAAGTGTCATCTTTCTAAACTCGCAGAACAATGGAAAAGGGACAGTCAGCAAGTATTGTGCTCCCTTGTCGCATACGCTCAATCATACAATTATGATACTCCCCTCCTAGAGAGCACTTCACAAAGACAGTCTTGATATGGCCACTTTTAGCTCTCTTTGACCACCTTTTGAAAAATGCATAGCCGTGGTTCTGGGCAAAGTTATTGATAAATTCAATAATAGCATCAGGTGAGTCAAACACTTCTTCTTCTAGACGAGAGGGAAGTGGAATTTGATTATGAAGATTATTTTGAGGTTCAGCATCATCTCTAGAGCTTTCATAGCCCTGGAGAAGGAACGCTAATAACTGATTTGAGGCCATCAAGTTGCTATGCCATAGGATAAAGGATGCAAATTTTTGATGACCAGCATGTTGTGTGACGATAAGGCTGCCTGCCTAAGTGCTTTAAGACGATTAAGCGCTACTTTAATCTAGCAAATCAGGGAATGAGCCTTATACTTATAGATCAACCCCTGACGAAAAATAGCGGACATCTCCATAAAATAGTAAATACTAGGAATAGAGGTTCTTCTCTAAGCATATAGATTGGTGTCTCTATAATTTGACTAATGCAAATTCCCCACGGGTTTCATACAAAAGCCTCACTGGAACTAAGCCCTAACGCACCACTGCTTAAGAACACCATTTAGACCTCACACTAGGACTCTTTTAAAAGCGGCTAAATATAATAAATAAGGCAGAGCCGCTTGGGTATTTGGCGTCTAGAGACACCTCAAGCGCCCTACGCGTTATGCGCAGCTTAGAGTGAGGAAAAGGGTATGATTATGTTAAAATCAGGGCTCTGTTCGAGGCTACAGTTCCTGAGGCAGAATCCTCAGGGAAAATCCCATTACTAACTCGTATATCTATCATAGCTTGGAATAAACACTTAGAAATGGTTCAAATGCTTAAGAATAGTGGTATAACTAGCCCTAACCCTAAACCCTATTGCCGAAAATATGGCAATGCTTGGAAAGAAATTTGATATTCTGATCACATGATACAAGAAATTGTCCAATCAGAACAAGTAAGTCACATGGGGGTGTCGCTGGAACTAGGGGGTGTCGCTAGATCACCACCCTATGATAATAGTTCTCCAATTGAAACAGAAGGAATATACTCTCAGTGAGCGCTCAGTGAGCGACCATGATCGATCACATGATAAAGTGAGCAGTCCAGTGAGTGTGAGCCTGGACTGAAATTTACTCAGTGAGGTTGACTGTGAGTGCCCTCACAAAAGCGGCAGCAACTGAGAAACGAAAACCCCACTAGGCAAAGGAAATCTGGTACGCTAGGTACACAGTTCCAAGGACTACATTCGAAATTGCTTTTTTTAAAATATACCTAGCTGTGCTTTGAGAGGTTTTTGAGTATGCGCAATTGCGTCCTCAAACCATATGCATACCTAGGTAGTTGAAAATTAATGATGAGTTTTCGTTGACAATCACAAATGATGGATGGCCATAAATATTCCTTGCCCAAAATATGGAAGATCATGAAAAGATGCTATGTTACAAATAGTTAATATACAAATCTCTATATACAATCATCGATGCCGGGAAGCTGGCCACTGACCCAACCATTCATACTGCTCCCTCATTCTCCGCGAGGCCATACCGTGCAACGGCCGATCAATAAGCTTGTGCAAATCAACCCGGTCCTCCTGCGTGAAAAGCGTCGGATAAATAGTAAGCATATCATTGAGAATCCGCGAGAACCTAAAGGGATTCTTCTGCCGCAGTGTCCGATTCCATCTTCGAACCGAGTATAATTCTCCGAATAGCATTTGTAGCCTTTCTCGGCAGGCTTGACGCACGAAGCTTGGGTAGATGGTTACTCCTAGACGTTCTAGGTCTCGGAGTAGGAGTAATCCTCGAGTCCAGCGGATAACCATTCCGCCGCCGATTGGATCGGCTATTTCGCGGACTTGGTTTTTATACCATAGAGAGGACTTGAATCCCCAGGCGATGAGGGCCATTTGCATTCGCGGGTTGAAGATGTGTCGTATTAGGGTGCGATTCTTCGCTAGGATCGCATCGGGTTCTGTTCCAGTGGATCTCGATAGACTATGCAGAAATGGAGAGTCGTCCTGCACCACGTAATTATGGGCAAGCCATAAACACAATTCGTTGACTTGCTGCCATTGATCATGTCTATGCATTCCCATACGTTTCAATAACTCAACCCAATATTGAGGGTCAATCTCAGTTCCGGATCTAAATGCTAGTTTCAGGATTCGGGCCGCATAACTGACTTCGTCAAACTTGGGGTCTTCGGGGTAGGGTTGAAGTCGGCCGGGAAGTCGCGGTGTAAGAACGGTATAGAACATGTGGTCGATGCTCTGCTGTGTAAGGCTTTTGGCATCAAGGTACATTCTATCTGCAACATCCGATGCTGCCGACCATTCTTTCGCTGATAGCGATACCCGAAACTGAATATTATCCATGTCGTCCTTGGCCACTTCATTTAACACTGCTTTGGTGAGGTTGTAGAGCCTCCAATCTCGAGCTAACAGGTAAGAACATAGCAAATTCTCCTGTACAGCGACATCTTCTAGGACGTCCGGATGCTGGTCGCTGTGTAATAGATCTTCAAGAACGATATCCTTGTGCTCTAGTGCTAGTTTCTCAACTAGTCTCGTGAATGCGCAATCACGAATGGTGATATTGGCCTTTCTAAGTGCCCTCATTTTCTCTAAAATATCCTTTGGACCATCTGCCCTGAGAGCAATTTCCCGTAAGGAAAGCGGTCCAATGGCTTGGACACCAAACATTTGTAAACCATTGGTAATCATATCCACCGTCAGGGCTTTGGTAGCAAAAAGTCGTGCACCAAACTCATCTCTAAAGGTCTTTTCTTTGATCCAGTCCTCTTGGTCCTTTGGGCGATCCGGCTTCTCCTGCAGATTGTTGTTAGGTGCTCCAACCTGTTCGGATGGAGCAAGAGATTCAAGAACGGATGTATTCAGAGTACTCGACTTAAGTTTCCGGAGTCGCTGCCTGACCTTCTGGGAGAAGGTGTGACCTTCTGAATTTGCAAAGTCTAGAACTTGTTGCACAGTATTCAGGTCACGTGGCATATCTCCTCCCTTGATCAGGAAATCATGCATGTATGCTGCATCCAGCATAAGGCCCCTTCGAAGTAAAAAAGGAATGACAGTCTCGTATATTTGGTGGCCCTCTGTTGCCATGCAAATCTCGCCGAACGCTCTTACGCCCCTCCCATTTCCAAGCGTGATTGTTTCACGCGAATACAACGACCAGTCCGGGTGTTTCTGGGGTGTACATGAGACAGCCTGTGCCATCACTAGGACGATATCAGTGGGCCCGTCCAGATGAATGGATTGCAATCTGCGATGCAATGAGATTGCTTCTTCTGGTAACCCTTTTGTAAATAGTCCCCCGACAACTGTTTGATACAGTCTGCTCCAACGTTTCCTAGAACTTAACCACAATTTCTCAGCGTATGTAGTGAACTCATATAAAAGTTGTTCGTCTACCAGTCCTGCTTCCGCGAATGTTTCCCAGATATAATCCGCTGGTTCCCCTTGCACGGGCAGCTGTATACCATCACTTCGGTCTATGAAGCCGTTCCATATTTCCACCACACCCCGATGACCGTATCGCCGCTTTCTATACTGTAGTAGCTCCTTCCACAGCCCAAAGTCGTGTTTTCTCTCCGGATCGTCCACAAGTCGCTTCCTGCCATTAACCTTCTTGGTATGAAAAGACGATTCGTATTCGAGCTGATCGACGTCTAGGGCCAGTGGCAGATCACCCTCCGTAGGTCCCCGACCAATATCTCGCCGATTTAGTCTGCTCGATGACTTTGCACGACCGATATCATAAACTTGTAATTTCACATTCTTTTCCGCGCCGGAGACGATGCTCGAACTGTCGCAAGGAAGCGGCTTCGCATGAGATCGCCGTGTCTGACAGTTGATACATCTTTCCGTCCGAACGTTCAATCTCTCGATGCCTGCAGCTGAAGACGTCGAAACCAGGTCATGGAGTAAGGAGATAGCGGACGGCCTCTTCAAGAGCTGCAGCAAAGCTGGGCGCATTAGGTATGAAGAAAACAGGTGCGAAAGTAGTTACTAGAACTACCACTCAACATTTTTGCCCATCAATTATTCGCCGTCCACTCGATGATTTGTGGTTGATCATCATTATTGATTTTTCTTGATGCATTTTGTCCAAAATGAGATTAAAGCTTCTTGTTTGCACTGTTTGCTCTAAAGAGTCACGTGACTAAACAGGAAGAATCCGGCAACATCAAGAGGGCTTGGCGGACCGAAAGATTGCCGGGGCTAGTCGAACCTCATCAGACCACAAGCTTCCTTACCTTTACATCCGACAATCTCCCCTCAACTTCTCACAGGTCGTGTCAACAACTCGCAAAAATGTTCAATCGTACTCTTCCTCGTTTCGCCGGGTAAGTCTGCTTATTCAATTGCTGTCTGCCACCGCAATTGCGCATCAGCAGAGGGACGGACGTGCGTTGTGTTCAATATGACGTGAATCAATGAACCAACCGAGCACATCACCTTTATAGCATTTCAAGAGATAGACTGGCTAATCCATCCGATTTCTCTTGAATATAGTTTTGTCTACCGCGAAAACCGCGTTCCTTACTACCAGCGTCTGTTCCAGTCGCACGATGGCAAGCGTCAATGGTGGAAGGTCTGTCCGAGCATACATTTCCCTCTCGTCAACTCAAAATGGCCGACATGACTGACTATACGGAACTGTTCTTGCTGACCTGATATGTAGACTGGCCGCTCCGGTGCCATTCTCTACCCTTACTACATCTCTCTCTACGGCACATCTGCTGGTATGTTTCACTCTGTGGATAGACTCGCCAATCCGTACTCAACTGCTAACTTATATGATCTTTCAGTCACTCTCTATGCCATGATCCGCATCACTCTTGTAAGATCCTCATTCGGCTCTCCTCATCAGCCATTCACAGAAACTGACTCGCAAATAGGGCCACAAGACTTTCTTCGGCAAGGACTAAACGATATACATCTTCGGTGGCTTTCTTTACTATCTCCCTTTATACGTCAGTGCTTCAAAGCAGATCAATGTTATACGGAAAGGGATGTATTTTTATTGATGTTGGACAAATCGGCGTCAGAAATCAATGCGAGAAAATCAATCCATGGTTATCGAAGTTTGTATATAAAGAAATGGAGAGTTGACCGGAATCACTGAGACGAGATATTTTCTTTTGTTTACCACTTTCAATTCTTGGAATGAGCTCGTCTCTCTTGCTCTGAACGGCAGTAGCGTATTCATTGTTCACTAAGGGTTTTAGACATGGTTCGACAACCCGGGTTGAATGTTTAGTTCTAGTATTTTCTTCTAGGTAGATACCTACTAAGAGAATGATGGGATCATTCAAGAGACAGTAGATGCGCATTGTTTCATGCAAATATTTTAGATTCTCTAATTTGTAGATTCCAAGGTTTCGCACAGCCTTTCTCAAGATACGTACGGAACAATGTTCCTACAAATGACCATAAAGATATAATCAGATATGACACTGGATATATTCATACATGCAAATGGAGTATATACAAAGCAAAAGACTAGAAGCTATGAGTCTGAGTAATGAGCGACAAAAACCCACACACAAAATCAAACCCAAGACAAAATGATCGCTATCAATTTCATGAGAGTAGGGAGCTCCGAGATATTCTAATCAATAGCTTACAAACAATGCAAAAGAACAAAAACGACAAATTCTCCCAGTCAGAACGAAAAGCAGTGCATAAATTAGTAAAGAGTGCCGGAGTAAACAGAATTCCCAAAGACCGCTAGTGGTATCATTTTAATGGTAAAGGAAAAAAAAAGAATAACAGTCACAAAAACAGAAATAGAAATACAACAATGAACAAAAACAAGGTAGTAATCGGTTGTGTCAGCCGATTGAATGGAGAGGAACGATGCAGATTATATACAATATGAAGATGCCCGCTTTCCGAGTATGGATGTCCAGGAAAAAAGGGGAAACGAGCATAAAAACATTACATTAGGATCATAACGGTCGTGAATCTGCAACCCGGCGGAAGAACGCTGACTAGGAGATTATATGCAGAGGGAAAGGAGATAACAAAGGAAAGAGAAAAGAGAATGTTTTAGTGACCGTAGGCCGGAGGTGGAATTTCCTCTCGACTATGATCATCCCAGAAATCTGGAAACGGCCTTGATCCGGAAGGACCGACTTTTTCTTCTTGGATCCTGCGGGCTAGTTCGGCTGCCATTTTGGAAAGCCAGGCTTGTTGCCTAGGATCGTTGTTGTCGGGAATCGGCGGGGGATATTGAATTGCAGAGCTCGGAAGATGTGCAGTTGTAAGCGGATTGTTTGCTCGGTCGGAGCTCGGTAAGCGTATCGAATTGCGAGGCGTGGCATCAGGATCCGGCCATGTGTCTGCAATCATCGCAGCGGAGTTGCGACTGGAAGAGGGTTGTGCAACCTCTGACATTGATGGCACAGAGCGCCGGGTCAGGGTGTGTTCACCTTGGCTGATTCTTCGGCGTTCATGAATAGTAGGCAGATGCAAATCATTCTGAGGCGCAAGTGGTGGAGTCACCGGATCGTCGTTCTTTTCCTCGGAAAATTGGGCCGGAGACGAGAAAATCGTAGGAGCACTAGTGGCATTCTCAGAAGAGAAAACACTCTCTCCACTTACGCTTTCCATGTCGTCTGTAGTCTTTGGTCGACGCAGATCAACGACGCGCTTCTTGCGCTTTTTACCATGGGGCCGCGGGTGTCGCCCCGATCTCAAATTTAGGCCGTGGCCGCTGAAATTGCTCGATCCACCGCTTTGCATCGATATCGTGCTAGCATTGTCGACGAAAGAATGGAGGGAGCCGATATGAGACTGAGCGCGAGATAGAACCGGGCTAGCAGGTGACGTCAATGTGTTGCTATCTCCAAGTTCCGTTGATGCAGTCCAGGCTCTATATACAACATCTTTGATAGATGGCGTAAACAGCGACAATGTGCGCTGTGAATCAGTCAATGCTGCCAATCGAAGTAAGTTTTTCTGTGAAAATAGTGAGTGAATCTCGACCCCGGAGTCTAACGACAGTGAAGCAACTTCTGACGGGTTGAGTGCATTTCCCGATGCGTCGACTGGATCCTGAGGAGGGCTTGCAAGAGGGTCTTGACCGGGGCCTGAAGATTGATCTAGAGTATTGACCGATTCTGATTCTCTATCGCGATATTCCGGCACCCACAGTCGCAATGATAGTCGATGTATGATGGCCGGTAATTCGTCCATAAACAGAGCTCGGAGTTGTCCCTCAATCGCCTTTTGCAAGTAGTCGCGTACAAATGAAATCGAATCGAAGGTCGATGACACCTTTAATGACTCAAGAGGGTCGTTTCTGAACACTACCGTAATTCCCTTCTGTTTCGAAAACACCAATACGACGAAACCTGATAATCGAAATTCCGAGAGTGTAATCTGTAGTGGTATAGTTAAGCCAGCAGCCGCGGCCAGCGGCTTCGGTGACGCGAAAGACGGTCGCGTAACTAAAAACGTATTCAACGGATTCGCTTGCACTCTTGTCTTCAACGTCAAAAAAGCATCGCCATTATACGACATCTTGAAGATACCGCGAAACCGGTCTTCCGCAAGGTCGCCGACTTCGAGGATTTCGAGATCTGGAGGTATGGAACCCAGATTCAGCTCTGTGACTTTAATGTCGTCGACTATAATAGGTGGTTTTGGTGACTTATTCAATGCAGCCGTCAACAGGTCCTGAGCGCGGGTGTAGAAACCCGCGTCGGCCATCAATGGCGACCAGTTGAAATTGAACGCCATCGCGACTTGCAGTCGGGTAAGGGAGATGCCGAAAAGGCTCGGTTATCGCGACGACGGCATGCAAGACAATTTCATACGGTGAAATCTCTTATTATCGATGGGTTGGAGGTATTGTAATGATGAAGATGAAAAATCGAGGGGCCTGGTCTCGGCTTTACCGGGTTGAATAGTTGGCGCGTGAAAAATTGCGACTCTTTGATCCTTTCCTATCTTTCCCGTGGTATGCATCCAATCATGCGACTGATATATAGAGCGATCACACGAGCAACTGACGACGCAGGACAATGTCGAATCAATTAAATAGTTATCGTTGGTGATGCTGTCGCCGGAAACGAACGGACTTTTATTTTATTTCAAGAAAGGGGCTGGACTGTAGAAGCGTCGAAACGTTAGTCTGTCTGGAATGAGAGAGAAAAAAGCCTTTTCCCTTTACGTCAGAAGTCTTACATCTCCTGTTTCTCCGCGCTAGCCGTTTTGGTCTTTATTCGGTTTATCTCGTAGCATTCACAATGTATATGAACGATGCTATTGATATTATCTGTAGAAGAATAGGGGATATTGTTGATCAAGGCTGTTCTAGGATATAGAGCATCTCATATTGTCAACCAATCCTTGTCTTATGGAAATCCCGGCATTCCATGATCTGGGGGCCGCGATGAATAACCCCACAACTGTAAGTTCTAGATGCTCTATATTATCGCTATAGGTAGAATGGTATGTAGGTAATGAGATCATTAACATGAACAGCAAAGCTGCAAGAATTGAATATAATAAACAGTTAAACGACTCTCAAAATATGGGGTCCAACAATATTAACTAACTTAACTTAACGTAAGCATACGACTTACATAATCAGTGGAGCTCTCCAAAGTGGGAAAGCGCTGACAGGAACCCGAGCAACGATGCGCTAGACCGAAAACGGGAAGATGTCAATAAAGCGCGTTCAATCAAGACCTCATTTTTGTTCTTCTCTACATCTCTCATGTCAACAGCACTTATATAAGCCAGTCATCGAGAACAGCTTTCAAGAGGATACACAATGCGAACGGTGCGGCAAAGAAGAGTCTACGGCAAGCGCAAAACGAACGCTCCCCGAGCAGTGTTGGAAAATGGAAGCCCCATCAAATCTACGAGTAGTGAAAGCTTATCTCTTGATCAGATGGTAAAGCAAGAAATATCCGAGGACATTGTCAAGGAGATTGGAATACAAGTTGCGAATATCACTCTAGACGACGACCCTCCGACCAAAGTCGACGCCAACGATTCCCAGACCCTTGAGGAATCGCCAGCTGAGAAAAAATATCAGACGTCCGTCGGAACACCAGCGAGCTCGAAGAGAGCTAACGATACACACGAACCATTACCTACGCCGTCAAACTATGCTCAATCGCAGTCGCCACTCAAAGTATACTCGAGTCAGAAGCGACTATCCTTTACACCAAGACAACCGCGCGCTAAGCCTGTACGAAAGACAAAACCCATTGCCAGATTTTCGTCCGGCTGTGTGGAAAATGAAAAGGCAAACGACTATGTTCGAAAAATCCTAGACGAAGCTACATCACAACTACCGGGCCGAGGGGTGCAGAAATTCAGTTCATGGGCAAATCGGTCAGAAAGCGCATTCGACCCAGTGAAGATAGCAGAGGGATCATACGGAGAGGTATATAAGCTGCGTCTAAAAGAGAATATATTTAAGCGCAACATGTCTAAATCACGGCTGGCAAAGCTGCGGGAGTACGGTGAAGGCGTCTTCAAAGTGGTACCGTTACGCGCACAGAAAGGACTGGGGTCGAAGAAATTCACTACAATCGATGAGATCGTTGCGGAGGTCAAATTACTCAAGCTACTAGATCCCATCCCTGGATTCGCAAGATTTAGAGAAGTGCATGTAGTTCAAGGTCGATTTCCGCCATCGTTCCAAAAAGCTTGGGATGCTTATAAAGCTGCCGGAGAAGACTGCGAGAACCCGAATCCAGCGAATAAAAGAGCATACAGCGACCAACAGCTTTGGGCAATATTAGAGATGGATGATGCGGGCGTTGAACTGGAAAAGTTCAACTGGTCTTCTGTCTTCCAAATCTATGACATATTCTGGGGAGTAGCGATGGGTCTAGCGAGAGCAGAAGAGTATGCCTTATTCGAGCATCGAGATCTGCATTTAGGCAATGTTTGTCTCCGGTCAACAAGACCGGATGGAGACATGCAGTTGCTGGCGCCCGTCGACGCAACTCAGTTGGCAAACTCTAGTGGGTTTGGTGTCAGCTCATTGGAGACAACGATTATCGATTATTCCTTGTCTCGTGCTGAGCTACGGCTAACAGACGATCTGGAAGGGAAAATAGATATTGCCTCCACTGATTTGGACAGTAAGGGGCTCTTCGACGCTGTGGGTCGTGACGAGGCAGAGATTTTTCAACGAAACACTTATAGATAGTATGTCAAGAGACGTCTCTGAAATACTCCAAGGCTTGAGCTAACATAGGAAAATAGTATGAGAGCACAACTATATACCGGAGTTCCTCTCGCGGAAGAAAATCCGCCGAATATACCAGGAATCTGGGCCGAATACGCGCCCAAAACGAATCTGATATGGCTCCTTTTTATTCTCAAAATGCTAGTGAAGCATATGAAGCATAAAGATTATACTTTACGCGAGGATTTACTCGAAAACCAAACAAGAAAACCACTTCAATCATGCCCGGATAGAGCCAATATACAACAACAGGATCATTCAATCAAACAACCCAAAACAAGAACGCCAGAGTCAGCCATCAATACATTCGATAACGATAACCTGGGCAAAGCCTTAACAAAGCTACAAATCACTCTCACTAAGAGATTGAACATGGTCCTTGAGATTCTTGATCTGGAGCATGGAAGAGACGATATGTGCTGTGCGGCGGACTTGGTGGCTTATGCGATTGATCAGCATTGGTTGGATGAGACTGATTTTTTCCTTGATTAAGCTTAACGATGCATGGTGGTGATGGAGAATTCGTCGCATTTAAGAGATCGGCGTACATGACTTGGTTATTTTAGGGCTTTGGGTTGCATCTTAGATACATATTTGGCATGCTCAGGCGAGCATATAGTTAATTCAGGAATTGGTTCGATTTCATAGTTGATCAACGCATGAAGTATCTCTTATTTTAGTCATACCTTTCATTCTTTTCACATACGTAGCTGAATTACTGAGGTCCAGTGGCAGGGCACGCTGATCGTCCGGTCTGTACAATTACACAGATCCGCCTGGGTGTTATTTAGGCGAGACAAGGCTGAGACTCACCACCTCGTAGCCATTGAAATCTTTATACCCTAGCAGTGAACTCTGGGAAAGTTTTCTATTGTTTAGTTGATCTCAAGGAGCATATTCATCCATCATGTCCGCTACCTTTCGATTTTGGGATTGTTGCGTGTCTGGATGTACTGCCGCCGCAGCGATCGATGTTGGATCTTGTGACCATTGTATGAAATACTATTGTGCGACCCATACATCCTCTCCTCTTCATAGCTATGAGGTTACCCAGTCCCCACGAGATTAAAAAGTTACACCTAGCTAATACCAAATAGACAAAACCTCTGGATGACGAAGCCTGGACTGTCATTCAAACGCAAGAACGAAAATAATCAACGACCAAGCTCTTCTAAAACGAGCCTCAGAACTCAATGGCAACATATCATGTACATTCGATACTTCCGACCCTCTGGGCTAATCCCTTATGGGCTGTATGCACATCCACTTACCATCCAATTCTTCAATGGGACAACTTGGCTTGCGTGAATACCACGACAAAACTATACCTCCTTCTCGGACGAGTCCAGTAATCGAATCGTACAAGAGTGAGTGTGCGACTTTGCGATGGCTAGAAAGAGTCGATGTACCTTCACCCCAATTATATGAATTGGGGCTTCAGAATGATCCAGGGAATGAAGTGGGTGTTGCATATGCTTATTGATGAGCTCCCTGGTACGCCTTTGTTGCTCAGAATGCCGCCTGCATTGAGTGAGCAGCTACAAAAGGTATATGATCAATGGGCAAGTATATTGCGCACAATGCACAAATATCCCTTTGAGAAGATTGGATGTCTGGCATGGAACAGCCAACTGAATGACAACGATATATCCGTATTGTGGTTGATCGCACAGGGACACTTCCACAGATGGGACCTTTCCATACCACAAGATAATACTATTATACGTTTGTGGAGCAATATCTGGAATTGATCTTTGACGACCAGCTTTTCTCAAGCTACCCTGTTAACGACGACATTATCTTCAAGTAACTGAAGCAACTGGCCGAGTTACGGGGATGGAATGCATTTGAAACTGATCTTGATGACGGATCATTCTTCTTGAAGCACATGGATGATAAATGCGATTACATCCTCGTCGATAACAATTATAATATCACAGGGTTTATTAATTGCGCTTTCGTGAAGGTAGTGCCAGCATATAAAGCGTTTGGACATTCGCTTTTCACTCTTGGTTTGAATGACTTGTTAAATGGGAAATCCGGACTCTCTTCCCAGGATAAGGTTATGGCGGATGTATTACGAGATAGCACTAATCCTGGTCATATGATGAGTGGTCTAAATCTTGTGCGTCGTTTCTCTTTTGGTCTTAGTATGGGCGTGAACCTGTCTTGGGATGAGGCAAATGCTTTGTTCAAGGGTATCGTATCAACAGCCACTGGTATTCCACTTACGGACTTGGACTAGGAAGTGTGGTATCAGAACCGTACACATGAATGGGCCGACAATTCTAGACTCAAGACCTTGTTGATTCGCCAGGGTAATAATGTTATTTACGAATAGCTGATAGTCAAAGATGTGCAACCGCACAAACCTCCTCGATTTGTTCTATAACCAACTGTACAAGATCGGAAGTTCGTGGACGAAGCTGTGCAAGGTGCAGGAAGCATCTATGTGCACAGTACCTGTCGAGGAAGAATCATTCTTGTCTGTCTGCTCACGAGGCAAGTCATGTTCACCCTCAACCAAATCCCCAGTATAACATATACTGAGTGGAACCAGCTAGATGATGACGCCTGGGAAAAGGAGATAAATAAAGAGGTATCCGAACTAATATCCCAGGTTAACAGCCACGAACTTGACCGACTCGCCACCCAACTCAACAACAATATTCCATGCAAATTCCAACCTGGCAAACATATAAGTGTAGGTGCAACAATGGGATGTGCCAATTACCATGGCTGGTTGATATTTGACAATGACGAGCGGTGGATAGTCCGAGTTCCTCGAAGGGGTTTCACCAACGTACCATCCGAGATGGTAAAGTATCTTGTTGAAAGTGAATATGCCACACTCAAATTCTTGGAACCTGTGAACGTTTCAATCTCAAAGGTGTATGGATACAGACTTGTCTCTGATCCTTCAAACCGTGTGGGCGTTTGTTATATCATGATGCAAGCTCTACCCGGACAACCATACTACGCCCATGAAGCATCACCCGATCCGAAAAGGCGTGTCATTGAACAAGGTGCCGATTATATGAATGAGGTCTGCAAGCATCCCTTACCTCTGGCTGGTTCATTTATCATGAAAGACAATCAACCTACAATCTCAGCCGTTGCAAGCAACCGTTTCGTCGCTCTCGGTATATACGGACCCTTCACCTCAACTTCAGACTACATTATGAGCATGAGCATCATAGATCAATACATGGACCTATTTGCGGACGGACAGCTTCGCCACAAATATGTACTGGAAGCATTTTTATTCTATTACTCCCTGCGCAACAACAAGGACTGTCTGACCACTCCCGATATCCCCGGACAGTTGTTCCTTAAAGACGTCGACGATAAAGGGCACCATATACTGGCCGATGACGAATATAATGTCATAGGAATAATTGACTGGCAATTCGCACCCATCGTTCCTGCTGCCGACGCCTTTGGTCCATCTTATGTTACTGCGGATCTTGCGTTTTTGTATTCATCTTCAAATAGTATCTCGGCCAATGATATATTGCTTGCAGACGCTCTCAGGAGTTGAGGGTATGATAATCTCGCTGCTTTGGGGTAGTGGTGAGGGAGGTTATGCGTCGGTATCATCATGGATTGACTGATGGACTAACCAAGGATGAAGTACGGGAAGTGTTGAAGAGGACAATGAGCTGTGTTTTAGGAAAGGAGGTAGATAATCTGGATGCTTGGATTGGAGAGATGTGTGTTGAATGTCGTGGTGATCCGCAGTGGGAGAGTATCTATGCTCTGATTCGAGAGTAAGAAGAAGCTCAGTTACCCCGGGAAGAGAGAGTATTTGAAAGGAACGTGAAAAGGACACTTTCATATGTATCTATAGATATGCGCTGTAAACCCCAATGTCAAATAAAAATAACTCCATGCAAGAAATGAACGGTGATATGCAATATATAAACGATGAGCTTGAACTACGCCCCTGTAAACAAAAAGCTCGTCAAACTCCCAGCCGCCAATCCAGCGACAAGCATCATGCTCATAAAACCACCAGCTGCCTCACGCTCATCAGCTGTAACATACTGGCTAGTACCCATCATACACACACTGCCCAAAAACCCATTCGTCAAACCGAAGCCGAGTTGCACGACAAACAAATAGAAGAAATCGCTACTGATAATAGCGCTACTATTTGTCGAGTTGGTACTGCTCTGAATATTGCAGGCGAGGTACATGGGGATGAAGACTAGACGCAATACAGAGAAAGCGAATAGTGCACGAGGATAGTTAGCTGATCGAGCTAGAGCTGGTATGATGGGGGACATGCGCCCGATCAAATCGCCCAGATTCCAGAATAGGAAGGCTAGAGGCACAAAGAGTTCAGGCTCGAAGATGCGGGATCGTGTTGCTGGGTCGTGGACTGATTGGATTTTGACAGTGAAGACGGGGTAGACCATGGTTACTGTGAAGCAGAGAAATACTGCGAGAGCCAGCCATTTCAGTCTGAGAAAAAGTCTCCAGAGCCCAACAGTTTTGTGAGCCGGGGCGGAGGTCTGGGACTCAGTGCTGTTTGACACTGCGGGTGCGTTCTTGATAGCTCGTAATTCCCTGGCGAACCACCGTGATCCGGCAGTCCGGTTCATAAGCCCAAGAAAGGCAAAAAAGGCCACCAAAGTGACGACAACAGCGAATAGAAAATATGTCAGTGCTGGCTTGTAATAGTCATCATCGTCATTCTCGTCGTCCCTTCGAGATTCAGCTGCGTTTGTAATAATCTGGACAATGCAAGGAAGCACTCCAGCAATCCCCTGCCCAGCCATGATAGCTTGAGTATATTCCGGACGTCCAAATCCAGAGACATATGCAAAGACGCCATTCTGGTTCATACCCACGGCAAAACTTGCTCCTAGGACCATCGTCATCACGAAAATGAAATACATCCCTATGGAAATGGTACGGAAAAATGCCGTGGACGTGGCTTGCAACGCAAAGACAGCTGTCAAAATCACAAGTGATACTGCAATTCGTATAGGATAGGATGCATTTCGTTGCAGTTTTGCGAGGACCAAGACGCATAGTAAGTTCGTCACGGTTGAGACTGATACGATGGATGACTCGTAATGCTCTACGGCCCATGGACTTTGTTGGAATCGACGATGGAAATAGGGTGCGGCGGCGAGGAACATGTTCCTATACACAATATCGTCAGCCAAACTTATTTCATTTCATCAGATCTACATCTTCAACAACGTCGACAGAGAGGTTGGGAAATGGCCATACCATGCCCATAACATCGCCACGCCCAGAAGCAGGAACACCGTATAATCATGCCACGAGAACGGCTTCTTCAAGGCGTGTACCTCCTCTTCCTCCCCGGAAACGGTCGCGTTCGGCGTATGTCTCGTCCCATCTCCTGCGTTTCCGAGTAATTCATCGTTTTCGACAGGTTCGTATTCTGGGCTGATTGTAGAGGGGAACACCCTCGATAAAAGGCTTCTGCTCATGTTTCACTTATTGAAAGTAGTTGCACACAATCTAAATCAATAAATTTCAGAGTAAGGCCATTTCTGAGAAAGTGGTAGAATTAGGTTCGTGGTATTATTATGGATGCTCAAGTGACTGGGTTATCGTAGTTATCGTACACCGCCCGCCTATCAATTCTCATTCTGCCGGTTTATCAGATCACCAGATCGAAACTACATCTTGAACTGAAAGGATGGCCGTCTATTTATTTTGGCAGTAGGCTCTATAACACGTCTAGGAAGTATGCCACAAGTGATAATATATATCAAATGGGAGGTCTAATTTTACAAGAACATAATAATAACAAGAAAGATATGAGGGAAAGAGCTTCCCAGAAAAAGGGTATCGGAGAATAGAAATATGAATGACATGGGAGTAGGGATGTTCGATATTGTCGGTACGAAAAATCTGAAGATAATAGGTCAAACTGTCTATAATCGGCACAAGAAAGGGTGAAACGTGGATCATTAGACGTCACGACCCCCTCATCGCGGGGGACGTTTCTCATCTTCATCATTCTCAACATCATCGTTATCGACGTCGCCCTCGTCTTCCTGTTCTTCACGTTCCAGTTCCTCCATTTGTTCCTCGAAGGATATGTTCTTCGGACTATTTGGTGGAGGTGCCACATCTCCACCGGTCATTTGCCATTCCATGAGTTTGGTGAATGCACCGCCTGGACGGCTGCTAAGGTCTTTGTATGACCCAATCTCGGCTACACGGCCGTCGTTGCCTAGCACAATAATCGTATCGGAGCGTTTGATGGTTGAGAGTCGGTGGGCAATACTGATAGTCGTATTGTTCCCCCGTAAGAGGGCAGCAAGAGCACTATTGACTAGAGTCTCAGACTCGGCGTCAAGTGCTGATGTTGCTTCGTCAAGGATGAGTATGTCTGGGTTTTTGATAAGAGCTCTGGCAATCGCAATACGCTGTTTTTGTCCGCCTGATAATTGAGCACCACGTGGTCCAACGTTCGTTTCGAGCCCAGCTGGGAAATCACTGATGAATTGACAATTGGCCTGTCTTGCAGCAGCCACAATCTCAGCCTTGGTGGCTCCTGGCACACCATATGCAATGTTCTCTGCTATGGTACCGGAGAAGAGCACAGGTTCTTGAGATACTAGTCCAATCTTGCGGCGTAGAGCCTTGGCGTTCATTGTTGTGATGTCTTTTCCGTTGATAAGTATGCGACCTGAAACAGGATTGTAAAAGCGGAGTAGAAGGGATGCGATTGTCGATTTACCACCGCCGGAGGGTCCAACAATGGCAACATTAGAGCCTTGCGGAATTTCAAAATCGAGGTCCTTGAAAATGGTCACTGCAGGTCGGGTCGGATAGCTGAACGTGACGTTTTCAAAGCGAATAGGCCCTCGGGCACTTTGTACTGGATCTCCTTTTGTAGGAGATATTTTAGGTTCCCGGTCTTGGAGCTCAAATAATCTGCTAGCTGCGCCAACACCCTTCATAATTTCAGAGTAGAAGTTCGAAAGCCCAAAAAGACTTGAGCCAGCGTAGACAGTATACATGAGGAAGGAAGTAAGCTCTCCGAGGGTAATCCCACCAGATTGGACTAGGCCGCCACCCACATACAAGAGGATGAGAATTGTCATATTACCCATGAGACCGGTCTATTAAACGTTAGCAAGTGCTGATATAAACGGAGCTTTGACCATAATTTACCGAACTGAAAAAGGTAGCACTGATAAGTGACTCTTTCCGACCTAATTCGAATATTTTCTTAACTTGGTGGTTGTATCGACCGACTTCTGAGATTTCAGCCGCGAAAGCTTGACTCGTCTTCACGTTTCCGAGCCGTTCCTCGGCGATTTTGGTCAAGGTACCTAAGTTCTTTTGAATCTTGCGGCTTAGGTTGCGGATAGTACGACCATAGAAGAAAGCTGCCACACCAATAGGAGGAAGGAGAAGAGCGAGCACACTCGACAGCTTTAAACTGACGTAGGCCATCGCTCCAAAACCGGCAGTGCAGCTCACAATAGATCGAAGACCATCCGAAAGGTTCTGAGTGATAGATTTGCCGACAATCAGAGTGTCAGAGCTTAATCTTGAGATTAAATCTCCGACTCTGTTAGCGTCAAAGAATTCGGCATCTTGCACAAACGTCCGTCGGAACAATTTTGAGCGTTGTCTCGCCACGACACGCTCACCAACAATACGAAGAATAATGATTCGACCGTAATTAGCGGCAGCTCCGAGGCAGATGATTCCAGCGAGTGCAGCGTAGAACATGGGCATGCTCATCCCAAAAAGACCTTCTCCCTCATCGCCTTTCGTGGCCAAGTCCATGATCTTGCCAATCGAGAACGGAATAGACATAGTAATACCAGAGGAAATCAGAAGGAAAAAAAAAGCGAGACCAAGCGACTTGGCTTCAGGTCGCGCAATCTTCAAAAGCCGCCATATCTCGTTAAAAGCAGGTTTCTTCCCTTTGTCTTTTCCATGGCTTCCCAACTTAGCTGTCAAATTGATTTGTGCCGCCTGAGCTGCCTTCTCGGAAAGCTCAAATCCCTCATCTTTGTTCTGGTTGACCGGGGCGACGTTGCGGGTTTCCTTTTGATCAGTCTGAGTCGCTGGCGGCGGCGCGTTATTTAATCTCTGCGATACGGACAAGCATCGAACTTGGAACAATATCGAAGATCTCGTACGTGGTTGGTATATTGGAGCAGTACTCGCTCTTGAACTATGACGGAAGAGAGACGCATCGGAAACTGATTTAGAAGCAAAGGATCTCAATTGATGCACATTTCGAATCTTAGTGAAAGCCTGACTCGGAGTAGTCTGTATCGTGCGATATGATCCTGCGACAATTGAACATACAGGCCCTGTCTCAGCCTTGGAACCGAAGGCAGCCAGCAGCTTTGAGCTGCGCATGGCTAAAGGCTGAGTGTTGCGCCGAGTGACCGATTTCGGACGAGATATCTATATTTCCATATCACGAAAAGTTATCACTGTTGCAACATTGCCATGATCACTTTGTTGTTGTGCAGGACCTCGAAGCACGAAGACAAGATATCGCTATAGAGCTCCGATGTCAACGTGGTAGAATTGTTGGAAGAGAAGCAAAACAACGAGTTACGTCGATTCCGAAGCGGATTTTCGTAATTGGCCGGCTGTCGGAGCCTTGCCGGTTTCTCCGATTGACATTCTGCCACCGCCTTCCAAGATAGTCGCGTCTGGTGATGAAGGTCATAGAACCTCATGGAGACTTGGTGTCTATTCCACCCTGCAGTTACTCAGGTTTAGTGACTATATCTTAGAGATCATTTCCACGATTACACAGAGATACGACTTTCACGGATATTGCGCACAAAATTGACTGCTGTCATCCAATCACAACTCGTTCACCCCACTTCTGATACTACCCCTCTGCCAACGGAGCTTGGAGAGGCCTAAATAAACACGAATAGCTTGCCAACCAACTCGCCATGGTGCTTGATTACAGTAAATGGGATGCGTTGGAGCTGTCCGACGATTCGGACATTGAAGTCCACCCCAATGTGGACAAACGCTCATTCATCCGCGCAAAGCAGAACCAAATTCATCAACAGCGAATGCAGCGGCGCCACGAAATTGAAACGCTGAAGTATGAACGAATCATCAACGATGGTCTTCTCGAACGAATTGACAAACTTCTTGGGGCACTTCGTGAGCATGAGGACTCGAGTCGGAATCCAGAAGAGCTGGTTTTCCAGTCACTGATCGAGTCTGCTGGTGACCCTGCTAAGGATCAGCCTCCCGCACCACCCGCTGGTGTCTACACTCACGAGAAGGAGCAGCCCAAGTACTCGCAGATGATGAGCTCGCTCGTTGATCAGGTGAAAAAGGAAGTTACAGAGTCCAAAGCAGAGAACACGTTTCGGGCGTATATTACGGGAGTTCAAGGACACAAAGACAAAGTTCTAGGCCTTCAGCAGGAATTGCTCAAGAAACTGGCGGAGCTTGAAAAGGAAGAAAAAAGCAAGATTACTAGCGACAGTATACACACGGGATTCGATAGCTCATACATTGCCAAATCAGACTCAAAGGCAAAAGGAAAAACCCCTGCTACCGAAACGAAAGTCGAGCTTCTCAACTCACCCTCAATTGGCAAAGTAGACGGGACACTGTCATCAGGTGCAGAATCTGATGCAGAGGATGACGATGACGAAGAAGCAGACATCAAAGTCAGTGATTTGGCTAAGAAATTTGCCAAGATACCCATGACGGATTACAAGGCAATGCTTCAGTTCATTTCGGCGAATCCTGAGATCGTCGCGGAGCGCGAGACGGATGGTTTGTTGGTTGAAGCTTTCAATAATCAAATGGAGGGGAAGTCGGACTATGCACGTATATGTGTACACCACGGTCTATTATTGCAGTATTGCCGTTCATTAGGCCGGGATGGTATTTCTCTTTTCTTCAAGAGGCAAGTTTACTTACCCCAGCCCTCATAATCGTGCACATCTAACAACCTCTACAGGATCACTACAAAAGATCACCAAGCCGCCACACTGTTTAGAAACGACGTAAACGAGACTTACAACAAGATCAAAACCCGTGCTGCGGAATTGGCCAAAAACAAAAGCCCCGAAAACGATCCTGCTGGCGTCGAACAGATCCAACTACATGCAGTCGACCCTAACACTCAGATAAACATTAGCATCCCTCCAGCCGACAGCTCCAATCCGGAAGAAATCGAAGCCCGCAAGATTTTCGAGTCATTCCCTCCGAATCTACAGCGAGCCCTGGAGTCAGCATCCCTGGATGAAGTCAACAGGGTTCTTGGTAAGATGAGTGTTGAGGAAGCCGAGGAAATTGTTGAGAAGCTAGGTCATGGCGGCATGTTAAGTCTTGAAGAGGGGATTGTAGATGCAACTACGGAAGAAGGTAGGAAGAAGCTTGAGGAGATTGAGGCTGAGGGAAAGAAGGAGAGGAAGCAAGAGGTTGAGGAGATGGGTGAGCCGGTTGAGGATCAGCTAGACTAGACAGGTTGGCTGTGGAGGTGATGCTCTAGGACTATCTTGTTGGTTCATATTCATGCTTCGGGTTGCATATTCTACTTAGTTCTATGTATTTATTAATCCTTGTCATGGAATGAGTCTACAAGTTTTGTCTTAGATGTCAAACGTATACTTAATACCGCCTGAGATTTGCTTACAGTGTCTCCAGAAAAGAATAACTCCATTGCATTACCTATTAATCCCATGAAGAAGTGGAAGATAAAGAGCAAGACCGCAGATACATTTATAGGCACAAAACAAGAGATATGATCGTGAGGCTCGATGGTCGAATACATGGGCAAGAACTGCAAGGGAAAGAATGACTGATCCTTGAGTAGACACTGTCGCACTGGAGGCGATAGTCCAGTGAGGTTCTGGATGAGGAGAGCATTACTCTCCTTCAAATCTGACACAGAAAACCGGCGCGTTGCACGGCCTCAACTTCGCACTCAGGTACAAGTAAATCCTGAAAGACATACCCACCAAACCCGCATTCTTTTTATCTATTTATTGATTGTTCGTAATGTACTTGCTCCTTACACTCCGGATGCACCGGGGGCATTGGCGTCTTTTCGCAAGTCAAGTAGAAGTTCACGGAAACGCTCCTTGCCAGAACCACTAGCACCGCCCTTGACACCCTTGCCAGATATGTCAACAAGTTTTGCGATACGCTCCCAGCTGGTTCCGCCTGCAGATGTGTCTTCTCTGTTTGCGAGGAATTCTTCGGCTTCCTTGCGGGTTTGGGCGCGAGCCTTATCGGCGCGGTTTCCGTACGATACATAAAAGTCATCAATATCTTCTTGTGCCTTCTTGATAGTGGCTGCTTTCTTCTCTGCGGAGGTTTCGGCTCGGCGGGCCAGATCGGCATCTCTGCGCGCTCGCCATTCCCTATAACGAAAGGGGTAGGTGCGTTAGAACAAGTTAAGAAATTGATTTTGGAGAGGAAGTCTAACCGAACAGCCTCTGGTTCTTCTTCTGGTTGAGCATAGTTGGAATACCCTGTCGATGGAAAGGGAGAGCCGGTACCAGTGATAGTTCCGCCGGGCGCAACGGCCTGTACATAGTCATGTCAGGGCGTCACAATTTTGGGACATAACACAGAAAAATGTTTACCTCATTCTGTGTATCAATCGCAGGAAAAGATGATTCGAAACCAGAAATCTCTGCCGAATCACCTTGTTGTTGGACAACTTCGTCACCTCCCAGTAGATCGTCATCTACGGTTGCGACCTGATCGTTCGGTGTAGCAAATTGCGCAGCATCGTCACCTAGCGCAGCGCGTTCACGAGCAAGAAAGTCATCGGTGTCGGCAACATCATTGCTGACAACTTCGGTTTGACCTGGTGAGCTGTTAGATGGCGTGTTGTGGCCCATGGGCGGAATACGCACCCTCGTTGAAGTCTTCCAGTGAGGGAAATCGGTCCGCCATTTTGAAATGATTAAATGCGTATATTCAGATATTCGGAAATGTAGAGAAATAAGACAGGAGACCTCAAATTGTTATCAGCTTGGAATTAATCAGAAGTGATGTTGTTGGAGTAAAACGTCTTTGACCTCCAGTTGGCAACTTCCTTATTTACCAGCCTGTTTGTCGGGAGGTCGGGTTCTGCCACCGCCTTTGCGGAGCTCTGTTTATCGTTTCGGATGATGCAGCTTGTTTGAGCTTCAAATGTTGTCTTGGATAACTTCAAACTAATTCTAGTTTCTGTTCTTTTTGCTGCACATTGATTCTTGAACTTGCTTTCCTTCTATTACTTTCACTCTTCTCTCAGCTCACTGCTCTCACACGATATCTATCAAGGACCAAGAGCCCTTCAACTTATCCTCGCTGTACTCGTGATTTTCCATCATCGGTGTTTGGTGGATCATAATTTGCCAATTTTGAGAATTCCTACTGCAAAATATGGCTTACAACGACGACTCTGTCAAAGCAAAACTGTCTGCGCTCAACGAAACCCAGGAGGGTATCGTGACTGTCGCGCAATGGGTTATGTTTCATAGGCAAGTACTGCCATAGCTATCGCTCTTGTGACTTGCGTTTTCTAATCAATACCTTTGTTGCACATTGCAGACGCCATGCAGATCGTACTGTGCAGCTCTGGTTACAGAAACTTCGAGACTCCCCTGCAAATAAGAAGCTCAATCTCATCTACCTTGCCAATGGTATGACATCCGCGAGGTCTGACTCGCAACAGAACGCTAATAATCTCACAGAAGTTGCGCAACAGTCTAAAGCGAGACGGAAAGACGATTTTATAATTGCTTTTTCACCGGTATGTCAAGTTATCAAGTGCGAACGGAGCCATTATAAAGCTAACAAGAATAGGTCATCGCGGAAGCCACAGCAATTGCATACAAAGGCGCATCCAACGACATTCAACAGAAGCTTCGTCGAGTCGTTGAAGTTTGGAGACAACGTGGTGTATTCGAATTGCCGATTCAAGAAGCTGTAGAAGCTCGTGTCAATGGTTCGTCATCGTTGTCCCTTTTCCTTTCTTTCAAAAGCTCATAAATATAGAATTGGACAAAAACCGCTCTTCCGGGAAAAAGCCCCTACTCGGTGGGTCGCTTTTCAGTTCAGGCTCTGTACCACCCGAGTTGCAGCCTCTTGTACAACTTCAGGTCAATGTTTCGAAGGGTTCTGTGGCATCCGGTACGGCGGTTAATACAGCCAACGCCGAGTTTGACAAAATGAACGATCCTAGCGCGCCAACGCCTCCAGCCCCGGTGCATGCGGCCCGTTTGAGCCAATTGCTCAAGTCATTGGCAAATGCCGAAAGTTCAGTGTCCGAGATTATTAAATCACGTCAAGCGCTCATGGAAGGTCTTGAAAAGATGCTTGAAAGCAATCGTACTGCCCTTTCCAGGGAGACCGCTCTTTTGACTCAAATGGGTGAAAGAAAGGCCGAAACCGAAATGAGAAAACGCGAAGTCGAGGAGGCGATTATGCGCGGTCTTTCTGCGGAGGAGTCTTCGACGCCGGCTGACAATGCAGGCGGTCCAGAACATGAGCCAGCTCGGCCCACCGTTGAAGCCCTAACACCACCGCCTGTAGAGTCACTGACCCCTACTGGATCACCCACACGACAAGGAAATGAGAATAACGGCGATACACAACAGCCTCAGCCGCATCCTTTCACGTTATCGGACGATCATCAGATGGATTGGTCTGTGGATATGCATGGGTCTAGTCTATCGCTCGATGAAGCTAATGACCAGTCTAGGAATGGGCTCAATTGATTAGAAAAAGAAAATAGGAATCACTATCAAACATGAATGGATTGCCCATATGTTGGGTCCATCTCAAGCAAAGTAGTTAGTTGACTATGTACTTGAAGCACAAAATGAAGCGGACTTGAATGTCTTCTATGGGGTTTAATATAGGCATAGTAACCGACTTTAGTCAATATGGTACAATCCAAAAAAGAAACAATACTATCAACCAACAAAAACGCTTCAATGGAGAACGGCGCTGATCACCGATGTCGAGTCATCATCATATTCCACGATGAACACTATGAACACACCTCAAAATATAGACAACAGACCAAAAACAAGTCTGATTTAAATCAACAACCCAGACGAAAACAACGAATCAAACTCATGATAATTATTCCTATTATCCCTTTGCCAATACAGGTGCCTGGCACCAAAGATATCATCATCAGCGCCGTCTTCCAGAGATCGGGCTATTCTACGCGATAACCGCGGTGGTATTTGTTGATCGTTTTGGACGTCCTCTTGAGGAGGGGTGGTTGTGTCGGGAATATTACTATTATTATTATGTCGTTTCGGTTTTAGGGCGAGGAGGACGATCATCCCGATCATGATCAGGATGAGGAGGAGGATTATTTTGCGTTTTGTTGTTTTGCGTTGATAGTTGCTTGCCTATTTCAACATATTAGTCTTTTAAACCAGGAATTTGTATTTGGAGAGAGGTATAAGAGTCTTGGGCGCACCACTTTAAGCTCCGTATCAGCTTGTTTAACATCCGTAGCCATGCGCTCAACATTATAATCAATGCGGTCTAGCATAGTGCCCTGATCGATAATCATGGTTTGCAATTCACGGAATATATCGGATAATTCAATGATACCTTTTGCGATATCGTTGATTTCGCGCTCCCGTTGAGCGATTGCAACATCATTTGCGCCGCTGACGGTGAGCTGTTGCTGTTGTTTTTGGGAAGTTTGTTGTAGAGTTGACTGGGAGAAAGATTTGTCGGCGTCGGATTCCATAAGTGAGGGGTCGGAGTATTGGGATTGAATTGGTGTTGAGACTCGCTCAAACGGGGAGACCATGCCTTCTAGTTCTCGTAGTTCTGTTAACAAGTCAGCATTGGTACTCAGTAAGCTTCAGAAAAGGAAGACTGGAAATTGTACTTCTCAAATACGTGCTCTGTTTCTTCCTAAACCGCGCACTAGCCTCCTGAACCCTCGCTGCAAGCGAAATTTGAATATTCTTCGCCATCGTCTCATCCCCTTTCGTCACGGAACCAAGCTGCTTCTGCTCGCGCACTAGCGCATCAATCCGCTGAATCGCCTTTTGACAACTATGGAATCCCCTCGTGATCTCCTGCGTATATTGCTCAATAATCGTTTCTTCTTCCTTTCGCGCGCCTTCATCCCCAAAACTAGGTAGTATATGTTTCTGGTGTAGTTTATCGAGTCGTGCGGATTTCTGTGCAATATCGGCCAATGTCTCGGTTACTTCTTCTTGTACGTCTACCCATCGAGGGGGCAATAGGTCCATTTCAATAACTGCATCGCCGTCGTCTTCTAGTCCGTCGGCCGCTCCGGCGATGAGACCTCTTCTCTCCTCGGATAGTAATGTGGTATCGGAGAAGCCTTGGGATGGGCCGAAGTAGCGTGGCTTCTTGGTTGGATGATGGGCGAATGATTGACGGTAGGAGATGTAGCTGTACAAACACTCAAATCAGCTTGACGGGTCAATCAGAATCTGGAATTTGATATGCAATACTAACAGGTTTGTCCGATCACGCCACATTGTGGCAGATCTAGCTTGTCAAGCTCAATTATCTCGGTGTTTGTTGTGCTTTATCATAATCAAATAGATGTATGAATGTTGCTGATGCGGGATTCAATGACGTCGTATGGACATTCAGGGATGGACTATCGGACGGTCACAGTTCTCCTAATAAAGCGCAGGGCGTTGATCGTGTTATTTATCGACTCAACCGACTTGAATCTGTTATCGTTGAGATCCTCCGTCACATTCCCGAGCAACTGGATGCTGTCATTCCGTTCAGGGTATAGCGGCATCCGCCTAAGGCTTCTACTTTTGATCTTCCTACCACGCCAATTATCAATCACTAGATTCTTTATTTCTTATTATTCGAAGCCTGGATGATCTATAATCACTAGGTGCGCCTCGTATGGTGCTATGCACCATACATACTACATGAGGATATTCGTTATATTATTACAGCAGTAGTCGACTCAAGGCCCCGTACGGTTCATGTCGGATGGTACATGCAGCGCCTGAAATCGACAGCCATACTAGCACTATAACAAACTCGAAATTCTTGGTTAAATCACATAAAATGATTAAATTTGCCCTACACACAGCAATAAGGATATACTACAGATCGTATGTGTTCACTATTCACACGAGAAATGAGTATAGGCGGTCAACGAATCAACTTTCTTTATATTCACAAGCCTAAACCTCTTCAGGCCTGGACTAACCCATCTCCGCTCTCCTCTTCTCTTTCTCCTAAACAACTCCGAAATAAACTGCTACAACGACACCAAGTCTTCAACTACTTCTACATCCAACGCCCGTCTCACCAGTCTACTTTACACTCATTTCTTTGCGCTTTCCTCTACACACACTCTCACCATGGTATGTCGCTCACCAAGACAAACTATTTACCCCCTTAACCAGCTCTATCGTCGCAGCCGCCTTGTGTATCCCCCACACTGCGGGGCAGCCCAAGACGTGAAGATCGTGACATAAAATCGAATAATTTACTAACTTGGACTTTTTCGGGCTGTAGGCTGACTCTTTGACTGAAGAGCAAGTCTCTGAGTACAAGGAAGCTTTCTCCCTTTTTGTAAGTTCTGCCTGCAGTGATTGTTTGGTAATGGTGTGGTTATCTAACTAACCGTTTCGATCAATAGGACAAGGATGGCGATGGTGAGTTCACCCAAACACGCAGCACCAACGATAGGGTATATTAGTATGATCTACGGACGGACATTGACAATATTGATCAGGCCAAATTACCACCAAGGAACTGGGCACCGTCATGCGTTCGCTCGGCCAGAACCCCTCCGAATCCGAATTGCAGGACATGATCAACGAAGTTGACGCTGACAACAACGGCACAATCGATTTCCCTGGTATGACGACTCTACTACCCCTTACAATCCAGTGTGGATAGGTGACTTACTGATGCTGGCTAGAATTTTTGACAATGATGGCCCGCAAAATGAAGGATACCGACTCCGAGGAAGAGATCCGTGAGGCTTTCAAGGTCTTTGATCGCGACAACAATGGATTCATATCTGCGGCTGAATTGCGCCACGTCATGACTTCGATTGGCGAGAAATTGACTGATGATGAGGTCGATGAGATGATCCGTGAAGCTGATCAGGATGGCGATGGAAGGATTGACTGTGAGTTACTATACTATACACAATGTGGAAGAATTCTACTAATCGGCGATTGCGTTCTAGACAACGAGTTCGTACAGCTCATGATGCAGAAATAAGCGTCTTTTTCTGCTGATTTTGTGTTGTGCGAGGTTGCCCGGTCGTTGTGATTCGTTTCTTTCCTCGTTTATCTTGGACGTATATAAGCGGGCTTTCTTGATTTCTTCTGTGGACAGACAGGCGAAGTTGAAATTGAATGGGAGCAAAATTCGTGTTGCTGGGTGGTTACATTTACCGTGAAATGTGAACGGGATTTTCTTCATTGATATCATACACAATTTGGGAATCTTCTTTCTTCTTCCAAGTTAATCTTACATTTTCTAGACGATGTGCTCGTCGTGTGCTTTAGGACTTGATCCTTGTGGCTCGTATTATTTCTTGCTTCTTGTTGAAATTTAACAAAGATCTTTTCTCTGGAGAGAGGCTACCGATTGAATCGAAAAAGCTCCATATACTGCCTTGCCAGATCAACATCTCCCTCTATATCCTCTTCCTCCTCGTCTTGCTGTTGTTGTTGTTTTTCAGAAAACCCACCCCAGCTCCTATCCAATGCAATAGCTTCACGTCTCTTCTTTCGTCGTCTTTTCTCTCGTTCTTGCCAGCCGGGCTGTCGACGCTGCGCTATCTTTTGTTTCACTTCTCGGCCTACATCGGGGATGAGAATAGCTTCTTGGACGGCGGCAGCAGAGAGTTGTTTATTGTTATTGCTGTCGTTGGAATTGTAGATGCATGTCCAGAATTCCTTGATTAAATGTGATACTTGTTCGTATTCGAGCTGTATTTGAGCCTCGGTGGGGATGTAGGGTGTTTCCATATCCGAATCAATCCCACCATCTATATCCATCTCGTTGCCGATTTGACTGCCATCATGATCCAAAAATGAAGTAGACAAAGCAGCCGCAATCATCGACGGCCCCTTCCATTCAATCTCCATAATAGTGCCCCTAGGCCTCGCATGCGGCTGCATCTGCCGCACTTCACCTAGTCGAACTCGAAAATCCCCAACTTCATAAACTGCCCCCGTGACCGAGACTGAATGTCGATGACACCAAATCGGTTCACAGCAGCGCACAAAATGGCGAAATATCTCCGTTGAAGAAGCATTTGGAACAGTAGACATGATCATACCCGACTCTGTCGTTGTTTTTGTCTTTGGGTTTTCACCGTCAACATTTTCAGAGGCATATATGAACCCTACTTTTGGGTAATTCGTCATTGATAAGAATTGCACATAGCGTGGTTTGGGGGCTGGATTGGGTGCATGCGCTGACGCTGGTAGACATGATGGTGTGTCGCGCATTAATTTGTGTTCTAGAACCCAGCGTCCGATGGGGATGGCTTCGTCGCTGTAGACAGATCGAAGACGCTCTGTGAGAAGACCCACGATGTTAGGTGCGTTGGGACTGGAGGGGATGAAGAAGACTCTGCAAACGTTAGATTTAGTCTTATGATGGGAACTGTAGATGAAGGCTTACCCTGTATGTGGCATCGTGTAGATTTAATCAGATTGGAATCAATTATGATGGATTATTAGAGGATATGTATTCGCGTTGGTGGCGAGCTTGTTAGGCCAATATGTATTATCAGTCAGACCGAAGAGAGTTTTAGCTTCTTAAGTTGAAAGGATCAATAGCGCCACAGTGCTATTTATGATCGATCAATATTCATATTTGTTGTTTCAGGAACTTAGAACATCATCAAAGATCCAAAGTGTTGATAGAAAAGTGGGGACCATAAGTTAGTTAACTATGGGGGTGGTGATTACTAAGCAGGGATCAACATAACTAACGTAATTCACCACCGAAGCGGCACCACTACCGAGCCGGCATTTTTTCCCGAGCGCGTACGCGATATTGATTTCAAATCCCAATTTTCAAAGCCACATACAAATTATATACAAAAATCTAACTACTAATACGACTAGGGCATTGGTTAATTCTATGCCCCATAACGTTACAACCACTGCAGCGATATTGGCGGCGTACGACTGCTTGAGAAGCTGGGAGCTCCGGCTCAGCCGGAGTAGTAGTAACAGCATGGGATGCCTCAACCTGACCTTGTACGAGCGCTTGCACTTCTTCTTTAGTAACCCCTTGCTCAATAGATATTTGCTTTTTAGATTTTTGGCGCTTTTGCTTCTCTTTCTCATGTGCAGCTCGTAAATCGTAGTTCTCTTTCCGTACGAGTAAAACATCATTCGCTATCATTTCGTAGGCTTTTGACAACCGTACAACTGCCTGATTGATTTCTTGATTTTGGTTGCTTTCTGTACGCTCATTTATACGTTTATTGATTGTAGTCGACTGGCGTATAAATTGGCGTATATTTTGAGGTGTTTGTAAGCAGGATGATGCCGTATTGCTTGATCGACTTGGAGGGGGGGTTGGTGTCTTCAATCGAATATTAAGCTGTTGTATAACTCGATCTGGATTGAAAGGCACTAATCCAGTGGCTGCGAAGCTATTCCGAATAGTTTGAGCTTTATATGCCACTGTACGAGCCTGTGGAAATGCTGTTAAGAAGTCCATTTTATCAATATGATTGAAACCAAGCCTCATTCGTTGCTCAACAAGCTGCCCATAATGTCGCTTTAAAACAGCAAAACAGCCAACATCAAGAGGCTGTAAGAGATGCGAAGAATGAGGTGGCATACAGACTGGAATAATATTATTCTCAGTACATATATGGTCAAATTCTGGTGTCAAATGGCTTCCATGGCCATCAAGAATCAACATTCGATATTTTCCAACCGTACGACCATTAATATAGGGAATAAAATGGGTTTTAAGCCATTCTAATCCTATCTGATCTGTAGTCCAGCCATTATCGCTAATATTGATTCGCCAATCATCTGGAAGATCATCAAACCAGCCTTCTCGTACGTTTTTCTTTGCTTTGAAAATCACGTACGAAGGCACAGCCCATCCAGTTGAATTTGTTGCCTCAATTGCAGTCACCCATTCTCGATTTCCAGGCTGTAAAAGCTTCGGCTGAGCATATCGATCGCTTCCAGTAATAACCTTTGCAGTTGCACAGAGTCCCATAGCAAAGCCAGTCTCATCAAAGTTGAATATATCTTCCGGTAAGATGCCGTACTCAGATATAGCAGCTTGTACGCGATCAAAATGTTCTTGTATTATCTTTGGATCTTCGCATTTAGCACGTTCGTAGTTGTATTTCCTTGCGAATTTGGAATCGATCTCTGGACGGCGTTTAATCAGTTTAGTTATCCAATTTTTTCCAACTTGTGGTTTGCCATGTTGTGAAAGTATATAATTAGCCATTTCTCGTACAAGAGAATGCCGGGGGGGTAATCCACGTCGATCTAAATCAAGCACCCATTTGACAAGCGATTCCTCTTCATATTGAGTCAATTTATGGCTGTTGGCGCGTACGAGAGATCTTTGTTGAATACCATTGAGTCTATCTTGTAAAGTTGTCCGGGGGATCTCGTAAATCCTTGCAGCTTGACGCTACACGTTGAATTCGGCCATTCTGTAAATCGGAAATTGCTAATAAGATTCGTCCCTCTTGCTCATCTAAATTTTTCCGGTTTTTATTGCGAATTGGTGGCATATTGACGTGTTGAATAATATAAAATCAATATCGTGTACGCGCTCGGGAAAAAATGCCGGCTCGGTAGTGGTGCCGCTTCGGTGGTGAATTACGTTAGTTAGTTAACAAGTTCTTTTAGCAGCGAGCAGTCATACTCCTGCAACAACAGACATATCTGGAGAATCATCACGATAAAGAATTTCGACTATACAGAAGTGTATCCGGGAAATATATGATGGATAACTAACTAGCAACACCCTCCTCTGGCCTGACCGGTCCCCAGATATACATCGACGCGGCACCCTCACTCTTCTCTCTCCCAGTGCCATTATCAACATTCACTACATCCCCATCGGCATAATGCTCGATTGTAAACCCGCTTGGATCTTTCCAGTAATCGAAGATCTGTGACCCAAGGATATGTCGTCCAACACCCCAAAGAGGAGTATATCCCTTTTGGAGGAGATACTCGTGACCAAGTAACTGGGTATCGAAATCCTCGACCTCAAATGAGCAGTGATGAAGACGGTGGCGGGTTTCCTTGAGCTCTGGATTGGGATCTTGTACGCGAGCGAGGAACAGAGTGTGGTGGTCTACATACTCTTTTCCTTTGTCTAAGTGCATGAATGTGAGGGTGTCGATTTGTGAGTCCTGCCCTTCGGATCCGGATTCTTCGTAAAGGATGTCTGAGGGAACAAAGTTGAAGTTCTTCGTGTAGAACTCAATGTCTTCGTCGAACATTGTCGTGAGGTAGCCATAGTGCCCTAGTTTGTGAACCATTGCGGGACCCAGCTTGAAGCGTTGGTATTCTCCTATTCTTATCATTAGCCGTCTGTACGCATATTGTCTAGGTGAGGACAAATACTGACCCTTTCGCTCCTTCTTTAGCGAAGTATTATACCCCCCTTTATGTACTTCTGTCGCAGAAACTGCCTTCTCCGGAATAGGACGATCCTCCTGACCCCAGAGAACATGCATCACCCCCCCAGAAGGAGAAGAAAGACTAACCATCTTCCCACCTCCTGGAGCGCCAACGTTATCCCACACTGCGGACGCAGTAGGTAACTCTGTGCATTTCTGAAAGTCCGACTCTGAGCTTGCAACAAATGTGGCTCCGAGAAACTTCTTCTCATCTTGTTTACGCGCGACGTAAGCATATGCATCTCTTCCCCAGCCACGATAATAGATACCTGTACTGGTGCGATGCGCTAGTTCGAACCCGAAGGCATGCGCAAAGCCATCGAAGGCTTCCAAGTCAGGATGGGCGAATGAGACATGTGTTAGGCGATCCAACTGGATTTTGTCGGGGAAGTTAGACACTGGAGGTATCCGTCCTTTTGGCATTTTGTTAAAATGAATTCAGTATTTAAGTTTGGTTTGAGTTACTGATGCTGATGAAGCCTGCTTGTCTACCACGATGGTGAGCGATATACATAAGGCCGCCTTGAGCTGGCTTTAAACGGAGGCATTCCGCTAAGCTTGATAATTCACTGTCACCGGATCTCAAGTACAGCTTTCCAACACCGATAAGCTACTGCTAGCCCAATGCTAGAATAGTTTCGACCTGGAGCACTTGAGGGGTTCGTATGGGGGCGGCGCGACTAGATCGTCCGCCTCCGCATTTTTAGGGTTTTGTCATCACATGATTATCAAGTTGTCCATATTCAACATGGCCTGCAGGTCTCCGAATTCAATATTACCCCAGAGAAGACGTACCGCGGGAAAACTTTGCTCAGATGCTCCGCTGCTCATTTGAGTATTATCAGGCGTGACATAGATATATGACTTGACTGGGTATCAAAGCAGAAAATGTATTTCTAAGCCAGCGGAATTGATTTTACGGACAACGGTCATTGATTACTAACAGACATCATTGCAGATGGAGGAAACCAGCGTAGTTATCGTGGGCGCTGGCCCTAGTGGCTTGGTCCTTGGAGCTTTACTTGGGCGTATGAATGTCAAGGTAGTCATTCTGGAGAAAGAACTAGAAGTTTGTGAAGATCCGCGAGGAATCGTGGTGAACGGAGACGCCGTACGAATCTCGTACCAAGTTGGGATTGGAGATGAACTGACGAAGAAAATTGGAAGTGGTAAGTCCTTGTCATATAGAGCAGACACAAGAATCATACCCGATTCGATACTTTATCTCACATTCAGGATTGGAATGATAGACCTTGGATCCCTAAACTTCCACCGAGGGAACTTTCGTACAAAGCCTTTTATGGCTTTCAATATATTACCAGATTGGGCCGGACAATCTGTTTCGCAAAATATTGCACAGTTCCAGCCTAATTACGGTTAGTGAATCCCAAAGTTTTGCTCTCGTTGCTTATTGACTGACTAGAAATTGATAGAGCGAGAGATACGTAACCTCCTTAGAACAATCCCGTCCTGCAGCTTGAGAATCGGATGTGAAGTTCTCAACCGAGTTGAAAAGGACAACGTTACGGAAATTGAATACCTGACACCTGAAGGAGACCGCAAATGGATCCGGACATCTTGGCTCGTTGGCGCCGATGGGAAGCGTGGTGTGGTTAGAAAGAAGTTCCTTGAACCTGAGGGTATTAAGCAGGTCGATGCTGTGTATGTGCCTATGCCACCAGACTCTCAGTTCGAGTGTGGAATTATCTGTAATTCTAACACATGATGTATGAAGATGGCCTTACGTCGGCACATGGGTCGCAATCAATCTTGAGGTTGATTTGCCTACACCAGAGACACATCCGGATTTTCCCTTATGGGACTTGGGATATACGCCTGAGGAGGTGCATGCGGCGTTTTGGCCAAAGGGATTCCAGTTCGTCAGCTCTTTCCGCAAACTATATTGCTATGTATACCCCATGATCCGGTAACTGACATCTGACAGCTTCTGTAACGATCCTGTCCGACCAGCGGTTAGTGGACGGTTTGGACCGAAGCATACACGATTCTGGAGGTTAGTCCACATCCCTGATGAGGAAGCAGAATGATAACGAATGATGCTAGACATGAATACTCCATCGGCATGGAAGAGGAACCAAAAGACTGCGTTTCAGATTTCTGGGACCATTTCTTGCCCTGGATGGTCCTACCCGGTTCACAGTTTAGCAACAAGTTTAGGGGAACTACCATTTCTTATCCACGAGACTGCATCAAAGTGCTACGATGCAGACCGTTCCGGTAGGTCCTGACCCTTCGCATCATATTTAGAAAACTGGAAGTGAACAGGAGAACTGACTGAATTGTATAAAAAAGCTTCGCGACAAAAGTCGTAAACCGCTGGTTCCACAACACAACGATGCTCATCGGCGATGCAGCACATGTTTTCCCTCCCTTCGGCGGACAGGGTATTGCAACTGGTATCCGAGACGCCCAAGCATTATCCTGGCGTCTCGCGATCCTAGGCCGACTTCAAAATACTCCGATCTCAGTCAGAGAAAGGATTCTGACAGGTTGGTCACAGGAACGCCGTCATGCATGGGAAATAGCCACCTTGGCAACAAAAATGAATGGTAGTATTGTGAACCAAAGTACATTTTGGTCTGGGTTATTTTTCAGGTTCTGTATGCGTGTATTGTGGGCGATTCCGGGGGTTGCGAAGTGGAGGACACAAATGACGTTTAGGGATAAGTTGGCTTATAATGGGCAAAGTTGTCCTGATGGATTCTTCTTAGAGGAGAATGGAGGAGGGAGGAAGATTGGGCAGGCTTGGCTGGCAAATACTACTGATGCAGCTGTTCCCCCACAGTTATCTGATGAGGTTATCTTTAGAGACTTGTCGAGATTGTCTATTCTCGTATTGGTGAGAACTTCCGTCGATATTCCTTCCAAGTCAGTACTTGGTGATGTTTTGAGGATATCCGGTATACCAGTGGAAGTTTTGGGAGAGGAAAATATCACATATTTGGATATCTCGAAACATGGAGTGCCAGTCTCAGGAAAGAATGATCAGATCTGGCGTCCCTGTTCCACGAATGAACTTGAGGCGAAGGGTATCCAGCCAATTCTGGGATACAACAAAAGTGCGATTCACAACAATCTACCTTTCTCAGCGAGATTCGTCATTCTACGTCCGGATTTCTTTATTCATTCCATTGCAGGTGATCTGGATAGTTTGAGGAGGAATCTGGGGCGGGTCAAGCAGTATTTTATGTCATCATAGGTCTGATCAATACCATTTGATATATTAGCTTCAAAGAACAGAATCACATATCAATTTCACATCGACCTTCCCCGGGTCGCTCGCAAACGGACTCAATGCCGTCCTGATATGATGAATCAGTAGCACAATTCTTCGAACATCAAGTGTAGCCCAGCTCCACGCTCGAAATTCTTGGAGTGAGCCTTGTAATACCCTGGCAATAGGCCAATATGTTGTAAATCTCTCCAATGATATCCGCAGACTCTCTAGTGAGGTCTGTGTCCTTGCATCTGATGTTGATGATTCCAACCCAGACATGCTGTAGAGCGTCATGGCGCAATACGCATGCCAAATAGCACATGTTATAATCGGGTCTGAGATGGCAAAGTAGGCTGATGGCCAGCTATCGAGAACCCGAGCGATTGCCTCGGCGAAACTTATACTGTCGCACCAACTTTCTAGTGAGACAGTGTGCGAGTTTTGGTTCGGGGATAGATCCATTGCTTGAATTAGCTGCCGGAGTGGTTCATGGACTATGAGGCGGGCTCTGCCAAATAAATAAGGGTTAGAGCTGTGGCCTTCCTGAGAAACCATTATTGGGAGAAGAGAGGAAAGACGTACGTATTCAGCATTATGATAATTTCCAGTCTAATCCGATGACAATAAACACTCTCCGTATCTCGCCGGGAAGGCTCAAAAAACCAGTCCGGTAGAATGAGATGTAAAGAAGCAAGGATATCGACAAGTGCTGCAACACGTTTGATATCTTCGACCGTGGGTTTAATATTTAAACGTTGCTGGCATTCCGAAACCGCCCGTAGCAGCGACGTTGCGAAGAGATGGATGTTAAATCCATCGCCTGCATCACAAACTTGAGGACCTCCAGGTGAAGTCCAGAACTTGACGGGGTCCATCTCTGGAATTGACGGGAAGGTGGTGGTTTGGACGATATTGCATGTAAAATCCTCGACTGTGGTGGATACAAGTGCTGTCCCGATCATCTGCTCGTCGATTCCGAAAGGTGCACACGCGGTAACATTCAAAGTACAATCGAGCCTCCAAACAGTCCACCATACAAACCTCCATTCTTCCTTCTCAGCTGCAGATACCGTAACCGGAAAATCTCTAGTATCAATTTGATGGAGCTGAGCCATAAGCGCTAGACGCACGGCGTTATTGACGAGAAGCCACCCTTGTCGACTAGGGGCTTTCGTACTTTCGTATAAAGCAAGCAGACAAGCCACCTTGACGACTGTTAACGGCACGGGGTCATTTTTCAGGATTTCATCCTGGTATGCTTGTTGTGCAATGCGAGAAAAATCGTCCCATGGTTGGGAGTTGTCGCCGAACAACTTGCAAACTTGCCGTGAGGGAAGAAAGCGCGATGAGACAGCGAACATTGCTGCTAGAAGCATGTCCGGGATATTATTTGCGATGAGATCTGCGTAGAATACTGGCTTGCGGAAGAGAGGGAATGAAGGTTGTATATGATCAAAATATAAAGAAATACTGAATTCTTGTTTAGCCGAGACGAGTTATCAGACGATGAGGGAACTTACAGAAGTTGTTGAGTCTCTGGCAACAATGCACTGGGATGTAAGCCGTCTGTAATGCTAAATTGGCCGTGAGGCATATTAATGAGACTTGACGTATTTAGCTCAGTACTTTGTAATGACAGTAACTCATTTTCGCAGAGAAAGGAATGGCTCTCCGGCGGCGAGTTAATGGGAAAACTGTCTGAGGGTTCCAATGGCGTTGTTATATCCATGGTTGACCATAATAAAGATTGATCGATGTCCATGGAGAGCGCAGGAGTTGATGATGTTGTTGCAGTATGTGTTCTAGACAGCGCTTGAACCATCCCTTCGAGTTGACCTGGGAATAGTTAGCCTATATTCTATCAGTTCTGCTTCGTACATACTGATTCTGTCCATCAAAGCTCGAGTCTGCGAATTAACGGCTCCTTTTTGGGGACCTGGACGTCTACGTTCTTGTCCATATTGACAGGTTATACCGGCCGACTGGCATCTCGAGCAGCTGGGCAGTTGGCGGTCACCTGGATGAATTAGATCTAAAAATTTCATATAAAAGGGGTCAAGGTACGTACACTTTCGTTTTAGGCTGTGAGTTGGAATAAGAGATTAGCCTCCTCTTACTCTTATCGTACATTTCTGAAACAAGTGGAATAACTCTTACCGCTTGCAATTACTACACACCACCACATTGGAGTCGACGCAGGCCGGGCTCGCTGTTGAGCTTGGGGAAGGGCGAGAACGAGACATTGTTGTTCTAGAGTCGGAAGGATGACTGAACAAAGTCTGGATTTTGACTATGTATGTAGTCTGTATCTATTAAATATGGGAGAACCCCGCTTCTCCGCATACATATCGGGATTTGAATTCCCAAAGCAGAAGTCGGTGGTTAGTAAGACAGCCAAAGTGGCGAACCCTCGTTTACGGATTACACTTTCCATTCTTTCATAAGATTGTGGCTGTTTTTGACTATACAGTACAATGCTTGGTATAGGCATTTCTGGGACAGTAATAAGTATTCATGAATCATTCGAACTCAACGCCATTCCTTAACGTCCCAATCTTACTGACCCTAACCTCCATTCGGTTTCCGGGCCGAAGAAATTTGGGAGGCTTCAGACCATTTCCAACACCTGGATTATCCCGTTCTAACGTTAGCCCTAATTCATCTTTGACAAAAGCATCAGCATCAAGGAAACTCACCGCCAGGTGTTCCAGTCATAATGACACTCCCCTTCTGGAGTGTTGTTCCAGTCGAAAGATACGAAACTAACTCAGCACAGCCAAACAGTAAGTCCGAGATAAGTGTATCTTGACGAACTTCACCATCAATAATTGTCTGCAGACGGAGCTGTGTTTCGTCCCCAACTACGTCCCGGCGAACCAAGCATGGTCCAAGAGGTGCAAATGTGTCGAACCCTTTAGAAAATCCCCACTGAGGCACTGGCCCGGCAATGGTCCTGTCTATTTGAAGTTTGCGGCTGGAGATGTCGTTTCCGACTGTGAGTGCGGCGACATAGTCGAGGGCTACTTCTTTGGTGACGTTTTTCGCGTCTTTGCCGATGACGAGACACTAGTTTTTTTTTCTTTCTTAGTAATGTGAACCAAGATGTAAACGAGGGTATGAAAAGTCAAAGAAGACATACTAGTTCTCCCTCATAATCAGCTTGCTCATCTTGTGCTATCTTGGGAATTACCACGTTGCAATCATGGTCTGTAATTGTTGTGTTTGGCTTGAAGAAGATCGATGGTGTGGGCGGAGGTGAACGGCCGGTTTCTTGAACTTTACTGTATGGTTAGAGCCGTTAGAACTCAATGCAGAGAGAATCCATATCTTACTATGTGTTTTGTAGTTCAAGCCGACACAACGCAAGATGGGCACATCTTCCTGGGTCAGAGGTCCTAGCAGTTTCTGGACAGTGACTACTTCGTCCGTAATTCTTGTGGCACCCGTTTCATCGTAAATATCGGATCCAACAATTACTTTAGCTTGTAGTTTGATTTCAGCTGTTGTTGTTCCCAGGTCGAAGTCTGGGGAAAGAAGTATAGGCTCTCCATATAGGGTTCGCCCATCAGTGGCGACGAATCTGATCAATCGTTCCCAAACAACCTTCATTTTGAGCAAAATTAACTAGAATAATGAAAAGTGGTCATTTGTTTTTCTATATCTAAGTTATGGTGGCTTACTTCCCTTTTTTCTTATATCCTTCAAAGCTAATTCCGCATCAATTGTACCGCGGAACAAAAGCGGAGAAAGTAGATGCGCCGCAATACCATCGCGGCATATCTCCCACTCCGTCTGTATATTCTAGCCTTGTACATCTGGGGGGTATCATTTACTATTTGTAGACAGGGATTTTCCCCAGAAAAATAGATGAATGATGCAGCTTCCCCATCTCCAGATTTTCCCCGCTAGTCCTTTCCCCAGATTTTCATTTTAGGCCGGTCCTTCGGCCCCTTATTATCCATCATGACTGCAATCGAGCACGTAACCACCGAGGGAATGGTCAACGCCGGGATTAAAACTGCTCTCTCGACCACGGATAGTGATCATATCGAAGATGCTCAGTCTCCGGAGAAGAGAGAGATTTTCGATAACGGCGACTCGGAAGACCCTCTGGATCCTCGTAACTGGCCTCAATGGAAGGTAAGTCACCGAGATCTTTGAACGGCGTTCAATTTGTTAACAAGGCTCTGCAGAAAGATGTCAATCTGGCATTAATTTCCTTTCATGCTCTCATGACTAACTTTATCGGAGCTGGTATCATCCCAGTATACCTGACATTTGCTCAGATGTTCAATCTTTCCGTGCAAAGCATCAGCTACTTGACTTCTATCCACGTGCGTTCTCTTCTGCCCATTCAGGGGAGCCAAGTGCTAACAAAGAATAGATTTTGTTTACCGGACTCGTCCCTTTTGTTCTTGTGCCATGGTCGAATCGATTCGGTCGTCGACCGGTATGGCTTGCTTCCACCTTGCTCACGGCCGTCTGTAACATTGGGTGTGCCAAAAGCTCCAACTACGCGGAAATGATGGTCTGTCGAATCCTCGGAAGTGTCTTTCTCAGCTCCCCGATTGCTCTCGGTCCACCAGTCGTGGTAGAAATGTATCATGAGCATGAACGCGGCATTAAAATTAGTATTTGGACGTATGGTTTTAGAGAAATTAAAGAGTGGATATACCATGCTGACGTTTGTTTCGATAACCAGTGCCATCGTCACCCTCGGCCCACCCCTCGGTCCCTTCGTCATGGGGTTCGTCGCTCAAAGAGCAGGGTGGGAATGGATTTACTGGATTTCCGCCATCACCAGCGGGGTAGAATTCGTCCTGTATGCAATTTTCAGCCCGGAAACTCGCTACATCAGACAGCCAGGTTCCTCCTTTGGCAGTGATAAGAAACCTACCACAAAACAAGAATACTTTTCCTTCCACCGCATCGATCCTACCCCGATGACAGTCGCGGAATTCATCCACCCTTTCAAAATGGTCAAGTACATGACCATTCTCATTCCAATCTATGCGCATACATCAATCTTCAATCTTTCTGCGGCTATGTTAACCGTTGAAATCCCTCAACTATTCGCGATACGGTTCGGATTCAATGCTCAGCAAATCGGATTACAGTTTATAGGCATCATTGTCGGAACGATGGTGGGAGAGGTATTTAACGCTGTTGTGTTGAGCTGGTTACATCGAAGAGTTCAACAGCGTCAGCTTCAGCAGGGGGATAGCAGAAAGAAAGCAGCTAATCCTACTGAGTATCTGTTTTCCAGCTACTTGGGATTCTGCTGCATGATTGCAGGCTTGGTAATTTTCTGCATCTTGCTGGGAAACACAAAGCCCATGCATTATAACGTTGGTCCGATTATTGGTATCGGAATTGCGGCATTCGGGAATCAAATCGTTACGAGCTTTTTGATCAACTGTGAGTGGTTTCCCAGACTCTCAGCAGTAGCCCTATGCCCTATCAAAAAAAAATGACAATGCTGACAATGATCTCGTGATCTAGATATAATCCAGATGCATACCGAACATGCCGCATCCATCTCGATTATATTGGGCTTTATTCGACAGACATGGTGCTTCATAGGTCCGTTTTGGTTCCCGCCAATGTTTGAGAACCTGGGATTCGAAGGCTCGGCGGGATTATTGGTTGGTTTGGTGGTCGCTAGTGTTTTGCCGTTGATCTGGATGCATTGGGTGTATGGGCGTAGATGATCGCGTGCTCATATGAGTAAGGTAGTGTTGATAGCCTTCAGAGTATTCACTTTCATTTGTTTCTCCCAAATAGATCATCCTACACCAGGTCTTTTTTGTAGCCTTCAGGACAGATCACTCAATGGAGAGTATGTAAAGTGGCTTTTGAAGAGTGGACGTTTTAAGACATTTTGATAGTCAGGGGCTTCCCCACGATTTTTCTTCGACCAATCACAGGCAGCTTGCCACGCACTAGTCCTTTTAAGGGAGTATGATTATCAACTCTTTTGATCCCTGCCTTGAGCTTTCTTTCTCTCCAGCAAACTACAGCTTCTTACTTTTCATTCATAAGCATATTACAAAGACCTGGCCTCCTTCTTTTACGGCCAGGTAAAACGTTAATACAGGGTTATTCTCTGTAGATGTTGACGTCCCATCTCAATATTCGATCCTGTTTGTTGATGTCATTCCATTCCTTACGTGTATCACTGTCGTGTATCACTGTCGCGACCGCTCATTCTCATCCAGGACTCGCCCGTCGCTCTGATTTGTACTGTTACCGCGACTGAGAAACCAGTGTGATCTCTACAATCCAATGACGCCAATTCCATCGTACTTCCATCTATAAAACTCATGTACCATGCCTGTCGTGCGCAAAAGACTGGTCATACCCGCCTTTATCTTGACAGTCTTCATATACCTGTTCTTCGACAGCATCGAATACGAAGACTATCCATCACCACCTTCACCTCCACCTGATTTGCGCACAGATGCACCTACCGAAGAACCGGTGCATTGGCACAAAATACCCGAGCATTACCCTGTGAAAGAGTTCATCGAATTACCGGGCAGCGACACATCACACAAACCAATTCCTAAAATACAATATGACTTCCCCAAGGAGAAATCGTCAGACCGCCGGAAACGACTGGAAAGACAAGCCAGCGTCAAAGAAGCGTTTCTACATGCTTGGACAGGATACAAAACCCATGCCTGGTTGAAAGATGAAGTATCACCTATAACTGGTGGATACGTGAATAGTTTTTCGGGGTGGGCAGCGACCCTCGTGGATACACTCGATACTTTGTTGATTATGGGACTGGATCATGAGTTCAAACTTGCGCTGGAAGCGATTGAGCAGATTGATTTCAGTACAACTACGGATAAGAGTATTAATGTTTTCGAGACCACCATTCGTTATATGGGTGGATTTTTGGCCGCTTATGATTTGTCGGAAGGGAAATATCCCATTTTATTGCAGAAAGCTAAGGAAGTAGGAGATTTTGTTTACGGGGCGTTTGATACCCCCAATAGAATGCAGGTCTCTCGGTGGGATTGGAAGGTGTAGGTTCTGTCCGGCTGTTCTGTAGATTGGGTGGGGTGGTTACTGACGCTAACAGATCCCTTGCGGGAACCCCGATGCGTGCGTCGTCGCAAACCCTACTTGCAGAAGTAGGTTCGTTAAGTCTCGAGTTTACACGGCTAACTCAGCTGACGGGCGACCCAAAATATTACGACGCCATTCAACGTGTCTCTAATAACCTAGAAAAAAGCCAATCAAAGACCACGATCCCAGGATTATGGCCAATGGTTGTCGATCTAGAGAATCTCAGGTTCCAGGGCAGTCAATATACACTTGGAGGAATGGCAGATTCTACCTACGAATATCTCCCGAAAGAGCATCTCATGCTCGGTGGTAGTACCGATCAGTATCGGCGCATGTACGAGAAATCGATTGAGCCGATCAAGAAGAATCTTCTGTTTCGTCCAATGACGAAAGACGAACCAGACATCTTGTTCAGCGGCACGCGCAACGGCGGCACTCTAGAATATGAAGCACAACATCTGACTTGCTTCATTGGAGGCATGTTTGGTATTGGCGCAAAAATCTTTGATCGTCCAGAAGACCTGAAGACTGCCGAAAAATTGGTGGACGGGTGTATCTGGGCATATGATATTATGGCGACGGGATTGATGCCTGAAATCTTTAACATGATACCATGTGAGGATTTGGGCAAGTGTCCCTGGGATGAGAGAAAATGGATGGCAGCCGTAGCCAAAATGTCTCATGTTAATGCCCACGACGAGGAGACAATCCGCCAGTATATCAAAAATGCAGGTCTGGCTCCTGGTATGACGCGTGTTAGCGATAGTAGATACATCCTACGGTATGCCCTCCCTTTTATTGCTGCATTAGCCTCTGAAACTGACATTCAGCAGCCCCGAAGCCATCGAATCAGTCTATATCTTGTATCGCATCACAGGCGACAAGAAGTACCAAGAAGCCGCCTGGCGCATGTTCAACAGCATTGAGAAGATGACTCGAACGGATTTTGCGCATGCTAGTATCCGAGATGTCCGCTTCACCGATTCCAAGCAAGTAGATAAAATGGAGAGTTTTTGGTTGGCCGAAACACTCAAATACTTTTATCTTATCTTCTCGGAGCCGGGGTTGATCAGTTTGGATGATTATGTTTTGTAAGTTGATCTGCTTGGTGTTTAGGAAGTTGGAAAACTGACTTGTTCATTGGATTGTAGGAATACGGAGGCGCATCCGTTAAGACGTCCAAGGACATAATCACCCAAGATCTATAGCGTCTGGGTTATAGACGAGCAGTTACCGAGGCAGAAGACATGGATCCGAAAAGATGCGTACACAATAGAATGAAATTTGTCTTAAGAAGTTAAATTGTCAAGGCTGAGAGACATTCAGGGTTAATTGAACCGCTGATGCGTCTAGATCTGCCGATTCGGGTACAGCGCTTCCTTCATTCCTTTGGGATCGGCTGATCAGGCTAGATCACACCACCCTCTTCCGAGGAGCGAGGAGATTTCACCCTCTTTCCAATTCTTCACACGAAAAGCATCCGGATAAATTGAAAATTCCAATTTCTTCAATTATTTTCTTCAATCACCATGGGTATCAGAATTTCATACAATAATAGCGGCCAGTGCATCATGCAGAATGTTCTGTGTAACCCGGTTCCTTATCGTAATTCGGATCTGATTAGATAGCTTACTGCCCCACATTCTTCTCGATCGTAACAAATTGTCGTAAGTTTACGGTATTTGCCACTCTCGGGTCCGACTTCGGCTATGGATTAGGAGGTTACTCAGCGCTGGCTATGTACCACCACATAGTTATATAGACAGATATCCTCGTTGTTGAGGGATTCGTATTGCAGTCAGGCTAATTCATAGTGAAAAAGGGGCTATGGGAATGGCATTGAAGATAGACGAATGTGTAGAGCGATTACGTAGAATTGGTGTAATCGTACGGGGTCTCGTATTATTGTAGCGAGCTATGTATCGTCGGATACAGTGGAGGTACCTCACGCCACCCACTATGTAGATGTACCTACGTAGCATACGGGGTATGCATATGTACTCCGTCTGGGGAACTTGGTGTCTAAAGTGCTATATTCATCTAGAGAGCCAACAATTCGTCAATTGTATGGATACATGGTAATCCTGCTGTAACGTCGCTGTACAACGGTCAAGCGAAAACTCCCCGAAAAAGATTTATCAGATGGAAAATCTGTTTCTGATTCGTCAGAATCCGGGAATGTTTCTGCTCCACTTTCCGTCTTAATACGTCCATCGTCCCGATCCTTCCTTTTTCTTCCTTTTTATTTTGACACTTTTATCTACCACTACTTTCTTGTTTCGACTCTGACTATATTCGTTTATCGTCGACTCCTCGACTATCGAATCAATGTCTTAACGACCTCGTCAATTAATACTGATTACAACATCCGCATGGTCCTCGTTCGGTAACCATTCATCCAACGTGTACTTCTCCTCGGCAATCTCACCGCCCCTCCTCCTTGGTCCGTTTGCGCGTCGGCGACTTCTTCGGACAGTTCTCTTTGAGAGAGTGTCGTTCACTGTCCCTATTGCGAGTATGTTATTCTTGTTCTCGTCTTACTCGATTCTGGAATTATCGTTCTTGCTTGCTTCTTGGCCATTGCCCCGCATTGCCTCTGTGTGGCGATTGGCGACATCGGCATGTTTTTAGCATGCATAGTTAATTTATCAGCCCTTTGGAGAATGAACTGATGCTAAATGATTTCTTCCTTATGAATAGACCGCACATACAACATGCCGGCAGCAATTGCGCAGCACTCTCTCGCTACCAAAGCTGGCATACCCACCACCACGACGTCACACCCCGAGAACCCTATCCCTGAAGAACCTCAAAACATCCCACGTATATCCGATAGCCAGATAGGCTCAAACATAGTTCAGGACTCCCACTCGACTGCTTCTAACCAGTCGGTTACCGGGTTGTCGGAAACTGATTCGGATACCGCCGAAACTCCAACGACGGAGCATTCCGACAATGGCAATGGTAGCCGTTTTGATGATGCAGCCCTAAAGAAATCACAAGGAACAACGAGGGCACGTCGTGCTTCGACTGCCTTAATATCAGAAAGCTCTGAAGATGTGCAGAGGATACTCGGTAATATCGGTGCTGGTGGAACGCAGTTAGTTGAAAAGGTTTGCTGTGGTGGCGGCTGCTGTCTTTCTCAGCCACTGCCGAGGTCTGAGGAGGTTGTTTTGAATCCAATCAGAACACCAGATAACCATGCGTATCGCAGTTTGAATTTGAAAATCCGCACACTCGCCCTGGACAGTGTATTGACCAACATTGTACCTCTTCCGGAAAAGACCGTCTCGTTTGGCCGTGTTTCGTCCGGCCTTGTGGACGTCAAACTGGGCCCAACAGACCATCCTCCGAAATTCGTTCAGCCTCACCCTCCATATGAGGTCTTTCGTGCACCGCTGCACCATGCCCGAGAGCTCACAAAACCCGGCGCTGAGAAGCGCACATATCATTTCGACATTGACGTCACTGATTACCCTGTTGAAGGTGGAGATGTGGATTTTGTTGTCGGTGGTGCTATTGGAGTCTGCCCTATGAATAGCGATGAGGCAGTGGACAGCGTCTTCAATTGTCTAGGCATTCCGAAGCCCATTCGAGACAAGAAATTAATGGTCCGCACCGCTGGTGGACGTTGGCCCACCATCTGGGGTGAGGAGCAACCTCGGGAGCTAGTCACCACACGCCGGGAGTTGCTCAAATGGTGTTCCGATATTCAAAGCTATCCTCCAACCAAGCAGCTACTGCGCGTCATGGCCGAATACGCCTCTGATCCTCATGAGAAGAAGATTCTTATGTTCCTCTGCTCTGCACAAGGACAGAGCGTTTTCTGCGACCTTCGAACTGGTGTGCATGTTTCGCTAGAACAACTCTTACAAGCCTTCCCTTCCAGTCAACCGCCTCTCGACTACCTTCTCTCCGTCCTCGGGACGCTCATGCCACGTTTCTACTCTCTTTCACAAGACCCGACCATTTCATGTACCACCCAGGGCGAAAAATGCCGACGCCTCATCGAGATCGCTGTAACTGTTCACGAAAGCAACGATTGGAAACGCGGAACAAGGACCGGCGTTAGCTCCGGCTTCCTACAAAGACTAGCCGATCAAGTAATTGCCGCGGAGCAACAAGGCATTGATCCCAAAACTCTTGGTATCCACGTCCCAATGTTTCGCGGTCTCATGGCCAACCCTCTTGCTCGCGAATTCGTCCTCGACGGACCCATGCTCCTGATCGGTGCTGGTGTCGGTATCGCTCCATTCCGTGGCTTTGTTCAACGACGACTCAAATCAGCCAACTGCGCCAACAAAGTGTGGGTTCTCCAGGGTATCCGCGATTCACTACTCGATGAATTATACAGCGGCGAATGGGGCGTTCACGAAGAACAAGTGAAGAAAGTTGTCCAAAGCCGTAGAGGCGAAAGTCGTTACGTTCAAGAAGAAGTTCGCCATCAGGCTGATCTGGTATGGTTCGTAATTAATGCACTTGATGGCCGAGTTTTCGTCTGCGGTAGTAGCAAAGGGATGGGTGAAGGGGTAGAGGAAGCTTTGATTGATGTTGCAATGGCTAAAGGGAATTTGAATCGGGAGCAAGCAAAGGAATTCTGGGGACGAAAGAAGGAAGCTGGCCAATATATTGCTGTAAGTTTCCCACACCTTGACTTTCGAATAAAGTCTGATTCTTAACAGGAAACGTGGTGACCTCTCTCCCGCTTTTTCAGCCCGTCATTGTACATTTACATCATACATTGTGGAGGAACATTTTGCTTGACCTAATACATAACAATCAGCGTTGACTTTGGCATTTTCTTTTTCCCTTCTCTTTAAGCCCCAGCAGCAAAGAAGGATAGCATTTATGCATGCAATTCATTCTGATCTATGGCTGTTTCGCTGTTCCTGTTCATAGTGTATATTTGAGAGGCGTTTGGGACAGCATGTTCTGTTTTTATTTGATTATTTAGAGTCATGCTAGAGAATAGGGTGTGTTGATTCATACATACCATTCATATATACATAGTGAATATATTTACGCCACGACTCGCGGCGGTTTTCTGTTTAATGGTATACCTATTTTGTACTATTATTACTCCTGGATTTCTTGCTTCTGGTTAGGTGCTTAGCGATCACAATTTTGAATTGGTTTCGAGTATGCTTTCTGCGAGTCTTTTAACTTCGTAAGTGTGTAACGATAGTTTCAGGACGTAATTTTTATCTGGCATAGAGAGTAACTTACCCTAGGTATAAATTGATATTGCTGCATCGATACATGAGGTAGTTTACTTAGGGGAGGAAGATAGGGTTTAGTATGTCAGATGACCACCATATATGATGCTACTAGTGTTGGGTAAAAAAGGATCTCAATTTCGAAATTTGAACGTATGGAATTGAAATTTTGAAAATCTTTTGGTTGTTTGAAAATAAAAATTGCCATATAAATTTAGGGCGCCTTGGCATATATGGAAATTCCAAAAAGCCCTAATTTTTCTGCATTCCAAAATTTACTGTGCATATCTGTGGCCGCTTTGGGAAGGAACACAGAAATGTGATTGGTCGTATCTAATTCCTAAGCATTCCTCTCGATGCGTTAAAAATTGAATGAAAATTTCAAGGTCAGGTTGAAATACGATGAAATTTCTCCACGCTACTCTTGAAAATTTCCTATCCCTAGAACAGCCTCGGCTGCTTAGTCACAAGCTCGTAACACAACCTAACGTACTACACGGGCCATTCGGTCAACCCCATCAATTCTCCGCCGCCGCCGGCCAATATTTAATAGTTTTCATGAAAAACCCCATATAAGATTAATTAGCTAATTAACTAGTGCGATTAGGACATTGCCTTCGATTATAAAAAGCGTGCGGAGCGAAGAATTGATGAGGTTGACCGAATGACCCGTGTAGTACGTTAACCCGAATAGATAAGCTTGAGCAGCGCGCAAAGCTAACTGTAATAGTTAGCATTGCGCCCTGCCATAACATAGAACGCTGGGAGTAGAAAACATCCATCAGGTATAAGTATGGGTAATGATGTTTTTCCTCTTGATGGATTTCGTCTTTTTCAACTCTTCATGGCTCTTTTCTTTCTCTCACAGCTATGTGGAGCATCGTACGCGACTCCGGCTACGGGCAATGTCTACGTCTAGTCACTCGGAGGAAGCTTGCTAGATACCCAGAGGAAGAGCCTGACTTCCAAATACCGGTCGACCATCTCAAGCCCTCTCAACAGAGCCAGTCAGCTGCATCATCAAAGGCAGAATCAAATGAAGACGTCGAAACAGGCAATAACAAAGACCAATGTTTTCGTGGTCGGCTGGTACGGCGACAATGGTCCCGACAACCCTTACAACTGGTCATTCGGAAAAAAGCTCTGGGTTGCCATGTTGCTGTTTGTGTACACATTCTCTGTCTACATTACTTCGTCCTTGTACACCTCCAGCACCCCTGATATCATGGAGATCTTTGGGTTGGGCAACATTGTGGCTTCTCTGGGATTGACCATGTATGTTCTGGGATATGGGCTAGGCCCGATGCTTTTCTCGCCTCTGTCAGAGATTCCGGCAGTGGGACGGACATTCCCATATGTTACAACCTATTTCGTTTTCGTCATTCTTTACATCCCAATGGCGTTGGTCAATAACATTGCCGGCATACTGGTGCTACGTTTCCTGCTTGGGTTCTTTGGATCTCCCTGTCTCGCAACAGCTGGGGCTAGCTACGGCGACTTCTACGGCGCGACTCAGATGCCATACGTGATTGTATTATGGGGTGGAGGAGCGACTCTGGGCCCAGTATGTTCCAAATATTCTGAGTCAATGGGATCCTTGCTTACCATGCTTTCTGTCAGGCACTAGGCCCACTTGTCGCTGAATTCGCGGTTGAAAAAAATGGGCTGGTGCTGGAGCTCATGGGAAGCACTTTGGCTGTCCGCTCCAACAATGGTCGTAATGTTCCTCTCAATGCCCGAAACCTCAGCGGATAACATCCTCTACCGACGAGCACGACGCCTCCGCGCCCGAACTGGTCGCACTGACCTGAAGTCAGAATCCGAAATCCGTCAGGTGAAGATGAACCCCCGAGATATCACATTTAATGCCCTAATCAAACCCATGGGAAATCGACGCTCTTGACCCTGCGGTGCTCTTCTCTACCTTCTATACAGCCTTGACATACGGCATATACTACTCCTTTTTCGAGTCTTTCCCACTTGTCTACGGCGAAATGTACGGTTTCAACCTCGGTGAACAGGGTCTTGCATTTCTTGCCGTACTTTGCGGCCTCGTTGCCGCAGTAGTGCTACTATGCTGTTACTTTTACTTCATCGCACCCCGCCAACTTGGCAAATATGACCCCGTCCCACCAGAAGCTCGCATATGGCCGGGCCTCTTCGCAACCTGGCTCATTCCAATCGGTCAATATATCTTCGGTACGTTCCTCTCTCCATATTCATCACAATCTTAACTAATGGATCATCAATCCAGCGTGGACGGCAGACCCCGGTATCCACTGGATTGTCTGCCTCTTCGGTATCGCCATCAGTATGTGCGGTGTTTTCATCATCACCCAGTGCATGTTCATTTACCTCCCATTTACGTATCCTCGATACTCCGGATCACTCTTTGCCGCGAACGGTTTCGCACGCAGTTTGTTGGCTGGTGCGTCTATTCTATTTACCCGACCTATGTTCGACGGGATTAAGGTCTCTGGTGGGGCCACGTTGCTGGCTAGTTTTAGTGTCCTTTGTAGCTTGGGCTTTTACGTCCTGTATTATTATGGTGCGCGATTAAGAGAGCAGAGTCGGTTCACTGGGATGTAGTCGACTAAGACAGAGTGTTTGCTGATATGCGGAGGATGGTCTGGGCTTCGCTTTCTTTTTTATGCCTAACTGATTCTGTAGTAGAAATAGCCGATGGTAGATCGTTGGACACGATGACATTCGAGACGATAAGTTGTCCTTATTTATGTAGGTCAAGTCTCATACAGAAAGAGTAGTGGGTTGATCTATTCTTTCTTTATTGTTTAGTAGTACGTATGTGCTAGCTCTTCTATCATTCTGTTACCTGCTCCTCAATTCGCCTTTCCATTCCCCGGCCAATTGCCCCTGACAGTTCTTCCTAGATCACTCCTTTCATCGTCCCACAATATGAAGTCACTCATTCCCTCGGTATTACTCCTCCTTCATGCGCTAGTTTTTACTACAGCAGCATTATCTTCCGTCGTAACTGTTACCGCCCAATCTCGCAAGACAATTACTGAAACCGCCGCGATCACATTAACTATCACTACCACGACGGGACATGATGCTCTACGGCACTGAGGATCGCGTCCGTTCCTGCACAAACCCAGTATGGTCTTCTGGCGACCACTACTATCGAGGAATATGCGGCTCCGCATCACTCAGCGGCGCTACCACAATTCGCGCATTGTCAATTTGCTTTCTGCTGTAAGTACTATAATCCCGCTGCAACATATTCAGGGGCTAACATGTGGACCATAGGTGCTACAACTCAATATTATCTTGTTCGTGGTACTTGTGACCATTACAGATTGTGTTTCCTAGCTTCTGCAGACTAGCAGGACACTGAGCGTATGTAGTTATGGCAATAACACTACCACATTCGCAGCCAGCCATGCCCGCAGCGTCCAGGAACGAAAGGAGACTGGAAATCTTACCCTAGGTCGCTTAGTGTCGCGGCGACAGAGTCGACAGGGCACCAGGATAGATTCTACATAAGGGAAAAAAGAGTTAGCCAGGAGATGTCTCTTGTAAAATCGAGCATATGGGGGCAAAGAAATTGAGACATAATGGATTATGTCGTACCCCTTCAAGCTGTGGGAGTACATGCAGTGTCTGCGATGACTTAAGCATGACCGCCAGGTGCTCGACAGGACACCAGTATCCGCTGGTGTTCGATCCGGAGATTTGCCCGATACGCACGGCCATGGCGCGGAAGAGAGACGGGAACCGATGAAGAGCTTCATCAAGCATGTACTCGCATACAAGCTTTGCCTCGCTATATCCCATGATGTTGAATGCCGTATATCCTGGTAAAACAGTCAACGTTCATAGCAATCATCAACCACAATCATTTTGATTCTGTTTAGAAGATGCAGCTCCGCACTCCCGCTTCTCAATCGGCTGTAGGAGCATCCCCGCCCAAATTAGGACATGCTCTTCTGCCATCTCCTGAAATGGGAGAATGGCGTAGCCCTGACAATAATTAGATGTTCTGTTTACAGTTGCATGTACCTGGGATCCATTTACCTTGGACATCAGTGTTCCCTGCCCAATCTCCATGTACTGCCCAATCCAGGCCAGACAGCTTTTCACATAGCTTTGCATCGGAGGATGTAGAATTGAACTGGTTGATAGCACATAGAGTGGATGTAATAGCAGTAACCCGCCGACGGAGCGGCCGATTCTGGGTGTTCCCTTCTGTGAGGTAATTGTCCTTAAGTAATCGCGCAGATTACTGGTAAGATGGTATGGTACTGACGCAACAATATCATCTGCCAGCAGTCGGGCTTCGTGCGTCCAATTTGTTATTGTGTCTGCATGGTTGACCGGATTGATGTGGCTCGCGGTACGGATGAGGGCCTCTAGCAACATAAGGTATGTCTTCCGGTATGTGTTCATCACGGCTGCAACATAGACGTCAAAGTAGGAATGCACCGCTCCATGCCAACAGAAGGGACAAGACGAAGCTTGAGCCTCCGCCTCGGTGACATAGCCAATTGTATTGGCCTGCCACGACGTGTCTAGATTTGTATCCCACTGCGAGAAAGCATACTCTTTCCTAAGGGCTTTCGCGAAGGTCTCCTGCAGATCGGTAGGTGGAGTCTGTGGATTCTGTAGTTGTGTATTCACACGCTCGAAGAGTGAATGACACTCTATTAAGATTTGACCCAGGTTACGCACTGTATTATTTGAGGCGGGCGCACATAGAACGCCCGCGGTATGGTCGTTCTGTGTTCTACCATTAGTATGGGACGGGGTAAATATGGAGCCTGGTAGCTTTCCGAACCTGTAGGGCACCTCTGGCGAGCAAAGGGCTCGCGACTTGGAATAGTTGTGTGCTCGACCGCAGATCGAAAGGCGAGCTATCACTCAGTAGAAGAGCATAAACCCCTCGTACATGGGCAACGTGTTGCTGTTGTTCCGGAAGCAGATCGGCGCTGCTCACAATCTCGTACATACCGAGTAATATGACAATCACCAGTGCTTCCACTGTTGGTGAATGGAGTTGACAGGATAGTAGTAAGACCTGGAATGACTGCAACAAGGTGATGTACTGTTTCCTTGCTTTGACTAGTAAGTCAGGCCAAGAGAACTGATTACCCAGGCTAGCCCAAGCAACTATCTCGACCGCTTGCACGAGGTCTGTGTATGGCTCGGCGTTGGCTAGGAGGGAGGGTAGGCCATGCAAGAATCCGCGCGAGATCCTCGTATCGGTTGTGCGGACTACATACTGGTCAAGAAAAAATCTAACTGCATGGTCTGTAGTATATATCTCGCTTATTGGGGGCAATGGGGTTTGCACTGGCGCGTTTACTGGAGCAGCATGGTAACGAAAATGCAATTGGTCCTCGCTCCGGTAACCAAGGCAAACACGGCCGGCTTTAGCACAACGGCTACATGTCTATTATAAAACGCGTTAGTATGCGGCAGAGAGAAAGCCCGACATTATAGCGAATACTAGCTGTCTTACTTACTGGACGGCCCTCGTCATACTGTCACAGGCAATTAGCTTTGAGACACATGATTTTGCTGACAAACTCGGGGATTACCGAGATGTACCTTTTTTCGCCGCTTCCTACAGGTCTCACAGGCACGCGAAACACCGTAATTCACCATTGTTCATATGCTACTGCTGATGACTATGGATGAAGATATATCCGTGTTTGGCATCAATTTGCGGTCTGAAAATGTCAGCGTGCTACATGCGTGGATCTCCCTCCGGCGCAGATTAACTATGCTCCGAGAGTCACGTGACATTCGTAAAAGGGTCAGCGTTGCTGTAGTTAGTTTAGATAGCCAATAACAACAACTAACTAACTACTTCCTCCATGAAACCGAAGCCTTTCGCCGGGGAGGAAAGATAAGTTGAACCGAGAAATGGTCCGACAGACATAAAACAAATCTGTAACGGGCGTTTCCTGCAAGTTATGCTAACCTGGAACGAACGCTCAGATAGCTCAATTATTTCAAATTAAAAACGCTGGATAAGTGTCAAAGCCCACTGGCAAAATGAGTCTTGGCTACTTATGTACTAGACGCTTGATTTTCTCTCAACATGACAAAACTCAGCTGAACTGAGATCGGAGAGAATTTCCGGGAGCATATTAAATGAACATTTCCCCTTTTCGGCCGAATACTCCATACAAAATGTCATCATTCAGAAACCTAATCGGCCACATGCCAGATCTCGCTTGTAAAGTATCTTTTCGATTTTTTTGCACCCACTCAAGACTGGATCTGTATCTTTTTCACCCAAATTGGGCAATTTACATACTTCCGTACGAACCTTACGCTCAGAAAACTCTATATAACTCGTACCGAGTTAACTGATTTGGTACATAAACCGTGGTGAAGATCGAAAAAATCGGGGATTGTCAAAAACCTCTAAAAAACTTTGTACGATACTAATGCCTGTCTGAAGCCTAGCGAGTTATTAATGGATACCCCTGATCTAACCCCTATTTTGACTATGCATAGCCCGTAGAACATCCAAGGCTCGGCTAGGATGTTCTTTAGCCCTAAGATTGTGTCAAACCCCGAAATCAATAAAGTTACAAGACATGCTAACTACGTAGATAGTGCATCTCAATACTACGTAGCAGAGAGAACGTAGAAAATGACAGCCCCGCAGAATCCACATCATGTGGCAAAATTCCACATTTAACCCCTTAAGCACTTAACTCCGTAATATTCTGGCGAAAGTTTAGTTTCAACTGGAAAATCTCAGGTTTGACGTACGTGTTTAAAACTCGACAAAACAATACCATTGAATACAAGCGGGGACCAGGCTGAATCAGTGCAATAGAGATAAAAGCGAGAAACACTACTGTATCCACGATGTGCATACACTACGTAGTTAGGCGATAGTAGGCTGTATTATGATCTACGTATTAGGTAAGTCCAACTACGTAACATAACTAAGTTAGTGATAATGAAGATACAAAGTTATCTAAGATTTGGGGAGATCGGACGAATTACTGCGGCTAGCATCGTTAAATGCTTCGTTGAGTTTTAGTTCTTGTTTCTCTAGTCGAACATTAAGTATCCTAACATGGTAAGAATATGTATGGCTATTATTCTGAAGTTTGCAACAGGTATGACATCAATACGAAATGCAGGACAGAAATGGACAGGGTATCATCTCGATCAGACCTCAACAGACAACCTTGAAAAGCAAGCAGAGAAAAGCAATGCGCCGGATCCACGCAAATAGAGCATAGCATATAGGTGCAGGGGACGTTTAGGAAGACGATATAATTTGATAGACAGGTAGAGAAAAGAAACCAGCAGCCCGCTCGTCGTGTGGGCTAGTTAGAAGTATTAAATATGTAATATCGTGTAATTTTGTGATAGCTGGAACCTTCCCATTGAAAGACTCCGTTGTATGTATAGAGGACCATCCTCATCAATGCCTCGAATGAGGTGGTGACATTGATGCTTCGACATCACTCATCGGCGAATGTCCTCGTGAGAGATGCTCTCCATCGCTGTTTCGAAGCTGATTCCGAAGTGCAGGTAATTGTCGTCTTCGGGCATTGATGAACCAGTTACTGATCTATAGACAAACATGTCAGAAAGATTATGAAGATAAAATAGAGAACGGATAGACAAACCTGACTCATAGTCAAATTCGTTTCATTCATAAATCTCTGTTTATCCTCCTCTGTGGGGTATGGATGATCCAAATGTTCATGAAACCACGCACGCAAAACATCCGTAACGTTTTTCGGCAGGTTGCCTCTTCTCCTTTTACCGCGCGAGTCGAGTAGATCATTGGCACCACCACCGCCGCCACCCATTGCACCGAAACTCGTCGACGAAGCGGGTAGCGTATGACTGTGTCCGCTCATAGGTGAAGGGTAATCATAATCAGCACTCTGTCCAGAGTGGTTACTGCTCGGATACGAGGATCCCATGTATGGCTGTTGAGCGGCATAGCGGGCTGGATCGTATGCGTTCTGATTATCGTACATGGCTGTACCAGAGGCTGATCGATATCTCCGGTCATCTTCCGTGCTTCCTCGCGATGAAATATATCCCCTTCCTGAGCTTGATCCAGATCGGCTGGATGCATCATCGTAGGAGCTCATCGGACGGCCACGGTGGTGACGGCTCGAAGATTGTAGATTTCTTAAAGGAGGTAATAGCTGATTTGGTCTACCTCGTCCGCTGGATCCTGTTGTTGATGATGAATGCGGGTATGGAAGTGGAGATATTGATTTGTTGTAAGAAGAAGGATCTGGTGTACGATGGCGATCTGTGGACTGAGATTGCGAGGAATAGTATGCCGCTTGATCTATTTCTTTATGAAGATGTTCTGGTAGGAGCTGGGAGTCACGTCAGTAAGTTAGGACTCTCCGAGAAATTGCATGGCTTAACGCACTTCACGAAAAGACGGAAGAGTCTGACTGCCAGGCGCAGGATATCCACCGGTATAAGTAAGAGCCATATCGTTGTTCTCTTTGCGATGATTTCTATCTGATCCTCGTCCGGGTGGTTGAGACATGCGGATTGACCAATTCCTGGCTCAGCGTTTCTCCCCTGCTTCTTCCTTATAATTCGATTGATTGTTTCACTTCACTTCAGTTTCTGCCTCTCGCCTCTATAGTCGGTTTGTGTTTGAATAGTCCGTCAATTCGTTGAGTCGCACTTCGTTAAATATTCGTAATTTCGTTTGTGTTTCCTCCCAATAAACGCATCAATTTCGAGGTAACAATTGACCCATGCCCAATTCCAGTTCAAATATATCCAATTCCAGATTGCTAGTTGAACTCGGTCGTGTAGATAGGTCGTATGAAGAATTGTCGGTATAGTTATTATCGAAGCCCGGTAAACCTTTTTCGTGATCTGCCGGAGTGGGTAAAGAGTATAATAAAACAAGATATAAAAAAATAAAGAAGAGAAGATAACAAAGCCGATCCAAATATGTATCTAAAACAAGAAAAAGAACCCCCAAAAAAAAGAAGACGTCCTGAATTCGGTTGCCGTAAGCTCAACAATGTCAAGAAGCCTACAACCCGCAAGACGAACCGGGATATGATTATTAGAACAAAGTTAGGCCAGAAAAAGCGAGGATCTGAGAAATGAGAATGTAGAATTCCAATATAACGAAAAAATAAAACCAGGAAGAGAGGGAAGGAGGAACCAGATCAGAGATGCAGATGAGATCCGGGGAGCAGGGCTCTACTTTAATAAGAATTTAGGCTTTACTTCTTTTTCCATTTTAGACCGTGACAGTGATGACCTCAAGTAGGTTAGATCTGATTATCCAATCCTAAACCTACATATCCGTACATCGTGCCCGTATTTACTTACAAGATGTATGTATGTGTATAGTGTCATACATAAGGGAAAACTAGCTCGGTCTAACCAAAACGACCAAAAACCCCATACCGTAAAAAACCTAAGATTTTTATGGAGCCCTTGATCCCCTGTCTCGTCCTGTAAACGTAAAGACAAGAGATGCTGGTTTGACTGGGTCCAAAAATTCCGATACTTTGGTGGCTTCCACCCCCTCCCTCCAGGACTAGTTTGAAGACGCTAGCTCCTGTAAATTCCCAAAGTCAAAAATTAATTCGTGATTTCTTCGGTTCACGGAAAAAGAACTTGACAGATTAGACAGCTCGTTCCTATGTAAGATATTACTTATTTAGTACTGGTTGGCTTAAAGAGGCCCAAGAGTGGAGGATGACGGCTGAATCAAGGTTATGCAAGGCGATGGCCTTAAAAATCCCACCCATAAGAGTGACTTGATATTATTATGGGGCCCTGTTGGACCCAAACTCTTTTTTCCTTTTTCTTTCTTTTTTTGGGTATTGTTCTTTTTTCTTTTTTTTTCGTTCTTTGGTTGTTCCTTGGAACCGAGGAGAGTGTTCTAAGGAATGTACTGCGGAGACCGGTAAGTGGCTCTCTGGAATTGATTGTTGTACTTGGCAGTGTTTTAACGATGTACTATGTAGTACTACTATAGTACATAGCTGACAGAAATTGTATTGCATTTGTCAACGACTGTCTCTGTTCCGTCGCGATCTGACGATGGATCAACCAGCGCTGTTATACATGGGATTGGCACCCACGATTTGAGTGGATTATGGAACCATGAGAGTGGATCAAGCCAGCTATCGTACGTGCAGGTCGCACTACCTAATCGGCTAATCCTAGTGGTAAGCTGTAACTAGAAAACGACGAGAGAATGAAAATCGAAAGAGATAGAGCGGCCGAATTTTGACCGGACAGATTTATTATTATGTTAGCTCTGAACTTTATTAACATCAAACTAGATCGACTTTGACTCCCGTTTTGTATGCAATACACAGACAGCTCTACGGAGTAAGCCGGCGTGCGTTTTTAACTTGTTATAGGGTTTTGGGTGTGCATAATAACTAGGAGAACTATCGTAACCGCCGGTGGAGCAGGTCAACGCGAACAGGCATGGTTGGATTTACTCGACATCTTTCCTGCAGTCAGAATTGGAATGACGATCGTGTTCAAGTTCCGCAACATTGTCTACTACGTAACTACACGTAGTACGAGAGTAAATGTTTAGAATGCAGGCGAAGAAATTGTCGAAATCTCCACCGGAAGAGGTTCCGTACGTCGCGTCCCGTTTGGGTTAGTGAGCCCTAATCTGCAGCATAATGAGCATATTAATAAGAAAAACTGTGTGCGCTAGACGACTACGTCCGCGGCGTAATCAGTATGTATCACAGTATCAAAAATTGAGACGAGAGATCGGCGGACTTCATCTGTCATGGAAAAGCTTATGAGCAGCCACAACATCTGACAGGCACCTCGAGATGCCGCGAATCCAGGCTTTCTTCCGTACTAGTTTATCAGATAATTGGACTAGGGACACATCCATGGTACCTGAAGGCACCAGGATAATCCGAATACAAGGCCGTTTTTCAAGCGGTACGTATATGCTACGGTTCTTCTGCTTGATCATGCACCCTGCATACTGCACATTCACTCCATTTTCTTACATACGTGCCGCAGTAGGATCGAAATGCATGCAAGTATCCTAAACTGGAGGGGGAAGAGATAGTCATACTAATGACTTCCGGTCCATCACCGAGACTGCGGAATGGAGAATTCCATACTCCGTGAAAGCCGTGGTCCGTACCATTAGTATTTAGACGGTTAGTGTCTTTCTATTCGGTTCCTCCGTGGACTGCACCAAGAAAATGACACACAGACATTTAAACCTAGATGAATTCGGATATAAACTCCGCTAATGCAACAATCGATTGATCTCAATTTCCGTGACGAGTCAGCACATTGCATTCGAATTGTTGGCATTGCCGAATTCTGCCTTCTGAGGGGTGATCAGTGAGCCAAATCCAGGGTTGCTCCATCCTCTTTTCGTACCTTGAGCATGGCGCTAGAAATTACTATGTAGTAATTAGTAAGGCAAGTGGGCTCGACCCATAACTTTGTTCAATGTCCTACTGTATACGAATGATCCACATCAAGACCCTGCTATACGAAAAAGCTTCGAATTCTGAAGATAAAGGGCTCAAGGGGCAACAGCAAGTCGGATTGCTGTGAACCCTATCGTAAGAACTGTTGAATATGGGAAGTATAACGGTGGTTGATGATTGGAGGCCGGTTGGTGCTGCATCTCCATATGTACGTCTAGTGCAGGATGCAATGCACCACCGCCAGCTGGCTTTGACCAGAAAATGAAAATTTCCAATTATAACTATTTTGCTATTATGCCTCTCAGGTAAACTATAGCAAGCTGCTCACTAAATTTCAGAATAGTTCATCTATATACTGCACAGATATCAAAACCTATGAATTAGTTAATATATTGTAATAATTCCATGAATCCACCCGAATATTCGCAAGTATTAATCAATTATTGACGCCTACGGTTAATTGATTGCATAGAGCCGAGGTTCAATGCCGAGGGAGAATATCATATTAGTGTCGAATGAAGATCCACCAGTAACTCGTACCAGCGAGGTAATAATCGGGCATATTAAGTCCACACTAAATTACTAGTCGAGCCAATCAAGTAGCTAGCTGTCTTTATTTATCGACTATTCAATAATTCTAGTGATGATTTGACTTTGATAGTGAGGGCATGTGCTGTCGAAAAAGACAGGGATGGACGCTCATAATCTGATACTACCAAGGTTAATTGATTGTGATTTGTGAGTCAAATCCCAGATTGTAACTATAAAAACTGTCATATCATACGGTATGATATATTTTTTAGTTATAATTGAGTATTATACTGACATTAGTTTATATTGTGATATAGGTAATTCCATATCCAACAGAATTGCAGTACTATAAACTACTGTAGCGAACAGGTGTTCGTGCATGTATGCTGAATAATCCGATCGATCTAAAAAATTATTAAGGAAAAAGTATCAACCAATCAGCGTTGCAAGAATTAAGCCTAAGTACCCACCTTCCTAAAACAGAAAACTGGGTGGAAAAGGAAGGTGCCAAGTTCCCACCTGCGCTCGCTCCTTCCTTTGTTCGTCGTCGAGTTCCTTCCTTTTGTCATAAGTTAGAAGAACGTCCTTACATAATCCCACCAACTAAATTAAGTTACAACAATCTTCTCCTTCAACATCCCGAGCTACGTTCGTTAGCGTCCATGCTACGTATTGTTCTGTCTGATGCATTTCATACACAGAAATGAGCGCCGAATAGGATGCATAATTCCATATGGGTCTGGACTCTTCCTGTCGATCGCGTATTTTGCTTACTCCTGCACGCCTCAAAAGTCAATGCGATAGGGCAAACCCAGGTTGCCACATTCCACGGAACGTTCCATCGAGTTTCCACCGGTTGCCCTACTTCTACCGGGGTTTCAAGATTATGGAAAATTCCAGAGAACTTTCGGTTTGAAGCTTGCTGTTTTTGTAGCAATGATTCATCGAAACATAGGTTGTCCCAGGGCCATGGGGCATTCTCCGGATCGCGGCATATATGTGATTCCATGGGTGGTCACGTCGGACCGCGAACAAAAGTGTCAGCCACATGCAACCCAATGAATTGGGTACCACGCCAGCTAGGCTATTGGCTAACTCGGGTGTGTGTGGTGTATGGCTGCCGCTAGTTAAATGTGGACCCTCGCGATTTTCAGATTTCTAGCCAGACTCTAATCCACTCGCCAACTACGTCACGCAAATGCCCACCCCTGTGAAAGAACTAGCCAAGATGAATGAGACTACGACAGGAGCTCAATCCATTTACGGCCGAGTCCCGAGGATATGGCACCAGGCATGGGGGCCAGGGGCAGCAGAGCGCTAAGATATGCTCTCTCCTTCGTGCTGCTACAGACTTTAGATGCCTGAGAGTACTCCCAGATTTAGGGAATCTTGAGGAACTTCGATGCGAAAGTTTGTCTGGGCAAAAGTTTAAACATGGTTCAGTCTTAACCTAACATGAAACCTACTCCAGACGAAGAAAGTTGTGGAAGTGGTGCGGCGGATGAAACATACTCATAGTGCGAATCGTACCCACCTCGCTTGAAGGACAATGTCAGAAAGGACACCGACAGCAGTCCGATCCAGTGGATACTCGAATAGCATTGATCGGCCGCACAGCGAATGAGCTGGTAGATCCTGGGTTCAGCGTACATCGGTAGGGGTTCTTGCGATATGTGCGGGGCAGACACGATGTACTAGTACAATCGGATTGACAGGCTGCCACCGATACTAGGCATGTATGTATAAAACTAGTCTTGTACCCGATGTTACGGAGTATTTGAGTCCTCGTTTGGCAGAGCCCCATCGGACTATTCTCGATGCAGATCGCAAAGTCTGTACGTCCTGTACAGTGTGCATCCGTCAGTGGTGATAAGAATCCAGGTTGAAACTTGACAGTCAGACATTGTGTGACGCCCGCAACACGGATCGAATCATCTAATCCTTATAGATGAGACTTTTCCATAGAACTTATTCCCTCCAATCTTTCAGTGGTCCACAGACCGAAACGCTACTTTCGATCTTCCCAACGAGGACAGTATGGGCTAAATTTCCGCATCTGGTATAGAACTAGACTCCATTTCATACATCCGATACGAGGTTCCCACGTTTCTAAATCGAGAATCGAACATCATAATTTCACTCACTCACGAGCTGCGGATGCCAAATCTTGGAAATATGTTTATCCTTGAGACTTTCGTACTGTGAACCTCCACTTGGTGATTCAGCTAGTACGTACGTACTTGACGTAGGGGGTTGTCCGGAATATCTCCAGCTGCGCCTCGTTGCCGCCAACTGGGTCGATTCGAGAGACGAATGTGGCAAGAGCTTTCGAGGTCGTACTGTAGGTAGATTGACCTGCAGTATGCTTAATCGTTCTTATTTTTACATGCTGTAGCACACGGTTATGTCCTACGTAGTACGAAGTGTGCAGTCGCTTTGCGTCGACGTCTCGAGTTCCGGTGTCTACCCAGATGCTCTAGAATGTATTTGAGTCCTTCGTCATGAAGTGTGCTATCCTATGATGTGGATTATTTAATTGGATACAATGAGATCTGTGGCTTGTATTAGTTGCAGAGCATATCCATACCAGCCACACGGAGACGCCAACATCTCTCCCCATATCGCCACAATACAATACGTATGCAAAGCAATAATATCGAGACTATAGCCAGCATACACAGCATCACCGCCACAATCCAGGATCTAACCACCTGCATAACCAAGATCGAGGTGCGATCAATATGTGGCTGCCTACATTCCGTTCAATATCAGGTTACATACCTCCCTTTAGAATTAGAGGGATTGGCATGTGGATAGTAGTGTCCTGTCATGTCATGTCATGTCATGTCATGCAAGATTTACTTTTTCACCTGTCAGATCTAACGTACATACTCAACGTACTCTGAACATCAGGTGGGTGGAGGAAGATACCTAGGTACACAATTATCATGTACGGTTACGTACATGCGCAGTTTTTGTTCCTTGCGTCGAACATATACATATATCCCTTTCTACGCGAGATATTCGGGGCCGAGTATTTTCCTGAATATCTACTATCTAGGAAGAATAGACATCGAGGAAGCGTTTTGGTAGTGAAGAGATGTATGCATAATCGAGGGTATTATACATTCAATCAACATCCATCGGGGCGATCGGTTAGGCAAGTTTGACGAGTCTGGAAGGCTTTAGTATATTCCTAAAGTTTATTAGTGGCCGTGGCTGGTTAGGCAATTGGCATTCCTTATTTTTAGTACCTGTTGGCACTATACTCTGTACCCAATTGAAGCATGAAATTTCAAGTTCATTCGTCTAAAACCGAACGATGTGTTAGGTAGATATCCCTGGAAGCGCTGTGTAGTTAGTTGCAGCATGTAACTCTAAAGGCTTCGCCTCTTCAGTGTACATCCTAGCCTTGCTGGAAGTATATTGATTTATATCTCATTCTTATCCAATGTTCAAAATTGCTCCTGCCCCAAAGTTTGCTTATCATGCTCTGCCAAAAAACCTCTATGGCAATTCTTTTGGGGCTCCCGATCGGGAAAATTAGGGGTTTGTTCTACCTTCCTATCTAGGTATTTCGTCAACAACGTCCTGAGAATCTGTGATGCATCGAACATCATATCGCGAAGCATACTCAGTATTGTCAGGTGTAAATAATATTGATGAAGTTACTAGAGAGTATACCGAGGTAAGTAACGCATGATCTTCATGGCGGGCCATGCAATGGGGCGTGACGCGATGCATCTGAAATTGTACCCTGGGTCCAGCTATATCAGTGAGTTGTTATACATATAATACTACCCTAGCTGCTAGTTACATGATCCATAGTACATACGTCGTGTGCACAGTCGTCGGTTTCATGCAATCTACCCATAGACATTGAAGAGACAATCTCTCCTCTCTGGTGAATGCCTTGTACAACATCGTTTAGCTCGTATACATCACCACCATGAGTATGCGCACGGCCTAATCATACCTAAGATATGATATCCAGTCCAATTCTCGGATATTGGGCTTAATATTTAAATCGAATTTACTTCGGTACGCTATCTGACTAGTATATAACATATGTCATGCATGTTACCGCGGTCATCTGAATCAATACATTGACCTGTATGTACCTAAATCTAGGATTTACAGGGTCAAACCAGGTTGTCGGGTCAATCTCTTCTCATTAGTTACAGAATACACAGTAGTATTTTGTTATACAAATACGTAACATACGTAGTATCAAGCTAATGAAGCATCTGCTGACATGCATGCTTCTTTTCTTTTCTCGGATTATTGATCCTTTCATCGATGATCTTCTCAATAAGGTAGATCGGGCTAATCGGGAAGATCTGCCTTTCGCTTAGTCGGAGTCGAAGAAAAAGAAAAGAGATGGGTAAAGTAAAGTTCTTACGGAAAACTGAAAGAAGAATGGCCGGTCTTAGGAATGTGAGTTATCATAAAAAAAAAAGAAAAACCTCGAGATCCATGTTATGGGTACGTGCACGATCTTACTTGGAAATTTGGGAAAATGTAGAGTGGCCAATTAGATCTATTTTCTTGTCTTTGTTTCTTTTTTCTCTTTTTCTGCATGGTTCGTGTGTCAGAAAGGTGCCTTGTGACCCCTTTACATGGGCTACTCAATGACTTGATCAAGATACATCTATACACATCGTGGCGAGACATTCGATGCAAGGATTAACGATGCCATATTCAGCAGAAAAGGTCAAGGCTCAGATGACAGAAAGAGATGTCAGCGCTTACCAATCGATGATTCATGTAACAATGTGAACAATATTTCCCTTTCACATACGATACGATGGAAAGCTGGTTTGGACCATCTCCCGACTGCGAATGATTTTATACATACATTCTCTAATATGGATTACAACATATAAGTACCTTATAATAACACTTTTCAATTAAGTATGGATCCTCGGTCCAGTTTTTGAGCATTCACTTTTCTTTTCGAAATCCTACATGGCACATTCTACAGCCACATTACACAGTTACTACATAACTGCTACATTGCAAGGCGAATGCTCTCTCCTTTATTTGTTTGTAGACATCAAGACCGAGCATCTCCGTTGAATGTATACCTGTTACCTTTGTATTATGTGGATTCTTCATTGCCGTACATGGCCTTGCCTGTCAAAGAGACAGGCACGTACGTGTTGTAAGCATGAGTCAGAACTCGGATTAGAACGAATCTTGTCAACTACCTGCTCGACCAAATATTTCCAAGGCGTACACAAATCAAACTACGTTTGTTCAATACCAATAACTGATATGTACTTTTAGCCTACTGCTAGTCCACCTGTCAAGGTGTCATGCGCTGTATGTGTCAGATAACGAGCTACTTTGTTCTCCATATCCTTTGTCCTAGGTATGTGACCACTATTGAAGATCAACAATCACAAGTGATCTTTGTGGCCTCTCCTAATCGAGCCATCGGAGTATATAAAGTCTATGGCACTGCCGATCTTCCAGATCCGAATAATAAAATATATCCTAGCGTTCACGTTGATCAAAAGCTCGCAAAGATTTTTCCTAGCTCCTAGCTCTTAGTGTCGATAGATGTCGTACCTGGATCCATATGCACAAAGGATATACTTGCGCTATAAAATACTCTAAGAAATACCTAAATATGCCACCTCGTGGGTTGGATAGAACTAGAAATATCATCTGACCGCCAAATCCATTATCTCGAAAATAAGTCAGCACTTTAATGCAAGTTTGATACTCTCCTACAGGGATATTCCCTGTATCATAACCCTGTCATGTCCGTGAAGCTAAGGTCTCAAAGAGGCCTGTTAGTATGGAGGTTACACATACACAACAGCTCAGAGCAAGGTGCTGGTTACACGAGGCATGTCAAAGAAAGACAAACAGGCTGCTCGGAAAGACATCCATGGAGAGTCTGTGAGCCACGGGCTTTGCGATATTCTGTGGTTGACCGTGATCAATTTGATATATTCATGCAATAATAGTCCATTAATGAATAATGAATGTCGAGTTTACGCTTCTTTGTTGTGATCTTGACCATCGAGGCAGATGTTATCTGAGTGCATATGCAATCTCCTCGGCTAAGTTGTGCACCGACAGTATGAGAACTATGTGCTGGTAAAGTGGACGATCTTAGAAAGATAACCGACAACTGTCCTTTTGGAGGGCGGCAAAAGCATGGGAATAAAGCCGTCGGTATTTGGAATTAGGGCTCCTTCGACTCTTGAGCGATCAAGCAAACAACTTCAATGACATTATGTAGGTGCTTTTGACATGTGTATTTCAACTCACATACGTGTAAAATTCTGTAAGTAGGTTATTAAATGGTACTTTGAGTTTGAAGACCTTCCTGAACTCGCCATCAAACAGTTATAGTATGCACCCAGATAGGGATATTAGACAATAATTCAACGGGGTGGCGTCTAGGTATTTCTTTTTAAAAGTATATCTTCCTGTATGAGTTCATATTTTTCTTTAACCACCATTTAAGTTTCATTAAAAAATAACTACTACTTTGGTATAGAATTGATATGATATGACACTAGGAGTTATCATGCCAAGTGCGAGTATACACATCTTTATATACACTATATTCAGCTATCAACATCGATGGATGCAGCGTAAACCGGGGTATTGGGTATGCCTTGATAAGCCCATCTAGCAAGGATGCCCATCCTTATTTAGCTTCGAGGCAGGGTACAACACACTCGGCAAGCCACTAGCCATTGGCACAGAGACATCACCACTGTCACTGACAGTAATGTTTGTGCAAGAAATCAACTCAGTAACCACAGTTCCGGCGGTATAGTTTGTTCCAGAAATTGCCAAGCTGTAAGAAGAGGCATCTGCGCCTGAGTTTGAAAGCACGGTGATGACTTGGCTACCGTTGGTTCCTTTGCGGATGGCGAGGTTGTTGGTATCTTGATAGATTGGATTGGCCTGGAAGGCATTCGTTAGAGATTGCATATCATCAATTAAAGAATACAGCACATACCTTGTATGTAGTATATCCCTTATCTAATTGGATAGCATAGTTCCGGATCTTATTGAGCTTTGCAATGAATTGATAAAGTTCAGCAGTCGTATCAAATCCGCTCAACCAAGTCGCTTCACGGTTGAGAGGAACACTGCCGCCACTGTAGTGCTGCTCCTGACCAGAATAAATAATGGGAATACCGTCCGACAAGATGGTAAAAGCAAGTGCATTCTTCGCCAACGCAAAGTCTGAAGTGTAGTTAGCGAATCGCGGGTTGTCGTGGTTCTCGACAAAGGTTCCCAATAGATTGGAATCGGCACAGTCGGATTTGACGGTGTTGATCATGTCGTACAAGTCCGAGATGCTACCGCTGCTGCTCTCAAAGGCACGCAAGAGAGGGAAATACATTGGGTAGTTGAGGACTCCGTCGAGGTAGTTCTGGTAAGGGCATGCAATAGCTGCGTCACCATTGAAAACTTCACCCACGCAGTAAACACCAGAGGCATTGTTCCAGGCAGGCCAGAAATCCTTTTGCACTTCTAGTGCCGAGTCAAGACGGAGACCGTCGACTGTACATATTATTAGCAACGGGACTTCTTGACAGATAGTTGAAAAGAGAACCGCTCACTGGAGTAGTTTGCAACCAATTCTGGGATCCAAGTGTACCACATGTTTTGCACATCGGTACTCTCCGTATCTAAGTCTGGAAGTGAGACAGTATTATCGCCTTCCCAGCATTGCTCCACCATGGTCAAGTTGTTGTAGTCTGTGATCTCGCAATAAGGATGGAAATAGTCCTGGCTATTGAAAGGATTGAAAACAGAGTAGTCCACGTCTGTGCCAGCGCCGGCGTAACCCTTAGATAATGAGTAAGTCTGTGACTGCTCACGAGCTTGAATACTTGCAGTAAACCTACCATATGGTTTGCCACGACATCAACCATGAGATACATATCACGATCATGGAGAGCCGAAGCCAATGCTTTCAAATCCGCGGCCGTACCATAGTTTGAATTGATGGAATTACTATCCCATTACAGTCAGTCACAACGCAATCCGTGATCTTAGGTTATGAGGCTTACATATCCTGTTGCCAGTATCCGTGATAGGACTCGCCATCCGCAGTGGACTGATTCAGCTGCTCAGTAACAGGAGTGATCCAAATGGCCGTGAAGCCCATGTTCTGGATATAATCCAACTGTGTGAAGTATCAGTTTTGCAGAGTACATAATAATTAGCTATGCTTGACATGCCTGGTTGATAATTCCTTGCCATGATCCTCCACAGTAATGCTGAATGAAGTCAGTTCACATGTACTGTCAAATACTTCCAGAACCTGGAACGTACTCCTAATTGAGCATCGCATTCTGCTGTTGTCGAATTGTCTGATCGAGCGAATCGATCAGTCAGAAGAAAATAAACAGACCTTGAGCGCCATTCATCTGGCGTTGCGGCTTTGACAACAGCCAAAAGACTTGCAACTGTGGCGCATGTGATGAAGGAAACTTTCATTGTAACAAACAATTTGTTTGAAACGAATGGAATATACGAACAAAGAAGGAAAATAGATTGTACCACGAAGCATAAAATTTTAGTATACCCAAACAAAACCTCGGATATCTATGCCCTCCGAAGAAAAAGAAAAGATTGACTCCTGGGAACGGTTCCACCCCTTCTCTTAAATGTTGAAACTTTTTCAAGTGGAAGTTCATAACTACACCATTGTTTTCAAAAAATCCGGATTTCATCCCCAAACGATCTGATTCAGTTGACCGAAACGACGAGACAGGTACTGGAATGTTATGGTAGCGGGGGCGGAGATGGCCTACGATAGCTGGGCGACGATCGTCAGGCGCTACTACTGAGTGTCATTGCATACCCATATAGCGCGAGGATGCATAGGCACAGTACATAGATAGAATTCTGAAAGTATCAAGGCTATCTAATGCATGCTAAATACATCGTCAGCACATCCCTACGGATTAATATCGGTATATCTAGCAAATGCTGTTTCTGGTCAAAGAGAATGAAACTGCTATTAGCATCTACATATGTTAATGCCTGTTGTTTCACCATGTATGCTAGTACTGGTCTGCCCCGAATTAAAGACTCAAACTGCCGAAGAATCCGAACAATCAAGTCTTCATACTAGTTAAGAAACGTTGCCCTACCGGGACATTTACTGCTGATGAAACTGAGCATGCAAATGGTCTTGGAAATAGAATCCTTTCGATGCGTGAACGATGAGTTTTATATCATACGTACCTGAGAGAGAAAAATTCTTCCTTGGGTTTTCAAGTTATAGACTCTGTGGAGTTATACTGGGGAGGACACGTCCACCTCTTACTTCATGATGCATAATTATTTTCGGTATTTTTGCATATAACAAACTACCTGGCACCTATAGTAGTTACTGGGATATATAACCACTGGATAGTACATAGATTCCCCGTGCGGTGTGCATATAGAAAACTTTTCGAGGAGCATAATCATGCCATAGTATAGAGCGACCTTGGAAAAGAATTGACCATCTGGTATTCACACGTCAATGCATGCTAAATGCTTAGTCAATGTTATTCACCGATTGGGAGATAAACTTACAACGCTCAATCCATGTCTGGAACGGAAATTGAACATCTAAGAATTTCTGGGTAGTATAGAGGGCTATACGAAGCTGATTACAAGGTGGAAACTTGAGCGTCAGCTTATATTGACTGCTTACTCTAGTAGTGCTAGCTAGCGATTGTTTACGTAGTCAAATATACGAAACAACGGGCCAATCCTAAGAATCAAGTCTGCTACTCATTTGCTTGTACAGACTCTAGGGCTATCCACAGTATCTAGACGACTTCTGCGTACGCACTGATTGTCACAATGGCATCAGAGAACTGCGGTGTGCTAAGCACTGTAAATTTTGGCGAGTTAAGTAGTAACCAATGTACGGAAAATGGACTCCGAATCATCAAGTGTACTTACTTAAGACCGGTCAAGTTTATACTGTCATGCTGGGGGCCGAAAATACGAAACATTCCTTCATAAGGAAGAGGCCCGTAACGGTCTATCTTCCGAATTTCAAGTACATACTACCATAGAACTTGGCTATAACGAACCGAAGGCCTCTCAGGACCTAAGTCAATATGCAGCAGTGATTTTATCTAGAGATGAAGGCTGTGGGCTTACTGAGTGCCCTGGCTCGTCATAGGGCACGCGCACACCAAAGATTATGATAAATGACTAATGATTAATGATTTAATCATGATTAATTCTCGCGTAGTAATGAAAAATCCCAAGTCCAGCAGTTCTCGTAGCTGATACATATCGAGGACAGCAGCAGAGTATATGATAAGCGTCACGGTGTACATCTTGTGTATTTGTATAAGGCCCTTCAGCCTGCTTTTGCCACCTCTTGAATATGTGTGTCGACGCTATCTAGTATAGCTAGCTAGTATCCACATAACAATTAGTCGTAGTCGAAAAATTGCAGGCTGCGGTATTTCTTCAGTCTGAAAGGTATCCCCTCTTATCAGCGCTCATCTGTTTGATAGTCTTTTTGCAATTTTGGGTGAGCCTGCTTTGAATACCTTTAGCTACTAAATTCAAAACATGTGACGGGCAACGGATAAATCTTATTATTCTACTCCGGTTGTATATAATTATGATTTAATCATTAATTAAAATCATAATGATTATGATTTAGGGGTAAAACTAATGATCATGATTATGGGAATAGGTAAAAAAATCATAATCATCATCATTAGCGTGCCCTAACTCGTGAATTCTGGTTGAAGATTTCGGAGAAGTGAGCGTCAAATCAGAGATCAGATCGAAGGAACAAATTATCAGGGGTAAATTAGAGGGCTCAGGGAATGCTCCAATGGCATAAACTTCTTCCTGGGCGGTTCGGGTGACTTATTTAGTTGCTAAAGTTAATGGGCCCGGCCCTCAACCACTGCCGATGCAGCAATGACTTCCAAGAACGAATACTGGCAGCCCGCCATGATCCCGAGATCAGTCCCGATAATCATTCTCGAAATTGAGTGGAAAAGACAAGATCTGAGCAGGAGCTAGGAATTGCCTTTCCATTGGTACGACGATCACCGCACTATTCACGTGTCAAATCCCTCAATGCGACGTCAATCGGACATTCGGCGAGTGTTTTAACCCACCTAAAGCCCTAGCTCAGAGCTTAACCCAGCCAACTAACACAAAATCTGAACTGAGTGTCCTAGATTGTGGGGTTGTATCTTGCAATTTGCGGAGTGCATACTACATGCTGGGATGCCGGCATTGAAATTTTTCAATATTTTCACGAGTCTCAGAGAGCGGAGAAAAGCCGGATCAAAGGGAAAGAAAAAGAACAAAGCTTCCTCTCCCGGGATCTGTGCCACGTACATATAGAACTACCGAGGAAGCAAGGGCTCGAGAATTTGTGATTCGGCTGAAGACGAAGTAACCACTCCTGCAATATGAGACGGCCATCAATCGTTGTCTGCTGATCCTCAGTTCTTACTGGTCCATGAGATAGATTACCTTGACTATAAGCGATGTTTTGCAGCTCTAGGCTTTGATCATCATGGACGAACAAGGTACACGACCGGTAGTTGTCCGTCTACTTAAACAGATATCTTGGCTGATGGATTCCATATATTATTCCTTGTAAGAATTTACAAATAAGCATTCGAAAATCTTGTCGATCACTCTCTTTATTGTATTTCTCTTTCTTGTTCTTCTTTACCAGGTTGACACGCCGACATCATGGCTGTCACTGCTGTTCTGGCCGCACTTAACCTGCTGATCTCGGTGCAGGGAGCGGTAGTGGAGTCTGTCCCGCGTGCATCAGGATCACTGGACTCGTGGTTGGCAGCTGAAACCCCCATTGCACTGCAGGGAGTATTGAACAATATCGGTTCTGGAGGTGTCTTTACTGAGGGAGCGGTTGAGGGTATTGTCATTGCGAGCCCTAGCAAAGCCGATCCGAACTGTAAGCTAATAGTATTTTGAGATGTTTTTGTTCCTTCAAACTGAAGATACAAAGCTAGAACCAAGAATGATTTATGAACAACATCTAATGCTTTGTAGATTACTACACGTGGACTCGAGACTCAGCACTCACTCTCAAGACCCTGGTCGATAACTTCATTGCCGGTGCTTCTGACCTAGAATCCACAATTAAGGACTACATCAACATCGAATCTGTCCTCCAAGGAGTTTCAAACCCATCTGGTAGCATAACAGACGGGTCTGGACTCGGAGAACCGAAGTTCAATGTGGATGGGACGGCTTTTACGGGTGCGTGGGGCCGTCCTCAAAGAGACGGCCCTGCTTTGCGAGCGACTGCAATGATTGCATATGCTAATTACCTGATTGTAAGTGGTGCAAAATGATTGACGAAAGAGTTTCCGAATGAAGAAGTGCGTCTGACTTCATTGAAATAGGATAATGGTCAAACTTCTACCGCAAAAGAGATCATTTGGCCTATTGTGCAAAATGACTTGGCCTATGTCGCTCAGTATTGGAATCAGACTACATTTGGTGAGGCATACTTTCTATCTAACTATTGGGCCCATAGCTAATAATGGCGGTGAAAGATTTATGGGAAGAAACACAAGGATCATCCTTTTTCACAACAACTGCCCAACACCGAGCATTAGTCGAGGGCAACACCCTAGCTACAGCCCTTGGAGAGTCTTGTGCCAACTGCGTCTCTCAGGCTCCTCAGATCCTGTGTTTCCTGCAATCATATTGGACTGGCTCATATATCCTCGCCAACTTTGCGAATAACGGCCGTACAGGCTTGGATGCCAATTCAATTCTCGGAGTTATCGAAACCTTTGATCCGGAGGCAAGTAGTTGCGACGACGTAACTTTTCAGCCCTGCTCCGAGCGAGCTCTGGCTAGCCACAAGGCTGTTACAGATTCTTTCCGAAGCATATACTCACTCAACTCTGGTATTGCTGCTGGCTCTGCCGTTGCAGTTGGTCGTTACCCTGAAGATGTATACCAAGCTGGCAATCCTTGGTACTTAGCTACTACTGCGGCAGCAGAGCAGCTGTATGATGCAATCTATCAATGGAACAAGATTGGTTTTATTAATATTACTTCTATCAGCTTGAGCTTCTTCCAAGCTATCTACCCTTCTGCGGCGACTGGTACATATGCTGCTGGCTCGTCGACATTCAATGCTCTCATCTCGGCTGTGAAGACATACGCGGATGGATACATGAGTGTTGTTGAGAGGTATACGCCGGCCGATGGTACACTTTCAGAACAGTTTCAGCGGGACAATGGGGTACCATTGTCCGCCTCCGCGTTGACTTGGTCCTATGCTGCACTTCTCACAGCAGCTGCCCGACGTGCTGGTACAGTGCCAGCTTCATGGGGCTCCAGTAAGGCAAACACCGTGCCAACAACTTGCTCCGCGAGCTCCGCAAAAGGAAGCTACACATCTGCTACCAACACAGCCTGGCCTACGGCGCCTACAAGCAGCACAAGACCCTCATGCACCCCCCCAAGTGATGTGTCTGTCACGTTCCAAGAGATTGTCACCACTAGCCCAGGTCAAGATATCTACTTGACAGGCAATATCTCGGCGCTCGGTAGTTGGTCCACCACTGCTGGAAAGGCCATTGCGCTGAGTGCTCAGGACTATCGCTCAGCTGATAATTTGTGGTATGTTGCTTTGACGCTGCCCTCTGATACCGCTTTTGAGTACAAGTTCTTCAAGAATGAGAGTGGCATGATAATTTGGGAAGATGATCCCAATCGCGTTTATGTTGTGCCTAGTGACTGCGGTGTGAGCACTGCATGCATAAATGATAGCTGGCAGTAGTAATATTACTACCAGAAGGTATGTATATCTGGGGTGAGGGCGAAGGTAGAAATAAAGTGGTATAGGAACAACGGATTGCTCTCTTCCAATTTTATATAGTAAAGCTGGTCTATAATGAAATAAAGATTGCACCTGGCTATGATGAACAGAAGGCCACCCAAGATTTAAGTCTATAAGTATAGAGGTAGCTTTGATCTAGAGATAAGACCTCTCTAATATTCTAATCCCTTGTAGTATTAACTATTGAGATGCTCTTCAGTTCCATATTAAGCTAATCAAAGCTGGGAGTAGTATAGTATGGAGCGGCCTCCCTTTCGTTATAGCTCAGTTTTACTACATGACCCTGCCAAGGATGTATACTAATTAACTGCTTATTGAGAGTTTTGGTGTGTTAGAATCTAGCATGACATCTCAAGCGTTATCTTCATTTCGTCCTCCTCATATCACCTGTATAAAGGTGCTCAGGAGTATATGAGCATTCTACGTATAGCTTATAACTAAGTGATTTTGTGAAGCCTTTTAGAAACTTGACGCTACCCAGCAACCGAGGTGTTGGCCGTGTACTGAGGGACATAACATATCTAAATGTAAAGCCAATTTCACAAAAGTCCCGGCCTGTGTATTACCACCTACATGTGCTCATTGAAGCGCAACGATACTGTCTGGATCATCCTCCGCTGGCACGAACTTGAGTAAAGATCCTCGGCAGCAACAGAAAAATGAGAACACTTGACGTATTCGTTACGGGACATGAGCCAAGAAAAAGTGTGGTAGTGATAATGCTTGAGCGGCCATGACTGATGCTCGCGGAGGCCTTGAAATGCGAAATTCAAGCGTTCCTCTTCATCAGTACAGACCTCAAGAAGAAGTTCTTGATTGAGTTGTAGTACTTGCCAATATAGGTATGCAGCAATTTAGGGTGCGTCCCCAGGATCCATTTTGACTTGAGTTTTTCGTTCAATGTGGTAAACTTGTTAATTGAGGCTGCTGCTGCGGTTTGCCGAGAAAGCGACTCATAATCAGCAGGATTGGACGTCTCTAGTAGAGTCTCCAGGACAGCTTGACCAACTCAGTCAGCTGCGTCATTCAAGGCCATGAAATTGGTCAAAACAACCACAGCGCTCTGAGATTCAGGTAGAAAAATCAGGGAAGTGGCATATCCGGATATGCTGCCTTGATAGTAAAGCAATTCAGTACCCGGAGATTCAGGGCCGACTTTTGGCATCTCCTTCAAGACTCACCCGGATAGAATGATATTAGTGGATAGTGGCCGCTCATGATGTTTTTCAGATGTTTAAGCGGAAGATCTGGCGTCGATGCCCGGCCTGGTTCTCTCTGATCGACAAGTGCTCTAAGCAAGGCTTGTGACCAAGCCAGCAAATCGTTGACCGAACTTCGAAGACCCACTGCTGAGGACATGATTTCACCGTCAGCCAGTTCTGGCCAAGAAATAGAATATGGGATGCGTCCTCGAGAGCAACATATGGTTTCGCGATATTGTCGTCCGGTCCTTTATTATTCCAAAATATTGCTCGGTTGAGATGTAATGGCTCCAAGAGCTTTTCCTTGATTGCGGTACCCCAGCTTCTACCCTATAGTGCTTCTATAGCTTCGCCCACAAGAGCAAAATGCCAGTTATTCATGTTACCCGCGCTTCGATATTTATAGAATTTTGGTAAATAGTTGACAATAGGCACAGTTTGATTTGTGTCTAGGAGGAGACCATTATCATTGTCGAACCAATACTGACTTGACCTCGCCATACCGGTGCATTGGGAAGGCACATCTTCTGTTGTAGCCTGGTTTATCTCCTCGTCTCGGTGAAACTTTGGAAGGATCTCGTGTAACGGTGTCCCCTATGTAATCTTCGCTTTCTCAGCCATGATTCCGAAGAGGGATGAAGTGAATGCCTTGGTCCGTGAGGCAATTCCATAAATGGTATCCGAGTCCGGTTTTAGACCAGCCTCAATGTCACGAGAACCAAAATTATTGCGGAATAGAACTTCCCCATGGTGGAGTACGACTAGAGACAGTCCAGTAGTGCCAGATGATTCACAAATGTGCTCAATGGCCGAGCAGACAAATGAGTTCCAATGCTCTCATCCTTGCAGAAAGGTTACGCGAGAAGAATAAGAAGGTATTACCCACCGAGAGTACGTTCTATATATTGCAAGTTTGACACGTGCTGGAACGGGGAGCGAACACTTCAGTTCCTCGAGGTCCTTGTTGTCAGGAGAGGACTGTATGGTTTCTTCCACGCAACTCAGATTATCGCCTACATGGATGAGATGATTTCCACATCCACCTGAGGAGGGAACGAAACAGCTATATTAGGGCAGCAGCGCTATTGTCTGTTCTAGGGGCATGTTCCGAAGTCACTGGTAGAAATGTACTTAGGTAACTTCCAAGGCTTTCTCTACGTCAATTATAGTAGGAAACTGGCAATATATTGAGGCCAAAGGAACACTGAATACCTCCACACAGCAACACATATAGGTGCAGGCTTCCTCCTTGAATAGACATTTAAGATTAATGTACAGTTTCCAGAACTTGTAACAGACTGAGAACGTTGGTATATTCGGAACAAAATGCAATAAATCAGAATCCCGCTCCGCCGCCCTTCACCCTCGTTCCATAATGCATGAAGCTATGTCATCATTCATATTCGTCAATCAGTTATTATTTATTCATTGTGAAAGTAAATTGATTAGAAGGTGAGGCAGCAGATGGCGAAGTCGGGGAGAGGAACGAACGGTGCGGCTGTGGTTGGTGACTAGGATTATAACTCGGCCGGATTCGAGAGAGGATGTTTATGATATCGAGCAGAAACTCCTCGCTATTGATATTACGAGTGTTTGGAGAGAAGTTGTCCACGGCGAAATGTGCCATTGGCGGTTGACTGTGAGGTTGATAGGAATGGTCTTGCATTCCGGGGTTTGTGTTCATCATTGAAAGTCTTCGTTCCTGGGTCTGCGAAAATACTGTTAGTCATGTTTATACACAAACTAGAGATTTATACATGGAGAAATAAAAATAGGCCCCTCACACTAATCGTTTGGAATACCATCGAACCCTGAAATACATCCATCACAGCCTTTGCAACCAACACCGGGAAATGAAACGGCAGCAAAGCATCTGTAGTCCTGAAACGTGACAAATTACTCATTGAAAGTTTCCAAGCCATGACTTGCAGCCATTGTTGCGTAAGAACGCTGTCGAGATTCTGGATCTCTGCAACACTTCCAATAGGAATTGGCTTACTAAATTGATGGTTCATATCTCGTACGTTGGCCCGGCCAGTAATCATGCTTGCTATAAAGTTTTCATCACATTCAATAGATATCCAGTCATATAGCTCGGCTGTGATCTTCTCGAATATATTGATGAGGTTATGGAAACTGTATTGTACCATATGATCTTCCGATGGAATAATACTGGGCTTTCGAATGGAGTTTCGAAGCATGATGGGCTTTGCTTGCTGAAGAGCGTACGCTCTGTGAAGCCGAGAATGTTAGCAAGCGCTCCTAAGATGTACAGGATCTCAACAGGACACACCGTTCAGCCACAAACAATAGCCAGAACACCCTCCTCCGCTCCTCACCCTCCTCTTCTCCAAACGCGGAGTAAGTAGCTTCTCGATGCAACCCCAGCGTCAAGGCCATTGATGTAGCTTGACTAAGATAAAACCAAGCCTGGTCGTGATGATTCAAATTGCCGTATGCGGCAAACAAAAATAACGAAGTAAGTAAGGATTCGAGATTGACTTGTTCGCAGATGTTGTTGCATTCATTTCTCGCGTTGGTTGCTTCCGTCAAAATCTCTATTCCTGATAGAGCCAGTGCAGAATCGGGATATGATTGAGAGGACGGGTCGACCATGGCCTCTAACTGAAGTTGAATGTGGGTTGCAGCACATAGCGCGGCTATGAATGCATATCGCTGTGTACTAAGCTGTTCGGGATGTTGACTGTCATTGACAATTTGCTCGGGGTTGAGAATCGGTATAATGGGATACAAGGATTTCAGGTAGATGTTCAAGTGAGCCAAAATAATTGCGGCAGATAGGCGTCTGGAATGTGACATAGACTGAGATCGGGGCTGTGTTTGTGGTTGATGTGGCTGCAATGCGTTTTGAGACGGCCCTTGTGGAAGTAACGCCGTTTGGTGATAGCCACTGGAACTATTCGGCAGCTCATATTGTGAATCAACAGATTCCGGTGAAGAGTAAGCTTCATATGTCTGCTGGATATTGATATTCCAGGGTACTGGAGCGGACCAGCCTTCCACTATCGACGAAAGGTCAGCGGCCCCTTTAACCAATGTCAAGAAACAGATAATGAATGAAGTTACTCACGTGGGACCATCAGCTCAGACTGACTTGTCTGATCGGCAATACTCTGAGGAGGAGTCGGATATTGTGTGACTAATGATTGTAAAGGTGCAAGAGGATACAATGTACGGAACTTGGGTCCCTTTCTCTGTAGAACATCGCAGTAAGAGCAGGACAACAATAGCCGCTGACACTTATCACATGGCTGAGCGCGATTGCATTTGATTTTGCGTCTTCGACAATTGTCACAGGCCTGTTTAGAAGTCTTTTGAGGAGTAGGAGTAGCAGGAGGGGGGGAAGCTGCACCGCCCTTGGTTTCGAATATGGGCTCCATTGTTAGGATGATAATCAAAATTCCGAGATACGCTTAGCATAAATCTCGAATCGGGATTTTTGTTATGCTAAGACTGCACATGGTACTGCAAGGTGTACCTGGTGATCGGTTATATTAGGCAATGTACAACCATGGCCTAGATGTAGATGAAATCTCAGCCGAATAAACTGGATATTGCATCTCTTTTATTTGACTTCCTACATGATTACGTGTGGATACTCTGTAACTATACCATACATACTTAGTTATTCGATTGGGCTAGGCACCTTTGAGAAGTCATTAGATACTAGATACGGATGGTGACGTTGACCTTGATTTTTGAACAGTATCTAAGCCTCCGTCGTATGTATTGACGAATAGATTGCCTGGGGAAAAGGGCCGGGGGAAAATCTTACGCTTAGTTATGAGCAACTAAATTCTCCGGCGCCTCCGCATAAGGTAGAGTGCATGTCAGGAGCCACTCAGCTAAACCAACAACGTTTTAGTTAAATAGACTTGTCTGAACAAAATCTCGATATTGAAGCACCAAGATGCTGGTCTGACAGTGAAAGGTTCGATGGGAGAAGCAATCTCTAAGTCCGTAGCAAAGATACAGACTAACTTTTAACGCTAACTAAGTGTTGGCCTGGGGGTGGATCATTCTACGCCTATTTTGGCTTTCGGTGTACCTGACCCAAAGCCCTTTGGAATTGAATCAGGCCAGTCAAAGCCCTAATTACATGTGCCGATAATTAAGTTAATAGGCAGGGGTTTGCTATGTATGGCTCGCAAAGCCGAGCGTCAATCCTTGTCTACTCCGCAAAAAACCGTAATTACCAACATAACAGCGTAGCAGACTAATTAAATCAACGGAATCCAACGGACCTCCGTCACAGGCATTACCGGGTTCTCAATAGGTCGAACTAAAGTACGGTTTGCTGACTAGTACTGATTTGCATGAAACAGCTGTCACTTACGCTATCTCTTGCCAATGCTGGAACGCACCCCTCCCGACTGTTGTCCTTGGATTCCGGGGCATATTCGCGGAGACTTGGGTAGGATATGATAGAGGAGCACGATCAGTTCAATCGTACGTTCTGAAATGTCGCATTCCAATCCGGCTGACGACCATGCAGCGCATCATGCCTCGCCAGGTCGGTCTTGATTTCCTGATTTTTGTATCGATTGCTGAATGTAGTCAGTTCCCCGCGTATTGAGAGGGGCAATCATTTAAATAACTCTAACTATACCATACTTTACCACCGAAACCCGGACCTCGGGCTTGCCAGAAACATCAGCCCATTTTTGCCTTCCCACAAGTCATAATCTTCTCGGGCCATGACACTCTTCTTGACACCAACATAGCCAATCCTGATTGTGACGAAGCGACATGAGCATCATATCGTAAAGTAAAAAGAGTCTAACGCGTGATCTTCCCGAATCTGTAATCCTTCTCATATCTTACGACCAACGAGCGGGAGGAATATCTGCAGGAACCACAGCCGCTAACGCCGGAAGGTGGCCTGACCGACAGATGGTGAGCTCAGTACGGTGGAATGATTAGTCAATAGAGGAAAAGAAAAGGGCTGACCATGGAGGACGATGCCGATGAATCGTAATCGGGTGGCCCGAGTCAAGGAAACGTCAATACGATACTAGTATCCAGCCGTTCGTACTCTGAACACCTGTACAAACCCATGTCAGTTCATTCATCGAATCGATGTAACTGCACGTCACTTTCGAAATAAATTGCAGAGAATCGGAAGGTCTAGTTATAATGATCACGAGTTATTATCTAGCACTTTGACTGTGTACGATGGACAGGAGCAGTTTACAAGAGAGTGCCCAACTCTCTCCCTCATGAGGTTGGTACGTCGTTCATTTCATAACATACGTGCCAACCAATAACAGTAAACAGTCGGCAAGAAATCAGGTTTTCGGCCGTCTACCCATACAGCATTCAGACATAGCCTAACTAGCTAACTATATTATGAGCATGATATAATGCTAGTAGTATTCCGTAGTACGTACTTATTAATATAACGCCTACGAGACAAATTTTCGAGTCAAAAGGCTTCCAGAATAATTGAGAATACGAGATCCTGTCCGGTCTTCAGTACTCCGCTGAAGCCCGAAAGCATTAATGGACGGGCATATTAGGTCTTGACACCCTTGATCGGAGATGATAACTGTAGGCATACGTAGTCGATTACTCGATCTGCAGGGCAGCTTGTTAAATGGACTAACCAACACAAGAGAGTAATATCATTCAAGTTAACTCAGCTAAGAGCCTAAGCGTCTTGACTTGAGCGGAAGTGCGCAGAGAGCAGAAAAATAACGCACTTCTATATATTGGTCCTTCATTCATCGACCTCAAGAGTCGGTAATCTGCCAATAAATGTCCATGGAGGTTGGAACCGTGCGCAAACCTGCCAGGCACTAATGCATGGAATTCATCCTTGACGTAGTTTCTTAGCACGTGAAAATGCGTATCCTTTGTCATTTTAAAATCATATCTCCCCTTGGCACTGGCTGGACAGGGTTAGTGGTGTGTACGTACACTAAGGCTAGGGGTGTGTCTTGGATAGAACTTCAAAAAGCGTGCATTGCGCTCGACCTGGTTGACTTCACATCAGCTCATGCGCATGGACAAATCTAGTTAATGCATGAGATATATTCCAGTAAAATCATGTGATTGTAGGAGGCAGTGTTTCATGCTCAAAAGATGCGGTAAGGTAGTTGGCTGTTCAAAATTGACTGCCCCGGTGATCACGACTAGCCAACTGTATGCTCCATAGACTCGTACGGGATTAGGCTCCTTCTAGTGCTTTCATGGAAGAATCGAAGAGTCCGGGGAAGGAAAAGCCAAAGTCAAATTGAAAGCCAAATCCCATCAAGAAGATTCCAGAAGCTGAGAACGGAGCACATTACTCGAGGGTCAAAACACAAATTTAGATCCCAAGAAACCGATCGATTCTGTTGGGTAGATGGAAGAGGATCCTTTAGCCAGCGAATTCGGAGACCAGAGCAGCGATGTATTAACATGAAATCGGCAACATCTACCGGTAGCGGGGATGAATAGATATGTCCGAAGGTTGCATTTCTCTTTGAGCCAATTGCGATTAGCAAGATTAGAAGTCTCTGACGCTCTTCAAACCTTCGTTAATTGCGCCGACTTGACGTTTTTCGTCGCAAGTTGCCAACATTAGAATGTTTATCCTGCTAACCACTTGCTTCCTAGCCCTCTTATGAGCACTTACTAAGTGGATACCTAGAGGCTAATGAGTAATGTTCAATAGTTAACGACACAGTAACCTATTTAAGTTAACATGTTCTGTTTCAAGTTGTTATTTTGTATTTTAAGACTCTTTGGCCATATAAATTAGTTAACTAAGCACCTTAGTCAGATGCATTCCGGTCAGTGCCGAGCTCAACACTCCGACTTGACGCCGATAGCTACGTAACCCTTCTCTAACAAGTTAACATCCATCGATTGAATCATTATCAATCAAACTCGGTGAGCTGATCGGATATCACGCCCTACGAGTCAGTATTTATGGAGGCGGGACCAGCCGCTTCCATTAGATGATGAGATCAGTGGAGTGATGCCCACAATAAGTTATTGGAATGAGGATCAACGTTAAGATGCGGAGTAAAAGCCTCCATCTTTGAGTCCGAGAAGGTATGTACCTGGATTCTTCAGTATCTAGGTAGGCAGCCGTCAAGCATGCCGAACCCACAAACCGAGAGACCCTGGGAACCTTGGAATTACTTATCCTAAAGTATATAAAAAGTAGCAAAGCTGTTTCCATCAATCTGTCGAGATGCATTATGGTGTGGCCATTTACTGCAATAAGTCAACGAGGGCCCATCGTAATGACAGCCCCATAGCAGTATCACTAATAGCCAACTTACACTTGAGCATAGAAAAGCAAGGAGATATGAGGATCAGGAGTATTGTCTTGGCTCTTCCACTAAATAAGAGGAAAACCTACTTTAGGAGGATCGACGTCTCTCATAATCTTGAGAGATATTCGCTGTCGAAGATTCCATTATCACATGTAGTATCGGTCAACGCTGGCAGATTCTGAGTCTCTTCATAAGAGTGTCATGCTACTTTCCGCTCAATTAGTCGATGTATCTTGCTTTGGATACCATAGCTCATGTTGGTAAGGAATTCTCCGCGAGTGAGTGTGACCACGTACCTAGGAATGTATCCTTCTTTGAGTGAGCCCGGGAGTTGTTGTTCGAGATAGTGAGAAAATTCGGTATCATAAGTCAGGTCAGGAGAGACATTTGTAGCAGTAACGTACATGGGTCTGGATGAAAAGCAATGAAGGGTCATTCCAAGCGAAGGGCGATCTATAATTTTAGGTATCGTTGATTGATGCGAATCTTCTGGTCAAGTGTCAATAAAGTCACCGATTTATATGCTCGTCATATAATTCTCACCTCTCAATTTTTTGCTCTCCTTGAGCACAAAAAGATCCTATTACTCGACCGACATTTCCATCTTCGAATCTTATCTTGCGTCGCCAGGCATGTCGTACAGCCTTGTTGAGACATTTGTTAACGAATACCTCGAGGATATTCCCATTTTCATGTAGTGATATGTCGCTGAATATCGATTAGAAATAACCTCGAGCTTGGGATCGTGGGTGTTCCTTTCCGTACGCTGCGGCTTTTTGGACGGACGGAATCTTCTTGTACGAACCAAGAGTCGCTATAGAGCTTGAGGGTAGCAAATTCTCAGCTATGCAACGGATTGGGTGTGATGAGACATGATCTGTCATCTGGTTATTCAAAGCCATCGCACGGAATACAAAAATCCAGTAAGTAGCACTAAATATCGATGCGGGCCGGTGAGATGCGAATTACTCATGGATTGAGATCGAGCTCATCCGTACCTTTGCGTATGCCGAAAGTTCAAATCATGAAAAATGGCCTCGACCGGCCATTTTTCCTAGAACAATATTTCTGGTCCTAATTTTTATTAATATGATAACACTGAAGGTTCTCCTGTGAAGCGAGAATGCATTCTAACCCATGTTTGTATTGCAATGTTGAAGGGCTCAGGGCCTAAAGAGCGATCATTTCGTCAAACTCTCTGCCAGTTGCTTGGCCTCCTTTTGAGCGATCCGGATCACAGGGGTTTGCAATGATGCCGAACGAAGCTCTTGGGAGAAGGAATCATCAGTAAAATTCGTCGCGAAGCAATTCTCATCAAAGGATAACCGCCTATATGTCCAACCTTGAGAAACTGAACATATTAGTCACACGCACGATAATCTAGACGACTTCTGCATGATTGTGTACATTCTTCTTCCTGAATATAAAGCACATTTGTTTCATGAACGTATCATCTCAAGCTGCCATCAACGTGGACAATCTACTTGACACGAATCAAGTTCGACTTGAGACACTAACCATTGAACTGTAGTAATGCACGCCTCGAAAAGCGAAAAGCACGAAATCTGGCATGATTAACAAAAGCTTTGGATGTACTTATCATATTTGATTAATAGTAACTCATAACTGGAGTCTCGAATACCACTCTTCCTATCCGACACTGTCACAACCTCCAATTGGACACCAGCGACCAAACCCTAATTTGGCCGCCAAAATTTCCTAAAAGGGAAATTTGTAAATATGACGAACCACAGCATTTGTTTTTGCTCCCCAATCCTTCGGTCGCGCAACATCTTTCTTTGACCAGGAAAAGGAGCGTGACTCTACCTGGGTAGCTGATTTCATCGCACTTCTAGTCCCTCAGGTGCTTCGAAATAAATTAAATATCTGTTGTGTGGTAGAAGCATTGGTAGATCTAGCAGAGATAAGATGAAATCGAACATACTACGAAAGGATCGCTACAAGATCAGCCGCAAATCCACGCCAATGCTTCGAGGATTCTAGGCAGATTTTGCTTCTTCCGTCGAGTATTAGTCTTCAGTTCATCTGTCCTTCTTCACCACTTGCCATACTCTTCCCAAAATACTCTTGACTTAATCGAATAGGAATTTCAAGATCCAAATTCTTCCCCAGCGAAACGGACGAGCGAGGACCAGCGAAGGTGGGCAGGTTTCCTTTGAGACATCCCCGCCTTTACATCATCTGTCAAAACTTCAACATCTAAAGACAGTAGTATGTTATTACTTAAACAACTATAGCCAATCCGATACGTCCGATGCACCTCGACCAACCAGAAGAAGATAGGACCGATTTCCGAGAGGTGCAATCGCTCGGAAGACGTATAAACCCAGTATTCAAAACGTACAAGCTTCTCGAGAACAAATCCCTGTCCAGCATGCTGCGTACTAAGGACGACATCAAAACCATTTCTCAGGAAGAGTCACGAGGCTAGCAGCAGGAACAAAGGGAAGACATACTCGCAGAGGGCACAATAAAAATTTTTACTACATGAATACTACATATCGCTGTCAATATTGAAATCCTGACCTACAGATTCCCTTCAGCGGACAGCGGCCGGGATCAACGCTATGTCACTCGACGTTCAAATCCGTTGTGTCAGTCTCCGATCGATCCCCAAGCGTGCCATCAACATGAGGCTTGCAGAACCAAGCGCCATCGAGCCGGCGTAATAAATAGCAGGATGAAACGCGTCGATTCCTCTCTTTTCGCCTCCACTGGCATTCAGCAGGTATCCAGCAATCGGGGCTCCCTATGGAGATATACATGGTCAGTAATTCATAGCTGATACTCATCACAGCAGCGATACTCACCAAGAGATAGCCCCCGCCCCAACCCGTAACCACCATACCCATAGCAACAGACACTCTTGCCGAACCGAATACATTGCTCACAACGGTTGGCATTGTAGCGAAAAACCCACCGTTAGCCATACCATTAATAATCACAAAGACGATGAGCGGTCCCAAGGAGCTAGAGACCGGCCAGAGCACCAAGGCACTCAGGGCACTTAGTAGCAAGGATGAAAACACAGTGTTCAATGGCCCAATTCTGTCAGAACTGAACCCGCAGAGTAGACGACCAATGGCAGATGAGAAATTGAATGCAGCCACCAGACCTGCACCGGCGCTGGAAGTCATATGAAGTGAATTTGTGTAAAGAGGCAGGAAAAACGGGGGTACGAAGAGTGGAAACGTTGCGAGTGCTCCGCCCAAAAAGATGAGAATGAATCTATAATCCCGGAAAAGACGCCATTCAATAAATGAGGTCGGCCGGATCGGAACACGCTCCTTGATGAGATATGCTGCTGGCAAGCCCGTGGCAAGCGTGATGAATCCCAGTACTCGGAATGTCCATGCTATACCAAGGGACTGCAAAAGGCCGTTAGTCACAAAACTGATAATGGCACCACCGAGTCCGCCACCTGCATAAACAATACCGTTGGCGATTCCTCTTTTGGTCTTGAAATACTGAGCTGGCGTTACAGACACGACCTGTCACCAATAAGTATAATGTAGATTCTTCGAAGGAACTTGGCTTTACCATAAACATTAGACTGAAAGATAAATGGATTAGCGATCTCTCATCCCTTAGATAGACCAATTCGATGCAATGCATACCTAGTTCCCAAACCCATAACCAGCCCAATAGTCATAAACAACCCAACCACATCCCCCGTCACGAATCCAGCCATCACCTCCCCGAGCCCAAACAAAGAAACACCCAACAACCCACTCAGCCGCGGCCCCAATTTACGTATGACTCTCGCATTGACCACCGCCATAAACGAAACACAAGCCGTCGTAAGCGACCCAACAAAAGCCAACGTCGAAGCCGAGCTGACTCCCTGCTCTACCAGCGCTGCTTGGAAAACACCCCAACAATAGGTTGTGCCGACGAACCAAAAGCAAATCACTGCGCAGGCAAAGATGAGAACCCAGCCGTAGCCGCCGTCGGGGACTTCAGAGTCTGCGACTAGGGAGGCTTGCATTACATCGTCATCTTCGTGATGGCTTGTGGAGTGGTTGTTGGCGGCGGCGGCTGTGGTTCTGGCGACATTGTTGGGAAGTTCAATGGCTGTTGTGGTAGTTGTTGTTGCCATGGTCAGTATATACAATTGAAAGAATTCTGTGAAGGATTGATCTAAAGGTATAGAGAGAAGAAAGAAAAGAAAAAAACTGATTTAAGTTAGTTGTAGACTTGATTACTAATATCAGCAGTATCAGCAGATAAGAAGCGATAATTGTGTAATTGGTCATCAACTTCTTAAGCGGTGGCCCGTAGTTTTCTGTAGCTTTCCAATGGAATAGAGAAGTTTTTAAGTTTGAAGAGCAAGCATGCGGTGTACACAATTTGGAATCGGGTAGTATTGTCCAAGCCATTTAGATGTGTTATAAACGGCCTCTAATTCATTGTTCTAGTTCTATGGTGTAGGCATGACCACGTTCATCAAGTCAGAGTTTACTTGCCTCCGGAACCCCAGAGACATACCATACATTCATGACATGATAAACAATGTAAAAGAAAGCTCCTATTCGTTTTCGAACCTGAATTGAACACAAGTGTCATCAAGTTCAGTGGAGCCCCAAGACAGAGACAAAATATATACAGTACATAGAACACTCAAGCTAACCCCAATATCCCCGTGAAACGCAAACCCAGACCTCAACTGCTCCGAATCGACATGAAGACAAAGATTTAGAAATGAAACGGTATCGAGGATGTTTGTTTTGAGTGAATTAAGAGACAATCATCATTGTGAAAAGGAAATTCCGATAGTCATGTTATCGAACTCGAGGTTTTTTGAGTAATCGATCCAAACAGCAGCATATAAAAAAGGAGAATCGATTGTACGGAGAATTCAATTCACGATAACCGGTCTATGATTGAAATGGTCGTAAAGATAATAATTATAAAAACGCCGGGAATCGATGATACAGCGAATTGAGTACGGTCAAAAGGTTAATTAGTTGTTTAACCGCCAAACAAGTTCCAGTACTTCGTCGCCTCCCTCAACGCGGCGAATGTAGAATTGTCGAACTGGCCTCCTTCAACAATGGCGTCCTCAAGTCGGAGTGAGATCTTGTCTGCTTCCTTTGACCGGAGAGGACCTAATGTACGCACGAAGGACTCGTCAGTAGAGCCGTTGAGGTCATCCCACGTCTTTTCCATGGCGAAAGCGCCATAGTCATCTGATATACTGGCTCCGTGATGAATAACCGAGTAACCGTTCGTCAGAACCCATCCATCAGCGAATCTCCATTGGCGAAGCACGCAGTTGGTGCCGCAGACATCGCGGACGGCGGTCATCTTGACAACGTCTGCAGAGAACCATGATTTCCAGTGATGAAGAGAAACTGGGATAGAGCGCGCAGCTTCGAACCATCCCGAAGCATCGTTCATCAAATCTAATTGGTTGAGCCCGGTCTCCATTTCAAGCTTGGTGCGAGTGTATTGATAGACACAGTGAGCAATCTTTCCATCTCCGTGATCGGTACCGGCGTCACACTCGTCCCAGATCCGACCTAGTTCATCCATCAAAGGGCGGGAGAAGAACATTCCAGCTCCTCCATAGGCGAAAATTCCAAACATAGACAGTTGACTATCGCTTTCAGTCACGGTGCCAATATAATGAGGCTTCGTGTCGTCGTATTTGCCCAACATGTGCAAAAGTCGAGGCATGGATAAGAAGAAAGTGTCATCATCCATGATACAGAACCATCTGGTTTCGGGACGGGCATGATCAGCCAAGAGCTTCACCAGCAACGAATATCGGTTCTCGTAGTCAACGTCGGACTCGTAAAGCTCAATGTTCAATCCAAGACTCTTAGCCTTCCGCTGTGCCTTTCTCTGATCCGCACCAGGCTCAATAAAGACCAAGAATCGGGTGTTTGTATAGCCTGCCCAGACCGAAAAGGCATCCATTGAGTCCATCAATCTCTCCATATTCGTGGAAATTGCAAAGTCGATATGTGAGGCATCTCTGAAAGGTAACGAGGGAGGAACTCGGACGGTAATCGGTTCCGAGCAGTTAACGGTAGTTTGGACATTGGACGACAAGGACGTAGGGCGTTCATCAAAAAGGTTCACATCCATTTTGGTCGTGATCGGTATTTCTTCCTTGTCGGTAAGGGTAACATAAATCTCACGGCGGGAATATTTGACATCTCCGGTCAAACCATATCTCTCCACAACACCGGTATCGATGTTGCATGTTCCCGCTCCGGCTGTGAGTGACGGAGGTTTGGCGACCGATCCGGTATGTTCGTCATGGTCGTAGCCGGAGACTGAAGGGATAAATTGTACCCGGCGTCTGGAGAAGTTATAAGAAAAGAAGAAGAAAAGGGCTGCTATAGTCGCTATTAGGATTAATCGTATTCTTTTCTTCTGTCGCGTGGCGGGCCCCACGAAGAAAGCGTCCTTTGCGATGGACATGATGTCCGGTTGCGCTGACGCTCGTCTGAATGTATTATGGTCGACTCCCGATAGTCAGAGAACAAATCGACTTTCTCAATATCGTGTCAAACCGATGTGTCGTCGAATTGCGTCTATAGACTCCAAGAAAATCGTTCGTAATCCGGCGTCAATAACTGAAGAGTCCTGAGTCAGGGGGAGAAGCGCGATGATTTGAAACGAGCGTCGGCGGGTCACGGAACCGCTTAGGAGAAACACATGGAGAAGACACAGCGAGCGAAAGTATGGTTTGGAGTGGTGGTTTTTCAACAGAGGATCGTATAGGTATAGAGCGACGAGGACGTAGAGAAGAAAAGAGAAGTAGATCAGGGGATATCGTGGAGTGTCTCAGAAATTGAAGATAAAAAGATGGGAGCGACAAGTGGCTGAACGCGGCCGCTATGTCCGGCGGTGGCCAATCACGTGCGTGCCCTAACATCTAGCCCCACTCTGACCCTCGTGCTTTTCTTTCGAGGACAACGACTTTAACAATAAATATATCCTTGAATGATTCAGTTCCTCAAGTGTATCTGGAATTCATTCTTAATGTCCTCTGAATCTGTTGCTCTCTCCGGAAGAATGAGGACAAACGTTCTTGAGCACAGGCCGAACCCCTAGTGGAGAACGATCTACGTACGCTGTGGGAAATATATGTGGATCGCAACTTATGACAGTCCACCATTCGTCTGAGACGTACAGGAGTACGTACACAGGTCAATTCATATGAAATTGCTCATCCCTGGCTACTGTTTGGCTGATCCCTAAGGGTTTAAAGATCGCCGAAAAGCGTACGGAGTGCAATGCACTAAGTCAGTTATTGCTAGGCGTGTGTATGCACGGAGTATTTGACACTCCTTCGGTGTTGACACTTTGGCTTCCTCAACAAGCTCAATCAAGTACGGAATAGATTGTGCGAGAGAAAATGTCGTATAAGCGTCTATCGACATTTTCATCGAGTCTATTGGAAGGATTGGCTTTGTCGACGAACTACTTCACCCGGAGTTTCAGATTCTATCAAGTCTGTGACTATGCCGCGTTAAACACGGCAAGATAGCGGTGATACTAAGATATTCATAATATTGAATGTCCTTATACTGCACAGTGCACCTGAGGGATTGTGGTCCAGGCAGTACATATGATATTTAACCAGAAGAGTACTCCTCGGTGTTTCAGGTTTGGCTTTCCGACTCATCTGAAGCTTGACTACATTTTCTCTCTCTGCCAGGAGTTCCCTGATCATTGCATGATTTCCACGACTTGGAAAGTAGCATTTATTCTGGAAATGAAACAGATGCGCAGCACTAAAACAGCTCGAGCTTTGTGCCTTTCACTTGGAATGATCAATCTGGAGCTCAGGATCATTTAGTACTGCGCACCCTGGTGGTTTATGTATCAACTCGAGAAGGCTCCAATGGATCATCAAAGATCTATTCGGATTCAATTTATGTACACACCAATGATTAGGGATTTATGGCCATGCCAGGACGAATCTATACATTGCCCAAGCACTAACATATACAAACCGTCCATCCATCATCACCGGATATCTAATTAGTGTCGTTGGACGTATAATTCACATGCGGTGCGAATCTCATCTCGACCGCTCCAACATCAAACACACTTACAACATTCTTTTGGAAAACATCTCCCAAGATATACAAATCCTCTGAAGCATTACTACCACCATCAATAATACCGGAAATACACGTATTATTTCCCACATTCAGAATCATATCCAAGGGATTGATGATAAACTCCGTGCCACCAATTGTGATGGAGTGCTTGGGGGCTGTCGCATTGCAAGAAACAACATATGCGCCCTCATCTGCACTATAGGTGGCTGGTGGAGAGAAAGCGGCGTTGATTTCGTTAGCCATGCTGGTCGGATAGTAGTTTAGAGTTGTCCCAGAGTCGACCTGCCAATGTCAGTTTTGTCAATCCTCCTCCCCTCTTCGCGACAGAATAAGCTTACAATGTACATAGCACCCGATCCGCCTGAAAGAGCCTTTCCGTTCAGGTTGATACTGTCTACCTCAACGGTATAAAAGTCATATGCTTTGGGATAGCCCTGTATCGAAGTGATAAGGATCGGTGTACTGGTAAACGTCTCATCAAAGTCGATAGGTGGGAGACCACCCAGGGTGAGATATCCGGCTGGGCCGGATACGTCGCGTAAGATAGCGAGACTGAAGTAAGAGTCGACCAGGCCCCTCTCGTACATGGTGGTGAAGAGGGGATTGTACACTTTCTGTGTACCGTTGGTGTAGGCGCTCGTTCTGTGGTCATTCATTGTCAATACATATCGACCCCGAAAAGGAAGGAGGCTTACAGAGCAGGATAAGCGAAACCAGTCAATCCAGAAGTGGTCCCATCACCAAACCAACCGGTATAATTTCCCAGAGCAATAATCTGGCCCTTAACAGCGATACCAGCCAAGGTAACAGTTTCCGTGCCCACTGGTCCCTGCAAAAACTCTCCATCTCCATATCCAATACTAAACTGTTCATTCTTGACAGTCTTGAATGTCTTTTCGAGAGTATACGGAGTACCGAATCCGCAATACGACTCAGCCTCTTGCTTCTTGGTCGAAACATCCACACATTCAAACCCTTTCTCAACAACCCAGGTATCACTCGAACCCGTATCAAGAATGACTTCGAAGTTTTGCGTACCAATCGTAATCGGAACCGCGAATTCCTGTCCTTCTTCGAGAGAAGTTAGCCCCGTGGACCCCTTAGGCAAGCCCTTGCAATAAGCGGCGCTATGTTTTGCGCTTCCGCTCGTGACTTTTTTCAGTTCGACATAGTTTGACGATTTGGATAGGGTGCTTGAAGAAGCAAATGGGGTTGGTTTCCAGGTTGTAGCATTGATGCCGCGTTTGGATCGGAAGGAAGTGTCGGGTGTAGCCTCGACTCCGAGAGAGGAGAAGAGTAGGGCTGTAGCCACGGATGAACTGGAGATGAAGCGCATGGTGTGACAATCACCAAATTACCTAGTCAGGGATTAGAAGCAAAAATTCATTTGGGTTCGTGACAAGGAACGAGACGGTCTGAGGAGCTTATATAGCTTATGGGTTCTTATCAGTAAAGGTGCCGTTCGATTAGGTATCGAATCATTTCGTCGATCGAAAAGACTTCAAAGAACACTCTAATAAAGCTTAGCCAGGTACTAAAAAGCTAGCCAGCTATATAGCCAGTTAGAAATGGAGGTTAACCCCCGAAGCGCCACTTGTTCTAGCACTATCTTTGCTGACTCGTGGGACGGAAAGCATTTACACCATGTGTAAAATGAAACTATCCCATAGTCCTCGGATTCATCCACGAATCATGGTGCAAATCATGCAGTCCAATTTACAAGATGGTACCTGACTCCATCTACCGGGTGAATTCTGCAGGATTCCCCAGAAAGATTGAAACACAAGCTCATCACCTGCCAATTCAAGGCAAGGCCGGGGCAGCCACAGAGATAGCAGCGTAGTATAAGCTTAATTAGCCCTGTCACTAGGCGGGCTTAACTCCGCTCTTAGGCTTCGAATCAGCGTATCGAGATGCTGAATCATTTATTTTTAAAGTGTCTCAATTCTGGTAAAAGTTGCCTATTTTGAAGAAGTGATCCGTGTGAAGGCTATCTGTCTGCTCTAGTACTGAAGAATACTTAGATTATCTTATTGCTTCCGATCGGAAGAAGTGATACATTTCACTACAGCCATGCTACTATTCGCATTGTGTAGTTCTTCAGGCATCGTATTATTTGGAGCGTATAGCGTTATACCTAGATACTGGCCAAGAGTTCATTGTCAATCGTCGGGGTAGATCTACAAGTACTTGGAGAAGAAAGCTCCGATTTCCTTGTATCTATCATCAAACATAAATATCAGCAACTCTCCAAGTTGGTAATTCGAAAAGACAATACTCACCCTCGCTCATACTCCTTCTTATTCTCAGCATCATCGAGATCGGCGCGTGCACCCATCCAGCCGTGGTGCATGGTCGTGTAAGTTTCGACATAAGAGTCAAGTGAACTCTTCTCGAAGATGGCCTTGTATTCGGCAGTCACGTCTGTAGACTCATCTTTTGAGGCGAGGACGACATGGGGAATGACTGCATTCTTGGCATCGTTGGCATCGTACAGTCTTGATATCCATTAAAAAGACGGACTTTTCTCTTTAGTGTCTGAGAACTCACCCGGGATGTACTTGGCCGGAGACAGCATATGAAGTCCCTTCTGTAGATTCGAGGACAGCAATCTGTCATACATACCTCAGCACAATCCAGACCTTCAATCTCAAAATAATGTGCTCACCTTCCCACCCCAGCAAAGTCCTAAAATACCCCATTTCTCAACACTAGGATACTTACCCTTCGCCTCCGCCAACCAAGCATTCACCTTGGGCAAGACCAATGGCGGTGCAGCATTTTCCGCGAAGAAAGTCTGAAAAGCGATCCTCTTCTCCTCATTGTCCGGTGGGATCCAATCGTGCAGAGCGTACCAGTTCTCCAAAACGTCCGGCACAAAAGTCACTGCACCGGTTTGAGCGGCTAGTAGGTCTGCTCCCTGCAGGGTTTGGGGGTAGAAGCCGAAGATGTCGTAGATCACGACGACGCCGGATTTGGAGGATGTGTTTCCGGTGACATCTGAATGTCGTGGCCAGGTACTTTGTAGTCTTAGATGGTGTGGACGACTACTTACAGGTATCGAGATTGGCAATCTTTACTACAGGGACTTTTTGGTTGGTCCCGATAGGGGTACGAGTACAGCAACTCTCGGCAGTAGACATGATAGCATATAGATTCTTGTAAATACTCCAAACGATTATTGGAAAAAAAAATTTGATATAATGATAGAGACCCATTTAAAGAATTTATACCTGCTTCTTATGCCGTAATATATCCATCCCCGAGCCTCAGTTCAGCCCCGCTATCAGCACAAGGAAAATGCGCACGTAGGACAACTTATCAATCTCCAATCCCAGCATTGGGAACCGGAACGTTCACGTTTCAGTTCATCTCTTCTTGTGAAGCTGTATATTCGCAGATACACTAGTGCCTGTATCAGCCCGGGACCGGTCAATCGCTGAGTCAATTCGGGAATCCTGACTGATCAATTCAAAAAGTGTTAAAAAATGATTTATATCATAGCAAAAAAATAGTTTTAGGGTGCAGAAAATGGGAAGGCCTGGGCAAGCCACCAAAGCAAAAGTTCTACGACACGGGTAAGGATCATACTGGTCTCGACTCGCGGCCTGTGTTCTGGATTCCTGATCTTTCTGGTTGCTGCACCCAATCCTCCATCTAAGATATGAAACTCATTGCAAGAGTGTCAATATGACACTCTCTGGAACATATCAATTATCAAGCACTACTAGCTGGACCCTTTCAAAAACCATTCTCCGGAACATCCACCACCCATCACTTCAAAACACACCACATGCATACATGAAGAAGAAAAACTTCAATTCCCTACTATATCGCTATCATCATCATCATCATCACCAGCCAGAGTTGACTCTAAACATACTCCATGGACGCCCTTCTACCATAATGAAGCCGATTTAATCGAAAAGAACATGCTCGATAGCGGTTGCCGGACATGGGGTGTCGTCATGTAGAGATGCACCTACAAGAGCAAGTCTGACTGGGAGGAATTCATGCGTCGCTTCCTCCATCATGTTAGATATACACTCGAGTTCCATGACGGCCTTGATATGCTAGATTCATTTGTGCCTACGGTTATAGACGATAGGGAGCGGTTTGACAGTGTCACTCAGCTATTGTGCGTGATTATTTCAGCCAGTGGGCGCGTACTGCGTGTGAAACCGAACAGGGGATTCCGTTTGATCGTGCCCAGTGGAATCCATGGTATAGATTATGTATTATGGTTGACGAGGAGACGTTGCAGTCCGTTCTGGACATTCCACCTGAGGATGTGGACAGCTATAATAGCACTGGCTTTGTGATTCTGATCGATGGTACGTGGCAGCCATATCTCCTGAGTGAAGAAGATTTAGAGGGTTATATCAGCCCTCCACCGGAGAATGATTTCGAGCCAGTCCAGGGGTGCACGCTGGAAGATGTAGGCTGGATGAAGGTGCACTGTCATCGGGCTCAAATAGTGGCTTCTGCTCATATTTGCGATGGCGGTGACTGGGAGAGGGAGTATAGTCGTCCTCCTGAGATTGGTTTCTTCTGATCTGACATTATACTACCTTGGAGCCGTTTTTGATACTAAATGGTCGACCCTCTTATAGTAAAAGTGCACAGAATTGGCAACTCGGGACTTCCGTCAGCTTGAAAATGTCAAAAATAATCTGATCATCGCTAAAATTACATTCAAGCGCAATATGTTAAGGCACTATCTAAGGCAACTAATTTCTACGGACGGAGACAAGGACCACTAGCGCAGAGCTTCCTAAAGGAAAATACGATTCCGCACAAGCAATGATGTTGCTTTGCTCTATTTTGCTGGATCTTACCGGTTGCAACTACCAATTTCAAGAGTCTGGGGGTTTAATTTACCTCAAAGATATTAAAAAAACAACAGGAATGAAACAGTCGCCTCCTAAAATCGTTGACCTACCGTTATAACGACCCCGCCATCGAGACAATTTCTCCGAATTCCTTTCACAAAACAGCTCAAGATGACTGCCACAGTCCAGTCCCTACGAGCCCTCCTCCAACGCTCCACAATCGAAGATCACGATGAAATCCTCAAAGCTAGCAATGAAGTACTGAAAAAGTCTAAGACGGACATTCAAGCACAGCATTCAAAAGTGGTGGCATTGATTAAACTCGATCGATATGACGATACATTGCGCGTATTCGAAGATGCTGGAGATGCGCTGAAGGGGAAAGCTGCGGTGGAATACGCCTATGCACTGTATAAGTGTGGGCGATTAAGGGAGGCTGCAGAGGTTGCTGCGAAGTCTGCGGGGGGACGGGGTGCGAAACATGTGGAGGCTCAAGCTGTATGCTTTTCTTCGCCTCTGCGTGCTATTCTTGAGGAATCACTAAACTGATATTTTCCGCTGTGTAGAGCTACCGTGCTGAAAATTTCGCCAACGCAGCGACGATATATGATGGCCTGTTGGGAGACGAGGAAGAGCTAGGTAATGAGTACAATGACCTGCGCATTAACACTTGGGCTACAGACGCACAGAGGTTATGGCAAAGAGAGGGCGATTTGTCTCGAGCGAGGAAACCTGCCCGAGAGGATTTGGAATCATTCGAGACTTCATACAATGCGGCTTGTGCAAGTTTGGCCAGGGGTGATCTCAAGCAGGGTGAGATACTGCTGAAACGAGCAAAGGGTAAGTCAGCAGTTTCATATTCAATGCAGACAGTAGACTGATTTGTGTAGAACTTTGCAAAACATCCGAGGATTTATCGCCGGAGGAGAAAGAGAGTGAACTACTACCTATCGCCATCCAGCAGCTTTATTCACTCGTCATCCAAGGTAAATTGGAAGAAGCGGAAGAGATTGTGGAGGAGATTTCACTCGACAAGTAAGCAATGCCTCCTCTGAGTTCATTTCTTTTACTCACATCTTCTAGCATTGTAGAAAAGTCGACCGCGAGAATCGCCCAGAATAACATCCTCATCACACAACATCAGAATATCAACCCGTACATACTACACAAGAAATTTCACGAAGCCCCAGAGCCTGAAGGAAGCGATACATTTTTCAAGTTCCAATCGGATACTCTCGAGGCAAACTCACATGCTCTTGATCTACAAGTCCAAAAATATGATGGCGTGATCCGATCGACGGCCAAGGCACTGGCACGACGACCTTATCCCTCCACCAATCCCCACGATAATTTGCTCTCGATTTACAATGCTGCCGCTCGAGTGCGCGGCGAGACCAATCAGAAGGCTATTCAGGAACTACGCTCGCTGCTCGACCGACGACCTAAGGATATTGGGCTGGTCCTTACTATCGTTCAATTGTATGCCGGAGAAGGAAACACTACATCAGCGGTCAATGTCTTGGAAAGTAGTTTACGGTCACTGGAAGAGTCGATTTCTGAGAGTGATCAAGCTGTCCGCTACAACCCTGGGTTGGTCAGCGTTTTGATTGCATTGTATCAACGCGAAGGTCGCAAGTCGCATATCAAGACAGAGCTTGCCAAAGCAGCATCCTTCTGGCGCAAACAAAGTAGCGAACAGCAACCATCTTCACTATTGCGAGCTGCAGCTGCATCCCTACTTCATTCGTCTGACCCTGCCGATCTGGCTATTTCGCAGGAACTGTTTAGCACTCTCCGAAAAAAGAATCCAGCTGATAAATTCGCACTCGCGGGCTATGTAGCATCTTACGCTACCAGTGACTTACAAAAAGTGCAGAAGGAACTCAACATTCTACCCAGATCCCAAGATCTAGTATCCGATATCGACATCACGGCTTTGGAAAGCGCTGGCGTTCCTCAATCACAAGCCAGTCTTGCAGCCAATGCCGCCGTCATTGCCGGTGCCCGCAAGAGAGCGGCAAAAGAACAACAAAATGCCCGAGCGAAGAAACGCATCCGCAAGTCGAGATTACCCAAGGATTACGATCCGAGCAAGAAGCCTGATCCGGAGAGATGGCTACCACTCCGTGACCGATCTTCGTATCGGCCAAAGGGGAGGAAGGGGAAACAAAGAGCGGCGGATAGGACGCAGGGAGGAATTGTGAATGAAAAGGTTGAAGCAGAGAAGCAAAAGGCTGCTACTGGTGGTGGCAGTACTTTGGCGAAGAAGAAGAAGGGCAAGCGGTGATCACATGTATGCAAAGAGTATAACGGTAATATTGTTCAGCCGTACTACTAGCATAGTACTAGCTCTGTAATTAATTACCCCTCAAACCAGTCGAAACCCCTCCATCTAAGCCACACTTCGTTGTATCGAGGCAGTAAATAAACATCAGTCATGATTAATCCATTTCATCAACTCTTCTGTCACTTTCCTTCACTTCTCGACTCGGATTCTCCATTGCAACTTGTACTGATTGATAAGTGACTGAATCATGGGAGTAAGTATACCCATGCTAATATTCGAATCCGGCAATCTACCTCACGGAGTATAGGATAAACAACCGCAGTACTGACAACATCCAACAGTTCGCATCCAAAATCGCAGCTAGTCAACCCCCCGGCGGCGGTGGTGTCTACTCAGGAGCTCCTCCAGCTGGGTATACAGGTGGTCCTCCACCGGCACAAGGCGGATCTCAGTACGTAAGTAACATGTTGCCTCCATTTCACCGAGATGAACCTGATCAATAATACATGCCTAACTGACAAAGAAACAGCCCGGCCAGCAGCAGTATCAGGCATACCAGCCTCCTCAGCCACAAGGAGGGCAGCAACAACCACCGGCCTCAGGTGGCACGGTAGGTCCATAATTTATTTCTACTCAGGCATCCATCCCTCATCTATCAAGCTTTTCTTTTCTTACCCTTGTCTTTTAGCTCACCCCTCTCTCAACTCTCCTTCTCTTTACTTTTACAATCAGTCGCTGTCGTTGATTTTATCGTTGCATTCATCCCTTTCTATTTATCGTTTCTCTGTTTCATTTCATCTTCACCATGTCCCGCCCGTACGGACAGTATCCAGGCCAGCAACCTCCATACCCTGCTACGTCATCCCCGCAACCACCTTATCCCGCATACAGTCCTGGCCCTCCTCCTCAACAGCCACCACCTCCTTCTATCACACCAGGATATCCTCCTCAGCAATCACAGTATAATCAGCAGCTACAGCAGGGTGGTTACTCGAGACCCCCCGCGCCTCTGCCACAATACGGTGGTGGTACTACCCCGCAACCACAGCAGTCTTATGGTCAACCCCCTCCAGGACCGGGACAGCAATTGCCTTATCCACCTAGTTATAACAATCCTGGCGTTCGTTTATCCATATTTGAATTGATTTTCGTCGAATTTACTTTTTCTTTGGTAAGCTTTGCGACTGACTTCAGATTGAATAGGGCTCCTATGGCGCGTATCCTCCACAAGGACCTCCAGCAGGATCAGGCAACTATGGCGCTCCGTGTTCAGGAGGTTATAGCGGCCCAGCTCGCACTGCCACACCTCAAGAACTCTCAACATACAGGAACCTTTTGATCGCAACCATCCAAGAGCGACAGCTTCAACCATTCTACCCACCCGATAAACTAGAACATGTCGTCCGAGGTCTTGAAAGTGCGCCCGACCGTATTCAGCAGCTTATGCGTGAATGGAATGTCGGCCAGGAAGTCGCCATGGACGTCGTTAAATTGGCTCTGTTCGATACTGTGATCTACGTCGACGATAGTGGCTCCATCCAATTCGAAGAAGATGGAAGCCGATTGACTCAACTGAGACAGATTCTTGGTCTCATTGCCACGGCAGCATCCAAATTCGACTCTGACGGTGTCACTATTCGATTCATGAACTCCGACGAACGAGGCGACCATATCCGCAGCCGCGAAGATGCCGAAGCCCTTGTGTCACGTGTCCGTTTCTCCGGTCTTACACCAATGGGTACCAGTTTAAAGAACAAGGTCTTAGATCCCTTAGTCACCGGTCCTGCTCGAGCTGGTCGTCTTGAAAAGCCTGTTCTGGTTATCACGATTACTGATGGTCAACCTGCTGGTGAGCCGCACGGCGCTGTTAAAGATGCTATCCGCTCTGCTACGGACGAGTTGAGTCGTTCTCGCTACGGTCGTGGTGGTGTGAACTTTCAGTTTGCGCAGGTCGGCACTGATTTGCATGCACGTCAGTTTTTGGCTAAGCTTGATGAGGATCCTAGCCTTGGTGGATTGGTTGATTGTACTTCTAGTAGGGATAAACCACCTCTGAGATAGAGATTGCTGCTAACTGTTCAATTAGGTTTCGAAGTTGAGCAGGATGAAATGGCACGAGCAAACCCACCTGTTAACCTCACACGAGAGCTCTGGGTGTGTCCTCTTCTGAAATCATACGAGAATACAGACTAATCCATTTCCAGGTCGCCAAAGTCATGCTCGGAGCCATCGACTCGTCCTATGACACCAAAGACGAAAAAGCACAAGCTACCCCCGCACCAGTAGGAGGTCAATACGGCGGCGGTGGTTATGGCCAAGCACCTCCATACGGTCAACCCCAAGGCGGATATCCGCCACAACAAGGAGGATACGGTCACCCCCCTCAACAAGGAGGATATGGTCAACCTCCTCAGCAAGGATATGGCCAACCGCCTCAACAGGGAGGATATGGCCAACTCCCGCCTCCACAGCAGGGATACGGACAACCAACCCAGCAGCAGTACGGTGGATACGGATCCCCTCCACCTGGCCAGGGGGGACCATATGGTCAGCCTGGATATCCGCCTCAGCAGGGATATGGTGCGCCACCTCCTCGTCGGTATTAGTTTCAATCCTTTAGTTTGATGACATAGTTATCTGAACTCTGCTGTGATGATGGGAGTCAAGAAAACGCAAGGAGAAGCGAGGTTGATGATGGCTCTGTATAGTGTATGAAATGACTTGCAAAATTCATATCCTTATTACTTCAGTACATTTCTAGTAGTTTTATATCGTGTCGATCTAATCCCGAACAGATTCTACGATACAGCACAGTCATACCTCCTATGAATAATGTTGACTTTAGGCCTAATCATACATATATATATACACCACTCCATAACTTATATACCATAACTCATCACATAACATAACTACTCATAAGAAATCATAGGGTATTTGAACCGTAAACCACGAAAAACAGACATAAATGCTACCTATTCTAAAATGAGAAGACAGTAAAAAAAGCAAGAAATCATAATTGCCCCCTTTTTATCGTCCCAAAACCTTTACTGAATAAGTCATGGATATCATGCGATTTTCGGCGCGGGTTTGCAGAGGCCACAGATCCTGAGCGGCCGACGACGGCAGCCTCTTCGTCGATTTCGCCTCGGACTGGTGACGAGGAAGAATGGCGAGTTGTTCTGGGTCGATTGAGGTATTCATTTACTTCCCTCTCTCTCGCTAACTGCTCCTCTTCGTTACGCGCGATTTCGAGGCTTGATTTTACCTTGTCGCTGGCCCGGTCCCAGCCCTGCTGTAATTCCGAGGCGGCTGCTTCTTCGAATCGTCTCTTGATTGCCGGGTCGCGTTCGAGGTGTTGGAAGATGTCCACATCGGTCGGGAAGAAGTACTGTCTGAACAACGTCACTGTTGTCTCGAATAGAAGCACAGATGCGACGATGAGAAATAAAACAGCCCAAAAATTGAGACTGCGACCGATACGAGTGAGAAAATTGCCGTGGACGTCATAGATGGATTTTCCGGATTTAGCGTCGTTATAGCGGGTTGAGAGGATGATGTTCCATAGGAACCAGCCTCCGATAGAGACGAATAGGACAATGGCTGAGGCGATGGTTTTGTAGTGAATTTCGAGGAACTGGAGTTTGAAGTTGATGATGATTACGCATGCGGTGAATGTGAGGAGACCCATGGGAAAGATAGTGTTGTCGACGCCGATGAGTGATTGCCCGAAGAGACCGTACATGGTGTAGAAGACGATGACGGCTTCGATTACAGCCATTAGTGCCCAGCCGAGGTAGATGCGAATGTTGAAGCCTTGGTTACGTTGACCCTTCGTGTATAGCTCGGGTACTGCAAGTAAGGTTGATGCGGAGAGGTCTTTTTCCAATATGCCTAGGAAAATCACAGCGAGAGATGTGAACAATGTATTGAACATACTCAATGACCAGTTCTCGTACAGACTAGTGCCCGTGTAGCCATTGTAATGCTGAAATAGAGCTTGACTGAGGTAGAATAGCATCTCCTTCCAGAATGTTCCCAAGGTATACTTGCAAATCCGGTTATAGTTCCAGCGACCGTGAACAAGCAGAAGCTTGAGTAAGAAGCGGAATTGTGCAATGGAATAATCGGATATTCTGGCGGCTTGCAGACCCTCCTTTCCGGTAATACCAATGCCGACATGCGCTTCTTGGATCATAGCAATATCATTTGCCCCGTCACCGATTGCCAAGGTAATCGCATTCAAGACATGCTTTCGCACGGATTTGACCAAGAACGCCTTTTGCTTGGGACTAGCGCGGCAACAGATGACAGAATCAACCATAATCGCTAGCTTGAAGAATCGAGGTAGCAGGATTTCGTCGCCTTCAATCATCGATAATGTTTGTCCATCGATCACCAGCACCGAATGGGCCATCCGACCCTTGCGGATACTATTGATGGTGCTGACAATGGTCTTTTCCACGTCACAAGCCTCATGGTCAAGGATAATAACCTCGGAATACTCCTTGACAAGTCGACAAGAGTGGCCAATGTTGATTGCCGTCTCACGTTTGTCACCAGTCAACATCCAGAGCTTGATATTCGCCCGTCTCAACTTATCAATTGCCTCCGGTACACCCTTTTGAAGTTTGTCTTCAATGGCCGTGGCACCGACTAGCTCGAGCTGAGTTTCAATTTGCTCGCCCACCTTTTCAATCTTTTCTTGTCGATCTACCAAACTCGTGCTTGCCTCGTGGTATGCTTGCTTCCATTCTGTGTACGTAGACTCGTCCAGGAAACGAGAAGCATACATCAAAGTACGCAAACCTTCTGTAGCGAAATCGTTCAAATGCTGGAAGCATCGTTCAAACACAGCGTGATCATCCACAACTAGACTTTCCTCGACCAGATACCCATCATCTTCTTCTTGGAAAGAAGGACGACCATCCGATGAAGCCATTGAATTCCGGTTAAACTGGGCTGATGGTCGGGGACTGTAATACTCACTGCCATTGTCTTTGTTGAGCATACCACCATCGGTCTCGCGATCCTTGAGCCAGATATCAACACTACGACGGAGAGAATCACGTTTTCCAGAAAGTCCACTGGACACTCTCCGGGAAAGGCTAGGCTTTCGAACGTTGATAGGACTGTGGTGTTCGCTGTTACGTCGCATGGCCTCAATGGCTTCCTCCGCCTTCCGTTGGCTAGCTCGTCTCTCAATTTGCACTGCCTTTTGTTGTGCCAATGATGCCTGTCGGAGTAATTTCGTGATGGTCGAATCTGCGCCTTTACAAAAGAGACAGATCCGTTGATCTGGCATGCGCACAACCACGGACATTCTCTTCCGAGCACTAGTGAATTCAATCACATCCAAAACTTCGTAGGTTTCGTCCCATGGATCATCATCAAGGCCAGATGGATAAGTCCGCACGGTCAAAGTCTTTTGTTGTCGGTCCATAACCAAGTACCCTAATTGCTGTGCAGCTGTTACCAATGCCATCTCATCAGGAGACGCAGCTTGGTAGGTGATATTCCCAGCCTCGTCTTGTTCCGGTATACAAGTATGGCACAATGCCAGAGACAGAATGAAAAACTTGGCCTTGCGAGCAAACAGAGTATGGGGTTTGCGTTGGATGTATTCCAACATTTGCGTGGTATTGCCTCCACGGAACTGTTTGCTGTGCATGACTGACCGAGAACGAGACGGTAGCTCACCGTGCACAGATGCTGTAGACATCCGGAATGACGATGCTCGATGGATGCTCTCCACTCCAGATTTGCGACTCATTGCTTTCTTTCCTTTGACGCTTCGCTTTTTGTGTATCAACCAGTGCTTGTCAGCATCTCTAGCAGCTTCCTCGCGCAGATCGGAATCGTGAAGCCAGGCGGTACCGGCAACACTCATCATGCGAAATTTCATGGTATTGTTTGTCAACGTGCCGGTTTTGTCGGAAAAGATGTAGCTGACTTGGCCGAGTTCTTCGTTGATAGTCGACGTTCTTGCTTCAAGAGGAGTATCTGACTCCTCATCGTACATATCAATGTCGTTAAGTAGGAGCATCTGACCCACTTTGACGATTTCCATGCTCACATAGAGCGAAATGGGAATCATGGTATTGAACATGATCAAATAGGAGGTGAATACAGGACCAATAGCAACAGTCGCATGGTTAAGATACCATGCATGTTCCTGGTAGTTTTCGTCCCAGACACTATAGGCAATCGTGCAAATCATCGCAATGAGAAGAACCATGGCCACAATGAGGACAACAACATAATTGACCACAGTTTGCAAGGTGGGTTTCTTGATTCGAGGATTCTTGTTCGCATTCATCCGGATCTTGCATTCTTCGCCGGTGTAAATGACCATGGCATAGATTCGTTCGGTATTTCGTAGGATACTGCCTCGGTACAGTATCTCAGTGTTGGTGATAGGCAGCTTCTCATCGTCAACAGTAACGTTGCCATCGAACTTGTACAGATCGATGTTGGGATCTTCCACAGTGAACCGGATATAGCGTCTCCGTGCAATGATATCTTCAGGGGTCTTGCAGGCTTTTGCCACAGCCTGACAAGGTTGTTTTGTCTTGAGGTTCGTCTCACCGTCCAGAGCCATGGTTTCAATATGCGCAACGCCATTTTGGCCGTCTGAATGTAAAAGCACAACATCTGCAGGCACTGCTTGGTTGCGACGAAGCTGAATAACGTCTCCGACTCTGACGTCTTGCCACTTGACAGCCACCCAATCTCCGTCGTTTTCCAGCGCTGGAGTTGTGTCTTTCGTAGGCTTTTCCATTTCCCGCTTTCGTCGGCCGTCTGGTTGCAGAACATGTACGTAGCGGTTGTTCTCTTCTTTATCCAAACGATATCGACGCAGATCATCGAACCCTTCCTTGCCCATGGAGATACCGACGAAAATCAACAGAGGAATAATTGTCGTAAAAGTACCAGTCGTACTTAGACCAGGAATCATCTGCATAATGGAAACCACCAGAAAGTAAAAATTGGCAATTTTAGAAAATTGCGCAACAAGCTGTTTTGGAAAGAAGCTCCATAAGCTATACCGACTTGAGCGAATCGAGTTGTTAACATATGGACTACCGGATCTCTCATCAACTAGTGCGTCTACCGCACTAACATTCAGCTCAATATGGCGACCATCCTTGGTAGGTGGCAATGGTTTGATTCGGAAGACTTTCTCTTTGATGGTCTCATTCCATTGACTAAAATGCTCGTACGCTTTCGATTCGCAAGCCGCTGCCTTCAACCAATTCTGACCGGCAGTTAGGGATAAAGTATACTTGAGCGGGGTTGACTCGGAATATGTCGAGGATATCGCATCGTCGTCCTGAGTATCCGTTTCCAGCGTTTGTACCGGGCGAATTTCCTCTTCAGCCACAGAAACTTTCTCTTGTGTATCAGAGCCCTTCGCCGTGGACGGACGCTTCGTTTGCAGTTCGATGCTTGGTCCAGTTGTCTCCGTAACCGACTGGATATTCCTCGCGAACAAGGTGCGTCGAAGCGAATAGCCTCGATCTCGAGTTCGTGACTGCGGCGAAGGAGGGGAAAGCGGCGTATTCGTAATTGCGCTACCGCTGTGGACAACTCGACTGTTGGGTGACACCACACTGGGGAAAGATTCCACATCCGTGTTGATTCTGAGTCCCTTCGCCGTTGGCGGTCGCTGCGCATCCGCGCTATGCCTTGTTGATCCGTCATAATTGGCGGGCGGCAGTCGCTCGATCTCCGACGAAAAACGCACTTTCCCCGGTACATGCTTGCTATGTGTATCGAGTGATCTCCGTGTTGGCAAAGTCGCTGCCCGTCCGATATGCGACTGAGGTGGTTGTGGTGATACTTCGGATCTATTCCCGGATGTATCCGCAGTAACTTGTGTCGTACCTTCATCGCCCTGAGCCGCCGCCTGCTCTGGTAATTGAGGATGGTCTCCTTCTCTGCCGCTCATATTTGCAACCTCTTTCCTCCAAGGAGCATCCAAACCGTACTCTCCTTTTTATAACTGCTCCTGGTTCGTTCGAATAATGCGAATTATCATCTGTGATTCATAGCGTTGTGCAATTGAGTTGAGTCGTGCAATCAATGGATTGATGAAATTGATAGTCGTAAACGATTTGAATATGTCGTTGAACACTCCTAGACGTCGATGTAGCCGCCGTTGTTGAGAGATCGTGCCACTCTGACCACGGTGGCGCAGGATGTAAAGACTGGAAACGAGGTTTGAGGTTCCCGGGGCCCCGACTCAAGACAGGAACAATCGATAGGGGCTCTTCTTCGTATGTACAAGGAGAGAAGAGAAAAGCACACAATAATAACAACAAAACAGAAAATATGTAAAAGCAATCAGAACAGCAATTGTGCGACGAGGACTTCGGATGCAAACGTGGAGGAAAATGGAAGCCTTGGTTGCGGCGAGTGGCTATGTAAGACAATGACACCATGCGGGGATCTGATTGGCTGCTTACGATGACGTTCTCATACGCTGACGCTAGTCCAGATTAGTGCAATGGCTAGTGGCTTATCGATAAACCGTAAGGCACCAATTTTGTCTCCCCAGCTTCTTCTTCACCTTTTTGATTCGACATGCTTCATGTAACCTATATGCACCAGGATACAGTGGCAATGAGACACAGTCAGAACTATATGTACAGCCACATCTGTCTGATTACTGCCTGCCCCGGAACTCCGTCTGGACTGTTGTTAAATTCTATTTTTACTTTTCTGTGCGTGCAGAGCAGATGGATCTAGATCTTCCTGACTCCGTACAGTCGAGGATGAGAGAGTAGTACGTACGTACATTGAAGCTTTGCGGGAACGGAATTACATCCCCAGCCACACTCCCATGACCAGATTTATACCCATATATCCGGTGGTCGATACATTGGCAAAAGACGAAATTCGATTTACTCAGATAACTAGTTACTCAGATTCAGGGAAATGAGCCCAGACATTCCGTCGTGGTGGGGGCTAGGCAGGTAGCAGGTATTCCGAACATATGAAGGCGAGGCCAAGCGACGTAGGTGAGCTCGGCACGCATAGCCTTAACCCTAACCCTAACCAATCATGTCGCATGCACATGCAGATGCAAAGGTGCGACATGTGTAAACGGTGTCAACTCAGATCCTAGTGATATACGTATTACGAACTATTACGCACCATTCCCTGTATTCATCATATGCTTGGTATTTTGCTTGGTATTTTGCTTTATCTTTTGCTTTTATAAGTGGCAGTCCCAAGTCGCCTCCCATATGCGTAGTGCGCTAAGTATAAATTTCAATCGCGGATAGTCGCCTGATACCACCGTTACCACGGCCCCCAATTGAGGCTAGAACGTGAAACCATCATTGAGTGAAAGGATGAGATAGCCCAGGCTGAGCAAGAACAAATGTGTATGCGCGTCAAGGATTCAAGATTAAAGGTTTCTAGTACTATTACTCTTATGCGGCTCTACATAGTACGCCTGGTCCCATGATTGAATGGTAGAAATAAATGGTCCGCTGCCAATATCAGCTTGTCTTATCAAGGAATGTTGGCTTGATCGGATTGGCCACTTTGCCTCTGGACGCCCTCGGCGCCAAATATAGCCATGTTTCTTATTGGTCAGGAGAGGTGCCAAGCACGGGTTTTTTCAGCCTCAAGAGTATTAGTAAGATCATGAAGCAATCTCGTTGGTCCATGAATAACCCCTTAACATGAGTCTGCGCTTATGAAAGTGGAAAGGAAATTTTATCCCTGCCCTTGTCGAGTTTAAAGCCAGTTGGATATATCTCCCATCGTCCGATAATCTTCTGATTTTTCCTTTACATTAGTTCACAGTCATTCGTTTGAGTACTCCCGTCACACAAGTCCTTTTTGAGATCACCCACCACTTACTCTCGTTTACAAAAACAACAAACAATCATGCGCTCTACAACTTTCGCTGTAACTGCCCTAGGCATGGCTGCGCTCGCCACAGCCCAAGATGGCCTTATAAGCAACTCCAAAGCCAGCACTCCTTCACCAACAACATTCGCATCCGGCACTACCACCATCAAAATCTTCGAAGCCGGCGAAACGGGCCTCGACCCATCTGGTTATGCGGGAAGTATCATCAACATCAATGCTGCCGCAACCACAGTTCTTCTCAACTGCGTCGACCCCAATGACGAAAACTGCCAGAGTGGCATTACCATGACCGCCGGCGCCTCGACCTGGGGCTATCAATGGACCACCGAGGAAACATTCTACGGCTACCCCGTGACCGTGGTCGCCAAGATGGGTTGCAATGTAATATCTTCCACGCAAGAAGCTACTTGCGTCGTGACTGCGGAAGCTACTGCTTCCGCCGAGGGTCAAAAGACCACTAGCATCAGCAGTACCACTACCGTCTTCCCCAGCAAGGAGATCACTTATGAAGCCTTGCTCATTACCGCTGGTGTTGAGAAGTTGGCTAGTCCGCAGGCTACCGCGACTCCCAAGGGTGCTGGTGCCGTGGTTGCTCCTCCCGTTCCTACGGGTAGCTTTAAATTGGGTGGAATGGCTGCGGCTGCTGTTGTTGCCGCTGCTGGATTGTTGTAAATAGTGCCGTGACTACTAATATTGGGCTGTACTTCATTTCTTAATGCTGTGATACCATGATGCTGCGTGTTCAAAAAGATACCTTCTTTCTTGGCTTGGTCGCGAAATGTCTCATTTTGTTGACAGAAAATAAAATCGGTAACCGACTTCGTGCATATTCATGTTTCCTTCACTATCAGCGACACAATTCCGGAAGATGCAGGCTAAGTATCTCTGGGAATGAATACAGGTCTTTTTGGGAAACGCCATGTTCCTTGAAGCGACATGATGACAGAGGGAGAAATTAGGAATTCAACTCTACTGCGTTCCCTAGATATCACATAGGGATGTACTGGTCGTGCTATCCGGTATCCAGCAATGGCCTTCCCTTGTGCAAAGTATCTACACTCCAACTCGGTAAATCCAAATTCAAGTAATCTTTAGTTAATTGCACCCGAGCATTGCATATCCTAACTTGATATTAAGCTTGATTGAGGTCCTACCCATGCTCATTTAAATTTAAATAAAGTATCTGCAATTACACCATTCATTGGCTGAAATCTTGCGAAAACTTAGATACCTGATTATAACGAACAGAAGATCTCTGGGGATCTAAGTTAATACATCCAGGTGTGAGTTTTATTTGGAAATAAACGATACCTTAATATAATATCCTATTTTATTATTAACAATTAAGGTGCTCTTCAGTTCCATACGAAAGTAATCCACCCTGAGATCTGTATAAATATGGAGGGGCTTTCATTCGTTATAGCCAGGTTCTCCTGTAATAAGCAAACAAATACTTGAACTCAAACTCTTCTTCAACTCATCGATCTTCTCCTGCTCAGGTTTGAGCTGGTCCTTCATCCTCCTCATCTCCTCGACCTCCTTCTCCCCTCTCCTCCAATTCCTCCCAAAAGGTTTTAAAAATGGCCCAGTGCTCTTATTCCTGCAGCCTGGTTCAGTTGAACATCAAGATTCCAACTCTTCCAACACTTTCGATCTTTAAGCCCTTTGAACGTTTTAGGTGCTCGAAATATAATCCTTAGTGCCAGGAATTGCCCTTCAGTAATATCACTGCCAGAATCAAGGCAATTCTGAGGTAGGTCGTTGATGTGTGGGACCTTAGTGTTTTCGATGAGCTGATTCAGCATTTTGGGAGTTGTGGGCACTTTGAATCCTGCGACTTGGTATGTGTGAGCGTGGAGAGGTTCCTCAGTTTGGTGTCCAATTGCGAGTACGATCGCGATCGGGGGAGTCCAAGCGACCTGAGCGTCCAGGTCAGACGAATGGCTATCGATGCATTGCTGTAACCTCGTCATCGACGAACCAACATAGTTCATGTCTTTCTCTTGTCCGTGATGCTCAGAACGAAAAAAGATACCGTATACTTCTTGGTGCCTAGTATTTCCATCAAAGTTACGAAGCAGCTGCCAGAAGCCAGAATTCTGCTCGCAATATTCATCATGAGAGATTTCGCTCCTATTTTTGGAGCCAGAAACATCGGGGCTTAGTTCCATTCCTAGCTGACAGTTTTTGTATTCTTCTGCCGTCGGAGCCTGTTTATCTTTCAAAATACTTTGAATAAAATAGTCCAGACTGTCTGGGAGAAAGACATATTATGGATCGATCGAATTGTCAGATTTCGAGTGGCAGTAGGCTTGGGCGGCGCTGCTTCTCCACGGGGAGATTAACCCCTTTTTCACGAGTCTCCTTCATGAATTCTTCAAAACGATATTTATACTATTTCCAGGTTAGTCCATATAATCAGCACTCAGAAGTGTAGTATACTTACGTCTGCCATGGGCTGCTCTTTTTTATCCATCTTTCCAGATAGCGCCGCATCTCCTTCCATCTGTACAGATGGATCTCAATGTGATGAACTGTTAGACTCGACTCAGTAGTATTCTTCTCTTTCGACTTACTGCTCCTGCATCTTCGGCTATAAATGGCAACATTGCCTCAGGCAATGTATATCCTGCTCAGAGACATCCTGATACTCGCGGTCAGACTTGAGGTTTACTTCCTCCGTTTCGGAGGAATCCGTGACCCATCGGACGCATCGAGCTTTGCATCTGAATCATGCGACTCTGATGCTTCGTCGACCACATCGTCGCCAGCAGAGACTTTGAATGGGAATTTGTATGGTCCTTAACTGGGATGCAATCCTCGTTCGATGCTTTGGGCCTGGAATCTCATCTCTCATAACACTCGACTTCGAGATGCTAGAGCTAGATCTAGGGCCAGGTGAGGTTGAAACTTGGGCATTTCTGTCGCTGATAGCAGAGCGCAGGAGGAAAAGAACCCGGCGTTTCTGTGGTACAATAGAGGAATCCATTGTATCGATATGAATTTCAGTTCGCTGATTAAGAATTTCAAAGCTCCTGTAATCTAGTAGAGCATTGAAAACAAGATACTTTGTTAGAGAGAGAAACGATGGTGTTAATGAGGATGAGAAAGGAAAGAGAGAGAAAGAAAAGATACAAAAGCAGGAGGAGAAGGAACTTCTCATTTACGAAGGAACAAACGCAGCCAATTGCCCAGGTGGATATCATTGGTGGGCTGTGCTCCTTACTCATGACCAGGGCTGCTCTTTGCCCGAGGATTTTCTCTTTCTCACCATCGTCATGTAGAGCTTGCTCATCTATTTTATTTCCAATTAAGTGCACTACTAGACTTAACACTTGGTGTAATGTACCAAGATCATGTCGCACTGCATCGCATCGCAGCAGTACCTTGCAGTATGCGGATGGCGTTAATGGATGTGTTTGATATTATCAGACAATGGTGCAGCAGTTGATCTGCCAACGACAGAATGCTGTCTGATAGCTTTATAATTATTCAAACAACTACTCTGTTGGTAGTATAATAGTAAAGATGAGTCGATGATATAATAGAATGACGAAAGGAAGCTCTCTCCGCATCTATTCTAATCTCACCTTTCATTACTTTAATATGGAAGCGAAAAGTACCTTGCGTATTAGCAGTAAAATAGATAAATATATTAGAGTGCCCTTCATCCCTAGATCAAGCTTACTTCTAGATATAATGGCCTAGGTCTTGGAAGGCCTTCTGTTCATTACAACCAGGTTCTACTGTATCACTGATCTTGTCTTCGCGATTATTCTGCTGATAGGATTCTTATTTGATAATTTTAGAGCAATTTCTAAATATAATACTGTTTGAATAGCGATCTTACGAATCACTATACGGCGCTGTAGCACGCCGTCAATTCGTACGCGAACTGGTCGGGATTACTATTCTCCGTGCGCTAGAGCGACCAACACCATATAATGTATCCAGGCACCCCGCCCCCCCCTAGTTTCGGGGGTCAGTCTTTTTTAATATTACATTTCGTGCTATATAGCAAGGCTCACCACGTAGGGCAGTTGGATCGCCCTAGCTTACGATATCCTACGCTTCGTGATACGGGACGTAGCTAAACCAACAAATACCTAGGTATTAATAGAGATAATAGGCACCTATAAGCAATGTTGTCGGCATATTGCGCAAGGCACTAATGCGATACGATATGATGCGACCTCGTAACGATTAATGCTGAAAGCTACACCATCATGCAAATAAACAATCTAATAGTGTATTATTTTACTTACAGTGGGAGTGAATTGGGTGAGTGCCCCCTATTTCATCGAACTCGAATCTACATGTTCGGAAAATTGGCTTTCTAGGGCTTCCCAGTCATGTGATCTTTGCTAAACTTTCTATATTGACTATTGCTAACTCGTTATTTCTTAATCTGACCTTTTTGAATAGATATAACCAATCGTATAAAGAATTCAAAGGATTTTAATTAGGCAATCCTCTGCACCTCTGTTTTTTTTTGGTGCGATATCAACTCATTCTATCCTATGTCTCCCGTGCTCCGCCAAGACATCACCATGCAGTTTATACGCCTGCTCCATCTTCCAGTAGAAGGGGTTTAAGGTGGAAAATAGTGCTTCGATAGATTCGAGGGAGCGGTTACGGGTTTCGGGTGAACTGGAGCGACGTAAAAATTAGCTCTCGTTTATAATATCCAGGACTATTCGTAAGCAAGAACGTACAGAGATAAAATAATAGGTATCCAAAGTAAATTGAGACCGGCGAAGAAGAAATACGTGTGGCTTGCTCTGTGTAATAGTGGTCAGCCTTCGTTTATAACGGGATCACTTGTGACGCTCTACCGTCACTGTCTTGAGCATAATCGGATTGACCAAAGTGGTCATTCCGTCGCCGATAGCACATCCAGTAATCCCAAACCCATACCTGGGTTTGCAAGTGGCTGAGGAATATTTCTGTAGGTAACAGGAATGCGACAGTGCCACAGGTTGCGGCATAACTGAGAGAGGGAACCAGGTTAGTCTAGACGGATGACTCTCAAGTCCAACGTGACTGACTTACCCAATATTGGACGATAATAGCATTGTAATAGCTCCCGAGGCATACTGAGAAGCTTTTTCTGGATTATGCAATGAGCCCTCGTAGACGGCTCCAGCCTGGCATATAGTTAGAGGTGCACATGGCAATCACACGTCGGAGTGGAGACATACAACTAAATTGACATTAACTAGGATTGCGGAACCTGCCATGAGACAGACACGGCGACCCAGACGGTCGACAATCTGAGCGCTTATTTATTGTGCAATAATGCCAACCGTGTTGATTCCCCCGGTCAGACCGTTCTGCTTGATGGCGCTGTAACCGACTTGGGGCAAGAGAACTGGAGAACACGCCGCGAAAGCCTGTATTGCACCAAGTCAGATACAGTCATAAAGAAATACTAACGGTGGATGCTCCTACCGTAATTCCTGTCCAGGAGGCCATAATTTGTAACCAGACACACAGCCAAGCTCTCCTGCCCGAGTTCGGATGCTGCTTTCCACCCTTGCCGAGCGCCATTCTTGCAAATAGGACTGGAGAGCTGCGCTGGCTTTCCTCGGCCAAGGTAATAATGTCCAAGTATTCCCGGCCAATCTCTTCTGGACTGGCACTATGCTTCCGAATACGCCCCAACAGCTCACGTGCTTCTTCTTCTCGATCAACTGAAGCGAGATACCGGGAACTGTCTGGTAGCATTTTGATGCAGCAGGCGGGAATGAGAGCTGGGAAACACTGGAAGGCAAGTAAGAACCGCAATCACACGTCCGAGCGTCCACTATCGAGGAATGCGAGCCGAATGAGATCCAATATGCGACTGATATCCCGAGATCTGGGAGGTACAGGCTAGCAGAATACCAAAAAGAAGAAGGATTCAAGGCTCTCTTACAGTTCGCAATGACGACGCAGCCCAGAAATCCACTGCGGTGATCTGCAGAGGAGGTTTCCGACACTAAGACAGGGGTGATGCCGGTCAAGGCTGCATCGTCATGAGTTAGAACGAGTTCAACTAATCGGCTAACATATGAAGAACTCACCTCCGGTACCAATGCCAGTCACCACTCGAGCATAAATCATAAAGTTCGAATTTTGAGCTGCAGACTGTAATGCGCAACAGACCACGGCAAACAAGGCGCCCCATCAACAGGCCATTGATTCGACCAACTCGGTCAGCCAACCATCCCCCAGCAAAGTAGCCGAAAATAGCACCCAAGTAGTAAACGCTGACAACACAACTCCGCCTTGGTGCGTGGTGTCTGTCACAGTGCCATCGGGCTTCCCGATGCCGACCTCAGTCACGTACTTTGACGAAGCATTGACGCCGCCTATGACACCCTGGTCGTAGCCTTGAAAGAAATGGAGATGAGCGAGAGCACCTGAATAGCGACGTTCAGCTGCCGCGGCGAGAGCAACCTCCAGAGTGTAGTATAGCCCATCTTTGGTCCGTTATTGCTTTATCCTACTTCATACATTATCAGAAGCATTGGGAGTCCACGCATCTTTGTAAGGTGAAAGATCCATCCCCAGTCGATAGAGTGGAGATTGTCATGAAGAAGCGCGGGGAAAATAATATTGAGCTCTCATTAGGCGTGTAGCCGTTTAACAGCATTTGCTGTACGTCCATACTGTACTACATTCCAGTTCTCGGGTGGGGGTGGCAATTCAGGGACACTGAAATTGATATTTAAGCGGTTTGCCATTTAACCGGTACAACAGCCATTTACCTACCAATTTTGGCGTTGAGACTGATTGGACATCGAATACATATCACACGGCCATGTGTCACAATTTGACCGGTCGGGAGACTTTGAGTTCTGTTAAATACGGCCTACCTATATAGTTCTGTCTTGCGACTCTGTATAATTTTGATAGTCTCACCAAGAGCTCCTATGCATATGAGTAAAATCATGGATTCGACCGTGGTCAACGGTGCTCCCAGCCATGCCTTGGATCTGACCGTCCTTGGTCTGAATAGCGGGACGTCAATGGCGAGTGCTCTAGCCCGATTATCACAAGAACATGAAACTCATAGTGGGTGAAGGATGGCATCGATTGTGCCCTTTGTCGTTTCCGTCAAGAGACTCCAGAGTCGCCGATGCACTTTGAGCTGTTAAAGGTAGATATTCTCATTACTCTCACAAACACAACTGACGCTAGATGCAGTATGGAGAGATCCCATTGGAGCCGGTGATCAAGAAACGGGTGATGAACATGATCTTGCACAATCAAACCTCGCCGTCCGAGTTGTCAGAAGTCAACGTAATTCTAGGCGAGACGTTTGCATCAGCAGTGCACCAATTCTGCAAAGACTATCATGTCGACATCGAATCCATTGATGTGTTAGGCTCCCACGGCCAGACGATCTGGCTTCTCTCCATGCCACAGCAAGGCGAGACTCGAAGTGCATTAACTATGGCGGAAGGTTCATTCTTGGCCTCACGCACTGGTATCACCACAGTGACAGACTTCCGGGTAAGCGATCAAGCTGCCGGGCGCCAGGGCGCTCCACTAATTGCGTTTTTTGACTCGTTACTGCTGCACCATCCGACCAAGTTGCGTGCCTGCCAGAACATCGGCGGCATCGCTAACGTTTGCTTTATTCCACCAGACACCCACGGCGGCGCGGACGAATGTTACGACTTTGATACCGGTCCAGGCAATGTCTTCATTGATGCCGCAGTACGTTATTACACCGACGGGGAGCGCGAGTATGACCAAGATGGCGAGATGGGTGTCAGGGGTAAAGTTGACCAGGAGCTCGTCGACGACTTCTTACGCCACCCGTATTTTGTCCTAGATCCGCCCAAAACTACAGGCCGTGAAGTGTTCCGGGACACACTTGCGCATGTTTTTATCACCAAGGCCGAAGCAAAGGGTCTCAGTCCTGACGACGTCGTTGCCACCATCACTCGTATCACTGCCCAAGCCATTGTCGATCACTACCGTCGCTATGCCCCGAAAGATCTCGAGATTGATGAACTTTTCATGTGTGGCGGGGGTGCCTATAATCCTAACATCACATCCTTCATCCAAGAGCACTATCCCAACACGCGCATTAGGATGCTGGATGATGCCGGTATTCCCGCTGGCGCCAAAGAGTCCATCACATTCGCATGGCAGGGTATGGAGGCCGTGGTGGGCCGCTCTATTCCTGTTCCCACATGTGTCGAGAATCGTCAAGAATATGTGCTTGGAAAGGTGGCCCCTGGCAAGAACTATCGCAAGGTTATGCGCCATGGTATACTTTTCGGTCGTGGCCGCGATCATCTGCCCCCGGTGGAGGAACTGGTCAACTATGTCGACGGCAAGGTTTTCAACAATAAGTGGTGAATGGTTATCTTTTAGAAGTGGAAACGTACCTAAACGTACTACTGTTTACTTGCACAGGATGTGTATGATACATTATACAGTAGAACTTGGCTATAACGGAAGGGAGGCCCCTCCATATTTATATTGACCTCGCCTTTGATTACTCTAATATGTTACTAAATAGTATCGTAATTATCAATAATAAAATAGATTTTTATCTTGGGGTGCTCTTCCCCTCTGAATCTCAAGTATATGACTTGGATCCTGAGAGAACTTCTGTTCGTTATAGCAAGGTTCTACCACACCTAGAACGTTCATGGCTACATGTAACATTGATGAGTATACGAGCCATTGGAGGAGTTTACAAGTCTTGTGGCTCCCCTAATGAGATTTTGCACGTTTATGTCAATGCCTATTCAAAGTACCGTTCGTCCTAATCAATTTTCGCAAATTCTAATGAGTGAGTACATAGTTACACTACTGAAACTATTTGAAGGCCGAAGGCCAGAGTCCCTCAGTATTACAAGAGCAAGGGCCATGGCCAATCTATAAGTAGTTCTGGTGGCAGCTGAAAATGTGGCATCTGATCGATACCAGCACCAGGTGTGCTTCCGACACCAGGAGGGCTCTGCGTATAGGATGATGGGCCAGACGCTTCGTGTTTTCGGTTGACTACTAGCATGGCGTTGCTTGGTGAAAGGTTTCAAATAGAAGTGAGGTACGAATGTAGCCGTCTATTTGTTTGACTTGGCCCCGTAGTCGTTCTCCGGCACCAGAGGCCCGGTGTAGACTAGTTTCAAGACGTTGTAAGAGATATGCCATTTATGACTGTACAAAATATGTCAGCTAGCACTCACAGTATGATATGGCTTCCGCTAAATCGAAGTAAACATACAGTAATTTCCGAACTCGTGCGTAGGATGTTTCAGATAAATTCCCTTCTACGACAGATTAGAGAATGTAGTCAATTCCATCAAGGTGATGGAGCTAGGATTGATCAGTGTTTGTGCTAGAGAGGCACGGGCACGGCACATATCAAAGGGGAGCTGATTGCTTTCAAATGCTCGACGGGCACACTTGAGAACACGCTGAGTAGTTCTCCCGCAACATCGCATTTCCGTTCCACCCCAACTTTTTCTCCAGATAAAAGCACCATTCGAAGGAGTTGTAGCATCGCCTGTATGTTGGATTGAAAGGATATACACCAGTATTTTCGAAGGTAGATCTGATATTTCCGATTGTAAAAGATGGCTTCCCAAGCTGCCCAAAAAAAGTCGAAAAACGTCACGTTTGGTAAGCCGTGATCCTTGACATTCAGCTAAAAAGCTGTTTAATTCGTTTGAATAGGCCTGAGAAAGAGGCGAAAATGAAGCAACGTCAAGAGGCTGTAAAGTATGAGTTGCATGAGCTGGAAATATTGTCAATAATATCCTATTCTTATCACAATATTCAAAAACTTCATATTGACATGAGAGCCATGACCGTCAAGAATTAGAAGGCGCCATCCCCTGCTTGCTTGAGATTTTGTCTCTTTATCAAAAACATCGACAAGCCAATGATAACCAATGTCATTATTGGTCCATCCTGACTCTGAAGCTGCAAAAAAACATCTTTGAGCCTTAGGATCGAAATCTTGAAGCCATGAATCTTGGATATTACCTGATTTTGCTGAATAGATTAAGCTAGGCGAGATAGCTTTTCCATCAGCACAAATACAAGCAATTGTTGTTATCCATTCTCGATTCCCATCCTGGAGAAACTGCTTGAAGCCTCCAAGCTCGTATTTATAGCGAGAAAAGATTCGTTTCTCTTTTATCATCATCCCAAGCATGAAGCCTTTTTCATCCATGTTATAGATTTGCTCCGAAGCAAGGTTATATTGCATAATTTTCCGACCAAGAAGCTCAAAATATAACACATATTTCCATGCTTTATCTGCATTTTTCCTATCCATATCAAGGCCAGTTGAATAGCGAGAAATAAGCTGATCAGAATGAGACTTTAAGCAGCGGGTAGCCCAGTTTTTCCCAGGCTTTTTACCACATATATCCTCTGCAAAATTGGCTAGCATTCGATTCGTAGGTGGAAGGCCTTTTTCGGTAAGCTGATTTATGTATTTTATAAATGCTTGAGATTGCCCATGGTTCAATACGCGTTGATTGTCATATTGTACTTGTTTTGGGCCCGTAAGTCTAAGAAAACGTCTTCTGAGATTTGAGGCATCAACACTGTAGGTTCTCGCAAATAAAGAAATATTGGGCTTTCCTCCTGGATCTAAGGAACGTAAAGCTTCAAGTGCGACCTCATATTTGTCCATATTAATTGATTTATCGCGCTTTGAAATGTACGCGATTTTTGGGTGTTTTAACAAAATTTGGTATCAAGGTTTGGTATCAGGCGGTGAGGGACGGTATAAGTCTCACCCCCTGAGTCCTATTTAACTCGAAAAAAGAAGACAAGTAACACACAGAGATTCAAGCACCGAATCATCTCCTTATCAATACTCACAAGCAACTTATGATCGATCACTTATTATTCCTCTGAGTCTATACAATCCATTTTCGATTTCTTTACACAGAGGAAAAGCGGCAAGTCAAGTCCGACAAGTTAGACCATCCGTCTGGGGCCCCAGATTTAGCAAGTGGTCCAGAGGTAGTTAACGCTGAGCTAAAATAAAACCTGGCTATAACGGACAAGGGATATCTCAGGGCCCAAGTCGATATATCCAGAAGTGATTCCGATTTGGGGTTGAAGAGTACAATATATTGATCTTTCTAATATTAATATGGAACTGAAGGGCATCTGATTTGTTAAAGTCATCCAAGTTGGCATTAGTGGAAATATAGAGCGGCCTTCCATTTGTTATAGCCAGGGTCTACTGTATAGGGCTCCAATACAAACCGAACCTCTTCAGAACTCAATAATTCTACGTTTAAACTGAGTCTAAAAATTTGACAACCCATATAAGACAACTTAGATAGACTTTCTACGCGTTATTTAGATTCAAATATCGCTATAGGTATAGGCCTTCGTATCAAGGATTCCGGCGTTTTATATGAGCATTTATGGGTGTTTCGAAATGGAATATCCTCAAAGAGTCCAAGTGACATGGAAAAAAATTTCCGTCTGGTTGGACGACCACAGAATACCGAAATGCCGGTTAAAGTTAACTGGTATGGCTGAAGTCGAATTAGGGTATAGGGCACAGCCCTATCTCTGGACTCACTGCATCTATCTGGCACACGGCATCTCTTTCTTGCTATAAGTGTCTGGGCAGATCACCAAACCCGATTTTCAAGAGGCTCTTCATATAAGGGTGATGCAACAATCGTAGAGCTTATGTAGTCCAATCTCGTCTCCAAACGGCAAATGAAGTGCACTACATCAATTGCACCGTCCGGTATACAGGTTCTTTTGCAACCTTTCATGATAGCTCTTCGCTTGCCTTCCAAGAGGCATATAAGCCACTACACATTAATCCTTCATGATCCATTGGGCCTAATTATCTAGCACATACGACCATAGGGTGTGGAAAACAGGGCTTCCCGTCCGCTCAGCCGTACTTAAGCCACACGCCGGCTGGTTAGTAGTTGGGTGGGTGACCACCAGCGAATCCCTGCTGTCGTATGTTTTTGGTCTTTTTTTATTTGAGTCGGGCCTCATACACTACTTAGTGGACATGATCGGGATCTTGGTAATTCAGAGTCACCCCTCATAGCTCTACGCACCGTGACAATCTTGATTCCATACCAGGCAAGAAAGAGCTTTATGATTATCTCCGCTGGATTCTTCTTGGAACAAGAGCACAACGGTTGAACGGGAGGACCGGGTGAAGATAGCTACGTCAATTAATACTCCTATTGTCCCTGGCCCAGTCAGTTTTCTGGATAACACAGCTTACTATGTAGTATTTGCAAAAACAGTGCACACTTTTACTCACTTCAGTTATTTAATGTATTTCACCCTAATTTATATAACAGTAACTTTTTGAACATAACATGGAGCTGCTTAAGATCTATAGACAGCTTCGTCAAGTACGCAGCTTACCAGAATTCATGTCTTCTTATATATCGTCGAGCTGTCGCTGCACAAAGACAGAGTGTGCAACAATATGTTGATCTGTGAGGTCTAGCGTACAGTATTTGCCCCGTAAGAGAAGCCAGCACTGGTAGAATATGTGCTGCGGTTGGCGGACAATGGCTATTTGCTTCCAGTGAAATTTCTACGATCGCTCGCTCTGACTATCGTGCGCCAACGATCCTTGAATTTCCAAATCACAGATCCTAGCCTCGAGATCCAACCACCAGGAGAAAGTCCGACACTGGTTTACCATCATGCGTCGAGAGCTAGCCAATCTGGCCATTCTCCCAGAGAATGTGTACAATATGGATGAGACAGGAGTTCTCCTCAGCGCTCCCAATTCCCTCAAAGTACTCGTCAGCAATTTGCCACTACCAGTCTCCGCTGAAGGCCAAACCTTCCCCGCTGGCAATCAACGTCTGCTACAGCTCTTCTCGCAGCTTGCACAGAGCCGACAGTCTTCCTCCGTCGTACCAGAACATCGGACATAGAAATCGACGACAGTCCACAAGAACTATATTGTGTCTCCCGGACAAGGCTCGACCCTAGATCTGTGGAAGCTACGACCTTCCCTGATAGTCCACATGACTTCTTCGAATTTTGTCACAAAAGAAGAGCTGAAATGGTTGTTTGCGGAAGTGCTAGGAATTCAAAATGCACAGACTACCTTGGCCGGTAAAGAGCCTATTAGCAAGAAGAAGATTGAGGACAAGACAACGATAGAGCGAGAATTCGTGCCTCGAAGGTGGAATACAAGACGGTCAATGAAGTGTATGTCGATCAAAGTGTATCGTGAGCATTGCTAACCGCATGTAGATGAGATTCCGCAAGATGTGAATACAAGATTGTCGACTCTACCCGAGTTCGGGACGTGGATGAATTAGGCGAATACATATTTGTGATTCGATTATGCTGACACTTTCCAGACAAGCAGACCAAAGAGCTCATTGTCTATGTTGACATCAAATCTCCGGGACTAAGAGACATCCTGAGAGAGATTCTAAAAGACATCAGAAAAGCGAACGTCGTTGCTGATCGCCCTGCGGTATGTCACCAAGGTTTCAGGCGAGGCTCCGTCGCTAATTGAGCAAATAAATCGAACCTGATCTTTTATATCGCTTCATGGATGAATTAAGAGAGTATCAAAAGAGGTTTCACTCTCAAGAAACGATCTCTGATGACGCTATGCTTCACCTAAGCAAGCTTGTGCAGTACCCTGCAGAAACATATTCACTGGTGATAGGACAACTGAACTTGCTTCTAGAGTCTTGAAAAATCACCTGGGATCTTTTGTGGGTCTTGCTTAAACCAGGGTCACTAGTCTCTGCGACTTGCCCCTCCACCGGTCTGGCTCGATGCATTCGGCACGATTATAGCGAGAGAAAACAATCAGAGACCGGGAGAATCTTGAAATCAAAGGACGCTGTGACGGAGATATTTTTGGTCAATCCACCGAGACTCTGCAGATCGAGTACTCCCGAAGAGCGACACTGACTAATCTGGTCGCGGCCGGTTCACAATGGCCGCCGTTTTGTTTCCTGCCATCATCGCCAGTACTGTTCGTCTCACATAAAGGCAAGATGATGAAACTTCATGTGGATGGAAGGATTATGGTTGATGCCGCCATCTTTCGCAGGTCGAACCTGAATTATCCGAGGCTAGAGATTAAAAAGCTTGACATAGCTGATTTTCTCTTCCAACAGGTGAAACAGGGCGAACCAGAAGGCCATGTCCGAAGCAAGGATATTGATTTTCGTGAGATAAAAGAAGGCGATCTCGCGATGTGTAGTCCGATAGTGCTCGGATTATCCTTGAATCAAAAAGTCTGGGGTGAGTACGACTGAGTAATGAATACTTATCATTACTGGCATGCTATATAGGAGAGTTCGACGTGGAAAGTATCAAGGAAAAGCCACCTTTGATGACGTTGTAGGGAAAGGGCTTGAGTACAGCCCACCCGTACCTTTCAGATAGCTAGCGACTGGAAAGCGGTCCTACTCCTTGACGAAGCAGATGTATACGTCTGTATGCTATCTTTGAAGGTTAGAGGATTTGACGCAACATTATCAAACCATATCAGTGGTTGTGAACTATATTTAATGCATTTTACTAATTCATACCAGATATCTTAATTATTAAAGTGAGCGAGCAGAAGCAGTAGTTTAACCACTATAGTATCTCGTTATCAGATTTCATCATATAAAATTAGCTATGTTTATAGTAAATTACCATATTTGTAGTAATGTCCTGGTCTTCCATAGAATTGTAGGTTGTGCCACGACCTCTAATAGTACTACATATAATCCTTGATGCTAGTTCCTGTTTCACGCATAAATACGCCTACAATAGTAATCGTTAATAGTAACCCTCCAAGGCAATCAACTAGATCATTAATATCTGTAATAACTAATTAGCGTAGTTGGATAGATTGTAAAAGGATAAATCGATACCTTAGTCTATCTCTTCTCTAGTGATTATATCTGGAATGTGCAAATTCCTGCTCTACCAAAGCAGTAAAAAGGACTCCTCGGCATCAAAGACAGGGATAGGGAAGGACTATCTGAGATCAGACAGCGACTGGAGCTAAGACATAATTAAGATAGATCCATGATCCGCCATTAGAAAGAATTCTTAAATATTATATCTATCTTCTATCTCTGGGGAATACTAGTTAGTATTATCAAAAATCAGGAGCCATTGTGAATTTCCTAGTACTGCGAGCCACTTTAATACTTATCTTGCATTTTGCTCTACCTCTTCATTATTTGTTATAGAGTAGGATTGAGATTGGCCTAGTAATCGAGGAAGATTAGAGCTTAATGATTGCAGTAGCGTGTCGCAAGTCTTGCCACTTAACTATAAAATTGCAGTATAGTTATTTTTGTGATCACATACAAAGCAGATCGCTAACTAGGTTTTTCTGATGCCGCCCAATCCTTAAAGGATAGCGACTATTTAAGTGTTTGAATTCTGAGGCTGAAGGTGATGCCCTCTAGCTCTTTCTATCGTCCAAGAAAGTTTGCAATTGCTAGTAAACCAGCTAAATCAAATGGGACATTAAATCTTACTAGTTTTGGAGCATAGTCAAAACCCAGAAATATATAGAATTCAGTCTTAGTTAGTATTAATGAACATACCAGATACAGCGTCCTCTGCAGACTGCGTACAATCTACATCACTAATTAGGATACAGAGAAGGAGCTCTCTAGTATAGACTGCTACCACTACAGAGGCAAACCCCTGCCACTCTTTATTTTTATGGGAGTCTACATAGCCACAAATCCCCCAAATGACTAGGTATAGATAACTATTTATAAGTCCTGCTGCCTCCATCTCTACACAGTAGACGCCCAGGTCACAGCTTAGCCAATTCTATAGTTAGCTATCTCTCACGAGCTGGTTTGCGGATGCAATCACTCTATAATGAACTAGAGGCCTGTTATAGCTTTGAACAGTTCAGAAAACAGTTTTAGAAAGATCACATGTAATATAAGGCTTTAATTTTGCATCACTGTGATGATAATCAGCAAGAAACAGAATATCTTCTATTGCTGGGCGTGTAAAGTTAGACGCTTGCTAAGGGAATTTTTGTTCAATCATCATAACAAAATCTGGTACCCAACTGCTATTTGTAAGATAATCTGTCTGGATTTTAGATAATACTATAAGTAGGATCTGTAGTGGGCGGTTGAGCATGCTAGTCCATTGAAATCCACTGCCACTTATTGCCTTACTGTAGTTATATTATATAACTCCGCTATATATGTCTATTGGTTTGCTAACCACTATATCGCCAAGCTAAATATTAGCATCATCACTTAGCACTCCTCCTCCAATACCTACCATCAGACTAAATTGAATTGAGTGGAAACTAGACAATAGCTGCATTGCAACTGTATTCGCCAATATAAGCCTATAATTACTACTTGGCAAGCAGGCAATCACAATGTTATGTTTTTTGATTCTTCTAAAAATATACATATTATAGTTAGATGTTTGTACTGGTAGGTCGTTATGGAATTTATCTAGCATGGCTTTTGCAGCTGCCATCTCGAGTGGCAGCGCGCAGATCCATCCGACAGTATATTGTCGTGCGATCGACGGGTCCTGGTAGCTATTATATGTTATAGATTCGCCAAAATTCTTATCTGTCATGAACAGATTATAAGTTCAGGAAGGATAGAAGTCATTAAACATCAGGATGAGCTGCCTGAGGGGTTGCTATTTGGCGAGGCTGACTTCGGTTTTCTTGTCGGCGCTTCAGCGCATATAATACAGCCAATCATACTGCCTTGTTCTAGCCAGGGTGAGGCCGTCATGCATGATATCCCTCGTTTAGGGGCAGACTTGGTTATCTAGAACGGACCAGCCTTCAAAACACACTCCGTTCTTTCCGCATCATCAATGACAGTGGGCACAGCAACGTTATCACTCATGGGGTGTGTTCTGAAGGTAATATGATAATACATCTAGGCCGAAGCGGGAAAAACATCAATTCGGGATGAGAATCGCGTTGTTGGTGGCTAGCATTAGAACCTGAGCAAGAGCAAGGAGGCTAGCTCTCACACAAGCGGATACAGCATCCCCACTCAAGGTGGTTTGACGTCTGATGATAGCTTGCATCAGTGAACTGAAAATGAAAACATCGAACTCGAAAGCATGTCGCAATGTCAAGTTAGCTTGGATCCCTCTGATTAATGATCGTGGTGACTCGAAGCGGGAACCCTTGTCTGGCGAATCATCTTGTGCGGTATTCTATGAATAATTGTAGCGGATCTTGGGAACCTGCGGAATCAGACGTTCTTTTTTAATTTGAGACATCATTGTTATTAAACTTGATTCATTCCATTAGCAGTAACCTATTGAAAGCAAGAAGTTTCAGGAAGAGGAAACCGAATTCGATGGTTGGTTGTCGCTTGTTGAAGTGTTTTGATACGTGACTGACTCTAGAGCTCCGAAACAAATATGAATAATATTCATATTCATGAATATTTGCGAATATGAATTAAATGGATATGAATATGAGCCGTATTCATATTCACTAAATCCATGAATATTCATAAAGGATGAGGGAGGCAGCTGAAGCTTAACTTGCTCCTAAAATCATATGTGAAATAGTTACAGAAAAACTATATACAAAAAGTAAATCTGCTAAAATCAATAAGAAAAACCCGTTTCCTAAGCATCTTTATGCCGAGTCCCGGCATTCTTTACTATATTGCCCTTTAAAAAACATCAGCCATCTAAACGTCTTAGAATTCAAGCAGTGTCTCTGAAAACCTAGAACATCTCGTGCGTTGCTAAACAGTCTCTTAATACCTACTTTAGCAGATAGAATAGGAAGATAGTCTTGTACAGCTTTCAACATTAGAGAGTAGTTGAAGACATTTACTTTCTACTATTTTAAGATCCAGTCAGGATCCCCATCTTCTATCATACTATAGGACCACATCTCAGTGCTTGAATCAAGGTACCAATCAATGTCTGATATTATGTCTATAGATTGCGCGGGCTAGGTTTTTCTAAGCTTTCTCCATAATGTCTCTAGCATACCTGGTGGATGATTAGTGCTAGAGGAAGAGATAGGGCTTGCAGGGTATTGTTTCTTAATATATTCATGTATATTAGAAACAATCACATCTGCATCAGACTTGCTTATTTGAGCTTGGATGAAGAAGGTCTTAACCCGTGGGTCAAGAATAGCAGCCACGTAATAGATAATATTTGAATCTATCTTCTTGGTGAACTTATCTATTTTCCGGATTCCTGCTTCAATAGCATTCTGAACCTCCTTAGTAACCTCTTAAAAGTCGCCTTCATTATCTTTGATATTGTTAAGAATATCATCAAGACTCTAGTATATTGGAAGGCTTTTGGTGATGCTTAGGTCATGTTTTGAGATAGAGTTGGTAAGTTATTAGCTTCAAACCTAATAGGAAGCTCTCAATTCAATGTGACAACAAGCAAACTGTTTTACTGCTGACCAGCAAAGAACCATAGTTTCATACGAACCTCAAGCACATTGATATTTATCATCATTGGCTCCGACAAGAAGTCTCCAAGAAGTGCATGCGTATTGAATGGGTTAATACAAAGCGAATGGTGGCAGACGGCCTTACTAAGGTCCTACATAGACAGCAGTTCCTAGATTAGAGAAAACACCAGGGATTGGTGGATATAGCAGACTTGGTGCAGGAATAAAAGCTTCAAGCTTTGCTTTCATCAGGAAATTTGCGTAAAGCCATCGTATAATAAGTGGCAAGAGATCCAAATAAGCCAACATCAAGAGTCTGTAAAGTATGTGTCGCATGTGCCGGAAATAATGCCAATAAGATCCTGTTTCTACCACAATATTCAATAAATCTCATATTGACGAGAAAAAGCTCTTTTTTCTTTTGTCATGACCCCAATTGCAAAGCCCTTCTCATCCATATTGTAAATCTGATTTGGCCGAAGATTATATTGCTCAATTTTCTGGTTTATAAGCTCAAAATATAGAGCATAACTCCATGCACAATCTGCTCTTTTTCGATTGTTGTCAATGTCCGTAGAATAGCGAGAAATCAACGCATTTGGATGCTTCTTTAACCAGCGAGAAACCCAGCTCTTTCCGGGCTTTCTACTGGTTATCTCATGCGCGAAATTTGCAATCATTGAAGGCGTAGGTGGTATACCGTGCTCACAGAGCATATCTATCCATTGTATAAGCTTTTGAGACTGTTAGTTATTGAGTAATCGTTGATTGTCGTATTGCTCCTCTTTTGAGCCCGTAACACCTCGGTATGTTCTCGAGTGCGTTGAACAATTAACACCAAACATTTTTGCAGTCAAAGTGGGATTAATCTGTTTGCCTTCTTCCAAGGAATTCAAATATTCAATCGCATCCTCAATTGCACCCATTTTGACTGATTTATCGCGCTTTGAAATCCGTATTGTTTTTCGCGTTTTGACGCGATACCGTGCATCACGTGGTAATCAAGGAATATTGTAACTTTTCCGTACTAGTGCTAACTGGGTTAGGCCAACCAAAGAAGTTTCTTAGAGTAGGGATTTTTCTGATATTTTGCACACTATCTAAAACCTCACTATCTGACAATCTTGGTCCTTTTATATTCACATTCTCAATACAAATGACATCATTTGAAACCACAATCTGTACTCGATCGAACTTTCTAGATATAAGCTGTAAAGTTGATTTGTAATATCAATCTTATGTTGATGTGTGAATCCAATTTCTCGAAATTTCCTGTTGATCAGTATTTGTACGGTTCTCTGGATCACATCCCAAAGAGGAATAGCGCAGTATAGTTCCAACATATTCTGTCGGAACTCAAACGTAATACCAGTTCACCAAACAGGACGCCCTTAAAGGGATTTGGTATTTTTGAGGTATTTGTGAACCGTTCCGTAGTTCGACTTCTGTATTCTGATAGTCACGTGATTTTGGTTCCAACAACTTTACTAAGACCCTAATTACGCCCCCATAATCCATTCCTATCAGATAGGAATGGGACCTATCTCCACACATATCCCGCACAGCTGCATTTATGCACAGGACCGCCAAAAACGTCAGCATGACTGGCAAAGGATACATGATCTGGAACTGTAATCGACCTCTCCCAGGAGAGACTATTAAAGGCATTCAAGATACCGTTGAACGGGATAAACTGTACGGGCCACTTCTTGATGAGACAAGAGCAACATATAACTGCGCAGAGGACTGGAAAAACCATCGGGAAGAATGGAAAAAGATTATTATGGATGGTAGTCGGGTACGCAATTAATACTCCTTTTGTGAGTAAAGGCTAATCTAGTGTAGTTTGAGATCATCGTTACCGCGAGCCTTCCCAGCGATCGCGCTGAGCCTTACTTTTGGCAGGGGCCCCTAGTCGGACGATTCGTGAAAAATCGATCCTTGTCTCGACTTAGGAAAGCGCAACCATGTCCGGCATCTATTGCGTTCATCAAGCCACTGGACGAAGCGCTAACACCCGCCAATGGAATGTTCAATATCTACCCAGGCTCCGAGAATCTACAAACGGAGGAAGAACTTATGGCTAGTGGAATTCCTGCGGAGACAGTAATCATTGGAAGAAATCAATTATTAGTAATTGGCTCAGTGTGGGTGGAAACAAGAGATGAAGGGGGCGCCGTATTCTTGTGGGCAGGTTACTCGTCCAACTTGATTGGGATTGATGACAACAAAGCACTAGAATTTATTCAGGCTGCTTACAAAGGCGATGCAGTGGACTAATCAGTGTGGCTCATTCTGTTTCTCATCATATTACGGCTCCTCTGACGCAGATATTGCCCTTGTAACATAAGTTTCGACCAACTCTTACATTGGGCGAGCAGATCCTGGCTGGAACATAACATATCCACGAATTCATCAATGACGCTATCAGAGACGTGAGGGATCTTTAGAAAGATCGGTAGTATCAAGATCCAAACTCCCGCCAAATTATTCTCAGAATTAGTAGGAATCACATTTTCAGTTTTCTGGTAGACTTTAGCTTCGATATACCAACACCTATGTCCAGTTTTCAGTCGACTGTAAACATTGTTGGGAAGGTCGCGAGAGTGAATGAAACGCTTCAATTTTCCTTGCTGTGGTGGAATCTTCAATGGTATATCTTGCATGGATTTTGAGAGGACCTCAGGAAGGTATTGAGTGCGGTAATCCCAGATCCAGTTCCTAAGGTCCAAAATATGACTAAGGAGTATCTGATCATCCGCTGCGAAACTCGTTATTTGGAGATTGTCGTACGTTCGGATCGTTCGAATAGCAGAGGTGGGATCGTCACTTAAATATGCATGAAGCCCAGGCTGTTCTCGTATGATAATTTGGAAGAGATCGGCGGCTTTGCGTGGTCGGCTGTCAGGAGCAGAAGAGGCTTGTTTAGCGATAGAGAGTAATCGGTTGCCGACATTGAGCGAACGCTCAGGGTACCGGAGAATCTCTCGATCTTCCGCATTCTCTAGTATCTGAAGGGCGGCCAGCACGGAATCATCATTTCCAATCGGGTCCATGGTCGTGTCGTTGCGGTAAGTGGCGTTGGAAATGTGAATTACACTAGCGTCCTGGATTCCATTTATTTCCGGAAAATGCACTATACCGTAATATCACTAGCGAGCCCCTGTTTAGCGAGACCTTTTCATTGGATGATTGGGCAACAGTAGACAAGGGCTGATTCTCCTTTCCTATATATATTGTTGCTCTCGCAACAATAACCATGTTAATCTATTACTCTTTCTAGATTCTGGCCTCTCTGTATACGAGTGGAAATTGCAAAATGTCGAAGTGAGTTAGATTCAGACTTCAGTATGCTTGTTGTGCTTTGCCTTATATCTTCTCGAGTCTACTTTGTCCATTGTCCAGCAGTATAACTTCGTCCTGTGTCGCGGTGTCGATGCCCATCATCATTTCCGGCGAGCACCTGATTTCCAAGTACCCTCGCGCCAGCGGTATCTATATCAAGTGCCCACAAAGAGCCCAGACCCAATTAATACAATCGCCGCCCCAGTCAATAGGAAGGGCTAGTAATATCCAACTTTACCCAGCACGGCTCCTACAATGAGTGTAAAGACATCTAGTGAAACATCAGTAATGTTGAAACCTGTTAAAGGTCCTTCTTAGGGCCGTAGAAAAGTAAATAAGCTTGTACGTAGGGATAATATAAGCTAAAAGAAGAATATTATGTTTAAGCTATTGTATGTTTTTTATTTTTATTTTTATTTTTTTTCAGTTTTGTGCCTTCCACCTTTCGGTTCTATATCATGTTTATCGAACAAGACTATCCGGATCTTCGACATCATTGCATTGCTCGCTTTTAAGGACCTCGGCAGTATTGCAGGGATCAGAATCCTACATATATATAGATATGCGACAGTGACAGTCAAGGGCATGGATACGTGAGAGACTAAATTGTCCACATTCTATAAATCTATCCTCGTGCTTCGTAGTCCGCTAACACCAGTTAGGTAACATTGAATGCGCTTTTGTATCCATACCATCACAAGTTCGAGCCCAAAGGTATCTCGCCTTCTCCTCTCTCTTGTTGGAGATAATTTTGCCATATTTTCTCAATATCGTTTTTATAGATCCAACTCAGCTCATCATCCAGTGGAAATGCTTCGAGACGTGATGGGAGGACGCTCTCAAATATATGCAGCGGCTCGCTACTTTGGCCTTTGGCCTTGGTTTGTGCTTGAAGAACGTTCCCCTTTCGACTATCTAGGAGCTCATACATTCTTCGATAGTACGGGGAGCGAATGTGATCAAAGATTTCTAGAGCATCTGCGATATTTCGCGCTTTGATGATCTGTCTGTCACTGTCGTTATCTGAAGGGGTCAATTGAGCTCTGCTAATAGTAAGTTCTATTGCTCGAGCAAGAATCCAGCCATCTTCTAAAGCGAAAGCTGCGCCGGAACCAAATGCACCTATGAAAAGAGTCAATAAATGAGCCTACTTTGCACACAGCACGATGCGGTAGACGGATGTATGGATTGATTTACCAGATAGTGGGTGACTGGCATCCCCCAACAGCACCACTTTTTTCCATCCCACAAGCCTTTCAAGTCTCGGCCCTGAAAAAGCAGAAAATTCTTTCCACCCCCCTTCCGGGACGCGGGAAAGAGCATCACGTACTCGGGGATCATATTGCTGTGAGTCAGAACGGTCAGTTCAGCTTTCCGGTTTTAGATTCGTATTAAATCTAAGAAATTGCAAAGTGAGAAGTTATTACCGTAAAGTGAACATTGACTCTCTCATTTGTCGCAGGGACCCCCCAACTAAATCTCCTCTCAGTATCCAGAGCCGGGTCTATTAGGTACCGACACGAAATCTCCATCAATTGCTCAGATGACGAGGTGCTCGAATCTGAAAATTCCGACGGATCATCGACTAGCGAGAAATAACAGTGCCCAGAAGGGCCATGCCACCATGATGTGTCCGGAAATAAGTCGTGAATATGATATAAAGACTTGGCTGGAATCAGGGTCCGCCAAATGGTTGTACCTGGTTGCTGTTAAATGCCGTTATAAGTGAAGTCATCTATGCATCTGTCATACCCGTGAATTTTGTAGTATGCTCTGGGAAGAGTGACGTTCTGACTACCTTCGCAGACTTTAGCAATGGTGCAGATTCAAGTCTAGAATACAGAAGAAGAGGATAGGAGAACTTACAGATCGAATTCCATCTCCGCCGATTAGTAGATCCGCATTCGTCTCGGTCCCGTCTTCGAAGGTGAGATGGACACCTTGCGTTCCAGCATCGTGGATTGAAACCAATTTTTTATTAAGCTGTATGATCCCTGGTGGAACTTTTGATATCAGAGCAGCTTGTAATCTTGTTCTCCTGACCCGTTTAGACCGGTACTTGAGAGGAACTGAAGACGGAGCAGGTTTCACGCGTTTAATTTCACCGGATAGTCCATTCCTATCCGGGGGAAACCGAGGCATTAGATATAAATACGTCAGAAATTTCAAATTTGAAGCTAGTATGTTTCATTGCATAAAAGAGTTGACATAAATGGAGTATCATTCGCCTACCGATGAAGCACATTTTGCTGCAAGTGTCCTCGCACCTCTTCAGCAGCTCCGAGAAGTTCAAGAACCTTCCAACAATTGTATCCAATACTGATTCCTGCACCAACTTCTCTCAGCTCGCGAGCCTTTTCGTACAGCGTTATCCTGACATCTGGTAAGGCTGATAGCGCAATTGCAGCACTGAGTCCAGCCGGACCGCCGCCAATAATAGCAATACGGAGCATGTATGCGGAAGTTGGTTCAGCCGACATTGATAAGAATCGAATCTTTCTCCAAGAAAGTTTTTATTTTATAATTTTTATTTATTAAAACCAATCAATTATCTACAGGGAAAACCGTCAGCGTGTAGGCTTTATGTAACAATTCGGATTTCGTGATTTCTCATATCGGCGAACTATGGTGCAATATTCATTATCATTAATTGATTCGTCGAGCGTCGGTGCGGTTCCTCTGCAGCAGTGATAAAATAACACGGTGTATCGTTTAATAGGCATAATAATCCTTCTGGAACTGTTGCGCAGGCTTAGGGTTCTGCAGTGAGCTAAGAAAAGAAGTACCACATCTGCCACGTTCTGGGAATCATGAACTTCAACGGTTGCACATGTGAAATTGTTTATTTCAGATATTGGACAAACATCCGATTTGGTATATTAGATATATTTTCTATGTAGATCTGGCACCTGATAGAATGATTCTAGATAATCATGGCACCATGGCACCATGGCTCAGCCCAGCTCAGCCCGGATAAAATATGGGCCTATTTGCGAGGATGACGTCACAGCTAGATCCGTGGGTGTTAGAGGATTACTATTGATAGATAAATTCTAGATAATAGGGCTATCAAAATGACAGATATTTCTTGTCGGATTCATTATCTAGCTTCTACATCCACTCTCTACAGATAATAGCTTACAAATGTTGTATGAGGACCGATTGGCCACAGCGGTATCTCGGGGAGCGGGCCGCCTGTGGGGCCGCTCCTTGTCACTCATTCTAGCGTCGAATGTCGCCATGGTTTAGTGTACACTTGTTGTTTTAGTACGTATTTACAAATTTTTACATACATACCGAATACCGTATTTAGTATCAAAAGATAGTTCGGTCTTGACACATTCGTGATTATGGTTATTCATTATTCTGAAGAAATTAGGTTGATATTAAGAAATAGATGACACGTGCAGTTTCAAAAATAGTGGGAATGAAGCCACAAGTATCAGCATAATCGAGGAACTGTGGGCCTTACTGCAGACTCTTTTCTGTCGAGTGCTCCCAGGAGAGAACTTTGATTTCTATTACTTCTCAGAACGCGCTGTAGTATGAAATCTTGCTAACCATGTCGACATTTGGCGACTACTTCCGGGTGACGACGTGAGTTTGTAAATCCATTGTAGTTAGAGGTCTTTGACTAACGTTCTTAAAACAAGGTATGGAGAGTCGCACTGCCGTTCGGTCGGGTGCATTGTGGATGGCTGCCCTCCTGGCATGGCTTTGAGTGAAGGTGATATTCAACCTCAGATGACTCGACGGAGACCAGGCCAGAGCGCCCTCACTACCCCTCGCGATGAGAAGGATAGGGTTGAAATCCAGTCGGGAACAGAATGTGGCTTTACTCTCGGTACACCAATCGCTTTAATTGTTCACAATGAGGACCAAAGACCCAAGGACTATGGCGGTAGCACGATGGACTTATACCCTCGTCCGAGCCATGCCGATTTCACTTATCTTGAAAAGTACGGAGTTAAAGCTAGTAGTGGAGGAGGCCGCAGTAGTGCTCGCGAGACAATAGGTAGGTCTTTTTATGATTCTATGTTTGATCTGAAACCAGTGAGGTTAATTTGAGCTGGAAATAAAAAGGGCGTGTTGCCGCTGGTGCTATTGCAGAGAAATATCTCAAACTCGCTCATAATATTGAAATTGTCGCCTTCGTTTCGTCTGTTGGCAAGGAAGAGCTTTTTCCTCCTTCCCCTGAATATCCTTCATATTCGACAAACTCCAATTTTTTGAGACTGATTGGAACAATCACTCGTGAGAAGGTGGATGAGTTTGCTCCTGTTCGATGCCCGGATACAGAAGCTTCCAAGCGTATGACTAAAGCCATTGAGGCGTTCCGTGATAAGAAAGACAGCATCGGAGGCACCGTCATGTGCGTCATTCGAAACGTCCCAGCTGGTCTAGGAGAGCCTTGCTTTGATAAGTTAGAAGCGAAGCTTGGTCACGCAATGATGAGTATCCCTGCCACTAAAGGATTTGAAATTGGTTCTGGCTTTGGTGGCTGCGAGGTCCCCGGGTCAGTCCACAATGATCCATTCATTGTTACCCCGGAAGTTGGCGGAATCAGTGATAAGAAGCGACTGACCGCAAAAACAAACAATTCTGGTGGTATTCAGGGTGGTATTTCGAATGGAGCCGACATCTACTTCCGCATCGCTTTCAAGCCTCCTGCGACCATTGGTCAGGCGCAGACGACAACCAAATATGACTTCGAGGAAGGAGTCCTTGAAGCCAAGGGTCGCCATGACCCCTGTGTTGTACCCAGAGCTGTGCCAATTGTTGAGGCCATGTCCGCGCTTGTCATCATGGATGCCCTTCTTGCACAAAAATCCCGTGAGGCTTCGAGAAGTTTACTTCCACCATTGCCTAAATCTCTGCCCATAAGGCCCGAGACCACAAACTAAATCAGTCTCGCGCATGGCTGCAGCCTGCCCCTTATTTTTTATGCCTGTTTATGAATCATTGATATGTTTCAGTACTCGTTGATACTATGATAGACCTAGTCGTGCAAAATAGATTTTAACTGCGCTCCTAATGTTTGCATGGTATCGAGTTCGCTCATCAGACCACGACAGAGACAGCCTTGGAAAATAATATATAATTCCAGAATCATTTCAAAAGCAAAGCTTCAGATTGAGTGATGTGATATAGGTGATTCTGTAATATTACCAAGTTGACATGCAACTTTCCACCAGTCTTCTAGAGAACGACAGACGACGGTGATATCTATAGCTTGGGACCAATGGTGAGCTGTTTGTCTCAGTTTGACACGTTTCAAAGGCAACCAAGCTTGCGTGATCCAGTACGAATACAGTAGTCCTTGGCTATAACGAAAGGAAGGCCTCTCCATGGTTATACTGATTTTAACTTTTATTACTCTAAATTGGATTGAAGAGCATCCTAACCATTAATAAACACATGTATTATTATTTTGAGGTGCTCTTCATCTCTAAATTCTGAATATCTGACTTGGATTCTGAGAGGCTTACCTTTCGTTATAGTCAGGTTATACTGTAGAGCAAAAAGGTGCGTGTTTATGAGGTGTTTCTACAAATACTGTATTCTCTCAACTATCATTTCGTACAAACACAACGGTTTCCTGCTATAAAGACCACGAAGGAATCACTGTTGAGATCGATAACGCTACGTTTGCCTATTTAATAAGCCACTCTTTTCAACCACAATTGTCTTGGTTGTGGCTTTTCTACCGCAATAATTAAGCACCAGCAGCCAGGAGGCTCTTGATATTATCAATAGTGCTCTTCTCGAGATCAATCCAGTCAATGCCCAGTATCTTGGTTGCTCTGGAGTTATCATAGCCAGGAACCACAGGCGGGTAATCACCACCCTTCGTCTCCTCCGAGGGAAACTTATCCTTCAGTTGAGGAAAATTCCTTCGCGCTGCCGCCGCTATCTCTCGGTTACTACACTTTCCTGACACGCAGAAGAATCGCTTTCCGCCAGCCTCTGGTTTCTCGAATGCCGCAATGTGCGCAAATGCCACATCGCGAACATCGACCCATAAATTGACACCGAGGGAAGGGAGGATCTCGTTCTTCCACTTTCCTTGTATGAGCTCGACAAACCGCTCATTGGAGGTGTTGATGGCCGAGAGTGAGCTCAGGCTCACACTTGGCCCGAAGACGAGTGGAGGGCAGATGGTGACAAGGTCGAAGTTGGGCTTCTCCTCCTCAACAAACTTCCATGCAGACCGCTCTGCAACAGTCTTAGATGCTCTGTACGCGTCCACCTTGCTACCGCTCAGGCCATCCTCATACGTTATGGGGTTCCAGTCGGATTCACTGTAGACTTTATTGGGATCCAAAAGCCCTTCGACGGAAAGCATTGAGACGAACGAGCTGGTCACGACGACCCGCTTAACGCTAGGGGCATACTTCTTGATAGCCTTGAGAATAGATGTGGTTCCCGTGATTGCTGGATCCAAGAGTTCCGACTTCGCATCTGACCAATTGAAATGGAATGGAGAGGCGGCTGTTCATGTGTCAGAGTCGAGTCATGGCAAGGTTGGCACTAAGGAAGAATACTTACTGTGTAGTACAATATCGAGGCCTGAAATCTTGACTACCTCATCAAAGGCATCGGGTTGCGCTATATCTGGTACGATAGCAACAGATAGTTTGGCATTAGGATACGCCTCGCGAATCTTGGAGGCCTTATCTTCGGACCGCACAGTGGTAACTACCTCGTATCCTCGATGGACCAACATGTCCAGGATGTGAGCTAGAAAGAACTCTCAGTAAGGGTTACAGGCACAAATTTTCAAAGATGTATACCGGCAAGGAAGCCTGATCCACCTGATTTTCAATAATTAGCGAGTGAATTAAATAAAATATTTTAAAGAAGGATACTACCTGTGAGGAGTACTTTGCTCATCGCGGGATGAATACGTCTTTTGTTCCAAAAATTTAAACACGCGATTTGTGCTTGGAATTATCGTTGATGTCGATGCCGAGGGGGGAACAAGACAGTTAAATATACCACCAGACTCGCCCCGCCCACCCTCATACCTATCGGGCGGGGATTTCTGATTTATAATTAAGCTGAAGGGGTCTAAAATGTTCCTTCGCTTGTAATACAACAATACTGTCAGCATTAAACAAAAGATTGAACCTGTATTGTTGATATCATCTGAGCTACTGGTAAACGGCCGATACATTGCTTATTAGCTACTTATACCAATTATCTAGCTTATGGTCAAGAAGACACTGCACAAATGGGAACAAGTTTTGGGAGGAGTGATACGAGTGGAAGAGGAGTCTATACTATGATTTGAAAAAGATGAAAACTGGGTCGCAAATTGAGACAGGCAATTTTGAATCTAGGACCTGCTCGATAAATCACACTACCTCACAATCCGCTATCTATCTGATCGACAATGTTTCTATTGCTCCAGGCGTCCCATGCTGCGCAAGTCTGATCTATGGTCTTCTGTATGCGTGGTTGCCCCTTAACATCATCCGGGCGCTCCAAGATGTTAATGAGGAAGCCTGTGCTGACATGCCAGGCTACATGGCAGTGGAATGGCCAGACTCCCGGGTTATCCGTGGTGAATTGCACAACCAAGTGTCCGCTGGCGGGCAAGAGAGTCGTGTCCCTTCGAATTGGATTCTCGGGGTTGATAATAGTTCCATCCCACTCCCCGAAGCCATAAGAAAGGACTTGGTAGTCATGCCCGTGCAAATGCATTGGATGCGTGAATGTGAGATTGTAGAAATTTGGATCCGAAGGGTCAACTTTTTGGTTTTCCCAGACTATACGCACGACACTGCTGTTTCCAGTGCTATAAACATTCCACTCTGGGTCCGAAGGGTAGTAGAAAATACCCTCGTCAGCCAGATCCAAGATTGGTTCATTGTAGTTGACTCGGAAGGTCTGGTTATTGAGCAGGTATACTGGGTGGCCGGTTTCGTTTTTCGTATTGTTGATATGGATAGTGATGGTCTGGTCTGCAGGTGGAGCAGGAATACGAGTTACGGGGCTTGTCGTGTTGAGAGGTGGGTTGGAACAAGGCATATCAGCATCAATTAAAGGCTGTGGCGCACTGGTTGGCGTTTTGCTGTCTTCGAAGTCCTTTTCGTCATAATAGATTGCTGCGAGACCGTAGGGCTGCTCCGGGAGGGTGCAGAGGACGGAAAGATTAGCGCGCATCCAGTAGTTTCGCTCTGCATCAGCTCCTGTTTTTCCATGAACAATGACATCGGCTCTTTGACCAACCTGTAATTCATGTCAGTAAGAGGAACCTTCTTGTTGCACGTTTTTCTGGTGTACTCACGCCAAGAGTAACGGAATTCGTCGTGTATGGCTTGACTGGAATGTAATCGTTTGAAATGACTGTAAGGTCATGCTCATCGATTGTGAAAAACTGAAGGCCAGATGACCCAACATTTACTAAACGCAGTAAATGACTCTTTCCTGGTTGGAACTGGAATTTAGAAACGCCAGAGTTGCTGACACAAGGAGTTCCATCTGTCACTGAACTGCAGTCGAAGACCATCTTGCCATTGATAACACTGTTGTCCGAGAAGGCAAAATGAACTTCAGAACCATTATTGTTCACCCTTTCAACCAGCTTTTCGTAATAGGGATGATACACTTCATTTATCCGTTAGTAATTCACCAGCCCTTGAGAGACCATTGGAGACTTACTGTCGCTAAGCAACACGGGGCCGAGGTCGATGTCATATGGTGCTGATTTTGGCCCATAGAAGACCATGGGTCCAACTAACCCAGAAGTAAGCTGGGCTGAGTAGTGCGAATGGTACCAGCTGCTTCCAACATGATCCGCGCGGAATCTATAAGTAAAGTTCGAACCCGGAGCGATGGGACATTGTGTTACTTATTGTAGTTAGCCATGTTCCAGCTTTAGCTTATCGATTGTACACTTACATCCTGGTACACCATCGGCGTACTGAGTGCCGTATTGGCGTAGTCCATGCCAATGAATTGACGTTCCTTCATCTAGGTCCTGGAGAGAGTTGGAGACCGTAACCTCGATCCAGTCGCCCCAGTTCGCTTCTATCAATGGTCCAGGATACTGTCCATTGATAAGGAGCATCTGTTTCTGATACCCATCCGGAGCCAGAGTACCTGGTGCAATATCAAAATGATAATACCGGGTGACGTTGGTTTCAGGAAGTGGCTCGTTTACGATATCGGGCTTGTATTTAAGATTGCCCCATGGATATCCGTGTTTTAGAGTCTGAATTTCGTCAATACGGGGTATCAAAATGTTGGGATTTAGAGACTTACGCTGCCAGGCAAGAATTCTGGAAGATTCTGCCAGGAACTGGCGTTCAGGTTTCTAATACCAAGACGATCATCAATATCTCTTCGCGAATTGATGATTGCTTATTTGCTTACCCATTAGTCTGCTGATTAGTGAGACCACCAAATAATGGCAATGCCCCGGCGAGCAATTGAATAATGAAGTTGGACGGAGGAAACGGCGACATGATGAGATCAAAAGGTTAGCCCTTTCGCAAAATACCCAGGTTCACACCAGTTGAGGATGTGAAGTCGTACGTCTCGAAGAAGTTCACCTCTGGATTGCTGCTTCCTTTCTCTCGATTATATACCAACATTTCCTATGAGCTACGGCCATCATCTGGCCCCCAAGACTAACAAACGCTACTGAAAACCTAAACACTACTAAATTTCGTATTCTCGAAGTATATCCATAGCTCTAAATTGAACTCAACAATCTCGAACCTTGGAATCCATCTGAGAAGCCATTGGGGGCTATACACGGACTGTAAAGGATAGTCAGCCTAACCTTCGTGAGAAATAGCCCATACTGTTCATTTAATTTTTGAAGCTATCATCTTCCACAAATCCGCGATTGGCTGAGAACTCGTGTCCAGATGGGTCATTCGCCTCCTGTTCTCGCTCGAACCTCTCCAAAGGCCGATAGTAGGATCCTCGCTTGGATTCGTATTTCTCTTATCTTCCTTGGTTTCGTCAGGGAAATTAAGATTAGCCAAAGAATGGTTCTGCAGGAATAGTATCCTGGTATGGTTGGTTCGTTGGTAAGTTAGTCTATCAATTATAGTCTATTGTAGCTGACTAGTTTTAGTGTCAAATGTAGACTTGCCACACAATCTACTAAAAGGGGATCCACTGCCTTAGCATGCAGGATATATTGGTTCCTGCGGAACCATGTGTATTTAGGATGGTACCCTGCTAAGTCTAATGTCTTGAATTGACGTATCGAGATACGAAAATATTCCGAGGTGCAGGAGCGGATGCATGGATCTCCGTTCTCCATGCGACTGCGGTGGAACTGTCAAATCCAAAGGCAACATAGGATCAGAGTCCACGTTGCAGTCCTGTAGAGATGCATAAGGTTTGATCGTTTTCCGCTACTTCGTTTTTGATACTACTGGTACCGGTAATACAATTACAGTATTTGACATGTATCGTAACTTCAATACGTGTCATCGTAACTGTACACACTCTGATACGGCCTATTTTTCGGTCGTTTTTTTCATATTCGCGATATTCGTATTGACATTACTTCTATCCCGGTGAGTAGAATACATGCTATGACTAACGTTCTTTCAGCAATTGTGAGATCTTACCAGTCCCGGTGTACCCTGGGATACTACGGAGTCATTGATGATCTGTAGAACCTTGAAACTCCTGAGGACATCAGGATCTAGACACGTGGGAAAGCTGGAAATAATAGATAAGCAATGGCACTGTCATGGAAGATCTGCACTTAGTATTAATCATCACCGAGCATCAATTCTCATAGAGATATATGCCTGTAGTATATATATCTCTGTATTCATTTACCGAATCATTCTTCTGTTCCTCCCATACCCAGGGAAATTCGTCCAAAGACTTGTCCATTTATCAACTCTTTGTTTGTGATAATAGACATCAAGACTTCTTCACCAGTCTTAATCATGCCGTCAACCATCTCTGAGCCTGTGAAGAGCTTCAAAGTACCTCTTCCTACGCCAAGTAGGGTGAAGTCTGCCTTGCCTCTGGTCAGTCCTTCTAGGATCCACGCTCATATTAGATCCATGCTTATTATAAACAGGATGAATCAACAAAAAGACATGTAGAAACCAGTCGCAATGCTATTCGCAACCTTATGTCACACCAAGCTACTGATGACCGCCTGATGGTAGTTGTCGGACCGTGTAGCATTCATGACACGAACGCCGCCCTCGAGTATGCCTCTCTGCTTGCCCAGGCGGCCGAACGACATCGGCGTGAGCTTGTCGTAGTCATGCGTGTTTATATCGAGAAACCAAGATCAACTGTTGGATGGAAAGGGTTGATCCATGACCCGGACTATGCGCAAGACCTCGAGAATCCGAACAATAGCACCACCCCAGATCTGTCTAAGGGTGTGTCCACGGCACGCAAGGTCATGCTCGAAGTTGCAAAGATGGGTCTCCCAGTTGCCACTGAGCTCCTGAATCCACTTCTTGTGTACTTCTTGGACGATGTAGTATCCCTTGGTGTCATTGGCGCACGCACTACTGAGAGTCAGACTCACCGTGAGATGGCCAGTGACATGCCCATGCCAATGGGAATTAAGAATGGCACTGATGGTGGGCTCAAAGTCGCTATTGATGCCATGAAAGCTGCATCTCGTCCGCACACCGTAGTCGGTGTTGATGAAGACGCTTGTCTAGCGTACCATATGAGTCGCGGAAACCCTGATACCTTTGTAATCCTTCGAGGAGGCAGCCAAGGGCCCAACTTCAGTCCCGAGCATATTCAAGCTGCTGAAGCGGAGCTCATCCGTGCGGGAAAGAAGCCTGCCATTGTTGTCGACTGCAGCCATGGTAACTCATCTAAGGACTACCGCAATCAAGGGTCTGTTGCTGCTTGTCTTGCTGATCAAATCGCTGTCGGTGCCCCTATCATGGGAGTCATGATTGAGAGTAACATCAATGAAGGTAAGTCACTGCTGATCGTGGTTAAAACTCGTTTGCCAACTACTTATCATTCGTGTAGGCCGACAAGACGTACCCGATAAAGGATCCAAAGGATGCTTGAAGTATGGTGTCAGTATTACCGACGGTTGTGTAGGGTGGAATGAAACAGAATCAATTTTGGAAAGCCTAGCAGCTGCCGTACGCCAGCGACAAGAGGCCTCCACTGCATCCTCCCCTGTGGAGGAATCACTTCCTACGATAATGGTTGGACAGTCTCTAGGAGACGAGAAACATACAATGCAGGAGCATGCAGTGGAAGTTTTTGTGTGAAATATTGCATCTGCATGCTACGATCAGAAATCGTTCGCTATCGAAAGGACAATACTTCAGTTTTAGACTGCCGTAACATGATTTGGATTTCTTGAGAGTTCTGGGAGGGTATATGGGAAGGGGATTGACTTTTTACGTTACTGAATGTTTTAGACTAGAAATACTGTCCTTAAGCTGTTTTTGAAATTTGATAAACATGAGTTTTATTCCAAAAAGCCCACGATCATTTACTCTATCAATGAAAGCAGTTAGCATAGCAAGTGTAATCTCGGAATTGTAATTAGGCATTTCATATAAAAATGTGGGCACACTACCTAGCTATCCCAATCATCTTTCGAACATATACCAATGAGTACTATTCTTTACAACTGATATATGCTATAGCATGTGGTAGAACTTATTGATATACGAGAAATAAAAATTTTACAGTTATTTGTGCCCAGCCCTGGAGGCTCTATGGACCAGCATGTTTATGGTATGCTGTATGTTCCCCTTATGCCAGTTCTAAAATTGTTCTCACACATTTTCTTAGAACAATGGGAAAATATATTCTCTAAAACTTGTTACGTCAATCTATGGAAACTACCTGCAGCAAAAGCAGCAAAAGAACCTTGGAAAAATTAACTACACAACCAAATCAACTGTATATCAATATGTGCCCTAAACCAAAATTCCCCTGCCTCCAGTAAGAATTTGATCAAAATTTCCAGCATCTTTCTGGCCGCGAAGAGCCTTGAATTTCTTTCTAATCCAGGCGCCGCTCGTAACAACGTCTTCTCCAATGGTAGATTTTGGAATGAGGGGACTATCTAGAGCGCGCAGCACTGTTTGATCCTCAGGTCTCATGAGATAAGCCATGCTGTATCGTTCCGGCATTGCGCATCCAGTAACAGGGCCAACTCGGTGAAGAGCACTTCTGAGGATACCATTGGTCATGAGGGTGATACAGTCACCGATATTCACAATGGCGTGCCCAGGTCGTGGCTCAACATAGAGCCAGTCAGACTCACTGTATGCGCCAGGCTTTTGCTGGACGCCTGGGGGAAGGACTTGGAGGCCAGGAGTCGTTGAAAATACAAATGTCAGACTGCCGAGATCAGTGTGGGGCGTCTGTGGAATGATATCAGTGTTTGAGTTTGCGTGGTACTTGAGCACACGTAGGATATCGGGTGATGGGCGGTTCAGCCCTTGGAAGTCCTCGAGGCGTTGACCAGCGGGCAAGGAAAGGCTATCAGAGAGGGAGCTAAGTATAACATGTGCAGCTGAACTGAGACCATCAAATAGGCCACTAATATCCGGGAGATGATTGGCAACCACTGGGGGATGTGGGAAAGGCTCATTTGAGAGTTGAAGGACCCCATTTCGTGGAAGCTAGATAAGGATCAGTATGTTTCTTATATATAGTGAAGGAGAATTTCATCTTACCACCCAGCTTTCGAACCCATCGTTCTTGCCGTCCTTTCCATTACCGACAACATTTCGGCCCTTGGGCTTATAGCCATTCACCTTCAAGTCGGAAATCTTGTCCACGTCAAACAAGGACTTGATTTCAGGTGGATAGTTGAACAACTCCTTCGAGCAGTTGAAGGTAGCATCAACGAAAGCCAACAGTGAGGCGAAGTTTGGGTGTGAGAGGTCAAGGTAGAAAAATCCATCATTCATACAAGTCTCAAGCAAAAGATTCCGTTCTGAGGCTGAACCAGACTGAAGCTGGTATAAAGATATGGTACGGAGGCCCGCCTTCTTATCACTGGGGATATGAACTTCCGGAAAAGATGCAGTTGGGGCTGCAGTGGATTCACTGGGAAATGTTGCAGAAGGAGACATGTTGAGAAATACTGAAAGGTTTGAAGTATATTGATGTTACTCGTAGTATCCGGTGGAAAGGAGTTGTATCTGGTTTTCAGTGTTCAATCTCATTCATCTACAAGACTCTTAAAGGGCTGTTTGCTCTACAATATTTATAACAAAAGACCTTTCCAATTATCCTTGAAATACCCTTTGATATCCGGGCTGAATAATGTGGAACCTGTACACATCCCTAAATACTTATCCGGTGTCTCGATAAGCAGGTAGGGTATCATCTTATCATCTCACAAGGGGCTAGACTGAGGATAATCACAACATACCTTGATAGACTGGCAAAGTCTCGTATTGCGTGATTTACGATAACCAATATCGACTCGGGATGGGTGTCTGTTGTCCGTGTTCTGAAGGATGATAGGTATCTCAGGATGGCAAATTGTCCAGTATAGGATTTTTGACCTTCCAGCATATTCGATTACACTCGCCTTGCATGACATACGGATACGGATTTCAAAGTTTTACAGCTTTACACAAATGTAACGTGCGATACCGTTCACGGCTGGATACGAGATGCATATGTAGACTCGCAGATCGTCACGGTGGTGAGACACATAGGGGCGCCGAAAAATTCCGCCGAGAGTTGCACATTACAGATCCCATACTGACTAGATATCAGAGGATGCAAACAAGCTGCTGACAGGGATACTAGTGGCGCAAACTTAGTTAGAGTCACTGGTCTCAACAGCTACTGCGAGTTCTAGATTGGGTTTGTCAAAAAACATGTCATCAAAATCCTGCCATAAGAGGATTATGCCTATGCAGTCATCACGTAAGAATTATTACAAGTACATTGGTAGCTGAAACTATGGATTCAGTTGTGCTAAACTGTAATATTGCGAGATAATCTGACAAGTAATCTGGTGCTCTCTTCAAAATGAACGCCATCAATGGCAACCATTTATGTATTTTCAGCCTCAAAATTCTCTCGGTACCAAGGGAAATAGGCCTGATTGGTTGCTTCGCGCATGGGTTGCAGTTTGTAAACGATGGAAACAGTTGGCAACATAGAGGAATGCTGCAACATGACAATCCTGAAGAGAGTGCCTAGGCAGCCGTCAGTAGAGATAAAACGTGGCAAAGATAGAGAACGTTCTTCTGACGATCATTTAGAATAACCGGCCCGATACTCGGGATATAAATGCACGTATTGACTATTATCGGTCTTGAAATCTTCACGAAACTTAGCCGATAATACGTTGTGGTAATGTTTCTGAGACGTGGTGTATTACGATTTTGAGTTTAATTTACAGGGTATGATTTACAGAGCCATTACAATTAGCGCCTCATCGTGCATTATGCAAGGCTTATTTCAACGGACCCTCTCGCTTTTCTATTCCCAAACGGGTAAGTACTGCTGCGCGGTGAGATAAGAGGAACACATCCTGGTCCATTACTTAGGGCTGAGAACCGAGGTTTACCACATCGTGAAGATCCTTGCCCTTATGTAGCCTCAATCACAGGCTGATAACAAAGTGAAGTTTGAACTCACCCTAATGCATGGGGCCATTATTCGTACCGAAGATTACGAGTTCTTATGCCCATTGCAGACTAATGCTTCGGATTCGGATCTCTTTGATACCCGGCCATCGTGGACACTGCCGGTGAAATTCATTTAGATCCTGCGCAAGATAGAATGTCTCGACCTCTGCTTAGGGTCTCCGACATGGAGAAGCGGACAGGGTGTCGACGTAATTACTAATCGCAGATGCCAGCATCCTGCTCAACGTTTTGCTCCCGGATACAATCAGGCCCGTCCGATGTTCAACTTCTAATTTCAATCAACCAAACTTGCCGTAAGGAGTTCGACTTGTGTAGAAATTCTCTAGAGCAAAATGTCTGAGACAAGCAAGCTTTGGACATTGGATCAATTGCTACGACAGCGTGCTATCGATGAAGACCAGACGCCCCTCATTGCATTTCCAAAGACGAGACAGGGCTACACGGATTACGAGCCGATAACTGGCGCGACTTTGAATCGCTTTGTAGATGGTACGGCGAAATGTCTTATAGAAAAAGGGTTCCAGCCAGTGGTATGATAAGGACTTTTTCCCATTATGCTTCACTTGCATACGCAAACTGACAGATATCGAATATCGTAGAAAGAGGAAGTCGTCATTGGCATATGCTCGCCTACGGACCTTGACTATATTGTGAATATATTCGGGCTGATCAGATTGGGCTATACTGTCTTTCAGCTCTCTCCTCGTCTCCCACCGAGTGCTATCAGAGAACTCTTAGCCAAGATACAAAATGGCCGTCGTGCACTACTATACGCTCCAGCGCATACATCCTTCAAGCTTGATGCTCTTAGTGATTTAGAGCTGCACCCGCTAGTGCAGCGTGATGAGTACGATAATTCCAGACACTCCGAAACTCCAGAATTCCTCCTCGAGGGAGTTGACTATGAAAAGGAGCACCGTCGACGATGTCTAATCCTCCACAGTTCCGGTTCGACGGGTCTCCCGAAACCCATTGATTACAATCACCAAAAGTTGCTTGCGGCGGGTGTATACGCTCAAGACGCTACGGCTTTTATAAGTATGCCATTTTCGCATGCTCTTGGAATGATGTCGTATATGCAAGCAATCCACAAGCGCAGAACTATCTACGCAATGAGCGGTTACGTGCCGCAGACTCATGATACTGTCACAGCTGCCGTCAAAGCAGCCAACCCTGATATCATGTGGACAGTTCCATATGTTTTGAAACTACTAGCTGAGAAGCCTGATGGAATCGATGCTATCAAGAATTGTCGATTTGTGAGCAGTGGAGGAAGTAAGCTGCCTGACGAGCTTGGTGACATGCTAACAGAAGCCGGTGTACACATTGGAATGCAATTTGGATCGTATGTGCAACCCTTGGACGTTTAACAATCTCGGTATGGTCTTACTTACAAATCGAGCAGAACCGAAACTGGTCTCATCCTGAGCTCGGCATATAGACCCCGTGAAGACAAAGCATGGAATTACCTTCGACCACCAGCACACGTTGTGCCATACATAATGTTCAAGCCGGTTGACCATGATAAGTACGAATGCGTCGTCCTTGATGGCCACAAAGGCAAGACGATGTCGAATTCGGACGATCCACCTAATTCATGGCGGACAAGCGACCTTTTTGTACCCCATCCAATTCTTCCCAATGCATGGAAGTTTGTTGGTAGGTTGGATGACCGCATCACGCTCATCAACGGTGAGAAGGTGTTACCACTCAGCATTGAAGCCCGGATTAAACAAAGTCCACTTGTTAGAGAAGCTGTCGTTTTCGGTATTGGTCGTGAGGTACCTGGGTTGTTACTTTTCCGGGAGCTAGGCACGAGTCAATTGGACGACAAGGAATTTCTCGACCAGGTTTGGCCTACTATTGAATATGCGAACAGCCATGCTGAATCATTCTCTCAAATCAACAGAGAAATGGTGGCAATTCTTCCGATGGATGTCGAATGCCCTTTAACCGACAAAAATTCCATTAAGCGTGGACTCATTTACGAGCAGTTTGCTGACCTCATAGATTCTATCTACGCAGCTGCTGAGAGCTCCAACAAAGTACAGTCTCTTCAACTCACAATACCAGAGCTCGAAAACTGGATTCTTGAGAATGTTCGGGCTCAGGGCTATGAGATTGAGGATGTTACTACAGACTTCTTCACAGCTGGTATGGACAGTCTCCAGGCAATTCATCTTCGAGGTGTGATAATAAAGAATCTTGACCTTGGGGGCCGCGAGTCAGAATGTACATCTATGATAGTGTTTGACTGCGGAAATACCCAGCGGCTTGCCAGGAGACTACATGCCATTCGCACAGGGGACAATTTTGAAAATGAGAAGGACATGACAATGGATACCATGAAACGATTTATTGACAAGTATGGTGCTTTTGCGAAATACGAGAAAAATGTGAATGGAACGCTATCTACGTCTCTAAACGACGACCATGTTGTTGTAAGTCATTGCAACCGAAACTTGCCCACTGGCCGAAGAGAAATTTTAGAGCCTACTTGCCTTCTCTTACTGACAATATCCTAGATCTTAACTGGCGTCACCGGGTTCTTGGGAGCTCATATTCTTGCCGCGCTGGTCGCATCAAGCAGCGTTAGCAAAGTGTATGCCTTCATGCGGCCTAACAGCGAGGAGAAGCAGACCCCATTAGTTCGTCTAGAGAGTTCTTTACAGACTAAGGGGTTTAGCATTCCTCTAGATAAAGTCATACCTCTTTATGCAGATATCACAGAAGAAAACTTCGGTCTCAAAACTACAGAAATGTACAAAACAATGAAATCGCTGGTCACCCACATCATCCACTGCGCTTGGGCAGTGAACTTTGCAATTCAGCTTACTGCGTTTGAACCACAACTTCTTGGTCTGCACAACTTGTTGGCCTTTGGTTTAGAGTCAGACCGAAATGCGCACTTGTTATTCTGCTCCTCGATAGGAACGGCTCAAGCGACTCCGGGCCCCGCAACCATCGCTTCAGCAATGATCCCGTCATTTGATAACTGCTCCTCGATGGGATACTCACAATCAAAACTTGTTGGAGAGCACATCGTTGAATCAGCCAGTAAGAACGGTGCAAATGCAACCGTGCTGCGTATTGGCCAGATCATCCCAGGACGGCGTCGCGGAACTAAACTCTGGAATCCATCTGAAGCAATGCCACTCATGATCCGATCCGCAAGCAAAGATTCTACCGGAGCATTACCGATCCTTGATACTGGTCGCGATACCTGTGACTGGATAGAGGCTGATACGCTAGCCGACACAATTCTGCAGCTCGCTGGAATTGACCATGCAGTGGACTCTACAGAGCTTGTATACAACCTTGTCAATCCGCGCGTTTTCTCATGGAAGGATGATCTTTTGCCATCTCTGCACCGTGCTGGACTAAAGTTTGATACCATCCCGTGGCAGGAATGGCTTGACCGGCTTGAAGCAAGTATAGAGGATGCAAACACTAACCCCAGCAGAAAGCTGCTTGGATTCTGGCGTAGACAAACGCATAGGGATGGTACGCTTACTTTTGACACAGCCCCCGCCGAAGCAGCCAGCCCGGCTTTGAGAGAATCGCTGCGAGTTGTGGATGATAACTTTATCGGGCAGATTATCGAATCTTGGAAAAACCCTGAGATTGCAGCGAAAGCCCAATGACTGCATAAAACATAGGTTACTCGACACTCACCCTTATGCTTTGATGCCTCTCTAGATAAAAACGATGATGAACTGTCCATTTATGCTGACAGATTATGTTTCTGTGTTTTCTACTATTCTTTTTTCCTCTGCTAATTTTCATATTCAATATATTCATGGACCTTATGCACTCTCGTAATATAACATAGCTATAATGTTGTTTGATAGCGAGAACATCAGCCTTGAATACGAGGCCCGCGGGAAGTGTCTGTTATTGTTAGATACTGTTGGTGATTGTCACTAATATGTATGGCCTAGCTGGCCTACCAATGAAACACGTGTTAAACCGAGGGATTTCTCCAGCCAGTACAATTTCCTCGTAAGAACGGGACAACTTGGTCAGAGACAACCAAGCATTCAATTGAAAAAATAGAGTATCATCTAGATTCTTCAAACCCCGATAAAGTCCGACAGTTGTCGAGATAAGGCCCAGAAGGGATCAGACCCTGGCCAAATTAAGTGGGGCCGCTACCGCTGCGCTATCCCCTTGGCTTAAAATACATAAAATACGGAATACCATGATATAAATTACATACCATACATGTATGTAAGGTACATAGACGTGTATTTTATGTCAATCGTAAAATATTGACGACGTCCGATGTTGCAATGAGATGATAAGGCGCAATTGTCACATATTCGCTCAGTGGTGGCGGCCCTATTAGCAATTATGACCCTGCAGAATAGGATTTTGAGAATTGGGGGCCAAAGGCTCGGACCGCTTGTTATATATACCTAAAAAATTAAGAATACGAGCAATGACTTAAAAATTCAGGATACGAGGCGCATATATTAGCTTAGTCATTGGTGATCCCCAATTAAGGTGCGCGGCCCGCCCTCCGAGATCACCGCTGTGGCCAATAGAAGCGCAACCTTTTGCACTTCATTTGTAAGCTTGCTTAAGTATGCTAATACGGGAGTATCTTAGTACGTTTTGGGCCATTTTAGCAATCTTCCATGCCTATATTCCTTCAGATAAGGGGAGGAAGATGACATCCATCTCCACCAGAGATAGAATGTCGTTATTTGGCGCGTATATTTCGACATTGGAAATAGTAATCCTTCGAATATTCTAGGCTCACGGTAGCGTTGACATGGTCATTCTGGACGCATTCATTATCAAAGCTACCATTTTGTCGCGCACGATCATCATCGCTACCTTCCTAATAGGATCTACTGTTCGTATATCTGACTACTCAGGCGGATCCGGTGTCTTCCTTCGAGAATTCGATTGCAATCAATTTCATTATATATACTTAAGTGGCTCAACGAGCAAAACAAGATTTTTGACACTACTGTTTGACTGGCGTAAAGGGATTTATTCTATCTATGTTTTATTTGATGTACTAAGCCCGCTATCTTAGAGTTGCTGGAGAGAACAATAAATTACTAGATTGTTTGAAGAAAAGAATCGGTAGAGCCCTGACATAGATTGCAGCCTGGACTGCACTGCTGTTCCATTGAGTGCGTAAATGATAATATCCGAGTTGATACATCGGCGGGTTGATGCGAAGAAATAGGGTTTGGAAACGCCTCCTTCCGCTTTTCTCGAGACTAGTGTGCAGATCAGAGCCCTTGGTGCATTAGCATCTAAACGCCCTGGTATTTTGCGGTTGGCGTTCTGAGTACTAGTCTCAAAGTAGCAAGTAACGTTTCTTGTGATAGCCTAGACCTACACATGGCTGAATCCGGGATTAGATTCAGGCTGATTGACCCAGTAGATGGCGAATCCCAATTAGGAAATGTGAAACGAGATGGCCCACATATGGGTTCTTCTGCTCTGCGATACGGGTGACTTACTGCTGGAGTGTCAGTTTAGTGTGCTCTCGTTGGTTAAAAGGATACTTATTATTGTGCGCCGTCCCTATTTCACGAAAGGGCGTTCTGATATCAAAAGAAGAAAGCCCGATCACAATGAAGTGGGTATCTTCAGAAAACCTTCATCCCGAAGGGGATGGTACCCCTGGAAATGGAGGTATCCTGTCTTCAGGTACCTCGGCTTCTACGCTACACCTTCCAGAGGCTCCTGTTTCAGACGAAAAAATCAATAGCATTCAGGATGTTCAAGCATCTTCATCTACTACGCACTCTACAACAGACCTTCCAGAGGTCCTGAGTACTAATGAAAAGATCGATAGCGTCCCCGATGGCGGGCTTCCAGCATGGCTAGTAGTCCTAGGCGCTTGGTGTGGACTGTTTTGTAGTTTAGGATGGCTCAATAGTAAGTCGATACCAATTCCACCATTATCAATTGTCTATGGATTAAGCTTATTGTACAGGTATCGGCATATTCCAGAGTTACTATGAGACAACGCTTCTCCATCAGTACTCTGCGAGTGCAATCTCTTGGATCCCCTCCTTTGAAATCTTTTTTACGTTTGTGATGGTATGTATAGACAATATACTTTGCCGCTTTCAGAATTTGATATCAGCTTGTCCTTGTCATAGACTAACAACAGAATATTCATATAGAGTCCAATTATCGGTCAACTTTATGACAGGTTTGGTCCACGGTTTGTCATTCTCGGTGGCTCATTCCTACATGTCTTCGGCCTTATGATGGCCTCCCTCTCCACCAGTTACTATCAGTTGCTCCTATCGCAGGGAGTCTGCAGTGCACTGGGGATATGCGCTATCTTCCAGCCATGTATGAGCTGCATCCCAAGCTGGTTTCAACGAAAAAGGGGCATAGCATACGGCATTATTTCAAGCGGAACTAGCCTCGGCGGAGTCATTTTCCCAATAATGGTCAGTCGACTGATAAAGGTAGTCGGTTATGCTTGGTCGATGCGTATTTCTGCCTTTTTGATCCTCTTCCTCCTTGTCATTGTCAATCTGACAGTGAAGACACGCCTTCCACCATCATCACAAACACACAAGATGAGCAAGAAAACACTTTTACAGCCACTCAAAGAAATTACTATGATCCTTGTTGTCTTAGGATTTTTCTTTCTGACATTTGGTGTGTTCGTACCAATTAATTACCTTGTCGTCCAAGCTACCAAGGTCGGGATGAGTAGCAACTTAGCCCAATATCTAGCTCCTATACTAAACGCTGCAAGGTGAGTCGGACAAAAATTATCCAGCCTTTCACCTTTAATAGTGGTTGACTAATGAGTATACTCCATAGTCTATTTGGCCGTTTATTAGCTGGTGTCCTCTCTGACAGAGTCGGTACGTATAATGTCTTAATGATCGCCTGCTACCTCGCCGGTATCTTCTGCCTAGCTCTCTGGATCCCGGCAGCCAATACCGCTGCTGTTATGGCGTTTACCATTCTCTTCGGAATGACCTCAGGTGCTTATATTGCCCTGGCAGCAGCGTTGGTGGTGCGTATATCTCCGATTAGAGAGATCGGGTACAGAACTGGTCTTCTGTTCTTTATTGGGGCCTTCAGTGGACTAACAGCAAGTCCGATTGCTGGTGCAATCCTCCAACGCGAGGATGGTTCATATACCGGCATGCAAGTTTTCAGCGGTGCTACGCTTTTAGTAGGCAGTAGTTTCATCTTGGTGGTGCGAATTTACAAGACTGGTCCGGTTCTGAGAGCTAGATTTTGATTTCATTTCGTTTTATCTTGTTCCATTTGCGACCGTCTCTTTTTTCCTGTCTTGGAATTTCTCGTCTGCTAGGAGGTTGAGCCTTTGACAGAACCGATCTTGGATAGGTTCTTATGCTGCATACACTGGTGTTATAGATAGATGCTTTGATAGTTGTTTCAGGGTAATAAAGCTATGCAGTACTGCGCCGAAAATGTTTATCTGAGAGTTCGCATATTTGTACACGTTGTTGGTAGTAAGCAGGGTAGTATGACAGTAAGTGAGGGGAACATTCATGTCATCTGCTGCTCAACATTCGCAAGTCAGTCCTCAAACTTGGCAAGCAAGAAGTTGATATCAAGCCATTTCAAATATTCTAGACTGATTACAATGACCCTTGAGATAGACATCGGTCAAGTAATATTATTCGGATAGTCGACAAAATAATGACGTAAAGCTTTCTACGAGAGCTCTTGCAGATGTCATCCTCCGCTGTGCTTTGTCTGGTAAAAAGGGAACATCAGATATTGGAATTCGCAATAACTGAGAATACGCATAAGCAGCTGTAGAGGTGATTCGATTATGCATGATATCTTTTCCTTCTCATCCAAGAGAAGTTGTTGTTCCAATTATCTAAATACAAGAATACAGAGGTTATTCTTTTGATAGAATCACACGGACCAATTCAGCAGATTGTCGAAAAACCACATGAAATATGAGCTTTTTTGACAATTCTTCATAGAAGAGACATAGTCCGTATAAAGTGCACAATCTTGGATGAATTGCTGGTCGTATCTGGAACCTGATTCTTTGGAAGATTGACCATTCACGGAAAGTTTCATCTTCAGCAAATTAAGTCTCGTAGCCAGCATCGTAATTCTCTGCAATGGTACTGATTCATCAAAATACTGCAGATACTGAACCTCAATCTGCTTTTCCAGTATGCGAATTGCGTCGCACTTTTCTTGAACCGACAGTATTGGATATGGGTTTTCGTGACAAAAGTCACTTGAAAACATCAATTGTCGCGAGTAGAAAGTGACAGTAAAATTGCACAAAGTGAACGTCATTTCAGTGTTTTCAGGTCTGTCTGCTGGTGGCCTGCTCATATCTGGGTCGAGCTGGCTGTCGCTAACATTGGATGGCGTCCTTGTGTTGAACGAGCTTCCCAAAACACATGGGTCCGTGCTCTTATCTTGAGCAGCCAGAACGTCCAAGGTAAGAATATGCCACCAGAGCCGTCTACGCATTTCAGCTTCAAAAGTTGAAATATCTGACTTATCGCCGTCGCGATTTAGGTGCATCTTAATGGCTATTCCGATTGCCATGCCAATAAGGCCGTGGACGTTAGGCCCCTGAGGATCTAGGCGACCACATATCTAGACGTGCCACAGTTAGAAACATGTTCTGACTAGAGGTTGATTTTCCACATACCAAGTATAATACTAATGCCTGTAGGACGTTCATATTTCTTGTATTCAGAACGTCAATATCGGAAAAACATTCATCTATTTTGTTTCGACACCTTACGTATATAAGCAACAGCTGTGTGCTGTGTATGTCAACAGGTCAAACTAACCTCGTCAGCAGCACGGACTTACTATGTTGAAGGTCCGAGATGCATTCCATTGGTGACATGCTCACGATTGCGGCGTAAGCAATTGCATATGTCAAGCAAACTGTATTCGGGTTTGCAATCTTTATGTCTTTGCATGCCTGCATGACTATCTTTTGTGTAGAAGGCACATGGATTAGCTTGAGCAACGGGTCTACTCTCTCCAGATATGTCTGCCACATTGCTACGAGAGTCATGGGGGAAAATATTTCATTGCTCTCTTGCGCTGGCTCAATAGTAATTATTGATTGTGTCGCTTGACTTGACAATGCCGTTTCATGCGTGGCTACTGCTACAGCTTCAGACACTGGCCTGTTTGCATCCTGTAGACCGCGTGAAGGGGAATTCCTGTCCATCACGAGCTGTTTGATCTCGTTCATATGTCGCTCAAGAACGCTTAACCGTTCTTCAACACCGTCAACTCTCCGTTGCACGTACTCGGTCTTGTCTGTGCCGTCTGTGCTTGGAGCTACAGTTGGTGCTGGGTAGATGCATTGGATTTTGGTTTTGACACAGTATGAGCAAGGACGAGAGCGGTTGCATCCAATCTTTCGCCGTCGACATTCCAAGCATGGTGCTCCAGGCATTATTCTTCGCGGATTAGAAGCCATACTAACTAGAGATTTTTGTGTACTTTTGAACGAGGTGAGAAGCGGAAAGAAGCGCGCGGGGGAGGGAAGCAGCTAATTGGATGGAGCGGAGATGATATTTGGTAATAATATTCAAATATCGATTAACAATAATGACAGAGAAGCTGTTGTATATGTAAGCAAAGCACGTAGGATGAGGAATATGAGAAACTGATGAGGTTCATCATGAAGTTAGCTTAGAAACCCCGCTATTTGTCAGCCACAAAAATAATTGGTTCGGCGCTGGCCGCTCCAGCCAACCGGAGCTCAGCATTCCATTACAAATTCGGACTAGATATCAAAGAATGCTCGAGTGTTGTGATAGAGGATGGAGCTGTCGCAACCTCAAACCATACAACCAACTGTGTCGATCAGAGCTCTCATTAAATATAAAGCCTCATAGATGTATCACCTCGTCAATTGTCTCTCAAGCACCAGCAACATTGTTTGAATCTAAGATACGAAAGATAGACTTGTTATTGATACTCCTTTAATCTACTCACCATGGCCTCTCTAAAGAATATTGCAATCATTGGGGTATGAATTACCAACAATTTCCATAAGTTCACTTCAAGAATAACGGTAATCTAGGCTAGCGGAAGCATTGGCAAGATTATTCTCGACGCCCTCATTAAGGCTCCGCAATTCAATGTCACCGTCCTATCCCGCGCATCTAGCGAAACTACTTTCCCAACTGGCGTGAGCGTTCGCAAGTCTGATTTTTCGGACTCTGACCTTGTGTCTGCGTTGAAAGGTCAGGATGCAGTCATTTCTGTTGTGGGCCCGACTGGCTTTGCAGAGCAGAAGAAGTTCATTGATGCTGCTATCTCTGCCGGTGTGAAGAGATTCTTGCCATCCGAATATTCTGCGAATACTCTTAGTCCTGCTGTGCTACAACTCCTCCCACTTTTCAATCAGAAGAAGGAGACCCTAGAGTATTTGAAGACGAAGGAGAGTTCCGGTTTCTCATGGACTGCGATTTACACTGCTTTGCTGTTCGATTGGGTAAGTACACTTCAAATTTCATAAATAAAAGAAAAGAAAAAAGAGACTCATTAAATAAAAATAGGGTCTAGGAAACGGCTTTCTCGGATTTGACGTCTCTGCACATACAGCCACAATCTGGGACGATGGTAGCAAGGTCTTCACCTTGACCAATGCAGACCAACTCGGACGTGCTGTGGTATCTGTGCTCGAGCACCCAGAAAAAACAGCTAATAAGAACCTCTACGTTGCCTCGGCTGAGACTTCGCAGAAGGAGATCCTTGCAGCCCTAGAGAAGGCCACTGGTTCCAAATTCGCTGTAACCAATACTACGACTGAGAAGGAACTCAGCGAAGCAGGTGAAAAGCTTAGTAAAGGGGACTTTAGCGGTGCTTTAATACTTGTACGAGCCACAAGCTTTGGCAGTACACCTGGCATTCGCGCAAACTATGCGAAGGAGGAGGAGTTGGCGAATGATTTGTTGGGATTGAAGCTTGAAAGTGTTGACGAAACTGTTGCGCGGGTTGTCAAAGGCTCATCCTAAAAATAAGGAAATGGTTATGATTTAATTGTCATGTACGTAAACCGGTGACACGAATTAGTAAGATAAATATTAAGGAATTCACAGCACATCATTGATACATCGATATCCCCGAGGCCCAAGTAGGCATCTGCTCTTATATCATTAGCCAAGCTTCCTCCTTGGATGCGAAGAAGCCTTGACTTATGAAAGACATAAGATTCAACGTAGGATTACATTTTCGGGATTGTGTGGTTGCCTTCTTTGCTTGCAGCTCCCCAGGATGTTCTAGTAATTTTGCGTACAGTGCCCAGGTGAAACCAGTTTTTGAGGCTGACGTGTAATCATTTCATTATGTTTATTAGCCGAACGTCGGATAACTTATTTATTGCGATATTAATCCCTAAAATTTTCCATCTGCTTCTGCTTGCAGTATACTTTGTACTGTTCGTGTCACCTCCAGCTTAGCGTATCGTTGTGTGCCTGATACAGCTATTGACTTTCTTCTCAATTGAGTCTTCTCCCTAAGTTGCAGAGATTTGGTATAAGACCCGTTGTAGCACCAACCTCTCCAAAATCCATGAAACGCTACAGACAAAAGAGAAAAAAACGAAAAGCAAATCAAAACATGCAAACTAACTACAGTTACGCAGTCACAACTGGCTTGATCGCATACTCCAGAAGATCTACGATTAGGCTGTTTTCTATGCTTAGGCTAGGACTTGAGATTATTATCCGTTCTTATCTTAGTATATAGTTAAATTTTGATAGCTTGCTCAATAATCTATAGGGGCATATTGCGTATTGTGGGATACTTGCACTATTGGTCTATCCGAGTATAACAACAGAACAATTTACGTGTAGCGTGGACAAGTCCCTCCATGTTTTAAAGACCGAGATTTGCATTAGGCAAACTATAGCATTACAGTCTCCACTTGGTCCATCAGTCATCGGCTCCTGACTATAAACCTGAAGGTTGAGGGATATATATCTAGTCTCTTATCGGGTTCATACGGGTTGTTTGCTCTCGCTACGCTCAAGAGACAAAAGAAGTTTCGATTAAGTATACCTAGATAAATGATATATAGTGCTCCAGTTGATAAGATAGTTATGCTATTCTACTTGGTCTTATCGCATAACTAGAACACCACAGTTTAGTCAGATGTTTGCAAAAAAAGGCGGAAGTACTTATAGTAGGGGGTGTGACGGCCTAACCCTAGCTTCTGTCAGATAACCCGAATATCTGACGAGGCAGAAGATAGGCTATTCGATCTCGAAAATCAATCGGTCACCTCAGGCTATGTATTTGGCTACCTACAATTCAGCAAACAAGAAGCCATCTTCTTATCAGGGTTCAATATAACCCTCAATGTTTACCCCTCATGATAGCTCACAAATCACCCCGCCAAAATTGTTTAAAAGTCGGCTTTTGAACCCGATGTACTGGGGAAGAGACAGAGACAACACAATATATACAATCTTGCTAGTTACTTCTTCTTTTCTCATCTTAGTAAACCACTATTCAGGATTGGCCTGGAATAAACCTACCAATCCGACAGCTTCCGCAGGCTATCCCGATTAAGAAACCCTTTGTTAACGGGAAATCCTTTGTTGTCGGGTGAATCAAAACGCGGGGACATCAATCAGCTTATTCTTGTTGTTGAGATTGTATAATATATGACATGTAGGGACATGGCTGGCTATAGATACGGACCATATCCCCTAGCTACATAGATTCCTCATGCTTATTTTTCTCCGTCAAAACCGCTACCCTGTCAATAGGATTTGTTAGGCTTGAGCACTTGTTACAGGGGGTCTATCAAGGACAACCCGTCATATATTTTAGATTTTTAAGTTTATTCCATAGTGATATATCTATTGAATATCCAAAATATTCTGTAACATACGACCATAGGGTGTGGAAAACAGGGCTTCCCGTCCGCTCAGCCGTACTTAAGCCACACGCCGGCTGGTTAGTAGTTGGGTGGGTGACCACCAGCGAATCCCAGCTGTTGTATGTTTTTTTTTCTTGCTTTTTTCACACTTATTTGTACTCGCTTCAGTCAAACCCTTCATTGCTGTTTGTAGTTCAAGTATTGTGCTGTGCTGTCACGGTTCTATCGTCAGAGACTGCTTTGGGCAGCTATTGCACCCAGGCGAAGGAGGGGGTAAAGACGGCGAGGTTTCACAACACTAAGGATATCCCTGGGGAGCTTTATTCTATGAGTTTCACAATGTGGGAATAGTTTCATCTTTGAGGCTTTGTTGCAGGCTTTGTCCGGAGGGGCAATCATACAACTGCCTATTTCTGCTAGCTTGTCGGCTTCAGAGGGCGCCTGAGCCCAGAAAGCGATAGTCTTTGTGAAGTAGGTTGGGCCAGCTTCGAGGACCAGATGGACTAGCTTGCCCGTATCACCTATAGCCACATGGGGCATCACCGTCTGCGGGCTGTGAGGGAACTTGAGGGTGTAGGTGCCCTTGGAGTCCTTAATCGTGTCGTACGTGAGCACCCAACAAATCCATGTCAGTCTATTTCCGACTGGAGGTATGGCTCACCTTGATGGACAGATGCCGGTGGGGGTTGGTCAAAGTGTTCTCAAAGTAATTGGGGAAAAGGATGGTAGTCGTCTTCGCCCACAAGTCGGGTTTCTTGGTATGGATATACTCGGTAATCAAGCTCTTGCCCTTCCAGTGATGTACATTGAGGAACTGGCCTCCCGACACCGCAACGGGGTCCGGCAAAGCGCTCCATATAAAGTGTTGGAGGGTAGTTGTTGACGCAGCAGCATCTGCAATAGCCTTGCCCTGCTGAACTTCGACTGCGGCGGACTGCTTCTGCCAAAAGTCGGGCCAGTGCATAGGTAATATCTGCATCAGCGAAGTGTCAGATAATCCAGATTACAAACGAGGCAGAGAGATCCGACGTTCGATCTTACAGGTCTAAAAAAAAGGCACCTTAGGGCATATATCTGGGCACCTAGATTTCAGCCCAATGTTTACCCCTCATGATAGCTCACAAATCACCCCGCCAAAGATGTTTATAAAAACTCAGCTTTGAAACTTGATGAACAGAGAGGAGAGAACGGAATAGACACAATCTTGCTAGTCACTTCTTTTCTTTTCATCCTAGTAAAACACTCTTCAGGATTGGCCTGGAATAAACCGACTAATCCGACACGAAGGCCGCAGTAATGACTTCTCTTCCACCCTCCAAGTCGGCAGCTGGAGTTCAACGCTACGGGAAGCGAGTTTCTGCGCCGCTGATTTGGAAGGATCGCAGGTGATTGCCCGGATATGATAGAGATCAGGATATTTCAGGAATTCTGCAGCCACGGATCCACACTGTAGTCACCAATGTAAGCCAGCTGCGTTCCCTGCGGCATGTGGAAAGACTTGCCTGAGAGCCAGTGCACCGATCACCACGACATTTCGCTTGATACCAGTCATTGTATTCGCAATACATTGCAATATTTGAGTAATATCGGTTTGATTTAAACATGTTGTAGAATTGACGACAATGGAATATTTATATATGTGGCTATATCGGTGGTCCAGAGAACTACAGATGAGGCTGCTACCGCTTAGTCAGCGGTAGACATGCACGCGACCGACATTCCCTTGATTATGTATTCGTGATGCTCTTTCTGAATCTATCTGATACTCGACGGACTTGAGCACTGGACTGCACGGATCATTATTGGTATTTTGTTCACTTTCCAACGACAGCCAACGACTTCATCATCAGTCAAGGATGGACATCAACTGTCCTGACCCGATAGAGGCATGTGGGAACATCCTGTTCCATTCTCTTCAGTCTCCTAATGGAAGCTTCCTGTCGAGATCTCTCAACAAACATTACTACAGCAGAGGTTTATGTTGGTTAGGGCATTAAGGGATTTTTCTATATCAGAAAGATAAAATGATATCTCTAGTCTATCTAAGCTCATGACTCCGGTCACTTTGAAGCATCTTAGAAAGCTATTATCAGTATCGATACAAGGTAGTAGCTTTGGTGCTCTATCTGTTCCTCTTTCCCCCCTTTTTCGTGGGATAATCATTATTTTCACTTGCTTCGGATGTTGAGAAAAGATATAGCCTTCCGGCCTTCTTTTTTTTTTGAGATCTACCTAGATATTCCGTCTCAACATTATAGACAACTTCTTTAACTGTGAAACTCGGGAGTCTAACCTTGATCGAGCAAAGTATTGACTCTATCCCGCCTATTATAGAGACTTTATGTTGTTGTGGTACACCTGACCAGCAGCGGTGTCCTGTATAATATAGGTCAATTTGAGTAGTATAAATACCTCATCAGCTAGAACAATCTTTGTTCATTTACACAAGTATTCCTAGTCCAACCTTTTTCATCTCTCGAGCGCAGCGAGAAGACAACTTGTATACTAATCATGTAGTCTGCGGCTCCATACTTTCATGAAGTAACTTCTGTTCATTTGTGAAGTCTCCTACTGCTAAGTAACAATTGTATTTTGTACGAAACATAAAAATGAGTCTCCCAATCATAACACATATCTCGTATTTAATTCAAAGGCAATGGAACTAAGTTGACAGGAAAGGTGTCAATCACTTACAAAATTTATCAAATGGTCACTTAGGCCAATGTTGTTGGCATACTTCTTGTTGCAGAAGGGACAGACCTGTAGCGCCCAAGGCATATTGACTGATCAAAAGAAGGACCTCAGTCAAGCACACGTCAGAGAAGGATATATGTCTTGTGAAGATTTTCTTTGCATTGTGATTGTACCTATGCAACGATCAATCTTATAATGCCCACTGTGAAATTTTTTTTGACGATAGTGAGTGAACACAGGGCCACACCTGTCAAAAGTTGTTTATTTATTAATTTCCTGACTCATTTTGCACAACAATTGTCAATTTCTTGCGCTCTAATACCAAGATAGGACAAATAAAGGTTTCTTTCAGATTGTCTGCTTTCTTTTGTACACTACCTTTGTAGAGTTTGTGGATGCGTGTTTCAAGATTTGGTAGGACTTTTTCAGATAGTGTTAGACCTACACCAGATTTACTCAAAATGCTTTTATATTGAGGATTGTCATGAAATTGAGTGAAGATTATGATAATATACACAAGCTGTCTTCTCTCGGTTCTGCTCGAGAGACGGAAGTTGAGAAGTCAGACCAAGTATAAATGGACGTAGAGTGCTCCAGCCAATTAGATGTACTTTGTGACCTCTGTCGCAAGTGGCATGGCTGTTAAGTCAGATGTAACAAAAGAACCGGATTCCTTTATAGTAGTCGAGATCCATGGATGGCTATAGCCAAGACGTTGGTGACAAAATGATAGTCATCAAGTCACAATGCTGACATACATTCAGGTAGATGAAGATGGCATCGCCTTGGAGGGATGAGTATCGTGGTCTCCTGCAAGCTCCATTAACGCCTCCTCCAAGTGCGGAAACATTGTATAATGTGTATCGTTCTCATATTCGCGCAAAACCCCATGAGGTAGTCTTTGAGCGAGATATCTTATCACAGCTATAGGCGAATTTCCATCCTTGGCTCCATGCCAGATTCGAACAGGATCAAAGTCGACGTCTTCGAACTTGAATCCCCAGTCTTGGGATGATAATAGGCGGGCTTCTAGAACAGTTGCATCGACACTTTGTGCAAAGGGCTCGTCTATCAGTAAACGGAGGAGGTAGTTTCTGCGCTCTTCAAGGGTTTTCGTCTTTGTAAGTTTTGTAGCGGAGGATTTTTCCTCGGAAGCGGCTGCATCTTCGTTCTCTTTCTCCTTTTTATCTTGTGCTTCTAACCACGCGTCGATGCGTCTTACAATCGGGCCTGAAGTAGCTATTGCTCGCAGTCCACGTACAGATGTACTAAGGAGTACGCCAAGCCCGGAAGGCCAGTAAACTGCCAAGGTACTTATCATCCTTCGCACCAGTGACATATGATGGGCTCCAGCTTCCCAAGGTCCAGCACTCGCAAACAGACCGACACCAGCAACCATATGCCTCGGTAACGCATGAGCACAAGCAAGCGCAAAAGGGCCGCCGCCAGAGCCGCCCATAATGACAAATCGATCTAGGCCCATACCTTTAGCGAATGCATGGACGTCATTTGGCCAGTCCACAATCCTACGACCTGGCTGAGCAGTGGACAGACCAAATCCCGGCCGATCTAGTGATAATAGCCTTATGCCGCAGCGCCGAGCAATATCATCCGCAGGCTCTGCTTCGAGACGGGATGATGGGTAGCCGTGGAAGAAAAGTAGTGGCTTACCATTCGGCATCCCGTATTCGGCAAATCCTAGCACTCGGCCATCGGGTAGCTGGAAAGTTTGTGATGAAGAGCCTGCGGAAGAAGTGTATTTTCTTTGTGTCCGCAAAGTACTTGATTTTGCAATCCGCCTAAAAGCAGGTCGCATTGACATCATATGATAAGAAAGTAGAAGGATGACTTAATGTTGCGTGAACAAAGTAGCGGTGCGACTAGAAGAGTCCAGGTAAGCTCACGATAGCGCGGTAAGTCTAGAAACTGGTGGAATAAAGAAGTTTTATATCCATGAAAAATGTGCCCAGGTCTTGTAGAGATAATAGGTGAAGTACTCTAAGTCCAGAGGAAAGTGATTGCAATTTGTGTCTTAGAAAGATTCAGCGCTGAATACGAAGTCAATTTAGTCTCTCACTAGTACCTAAACCAATCACGACCGATCTTTCAGACTTGTAATCCTATTGACCTATACAAAAGAAGAAACGAACATCAACCATGAAAGAAGAAGGTTCGTAAAATACCTTAGACGCCTGATTGGAATTAGAACTCTAGAAGATGGAGCGAATGTATCGTTCGTGAGCAACGTCAAATATGACCAGACGTAACTCCAGGGTTAGGGCTCGGTACATAGACTTAATGCATGAAACTATTATTACCGATATATTACCAATAATCCGGCCGGCTTAACGCCCATATGGAGCTCTGCGGGCTATTGACGGAACTTGGTTTGGTGTGAAGACATATGTTCTAGCATCCTACCTTGGAGTTTTCTGTTGAAACGTATGCTGACACATCAGTAACAAGGATCTGAGTGTTCATGGCCTTGGAACGGAGCAAAGGACCACAGGGAATGGTCGGACATCATGTCGTTGATCGCATAGGAGTAGGCATTAGGTAGCGTCTGTACGCTGATATTACAGCAATTGCCACTTAGCTGTCAACTCCACACTGCCTAGGTAGGAAGCTCACAATGACAGATTCTTGGAAGAAGCCACATGATGGGTGGGTATCAAAATCCCTGTCTATACCTGTGTATAATTGCGGAACAATCCCGAGTTCGTCATCTGATAAAGTGATTTTCAGCCCTTGGGATTGCTGAAAAAAAAATATTATGACTTGCCATGCTCTTCAATGTAGAATTTTCTCGTTAAGCTGCTCTAACAGGCTGGAAGCCTTCTCATTTTGACGACAGTTGAAACTACTTCCCATTTAGGCCATTACACATATTAATCTCTGCAGTACCCCACAGTTACAGCTCGGACTGCGGGGAGATTCACTGCCGGCACTCTACATAGTACATAGTAGTATTTAACTTCCCATGTTCAAAGTGCCGAGTCCGTATGAATGGCTTCACTCTTACCCTGATTCGGCGTCAGCGTCCGGCGCTAATAGTAACCTGTTAGCTTCGGATTTGAGAGCCACTCAGGTCATCGGAAACACGTTTACGGTTTCCGTGATACGATTTAACATAAGCACTGAAATACTACTTTAATACCGGCTTTTGCAGGGAGGGCATGGATGTCTTGAAGAATTCGCCTCGGCTCGACCAACCATGTCTGCAGAATGCCGACATAATGTTTCCTCGGTGATGAGATGGAAAGCCTCACCGGAAATTTGTCTCTGGAGAAGACGGCGATTTAGGGTAGACATATGATGCAGACTCCTGGGGATAGAATGTCTATAAATTGGAATGGAAGACCTGCCGAGTTCGTGATTGTGGTTCTTGATTCCCATCCTAACTCTCCTCCTCTCGTCTCATCTCCCTTTTCTCCTCTTTTCCGAACCCTTGACGTTTGTCTACTACAGCCATGACTCGTCTCTCTTCTGTGCTCTGCGCACTGGCTGCTTTAGGCCAGACTGCCCTGGCAGCTCCTGGTTTGTCGCCTCGGGCTTCAACCAGCCTGGACGCCTGGCTCGCCACTGAGACTACTGTCTCCCTCAGTGGAATCCTAGCCAACATCGGTGCCGACGGTGCCTATTCCAAGAGCGCCAAGCCCGGTGTGGTTATTGCCAGTCCTAGCACGGACAATCCTAATTGTGAGTGCACTATCAATCTGGTCTTGAATATCACGTTGTTGACCATTCAGACTACTACACATGGACCAGAGACTCTGCTCTCACTTTGAAGGTACTTATTGATCTCTTCCGCAATGGGAACCTTGGCTTGCAGACCGTCATTGAGGAATATGTCAATGCGCAAGCCTACCTTCAGACCGTCTCGAACCCGTCGGGTGATCTCTCGAGCGGTGCTGGTCTTGCTGAGCCGAAATTCAATGTTGACATGAGTGCATTTACTGGAAGCTGGGGACGCCCTCAACGTGACGGCCCTGCCCTGCGTGCCATTGCTTTGATTGATTTTGGCAACTGGTTGATTGTATGTATCTATCCGAACAGTTCTTACGGTTAGGGTTACCTGCAAGACATTCACTGACAGGATTTGTAGGAAAACGGATATACCAGCCTTGCTGCTAACAACATCTGGCCCATTGTGCGCAACGATTTGTCATACGTTGCTCAATACTGGAGTCAAAGCGGCTTTGGTACGTCTTTAACCTGTCTATTTTGGTCTTGATAGCTAACTCGATATTGTAGACCTATGGGAAGAAGTCAACAGCATGTCATTCTTCACCGTCGCCAACCAGCACCGTTCCCTTGTCGAGGGAAGCACTTTTGCCGCCAAGGTTGGCGCATCGTGCTCGTGGTGTGACTCGCAAGCCCCCCAGATCCTCTGCTATATGCAGACCTTCTGGACCGGATCTTACATGAATGCCAACACCGGTGGTGGCCGTTCCGGCAAGGATGCCAACACTGTCTTAACAAGCATTGCTACATTCGATCCCGAGGCTACTTGTGATGACGTTACTTTCCAGCCTTGCTCTCCTCGCGCCCTTGCCAACCACAAGGTCTACACTGACTCTTTCCGGTCTGTCTATGGCCTCAACTCGGGTATCGCAGAGGGCGTCGCTGTTGCTGTAGGACGCTACCCTGAAGATTCATATTATAACGGAAATCCTTGGTTTCTCTCCAATCTTGCGGCTGCTGAACAACTGTACGATGCCATCTATCAATGGAACAAGATCGGTTCGATCACAATCACCAGCACTTCGTTGGCCTTCTTCAAGGACGTCTATAGCTCCGCCGCTGTCGGCACCTATGCCTCTGGTAGCTCTGCCTTCACATCCATCATCAACGCGGTGAAGACCTATGCCGACGGATATATCAGCGTCGTACAATCCCACGCCATGAACAATGGTTCTCTTTCTGAGCAATTTGACAAAAATACCGGTGCCGAGCTGTCCGCCCGTGACCTCACTTGGTCTTACGCTGCTCTGCTCACTGCCAACATGCGTCGTAACGGCGTCGTGCCTCCATCCTGGGGTGCCGCCTCCGCCACCTCCATCCCCAGTTCCTGCACCACGGGCTCTGCCATTGGCACTTACAGTACCCCTACTGCAACCTCCTGGCCCAGTACCCTAACCAGTGGCACCGGATCCCCCGGTTCTACCACATCTGCAACCGGTTCCGTCTCTACCTCTGTCTCTGCTACTACCACTAGCGCCGGCTCCTGCACTACTCCAACATCCGTTGCAGTCACCTTCGACGAGATTGCCACTACTTCCTATGGTGAGAATGTCTACATTGTCGGCTCAATCTCGCAGCTCGGTAGCTGGAACACCGCCAATGCCATCGCTCTCAGCGCCAGCAAGTACACTACCAGCAACAACCTGTGGTACGTGACCATCAACTTGCCCGCTGGCACCACCTTCCAATACAAGTATATCCGCAAGGAGTCCGATGGTACCGTCAAATGGGAGAGTGATCCTAACCGCTCATACACTGTGCCTTCGGCATGTGGTGTGAGCACTGCCACTGAGAATGATACATGGCGGTAGGCAATGACTAAGCGGGTACGAACACGCTGATATGGAAGTCGTAAAAGAAAGAAAGAAAAGTGAGAGTTTTCAAGTGTAATCATGAGGATTTTGGTCCCGGAATAACAGGAATCATGTAGTAGGTACACTTGTATGGAGACATTTCCATTCATACCCTTCCTGAATTGAAATGCTTAATTTTGAATGTCTTATTAATCAGGAGAGTAAATCCAAAGATCCCGAAAGATAAATTCATCTGCTTAGTAATTAGTTGTCTGATTCCTCAAATGAACTGGTAACTTAATATACGTTTTCGCGAACATAAATTTTGGCAAATTAGGGCTAATTGCGGAATACAGGAAAATCTGGCTATAACGAACGGAAGTCATCACTGTGTGTAAACCAATATCACCTTTGATTACTTTAACATAAAAGTGAAGAGCATCTATTTATTGATAGTGTTACAAAGTCAGTCGTAGTAGTAATAAATTCATTACGCCCGGAGGCACCAAGTCTGAAGGATTCCAGTACACTATTTGTCCTGCATTGCATACACTGTGGTCATGGTCTCATGTCGAGAAGAAAGCCTGTATCAGCTACAAAAAATCCCTCTAGCCCATACATTATGTCTTGAACATTCCCTTCTTGTAGTTGTAGTCATGTTCCCCCAAGAGTAGTTACCCATTCCTCTAGGATCGATTTCCCCGCGTCTCCATTCTCGGTGTAGTTCCGTAAACCTCTTCCCTTAGTAGCGATTTACCAAGAGTACTTCTCAAAATAGCGTTTGATGTAGCTGAAATCCTCGCTGGCCACAACTCCAGATAGCAAACGAAGGACTGCCGAATCGAAACGTGGCCGAACCGTTAGGGTAGGTGTTGTTAGCAAGTCCGGTGAGTATCGATTGGTGACAGCTAGGCAAACGACCTTCTGAGAAGGCTCGCCGACGCGGCCTGAATTGTAGACGTGTTCGTTATAGCAAGGTTCTACCGTACTGTAATTGCAAATATCGTCCCGTTTAGTCAGCGGAATCTCATATCCCGACTCCTCCTGCCTCCAACAACATGAACAATAATGACAAACAAATTGTGTAAATGAAGTGGTGGATAAAGCCTGAACCAACAGTATGTTCTGGCTTTAGATGATCATAGATAGCGGAAACGGGTGTATAAATACGACGAAATTCTCGTTCCAACTCATTTTCAACTTCACTCCTCCCAATCAGTTTCATTCAATCAAGCCCTATATTGAACTCTGAACTCTATAATCATGACCTCCAACCTCGAAAAAACCGTCCAAGCCGCCATAGAAACCGGTATCCTGTCCGGCGCCGTCGTTCATGCAGCAACCAAAGTAGGCCTGATATACTCTAAATCATTCGGTTATCGCAGCCTAGAACAAGGGGCACCAGCAGTACAAGTGGACGATATAATGGCCTTAGCTAGTGGAACAAAACTGATTACTTCTGTTGCTGCAATGCAGATTGTTGAAAGAGGGCTTGTGGGAGTTGATGATGATTTGGGGGGTGTACTTCCTGAGCTGGGAGCCCTCAAGGTTTTGAGAAAGGTGGATGCTGGCAAAGAAGAGGAATGGGTGCTAGAGGAGAGGAGGGAGAAGATTACCTTACGGTACATTCAAGGCTACAGATTTAACATTATAATGAATACTTACGAATGATTATAGACAACTCCTCTCCCACTCATCCGGCCTAGCATACGCATTCTTGTCTCCCACAATCCAAGCCTACAACCAATCCAAAGGAATACCAGAATTCCAATCCTGGGAAACAGTCACAAAATCCTTCTCGGACCCTCTCATTGCACAACCAGGCACAATCTGGTGCTACAGCTCTGGTCACGAATGGACCGGATACCTCATCAGTCGTCTTACAGGACAAAGTCTAGAAGAATACGTACAGCGAAACATTGCATCGCCACTCGGTATACGGGATATGACATTTTTCCTTTCCAAGAATCCCAACATTAATCCCGCAAAGATGGTGTCAATTGTTCGTCGAGATCCCTCCATACCGGATGGTAAGGGGAAAGTCATCCCAAACACAAGACCACATTTCCTAGCACTAGCAAAGGAAGAAATGGGCGGTGCGGGATTATACACTTCTATGGCATCCTACATCAAGATCCTGCATAGTCTATTAGTCAACGATGAGAGACTTCTCAAACGTGAGACTGTGGATACGTTGGTATTTGAGCCCCAATTGTCACCATTCGCACAGAAGGATCTGCAGAAGTTGTTTAGTCATATTGCGCCTGGAGAGGAGAAAGCTACACCGCCGTATATTGGCACATTCACACAAGTGAGGTATGATCATAGTTTAGCTGGGATGTTGAATCTAGAGGATGTCGATTCGGGGGGATTGAAGTGGAGGAGAAAAGGGTTTTTGTTCTGGAGCGGGATGCCGAATATTTTTTGGGTATGTCTTCCCCCTTTCTCTACTCCAATTTCTCGATTAAATTTGGCTGACGTTGTGAACTAGTTTATTGACCGTCAGGCTGGATTATGTGGTGTTTTTGGGACTCAGTTGTTGCCCAATGCGGATGAGGAGACTCGAAAGCTGATTCATGTGTTTGAGAAGACGATGTATAGAGAGTTTGCTTCGCAGTGACTACAGTTGATACAAGCATAATTTTGTATGTTAAGCATCCTTTCCATTGACATAGATTCGGAATTATTCAGTCTAGGACATGAAATGTATTTAGTAATTCGCAGAGTCATCAAACGGAAACAAAGAATCATATCCAAATAGCGGATCTTGGAACATCCACTCGCTAAAGTCGTCGGTATTCTGAGATGACACTAAATCAGTATTCATACCAGTCTCCCTTTCAGTAACGGGTAGAATATCCAAGTGCCCATTGCTGATAGCAGAATTCATCATGTTCGAATGATCAAAGTCAAAACTCTGTATGATGGCATCAATATCCAGTCCTGACATCAACAGATCAAAGTCGCTTTGCTGATTTTGTAGTGTTGACGTATTAAAATCCGCGTTTATAGAAGGAACCACAGGGGCGTTCTCTCTTAACATGGCTGGTCGAGCTTCTTCGACCGAAGTGGGCGACTCGTCTATATCAACATTCAATCTTTTAGCTAGCCCCAAAAGAATCCTTCTAGCCCTTCGCGGCGCACGGCATATCGATTGTTGTTGAGACAAAATATCCAAGCAGCTCTGAAGACTCTTATATGCTTCCGAATTTCGCCCGCTCTGCGCTGCAATGCGTACGTGGATTGTTCCGCTCACATATGTGGCGTAAGACATGAAATATGGGACTGTGGTAATGCAGAAGTGTTGCAAGAAGACTCTCAGCACGGCATCAATTCCTGAAGCGGCAGCTGCACATGTGGTGAAGGCATCCCAAATTACGGATGCGGAAGAAGCGTTGATGTGTCCATCAGAGACAAAGGGGCGATGTAATAGGATAATAAGAGAGTAGTACATGGACCTGCACAACATCAGCGCACTATAGTCTATCACTGTACGATAAACTTACATCAGAGATAAAGCATGAGGCGTCAGTGGTGGAGTCTTAGTATTATCAAAGTCCATATTGAGATGTTCTGGAAGTGATTTACGCCAGTCTTTGAGGTCTTGATGAAGAGAGCACGCAGTATCGAGGAGTTTAGACGTGCTTTTCAAACTGCAATTCTCTGCATATATTCCAGATATTATTCTGTCCATAATGATGCTGAGTTTGCATAACTGCTGAAATACAGAGACACTGCGCGTCGGAAAGCTCAGATTTAACTCGGTTTGAGCATATGAGAGCGAGGTGAACTGTTCCAGTTCCTCGTAATCGTCCATGAAAGAAATGGGTACGTTAACGTCTGCTTCCCGGAGACGAGCAGGTCGGCCTTGAAATATTGATTGGACCTTGTCTTGGACTGTAGCGTGTTAAAAAGTATTGTATTTTAACAGTCCATGAAGGAAGACATACCGAAAGCAGCCCAGAAAAGTCTACGGCGGATCTCCAAATATTCAGTAGTGATTGTCTTATTCATTGCAGGAGCCCGCCTATCCGTATGAATCCCCAAATCAACAAGCATATTAATCGCAAGCCCAGAATACAACCATGACAAACTCCGCTCATCGCACCAGGCGAAAAGTGCATCAGACATGATCAATAGTGCCTGTATTGTGGTTATATCACTTTTCGTTCTCGTCGGTAATCCAGAAGTGGACATGGACAATAACTCCTCAGCTCTAACTCTAAACGGTGATATAGCAGTAGGCTCATCTGTCACAGCGCCCGAACATCTGAATTCAGTCCTAGGAGAGTTTTTGGACGCCGAAAAGAATATTGCATTCAACAACAGTTTAGAGAAATATGGCCCATCGCAAGCCATGTCTCGCATAAATGCTGGTCGATAGACTAATAATCCGGAAGCATGCTGTCTATTCCAGAATATGGATAGAAGATGCATGCCTACTTCGGGGTCCACGCCATCGAAATCAAGGCGGCCTGCAGCGAGATCGATAGGTTCCATTTGGCCTATCAGAATCAGCTCTGAATTAATATCAGGGGTGGATAATAGATGCATACGTTGTTTTATACAGCTTCCGAGTATCTCGTATTTCTTCGCAGGATTGACACAAACATTGCGATTGGAAGCTGGGGGTTGCTGATGGGATTCATCAAATAGGGCACTAGAGGGTCCATGGAACTGGACTTCACGGTCAGCAGTCGAGTAGTAGGGTTGATTCGGACGTGACGATTGAATAGTCTGTTGGGTAAGTCTTGTAGACACCGTTGGTCGCATAGGATCCCTATGATTTACATGATGGCTATCATCACCAGCATCATTCGACTGCTCCACCTGGTTCAAGCGAGATCGAAGCTTGGATAAAGAACTTTTCAATTGCGCATTCTCATCTTCCAAATGCCGTATTTGAGCATTCGTCGGTCTAAATGAAATCAGAGATCTACCTCATCTCATCCTAATCCACTATGGAAGTACTCACCTAATCTTCTTCACCCGCTCGGCGTAAGTACAGTCCTTGCCTGAACATCTACAATTCTCACATTTTGGTTTTGCATTGTCGCAGCCCAGCTATGTATCAAAAGAAAAGTTAGATAGATATCCCTTTAATTCAAAGGCACTGATCAGAAGGAATACCTTTCTCTGTCGACAAAAATCACAGGCTGTTCCAACACGCTTCTTTCGCTTATTGGTTGATACAGTTGGGGATGAATCGGATGTCATTTTGCTACCAAGTATACTGCTTGGGAGATACAACGATCGGGAAAGACTGATCCGCTCGTCGATGACTAAGAGGATCTTACTCCTCCGATAAGTAAGTTAACGTACTACACGGGTCATTCGGCCACACGGGTCATTCGGTCACCCGCAAGTCCCATACAAAATGACCTTCTTTAACAGCTTGATTTCTCAACATATTTATATATAAACCGTATCTAAAAGTTGAATATGTCTTATAATATAGGTATCATAATATATACCTGGATTTAAAAACTCTAAAAATATTAAGAACCCTCTGTCATTGAATTTACATTAATAACTTGGCTAGTTTCTAATATCTCAAGACTTATAGAAGAGGCGCACTTCAAAATTGATATTTCTGATAAGGATCATATAGCGAATCATGCGTAAAGTCTAAGATATGGTTTATACATGAATCCGTTGAGAAATCAAGATGTTAAAGAAGGTCATTTTGTATGGGACTTGCGGGTGACCGAATGACCCGTGTGGCCGAATGACCCGTGTAGTACGTTAACTTAGTTCACTACAGCTGCTGATTAAGCGGGTTCTCATGGTCCGCATGACGTCGTATTAATAGCCTATCTAAAGGGAATATTCTTGCGAATGGTCTCTACATTGCTTTTAATTTATAATAATCATCAATTCAAAGTAAACAATGACCATGCATCTCTCCGCACATACCTGGATGCGGCCCGAGCCCCTAGAAAAGACGCTCAAACGGCTCAGCAGTCTAGCCTACACAAGCATCGAACTCGAAGGCGAACCATCCCTCTACCCCATCGAAGAGACACGCAATCTCCTAGCAAAATACAAAATTAAATGCTGGGGCACCGTCACCATAATGCAGGGCAACCGCGACCTAACCGCCGCAGATCCGCAACAACGACGTGACACTGTCCAATACATCAAAGACGTGATAGCCCTCTCATCAGCTCTAGGAGGTGAAATCGTAACCATCGTACCAGCTTTAGTCGGAAAAATAGTTCCCAGCGCAAGTCCTGAACAAGAATGGACCTGGGTTGTGGAAGGATTACGCGAAATAGCCTCTTTCGCAAGCACAAATCACCCTCATATCCGTCTCGGACTTGAACCACTCAATCGCTTCGAGACCTACTTTTTAAATCGGGTTGATCAAACACTCGCCCTAATCGAAGCCATTGGATACGACGGTGTTTACGGCATCGCATTTGATCCATTCCATCTCGCTCTCGAAGAGAAGGATTTACTTTCTGCGATCCGGAAATGCGCTTCTCGAATCACGGATTTTCATGTTGCGGATCATAATCGACTTGCCGCTGGAGATGGGAATTTTGACTGGGATGCAATTATTGTTGCGCTGAAAGAGAGTCGGTATGATGGTGCGTTGGCGGTTGAGTGTATGCCACCGATTGATCGGTCGCCTGTTGGGGGTTATGGGTTGAAGCAGATGGAGGAGCTGGATACTACCGCTGTGAAAGAAGGAAAGGATGCGGAGGTGGCGCCGGAACGGGTGCAGTTTATTATTGATCATGGATCTGCGTTGCTTTCGGATGAGTATTATACTTATTTGATGAGGAGGTCTGCGGAGACTTTGAGACGGTTTGTCTAGGGTTGGGGTCAGCAAGTAGACTGCAGGCGGATGAATCGCATTGTCTTCCTCTTCGAAATATCTTATTACCAGATGATTTCTATTTGGATAGAGACGGGTGACTTCTAATCTTCAATTTAGGGTTACGGAATAGTAAGCCCTGATATACAACGCCACCGATCCATCAATATCAGATCGATTATCGATCGAATCGTGGGGACGTCCACAATTCTACGTCGCTGGTATCTAGTTGACGGGCTCCCGTGAATAACGGATGATATGATATTGGTTATGACAGGGTTCGCTGTTAACGATTAATAACTAATATCCATAGTTGGCTTGCTATCATAGAAATAAGTTGTTAGGTCGATGCATGAGCGGGAAACAGATTGATGCCTCGGCACGATGGCAAGGTTCAATAGTGTGAGACTATCCTTGCCGATTTTGAAACGGCGTCCAACGGTTGGATGCTTATTCCCCATTATTTTGTATATTGACCAATGGCCGCATGCCAAGATCTGCCCCTTTCGACACGCATCTGTACCTGACGCTAAACCCGATATGGAAGTAGCCTCAAAACAGACTCCGACTCCCGTGTTAAAGCTCGAAAGAGTCGCAAAGAGCGACGCTCTCATGCTTAGCTCGCATTTAGCTCAGAAATTCGGGTTGTCTCGTCGTCCGATAACGCTTGAACACTTCCAGGGGCGCGGGCTTCTAACTTCGTACAACCGGGAATCCTGGCTTGGAAGGAAGGTTTTCCACGTCCCAGCTGCCGGTGTATTCCGTCCTTCCCTGTAAGGGCGACACCACGTGTAAGGATAGAATCCTAATCCTTCGTAGGATTGTAGGACAGCGCTGTCCGTTGAGACTACTGTCCTACGTGGCTTGGAGCTCAGTTCTTGTGCTACATCTTCTTTTCTTTGGAATTGACAAACGAAGAATCCCAATGTTCTGCTCAAAGGACTAAGTCAATGAAGTCATTGACTTACCTCCGTACGGAGTACGCGCTCGGATAGCTCCATATGCCTCCCTCCCGAAAAGGAAAGATCATCGAAGTCCGCATTGTTGTGTGATAAGCCGTTCCTATTGGCCAATGAAAGTGGTCTAGACGCATTGATAATCACTGAGCAGCGAGTTGACACGGGTTGACGGTTCAGCGTAATCCGTCAGTCATATGTTGCCTTTAATGTTTAATGCTTGAAACCTGTTGAGGGTGTGGCGAAGTACAACGGTATCGTGGATAAGGGAAACGTTCATGTTGATAGTGGACACAGCGTACCACAATGACTGCTGGTTTTGGCTCGGTAACTGTTCAATGGCGGTACAGGAAGACAAATATCAGGACTTGATGCCATCGCAACGACCGGATCCGAGCAAGGAAAGATTTAATGTGGCGTAGTCAAGGCAGATGTCGATGCGTGAAAGTCTGAAAGAGAGGAAGAAAGAAGAAAAAGTGGCGTCTTGGCGTTCCTTGTCTGTTGCCATGCTAATCTGGATCAGGATTAGGCGAGTTTCAGGTTTGGTTCATGTTCACCGTTTACCTCCGAGCTGAGTACGTAGGACAGGATGTGTTCTAGATTTGTCTTGTTGATTCAGACTCAAGGAACCTGAAAAAACAGCGGAAGAATTACGACGGAAAGCGTCGGATCGTTGCCGAACTTGACTTGCACGTGAGACAGGCCGAGGGCTAGCCTAACCAGCGTATTAGGTAAGGACAAAGCGTGTATAATGTGAGAGGTATCGATCTCCGTCTGCTCTTGTACCAAGTCGCAGGCTTTGTTGAAGCAGAGGAGTTTGGGTCATTATCTGTATCCGACTTGTTGAAACTTGATGATCGTCAGGCACGGTCTGTTATTCGTTCGCAGGGCCGACGCCAGGATTCATCTGTGGACGGCGCGGAGTTCCGTATTGGTCCAGAGCGTGCGTGTGTTCTGTACGTTAGCGCCGGGAAGACAGACAGGTGGACACTGCCTCAGTAAGGAGGAGTCTCCATATACAACTCGGTACTTTGACGTACTGTACTCCGAGAAACATCAGTAACTATGTAGACATGCTGGGAAGACTGATCGCTGCGACAGGTCGGGAACATATCCAGGATGAACCATGAACCCCTGAACCTTCCTTCCTAGGCTACGGCTTCTCCACTCTCCTCCACCAGGCGACCAGACTCTCGGTGTTTGACTGCCGTCGGAGCCAAGTCAGTAACGGTCTGGCAGAGTGTCTGACATCCGATTCCTGTTCTGTTGTTGTGTCAATGCACGTAACATGACTGAATGTTCGATCGCAGCGGAACCAGCCGCCACCATAGAGGTAAGGCAATGAGAGAAAGCAGAAACTATCTCGAGATATGCCATCGCAGCGACTTGATTGACAAGTCCGTATCCGTATGTACGTACGTAGTAGCCTAGTCGACCATCAAGACTTAAGAGACTGTCTAAGAGACTAGCACTAAGTAGTACTATGTTAAGACTACGATATCCCATTAACCAAGTCTGGCCTAGCGGGCGGTTGTCCATAGCCAATCAGAATAATGTTAAATGTGGGTCTCACCTGACTCTCTCTCCTGGCTTGCACCTGCCTTGTGTGTTGTCCGTTCTGTGCCTGGACTAGCTCCTTCCGTCTCGACCGCCTGTCATCCAACCCTTTTCCCTCTTCTCCCTCTCCTCTCTCTCTTCCCATCCATCTGTCTCTTCTCTAGACATTTTTCTTTCTTCATTCAATTTTTTTTTTTTTTTTTTAACTTTTATCTCGTCGTGTCCTGGGACCGCGTGTTCACTCATTCACCGCGGCCATCAACCACTGTCATTCATTTTATTTTCAGCCTCGAACAGCCCTACTTTCGTTCTCCCAATTCGGTCTCTACCGCGATAGCCTCTTAACGCATTGACTGCTGTCCTCACCAATTATTTTAGTACCACTACCTATTTTCCTTCACAGTTCAGTCGAGAAACTCACCTCGCCGGATCTGGCATCACCGACTTTTTCTTCTCACCCTGAGACTGCCCATCAACAAAACTGCTAGGAGTGGTTTCACTATACAGCTGCCAGGATCAGCTGTCATCCTCTCGAATTATTCCCACCAAACTCTAGCCCAATTTTCTTTTTCCGACTATCCTCCATCGCAGCTCTGGAGCGCCTCCTTCGTTTATTCAATACACGGGAATTGTACAATCAAACTCGCGATCTTTCGTATTGGTTTTTGACAGACGTCTGTCCAATTGACCTACAGATCGCCCATTATTCTCTGATCCACAATCAACGTACCTGGTTTACTTGACCGTTCAAAGAATTCCCAAGAAGGAACTGGAATACCCAACTTTCTACAAAATTTCGATCTTTTTTATCTACAATGTCTTCGACAGACAACCAACCCGCTGCTGCGGGCTCAACCACCGCCACTCCAACCAACTCAATCCCGTCACCATCTACTGCAAGCCCTCCGGCTTCCGCCCCGTCAGGCTCTGCCTCCCGCAGACCCCCGCGTAAGAGCACACTGACACAGCAGCAGAAAAATCAGAAGCGACAACGCGCAACTCAGGAACAACTGGTTACCCTGGAACTGGAGTTTAACAAAAACCCAACCCCGACTGCGGCCGTCCGCGAACGAATTGCACAGGAGATCAACATGACCGAAAGATCAGTACAAATTTGGTTTCAAAACCGACGAGCCAAAATCAAAATGATTGCTAAGAAGAGCATTGAGACCGGCGAAGATTGCGATTCCATTCCTGATTCAATGCGCCAATATTTGGCAATGCATTTCGACCCCCACAAACCCGGTGCTCGGGAACTGTTCGGACGTGCCAATGGACTTGGCGGTTTGAGTAATGGCTACGGTGCGGAAACGGCTCCTGGAAAGATAGTCATTCAGCATTTCACCTGCCGTACCCTCAGCATTGGCAGTTGGCGACGTATCGGACAAAATGCTATGGACTTGGTCATCTTCTACTCCCCGGACAAGGCTACCATGACTTACTACATTAACAATGATTCGGCCGGGTACAAGATTGAATACCCGTTTTCGTATATCAAAAACGTGATGCTGGATAACGGCGACCCGACGCCGAATGCAAATGGTATGCCTACACGACCCGGTGGCTTAGTTATTGAATTGAACCGGCCCCCTATCTTCTGGATGGATTGTTCAAACTCGGGCGGTTTCTTCCAATGCGGCGATTTCACAGAAGACCAGCAAGCCAGTCGGGTCATGACTCATCATCTGGGTGGCCACCCCAAAGTGTTGAGTGTTCAACTAGCCAAGCTCGTGTCTTTGGAGACTTTCCAGAACCGCTTGGACTTCAACTTTTCTGTTTCTGCGCCGATCACTCCTCCTCAGGATATTCATCGTCCCGCATCTCAGCCTAACCGCTTCACCTTGGCTCAAATGGGTATGTATCCCGAGTCACATCTCAGTGTAAATCACATGCCTCGTGGTCACAAGCGTCAACGTAGTCGATCAGTGCCGGCGGCAATTGACTTGTCATACTTGCACACGCCAATTGCTCCTTTCCATATTCAGCAGCCTCCTGTATCGCATATGACACCAAATCCGAATATGTATGCGCCTATTCCTCAGAATCCAAACGTCGTACAAGCACTAGGCAATGAACTCCGAATCGACACTGCTGCCACGTTTGGAGTTGATCCTAGATCTTATCCAATGTCCGCCACGACCATGTCCGACTTTACTGGTGCTAGCCCGCAGTTTTACAGTGCTGCTCCCTCGACGGAATCATTAGCCATAGCCAGTAACCCCGGAGACCAATTTAACATGTCGTATGTATCACCTTCGCCAATGTTGAATCAGTCAAAGATTATGGGCCAACCACCAACATCCATGGCAAATTTCAATCATGCCGATCCTCTGATTGCCAACCATTCGCCTCCCCTATCGAATTTGCCAAACACGTTATCCAACGACATGTACAATTTTGGCGCCGATCAGCAGCAAGGATTAAGTGAAGATGGGTTTGTTCTGAGTGAGATGTATGCGAAGCATCACATCAATCAATTTCCAGATAACTCAGGCTTTGACTTTTCCATGAACGGGATATCGGACACTCAGTCTCCCATGGCAGGCGATATGCATGGATTTGAAATGATCCAGACCACGTCGGGTTGAAATTGGCTTTGAAACCGGACTTGGCTCTTAAACGAATTATGGCGTTTTGTTGGCGTGGCGTTTCGGCGATTATTCTATGTCTTTCGGTGACATGCTCTTTGTGATATCCTTTGCTATTTCTTACCTTTTATCTGACGACTTTCAATCAACTTTGCTCTGCCGGCTGCTCAATCCGGCTCGAGCATTTACTTGGGGTGCCCGTGCTTGCGGATTGTTCCATTCAACCTACGGCCGGTTCTGTAGTGTGGACTAAGTCCATTTTTACTTTCAACGTCTTGTATGAGCTTGAACTGCGCAATGTTTGTGCAACTTTGTTCGTCTTCAGTTCTGGACATGTTTTATTTGCATTCGATTTTTTTTTCCCTATTTTCTGTTCATTTTCACCATTTATTGTATGAGAACGGCTTGAGTTTGATGTCAGCATGTCGCTTTTCTTCTTTTTGTCGACCGCATTAGGTCATTTCCCTTGTCAGACCTGTGTCTGACCACGTTGCATGGAGTAGTTGAGTAGGAATACATTATACATATAAGAGTATATATACTACAATATGTAAATATACAAGTAACAAATCACTCCCACCCTTTGGGCACTCTAACCTTCACCCCTTTGGTCTCTCTTAAATACCTCTCTAGCACAATCTCAACCTTAGCCAGAAACCCTCTATAATCCATCCCGGGTTCATTAGAGACCGAATGCGTCACACCATCTTTACACCACACACTCCAAGAACCCATCTGTGCCGCCATAAGCGTGTCCGTACCGAGTCGATCACCTACAACCACCACCTCATCAGGTCTCGTAATCACACCTTTTGAAAGGAAATATGCGAGTACATCAGGGCCACAGAACGGTTTCCTCTTCCCTTCACCCCCGTCACCACCTTCAGAGGAAGATCTCACACGAAAAACCGGGATGCGCAAATATCTCAACTTTTCCTCCAAAGTCCTCGCCTCATTCTCGTATCTTCTAGAGCCAGGTCTACTACCCGCCGTATTCGACACAATCAGTACCCCGTCAGGGTTCGTCTTGAGATTGAATGGTGATGTAGGCGAAGTACGGAGTTGTTCTAACTTTTGGAGGTAAGGTGTTGGGATTGAGGTTGTGTTTGGGGGACAGAGGGTGTTGTCCTTGTCGAGGATTAGGGCTTTTATATTTGGTTTTTCCCCCTCGTTTGGTGATCTTGAGGGGAGGTGTGCGCCGATTTGTTCTGGGAGGTCCAGAAAGGTTGATATTGTTAGGTTTGGGAGGAGATGGGATGGTTGTTTGAGCAGGGTTGAGACGGTTAGGTTGAAGGCTTGGAGGTTTGTGTTTAGGAGGGGCGCCATGGTTCGTCTATATGCAAATAATTATCATAATGTATGTAATGTACAAATTGGTTGTTAAAAAAAAAACGAAGATTATGAAAATGAAGCTGAGCGAAACTGATCGTTGATAGGCGGAAGCTCACCGCAGAATCTCATCTCCGGCCCCACGATTGGATTTCGCCGACCTACTTACTACGTTACTTTGTTAAACTCGACTTTTCGGCTTCATAGACAAGTACTCAACACCTCAAAGCTCTTACAACGACCCTGAAATAGACACGACTATAATCATACGCGCGATTCACGTCGTTACATCCAAGTTTAATTACCCAGCCTCGCACCGCCATCCAATCCCAACAGTCACACTTGAATCTGTCGCGCGATCAACGCTGACCACCAGTAACAACCATCTACAACCATCATGGGCAAATTAACGAGCACAATCGGTATTCCGATCAAGTTGTTGAATGAAGCGCAGGTATGACTATCTGCACCTCTCCATATGGACTGAGCCTGAGCTATGTCAGTTTCAGCTAGGGGATAGTCGCTAATGCTTTCATTGGTAGGGCCACGTCGTCACGCTGGAAATCACGTCGGGACAAGTATATCGGGGAAAATTACTTGAAGGTTCGTTTTGTCTCCCACTCTGCTATGCTCGAGAAGGGAATGAGGTGCCGTGTACAGCTCGCAAATCCTCAAAACGAGCACAATCTCCCGAGTCTTGTCGGCAGCCATGATACTAACATCTACACAGCCGAAGATAACATGAACGTCCAACTCAAAGATATCACAGTCACCGCTCGCGACGGCCGAGTCTCACATCTCGATCAAGTGTATATTCGTGGAAGTCATGTGCGCTTCTTTATTGTACCAGATATGTTGAGGTTTGTCTTGTCCTCATTCAAAATCTACAGTGGAAATGGTTCGTGGCTAATTGTTTGTTGAAAAATAGGAATGCACCTATGTTCCGTACTCGTGGTCAACGTGGTAGAGGTGTTGGTTTGGCGCGTGGTAAAGCTACTGTTAACAGAGCTCGGGGTCAGCGACGAGGTTAAATTGAGTGCGTCTGTTTGAGGTTCTTTCACGTTATGGGTTGGTTTCAGTTCGATATCGCGCGGTCTTGTGTTCGTCTTACGATTATCCTTTCCGTGGGTCGACGAAGTACTGAGAGGGTTCATATTTCTATCAATATACAACCTAATTTTGCGGAAATAGTGGCTAGGACCTCGCTTCCTTTGCAGGCTTTCTACGGCGCAGCAAAATGATATGGAGCACGAGTTGGATATTGGATTAACTGGGAGAGTACGCGAGACCAGCGACGTACCGATCACATTATATTTCTTAGATCAAATCAAAAAGGAAGGAGTCTATGTGTTGTGTTTCTGTGAGCTTCTTGCAATCGAAGTGTACCATTATTTCTGAAGAATAGAATATTGATTCAACATGAGGAATTTGCATCCTATTTAAGCTTCTCTTACATTTTTTAGTCATGCGGAGATTAGTACCGAATCTTCGGAGATCCAACCCCGCTTGAAACTTATCTTTTACAACATTCAGAAATCTCACATTCGTTCTACAACCGCCCTCAATCGCCAGAACTTTACAGACACATTACACATTAAGAAAAATGGCTACTTCCTAACCTCCGTTCATCCTATTCGAAACCACGAAGCAAAACAGCAAAATGCCTTCCCCCGCCACCACTCTTGCCGGCCAGGAGAAACCACCCAGTCCAAAACGAATAAATAATCCTCGCCGACTTCTCATTCTAACAACCTCGCATCAATCAAACCGTACAATACCCATGTTCCTCCATTCCTTAACCGGTGTAAAAGTCACACCACCAATCTCGTCTTCCTCTACATCGACAGCACCATCGACAGACAATCAATCCTTCGCCGGCTACACAACGCACGCCCCATTCCAAATAACCAATAAATACTACTCTGCCGAAGTACCTATATGGGTTGACGAGATACCTATATCTTTTTCCCCAGAGGCTCCTGGAGCTCTTGCGGAGGAGAGGATAGAAACAAGAGCACAATGGAAAACATCCTTCTTATCCGATGAAGCTCGCGAAGTCCGTGATGCGATTGGCGCTATAGTCCTGTGTGTACGAAATCCGAGTTTAATGATTGGCAAAGCTGTACCGAGGGAGGCGTATGATCTTGCTTCAGCTGAAAATGGTAATGCTAATGGAGGGGAAGATGCGAGGTTACAAGCGGTTATTGAAGAGGATAGGAAAGATGCAGCGGATAGAGAGGATGTGCATATAATCAAGGATTTAGCGGGGATAGTAAGTGAATTAAAGAGGAAGATTGAGCGGGAACGGAACGGTGAGGACGAAGAGGGTCTTGGAGGAGAAGAGATGCAGGGAACATCTGAAGTACCGGGGTTATTAGTCCTGATTGACGAAAATCCGTCAGCCGTGAAAAAGAAGCAGATATCCGAAAGTGAAGATGACGATACTCTCGGGCCACGAGAACCGTTTACGTCACCCTGGTGGGAAGATATATTATATGAGCAAGGCACATTCGGCATGGAGGTTATTCAATGGACTCCATCGTCACCTACAACAAATACAGATGTACCAGAAATGAGGAATATATACGGTGAATTAGAAGGATTACCACGCATAAAGGAGGTTCTGTCTACACATGAATGGACTGCGTCGGCCTCTGACGGCTTCAGCGACGATGCTGATAGTGACGACGATATAATGTCCTTCCTCAACAGTGGGACCAGAGGGTTCAGGGATGAAGTCGATCAATTAGAGCGTGAAATGATGGGGTTGAGATTCGCTATTAACGAGAGTCACGACAATGACGAGGAGAAAGAGGAAGAGGAGAACGAAGATACAGAGTTGGAAGTTGAGAATTTGGAAGCGTTGATGATGCGTATGAGGGCTATTAAAGGTTTGTCTATTCCTCTTTTACAGATAAGAAGATGGTGTAGAGGCTGACTTGAATAGATATGTCGTCTGATTTGCCGGAGAGTAAACGAAAGGAATTTGCGGCCAAGGCTGTTAAGGATATTCTGCGCGAGTTGTGATATCTATTGTCTGGACCTCGCGTAAATAGCAATGACATCATGCAGGCGTTAATAATAATCAAATAAAGTTGTAATAATGTACACCCCCAACCGTTACCACTCTATATCGGTTAATATGAACATGGGCCATCTATCCGTCACTCATGACTGTCGTCCACTTATTGTCAAAGGAAATGTGTTTGGTGATTAATCGACACGGGTCTTTCCTCGCATAACCCTCCTGCGCTGAGCCATCATATGTGTGTAAAGAATATAGCTCCCTGTCAAATGTTAGTCAGGCACATCCAAGTCTGGTTTCGAAAACATACCAGGAACATAAATCCCCATCACAATCACCAAGAACCACTTGTAATACTTGTGCACATATCTCTCTGCATGACCGAGCGAAATATACATAAACACGCATTCAGATGCAATACCAATGGGATACAAGACGAAAAACGTATTGTACCTTTACACATTAGCAATCACCACAAAAGACTGGATAGGAGAAGGGAGTACCTCAACCACTGCCACCACCCCGGCACCGGTAAACCACCAAGTTGCAACACAAAGAACCCATAACGAATACACTCCGTTATGCCCCAGGCAAACATACATCCAAAGAACGCCAAGTCGCCGTATTGAAGTTTTCCGGATACACCCATTAACCCATCACTGACAGCTTGTTGCACAAAGGGGATATCAGAGAAATACTTTGATAGGACGCTATCGTATAACTCCGAGCCTTCACGAAAGGTATACATGATACCCCAAACGACCACGAAGCGAGAGGCAACTTGCATCGCTGTTGTGATTAAGGGTGCACGTACGATACCGAGGAGGGAGTGGAGGATTTCCAGTGCAGCGAGGGATTGAGTCACGACAAGGAGAGGGAAGATCTCCGTGGGGATGGAGGAGACGTTTTGAAGGTCATTTTGTTGTTGTTTTTCGAAGAGGCGTAGTGCTGTGCGGACGGTGCAGGTTGCCCAAAGAGTAAAGTTGAGGAGGTTGTAGAGGAAGAGGTATGTTCGCGTCAGGCCGGAGACAGGCTTTTTGCCTGCGGTGGATTTTTTGGGTGGCATTCTGGTTTCGATATCTTTGTAGAAGTCTTCGTAGGAATGTGGTTTGGAGCAATCAATTGAGGACCCGGCATAGAAAGAAAGGAAAGTTAGGTCAATTCAACAAAATGTTGAGCTCCCCAAAAAGTTACCGCGCTAAACTATTTCTAGATTTGAGCCGCGGGTACATGAAGCAAGGGATATCAATAGGGTTAGGGTATTGTAGATCTATTGGTTACTATTTGATGTATAGACTAGACATGTCGCTTCAAGCGGACCTTCACATCAGAAGAAGGCAGAAACGCGTTCGCTGATAACCTATGAGCCGGTATCTTCGACTTTCCCCATCCCTTTTGATCACTCTCTACAGACTCAATATCCCACAGTGAAACTATTGAAGCCGTAATAAGCATGACTTCTCTTTCGAGCAGATCATTAAAAGTACCGTCTCCGGCAAATGGTAGGACAGTTTGCCAGTTGAAAGAATGCGAAGGTTGGTCTTCATCGTTCTTTTTGGCCTTTGATGATGATGATGGAGGGAAAGAAGCAGAGGTAGTCAGAAATCGATGAGGTAGGAAGGACTTTGGTTCGCGGTAATATCTCGAATCAATATGATGTGCACCGCTAGCCAGCCCTAGGATACCATCTTTAAAAATTTTATAAGATCGGTGATGTTTTTCATTCTCCCGAGCAAAAATAGCTGCATCCTCCTCTGATTCCGTCAGAGTTAGATCTGCATTCAACTGTCGATAAGAAATCGGATTCGAGTCTAGACGTATAGTCTCAGCATACGTCGCTTTCAGTAACGGACAGCCTGTAAAGAGTTTCTCCGTATCGATCGATAACCTCGGCGGTTCAGCTATGGGCAGACCAGTTACTTTAGGATCTGAGCGGGTGACTCTGACGTACGGCGCAATCTCCTTTCGTACCGTAGCTAACAGATCGGAGTCGGAAAAGATATGTAAAATATTCCAAAAAATCAATTTCGATGCATCTGTAGTTGTTTTCCACAGCAGCCAAGCATCTAATCGAGCACTGAGTGAGGATGAGATTCCTGATATGCGCCAAAACCGCATGCGTTCTTGCACTATTTCCGAGACATCGTCTAGATCTCGAAACTCCAGCGGAGCGTTTCGGCCGTCTTCAAGAGCTGAAAAGGAAGCTTGTAGAACTGATATAGTCTTTTGTACGCGATCTCGAGCAGCATATGCAGCCGAGATGCCGGGTGAAGGGATCCATCGCGGCGCACCAGCTATCAAACGCACATATTCCTGATCCCAACTTGACAAGTCGTCAACGATTCCAGGGTGGAAATCTAACAATGCTTGTCCCATCAGTACATATGTAATATGATAGCTTGCAAAGCTTCTAGTCAATGCAAATAGGTCCACTTGGCAGCTCTGTGAGTTGGTTCCGTTGTTTTCTTCTACCACGATACCGGTATTGCGTTCCCAGACCATTTGATCCACTAGACTGCGATTGAAAGAGACAAAATCTGCAGTCTCGCGCTCTAGAAGACGAGCCAGTGCCAACGAAAATTTTGATAAGTATTTTTCTTGTGTAAGAGAGGCCAATGTAGTCTTGACTGATTCCCGAGTTTGCGCTGACAACCTGCCAAACGCTCCATTGTCGCCAACAAAATTCTCCATGACTCTTGTGAAATAGACCCCAGAGCGAGCGTCTTTATTATTGATAAGTTTCTGAATCATATTAGGCGAATACACAAGATATTGTGTCTGTAATCCCATTTGAAGAGCCACCACAGGGTCATTCATAGCTTTCCTATAACTACATTAGACCATCATACCGAAACCTAAATAAGACAAGAAAATGACATACTGAGCATCAAGCAAGAAATCCCGGTGTCTCCAGGAATAAGAAAAAACATGTCCTAGGCCCGGTACCCAATAGGGCAGTTTGCGGACACGACGCGGCTCCCCATCCACAGAGTCATGATGGCTTTGACTTTGTAGTCCGGTGATTGTGCGAGTTGAAAGGACAGAGAATATTAAAATTGCCACGAGAACGAATAGAGAGTATTGCTCTGCGTTTTCCTTGGCTGTTTGGATTAGGTTGTGTGGTGGTGCTGCTTGATGGAATTGGGGATCCATGTTGACGACTCTTTCAAAAGATGGTGCTATGGAAATGAATGTTGATGTTGATATTTCCGCCAATTGCTCAGTTGAAATGCAAGAGAGCTATCAAATGGACCAGTGCTATGTTCGAGCATGCATCCTGTCCTTATGACTTGATTCAAGACGACCGGTTGTAATGGGCCAGGTCAGCACACTTCTGGATTGTTTACAAAATAGATGTCTGAGACCCTTCGATCTCGTTCTGTCCAAGTCGATCAGATATATGCAATCACAAATCCATAAAGTTGATAGTCTTCACATTCTCCTTGAGAATGTGAAACACAGCTGAAGTGGACACAGCAAGGGAGATCCATAACTTAGTGGACCGGGTCTAGCCGCTTAGTCAGGGTCAATATCAATTCAGGGTTAGGGTGGACAATTGAAGATTCATCCATATTGTTATTCTAGATGCTCATATCTCTAAGCGAATGCAACTCCAAACGAATGTGTCTATATGTATCTCCTCAACACCGAACTTCCCCCTCCTCTCTCCTCTATCATTTGTACTATAACCATGTTTAGAATCTAAATATTCACACCGAAAACCCGCCGAAATAATCACAACCGAATCCAACAGCACTTCAAAACAGTAGTCCTAAGTGCTACGATGTATTTACACCTCCATCTCCTCCAGTAACGTACCTCTCGCATCATGCCCTAATAAATGAAATCATCTACTCGGAATCATTCAAAGTCTGCGTCACACGCCCATCGTCACCCATCAACTTAATCGGTCTCCTAGGCTCATCATGCCGCTCATGAACCGTCAATGGGGCCGGCACAGCGGGCATACTTTTCTGCGGAGACAGCGTTTCATCCGCACTCGCATTAGCAGCAGACGCAACAGCAGAATCTTCTCGTTGCTGTTGTCCCTGTTCTTCCTCTTGCTGTTCTTCGCGTCGCTGCTGAGGGGCAGAAATCTGAAACACGACCCGTGGCGGCTCCCGGGTACTCGGCGCACTGCTGCGGTTTCGGTAGAAGCGTAGGCCACGGTGTGAAGTGGGTGTTGCCGTGCTGTGTGTGTTTAGGTTGCTGGGTAGACGGATTGGCTCTTGTTCACCGGAGTTGGAGCTCAGGGCTGTTGAGATTGTGCGCGGGATATGATATCCTGCTTTGCCTAGGGGTATACTGAGGCCATGGACGAACTGTTGAAGTTAGCTATACTGCCGTCACATTCATAGGAGCAAGGACTTACAATACTGCAAATAACCAAAAACCAAACGACAATATATGTCACTTCCGCCGTCCTGGCCGCATCACTGCGAACTACGCCGTCGACCATCATATCCTCGAGCAGAAAGTTACGACAGACCGATAAGTAGAAAATAGCTCCAACACCAATAGGACCAAAAAATCCTACGAATAGTGCTTGAGAAATCTGCTCGATCTGATGGATGTACTTGTGCATCGCAAATACGACCGGTAGACGACGAAACAGGAGAATCAATATACCCAAGACTATCAGTCGATATATGGGAATGATATCGTTATGGGCGAACAAGACCCAGGGACAAACGGCACCGAACCAGACGAAGATGGCCAGGTTGAGGAGCATATCGATTGTTGGTTGGAGGGAGTCGTCCATTGTTTCGAGTCGAAACCAGTCACTTATTCGTTATTATGTGTTTGCTCAACCACAGGGATTTGACTTACTCGTGGGTAAATGCGTTTCCAGCTATGAAACAAGCAAGCAGATCGTCGGTACCAATCAATCCACAGGTGCCCATAATGAATAGCTAAGAGAGTCAACCACATGCACCCCCAGTTCGAATGTGGTAGGCTTACACCGAGAGAAATCGCAAAAACAAGAAAACTCTCCCTATCAACATATCGCTTCTCCTCCGCCCAATGAAGCAGCTTCATGGACAACCACCCAACCACCGCACCATACACAACACTCAACAAAATCTCGTAAACCAGAGTCTCATATACCCAAAGAGCAATGGCCTTGCCTCCACCACCACTAAATCCAGGACCCTGGGTATATTTCAGGAGATACAGGGCCAGAAAGAGAAACGGATATCCCAATCCGTCATTAGCACCTGATTCGGCAATAATGATCCGCTGCAAAGGCCGCGGGATATTCTTATCAGCAAATTTTCCCTTCACAATTGAGTTGGACAACACTGGATCAGTAGGGGTGACGCATGCACCGACGGCTAGGGCCTCGACAAAGGAAATATTAGGTACGAGACCCCAAATCAGTAGACCGCTTGAAAGCCACATGACCGCCATTCCGGGACCGAGAAGTAGAGCCAGACTCTTCCATTCGGTCTGTAAGTAGCGTCCTGGCAGTTGAACTCCAGCTATGACTAGCTGCACGCCCAGAACAAGACGGGTGAAGTACAGGGTGATAGCGTCCAGGTTGCGCTGGGAGTCCATTGCATAGTCCATTGGTTTGATAAAATTGGCTGCATGAGGAGAGAAGACCACACCTGCCAATGTGGATATCACTGCATCCATTAGCTCATGAAACAGCGTCGGGTCGTGGAAAGAAAGGACATACAGGCTTCAGATAGATAAAACCGTTCCTTGCACAAATACGATACCAGCCCAAAGAGGGTTATGAACCCTCCTAGGACGGAGCATACGATATTGAAATTGGTGATTTCAAGAGTCGGCATCTTGACCACTTCTCCTCCACTCCAATTTCAATCCGTAAAGTTTCTTCACGTATCGTTGACGAGATCCCTGTAGCGATAGCCAATGATGATGATTTAATCAATCCCCAAACCCTTCGAAATCAAAGAGCAAATAATTCTTACACAAAAAGAACCGGTAGTCAGCAAATGTTATTCAACCATAATTTTGAGTACAAGGCAAGGTAAGATCAAGAGTCGGAGAAGTCCGCCGAGCATTGGATAATGGGTGGTTGTGACGTTGGAGTATGCCACTTTGACGGTGTTTATAATCCTGTCAAAAATAAATTTTTGTCGTTCCTGCTCTTCAGCTTCTGTGGTGTTGTTACGAGGCTCAAATATGCAGTGAGTTGTAATCAGTCAAGATCAAAAACAGGCGGGGATGTTTTCCTCTTGGCTTCTTGGTAAGACTTTTATGATTGTGATTGCGTCATGTGATTGGCTGAATGGATCCAGTCTGTGGCTTATTCACTAGATTTCTATTCAAGCGGTCTGAGCTTGTTTTTTGACAATCACTATGCCAGGAATCTTGTCAGGATTGCATTCACTGCATTGCCATGTGTAAGCAGAAATGAATATTTTATTATCCGCCGCATGCAGACAGATGTCCGACAGCAAGGGAGTCAATCCACGTGGGCTCAGGCATCCTGTGCCACCAAGGATTATCACTACAATAGAACCTGGCTATAACCAAAGGAAGGCATCATAAAACTCCATCACAGAAGAAGAGCATTCTGGTTCTTAGTACTGAAATGGTCTAACATATCGGAGTACCCTTCATCTCTGGATCAGACTCACTTCCAGATATCTTGATTTAGGAGCTGGGATACCTTCTGTTCGCTATAGTCAGATTCTACTGTATAACCATTGTATTATTCGTTTGTTTACAGGTCAGCCCAGCAATGGTATTGGCATTATGCCTCATACACGACAATATAACTCGCATGCCTTTACTCATGGCTCATTCAAAAGTCATCAAACTCATCAGCAAGTTCGTCAGGAAGATCATCATCAACAGCTGCCTTGAGTCCAACCGGAGCAGACGACAGTTGCCCGCCCACTCCCCTCCTTGCACCATCGACAGCTAACCTATCTGCAGCTTCGTTTCCTGCGTCACGGTTATGTCCCTTGACCCATTCAAATGTAGTAGTCACCTTTAGTGAATCCCGCTCGCTGATTTTCACGAGTATCGACTGGATTAGATCTTTATTTTCGACTGGCTTGCCATCCGAGGTTTGCCAGTTATTGCGAACCCATTTTCGGAACCAATTCGTAACACAGTCGATGGCATATCGACTGTCAGTCACGATAGTCACAGGACGATGTCGTGGTGCTATTTCAAGCGCTCTGATGATTGCGGTCAACTCGGCACGTTGGTTTGTCTGGCGATGGCCCTTTAATGGCTCGGAAACATTTCTGCTGAGAGTGAAAATTGCCATTAGTGAACGGCCTCAGATTGACAGAAGAATAGTGAACTTTGGAAGCCTACCTCGTGTCATTGGGTCCAAAATATACCCCAACACCAGCTTGTGCAATCTTTTTACCATTACCGAGTGAACTCCCATCGGTATATATTCGTAGCATTCCAGGAGGTCCTGTAGGTTTTGCCTTGGTTGCAAGTTTCTGCTCCGGTGCTTTGTAGACTATCTTGCCCGTAGAAGGCTCCAGAAGAACATTCGGATCAAACCCATCTTCAGCACCTGGTGGTAGAGGCGCAAAGGCGGCCGGAATTTCAGCATCTCCATTGACAGCATCCGTAGGATTTGCATTCGTGAGACCGCCAGGGATTTGAGACGATTTGCTAACCTCATTCTCCTGACCCATCTTCACAAACTCCTCTGCCTCCTGGCGTGTATCGAACTTCTTGTATCGAGGTCGCGTATAGCCCTTAATCTGCTCTTGTGCTTCTGCCCAATTCGAATACACACCAGGAACTCGCCCTCTTTGTACACCATAAAATCGTGTGCCATTTTCATTGTTGGTGGATGCCGTCCCGTTGTGCGAAGCTACTTTTTGACCAGTGAGGAATGAAGTCGCTTCTTCTAATGAAGGAAATGACTGAACTGTTCGCCCAACATATCAGCCAATGATTCTTGAGTAACCGAAAATCAACGATTGAAAAACTCACAGACAGCCCCCTTGAAACCCGTAACTTGAGCAAGACAGTCACTCCAATTGTAGTATATTCCCGGACGAAACCCTTCCTTCACAGCATAATATTTCACAGCTGGGGTCCGTTTCCTTTTTGTTCCACTGGTGGCTCCGGCTGTCGTTGTGGTCTGCGCAGGCGACGCCCCGGATGTCAAGCCAGGTCCGGGACTCGGGGATGGGGTTGTTTTTGTGATTGTGGTGTGGTTATTCATATCGTCGCTGATCTGTCCTTCACGCTGGAAAGTCAATATTGTCGTAATTCGCGGCCAACGGAGGCCGAAGGAAGGGTTGTAGGCGTAGCGACGATGGTGTCGAAATCTTCTCTCTTTCACTATTGATGATGTGTACGAACGTTGTGCTGTCCTCGAGAAGCGGACCGCAACGGCTTCGGCCCTTGCTAAAGGCACGGCGAGCAGTAGAGGTATCAATCGCTTCCCTATGTGGTTCTCTCCGGTTCAAAGCAGGACCCGGAGTCTTATTTTAGAACTGCTTGAACGGGAAACGTAGTGAACTAGGTAAGTAGTAAAGCGAGAAGGAAGAAGAAAGATAAAAGGGCGGCATGAGAAAAGAGGATCAAAGGGAGACCAGAAAGGTCTGATCAAAAGGGATTGATTGGCCAGTCTTCCCCGGTCATAGAGGGGGGATAGAGGAGGAGGGGGTATAGCAACGATGCGGGAGAGGAGGGGTGGGATGTAATGTGCCAACCAGCTTCAAGATTGAGCTGTAGAGGGACTGATACGTTATAGGTGAATGTGTTTCTAGAAGACAGAGATGGAATTGTGATTTCTCCCAGAGGGTTGTTGAGTTTGGGATAATTGTCTGAACAATAAGTTGAGGAAGAAAGCAAACAAGGAGCAGGAGCTATGACATAAAACGCGGTTACATTACAGTAATTACACGGGGGCGTCCTCCTAAATTTCTGTACCGTCGTACATGATCATTTTAGGGCTCAGAATACTTCCCAGATCCTATCATGTCATATATACACAAGGTATTGTAGTGTGGAAAAAAAAGCACTTCCATAATTATTGATAATTACTTGCTCAAAGATTGAAACAATTCTACGCTTCCTTTCTTTCGTCAGGCCAGGTTTTACTGCACTATCAAATTTCATCACCACAAAACATAAATAAAGGTAGATAGACTTTTTTTTTTGATTCACTATCAAGCTAATTACATTGATTGTGATATGATTCCATACACAGGGGAAAGACAGAAGACATGCAGAATCTGATATTCGCAGTGCATGTTTCCCCATTGAAATTAAACACTTCAGAGATAGCTGACATGCCAAACAATCAAGGATAATCAAGCGTACTGTCTGGGGATGTACTTTTGAAGAATGGAAGGATAACCTTGACCGGTAACCATGAGGTACAGGGACAAGGTCACGAGAGAAACAGAAGCGCAACAAAAATCAGACTGCAACCACCATTCTTCACAAAGGAAGAGATGAATTCCGAAAAACGCAAATATCTCTTCCCTCACCTAACTCTTCAACATCTAGTCTTCGGTCGTATCGAAGTCAATAAGTATGTGTAAATTCCGCCTCAATACCTTGCCCGCTCAAGTCAATACACAATAAGGAATCGTGAAAAAGGGGGGCAACAAAGGCAGAAGATCGTGAATAGAAAATTGACAAGTAAACATGGATATGTGGGAATGTAATGTGTAGATAAAAGGGTATATCTTGGTCTGGACATAGCCACAGAAAGATGCAAGCTCTAACAGACCGCACTAAATGGGAAAGGGAAACATCAAAAATGACATAGACGCTACGTGCATCGGTCGTCAAGGATAAGCACGTCGTCGTTCAGTCGTATCGACATGGCCTGCAAAGCGAATATCGTAGCAGCTATCGCGGAAATCAAGTAAGAATGAAATAAAGACCAAGTGAGCACCCCCACTGACCCAAACCGCTCTAGAACTAGCGTATGGCTATCCCTGGAGTATGGTATTATTATGTATGAATGTCATAGCCTCGTAGACAACAACTAGCCTCGAAAATGATAGCTAGTGTCGTCGAAAGACAAAGGAAAAGTATCGAAAGTGCCCATCTATGCCTTATGTACAATCACCGGCGTATTGAAAGGCGGACAAGGACTAACCTGCCAGAATCGTCATGCACGTTAATCAACGCAGTAAAGCTTCCTCTGAACGCCACCTAAAATATGCATGTATCCCATGGTCGACCAAGCTGAAGAGGTACGGAACACATTGCGTTTGGCAAGAAGAATGTTTCAAGGTAAAGAAATCCGTTGGTAAAACAGAAGATACGCAACCTTGTTGTCGCGAGTGCCATATCGTCCAATAGGCGTCCTGGTCCCAGGGGAGTTGGAAGCCGCAGGTGATGAAATACCGTTGACAACACCACTGGCGGACTTCTTGCTCGTATGGCCGTTGGGGCCGGGTCCGTTAACTTGGCTCCATCCGCTTTCATCATTAACCTGGTTGCTTTGATCAATTTGTTCATATAGATTCGGATTATTGTCCCGCTTGTGCTGTTCCAAGGCGGAAGCGAGTACTTTGGGATCCTCCTCGCTCCCTGCTTCAGCCACATCCTCGCTGCGTACTCGACGAATAACAGTATCATCCATCCTGATCCACTCGCGACCATCCTGGCGTCTCACATCCACTGTATAGTGGCCGCCACTAGCATTCTTTCCATGATGGTAGATGACACCAATCAGCCGATAGTGTGGGAGCCCACCATGAACTGCCATCGCGTTGCGTCGATGAGGAGGGAAAACTTCACGGGGTATTTCCAATTCCAGCGGATATCCGACTTTCTTCCAGATCTTCTGCGTGCCATGTGTGACACTATCGTACTGGAACCGCTTCAGGTGGAGAATAAGTACAGGAGGAAGGGTCTCAATGAAAACCTGCTTGGTAGCAGCAACCTTGGGACCCCTTGGGGAACTGAAATCGCCATGAATAGTCTCAGGCTTAGTAAGACCTTTCAAAGCATCAATGATGTTACTGACTTCGGGTGATCCAATGTCCAGTTGTAGAGGCTGGTAAGGCTCCAATGTCACCGAGTTCTTATTTCCAGGAACTTTGAACTCGGAGCGAATCTTTCCTCCAAAGATCTTAGTGATTGGTGACTCGAACTCGACGTCGCCAGATGATCGAGTGATCGCGGATTTTTGTTTATGGCCAACTTCAAGCCATCCATCAGCCTCTGAAGAATTTTCAGAAGGAGCTGCACTACTTTGAGGCGCGCCACTTTGCAAAGCATGGGCACATTCCTCGTGGAGTTCTTCTAAAAAGAAACCAAGAAACTCTTGTGCGTCTTGTTGGTGACCTCGCTATGAACTGTCAGTCTAGATTGATTCAAAAATGGAAAATTATCTTACCCTCATGTCACGGAAGCGCGGAAGCTGTCGAATCACGTCATATACGTATTCCGGGATGAACGCGTCTCCATATTCTTCCAACTCCTTGTGTTTTAGTCGCATGCGCAATTGATCTTCTGACTTTGCAGCATCGATCACCCGGAATTCCCTCATAAACATAATACTGTTTATAACATTCTAGTCAGCAACCAGCGATCTCAGTGCGTGTCCTGGTATACGTACGTTGCATCAATCAGAGGCACGTCACTCTTGAAGCTGTGAGTAGCGCGGTGGCCAATGTGATCGAGGAATTGGTAGAAGGGCACACAAAATGCCAAAATCTGTAGTACCTAGAGAGAAAGTCAGTCTACGAACTGAAGCCAACCAAGAAAGCGAAACGTACTGAATTCATATAGCACATGTTCCCCGTATTCACGAGGCCCCTAGGTTCCAAGAATGCGATCTTCTCGCCAAACTTATGCACATTCGGGCCGAGACTAGTCAAAACATCCCCAAGCGACTCACTTCGAGGAGCTTGCAGACTTCCATTTTCAGAAATGGCAGCTGGCGTAGTAACAGCAGCACGAGACGTCTTCGACCGAACCAAATCGGCCCATGACTTTGGAGCCGCAGGAGCAGTGATTGTGGGTTGTTCGGAAGACTCTGGGTTACCAGCTTTACCTGTAACCTCTGAAGAATCCTTTTGTTGATGGTCTTCGGTGGGCACGGTCTGCTTTGGCGTGACCGGTGCCTGGGGGAGTATCGGCACCACAGGTACTATCGTCTGCTTTGGGGTCTGTGTTTGGTCTCGAGAACGAGATGCTAAATGACCCGGTGCAGTGGAAGACGGCGTGGTAGGGTGAGTAGAATCAGACTCTGATGGCGCCTGAGATGTCGTAGGAGTTTGTGGCTCCGAGACGCTGTCGCCTTGTGTAGATGTTTGCTTCTCATCAACATGAGCTGAATCTTTTTTGTACGTTTCCTTGATGGGTAGTTCAACAGAAATAGTAGAAGCCTGTAAAGAGCGCCCAGTACGACGCTTGTGTGGAGCACGTCTAGGAAAGGGCTGTTCTGGCACAGAAAGCCAAGGAAGCTGGAAGGCATCTGATGTTAGTATTCAGTTTATTTCCTTAAAGCATATGGCTAAACTTACAGGTGCACGGAAAGGTACCCGTGGTAGCAGGCCGCCCTTTGGTAGCTCTGCGACAGGAGCAGGGGAAGATGTCACAGCGCTGGGTGTCGACAATACTGATTGTACAGACGATGGAGGCCGTTCATGGCCATCGATCAGCATCTGCTGTTCACTAATAGGAGGAGGGGACATGGTTGGCGGAATAGGCGTCGATACTGCTGACGGTGGTCGAGGAAATACGTTTGAAGGAACGTGCATAGGCGCTGGAACCGGCTGTGAGTGCGGGTAGGATGAGACTATCAATGGGCCATGGACATATGGAGGTTGCTGGTATGGACGCGGAGGAGGAGGTCCTGGAGGCATAGGGACGCCAGGTGGTGGTGGGTGCATTTGCGGATAGCCGTTGTACCATGGTGGTGGATAATGTGGCGCGTAAACAGGAGGGATATGGCCATTGACGGGAGGGGGATGGTAATTCATGTACGCCGGAGGAGACCGCATGTTCGAAGGTCCCGGTGAGTAATGCAATTCATGTTGCCGCCGGGAATGAGGAGGTATGGGCGGCTGCCCATGGGGCATTGCTGGTAGATGATGGTTGATCATATCCAGGCAGATAGTGCGGGTTGCGTTGCCTCAAAGGGAGCCATACGAGACGATGACTGGGCAACATTTAACTTGCTCAATGTAACAGAATGGATAGTCGCCTAGGTTGCCATGCTGCAAGCATAGCAATGAGCGACTTGGACAGAGTGTGGTTGGATGGCTCGTTCTGTGGTAGTGCTGGAAGTCACAGATGAAGTCAGCTCGTTTTTCTTTTTTCGCCTCGCTTCCCACGACTAAGGCCAACATACATGATGAAATAGATACTTACCAATAAGCACAAGGTAAGAATCAAGAAGGATTTGAGTGTATGGTGATTAGAAATGCAACAGAGCCACCAAGCAGTTGCTTGAGACAGGCGATGAGAAGTCGTGTGAAGGTCGTCTGCCTTGGTCGCCCAGGGAAATGTCAAGAAGCGCCAAGAGGAAGGAAGGGTCTTACCGCCTGGAAAATTAGGCGCCGCGCTTAAGTATGGCTCCGCTTGTTGCCTCAGGCAGCACTTACTACGTAAATCGCTCATCTTTTTCCTTTTAGTTTGGATTCAGCTCGACCTCATTCGATGCTAAAATAATCTGAGGCTAAACTGATATTTCAGACACCTGCCTGTTTTCTGCTCTGATGCCAAGACCGGCACTGACATCACGTTATTTGACGCTTCGACGGCAAAGCGGACCGAGCAGAGACCTCGAAGTTGCTCCCCGCCGAAACCATCGAGGGGCAATTTGCGTCAACAACCATCAGAGCGCATCGCGCAGTGGCCCTCTAGTGGCCCTTCGTGATTATCAAGCATCCATTCCGATAATATTCAACTTTGCAGGACGATAGGCTGGATGATCTTCCAATCAAAGACCAGGCTGGAGTCATTCTTGAGGTCTAGGCTCTAGCTTGTCAAGATTGGGCTTACTGGAAGTAATTGACGACACTACGAATTCTCATCTTCATTTCATGATTGTCCTATCCCGGACAAGGACACAAATCTATCCAACTACGAGATATGTCGTCCTCTGCGGGACAGACGATTCGTAACTTCAGCAAGTCCACCGAATATTCTTCGAGCATTTCGACGTCCTCGGCTTCCTTCCAAGGAACAGCTAGTTCCGTCGAGAGTGGTCCGCAAAGACGATCGGGAGGTAACAATAGTTTTGGTGCAGGGTCAATAACAAGAAATACGTCGGCTGCAAGAAACAATCAACCGCGAAAGGGTCAACACAGGAAGCATCATCGTCCCAACTTGGTGAACGAGGATGCGTATGCAGAATCCGTACGTAACGCTTGGTATATTCTGATTGTGTGCTTGCATCTGACTTCTATTATTTAGGCCATCATGAGATCTACCACCAGCCGAAAGGGTCAGACGTCGATCACCCATCTTATGAACTTCTCCTTACCTCCCCGCCCTCAGTATCATCCCAGTTCACATCGTCCACGTCGGAATCCAACCTGGGGAATGGGATCAGGCTACCACGCTATCGACAAAGCTCGATATGTCCATGCCAATTATCGGTTCATAGTAAATCCTCGAAGAAATTACCACGCGCAAGCGGCAAATGCGGATGTCCATCTAGATTGGGACTCGGTGCTCCAGGTGTTGGCATCTGAACAAACACAAGCTGCAAGCTGCCCAATTTGCCTTGGCATGCCTGTCGCTCCTCGAATGGCGAAATGCGGACATATATTCTGCTATCCGTGTCTTATTCGGTACATGCACTCTACTGACGACGATGCCTCGTTACCAGAGAAAAAAGCACGTTGGAAGAAATGTCCCATCTGTTGGGATACTATATACGTTTCGGACACGCGACCGGTGCGATGGTTCGTTGAGCAGCAAACCAATACCCCTGTTGAAGGTGGTGATGTTGTTTTACGTTTAGTAAAGAGAAATCCCGGAAGGACATTGGCATTACCCCGTGATGGAGCGGAGGAACTGAATCCACAAGATGATATTCCGTGGTATCATGCAGCTGAAGTTGCTGACTACGCACGGATTATGAAAGGTGGCGAAGATTATATGGTATCTCAGTACGACGATGAAATTGAACTTTTGATTCAGCAAAGACAGGAAGATGAGCTTCTCTTTGGCGACGATTCGACCTGGGTTCAGAAGGCAATCAACAGTATTAATGAAGCCCGAGAAAAAGTCAGGGGCTTAGGAAACCCACCACCTATTGCTCGTGCCGAGAAGAAGCGAGCTTATGATCTACCACTTGAAGATTTGGTACAGCAACCGAATCCTGACAACAGCAACAGTACGGTATCTAATGTGACTACATCTGCTACGTCTGATATTGTTGACGAAGTGGCTGCTGGCGTGGATGTTGTGAATCTCAACGGGAACGATCATCCTGAATCACGAAAAAAAGATAAGAAATCCGTAACCCAGGCCAAAGCGCCCGCAAACCGGGACAACACAGGAACCAACACTGAGCAGCCATACTACTTCTATCAGTGCCTACCTCATTTCTACCTTTCCGCTCTCGACATACGAATCCTCAAAGCCGCCTTTGGTGACTATTCATCATTCCCAGCTACCATCCTCCCTCGTGTCGAACACATATCAACTGGTCATATCGTAGATGATGAGTTGAGAAAACGAGCCAAATACCTGGGTCATTTGCCGTACGGCTGCGAAGTGAGTTTCTTGGAATGCGACTGGACCGACGTCGTCGTCCCCGAAGTCCTAGAACGATTCCGACTCGAAATAAACAAACGCAGACAACGCAATCGCGACAAAGAAGCACGCGAAGAAAAAGACAGAATAAGAGCAGAAAAAGAAGAAGAAGAGAAGCGATGGGAAGCCGCGCGTCGTAAAAGACCCAGTTTCGGATTCAGTGCTAGCGAACGCCCATTCTCAGATCAAGACTTTTTACCCTTGAATAGCGAATCAGCAGCAACCCTAGACAGCACGGAATTCGCAGGCGCAAACTCCCCACCCAACAATAGCCACATGATAACTTCCCGTTTCGAAGCTCTCGCATCACCATCTACAAGTCCCCCCGTCGCGCGCACAGTATGGGGTACCGCAGCCGTACAATCCGATCCTGACGAACAACAACAACCACTCCACCGCACCGGTCCCATCAATGATGGCTGGCTACAAGGCTGGGAGGAAGATTTACTAGGTCAGCAAGAAGCTGAATTACTTGCCCAAACAGCTGCTGAATCATCTTCTACATCTGCTAATCCTGGCGGTGGCGGTGGGCGAAAGAAGAAGAATAAAAAAATTACGTTGATGTCTACTAATATTCAGAGAGGTGCTTAAGTAGCTTCTCTTGCGGGTGTATATTTCTTTTTTCTTTCTTTTTTCTCTAATGGATTTTGTTGATTAGAAAGCGCAACGGAGTTTGAGTTGAGTGGTCACCTAATGCATGGATACATACACATACATGACTACAAGATTCTGATTGCAATGGATGCGAACTCAAGATGGCTACGTATAGAGGTAGCTACTTTGAGAGATTCATAATCATTTGACTTTCAGCTCATTCGCAAATATCTCCCGCCTAAGTGGTTTTTATAGGCCATGATTGTAGTCATACATTCCATGGATGTCAATATGTATAAAATATTGGGGGAATATCTGAAACAATCGAAAGCCCATGCCATACATGGATGCAGAAGACCTTGTGGTATTGTATATGGCAGAGTGGAATACATATAGCCCAGGTGGAATAAATATGATGTGTAAAGGTGCATAAAAGTACAAAAACCAGGCCGAGTTTGATAGAAAGAAAACCATGATGGATGGGTTATGCGTACAATAATGATCAAGTTGATTAAGATGAGAATAAGGCAACAAATAATGGTAGGCTTGAGTAGTATACACAAGAAGATATAAAAAAGGGGGAGGACGAAGTTTTGATATGTGAAATCGGGGAGAAGAAAAGTTATATGCTTATAAGCATAGTTTAGATAACGTTTAGATAACGTACTAAAGATTCACTGATTAGTTTCTGATTGAAAATTTCAAATAAATCGAGGGAAACTCACTGGGATAAACAGATAGGGAACACGTTTCTCATATTCTACCCAAGCTTCACCATACTTGGCTCGACAACGCTGAATGTCTCGCCAGGCTCGATGCGAGATCATGCACGCAAAGAACACTGGGTAGAACCAAGGGAACGGGCTCTTGAATCCGGTAATGAGACCCCAGTTCAATGCAAAGTAGAGGTCGCAGGTGTAATGGACTTTGCGTGCCAATCCATACCAGCCCGAGACAAGGATGGTGCCTCCCTGAGGAGTCTTGATGACTTCGGGATTGTGGAGTGTTTGCCAAGGGAGTTGAGGGAATGCGTTGCGGAAGACTGTGGTTCCGCGTTCCATTTGACGGTAGCGGTTCTTTTGACTGTTGGCGGTATCCCAGACCCAGTAAACGAAGAGGTAGCCAGCAAACAGGGCTGTGAGGACATATCGGTCCCAGTGGTAAGTGTCAGGGTGGTGGTTGGCGAGGTAGATTGTGCAGTGGCAGTAACTAAGAGGAACACCAGCGAGGTTCCAGAAGATCAGCATGAAGCCCCATTTTTCGTAGTACATGTCCCTATACATAGTTAGAATAGGCTCATTGTGCAGCCTTGGGAAGAAACGAACCAGGTTGAAATGATACACTCCTCTCCCTTGGAACAAGCATTGGCATACAAAAAGTGCGCCATCAATAGGAAGCACACTTCACCGGATACATAGCCGTATAGCTCATATTGATGAGCAGCAGCACCCATAGTGACCAGCAACAAGATATACCATGGGAGTCGCACTTCAAAGAACATTTTAAAGTCGAGGATTCCAAACAAGCGCGGATTGAGCTCCGCTCCCATAAAGAAATCATAGATTGGATAGCCAGTCATACGGTGCTGGGCTCCACGGTACAAGGCAGAAAAGTATGCGATGAATGAAACCAGGAAGCCCGAAAGGATGGCCACACTCAATAGAGGTCCGAACTCGTCGATGATGGTATACAGCTTGAAAACACCGGTGAAATGTAGACCTAACGCAACAGCTAGAGTGACATAGAACGACCACACAGCCGAGCAATAGTATTGTAACTGCTTGCCCCCCTCATGAGGAAGAGGTCGTCCTGTCAAAGTGATACCAGGGAGCGTGATATAGCAGATCCCTTCAAAGACGAAGAATGCCCAGTACATCGTCCACGCCTTGAGCGAGGGGAAAGCTCCCTCGTAGACAAGATGACCAAGATGCGCGAAAAACTCCGGGATAGTTTGATCTTTTGGAAGCGGGAATTTTCCATCGTAATATGTTGCGCCAATCCACATGTAGTACATCAACAGTGGGAAACCAATCATGGCCGACAATGTGCCAAGTGACCCTCCAAACTCGAACTCTCCGCTGTAGTCGATCTTGGGATCCAAACCTTCGATCCATCCGTCAATTATTTTGGGCTGGTCCTTCGTAGCACGTCCATTGGTGGCCTTTCCATTAGCTGTCCCATTCGCTGTCCCATTCGCATGTCCGTTAGCATGTCCGTTAGCATGTCCGTTGGCATGTCCGTTGCTTGAAACCGGAGCCTCTTGCGAATCTTCGTCCACCGAGGCCAGAGGCGTCTTGCGCCTTCGACCCTTGGTAGACTGGGGGTTAGCAGATGTTGAAGACATGACTTCGACTGGGTCAGGGGTTTCTGAAGCGCGATTTCGTGTTGTACGACGACCGGGAGTCTCGACAAAATCTGGACGGTCAACTTTTCTGTCGAGATGAAGAAGAAAAGTAAAATTAATCAGCGCATGTTCATGCAATTGCTTGACTTCTTTTTGAATCAGGGGGAAAGGAGCGCGAGGAAAGAGGGAAAGAGCAAAAGTTATATAGTAGTTGACTCACTTTGGAGTTTTCCCCGTCTGAGAGCGAGTGACTCTCTGTGTAGTTTCTGCCATTTGATATATTTGCGCCCGGAACCCTTGCGCAGCGAGAATCTCAATGAATGAGATATTCAACGAACAGAAACATGAAAGAATGGGAAACGACTGGCCATAAACAAAAATTTAGGTGGAGGCCGTAGATTACACGTTACAATCCCTGTTGATCGGGAGCGCTAGTAATTTACTAATTTTACCAAAGAATGAGTGGTTCCCGGTTGAGTGGCGCCGGCAGTGTGCAGTAGCGTTATCTCATTGGGCTAATCTAAATTCTCAAATACCGGTTCCAAGATTTGTTGGTAATTCGGTATTTTATTCTTTATATAGTTGTACCATACGAATTTCAACAGCTTCAATGAGATGCTTAGATTGTCAAGCATGGCTCTGATACGAATTTTAAACGGAATTGAGCTAGCTTGGATTGCATAAATGTTTCGCAGCTGAAACCAATATCTTCGTATCGCTCGCATGTCTGATATTTGACGTACATTCTTGGATCCCTCGGAGGCCGCGGATTCCGTAGTCAGTTAGGGCTAACACGCTCCCCGAAAGGGTAAGGTGGCAGTCGTCGATGTGAGCAAAAGACATTGCTTTTCCTTACTGTTTCGGGTGAATATGATCTATATAAAGGTCAGTTATTGATGCTAATCGCAAGCTCGATTCAGGCAGAGCTCTGCAGAGCTCGAAGCGCTTTGTTCTATAGTATACCTAGGTATGGCTCAAGTGATCCGGGATCATTTCCAAAAATTGGAAATAATTGCAAGTCATGGAGGAGAGTTGTTAAGGCATGGCATATCTCAGCAGCAAAAGTCTTGACCAACAAAGATTCATTTTCTGATTGCTCTTCTCTTTGTTAGACGACTGCACCTTCCATGAGGGTAGGCTGTGGCTTCTCACTCTATACCTAACCTTGTCCTCGCTTTAGACGATTTTTCGTCTACAATATCCGTGGAAGTTCTTCCTCTCTCATTTCAACACAGCAAAAGCTATACCGAAAAAGTGTTCGTCTCAGCACCATGTACTAGATGCCGGAAATATGCAATGATGCCTCGGATAAACCGTGGTGGTTGTCTAGTATCTGGCAGACAAAGACGCCGTCCGCTTTGAGTACTGATGATCTTGCCATCTCAACGACCGGGACATGATTTTACGCGCAAATAGTCAGTATTAGTTCTTTGTTTTTTTGGTCCGAGCTCGTCTGGAATACACATTTACGTCTTCATCTCTAAATTTCTTCAATGCATACGCTGGCTCTTTACGTTCTTTACGTTCTTTACTACTAGCTCCGATGATCAAATTACCTAAAAGAATTTAAATCATGCGAAATGATTTTGACTATTATTGGGTTTTGCAAATGAGCTCGCATCTTCGTCTAGGCCGTGGCACGTATAACTCCAATTTCGGAGGATTGGAAATAAAGCGTTGCGGCCTAGCTTTGAGCTGCTCTCAAGGTAATTAAGATGAAAAAGTCTACCTACCACCCTTCTTGGATTACTGTTTTGGCATTTGTGGTAGAATGTTTCTGCAATGCTTTCCAATTAACAAAAAGTCTCAGAGTTCACGACGCGATTGACTTGACCAACACCGGCGAAGTCTTATGAGAGATGTTTACATATCGTGTTTCCGTATCTTGGGCTACGTATATCGTAGCTTTTCTATCACTCGGAGCTCGTCCAGCCTATTGCATTAGTTGGACGAGCCAGGTGAATGTATCAATCTGCAATTGGTCACAGCTACGAGGTAAGTTGTGAAGTTTCGGGAGCCATGTCAGGAAATACTGCTAACTTTCTATCCATCAAGCAAATATAATCCGAAACGCAATCTATCTCGATGGAGGGGACTTATGGTGGCAATTGTGAGACATTTCACTTCTTCAATTCAAGATTACAGTCAGGCTCACTCGACCAGCGGGCTTTCCGATGGAACCTATGGAAGCCCTTTCAACGACGGTATGAGAAGTCACCCGGGTTCTGGTGCAGTCTACTAAGTATATTAAGATGGCAGTGAAGACATCATGTATAATCTCAGTCTGACCCAGGCATTCAATCAGCAGTCCAGTATTTCTAGTCTGCTCCGATCCATGACAAAGGCGAGTGGTGTTTTGGCGACGAATCTGAACCCTAATTTCCAGGATGGGACAATGCTGGCAAACGATAACGAGCTGATTCTCTACGGGTAAACATATAGGCGTCTTATTGGTGTGATCACAAATAACATGATTACAGGGGACTTCCTCGCTTGACAAGCAACGCAAATCCACCGCCTGCCCAAGTGATTTTGGGATACGAAGCGTATGACGATTCAGCATCCATCCAAAATTGGAGACCTGGATTTCAACAAAAGAGCACTAACAATGGAGTTACTCGTTACATCACAAATGGAGCAGGACTTTCTGCCCCTAGTGAGAGCCTCGGTTTCTATTTCAGTGGCATGCTTGGATCACCAGGCGGGATGATCGAAGGGGACGATGGGTCTGCCAATACAATAGCTACCAGTTTGATCACCGTGAACATGACAACGATGAGAGAAGAGGATTGGCATAATAGCAGCTTGCCATCTTTCGTTTCTGGAAGAGCAAATGCTGAAGCGGTATGGATGCCTGTGTCCGAGTCGGGAATCTTGGTTGTGATAGGAGGAGTCATCAATCCTGAGATCCTCGCTCCTGGCCGAAATATGACATATACCTATATACAAGCCAGCGTACGTACCTTCTAAAGAGTTTCTTTATATTTGTCTGACCAAGTTTGCAGAATCAAACCAACCCAACATTCATGAAAGAGCTTCCAATCTACGATATTGCGTCTCAAACCTGGTAAGTATACTTGATATCCTCGGAGTTGATATGCTGATAAGAACTATAGGTACCTGCAAGCTACGACTGGTGATATCCCGCCTCAACTTACTATGTTCTGCTCAGTCATGGCTTCCGCATCAGATCGTAGCTCCTTCAACATCTACATCTACGGGGGCTACGATGGTATCAATGCCGGATCAATTCCATCCGATGACGTCTATATACTCTCTGTCCCATCTTTTACATGGATTAAGGCGTATACCGGACAGCACTCACATGGTCGTAGTGGTCATAAATGCATCAAGGTTTATCCAGATAAGATGTTTGTTCTAGGCGGAATCTACAAGAACAACCCTTCACTCTGTCTCGATGGGGGCTTCCTTCAGGTCTTCAATCTCAATACGCTTCAGTTTCAAAGCACCTACGACCCTGGTAACTGGAGCAATTATTCGGTGCCGTCGATTATCACCGATCGAATTGGTGGAAAGTGAGTCTTTTGACGGTTCCTAGAGTATGGGTTGCTAACATGTCAATAGTATGAACGGAGGAGCGACGATAACCTCACCATCGTCATGGAATAACGATAGCTTGAGGAGCATGTTCGGCAGAACCTATACCAAACCCATTGCGACGTATTACCCTTATACGACATCTAAGGGATTACCAGCACAGCCCACATCAACAGCAAGCAATACGACAGGAGCACATTCCAGCATAATGGAATCCTGGGCGAAGATCACGTTGGCAGTATCTATATCTCTTGGGAGTGCTTGCATTTTGCTCACAGTCTGGCTGATTTGTTGGAGAATTGCTCGTCATCGGTTATCCAAGGCAGTCAGTCAGGATGATATTGCCAGAAGGGTTAGCACTCACAGTCCTGAAGCGAAGAGGCTTGACAGCGACTATACGACGTTTTCTGCTTCTGGATCATATAACACAAATGAAAACTTCAGCAGGTCTGAGATTAGATTGCCAGGAAAGACAATCATGGAAGCTCTGCCGGAGCAATTGCAGTCTCCGGTTGAGGAAGATGCCATATTTGAATTGGATGGTGAGTAAGCCCGGCACTTAAACATCTTGAACAAGGGTTAACGGTGGGATAGCATATCCACACAAACGCACAGAACTCCCATCTGAATCATGTCAAGCAAAACTGAGGGAAAAATCAACCTGTCGCAACGTGCAAAATCTCAAGACCTGCGCACAGAAAGCACATATTCAACCACAGTTGCTTACATCCAGATCATCAATTCAGAAGACTCCAGTCGAACATCAAGGAACATCCCAAGTTGAGAGCGCGTTATCAAGAATTATCCGACTATCCCCAAATTATAGACGTTCTGTCAGGAGGAGGAGTCTTTCTCTAATGGAGACTGGAGAAAGTGGTGAGAAAGAGGAAGGGGAGCTGGACTCTCAACGTTAGGGAGGACGTATACGTTGAGATCTTCTAATCGTCTATTAACTGTCCCGACAGAAGCAGAAGATAAGAGGAACATATCTTAGGCTCTGTACTTAACATAAGATTAGTGGTCGATAATCGAAGATATCAATTATAAACAGTGGGGCAATTTGTATGCGGGACAGTCGGAGCTTATGTCAACGACCTGTCAGCACAGCATCCCCTCCAAGGCTCCTTACAGACCTACACATCTCCAGAGTCTTCTAGAAACAGTCTGATTTGCTTTTTGAAATTATCCGAATAGTTTCAGAAACCAGACTGTCAATATGCTCATTAAGGAATCTCACGTCGACGTGCCTACCAAGGCTGGTGGACAGGATGGATCGATGAGTAAGTTGATTCTTCCTAGATGTTGGTCATATGCATTGAGATGAAGTATATCTCTTGCGTGATAACATCTAATATGTAAATTACAGGAATCTACATATTTCATCCCACTGTTCCAGGCTACCCCAATGCCCGATTTCCAGGCGTCGTAGTCTTTAGCGAGATTTATCAAGGTAAATTAAATTATCACATACCAAGCAGCAATATAGAAACCTTCAATTGCTGACGGCGAATAGTTACCGGCCCTGTGGCCAGATTCGCTAGACAGATTGCTGGTCAGGGATACATTTGTGCCGCTCCATCGAGTTACCATGAATTCACTGGTCCTGAGCCATTGAAATATGATGCGGAAGATACAGACAAGGGAAATGCATGGAAGATTGCAAAGGTAGCCTCCTTCTACACAGCCCATACGTCACGAAGATGGAGATGATTGATGTCGGTTGAAATTTCGAAATAGAAAGTACACGCATACGACGAAGACGCTTCACTTTCAGTAGACTATCTTCTCTCCCTCCCCACATGCAACGGCCGCATTGGTGCCACGGGCATGTGTCTCGGAGGCCATTTGGCGTATCGATGCGCACTTGACCAGCGCGTCAAAGCTGCTGTATGCTACTTTGCGACCGATATCCACAGTGCGACTCTGGGGGAGGGGAAGAGTGATGATAGTTTGAAGAGGGCGGGGGATATTAAGGGGGAGTTGATTATGGTATCTTCTCTCCAGATTTGAAATATTCATTGGTTTTGAATATGTTTGCTAATTGGAGAGAATAGATCTTTGGAAAGAATGATAACCACGTCCCGCCCGAAGGACGGGACTTGATTCGCAAGACGCTGCATGAGAAGGGTGTGTTGTTCAGTTTCTATGAGGTTGCATGGGCTCAACGTGAGTTTCCTTCTTTTCCCCTTATGTTTAAAGATATCATAATCTGAGAAAAAGAAAATGGTAGACGCTTTCATCCGCGACGAACTCAGCAAAGGCCGCTATGACCCTGCTATTTCAAAGAGTTGTTTTGAGATGCTACTGGAGTTGTTTAATCGGACCTTGAAGCTTGATTTGGGTGATCATGATGGGAAAAAGCTTGAGATTGAGGATGTGTGTTAGACCTTCCTCTCTATTCATCTTTGAGGGACAGGAATTTGTGTCTGTGATTGTAAAGAATGGACCGGTTATGCAAGATCTTAGTATAGGAGACCAATACCTAGGTAGTGAGAATCGCCTTTTTTTCCCCCTCAAAGTTAGAAGATGGGATGATTGGTGACTTATTCTATGTTGTATATATACATAGCGCACCAAGAGTAAGGAACCATGACAGACACTATTCCATTTCTAAGGATTTGTGTCGTCTGTATAAAAGGTGATTCCACATTGCGAGAGCCAGAGATATAAAGCAGGGGATGTATAGCCAGAGTGCAGCCATCAATGCGAGAGGGAGGCTGGAGGTCCCGCAGATCAAGCCACGCATGGAGCTGGCGTACTTAGCTGCAAGGGCGTCAGATTTGATCTGAGATACACGCACGTTTTCCCGAAGACATGGTCCTTCAAGGGTCCAACTAAGGTCATGGTATCCTGAAACTGGCGTACTGTTTTATCTCACATAGCCATCGTTCCTGAAACCCTAGCTGTACAAGGGCCCTTGCTTGTAGGGCTGTCAGGTGCATGATCATGCATAGATCATATAAGCAGTGTACCACGATATGATTCAGCATTGGACCACAATCATCTCTTCTGATCCATCAGTAGTAAAGGATCTCATCTGAAAGTCAACGAATAGTTCTGAATAGTGTGATGCCCTAGATGTTGTATCAGAGGACAGAGCGAAACAATAAAACACGATATATCGCACTAGTGTAACAGACTATGCCTGTTTTAGTAGTAGCTGTCCGTGCCTGAGTCTACTTTGACCAATGAAACGCGCGCAATTGGCTGATCCTCGGCGAGACAGTGTGACCTTGGAAAACGGTAAGACATTTCCACCGATATATCGCATCTGATTGGCCAATGTACCTTAAATTACTTGAATAGATTACGCTAGCCAGAACTGGACTGTGGCTGGACTCTTGGTTGGGTGTAATTTTACGCGGCCTTGTTTTTCTAATATTAACACTAGGTTATCTCTCTAAAACATCAATCAACATCATCGCCATACGGGTTGCCACGCTCGCACTCTACACGTCGGCATATATCGACATATACGTCCAATATACATATCCCTCCGCTTCATTGTCGTTCGACGCATCGAACTACGTTTGGCCGCCGCTTTTGCGCCGATAGGACAGTCTTCATTCTGTGTCACACACCCGTGCGAGGCTCACAGCCCCGGGGTCGGTCGCAGTTACCGGTCGTTGGGGGAAGAACTCCACGGCAACAAACAATTCAACTTATCTTCAATTGATTTTTCAGTCTGGGATTCGTGACAGACACTTGATTGCTATTATCTTGTCAAAATGGGCTCAACGCAATTCGGCAATTTCCATGTGAGTGATGGCTGCGGATACATCTGAGACAGCACGAGGAGGGCTTGAGCTAAATATCGGGATAGGACTTTTGTCGCGATACAACGCTGCCGGTGTGCAATGTAAGTTCACTTCACTGACAATCCCCTTGGATATGTACCGATGATGATTGTTAGCTTTTCGTCCCAAGCAATCAACCTCCCAACGTCGCCTTTGGGGGCTGTGCGCTCACCGGTATTCATCTCACCAATGGCAGATATTTGGGCAATTTAGGTGAGTTGGCTCGCTTAGGCGTATGGCGAAAGGTATCTGACCAAAGTATAGGGTCAATCTTGGCCGCCTTTCTCGCGATACTTGCCTGTATTTTCCTGCTTCTCTTATCGGAACGAAAACGTGCGGCTGTGGGAAGAAGGTAGGCGTCATATCCAGTCGCATCGCAAGCGTATACTGACGGTGTACAGGGAGATTCAATTATTCTTGCTCGGCTATATCGTTATTTCGATTTGTGAGATTTTCACGGTTGGCGCGTTCCCTTTATCAGATGATGTTCGCAAGGTTAGTGTCTTGGCGATTGATAGCGAGCCACGAACTGATCGAAGCAGGGATTCTCTGCCGTACATGTCGCGGCTATAACTGCTACCACCTGGATATTATTTCTAAATGCACTGGTCGGTTTCCAGCTTCTTGATGACGGCACTCCGTTGTCTGTGGGTCTCTTCGCAGGTTCAGCGATAGTCCTCTTTATCGGAACTGGGTATATCGCTTTGGACACTGGTTTCAGCTGGACTGGTCACTTTGATTCTAGTCTGTCCGGCAACAATCGCAACATTGGCCTTTACGTGTTGTACCTGTTGTTTCCGCTTGTCTGTCTATTTTTCTTCTATATTCTAGAAGTCATTCTCGTTTTGAGAGTTCTTGGGGAACGAAGACCATTGAGTACGTTCGCCCAACCCAGTTTAATCGCCATAGCTAACTTGGTAGTCTACCTCACTCTTGCTGCTCTTCTCTTCGCCATCGGCCAGATCTTTGACTTTGTCATCAGCCCTCACATCTGCAATCCCGTCCACGGCAAAATCAACGGCGCCTTTTTCGAAACGCTATTCTCACTCTTCTCTGTCGTTACTGTGTGGCTGTTCTGGAGTAGCATCACCGAAGATGACTGGCCAGCAGCTTCCAGCGGCTACACCTAATGCTCAATCCAGCCAAAACGCATGGATGAATCTCTATATATACGAATACGAAAAATAACCATAAAAAGACGAACCTTTGCAATTTTGCTTTGCACAAAGATGTGCAAAGCAAACGCCTAATATCACGCTCGATTCTCGACATGTCCTTGATAATATTCACTTCTTTTTTCCCGCGATCGATATGATTTATTTCCTCTATGTCAGCGATATGATTCCCTTTCCTTATCTGTCTACTTGATACCTCAGTACATATTCGTTTGCCAACGATTGCAGACTATCTTCATTCTATGAATCTGGTGGTGTTACAAGATGAATGTCTTGCTGCTCTTGGTTTCTGTTGTATACCAAATGTATCATGCGTACGATATGATATGTGGTGTATGTATTTAATTTAAACTGTTTATTGATTCAATAAAACGAATTTACATATTATCCTTACCTCCAAATCTTTGAAAAGAAGATTCATTTCATCGTGAAATTATGCACTATATATCTGTACATAGTTATGGCTATTTACCATAAACCATGCAAAAACCAACCCCATCAAGAACCCAGCAAGCCCAGAGACGCAGATCATAATTGCACCTTGACATCAATACAAGGAATCGTCCATTCTGTCCTACCCAACAAACTGCGTAGCCACTCAAGTCCAATCCCAGTCCATTCTTCCGTTGTACCTGACTGCGATCGTCCAACTATACTGGCCGTAGTAGTAGTCCTCCGCTTTATCTCCTCAACAGCCGCACCTGCCAACGCAGTCGCAGTCGAATTTATACTCTCTCTAATAAACGATGTAAACGACTCATTCCCTCCAAATCCACTCACAGACTCAAATGCAGACATAGTAGCATTTCCGCCTATCGACGACCCATTCGTATATGTTGTAGACGAAAATCTCGGCGCAAACCAGTCTCCTCGAACATCGAAAAAGCACCGATCACTCCATTGGCAGGAGGATGTGAAGAGGATTAGGAGTAAGGCGGAGCAGTAGATGCAGGGTCGGTGGAGGATGTAGGTTAGGATTATGAAGGAGAGGATGAAGAGTGGAGAGGCGTTTGTTGGGATGAAGAGGAGGGGGAGCCAGCTGTCAAATCGTTAGTTTGAAGAAGTGAAAAGCGGGAAAGGGAGAGGGAAAGGGCTACCTTCGGAGACAGAACATGACTGAGTAACGCTGGCGGAGCGGTCGTTGAAGGAGTCGGTATGAATTTGATCTCTGGCGGCGAGGTAGGCAGATGAATTTACTGATCTGGTAATGCGCTTGTCGAGAAGATAAGAAAGAGGGAAAGATGGGGTGTACTCGTATTTGTGTGTCAAATGAGAGACTGTATATATAGAATGCAGGGCGCAGAAGTTTGAACGAATATGATGGGAGTTCAGAGGTGGATGTTTGAAACTCGAATGATTTATTGATGAGGGTTTCCGGAGGCGGAGCTTATTTTCGGGGATATGTCAGCGGGTCTTGGCGGACATATGACAAGAGATGGTTATTTTCACAACACTTCTATATTCAAACTAAATACATATTCAATAGTCGGACAATGATGTTGATTAGAATAAACAGCATCTGCTATTTTATTAAATATCCTGGATTCAATGCTAAGCATGGATCGTCATATTGACTAGTCAAATCATATCATGTCCCTCAGGCGTATGAATCTGATTTCTGTAGAAAGATTTGGCCTCTTCTCATACATTAGTAGCTGAATATAGTGGTTTGTTGATGCTTGTGCCGCATAATGGCCTGTATCGCCTCATCCAAAGTGGCGATGAATCATCGGCATCGTCCAAGTCGACTCAGCGCTTTAGTCATCGATCGAGACCCGATGCAGCTTGCAAGACGACGACGAGGCGTGACTGTCAATATTATGTGCAAGAGCCGTAGCAGCGCCGGTCTGATTGGGTATCATATTTTCATATCAATCATCCATGCATGATCACTTCTTCTTTGTCACCACCAGCACACCCTCCGTATCCTTCAGCTCGGCCAACCTCTTCTCCCTCTCCACAAGCCGATCTTTCTCTTCTTTAATCATCTGATCAACCGTCTTCATGGCATTTGCAAGTTTTTCCAACTCCGCCTGCTCAGTCGCCCTGCTATACGGATTTCCAGGACTATCATTATCCGGAATCTCTGCAGTTCTCCCACCACCGTTTTGTAGTAATGCTTGCTTCCCTTTCCCACTTTTCCCTCTAGATTGCTGTTGATTCGCCAACCCACCACCAGTAAGCACATCATAAAACTGTTCCACAGGCTCATTGAAAATAACCTCCTCATAATTCTGACTAACGACTTTCTCCCTCCTCTCCCTTTTGCCTTCAATATCATCTCCGTAGGGGTGAAGTTTCAAACTATGCCAAAGCGTCTGCGGCTTTTCTGTCGATTCCGGGACAAAATAGAGTTTTATTTGAATTTCGAATTCCCCCCATCCCGTCTCGGTGACTTCAAAAGGCGGTTGTTCAATTGTGCGTACGGATTGGGCGTATGTTTCGTGTAGTTTGAATTGGACTTTGCGCAGCCAGTAGGTTATGTCTTCGCCATTGACGCCCTTGACGAATACGCGCCATTGATGAGTGTGGTCTGGGGGCGCATTTGGAGGTCTGCTTTTGGGGTCGAAGGGCTGGGCTTCGCTGCCGAAGACTGCGATGATAATTTAGTTAGTGTCTTGATGTTGATGGGTATTGCGACAACTCTTGAAGCAAGCATACCAAATGGTCTGTAGACGGAAACGCCCTAGTAATTGTCAGCTTGGTTCGATAAAAAGGACAGAGTTATTGGCGTACCCTAACGCGCTTGGTGCCAGTAGCAGCAGGCATTTTCGGATGCAGTAACAAATGTACTTCAAAAAGAGGATGTTGTTAGTGGTAGAAGATGAGATTGGCGATCCTCAATACCGCCCGGAAATGCACGTGACCCTGCAAACTGTAAGCTTATTCGGCATAGCTTCCGACAGGCTCGATCCGTATTGTATGATTACGTAGCTATCGAGGGAACTCGGATCAATAAATCCCTCGACTCTCACCTGAGTACTTACTCTTGACAATAATATTAACACTCAATTGATAATTCTTTGCCTTGGGGAATTTGCGAAGTCACTATACTGTTGGAAATCTATAACTGCCGCCATGGCAGCTAAACGTCTCGTTGTAGCAGGCGGAAGCGGATTTTTAGGTAAATCTAACCATCATTGAATTAAGAATATGGAGAATTTTTGCTAATCCTGTATTTGATAGGGTCTAGAATATGTAAACATGCCAGCGTCCAAGGCTGGGAGGTAATATCGCTAAGGTACAATCCAACCATATATATGCACTATACAATCAAGTTTAACATCTCATGACAGTCGTTCCGGAGAACCCAAATGGGACACCGTAACCGCATCCAAAGAACGACCTGGATGGGCCAGCGAAGTCGAATGGGCAAAAGCCGACATTCTCAAACCAAATACATACAAACCATTCCTCAAAGGTGCGACGGCCGTTGTGCATTCGATGGGTATATTGCTGGAGGCGGATTACAAGGGTGTTGTGCAGGGCAAAGAGTCGATTATCACCGGTTTACAAAGGGCGTTTAGTTCGACGAAGAGGGGCACTCAGGATCCGTTGAATAGAGCGGCTGGGGAAGAGTTGAGGCCACAGGAAAGGGATGGGCAGTTGACGTACGAGGTTATGAATAGAGATACAGGCATGCATTATCTTCTAGACTGGAGAGCGGACAGAACTGATACTCGTTATAGCAATCGCCCTTGCGCAAGAGTCCTCCTTTGAACATGTTCCCACTTTCGTCTACATTTCCGCTGCCGCCGGCGCTCCAATACTCCCAGGCAGATATATATCTACCAAAAGAGAAGCTGAAGCCATCATATCGTCGTCCCTACCCGATCTTCGAAGTATCTTTATCCGCCCAGGATTTCTTTATGATTCCAGCAGAAAGATCACTCTCCCCATTGCATTGAACGGAATAATTGGTTCCCAAGTGGATGCTCTCCTTGGAGGACGCCTTAAAACTCTTGCAGGAGCCATGGTTGAGAAGCCACTCAAAGCAGATGTCGTCGCGCAAGCGGTTGTAGAATCCATTGCGGACGAGTCGGTAAAAGGTGTGGTTGGAACGAACAAGATTGAGACCCTGGCGACCAAAAACTGGCGGAAAAGTATGCTCTAAATCGTCGAATAGGTCCAACTACAATAAACGGATATATTTCGATTGTTTTGCAAAGAGATACTCCGCTCACAATGCTGTACCACGCTCAAAACTGTCTCTAATCTCTTTCGTGTACTATAGGAATGTTGTTAGAATAAGCAGCTTGAATAGAAAAGAAGCGCTCTCACCTTATCATAAAACCGAGCAAGCTTTTGGTTAAACTGCTTGTTCTTTTCATTGATGTACGTAACATCAGGATCTTCCTCACCGCGACGATCTCGTCGCTTCTTCAATCGAACTTCTTCCGCCTTCCTCAAATCAGCGACCAATCTGTCAACTGCCGCGCGATCAGGCTTGTTCTCAGTGAAGTCTGTTGAATCAGCCGTAGAATAAAACGTCCCATTTCTATCCACCGCAACAAGCTCGCCATCATTCGTTTCCACAATCTCCAATCCACCACTTGCAGCCGCACGCTCCACAGCGGCAATTTTCTCCTTTTCGTATGCGTCTAGATTAGGCTGCATTTCGCGTAGTTGCCGTTTATATACTTTACGAGCATCCTGGCGGTAGTCTTGGAAAGCCACGTCATCGCGATGTCGTTGCTTCTTTTCCATACGTCTGTCCCATCGTTCGGACTCTTCAACCGTCCAGTCCCAAGCTCGCTTGCGTTCAAAGTCCTCGCCGGCTTCTTCAGTATCGGCTTTCAGTAGATTATGAGATGCGAATGCATGCTTGCGTGAAAGGTTGGAAAGCAAGGCGGGATCTGTGGCAAGTCGTTGGGACTCGGCTATGGTCTCTTTCAAGTTGCTGTCGGTGGCGCTTTTCTGCGGTTCTCGTTAGTACAGAGAGCGTGTATTGTATAGCTAATCCTAGCTTACTGCGCGGGCTTTCAGCGCCTTGAACCTTTCCAATCGCTCTCGTGTTGTATTTGAGGCGCCACTGTTGCTGTTTGAAGCTTTGTTTTCAAGCTCTTCGCTCGACGTGCTGGGCTTTGAATCCTTCTCTCCTTCTTTAACATTTTCGGTAGCATTAACTGGATCTGCCTTGCTTGATGACATCTTGATGATAGTGACCTGAATCTGTAGGTGCTTAGCCGAAATGCATCAAATTTGTTGATTCTATCGTAAAGAGAAATGCATGAAATTACGAGGTTTGGATTATGTCATCAGCCGCTTGAGAACCACCAGTAAATTACGTGTATTGATACACAAGGACTGTACCAACCCCGCATGGAGCTAGTATCTAACAGGAATAGCTGTAATTTAAGAACAGGTGCTTGATGAACTCAGGAGATCTGTCACTTCATTATTCACACAATTACTCCATACTTTCGACAATCTGACGACAGAACAAAATTGACGAATGTCTAAATGCCGAGGTTTAGCATCACATCTTGCGTTGAAACGACAACCATGTTACCGACGAAGACACTCTAACAGTGCCCATGGCGACAGCTCCGCCAGCGCTGCCAGTGACTCCACAGCGGCCCCATCCCAATTACTGCGATATGCTTTATCTGGAGACACGGACATCCATCCAACGCCAGCAAGACGATATACGACTCCGATACAACTCGATAAAGACCTAGAGCTGATCTTGTCGAAGCGGACATTTGGCGCACAGCATCAACGGGGTAAAGTGGTTTCATTACCCGGTAGACGCGTGCCTACAGATTTGCAAGAAGTATCCGATCTACAGCAGTTGAACTTATGGTTTGAGCAATATGTAGCTGCTGGCTGTCAGTTGCCGATCCTGGACGATTTGCTGAGCGATGCGCTTGTCAGGTGTGAAAAGTCTGGCTCTTCTCTCGAGATCCTGTCTGTTTTGAGTACTTTCGAATCTAGACTCAGGGATGAAGGAGCTGAGATCCCTCCAGCGATTCGTCTCTCTGGGCTTTATTATGCTTGCCAAAGCTTGTCGGTACCTGCTATACGCTACCATTTGAAACATCTTTTACACATCCCAAGCGAATATGGAAAGAGAGCGGAAGATCTGGCTCAATGTCTTCTTCGGACGGTGCGAACAGTTCGGTTTTCCAACCCGGCTTACGATACGCGACCCATATTAGAACTCGTTGCAGAACCAATTGATAACCCCAAACAGAAGACGGTCTTTAGCCGCCTACCATTCAGTGAGGGAATGAGCACTTTGATTGAGCTTCTATGTGAGCTGGGGGCAACCAATGCCCACAAAGACGTGTGGGATGCGCTGATGAGACGCATCGAAGGATGTCAGCGATCGAGAACACTTTCTTGGTCTATGGTTGACGATGCTTACAAATCTGTCTTGGTATTTTTCAAATTTGGTATGACAGAATATGGGGTGTCCTGTATGAACCAGATATCAAAGACAGTCAAAAAAATGTCGCCATCACTACAAATCAGGTCAGAGCTTGCTGCCCTTTTGAATAAAAAAGGTATAGATGTTCCTCCAATTATCGAAGTACGAATTCAAGCAACACTTAGGCGGAAACTCAAACAGCAGGGTACCAAACGCACAGATGACGTGAAAGTGGGCGATGATATGATGGACTTTTCGATGGTCCTAAGTCTGCTCGAACACATCAACAACTACGGCACATCTGTCTCAGCATCCGAGATTGCGAATGTAATTGATTCTCTAAATGAATGCGCAGGATTAACAATCCCGCTATTCAAAGACTCCTCCCCAAACCGCAGCGTCGAATATGCCTGGTCGCCTCAGTGGGTTCCCGGAGTCTCATCCTCGGCTATAATCTCCTTCTCGCAGAATTCACAAACTTTGGGTCTACTCCGAGCACAGATTGCGAGTAGAGGAATCATCTTCTCTCCAGAGCGTAGCCGGAACCTCGTACAGCTCGGGCACCTCGTACGACGTGAACTTATCTCTGGGGAACAGGGGGAGACGACTCCGGAAGACGGGCCTGATACTTGGACCAAGACGGGGTACCTTGTAGTCTTTGACCGGGTATCAGCCGAATACCTGCTTATCTATCTCGGAGAAGACATCAAGATCATTGATCCGGAATACAGGCCTCATTCTGGAGATGCTTTATCCGGCGACTTTGAAAAGCACACATTGATTGGCTCACTTGCGCACATATCTATGCCAAAAAGTGTCCAGCATTTGAACAGGGGTATTGGGAAAGTTATTACGCCAGTGAAAAACTCGGCCAACCGTTATGTCCTGGATCTCGATTCCGGTGCTAATCTGCGGCCGTGAAAGTACGACAATGACCCCTGTAGACTAATCATGTTTGAGTCATGTATGTACAGATTGCGCTTAAAGTAATTCATGAATGGAGAGAGTCGAAGGGGGCACGTGAGATACTGTGCCCTCGGAAGGAACCGACGTCCAACATCAACTGACTCACACCTTTCTTTTTCCGCCAACAACATCCGTCGCATCACACTTTTCTTCTTCTCACTACTTCTCTCTGCAGTCTCCGCTATCTTAGATTCTACACATAGTCACCTCGAAGTTGTCATTCTGTTGCAAGAGTAGTTTACACAAATACTCCCACCACAGGCCGGCAGGCAGGCAGACAGACCGGCTGTGGCGCCACGTTCATTCAATACATCTCGATGACTATAACTGCAAACTCTCGAAGCTAGCTACCTATGCTAATTTAGCTGCATGTCACAACCTAACAAGCTAGCAAATGCCACACTAGTGACGGATGGGACCAACAAAGCCACAGCAGCTCTTCCAGCCAATTGAGAACGAAATATGCTGTTCTCCAGAAATCCAACCTGTCCCGCTATTTCAATTTGTTCATCCGTTTAGCTCAGGGGAGCCTTGTACCTAAGCTACAAGTGGAGTACGAGTAATTACAGAGATGTTTCAGCTACATTTCCAGATGTGATACATCTGATATTTGGTGTCACAACCAGGCTAATGCATTGTTAGTGCAAAATTCGTGGGACTGCAGCATGAACAAAATGCACCGAACGACCTCTTGACAGGTCTCTTAGTTCAAGTTAGTGCAAAATTGAGACTATCTCTCTCAGCTACGCTTCTCGGATTCGTTGCAGATATCTCTGCCCATGCACCCGGCAACTAATCAGACCCGTTTCTATATGTCCAAGGATAAATCCAGATGGTACAGAAAATGGATGGACACAGCTATTTTCCACTTCGCGGTTAGAGCCGATGTAATGCATCATGCGTGAGCTTATTCGCTTTCATACCGAGTGCAACCGGGTGATTGCAGGCATGAGACAAGCGACTAAAGTCTTTGACAGGAGGAGGCTGCAGCACTTCCCCAAAAGTCCGGTTTACTCTCGTAGCTTAGAAGGGTTCAGCAAGGGGCGGGTGGAGCATACACTTCTCATGGTCCCCGAGAGTTTGATCACTTCGAGGCCGATTGGCGTTTTACAAACCAAATCACTGCTTTTAATTTCGTCAACCCAAGACTCACAGGTTAATGCTCCACTAGACTCCCTTTTTCTCTATGCCTCAACCACATGCACACAGAGTATGGCGAGATTCCTGAATCATACCCGATCATAACGGGCTTTGAATCTAGAGGCGTCGAAACACAGATGTTTCCACGGTGGCACAGCATCTGATATCGCTAGTCGCGGTGAAACGATCAGGGACAGCCAACTTGACTCAATGCTGAAGAGGAATAGTTGCTTTTGCGCCAACAGCTATCAGAAACGGCAGTCCGGATAGAGGTCTCATTATCACATGATAAATGGTTCGTTCAGCTAGTGACAGCTCTCAAAGCAAGGATCCGTAGTTCCGATTACACACCCACCCGGCATGATGTCCTGCGCCATGGAGACGCCAAAGGTCGTCAGCCCTCCGTTCATTTCTGGACTTGGCAGATTCTAGTTGGTGGACGATGCTTTGTCATTGCATAAAGGCAGTGAATAGAGTCTCGAACAAAGCGATCCCTTCAAATAGACTTCACCTTATCCCTCAGCAGCAATGAGTCTGATCCGCCAAGTTCAATATTGGGCGAAACGCTAGAATATTCATTCGACCCCATTTACATACTGTATTTGCGAAGTGACTTCGGATTGTACTCTGCATACCATATTCTGATCCACCCTTCAGATGGCGCATACCCGTGATGTCAGGACCTAGGATGGATCCCTTTTTCTTTTTCTGCAGATGCGGGACTCCAGATTAGAAGCGCATACCTGTCTCAGCTACGCCTAGAAACAGAATAAGAAAGTTCGCATCTAGAAGCTAATAAGCTGTACGTAGTACTGAGTTATATCTAAGCTCCGGTACGTTTCTTTTAGCCCGTGGAAAATGGCTAAATCTACTTTACCTTTTCTGTTACTTCTGAAACAAATGGCCGGTAACCTGTCTCCGTGATCGCGATGGAGTACATAGGCGTTCATGCAATGAATTGTCAGTGGTCAACGTGATGCGTCAGCGATGCCGTTGCTATACGGCCTGCAGGTTTAAATCCCATGTCTCTGAACTCCCCAGGACCTACTGCCAGTTTGAGTAAGTAGAATGGTTCCAATGTGCCCAATCTTCTAAAGACCGACGCATCCTAGCTTGTGGTTCGCTCGTGACTCTGATTAGAGTCGCGAACGTTCGTGTCTGGAAGATAACGATCATGTCCTGGGCAGCACTTGAACCTTGATACAGGAACTTAACCTCATTAAGGCTTGACTTTGACGATCTATTTACCCATGGACTGAAACGAGCCATTAACTGTGCCACCTACTATTTACTTTTGAGGGCATGGCAAGCTTAGACCGTCCAGCTGGAAGCTACCATGACTTGAGTCTTCAGGATCGATTGAGCTAGACATGATCTATCCTCGCCTACATCGTCGCACTGGCCAAGTAGCTACGATCCCATTGACCAAAATTTGATTGATGATAGCGATATCCACCTTGAAATCAGGTTCATTGGCTGTCAAACTATACGATCAAAAGGAAATTCACCCTGAAGTGCCGGTCCTGAAGAAATAATCTCGATGTCGATCTCAGTAGTTTTGGTGGTTAACCTCATGATCATATGACAATGGACACGATCAATACGAAACAGTTGTTATGACAAACTGGCGGGCTGCCACATTGTGAACCTCTTTCGAAACTTGATGCTATACTACAGTATCCGTGATCACCTCTGCATATAAAGCTCTACCTACCCTCCGCCTACTTGTACATACTCATTCAAGCAGGTTCAGACTGATCACTGCTACAATATTGATACTGATAGAGATTTTTACCAGACAAGGTGACAAAGAAGTTTATCAGATGAAGTTGTAGCAACCGGATGGATGTCAAACATGCTTGAATACTTCAAATGACGGATCTACATTGAGTCCTGAAACGGGAATGCCGCCTCAGGGGCTTTTGATTCAGCTTGTCTGCGAGTGAGTCTCTTTTAAGAAATGTCCAAATGCATCCTCAACACCATACCCAAAATACCTCCTCGGCCGGCCGTGGATACCCCAATATGTCTCTCGGTCTACAGGCCTCCTACCAGTCGGAAAGAGTGCCACGGCGTCAACATGATGACCAGCACGGTCCATTTGGTCCATTAATGGGAACACAGAAAAAAGAATATAATGTTCCTTTTAGCTTCATGACTCCGGACAATCCGGCACTGCTGTCTCCATCGTCTTCGACTTCTCAATACAGCATACCCAGTTCGTCAATCTTCAGGTATATAACGAGGAGAGCATCTCTTGGGTTGTCGAAAGCAGGGCTGATAGAAGTATTAGTTCCGTCTATCCTGATCACTCTTCTCAATCAGCTCATTCTCTTTCACCTGAGGAGAGCTTTCAACCTGTATATCCTATAGCAGGGAGAATAAGCCAAGGTGTGGACACATTTATTGGTAAGCGGAGACTACCCATGGCTCATCAAGAAGATTCTTCCTCTGGGTAAGTACACGGCTTTGCTTTCCATACACCTATTAGCCTTTCGTATCTCCTGTTCATTTTTCTAAATCTGTATAGTCTATCGCATACTGCCAGAAGACGCAGCGGCATACCTCGCGGGTTTGATAATCTTCTCCATCCTACGGGGCAAACAGTACATTCCGCAGGAAGGACATCGGCAACTACTTCTCCTACAGCATCAAGACAACCTTCATCTAGGTTACGACTACATATTCGCCAACAGCCTGTTGCAACTAGAGCATGCTCAGCAGGCGAGAAGGATCGTCGTACCATAGATCCACCACCTATCTTGCAACTACTCTTGGCAGATTTCAATCCAGGATCAGAAGCAGATCTGGCTATCCTACAGAATTCGCGGTTTACAGTAGGCTGTCTGTTGTATCTTGTGAAAAAGTCAAGTTCTGGCGGGGAAGATGAGCTCATTCACCATTCTCGAATTCCAGAATCTCCCACTGGACACCGACGTGACGAAAGGAGTAAAGCTCGCAGTACCTACCAGTTCGACTCGAGGACTACCACTACTAGAAGTCATGTCAATGAGAAATCGAATCCCTCAGATGAGCGTTATGTGCAGATATTATCTGGGAAAACCTATGTATCGCCCTTCCATGTGCCATACGACCCTGATCCTGAAACCGCACCGAATCATCCTTCCTCTCACTCTCACCAAGCGCAAACATATCATCATCATCACCGCCGCCACAACGTGATAGAATCACCTAATCCCCCAGCAACATTCTTCGTGTTCGCCGACCTTTCCATCCGCACTTCAGGCACTTACCGTCTAAAATTCCGTTTAATGGACTGGGGCCTAGCCGCTGAAACCGGCGTACCCCAACCCATCTTGGCTGAATGCCTCTCAGACGCCTTTGAAGTATTTTCGTCTAAAGAATTCCCCGGTCTGATGGCTTCGTCTGCTTTGACTTGGAATTTGAGGAAGATGGGGATGATGGAGTTGAAGCCGAGGGATGGGAAGGGAAAAGGGGTTGCGAAGAAAGGGAAGAGGAGGGTTGATGGTGGCGATCAATAGCCCTAGATATAAGATCTGTGTGTATGAACGTGTGTGATTATGTATGTGATGGATTGTAAGATTTAAAATATTTGACCTTGAAGAAGATCCTCCTGTGTTCATTTTCCATGAAAATATACAGTAAAAAGCTAACCTACAACTCAAGCCAGGCAGCAGGCAAATCAGGCTTGAAATTCGGATCATCCCACGATTTCCTCAGCTTCACGATATTTTTACTATTCCACATAACATAATCAAGCTTTATCCGATCAAGGATCTCAGTAGCCGATTCATGCCCATCTTCACGCAACAAGACCACAAGGTTCCTCGTTCCGGGCATGTAGCCCAGCGCACTAGCCATTTCGTACCAATTTATGGCTAGACGACGCCAATCTTTCTTAGTGAGGGTGAACCAACCAAATAAATCCACAAACCATGTTCGAATGGGGTGTTTTTTGGCAGCTATGTCTTCGCGAGAAGGGACTTCTCCTTTGTAGATACGATAGTAGTAATTCCCCAGTCGGAAGCATGCTTCGCCGTGACCGGTCATTGCTGCTACCACTAAACATTGCTCATATGATTCCCAGTCCCCCTTTTCCTTTCGGATATAGGCATAACTGACGAGAGCTGCGGGATCTCGATAAGTCAGAGCGCCGAGTTTCATTAATTCGTCTGCTTCGTCGTATCTTCCGGCTTCATTGTGAATTTCGACGAGATACTTCCACGGCGCTTGATAATGACCCTCATATGTAATATCATTATTCCGCTCCGCTGGAGAAAATGACGGATAAGCGATTTTGTTGAGATACTGAAAGATCTCTAAAGCTTCATCCTTTCGTCCCCATCTCCATGCAACGTCTCCCCAGACCATAAGTGCCACGGGATCATCTTTTTCGTAGGCGATTTTCTTGATTCTCTCGATTTCTCGCGAGTTGGGTAGATTGGTTCCATGTTTCTTGATCTGTGAATGGACGAATTGGATCATGGACCAGACGACGCCGGCTTCACTAGTGGCAGCTACGGACCATCTCACGACATGCGTTTCCCACGGAGCCGACGAGAAGATCGCGAGCGCAACGTCGAGTACTCTAGCGGGGTCACCGGCCCATATAGGCTTTAGGGATTCCGCGGTGGCCGGGCTGTTGTATGCGGCGTGTATAAGCCTCCTACCAATCTCACGGAATACCTGGAGCGACATCTTTGAATCTAACACTTTGGCTCTTCGATTATCTGCATATATGGTCGCGTAATTCTTTTCGAATCTTTTCTTGACTCCATCGTGTTCTGCCCACCATTCCTCTGGTTCGACCACAGAGAACTCCTTGCCATAGGTTCTGTTGAGTGACTTAGCGGCGGGTGATCTCAGGGGTCTTTTTGCCTGATAATTGCTTGTAGCTGTGTAATTTCTTGTCGTCGCGGGGGTTCTTATTATGTTCGTTGTCGTTGGTATGGTTGAAGAGGGGAGGAGAGATGGTCTGCGAGCACACGACTGGCAAAGTGGTCGCAAGATTTGAGATGATCGATGCAGAGACATTGCGGCACTACATTCGAGAAACTTAGGCGAGTATGTACAAGGAGTATATGAGTTTGAGACCGGTATAAGTCGACTTTCTTTGGTAGCTAGGTCGCTGGATTGTTTTCATAGACAAATTGCAGCGTTGAAGCCAGTCGCGGCTTTCTTTCAGACTGTTGATGCGGAGTAAGGAGGCCTCCGATTGGTCAATCCGGCTACTACCTAAAGCACGCCTTTTTGGGAAGGGAATCAGTCTTCGTCATTCAAGATCAATCTTCGTACGTTCTGTTGCCATCGCTCCGTCTCCTCCGCCTGCAACAGAAAATAAGTCTTATACAATACTCAAGCAAGATATATCGTACATCTATCTCAAGCACCGAAGAATGCAAGTCGCAAGCTCATTCCGCAGACCTGCCTTTCCAGCAATTCAACGAGCTACATCTACATCCCACTGCTACCCATACAAAACAAGGCCTTGGGGCTCCTTGAGAATGTCATCGTGGACAACAGTCCCATCCAACCCTCCCGTCTGCACACTCTCCTCCCTCGACCATTTAGTCCTAACAGTCCAATCCATCCCAGCCACCATCAACTTCTACACTCAAATCCTAGGCATGGCCCATCAATCCTTTACATCACCTTCCGACGCCACAAGTACACCCCGGCACGCACTTTTGTTCGGCAGCCAGAAGATCAATCTGCATCAAACCGGTAAGGAATTTGAGCCCAAGGCAGCCAGGGCGTTGCCGGGGACGGCGGATCTATGTTTTTTGACTGAGGAGGATGTTGGGGTTGTGTTACAGAGATTGACTGAGAAGGGTATTGAAGTGTTGGAAAGTGGGCAGGTGGTGAAGAGGACTGGGGCGAGGAGTGCGTTGCGAAGTGTGTATGTGAGAGATCCGGATGGGAATCTGATTGAGTGAGTTCCGAGCAGCTTTGACATCCTTTAAGACATGTGCTGACAAGCTGCGCTCAGAATATCGAATCCCACCGTATAAGTTGATATGAATTCGAGTAAGGAATTTGTCGAAAAAGGCAGGTCGTTCAAATTGAGAACATCGAAGAGTCAAATTGATTGTAGTAAGACATACCGTCAGAAGTAATCTATATGCCATTATTTCAACTGATAAAGTGGTAAAACATCGACTCAACCTTGCATACCCGGCTAGAGTCAGAATTGCATCCAAACCAGACGCTTCTTGCCCCTATTGAAAGTAGATAATGTACAAATGTGAACGTCCATCAACTACCTGTGCATATGGAAGCTGGCGTCGCCATAAAGGCAAAAGGAAACCAACCACCCGCACAGATATTGCCCTCCAAGGCCGAAATCCACACCCCATGATGCTATGACAATCTTACTCCATCACAACCTTCGCACCAAGACCCTTGAGCGTCTCAATGATTTTTTCACACTCATCCTTGGCCACATTCTCCTTCAAGACCTTGGGGACACTCTCAACGAATTTCTTGCTGTCGACTAACGAAAGACCAAGCATGGACTTGATCTCCTTGATCACCTTAGGTTTCGAGGCGGCATCAAACGATTCAAGCTTCAAGTTGAAGAGAGTCTTTTCTGCGGCCGCAGGAGCAGCTTCTTCCTCTTCAGCGGCGGCGGCACCACCTGCTGCACCACCTGGACCAGCGGCGACGGCGAAGCCGCCAACGGGGAGATCGGGGATGTTTAAGCGAGACTATGTCCGCGGAGAGTAACATTGATCAGTATGATGTTCTTTCTCGTATACAATTCACGCATTGGTCTCAATTCGCAGTGTATCATTGCCAATAGTAAGTAAAATCAAAACCAACCTTCAAGCTAGCAACAAGATCCGCAGTCTCCAACAAAGTCAATTGACTAATCTGATCGACAATCTGTACAATCTTCGGATTGGCAGGCGCAGCAGCAACAGCATCGGTAGATTGCCATCTATGAGCGCCCGGCACCGTCGTCCGTCGTCGTTGCTGATATGTAGAACAAGAAGATGTCGAAATGCGTAAGAAGGGAGCCGATGAAGAAGTTGAGGAGCGGACGACTTGTCTGCAGCAGCGAGCTGCGGTTTGTGAAGAAATTGACATTATGAAGAAATTTGAATTTGAAGAAAGGAGAAGAAAGCAGAAAAGGCAATATAGTAATACAAGGAGAGTTGGACCTCGAACAATCAGCTTTCTATTCTTCCCGATGTTGTTGATTCCGGAACTTCTTTTCTGAAACTAATTTTCGGGGATACCACGTGATATGAGTCACGTGAGCATATCCGTATTCCGTAATCAATTGCGTTATGTTACGGTATTTTCTGTACTGTAACAGATTCGGCAGTGGATTCATTGATGATGGAGATAATATCGCTGAAATCGCCAAAAAATTAACGCGAAATAATTAGGAATATGATTGAGTTTCAGGAGTATAAGTCATCTATTTGCATTGCTCTTCATTTTCAGAACCGATCTCCTCACTACTTTTGAGAGAAGTATATTAATAATGACAAAAAGTATAAGAAAGATCAGTCCCATCAGGTCAGTTCGTTCTTTTAATCCTCATCCCAATTGGGATTTTGGCCAGGTGGCTTGGGGCCACCAGCCTGACGAGCGACAATAATCTGGTCGACGCTCAAGACTGTGCGCGCAGACTCAGTCGCCAGGCGGATTGCCCAGCTCTTCGAAGCCATCAGGTCTAGAATTCCTTCTTCCAAAGCATCAACAGTGCCCGTCGAAGAGTTACCAAAAATATCCACACCTGTTGTCCAGTAAGGTTCTTCATCGTCTGAGTCTGAGTCTTCTTCAGACTCCTCTGAAGAGTTTTCTGAATCATCTTCATCTTCGTCTTCTTCTTCAGAGTCGGATTTCTTGTTGCGCTGGTGAGCAGTGTATAGTCGTGACAGAACCTCTGTGGCATCAAGACCAGCGGATTCGGCCAATGTCCGTGGAACGACTTCAAACGCTTCGGCGTACTTCTTAATAGCATACTGAGCCAACCCCGGAGTCTTGTCCGCAAAGGCAGAGATGCGTTCAGCCAATTGAAGCTCTGTAGCCCCAGCACCAGGGACGAGACGTGGGTCCTTAGTGATAGCTTTGACAACATTGACGCCGTCGTCAATGGCACGCTCGACATCATCAAGATGGTTTTGCGTGGCACCCCGAAGTACAATTGTAGCTGTGCGAGTGACAGTATTTGCATCCTCTTGACGGAAAACAGTCACACGGTCACCTCCAATCTCCGTGGTTTCAACAACGTCGATATTACCCATTTCATCCGGCATGGGAGCACCAAGGCGGGCGAGCGGTGTGGCGCCGACAACCCGGCAAAGACGACGTAGTTCGAATTTGGACATAATCTTGATAACCAGGATATTGAAACGGTTAAGGTAGTGCAGAGCCAATTCGCCCACTGTAGATCCAGCAACAACAACACGTACACCAGAATCGTACAACTCCTTGATAGTAGCTTCGAGACGGTCTTCCTCTCCCTTTGAGAAATCGAGCATCTCCTGTGCATTCTTCAAAAGAACAGTGCCTTTGGTCTCCGTCTGCGAGGTATCAATCGGGCAACTAAAGACACCAACTTTGGCCTTGCGGGCCTTCTTAATTTGTCCATCGGGCTCACGGCCAAAGACCATACCTTTGACTACACGTGATTGTTCCAAGCTGCCACCCATGATCTTGACCACTCTGACATTGTCGACGTTGAAGTTGGTGGGATTTTTAGGGAGGACCGCAAGCACGGCTTCGGAGACGAGGGCGGAAAGGACTTCTTCAGAGCCGGACTGTTTGCTAGCGATGACGGTCCTAAGTGCTTTGCTAAGCTCTGCTGCCGAACGCATTTCCTTAAGGCGATCTACTTCAAGATCTAAATATTCGTTAGCACATAAATTCAGTTCGTTCTTCACGGCAAGAACAAACCTTCCAAGGTTTTCAAGGCAAATCCCTGTGCTTTTTCATAGCCATTCACAATATCACTTGTTTTCAATCCCATCCTCAACAGCTCTTCCGCCTTCTTCAACAGCTCTCCAGCAAAGACTATGACCAGGTTCGTTGCGTCGCCCATCTCGGAGTCCTGCTGCTGACTAGCCATCACAAGCAACTTGGCGGCGGGATGCACAACATCCAGCTCTCGTAGAATTGTTGCAGCATCTGATGTTAAGAACATTTTTTGTAAATGGTTGATGACGATCTTATTGCGGCCATAGGGACCTAGAGAGGACTGCACGGTCTGAGAGATTGCTCGACATGCTTCGATGTTGCGGATCACGGCACCGTCTTCGGCATCATGGCTAGGACGAGAAGTTGCGTTAGTTGTGTAAATAACGGGTTATGACTTATCCAGAAATCTGAATGAAGAACATCTCCTACACACCTTTGATATCCAGGCTTGAAAAGACCGGCCTGGGAGGGACCGGGGATTGACAACGACATAGCTCTCGCACAAACGCTGGAGCGTTCGTATCACTATAAAACGGAGAGTAAAAAGGAAGTCGATTAACTCAAGGGATTAATCAAGATTTTTTGAGTCCACAGATTCGTGTCTACTGATCAACAAGTCAACCGAAAATGTTCAGCGGGGGTAATTTTTGAGAGGAGCTTCCCGCATGCAAACATGTCAAACATGATTTAGGTACTTAACTCACCATTTCATCTTTGTATCTAATGAAATGCCCCTGGGTGATGGATATAGAGTGCTCCAGCTGATGAGATAGTTATACTACTTACATTTGACTATGTTCCACGGGCCACCCCCGCGTAGTCAGATGTTTGAAAAACCAGAGATCTTTTTACATAATAGGTATGCCCAGCCCGACCTTCTTTTGTCCCTCGAGCGCAGCGAGAGCAGATAACTCGTCTCAACCTATGAAAAGATGTAGCATTGCTGTGCAATACTGGCTTGCACAAAGAGAAGTTCGGCAGCAACCGTCGCGCGCCTTCCTGGCTATTTAAGCCAGAGGATCTCTCCAAAATGAGATTTCAAGTGAAGCATTACAGCTTATTCCCCTATTCTCTGTCAGACGTGGTAGCTCAGTTCCCAGTGCTTTCTCTGTGTTCTACAATTCGACAACAAGAAAAGTATTGTGCATTAATATTATGAAAAATAATGATAAATCGATGAAGGCATGGTTAGGATACGACTCATGTCAGGGTATCCGATATATATGTTTTCAAGTCATCTCGAAACTATTTCCTTATTTGGGCCATAAATCCTGGGTTTCATCTCTAGGCCTAAATAGTAATGTTAGAAACCCCTTTTCTAACTATATGGCTTTTTCTTCCCTACTTTTATTAACATATGTCACATAACAGAGGGTTCAGTGTGGTGTGGTGCAGTGTAAGACCCTCATGCTACGTGCATTTGAAATATTCCACATCGACACTCCCAGGACGAAATCTCAAGCAGAATTTTGATAGTCTCATCTAGTCTGGTAGAAATAGTTTTTACTTAATTGCAAAAACTTATGCTTAAAAGTACAACAATATATCGTGCTCTATAATCGGTTTAGGAATCTCATGGAGCACCGACATCATATCATGATGTTGATGCAGCCATAAAACAATTTAATCCACTGCAACTCGTGAATATGTATGCAGAAAAGGATAGAATAGTAAGAAATGTTCGATTCTGCGTCCTTGAGTGCCGTTCCACTCGGTATGGGATTACAATCAATTCATCCTTGGTGCAAAGGCGAGAAGCAATGTAAGATCATCTTACTAGCAGTATCTCCTACTTTGACATACCCATCATAGTAAAGAACCTTCCTTTAATAGAATATTTTCTAGAGAAGTCACTTCCAGGAATTCCCTAGCACCGAGGCGTCTGCGAGATAGTCCTTTGGAAGAAGTCAATGACGGCGTTGCCAATCACCGCGTCCTTAGCAATGACTAGAAATTTCAATACTCCGTCTTCAGCACCAAGAACGACTTTGACAGAGTATTGAAACACAGTTATTCCTCTCCCGCGGACCTTTTTCTTTTCAAATTGCCCAAGGTCAACGTTGCTGAAGTCAAATGGAATAATTCCGACGTATTCGACTTCTGGACCAGTCTATTAGATTTTTCTAAATCGAAAGTTGAAAAACTCATCAATTTACGCATCAACTTCTGGATTAATACCTTTACGGAACGGAATCCATTGTTTGAATCCATAGTGTCGTCGACTCCTTCGCGTCTTTGGGCGGATGCCTTCCAATCTACAGAGTGCGGCGCCACGGGCAATGGCTGACTGTCTTTATTTTTCTCTAAAGTAAAGACATTAATATGAGAAGCCGTCTCTAGATGGGTCGTTATCGACACACTCACGGGTTGTCTGGAACAGTGATGGTTATCCTGCCAGCTGGCTCGAAATACTTCGCTAACTTTTGTCGGAGATACTCGGAGTCTCCAAAACCTCCAACTAATATTATAGTTATGACCTAGATATTTGTCTCCGTGAGGTACCGCGATGGTAGTGCAGTGGCAGTGCTCCATGTGTCTAGATAGAGAGATATTCCTAATTTGGAACTAACATCTGACTGCACAAAATATCCAACTTGACTACAGTTTCATATACTGCTTCAACCTTTACTAACTACGATGAGCCTTGGGAGTTCCTAACATGAGCACATGGTTTATCATTCTTCCATTCTATGGCGCTTATGCTCTCGTAGAGAATTTGAGTGAGGTCTATCAAAAACAAAGCATATAAATTATATCACTAGCTCCTTAAATCTATACGTCAATACTAACTTATGTAGTCATCAGAACACTACCTAGCTTATCTGTCAATTTTCAGGGGCCAAACATGATGACTATGCATCAAGGATGACCTCCTCTCGGTTCACTTACGAAGATCGATTCAAGGTCGTAACAGATATTTATAGATTTCTTGTTCTCGGTTGACCTTTGAGTTGTCCGCAAGCACTGGGTTGACATCCACCCATATCAATATTGGCCCCTTTCGGTCCTCAGTAAGTTACCTAGGTATGTTACCTACCTAGGCAACTGCATAGGAAAACATCGGTATTCAGCTATCTAACGGTCGATCTGCTCACGTTCACGCACTACCTAATCAGTCACAATACAAGTCCCTCGATATGTAGCTAACCGGGCTGGAAATAATAATTGTAACATCGATACGCAGGTTCTGGTTATATCTTATCCATAGCCCTAACATTGGAACTTTTATGCAATTTCGTAGACTGTATGTGGTGCCTATCTATCTATCTATATACATATACACATATACTCATATACTCATATAGGTTTCCCTTTTGGCTTCCGAGGTTACCTAGAATGATGATATTTCGAATATGCGAATTAACTCAGAAAGCAGAATTCACGTGTAAGAATGGATTCTGTCTTATCAAAGCATGTCCACACCTCGACCCTTCTGAGGTTCTTATCTTCATGCAATGCAACCTACTACGTATATCCCATCTACACGTGTGTTGAAGATGTCATATCATCAGCCCCAGTCACAGCACACACTAAACTCAAGTGCCGTTAGCCACCTAGGCGCGGACCATTTGCGTCAACTGAAATCTTATCCCATAGTGATACGTAGTGGGATGTGTTGAAATGGACGTGCCGGATGGATCCATACGTAACCTTTGGGGTCCAAAATCTAGGTTTAATGATATTTCTGTGCTTGATACCTAACTGAAACGTAGTAGAAAGCTTACTTTGAGCGATGTATTGGCCATAAGAATCTTTGAAGATAAGGTCTTGTCCTAATATGCTCTGTATGGAACTGGAAAATTTCCAATACTATGAGAGGTAGGCTTATCGATTACATGACTTTAAATGTCATGCTGACAGCTATCTTTGCGATGGAGGAATCATTTCATTCGTATCATTATACGTATTAAGTTTCTCTAGATGACGTCCGGAGACCTATTTCCAGCCCTGAAACTGATAGCCATCTAACCTATGATCCGGGGCGTCACATCGAGATGAAAGGCTCATGAGGCTCGTAGCCTCGTACTACTACGAAGCACGGAATACGTATTAAGTACGTGCCTGAGAGATCTCACATCTGATCCTGACAAATTATAAAACAGATCACGGGATCGATAACTAAAGCTCTGATCACGTTTGGGACAATTCGCCGGTTACTTTCCCATTTGCCGTGCAAGGATGTCGACTCTAGGTCGTCGCTGATGTGACAGATGTAGTTATATCAAGAATCGAGGCTGGTATCGGCGGGTTCCGACAGGTCGACACGAGCAGTACATAGATAACCGACCAGGTACTACCCTGACCATAACTGTACAGTGTCGATTGTCGACACCTTGTCCCTGCCTCTCCTCGAATGTGATCGATCCATCACTACTCAAGGAATAAAAGTCGGACGAACTCAACCTAAGTTGTCGCTTTCAGGGCAGTCCTGACGCTTGAAACACTCCCCTGTATACTCTAGTTATCCTTGCCAATTACCGACTTAGGGTTAGTTGGACAAATAACGCACGGGACAGACTCGGGGTCTCGCCATTCGGAGTGTCAGGCTCGTTAATATCCTGGACCTTAATTATAGTATTATTGCATGGAGTGGATGATGTTACCTAAGTAATAAAATTAGCTGGTGTGAAGTTCTGAACATATGATTTAAGGATACTTAGGATACATACAAGTATGACACGATCCAAAAATATGATTCCGGTACCATGGGAATCCAGCGGACCGTTAATTAGGACTGACTGAAACCGTTGTTTCGTCTCTCATTTATTAATTGACCGTGTGTGGGCAAGCCGTTCATTGGCATACCCAGCGACTCGGATGTAGAGTACCGAACATATGGACAATGGATCGCTACGGGACCTGGTAAGAACGAGAATGAACCAGGGTCGATACTCGTAGACTTAAGAACTCGCTTCCAACGAGTAAGTTCTAACGGTTCAATAACGGCGTTCATTCGCCGGGGAAATCTGGAAGGACGAACGGAAAGGCCCAAAAATTCAGACGAGTACGCGAGACACTTCCCTGATCGTCATAATAGTGTTGCTCTTATATGGTCCAAGAGCACGAGTAGGCTGGCAAGTAGTAACCGAATCTGTTGTTGCTGTTGCTGTTGCTGTATATCAGATGGTGAATTTAGAACTGTCGAGTTACTGGATTCAACGTCCACCCGTGTCCCGTCCCGTTAAGCTCCTTAAGAGTCCTTGTTATCTTGAAAAAATGACACGGACCAGTTATCTTGCAAGTCTGTGGAAGAGGTCACTGCGTCTTTTGAAGGATTGATCCGAACCTGTTCCTCTTCCAAGACCCAAGATATAATAATATAATCCCGCCATTAACTTATAGTTAGACGTAAATATCAGTTTCGAGGACTCGGAACGAATCAATCGGATTGCTCCCCAGTGCATATATACAGCCGTAGCCATCTCGACAGTTGGGTAAAGCGCCGCATGGAGCTAAAACGTGCAAGGTCTCGAGTTTTTCTCCTAGACCTGATCCTTTGAGTTAGCATGCAGAGTGGATCACAGCGAGTGCAAAAGGGTTAATCCATGTGGCCTGGCCATGATGCATTCGGAGCTTTTGAAGATTTTTGAGAGAAAAGTAAGGGGTAAAGTTTAACGGCGTAAGATATGAAATTACGGTACGTATTATACGAACCAATTATTCACGATGTGGTAGGTTTTGGTCTTTTCTGTTGTAGACTTGTACACTGCGATTCGATCATTGTCAATAATTGACTCGTGCTTGATAATTGTCTGCTGGTATTTACTACTATCGGCGGGTTCTATTTAGTAGAGAGACTATGCGTTAACTGGCACTGCTAAGGTGGCCCGCCACAAACCCGCGTATTGCCTATTCGGGTAATCTTGAGTTACAGTTCCTCGACACTAAGGATTTCTAGCCTTTGCCTAGTACCAAGATGGCTCGTACTGTGGTTAGTCGCTCGTATCTATCTACTAGTCGGACAAACCATGAGGAATCTTAAACTTGACGCCCTTCACAGCCGAACTACACAAAGTTGCCTAACGACGTAGTGAATTGCAATTCTAGCCTCGTGGCTCTGACACTAGGGTTTCATGCTGGTCCCTTGCTGCATGTGGATGATCCTGCGACTTCCGAGAGGATGGACCTACGCCACATGTGCGAATTATCCAAGACATGAAGATTGTTAACTAACTAGTGAACACAGGAATACATCTAGATGTGTCTATTTACTCCCGTATGATAACAGCTGTAGATACACTCTCAGCAAGCACTATTCAGATTACGTACATGAGTGTATCACTAGTCCGACCGTTGCCAGAGTCAAATCTAGACATGCATAGTCTCCATATACTACAGTCTGCCATATTCTCGCACCATTGTAAATTCATACTAACAGGTTCTGCAGATGTATCGTATTTGTACGGTAATGGAAATACAGACGAAGCCCGGCACAGTCCCTGATTGGCCGCGACGGAGCATCTCTCACGTGACAGCAGCCAGCCTGGTTCGTCAGGCTCCACTATCCCCATATCCAAGACTAAATGAATATTTGAGTCGCAATTAAGTTACAGACACCTTAACCACTTGCTCCTTAGTCGATTAATGCTGCGGATTATTACTGACCACTGAGCGCACTGTGGCTAAACTTACGCAGTCCCCTATTCCCACTCTTGCGCTTGCTTGTGTTCCTCGATCCCAGCTTGACTCCTCTCGAGTCTCTTACTATTATTTCTCTCCCTTTTCCTTTCCAACTTTCAGGGACTCCATGTGGAAGCAGCGCTTTTCGCCCAGAGAAGATCAAACCTCCTCTCGTTCTAGAGACTCGGGACTCCATCTTTCTGATCTATCTCTCTTCGGGCGCCAAAAGAAGAAAACCTCATCAACATTGACAGCTGGTAAGTACTGACTAAGTGGTTATGTTATCAAGACTCCCGCACGCGCCTATGCGCAATTCTGCATATACTCACATATCCATGCAAGTTTTGTTCAAGCAATGTTATTCTCCCTGGTCCATATTGCACATAATATTTCAATTAATTCTTCTGCTTTCAAACACGCCTCCTGTCATCAGTATTACTCTTTCCTCTCAAGCAGTCAGTCATACTGACCGGGGGTATCATCTTGGCCCTCCCCGCACCCATCCCATTACATCCCCCATTCCACTCGGCCCCAATGCATTCGAGACTCGGTATTTCTTTGTGCAATGACTTCATTTTATTTCTTGAATGAAAGTGGAAGAAAGAAGAAAAAACACCCCCCCCCCTTCGCCCCATTTTATTCGCCGATGTTGTGTTAGCTCTAGAAGTCACGCTGAATGAATCGCTAACAAAGAGCTTGTCCGCCAATCGGATCTAGACCAGCACCAATATTTCTCTTCCCCACGAAGTAGTTCTCGCGCAGATTCTGTCTCGACAACTCGATCGTTTCGACCGTCTTTTCGCAATCAGTCAGACTACCGTCCAGAGAGCACTCGGTCGAGACAATCATATATCTCGGGACACCACACAACATCCAGCTCGATCTACCAGCAGCAGCCGTCGCAACACTCAGACAGAGCGAAGCCGTGGCCGGCTTCGTCTCATTCGGATCGCTCACAGACTTCGTTCAATTCTCGTGCTGGTCGGAACAGCACCGCAATGATGGATATCGATCGCGCACGAACTCGGAGAGAGCGCACCTTTGTCGGAAGTGTATGCGCCGTATGCGATGAGCCATTGGAACACACCTTGCGCGGCGAACGAATCTTACAGTTTTCATGTACTCATGTGTCGCATGAAGCCTGTTTCTACGAGTATATCAAGGAATTCGAATCCCAATACTGTCCAACCTGTAATGCGCCGCTAGGTTTGGACACGAGTCGAGGTGGGAATGTCTTGGATATCGGTAAGTGTCTCTTTTCCCAGGCGGTATTGGAATGCCCTACTGAACACTGTCAATAGAGAAACTGAGTAACATAGTCCGCTCTGCGTCAATTAGCGACGCTGGAACAACTCGAAGCGGTCTGGCCACGCCGACACCGTGGGACCATCGTAGCCATCAGCAGTCCCAGCAAGAAAATCACAGGTCATATCAAATGCAGCATCAGCAGCAACAACATGACCATAACTTCAGCAGGCGGGATAGTCGTGACACCGGTAGTCACACCGGTAGTCACGCTGGTAGTCACGCTGGTAGTCACGCCGGTAGTCACGCTGGTAGTCACGCTGGTAGTCAACGCGAAAGGGTCGAGCGGTTGATATCCAACAGTTCTCGAAGACAGACGAGCCATAGCCGTCAAGACAGTGGAAACACAGGCGTTGCGTCGTCGGGTGAATACACCGATGGACAGCAACAGAGCACTGGCCGGCGACACGATTACGACGTACAAGCCATGGAATCGGATCTGAGTCCACGGTCTGGCGTAATCAAAAACCCGATTCCTGCTCCTATTGTCACTGTGCGTAGCGAGTTTCCTACGCTCAGTCGCTCCCGGCAACAGCAACCTCTTACCTGTTTGGTTACTGTAGAAGTTCCAGATGGCCATTGGCGACCGGATATGGAGGACCTCCGTTTCACGCCTCTCCATGCTCAGCTTCCTCCGGAAGATGTGTATTCGCCCATTCGTTCTCCAACTGTCGCATCAAGCCGTTCTATCCCTGCAGAGGCTCGTGAGAACTTGGATGAAATTGCGGAGGATCTCCATTTGCGAGTTGAGAATTGGCATGGGCTTGAATTCAACCGGTAAGCTCTCAGCCTTGACTAGATTTGGAATAGTAGCTGACTTGTATAGATTTGGAAAACTCCGTTTACACGGATTACTTAATGTTGGCAAAGATCGCGAGTCGTGGCAAGAGCTTGAATGCTTTTTGTTCGATGAAATGCTCATCTGCGTAAGAGAAAAGAAATTAGCTTCTGATGCAGCTGCGTACGGATCGAAACGTAAAACCACCCGTTGCACATTAAAGGGCTCTATTCTCATCAAAAAACATTTGCGTGAGGTCGAAGTGGTAACCGGTAATGCAACCGATCTTAAATGTAAACTACCAGCTAACGTTAATTCAGAGGAACCAATTCTTACCCTGAACCTCTCCGTCAGTGACCTACCCTGCTTCCATCTCCGATTCCAAAACAGGGGCCAATTGGATGTATGGCGCCGCGCTTTTACAGGATTACACAATCCCGAACATCTCAGGGATTACGATGCCGACAGTGGAATTCCAGAAGAGGATGATTATCGCACAACAAAAACCAATAAACGCCAGTCGTCAGCGACATCGTCCTACGGTGCTAATAAGTCCAACAACACTGCTTTGACAGAATACACCAATTCGATGCGAGATCCGGGTCCCGCCAGTTTCCATGTTCCACTAGACCTGGTTGTTGTGATACCCGTTTCATCATCTATGCAAGGGTTGAAAATTACTCTGCTGCGCGATGCATTGAAGTTTCTAGTACAGAATCTAGGACCCCGCGATAGAATGGGCTTGGTTACTTTTGGATCGAGTGGTGGTGGTGTACCTCTTGTTGGGATGACTACCAAAGCATGGAATGGCTGGGGCAAGATTCTAAACTCGCTGCGACCCGTTGGCCAGAAGAGCTTGCGGGCGGATGTTGTTGAGGGTGCCAATGTTGCTATGGATTTGTTGATGCAGCGAAAGTCCAACAATCCTATTTCAACTATTCTACTCATTAGTGATTCTTCAACTTCTGATCCGGAAAGTGTCGACTTTGTTGTGTCACGAGCGGAGGCCGCTAAGTATGTTCGTCCTATGATCTTTTTTTTTGGAATTTCTACTCACTTGTCTAGGGTTGGAATTCACTCCTTCGGCTTGGGACTCACCCACAAACCCGACACATTAATTGAACTATCAACTCGCACCAAGGCGTGCTACACATACGTCAAAGACTGGATGATGCTTAGAGAATGTGTCGCCGGTTGTCTTGGCTCCCTACAATCGACTTCACACCAAAATGTCAAGCTTAAGCTCCGGTTACCAGAAGGCTCACCAGCCAAGTTTGTCAAGATTAGCGGTGCTCTGCACACGACAAAGCGTGCCACCGGAAAGGACGCCGAAGCTGCCCTTGGCGATTTGCGATTTGGCGACAAACGAGATATCCTCGTACAGCTTGTCATTCAGCCTGATAATGCCACACAGGAACATGTTCCTCAAGACCCATGGCAGAGTCTTGTGTCTGGTCTTGAGGCACTCGGAGGCGGTTCTGACGGTGACGAGCAGCGAGTCGTCAGTGTTGAAGAAGTTCCACTGATTCAAGCTGATCTCACGTACGGCGATATCCTTCGCGAGGGACATTTGACGCATTCTCCTCGTCCTTCGCTCCTGGCGATAACCATGCTTCCTGCCAACCCCCGATCCAAGCATGGAGGACGACCTGCCACACCTCCTATCCCTCCCCATCCATCAATCGTACAACGACGAATGGAACTATTAGCATCCGACATGCTAACAAGGGCACTGACCCTTGTCTCTCGCGGTCAACATGACCGTGCCCAACACCTCCTGAACGAAACCCGAAGTATTCTCAAGGGTCTCGGAAAAGGAGGCCTCCCACCACTTCCTCCCGGTGCTACCAAACCTGGTAACTCTCACGGTCTCCTGACCGACTCGAACAGTCCTTCTGGAACACCTACTTCTACATCTCCGCGCTCATCCCACTTCCAAGAAACCAACAGTTCATCCGCTGCATCTGAAACGGCTACTATCACGCCCGTTGCCGCGGTTGATCAACATGTCATGGCGGCGCTAGATGCGGATCTGGAAGCAGCACTAGAATGGATCAACCATCCAGCTGTGTTTGGACGCGATTCTCGAAAAGCTGTTCTTCAAGCTATTGGGGTCGTTTCGTCGCAGAGAGCCTTTACATATCGCACGCCGTCGGAGGCGTTGTGGTCTGATCGTGTGGCTGGTGTGAAGAGGTTGACCGATAAATCCAAGGAATGGCGTGAGATGGGCGATGATGCCCTGACTGAGGAGTAATGCCTTCATTTCTTGAATATATCAATCTCATACCTACGAGTCATGAATCTTGTTCCATTACTTTTATCTTCCTTTCTTCTACATTTACATATTTACTATTCGGATTCCCTTTCTTATCTATGATACCATTTCGTTTCATTCAGGTCGCGTTGCCTCTCTATTCTAAGGTCCAGGGGGTTCATGTGTGTGTTTTTGGTCGTGGTCTGTGTTGGTGTATATCAGTTCTTCCCACTGTTCTGTGATATATTGCTATGTCTGTCTATAATGTCTCTTGTACGTGCAATTCCAGATATGTTTATTCTTTAAGAAGTACCTAAGTACTAGGAGAGAATACACCGAACGCTGCATTCAGATACACCCACCATCCCCAATCAAGTCTAGCGCAGCTTACCTAACCCGATGGCCCCCGATAATTCAGGCAAGTAACCCGTCCGACCCGGTGAGAGTCTGAAAGAAGCAACAAAAAAAGCTGCCCCAACAACTCTGCTACTGTATTTTCTCGGAGCAGACTCCGTGTGTCTATCTCTCCTCTCTTTTTGATCTTCGTGTGGTTTTCGTACTTTTGAAATCAATTGCATTCTCTTTATAATAATGCTTTCACGGTCCTTGTGGGCGCGCCAGGTTGCGCCGCTCAGGCGTCAGGTCGTTGCTGCTCCTTTCGGGATTCGTCGTTCGGTGACTACGGACGCTGCTTCAGCGCATGCTGAGAATATCCCTGAGGTATTCTTTTATCCTTTTTTATTCCATCAAGCTAATGATGCTAATGTGGTTTTCTGGTGTAGGAAGATGACAAGCCCTTCACAGTCAGACTCTCCGATGAGAGCTTTGAGACGTACGAGCTTGACCCGCCTCCATACACCTTGGAGACTACCAAGAAGGAGTTGAAGCAGATGTACTATGACATGGTTGCTATTCGGTATGTTTCCTACTATCTAGTCGAACGAATGAGACTAATTGATCAGACGAATGGAAATGGCCTCTGATCGTCTATACAAGGAAAAAAAAATCCGCGGCTTCTGTCACTTGTCCACAGGCCAAGAAGCCGTCGCCGTCGGTATCGAACATGCCATCACCCCCGAAGACAAACTCATCACCGCCTACCGTTGCCACGGCTTCGCGCTGATGCGCGGCGGAACCGTCAAATCCGTTATTGGAGAATTGCTGGGTCGTCGTGAAGGTATCGCCTACGGAAAGGGAGGTTCCATGCACATGTTTGCTCCTAACTTCTTTGGTGGAAATGGTATCGTTGGTGCTCAGGTACCTGTTGGTGCTGGGTTGGCTTTTGCTCAGCAGTACAATGGTGAAAAGACTTGCTCGATTGCGCTTTATGGTGATGGTGCTTCAAATCAGGGTCAGGTCTTTGAAGCGTTTAACATGGCTAAGCTTTGGAATTTGCCTGTTTTGTTTGGTTGTGAAAGTGAGTTCCCTTTCCTATCCCTTCCCTACGTGTCGCAAGCTCATAGTAATTTTTAGACAATAAATACGGAATGGGTACATCTGCCGCTCGCTCCTCTGCTCTAACCGACTACTACAAGCGCGGACAATACATCCCCGGTATCAAAGTCAACGGCATGGACGTCCTCGCCATCAAAGCCGCCGTTCAATACGGACGCGAATACGCCATTGCCGGCAAGGGACCCTTGGTCTATGAGTACGTCACCTACCGCTACGGAGGCCACTCCATGTCCGATCCCGGCACCACCTACCGTAGCCGCGAGGAAATCCAGCGTATGCGCAGCACACACGACGCGATTGCGGGCCTCAAACAGAAACTTTTGGACTGGTCTGTTGTCACTGAGGAAGAGCTCAAGGCTATTGACAAGGAAGCTCGTAGCTTTGTTGATGAGGAAGTCGCTGAGGCGGAGAAGATGGCTCCCCCCGAACCTACTCCTCGTATCTTGTATGAGGATATTTTCGTTCGTGGTAGTGAGCCTCTCTGGATGCGTGGTCGTACCGTGGACGAGACTTTTTACTATTAGTCGACCTAATTCATTCTTTGTCTCGGTGATTTGACGATCCTTTTTATCATGTATTGCGGAGTCAAAAAGAAGCATAATTTGTACTTGGATTGGGAGCCACATGTATTCTTTCTTTCGTTTGTTTAGAGTCATCTATCTACTCTGTAGGTAGACTGAAGTGTAATCTAGCCAATGCAATACATATACATATACATAACTTATCTTAACATACATACACACCCGAAAGAAAGATTATAAACCCTTAAACTCCCCCCTCCACCACATCCCAACCCTCCTAGCACCAATCTCTGCAATTTTCGAGAGCGAGACATCCTGCTTCGCCGAGTTGCCTCCGGCAGCTACAGGATGACCCTGGGGTAGGGGTTCTTGTTGGCGCATATCCTTCTGTATCCTGAGCACGGCGGATGAAGAGCCGATGAGGATTGCGAAGAGGGGATCTGCTATTCTATTTATTGTTTAGAGGGTGAGTTTAGCTATGAAGGGATTGGATAAGGAAGAGAAGATGGAATGGGGGAAGGAAGGACGTACTTTGAGATTAAGTAGGGATGGGCCATGGTCTTTATTCCAGTGTGTCGGAGGATCAGATATCTGGTGCTTAGACGAACGATTGGATGCGTATGGACCGGCGTTCTGTTGATGTTTGATGATGGTACTTGTTGCGTTAAGAAGAAGTGTCGTTGTTTGGTTGTCTGATATAACCTGAAGGAATTAACTGGTTCGAATTATGAGGAAGTTATCTCTTGAAATGAGTGTTCTGAGTTGAAGTCTTGATGAAGTTAATCGCTAATAATCAGACTTTAGATAACGCACGGACCACATTTATATTGATGCCATTAACTTTTTAAAGTCTTCATGTAGATACTCATGTCTATCATAGAGTAGAGAATCAGAGAGGAGTAATATATAACAATTAAACTAATAAAGTACATGCATAATACATTCAAACCCGATCCCCCTAACATCCAACAGAAATCTATAAGAAACAATTCGCCAAATCCGAATTGACCATAAAACCATTACAGCATATAAAATAATAAATCCTCATGCCGCAGATAATAGAGAAGAAAAAAAAATTAGATAACCTTGCTGAAAGCAGGAATCAATGTCTGTGCCAACCAAAAGCTAAACACGAGCTTGGGACCAGTCATCAACAATTTCGGCACAAGTCCCTTGAAGAAAGCACCTACACCTTCATTCTTCATCATACTTGCGACGATTCTAGCGCCGGACTCGGGATTCTCAAAGTTTCGGTTTTGAATACGTGTTTTAATGACGTCTAACGGTGCGGAGACGATTAGAGAAGCGCTGGCGCCGAAGATGGAGGCGACGAAGTTTTGGCTCCAGGTTGCTGAGTTGTAGTCTTGGAGGGAGAAGATGTATTCTTTTGCGAAGGCGGAGCCACCAAAGAGCTGTACCCGTTAGTATGCAATCAGCCATGCAAAGTGAAGAATAACGTACAGCGAATGAACCAGGCGCATTACGAGCGGCCGTCCATCCAGCACCACGATACAGACCCATTCCTTCATCGGAGATGATTTTGAACAGTCCACGACCACGGAATGCTTCGGGGTTTGTCTGGCGTTTGATTTTGAGGACGTCGAGGGGTAAGAGGATGATTTCACCGATTCCGACGATACTACTTTTGTCAGATTTGGCATTACACACAGAGGTCAAAAGACATACCTTCCGGCAGTAGCATGCATAATAGCCTTTCCAGTTCCCTTGCCAAAGGTTGAGTCAAAGCTTGAACCATGGTGTTGTGCTAGGTAATCGCGAACGAAGGGTTGACCGCCGTATTTATAGATTCGTTGCAGGACCTATACAATTAGACAGTTTTATTCACTAGATCATGTAAATAGAGATGTACCTTGTATCCAGCAGCATATCCAAGACCGGGGAAGAGGGAAGTGAATTTCCGGCCCACGGAGGCTGTCGCATAGTCCTTGAAAATGACTTGATTTAGAGCAGCGGCTGTATTTGCCTATCTAGACGTCAGCTCTCCTTCATAATATAATATAACTGAACGGATACGTACTCGTCCTTGATTGCTCATCAATCGTTTCGCAATTGTGTCAACCTATATCATCAGCCATGTCTACCCCAAGAGGCTGCTGGAAAACATACAGGATGAAAAACAAGCAACTCCGCAATACCAGCAGACCCTAAACCACCAGTCAATATTCACCTCTCATCAAATCCATTGCCAATTAACATACCGGAACCGAGCAATCGCGCAGTCCCAGATTCCCTCTTGATATCCTTCGCGGCCGAACCGGCGCCAACTGTAGCCATTGCAGGAGACATTTTTCGTTGATCAGTGAGTGCTACCGACCCGGTGAAGGAATTGCGCACGAGGTTCGGAAACGAAGAGAGAGGAAACAGACTAAAGATTTAAACCCGTACTAAAACAAGACGAATCGAATCGAAATAGGAGAAAAAGATAAAACAAGAAACGAAGAGAGAATGAAGATCAATCAATGGTGGTGAGTTAGTTCTACAGCAGTTCTGAGTTCTTGAGAAAAATGAATATTGGAGAATCCCGAGGTTTACGCTATTCCGATTTGGGGGTAATCAGGTTCTGATGATGGGCCGGAGTTGTGGATCGGGTCCGGTTTAAGTCCGTGATTCATCTAAATCTCTAGGACAGCCAGTATGATACTACTGACAGGACAGCAGTATCTGAAGTAGCAATAGATAGTTCCCGTATCAAGCAAATAAGCAATAATAATATCACATCACACTAGCAAATATGACATCCGTAACGCCAATACAACGATCTGCCGCTTCATCCTCGAGTAGAGGTGACGAACCACTCGAGTAGCCAGAGCAGACCGCATTACATTGCAAAGCACTCTAAGCACCAAGCCAGAAACAATCGAGTAGTTCAGTTCAGTCCATTCAGTTGAGTCAAGATCGTCGCTCATCTAGCACATTTCATAGCATTTATCATCCACGGTTTCTCTTCAGCATTCACCAAAGGTGTTCTCGCCCGAGTATCTGTATCATATTAGCAAAATATCTCTCCCAAGTGGCTGGGAATGGGAGGACATACGTAATGTATAAGAAACCATCCTCATCCTTATGCTCCTCATAAATACTACTCATAAGCGCCGCGGTAGGGGGAAGCACTTCATCGACAAAGATGAAAATAGCCTTTTCGGGTGACAACTTGATGCGCTTTCGGATGACGTACACGAACTGGCCGACGGTGAGATCTGCGGGGACAAGGTATTTCTTCTTATCGATGGTTGCGATGTCTGATTTTTCGACTTTTTCGCAGATTACCTATTACAAATATCAGAATCTCTTATCCTAATGTGAGTGGAGAGGATGGGGCGTACAGGGATACGGTCAGCGTATTTCTGGCGAATACGCTCGGCTTCAGCCTTGCGCTTTTCGAAGGGGTGCTCGTCTTTGAATTTGGAGCGCATGATTGCTGTAGTTATCTGTTGGATGTCAGCGATACTCTATGCAAGATCGAGCGTCAGACGAACTTATTATTAGAACTGTATCTGACAGAAAGTATAACCCGGGCGATGATAAGTATCTCAGTCCCGACAATGAGTGAGAAGGTATAGTTGATAAAGGATGAAAGATGGATGATGAAGATGAAGATGACGGTCGGGTTGGTGTTTCGAGGGGAAGTGGAGTAGGCAGCCAGGCAAGGCTCAGTCAGCTTGAAGAGGCAAAGCCCCGCCAGATGACCGCCTGACCGCCTTGGGACGCATGTGGCGGTGAACATTTCTTACTTCTATCCTTTATATTTATTTCTGATTGAGATATATCTGTCCTATTTCTATGTATCTGGCTAAGCATGATACCTACGTCCATAGTATGTATATACACAGATCTTTGTTGCGATAAGCTTATGGAGCTTCCCGCTCGAGCCCCGCCACGCAGGCCAGTAGACTGCTATATACCCTAACCCTATAAACATACACATGATATCTGATCAGGTACTTGAGAATTATCTCGTGGTATCTAGATATCTCCTGTGACTCATAGAGTCACGCTCGTGAGTCATTATTCCTATCTTGTACGAGTTTCGTCTGCATCTATGGAGGCTTTGTATACACAAGGTAGCTTGTACACTGTTATTCACTTGTAACTCATAATACATTATCATCCATGCAATCCATGCAATTCAAATCTATCGCCTAGAGGTAAGATTACTACCTCTTCTTCCTCCGACCAGTCTCACGATGAACCTCAGACCAGGCATCCTCAAACACCGTCTTCTTCGGTCCCGTATGTCCCTCATAAAAGTTAAGTTTCCGCACAACTTCCATTGCGCCCGTGCCCAGAGACACAGTCTTGCCCATAATAATACACTCTGATACACCCTCCACGCGATCTGTACGACCCGTGCCACCGGCGTCAAAGAGATGGTCTGCAGTCTTTTCAAAAGAGGCGAGCTGTAAGACCGAATCGCGCATTTTGGCCATTCCGAAGCGTGTGATGCCGAGGACTTCGCCGGTTGTGGTCATGATATCTGCTAGTAGGTGCATCTTTGACAAAGTTAGTATATTGTCTCCGTCTTTTCTTGGAAGGCGGGGAACTTACGTGGCGTGGATCAATGTCCATGTCTTTCATGACTTCACTCATTTCGTTGATAATTGTCCCTCGCGCAGCTTCAATACCTAATACAGCCCGCATCTCCATGACGTTGTTGGTCTTAGTTCTCACACCCTCGATTCCATCTGTATTCATACATTCTCTTAACCCGTATCCTTCAACCAGGAGTTTATTGAGTCCCCGTTCCGAGTGGATAATAGCACGTCTCGCTTGCGGATGACCCAACACTTGAATATCAGGTAACATACGCTTGAGATGCTTCAAGCGAAGATAAGGATCTGCGCTGGTCGCTGCAATATCAGTCTTGCTCAATCCAGCCTTACTGCTAGGATCCATATCCACTCGTATCTTGATATGTGATCGAAGAACGTCGATGGAAAGATCTTTCCCTTTGAAGCGGCGGTGGTTTATGATAGCTTCTTTGATCTGGGGAAGACTCAATTCGAGCTGTAGGTTCTCTATCGTGTCCCAGTTCAGTTTGACGGTTATATAACCTTCCTTGTCAGACCAGGACTCTCGGATGTAGTGTATAATATCTCGTAGAAATGTCTTTTCGATTCTTCCCTTGGCGATACGGGCTGCGTGGACTTTGTCCGGGACCGCAAGATGACAGGTAATGACTGGAGTGCTAATCTCTTTCGAAGCGTTGATAATTTCCTTGATACGTGGGACACCCTGTGTAAGTGCCAAATTACCGACACCAGCAAAGTGGAAACTACTCAACATTAGCATTCTTATCTTCAAGGTAAGGGTAAGGATACTCACGTCTTCAATGTCATTTGAGTACCAGGCTCTCCAATAGACTGCGCTCCAACCGCACCCACGGCATGTCCCGGCTCAATCTTTGCCTTTTCGTATTTCGAAAGACAAGACTTGATGAAATATCTCAGAGACCGCTCCGACAACTTCCCAACGTGATCGAGAGCCATTCGAGCTTCTTCTCCCGATAAAGCGCTGTTGATCGCCTTCTCCATCTCAACTGCCTTTTTCTCAATGTGTTCCTGGATAGAGTCGAGGAAAGCACGCGCACTCTCGAATTGATCAGTACCATAATCGCTATCGTCCTTGTAGGGGAGATCTTCGCCAAAGAGACCCTTGCGAACATATCGCTGTCGTTCCTTGGCGAGTAACTCTTCTGTAATAGTCCTGATTTCCGACGGTTCTAAACCTCGCTCGTTATTGTTATGTGTAATTGCCATCGCATGGTTGTACGTTCGATCAAAGTGAACAGGTTTGGCTTTTCCCTCCATGTCTACCGGATCAAGATCATCTCCACCGTAGCTAAACTGCACAATACTGGCAGATGAGGTACGAATAGTCCCGTCGTACTTGGCCGACAAATCCTCCAAGGACTTCATCAATCGACGAGACATATAACCTGTCTCGGCAGTCTTGACTGCAGTATCAATTAAACCTTCTCGTCCACTCATGGCGTGGAAGAAAAACTCCGTCGGCGACAAAGAAGAAAAGAAACTGTTCCGCACGAAACCCTTGGAAGGGGGATGACGGGCATTCTTCGGGAAATGAGGCAACGTTCTGTCCTGGAAACCATCTTGCACACGCTCACTGCTGATGATTTGTTGGCCCACAACAGCAACCATCTGTGAGACGTTGATACTGGAACCCTTGGATCCAGACGTAGCCATGATAAGAGGAGCATTGTACTTGCTGAGCTGCGCAATACATTCTTCACCAGCCTGCTGACGAACTTTGGAGAGAATGCCAGAAACTTGACTCTCCATAGTCTGGAGTTCGTCACAACCAGCCAGCTTCTCTAGTTTTCCGGCTTTGTATTTGGCAATGACTTCGTCACAAGCAGCGTAGGCTCTCTCAACTAGTTCGTTCTTGGTTTGGACCAGCTTCTCACTCGGATACACGTCGGTAATACCAATAGAAAATCCAACGTTGGTGAACCAGCGAGCACAAAGCTTGGAAAGCCTATTCATTCCTTCAGCGGCGGCAGGAGGACCGAAATCTCTTAGCATGATGTAGAAGACATTGTCCTTTTTTCCGGAACCAATGGTACTCTTGTCCATGACACCGCACATGATTTCCGAATTTCGAATGACCAACCAGCCGTCATTAGGGTCTAGATCCTTTGGCTGACCATCTTTCGGTGCCTTGAACTCTCGACAAGCTGCATCAATATTGACTTTGACAGGATCATCCTTGTTTGGACGCATAAGAATATTAAACACTTGCTTTCCAGTCCACAACATCTGAGGTTTAAGGATAGCCGGAGGCGGAAGATCGAATCGTGTTTCTGGCCCAAGCATGTACAGACAAATCTGAGTGAAGGATCTTCGATCAAAGAAATTATCCTTGCTACTCAACATATACGCTGCACTGATGAAATCCTGGATGGCACCGATGATGGGTTCTCCGTTCTTTGGTGTGACCAGGTTATTCTTTACGCCCATCAGCTCCATAGCTTCGGACCGAGCTTCCTCTGTTTGAGGGATATGCAGGTTCATTTCGTCACCGTCGAAATCGGCATTGTACGGATTGCAGACACATTCGTTCATGCGGAAAGTCCTGTAAGGCCGGACCTTGACGAAATGTGAAAGAATACTGAGTTTGTGAAGGGAAGGCTGTCGATTATAAAGCGCAATATCACCGTCAACGAGATGGCGTTCGACAAGATCTCCAATCTGCAGTTGGGCGGCTATCAAATCCAGACTCCTTGCAGAGTGCTTTAATGAAATAGTCAATCCACTGTCCTTTTTGATGACCTTTTTCGCTCCGGGCCATTTGTTGATACCATTGCGCACTAGCTTTCTCAGATATTCTAAGTTGTATCGAGTGACGATTTCCGGGTATGTCATGTTCTTTGCAACTAGTTCCGGGACTGCCACCTCGTCAATCCGTAGGTTGGGATCGGGTGAGATGACAGTACGACCCGAAAAGTCGACACGTTTTCCCGACAAGTTACCACGGAATCGACCCTGCTTCCCTTTCAAACGAGAGACCAGTGAGCGAGTCGGTTTGCCAGCCTCGCCTTTCAGACCAGGAACATCACCATTGATATAGATGGCGATCTGTAGCGTCATATAGTCCCAGCATTCCATCAAAGTCGGAACCGGAGCTCCTTTTCTCAAGTTATTCCTCAGCGTAATGTTGCTCTGCACAATATCACCAAGTTTTGCGGTTAAATCATCTTCATTCGATGCTCCATCCTGACTGACAGAAGGGCGAATACAATTCGGCGGAGCAGGAATATACTGCCAGAGAAAAGTCTCAGGACGAACTTCCGTGGGGTCAAGACCCAACAGCTCACAGTCTGCGTTGGTAATCTTCTTGAAAAGATTCATAACCCGAAGCGCATGCAGATCATCCTGAGCCTTTTTGTAAAATCTATCCACATCAGGATTCGAGGCTCTAGCTTCCGTCAACGAGTTATCAAAGACGATTTTGCTGATAGGCGCAACCTTCTTCATGGCAGTTGACTGATTATAGTAGCGAAATTTTTCATGCACAATTTTCAGCGCCGCCGTACCAGCCTTTTTCACCACGCCGTTTACAGCGCCGCACCGGGGACACTCCCTCGTCTTCTTGCACCGCTCAACAACCCTCTTCGCAATCTGTAATCGTCGAAGATTATCCATCCTTGGCCGCCGCATCTCCTTTAGGAACGCGCGCCGTTCCGCCTCCGGTAAAAGTATAGCCGAACATTCCTTGCAAATAACCTGCAGAATCCCAATAACACGTTTGAAATATCCAATATGGAAAGCCGGGAGGACTAATTTGACATGTCCGAAATGGCCGTTGCAGTCTTTGTGGCCCAAACCGCAGGTAAGGCATGTTTCCATTTTGCCGCTGATACCGAGTCGACGATCCAGAGGCCCATTTTCCTGAACGACGCGATCTCGTTCGAGATCGTAGAATCTACGGTCGGAGACTTCGACGACGGCTTGACTGATTACATCGTTGTCTGATCTATCCTGATGTTAGTACATTCGCCATCATCGAAAAATTCCGTGTATGGAAAAGTGAAAACAAAGAAAGATGGATAAACTTACAATGCGCCAAACTTCAACTCCTTGATAACCTTCGGTACATTGTCGATGACCTGGGCCTTGCCCAGGCTGACTTTGATGTCGCTCTGCATCATGGCAGTTTGTGTTTATCAGTGACGGCGCATGATAGCTTTTGCGATGACTCAGAGGTGGCTTTGATTGCGCAGGGTGGCTGTAATATCGCACAAATCTTCCCGTAGCCGATGAGACCGGAAAGAGATCAATGTCGGAAACCCCAAGTCACAACGCCATGAAATCTTTGTACTGCAGGTTGTAAAAGAAAGAATGATTTTTGAAGGTCTGCGGGGGTCGGCGACGATTTTTTGCAGCGAGAAAAGCTAAGCTTGCGGCCCCTCTCTGTTTTTGCTTTTGCGCTAATCCTATTTAGGCGATATGGCCAAAATTGAAGTCTTTGCTGTCAGGTCCATTTTTGCATATTTTTTTTGGAGAGATTACTGTGGAATATGGCTGGTGGGTTCTTCAATATGTGCTTAAGCCTTGTACATGGCAAAATGCGCATGGTATTAGCCTTAAGCTATTCAAAGTTTAGAAATCAAGACAGTGTCAATATTCACTAGTCTCCTATATATCTCAAGCATGATAATTCCCAATCCCTTCTATACCATCCTTCCCATAATCTAAATCATCACTTTCATCATCCACAAACTCAAAACACATCGCCCTCCAATTCAACTCTTTCCTCCAATGCAGTCCGTAATACGTCTCCCTCTTCTGTGTCGGCTTCCCCTCAACATTATTACCAGCCTCATTCTGTTTCTGAGTGGCAAGAACATCTGCAGAATGATCTTGATTTTCCGTGGTCACTTGCGGAATCTCCATCGAAGCCAAACCCCCCGCGACCAGTCTCCCTCGTCTCGGAAATGTGATTGCTCGAAACCGCGATAGGAGCATACCCATTGAGCATGCTAGACATGGTTCGTGTGTGATGTATATATCCAGGTCTGTGCAGAGATATCCACCTGCAGCACGGGGGAGGATTCTGTTTGCGTTTTGGCCTGTGTGTGCTGTAGTGACTGTCTCCGTTGATGTGGATGAAAGAGGAAATGATGTCGATGACGCGGGACGACATAAATAATACGACTCCAACGACGTAAGCGATGTCTTGCGTATCATTGCACTCGAATCCGTCGTCGTGATAGATTTATCATCCCTCCGTCTCGTAGCAACCATCTCAACCGCTCGCATGATAGCATGAAACTCCGGTCCACCCTCACAATCAGCCTCATATCCATCCCCTAAATTCTCCTTTGCCACGATGCCAGGCGCGCAATACCTCGCATCTCCTGCAACAGCTACAACACCATTGTCCCCTTGCTCCTCCCCACCCCTTTCAGGGTTATCATGCGAACTAGCCACAATCGCAGGATCAACAATAACAACCCCAACCCCCCTCCCTCTACCCGCCCGTTTCGCTTCTCGAGCAACCTCTCCAGCTAGAGATAAATAATACCCTGCTCTAGGCGCAATACTCGTCTTCGTAGCACCTAATATCTTTGGTGGAGGCGCAATCATGCCTCGTGGAGCTGCGGCGTTGAAGTTTGTGGGCCAGTATGTTCTGGACCATGTTTGTGCTTGGTGAGTGTTGAAGGGGGGTTGGAGCGGGATTGTTATGCGGTGGATGGGGAATGATGATATTTCCTGGGCCTCACCGTTTGGTTGATTTGCTGATGGAGGCTGTTCGATATGAGAAGCCACAAATGGCTCTAATAAAGTTCTCAGTTGATCCACATCCGGTAACGGAGGCGGTATCAGAACGAACATCGTCACTGGTGGTACGATTTGTTCTGATACTTCAACGCCATCCTCCTTGTGTCCAGTTGAAACTGAGACTAAACTCCGCTCCTTCTCTCCCTCAATCCGAGCCTTGACTGCATCCGGCAAAAATTCCCATTTCACAAATCTGCGCAAATGCGTAGATGGGAGACTCAGATCTTTGGGGAATGCTTTATCGAGGACTCTTCCATCCAATCAGCATTAGTCACGGAGTTCCGAGTATATGAAAATACTGGAAAAAGTGAACAAACATACTTGGTGACTTGCGAGGCACATTTTTGTATTATTTCGACGGCGTATGCGTCGCCTGTACAATCTTGTTAGGATTTATTCTTCTTGACAACTTGGACATGACGAACCGAATTCGAATGTAGGATTTGTTTCCTGGACAGTAGGGATGGATACTATATTTCCCTTAAGCGGCGTTATCTTTGGCCCGTCTTCATGATTAGATGATTTCATGATGTCTAATCCTTTTAAACCATCAGAACAATCTGTATTTCAGTTTGATATTGGACAGGGTTTGTGCCGGACTAGACTAATCCAGATCGGGAATCAGATGGCTTTAACCTGACGAGGTTTAGCGGGGAAAAGCTTGTCTTGGCCGTCTTAACATTGAAGTGTGCTACGAAGAATGTATAGTGTAGGTATCTGCGATAATGATTGCAAAGTCTCACTGCTCATAAAATGCAGTAATAACAAATAAATACAAGAATGTAATCCGGAATCACGAAATAGTGTCGTATACTCGTGTCAAAGGGATCTTGTAATGAAAATTAGAGATAAGAATAAGGCCGCCCAGAACCTCTTTTGAGTCACCGATAGAAAAAAGAAAACCAGAAACACCGCAAGATGATATCTCTAGTCTTTGAGATGATAGGAGTAGACATGAGAAGTGGAGGAATAATGCAAGAACGTAGAGCCCGAAAATGCAAGCATGTCGCGATAGAGAGATAAAAAAAAAAGAAAGAAAGAAATCAAGGCGTCTGCCGAGGGAGATCTGACGGCGGAGAAGCCACCACACCTTCCATGCTCGAACTCGACTCCTCCGGCTCCAGAGCGTATCCTTCGCATCGCTCGACAAGACTCAAATAATAATCAACTAGCACTTCAGGCTGCGGGACAATTTTCCATTCCACGCGCCACAAGAAATCCAGCTCGAGCATTGCTAATTCGGTGATTGTAATACCGCCCACCCGAGCATACGTCCTGTTGGTCCAGAAACTATCGCTGAGACCTTTGCTGGCCACTGTCGCACTCGTTATTAGGAATCGATGGACTGTTAGACTCGAAACAGTAAAAGCAGGGTATAAAGCACATAGGCGGTCGATATAGTAAACCATACTCAGCAAAATCGGAGGCGATAATGTTGCATGTGTCGTTAAACGTTGTAGATAGTCGCGCACTGAGATTTTGGGTGGGGTTCGTGAGTGGAAACGAGTCAATCGGCCACCTTGCAATGGGATGGTGTCGTTGTACTGAATCAGCTCCATAATCATGCTCGAAATCAAGATCACGAGATCATTCGGGTGTACTAATTCATATTGTCGAGGTAACAGTTTGACAGCCGGCACCGGCGGCCGTAATCGCTTCAAGCGACTCTGTTCTGATTCTCCTGCATGCTGTGAATTGTCTGTCTCATTGGCAGTGCTCGCGAAGGGTTGTTCTGTGGTCTCGGCCAGTTGACGTTTTCCTTTCACGTCTGACGGCGATATGGCAGTCACGTTTGTCTGGGCACTAGTTGCATTGGCAGTGCTCGGCACCGTAGGTACAGGGACAGCCTTTGGCGGTTGTTGGGTTTGAGGCTGAGTTGTGACATTTGTCGCATTACTGCTGACATTATTAGTCAACGACTGGCAGGAGTCGCCCCCAAGGGTGTCTGGTCCAGCGGACATGCAGCCGCGAGAATGATCCCCTGAGGGCACCGACGCGGGATCCTGCGAGGCGGCGGAGGCGGCGGGAGCGGCTACAGTGTGATTTTTCAGCGCAGCGCGTAATTCCTCTACGCTGTGCGACAGAAGTGAGTGACGATGCGGACGAAAAGCAGGGGACGAGGCTGAATTGGCAACGGCGGCAGGGGCGGCGAATGGTGAGGGAGAATTATTGTAGTAATTGCTACTGGTGGATGCAGCAGTCGAGGGGAAAAGACTGTTGTGGGTAGGGGAACAAGCCCCGGCCTGGAAGCTTGCAGAGGATGGAGACGAGATGATCATGGCTGGCATGTTTGCGCGTTCGACTCAGCAGCCGCGAACCAGCCACGTGCCACGCCAAACGACAGAGACGGAATAGCGCAGGGTTCGATCGATGTGCCACTAACCATTCTCGGTTCTTTGATTTGGCTTAGTGTGTTATCATTTTATGTTGAAGAGTAGAATAATAGATAGAGGTAGAGATAGAGATAGAGGGAGTGGAAGAGATGCAGGAAAATAGAGGCGTATTAATCGCGCATAGTGCGAAATCCCAAGAAGAAAAAGACTCCTTCTTGATCCTCGCCTTCCCGGCTTTGCCTGGATGCTTAGCTAAGCTCCCCTAATGCACATGATTGGCTCAGGGGACAATAAACACTTGGGTCAAGAACGGTTAGACGGCACACATACGTAATGATTACCATACCACTCAGAAATTTCCTCGTTTCCCTGAGTCATTACTGAGCTATCTGTACCCAACGCGCGTACGGTATTGTCATGCTGATAAAGCAATCAGATGACCCCCGATCTGATCTACTAGTTAGTTAGTTAGCCGACAAACAACTACCTTAAATAAGCAGCTCTCTGGACGAATTCTAGACTTCTAGTAAGTAAGGCAAATACGTAGCCTTAGTAAGGCAGTCCGGGGTAAGACCTGTGTGTGGACACTTAGCACTAGGGTTGCTGTGAAAGCCGTACGTTAGCCGATAACGGCTAGCGTACAGCTGCTTCTGGTTAGTCACTGTAAGCCTCATCCATTCAATGAAGACCCTGAATAATGCTCGGAGGGTACTAGTGTCACTATTGGCGCCTCGAATGTCTGGTATACATCATGTCTGGTTGTACTCTCCGTCTGGTCAAGTAAGTCGAGTACTGTACATAGGATCCGAGTCCGGAGAGAAAAAGCAAATATCTCCATTTTAGGTAAATAACCCCGGCGTGATTTTTTCACGCTAAGTTTTTGTAGCTAAATTTGAAGACTCTAAGACACTACGGGTCTATGTGTAACCTGAGAAACCTCTATCATGACCTGGAACAGCTAGGCAGAGTATACACGAAATCACACGTAGTTGCATCGAAAAATGGAGACATCCAAAAGCCACGCTCCAAATTCGAATCCTCTATCAAGAGCATGCCAGGGTTGCGCCGATTCAAAAGTGCGCTGCGTTCGCAATGGTGATGGCGCATGTGACCGGTTTGTCTTCGTCTCTATATGATATGCTTGTGCCCGACTGAATTGAATAGATGCAGCCGTCTGAGAAGAGAGTGCGTCAATCGTAAAGCACGTCGACGCTTCCATGGTTTTCAGAAAGATTTGTATTTGACATTTCCTGGATATCTAGAAATCATGGACTAATATACAAAAAGGAAAATTAAGGCCCTTGAGTCAGAGGTTGATAAGCTGAAAACATCCCGACGCGGTTCTTCTGATGAGGTTGAAAGAAGTCCCGAGGGAGATGATACAACCATGGAAAAGGACCCTATCACTCACGGGATCTTATCCATAGATACTGCCGAATGTCTCTTGGGTACATTCAAGAAGGAAATGATACCTCATTTCCCATTCGTTGTCATTCCGCCGGAGACATCGGCGGAATATCTTCGCCGTGAGAAGGGATTCCTTTTCCTAGCTATACTTGCTTCATCGTCATTCGCAGATATGCCGCTGCAGCGGAGACTGGGTAGAGAATTCAAAAAGGCTGTAGCCTCCAGAATGATTGTGAACGGGGAAGTGTCATTTGAACTACTGCAGGGATTAATGGTTTATCTTGCTTGGCGAGTATCATATAAATTACTATTCGTCGGGTGCATGTCTCTAATGGCACAAAAGGAGCCATTACCATACACGCCCGAACCGATATACGCAATTTCTGCAACTGGCTATTAGCATTATTATCGATTTGCGTCTCGACAGACCGCCACTGACAAAGACATGGAAGACGCCTCTCTTATTCAGATCCAAGTACGAGGATACGGGAGAGGAGATGTTTACTCGACCATCCTGGGGTCTGGATGAGCAGAGAGCTGTTGCAGGATGCTATTATCTATCTTCAACGTGTGTTCATTCCTTAGTATGCATGCTTAAATGGATTTCACACTCTAACGGCTTCGGAATAGAGTCGCGATTCTAGTTCAGAAACAGTTCAATTTCCGTTACACACCGTACATCGAGGATTGCTGCAATTCACTTTCTGGCACAGCAGAAACCGCATACGACAAGTACATACCTTACATGATACAATTACAACGCATTGTTGATAAAATCGATCAATTATCGGCCCGTCACGCATCTGAATTGGTTAGTCCTGGTTCAGGGGCGGAATTATACGTTACATCGTTGATAGCAGATCTGGAGGCATTTCAGACTAGGTTGCCTTTTGCATTGTCTGAATATAGTGAGTAATTCCTTGAATAAAGAAGGCTTGGGCCAAGGCTAATATTCGTCACTATTAAACAGCTCTATTGAATATGCAATTTCACTCGGCTGAATTATGTCTATGCCAACTGAGCGTATCCAGTCTCAAAGCGTCGGCTCATACATCTACTCCCAACCTTAGGGATGAATTACTGGGTAAAGCTCTGATGGCCTCTAATTCGTTACTTAACGTATACCACGCGCTACCTCCCGGCACGGAAACAGCATTCAACAACACCCAGTGGGTACAATTAGGATTTGCGGTGCTAATTGCTAGCAAACTCCTCGTCTCGGTATCATCTAACTCAGATAGACGTGCCGCAGAGATGGCTCAACGTCGAGTCTCATGGTCAAATATTCTCAAGCAATGCAGGCTACGGGTTGAGAACCTGTCTACCTCGCAGGTAGATTCGAATGGTGATAGGGACGTGTTTCATAATTTTCGACAACGTGTTGTCCGGATTCAGAACTGGATTGATGAAGTAAGTGAGAGGGTTGCCTCCCAAGACCAGGCATGTATGGAAGGACTCCCAGAGAATACAACATCTGGCAACTACCTCTCGTTCTCTCCGGGCGACCTATTTAACTCCATGGATGACCCTATGTGGAGTGAGTGGATCAATGATACTGAACTCAACTGATGAGAATTGCTTCTTGCGGTCAAAGTAAGAGGCTCCGTTGGACGCTATGGAAGTCATTCGTCAAAGACAATCCCTTTATATATATATGACGACAACAACTCAATTCCATGTGCAACATTCCGTGTGGCAGTGTACATGGCTTGGAGCTGAGCACATCTCCGATCTGAGGATTCTCATCTCCCTCAGGATTTCCTATTCGGGTAAGACTGTTCTATCTCCGAGCCGACGTGAATCGCTTTATAAGAGGTTCAACTATCAACCTTTTTGAGATACGATTCATTCTTGCACAAGCAGATTCTTTCATTCTCTCATCATGGCCACTCTTTTGACTGTCGTCAGTTTTGCCCTTTTGCCTCTCATGTACTCTCTTTCGCACCCTGTCCTCTCCTTGGACCAGCATATCCTCCATTCAAACTGGAAAACAACTCAACTGCTCTTCAATCTGCTCTTACCAAACTTCGTTCCCAGCTTGACCAATTAATTCAAACCGGAAACGGTCAATATGGACCAGTAACGCCAAACACCACATCATTCAGTATCGCCTTATTCTCGACAAACCCAGGGACCGCTGCCGACGAACCGTTTTTCTTTGATTATCATTATACTGCCCCTTCATTGAAGGATTCCACCACTACTGGCGTGAGGTCTGTCGATGCCGATAGCATCTACCGAATTGGTGGGTTGACTGAAGTGTTCACTATTTGGTGTCTCTTGATAGAGGCCGGAGATGAGGTTTGGAATAATCCAGTGACGAAATATGCCCCCGAGCTTGAGGGAGCTGCTCGAGCGAGAGGGAGTGGTGATATCGATGGCGTGGACTGGGAGAGTATCACTGTTGGACAGCTTGCTAGCCATATGAGTGGCATTTCTAGAGATTGTATGTCGTACTAAGCTGTTTTGGACCTCATATCTAATGATCTTATTCAATAGATGGGCTCGGTGATCTCAGTCAACAAATACAGAATGCTGTAGCGTATGGATTTCCCGGCCTTCCTACAGATACGATACCTGCATGCTATCTGCAAAACCAGTGCAACCGAACCGGTCAGACGCCAAAATCCCAACATGCAAACTCCCGACTAACATGTTCCAGTGTAGTCATGCCAGGAACTACTCCAGTTTACTCGAATGATGCATTCCAGATTCTCGGATATGTGGTGGAAAACATCACAGGAGAATCTTTTGAAAACGTGCTTTCTAGCAGGATCCTTGCGCCCTTGGGCATGAATCAAACTACACTTTACACCCCTAAAAGCCCTACCTTAGGGGTCATCCCCGTAAATGAGGCCACAAGTGGATGGACGGTAGACTATGGCGATAGAGCACCGTACGTTCTTCCACTCCCAACATCTGCAATCAGAACTAATAAATCTCTTTCTTGTACCTATAGCGCAATATCAATGTTCTCATCTGCCCGCGGTCTTTCCATCGCCGGAAAAGCAATCCTATCATCCACCCTCCTACCCCCCCTCCCAAACCAACCGCTGGCTCAAACCCGTCACTCATACCTCCAACCCCAAAGGCTCCATCGGTCTTCCCTGGATCATCTATTCCGCCGGAGACTATCCGAATACCTCCATGATTGACATCTATACGGCATACGACAATCTCGGTTTGTATAGCTCTTATTTAGGTTTAGTACCTGATTATGGGTTCGGATTTGCTATATTGGCGGCTGATACGGAGTCAAATCCGGATTTGAATGCGCATGCGGATTATGCAGGTAATCTTACTATAGATTTGATTGAGATTGCCATGCTGAATGCGAATGCGACGTTTACTGGGAGTTATACTGCCTCATCTTCGGAATTGAGTGGATTGAACTCGTCGATTTCCATCTCTGTTGATTCCCTGCCAGGATTGATCGTTGACTCATTTATAAGCAACGGCACGGACTTTCGGAAACAGTTGGCAATGTTGTACAATGCTGCTGATTATGAGGCGTTGAGTGTACGGTTGTATCCTACACATTTATCATCTACAACAACACAACCTGGAGGATCAAGACAAGTATTCCGTGCAGTATATCAAGACAAGAAAGAGTTTGCGGATGCGGGAACCCCGACTTGTGTCTCTTGGAGGGATGTTGATAAGTTCAGGTATGGGGGTGCTGCGGTTGATTTGTTTGTTTTTGATTTGGATGCTGAAGGGAAGATCGTTGGTGTTGAGATTCCGGCTTTGAGGGTGAAATTGGAGAAGGATTGAGTGAGAACTGAGTTCTGTTGATTGTATCGCTAAAGAAGCAAGAAGCATTCAGAGACAAGCACATTTCAAGTCGGATCCATTTTCGTGGTAGTTCCATCCTCTCTCTTCACTTTTACTATAGAAAATAATGAGTTGTATCAAACAACAACCAATGAGACTGCAGTTTTCATCCTGCGTGATGCAAAATGTCGGATTTTAGCTGAGGCACGTGACTGTATTTATGGTAATACGCTGCAAAAACGGAATTACATGCGCGGATTGAGATTCATATGCAGTAAATTTGCAAGTTATGTAACGTACGGTACTGATAGAGCTCTTGCCAAGCGATCGAGACCGCATACAGCAAGTGGTATCATCATCCATGTACCATTCCTCATTCATCGATCCACGACAGCGACGAACCTCAAAGACGTACAAGCTCAGATCAGATGAGACAATTGAGATCAGACACGGTCTCATATAATCGAACTTTAGTACGACGATATCAGTACGAAAGTACAGTATTTGCCATCCCTTACTTCCACCTCCGACGTCGATCACTATAATTCGTACGTCGGACGAAATCGAAACGAATCCTCTCTAGTCACGAATCCGAATCACTGTAGCCAGGCTCATCAGAGCATCGATTCATTCGCCTCGGTCTGACGATCGATAACATCCAAAGTCATCATAAGCGCTCATCACAAGATGGCCCGGGAGGAGGGGCCGCTACTCAATCGATTACTAAATGCCAATTCCATCCTCGAACAGACGGCAGCTTTGCGGACGTTGAAGCATGAGATAATCGGTCATGATCAGAGGAAAGAAAGATGGGTCAATTCAGGCATTGTGTCGATATTATCACGGATTCTGGAATGCTCGTCACGGGATGAATATGATTCCAGCAAGGAAGTCATGTCCGATGGACAACGGGATGGAGAATCATCAAGAGGGCAGAATAATAATTGTAGGAGCACTAGGTCGATGACTGAGGAGCAGGAACTTTGCTTGCAGGCTGTCATTATAATAGGCAGCTTGGCCCAAGGTATATTGAACTCTCGGCTTGAACTACATTGATCCAATCCGGAGACGAGCTAACAGCACAATCAGGTGGTCCTGCTTTTCTCTCGCCTATTATGTCCAGCGAAGCCATTCCTTCTATGCTTGCCATTATCTCGTCACCTAATTGCCCACAGTCACTTACAGTCGCCATTCTCAAAACGCTAAGCAACATTGCGGATCGATATCCCCTTCAGAATATAAACTGGCCTCAAGACAACCGACTAGCAGAAATTCTGTTTACTCCAGATACTATTTCATGTTTTGCTCGTATAATTGCTCAGAGCTCATCTTTCTCGGCAACACAGACATGTGCAACTCTTGCCGCGAATATCATTGCTAGACTATGCACAGAAGAAACTCATAAGGCCGCTCTTGCAGAATTTGGTATCTTGGACGCTTTGGCTCTGAAAATTGCCTCATTCGTTGTGGCCCAGGGATTTGTACTACCCGGTGCAGAGAATCATCTAGGGGAAGATGGAGCATTGCCAACACTTCCACAGCCAGCTCCACCAGCAGCCAAGTTGGGACCAATCCTGCGGGCGACTTCGGTCATTGTTGAGAATTCGAAGTGGCGTGCAGAACATTTTCTTTCGTCTCCGGGTATTGTCACAGTGTTTCCGGGACGTCTACCGGAATTCTCACCAGCGGATATCAAGAAGAATCCATGGGGAATGCCATATCTGTCAGGGTCAGCCGTTCCTCGCCAAAATCATACAAATCCTATGGATTCTCTGCTACCTGTTGTCCCCCTGGCGCAAAGCAGCGCCTCTACGAATTTTCCACCTCTGGTCCCTATAGGATCATTTCATAAGCGCTCCCTCTCATTCCTGGAAGCGCCTTCGTACGACGAAGATGAGAGTGCTCTTGTACCTTGGCTTTTCCACATGGTCAGAACAGAGAATGGAATGTCTCGCGTGATGGCAGCTCGTCTTGTTACGGGGTTTTTCAGACTTGGACTAGCGAGAAAACATCGGATTCCCATGTTCAACTACCTAGTAACTCCTTTACTACTGAGAATGCTTGATAAGGATTATGACTTCAGGGACGATTCGGATCCTGACTACGATGGTATGATTCCAACAGCTCTTGCTTTGAAAGAGGAAGTGCCGTCTATCATCGCTATATTGGTCATGGACACGCAAGAATTACAAAAACATGCCGTCGAAGCAAATGCTATCAAAATACTCTCTCAACTACTTAAAGAAACATACAACCCTCGTCCTGATAATGGTAAGCCCATGTGGTACGCCGAAAGCAAAGACAAAGATACGGTGTCTGCGGTACCAGCTACTCTTAAACTAGGACCAGTTGGCTACAGCCCAATGACGTGCCACATCATGCGATATCGAGAAGGTATCCTACGCGCATTGGCAGCGCTTGCGCCATTTAGGGATGAATATCGAAAGGCAATATGCGAGAACGGAGTTGTCCCGTATATAATCGACTCTCTCAAACCACGGCCACCATTAGATGCACAGGACACCAGAGGCACAAAGAATACCGCTGCAGATGGCAACTCTATACCCACTTTACTCGCTGCATGTGGTGCCGCTCGAGCTCTTACGCGTTCCGTTAGTGTGCTCAGGACAAGCCTAATCGATGCCGGGGTGGCAACCCCTCTTTTTGAATTGATCAAGCATCCGGATATTGAGGTACAAATAGCAGCAACGTCGGTGATATGCAACATTGCATTGGATTTCAGTCCTATGAAAGAGGTACGTTTTACACATTAAAGTATAAGCAATGAACTGACCAAGTCCCAATAGGCAATCATCTCTGCTGGTATCCTTCCTATTCTGTGTGATCATGCACACTCCAATAATACTAAACTCCGCTTGGAGTCACTTTGGGCTCTTAAACACATTGCATATAATTCAACAAACGACATCAAAAACAAGATCGTGGTTGGTCTTGGTGCCTCGTGGCTAGCAGAATTAATGTCAATCGATCCTACCAGTAGAAGAAATCTTGCGGCTGATTTCAAGCCTGGGACGCTTATGGGCATGGGAACTTCTAACTCAGCAGGTGAAAAGGTTGATTTGCTCAATCCAATGGAGGACGTAACGAGAGGGGAAGAGGCAAGGGACAGTCCGTTGGCGAGCGACAGTACTAGTTTCGACGCTCTTCTTACGGATCCAAACCGACGGAAGAAACTGGCCATGAGCGGGGAGATTGATCAAACAAGGCAGGCAAGACAGGACGATATCGCCGTACAAGAACAAGCTTTGGATTTGGTCCGTAACATCATGTGCGGTAACGGTGCCGCGGAAGTCGTTGACTTCCTTCTGGACGAAATCGGTCAAGATGAGTTTCTTAACATATTAGCAGAAAAGATGCGACCAAGACCAAATCCCACTCGACGCGACACAGCAGCCAATCCACCGCCGCCACCGATGCCAGCCGAAATTCTCGTTGCAGTGACCTATGTACTCGTCAATCTTACAGCGGGCCCACCAAAACACCGAGATCTCCTGTTTACGCACCGCGAGCTACTCAAGAATCTGATGTGGTTATTCGAGCATCCCAACCGCGCCGTCCGAGTGAACTGCGTCTGGGTAGTGATCAACCTGACATTCGAAGACGACCAAAGCGGCCGTCAAGCCTCGTACGAACGAGCCGTAAAACTCAAATCGTTGGGCGTGATAGATCGACTTCGCAGCGTCGAGGAGGACTCCGATTTGGATGTGAGAGAACGAACAAAAACAGCTCTTCATCAAATTCGCCAATATATGAATGCATAGATTTTTTTTTCTTTTGGTTGGCGACTACGTACCTTCATCCTGTTTTACTATAATATGCATTATTCGTTCGTGTACATGTGAAGATATATGTCTTATGGAATCGTTGGTATAGTTCATTCTTTGCATTGACAAATTTTGGCATTCGGTGAGCGAGGTTAGTCCACAGTGGTACATTAATAGCAATATCAATAATGGATATTCTTACAGCCGAAATATTTTGATAATACTATATGTACCTCTAGGGCTGATAGCATGTTGATGATCTAGCCCCGCAAACGTCATGAGACCCACGCCATGAATATCATCTATACATTTGATGTCCAACTTCTTCGATGTCCAACTTCTTCAAATTATTCTCGCTAAATTAAGCAACAAAACAGAAAGAAAATGGCACCAGTCCCCCAATCCATTCTCCGCGCCCTGGGATTTTGCAGTATCGACCCATCCAAAGCCACCCTCTCAACATCAGGTCTAGGATCAGGGTTCTCAAACACAGGTCGTATTCGCATATCTATACCAAGAGAAAAGGGAGAAAGGGAAGAAGAACGACAGTACTTCCTCAAAACGTCTCCCGATGGAAAAGAGATGTTTCAAGGCGAATTCGCTTCATTGAATGCGATTGCTGATATTGTCCCCGGTTTCTGTCCACGGGCTTTGGGATGGGGTGCGCTAGATGAGAAGAAAGGGTGGTTTTTGGTTACTGAGTTTTTGGATTTTTCTGGTCGTTCCTCTTCAACGACGGAATCGAAGGGAACAACGTCTTTGGCACAGAGGTTGGGGAAGTTACATAGTACACCTGCTCCTCCTCCTCCCTCATCAGAAGATGATCAGAGCAAGTATGGATTTCCGGTGCCTACCTACTGCGGAAATACGCGCCAGCCAAACAATTTCCATAACTCCTGGGCCGAGTTTTACGCAAATGAGAGATTACTCATGATTCTCAAGGAATCCGAACGAAAGAACGGACCCGATGCGGGATTACGAGATCTAGTCACAAAGACTGCAGAGAGAGTCGTACCGCGATTGCTAGGCGATAATCATCTGGGTTATGATCGGAACGGTAAAGGTGATGGAATAGTTCCTGTTGTTGTTCATGGGGATTTATGGAGCGGGAATGCAAGTCGAGGACAAATCGCTGGATCGGATAATAGCAACGATGGAATTGCGGACGTGGTTTATGATCCTTCAGCTTGCTATGCGCATAATGAATATGAATTGGGGATTATGCAGATGTTTGGTGGGTTTGGAAGAGCGCTTTTTGATGAGTACCATTCCATCGTGCCCAAGACGGAGCCGGTGGAGGAGTATGAGGATCGGGTGAAGCTTTATGAGTTGTAAGTCTCTTTCTCTCTGTTTGATATTGAGTTTTGATCTGGACGGACGCTAATTGATTGGTACTAATAGGTATCACCATTTGAATCATCATGCTATTTTTGGAGGAGGGTATAGGTCTGGTGCAGTGTCCATCATGAATAAGTTGATTAGTGAATATGGACGAGGATAGTCCTTTCAGAAGTCGCCTCTTGTATTCAGATGAATCAAATAATATTAGTTGGTCGAAGTTCTGCACCTAGAGTCGAGTATATTCTGATATACCGAATAATTCAATTAAAGGGTTTGCTGAATAGAATTTCATACGTAACTAATGGAGCGTAAGGTGTAAGTAGAGTAAACAGAAGATTAAGAGATATCAGAGCGCGCACGGACCACATCATTATCAAAGCCGGTCCCGTGATTTCGATTTTTATGAAATCCATCCATCTCAGCATCACCAAGACAACCCTCACCATACAAGATAATAAACATGGCAGGAAATCATAACCGACCTAGAAGAGGCGGTGGTAATCACCCCTCTGGCCGAAACAATCCTCACAATCGCTCACATCACCGCCATGGATCTCCTCCTGCGCGCGCGGCAGAAGATCAAGGCCCCAAAATGTCGCCTCAACAACAGCGACAGCAACAACAACAACAAGCGCCACCAACGGGTCCTAGAGCAATGCAAATCCCCACACCGCATCCATCTTTTATTCAAGTTGCGAAACCGTATGTTTTTGAACATACGATCCAGGAATGTCTTGCGGCGACTAGAGTCGATCCTCAGCGCGAAGATGATATTCGCATTTCTGGGGTGACATGGATTGACAATGTTCGCAAAGCTCTTCATTTGTATGTGAGAGAAATCAAATCTGGAGTGAGCAGGAGTTTTGACAATACCTAGACCTGTGAGGACGTATAATACGGCTTGTGTGTATTATCACAAGTTCAGACTCGTTCACCCTGATAGTCAGTACAGTTATATGGTAAGTCCATTCGCATTGGCTACACTGCAGCAATACTGACTATACAAGGATGCGGCGGCAGCGGCTCTGTTCACAGCCTGTAAAATTGAAGATACTCTCAAGAAAAGTCGCGATATCGTGTGTGCTGCATATAATCTCAAACTTCCTCCATCGGAGCAAGTATCCCCTGACGATGCTGTAAGCACCACTCTATCTCTCATCGAGGGAGAGTAATTGATCGCTGATAACTCAGATATTTGACCAACATTCCCGAGGGATCATCATCCTCGAAAGACTAATGCTAGAAGCATCAGGCTTCGATTTCCGCAACCGCCATCCTCAAAAATTGCTCGTCAAATTGCTGAAGCATTATGGATTGAAAAAGGACGACGAAGTCGGGATAGTCGCTTACTGCATTTCGCTCGATCTGTACCGCACGTTTGCGCCTTTGAAGCAGACTACGGGTACTATGGCATTTGCGTGTCTTGAATTAGCGTCTCGTCTGCTCGATGCTGGTTTGGAGGATGTTGAGGCTGGGAGGGGTTATCATGATTGGAAAGTGGGACGTGCTGAAGTCATGGGTATGTTTTCTCATCCGCAAAACTTTTTTGATATAAATCTGACGAGAGGTGACGACAGAAACACTGCTGGACTTACTTGATCTATATATTCATCACCGATCGTCCACCGTCGTTGGCCCCGAGTACCCCCTTGATGCCTTTCTTGCAATTCGCATCCCACTAAACAAGGAAAGCGAGGACGAAGGACTTCCCCGATTCACGCATTGGCGAGATCACATATCCACCAACAAAACAACCAACGGCACAGGCCCCAAACACGGCAAACACAACAAAAACAAGGGCAAGGGCAAAGATCAACGAGACCGAGATCTTGAGATTGTTGCTGTTGCTGCTGGTCCACCACCTAATCCGCTGACACCGGTATCTGCAAATGGCGAGAAACCGGTTTTGAGTGATCGTGGTCGTGATGGGACGGTACGGTTTATGTTGGATATGGAACGTGCCAAGGCGGAGAAGAAGGTTGTTTCGAGTTATTTCAGGGATACTATTGAGGAGGTTGAGGAGTGATACATACAATCTCTCATTTCATGAGCGTTGGTATGTTGTATAGTATTTGAGGTCGTGGAGTTTTACCTGTTCATATCTGTTTCTTCGTTTTTGGTTGGATCGCGTCTGTTTGGGTGATATGCATGCATAGTTTGGCCGTGGTTTTTTCCCTTCTGTTTTGAGTGATACCCCTTTCAATTCGTTCTTTTCTCTTGTGCTTTTTCTCAAAAGCTTCATGTAGGCATGTTGTATTCACTTTTAGACTGAATGAACTCAACATAGTGAATATCCTTTCGACAATCTGACTCAGATGAACCAAGTCCACGAAAACGAATTGGAAAAGAAACCAACCTCATTCCAAAAATAAATACTAAAAATTAACTCAATATAATACTAATACTAAATATCTTCTTCTCCTTTTTTATTTGCACCTTGCGCACAAAAGAAACCGTTTCACTACCTCGAAAGAAACCCCATTATGAAAATAAAATCCAACCGACCGATTTCAATCCATCCCAGAACAACAGAAAATTGACACAAAACGGGGGCTGTATCGTCATGAACCAAAAGGCGTAAACATGAAAAGTTCAAGAGGTGAAGAAAAGGACAGAAATGATGCGAATAGAATCAGTCGTTGGTCCTTTGAGGGAGACAAGGGTCTGCGCCATGACACGAGAGGAAAAGACATACGTACGTACAATGATCCAGCAGGAATGGGAAAGAGGAGATGCGGAGAAGTGAAACAGAACTTTGAAGAAGATGAAGACGCCCTCGATTTCTGATCCGATGACAAAAGAGGTTAGGAAAATTCAATGTGTAAGCAGATATGAACCGGATAAAATATGGCATGAAGGCATGATATCTCCCCCCGACACAGTGGTATCGGTTCGAATAGAGATGTATGAAAGAAACTAGGTTTTGCAAAGTAAGACCGTTGTCGTCAATGGCTAGGTCAAGAACGCTCAGATGCAGACCCAAAGCGCGACCAGATGACATGTTTCAATTAGAATTTTGTATGTAAAAAGTGAAGCTGCATGAATTTCGAAGTCAAAAAGGTCAAGTGTGGAGGGACGGTATGAATCAAATCAAGGAAAGGCTGTTCATCGCCTGAAAAGCTCGCCTGTTATACATTCAAGAGCCTGTCGAGGATTAGCAAAGAGCTTCTTCAAGCAAAAAAAAAAGTAGAATAAGACGTACCGTTTCTGTCACAACACCTTGGTTATACAAATATTTACCAAGTCCCCGAACAACCTCAAGCTGCTCTTCGACCGTCAAGCCATTGATTGCAGTCTCAATGACATCCCCGACACTGGCCTTGTGAAGCGCAATAAAGCTGTGATAGTACATGTATGCAAAAAATCCCATGATGAATTGACAGTCCATGCGGTCAGTGATACCGCCGTGTCCTGGAATTGACTCTCCAAAGTCCTTAATCTTGAATGTACGCTTCAAGCCAGAGGCGAAAAATCCGCCAAACGGAGCAATCAAAGATGCAAATGTTGCAAAAACAAGAATGTGGAACTGCATTGGCGCAACAGTAATCGTTTTAGGAAGAAAAGGCCAGTCGGGCAGAGTGTATGTGTTGGGAATGAATACTGGGTTTGGGGTACACTCCAAGCCAGACACAACATTCGAACCGAGATCTGTTACCGGGCAGATAAAGTATTTGTACTGCATCAGAATGTTGGTCATGAAATAGCCGAAGATAATGGTGCAAATCCACGCTCCGATGAAACCTTCGACTGTCTTCTTTGGGGATAGCTTGATCAGTTGCGTCCGGCCAAAGGTAATACCGCAGACATATGCAAAGATGTCATTCGTAATGACGAGAGACGCCGGTAAAAAGAACCAAATCATGCCCTCAAAGATATTGTTCATGATGAAATGAGCTTGCACGACGATCAAATAAAGAGCCATGTGGGTCCATGCAAACTGTGTGAATTGAAAACGGTAATGGCCTTTTTGCAGTGTGGCCACGAAGAAGACGAAACCTGAAAGGAGCTATTAGCTATGTTCGCTATAAGCCGACTTCAACATACCGAAAACATAAAGCATGAAACTAAGGAAACGATGGTGTGTTGCGAATGGTAGCAATATCCGGTCCACCAACAGAATATGTTTGAAGTAGTAAATCACGCTCTCTCCGTAGAGAAAGTACATGGTTGTAGCCAAAAAGTACCAGTTGAGCGATTTCGTAAAGCGGAGGTTTCTGTCCTTGCTGGGCACATTTGCAATTGCAATAACCTCCTTGAAGGAAATGATCTGAACGGCGGTAACGATAGCAACGAGGTATATGTGTCCGGAGAACATCGCACTGAAGAACCCGGCGATCATGACAAAAGTCCATATCGTTCGAGTGATGAAAGTCTGTTTCTTCTTCTCGTAGTCCGAGAGAGCCGGGGCGTCCGACGTCTGCATATGTGAGCTTATGCATTGCAGTGTAAATCTTAAGCTAGACGACTTACATCTTGTTGATTGCCATCTGATTTTGTTATCTCGCCATCGCTCACTTCTGAAAAGCTTGACCGTTGCGCCTGGTCGCCATTCGAGCGATGGGGAAACCTAACATTTCTTCGGCCCATCATGGCAAGAGATTAGGAAGGAGTAGAGATTTGCCTGCGCTTGATGGAGAAGGGATAGCAAAATGCTTAACTTCGCAACAGGTCCAGACCAAATCAAGCGAAGCGTAGAATGAGCGATGAGGGGGATGGGAGAGGAGAGTGAGTGTTGTCTGCATTGGATGGGATGGACGTCGACGTCAGTTGTTAAATCTTAGCAGCCTTGATTCCTCAGGCGCAGCAAGTCTTGGCATCGGCGGGCGAATCTCGCGCGGATCCCCGCATCGCAGTAAACATCACGAAACAAACAACGAGCATGAGACTTGATCTCTCATGGCACGATTCAAATGTTGGTGGAATGGACAGTGATGACGACTTCCTCGACGATGGCCTTGACTTCGACTCAATCCCTGCAGGAACACTGCTTCAACTCGAGCAAAGCGCCTGGCAAGCTACCCAAGTACCACCGCCGCAATCTGCTGAACGAAGTCACAGCACCGGTCTCCAGACGAACAGAAACCAGCTGAATCAACGAGGATACAATTTACCGCCTTCGCAGCGTCATAACTCAAGCTTCTACGGCGATGTAGAGGTTATCGATCTAGATGCGGATATTCTAGAGGATAATGATGAGCGCTTGGACGATGTCGTCAATTCAAACCCGCCGGTCACCCAGAACGTGCTACACAGTCGCACATCAGACCAGAAACAATATACCCCTGTTCAAACACAACATGCGCAACCTGCTCAGGGCTCTAACATTAATTACCCCGATCATGAGATAGGAGCAAGAATTGAAGAGGTAACAGCTCCAGGCTAGTCAAGTTGAACCAGCTGACGGAAGCTAGGTTTCACGCCAATACGATGCCATTAACGAACAACTGGCAGCAGCCAGAGAAGACGCGACAAAGAAAGCCGGCGAAGTGGCCATCCTCAGGGCGAATCTTACCAAACAAGCACAAGAATTCGAGCGCACGATTACTTCCCTCAGAGCTCAATTGGCGGATTTAACAACAAAGAATAAAGGTGCGCAGGAAGCTGCTATCGATGAGCGGCAAAAGCTTGAAACAGAGAACCTATTTCTAAGGGAAGAGCTACGTGATGAGACCCTGCGAGTAAACAATCTTCGCGCAAAGAAGAGAACAGAGGCACCTCAAACGCCCAGGAAACAGAGAACACTGCCCTTCCGCGATGGATTCGATGATGACGAGATTGGATTTGCGTCTCCTACAAAGTCCTCCGGTGGACGATCGAAACGAGGGACGCCGACTGTTCCGGGAAAGCGAAAGCGCAAAGTTAGCGATGCTCCAATACCTATGCCACCTCTACAATTGAGCCAGGGAAACCAGGCTTCTGTAGAGACGGATATACTGGGTTTGGATTCTATGGACACGGGCACCAGTGAAAGAGAGTGCATATCAGGACAAGTCATTGAAGAGGGGTTTTACATGACACAGATCTTAAACCACAGAACTCATCTCAATAGGGAAAGTGATTTGGAGGTTATGGCTGGGCTTGCATTCCCTTCGGAACCTGACAGGAAGATATCTTCTATTGTTTTGGAGACAATGAGCGGAGTGACGTCTAATTACGCAGTCAAATATGCCCATTGCCTTATACAGCTGTGGGATCGTGCTCTAGTAGAAAAGTTTTACAAGGTTGTCCCTGTGTTCATGGCTTCGATCAAGTTCATTCTACTACTCGATTTATATTCGATTAGTCCGCAACTAATCACCGAGCTGGCCGGTATTCTCCAAGCATCGATCTACGTCAATGCGGCCACTCGTTTTGAACATTCTGCGGTATCCTCGAAAGTCAAGGGAGAAAGTCGCCGCACCCCACGTACAGTCTTACATACAGATGTCGACTCGACCACCGCATTAGAGATTATGTATCTCTTGGTGCTGGCATGTCGACAAGACGATGAAGCGCATGAACATCTATGGCGCAATATACACTTTGACATATTATTGATGACTTTGAACGACCACCAACCTTTGCAAGATATTGTCCTCTCACTCAAAATTTTGTCGACAAGTCTCCGACGAAACTCGTTTGGGACTATTCAGCCATCCGAGGCGGAACAAAGACAGGTCGAATACCACTTTATTGAGCGCGTCACGTGTCTCCTCTTTCAGCGCATTGAGCCGGACGAAGGCGAAGAAGACTACCTTCCTCTGCAGATCTGTCAAATGCGTTTAGAAGCTCTCACTTTTCTAGAGATGATCACGTTCTACAGCTTCGATATGATGGCAGATGCGAGCAAAACAGCCATAATCTCCTATCCGCTAGTTCTCCCACGTCTATTTCGAACATTATACGACGAGATGGATCGTCTGTACACGCTGTCACCAGAACACGATATTCGCACAGCTCTCGTTAACCGATTGATGCATTTGATATTCAAACTTATCCGAAGTGGAGGCGGCAAGAACCTTAACGAGGGATTATCGCGACTGGCCGGTGCAAAGCAAAAGCATCGACTAGTCCTATCGCGACTGGCATTTAGTGAGGGTCAGTTTTTAGAGTCTGGTATAACTGAAGAGACGATGGAGATGGCGCGACAGTTGCTTGAGGAAGAGGATATGAGTCCTGAGGAGGCTGAAGCGTTGTTTGTTGCTTTTCCGACGGGTGGGCGACTGAGTGGTAAGGAAGGTACACAGGTTGAGTAAATATTTACTTCAAAGATAGCTATGAAATAATGACCACAACACTTCCTTCCCGCATATAAACAATCCATGTCCGAATGTGTACTTGAGTGTAAATCCCTTCTCCATACCCTCGCACAAGGCCAGGAAACGATGAAAAGAATAATCCACCAAAGGTGAAGGGAGCCAAAGAATACGCCTGCCAAAGACCCAAAAGGCCGTTGGACAAATCGGTCCTCCGCGCTGTGCAATGCAGGGACCAATCTGTGGTAGCCCGCCTTGATGATCGCGGCCACCCAAACAAGGTAAGTATGAAGAAAAGAAAGAAGAAAAAAGATTGAAAAGAGATGGGGGAGAGAGAGCTTTATATAGGCGAGGGTGGGGGGTTATTGTGAGGTTGTGATTGGCTGAGGGGACAAAGGGGCAGGAAAGAAGACAAACAAGGCAAACAATGGATGTAGGTCACGTGCACTCTCGGGAACTCGTATGTTTTTTTAGCAGATTCCGCATAGGAGCGACTGGATATCAAGCAGGTTGCTAAGCGAGTTGAGCCTGATAATTCTGCAGTCAGCTCACGGCACCATGAGGAATAGGGCGACGACGCCTTTGAGCAAGGCGGTAAGTGTCAATGCTTGTACTTGATGAAGATCGTGTCGACTGATGAACTTAGAAAATTCGACAATCATGGAGCAAATACAACTTATATAACCTACATCGATTCCGCGCTCCCCCAACCGTCAACAAGACCTTCTTCCAGCAGAAATGGGCCGCCAAATCAACAACCCGATCATACCATGGCGAGCAAATCCGCGAGTCTCAATGGACCCGGATGTTCTCCCGACGACTCCGTAGTGTCGTGCCCATGAACCCCGTCCAACTTGCCAGAGATGATGGATCAATCATATCTGCCGGTCGAGGATCAGGGTTGGAGACTGCAAGTGGGACCAACACGCCTAAACGTACGCCGTATACAAATATGACTTTTGCGCCTTTGGAGAGACGGTTGGATGTTGCTATATTCAGAGCTATGTTTGCTAGTAGTACGAGACAGGCGAGACAGTTTGTGGTTCATGGTGCTGTTACTGTTAATGGGAAGAAGGTATTTTTTTTTTCTTTCTATTATGTCAAGGGTGAGCTGACTGTGTAGATGCAATTTCCGGGCTATCTTCTGAATCCAGGCGACCTTTTCCAAGTTGAACCTGAACGGGTCATGTACGCTACTGGCGCACCAAAGAATAAAATCGAGCGTCGAGAGACCCGTCTAGCGAAGAAAGAAGCATGGAAAAAGGACGAGACCGAAAATGAGAATGCCGAAGAATCAAACACAGAAACAAAGACAGAAGAACCCAAAAAAGTGGATGATCCCAAGGAGACATTAAAACGTCTTCTCGCCCAGGCCAAGACCATCATGTCTCGTGAGAAGGACGTCCTCCCCGTAAAGAAGAAGCAAGAACTCCGAGGATTCCAAAAAGTTGTTCGCAGCGTCCTTTCCAAGTCCGCCACCAGTACCATCCTAGCCGATAACCTCGAGTCACAATTCTCCGAACTGCTGGGTCTCCTCAAAGCGAAGAAAGCTGAATCCCCACGCGAAAACCGTAATAAGAAAGATACTGCGGCCATCCGTGAGGAAGCCGAATCTACCGCAGTCGAAGATTCCAGCAGCGGCTCAATCAGTCAAGAATTGAAAGATGCTTTCAAACAAGCCACCGAAGATCCCAGCAACCTCGACGTCTCCGAACTCACCGAAGACGAATTCGAGACCCTCAAACAGGCCATTGCTCAAATGCACGACAACCCGATCGACACCAGCAAGCCTTATGCTACGCCCTGGCGGCCTCGCGACTTTATGAACGCTTTTGCATTTATTCCTCGCTACTTGGAGGTTAATCATAAGATCTGTGCGGCTGTTTATTTACGACATCCTGTTGCGCGACCGGGGTTCTCTGAAGTTCCTAGTCCGTTCGGAGAGAATATTCAGACTCCTGCTTTTGCGTGGTACCTTCGCAGGCGGTAGTCTATTTTCTGTGTGTCTTTTTTTTTCTTCATTGTATTAACTGAGCCTTTTTGATTGGCTATGTAATGATAAAGTGTTGGTTGCATACCAACTGTATTGTATAACATGGACTGTAAATGATGAAAATTCACCTTCTTTCTAGCTTATAAAATACATAGTGTAAGTTACCGTAACCCGCCAAGCCATTAAAAAATTGACACAATTTCCAGCGACTGGCTTGAAAAATTCCGTTTCCCGAGTCCGACCGAACCAACTGTTAACTTCTCTCCACTTTTCTTCAAGCAAAATTCATTGCAAATTTTCACAGAAACTTTGGTCCTTACAATACATCAACGACAAAACATCAGTTAAGACGGTGTGAGGAAAAGAAGAAAAAATGTTTCCCTGGCATGGAGAAGGAAAGGGAAGCTCGTTTGTGCCTGCTACTACACAGCGACAGCAGCCACAACCACAAGCACAGGAACAGACACAGCAGTCATCGTCGCGACAGGATGGGTATGGACGATGGCGGTTATCGTCTGTTTTGCAAGGTCAAGGTCAAGATGTGAATGATAAATCCGGCAGTAATAATACTCAGACAAACGCGAGGGTTACAGGGTCATCGCCTAAAGAAGAACCTATCCCTAGTTCTGGTGGTGATGATGATGAGGGGGAAGAAGATGGTGAAGCAGAAGAGCAAGGGAACTCTGATGAAGAGGATATAGATTTCCGAGGTCCTACAAATGGGTCGAATGCTACAGGATCTGGATCAAATTCGACAAATGGCACAGAACAGCCAAGACAAGGACAAGGACAAGCCCAAAGACTAGGAGAGCGAATGCCTCCATTGGGATACCCCCCTCAACCCAGCTTCCGCAACAATCACGCCCGCCGACTCAACACAGAAGAAGAAATAAAACTCTTCGAACTCTGCATCAAACACAGCGGCACATTCGGCGAACGCAGCAAACTATGTGAATGGTGGAAAAACATTGCCAATGAATTCATCGAGAAATACGGAGGTCCATATTCATGGCACTCTGTTCGACGGAAAGTTGATCTTGTGACGAGACAGCGAATCAAGTACTTGGCTGATTTGAGAGAGGGAAAAATCGAGAGTGATCAGGCGACAGAACCTTGGAAGAAGGTGTTGGATGAATGGATTCCGACTTGGGAGAAGTTTGAGGTTGCAGAGAAGAGGAGGATTGAGGTTAGGGATGCCAGAGCTGCGAGTAGGAAGAGAAAGGAGCCGGCTGGTGCTTCGTCGTCGCCTTCGTCGCCTGCTCCGTCGTCTGCGACGAAACGTGCTTCTACTGCTGCACCACCACCACCAGCTGGATCATGGCAAGCGACTCCTCGAAGATGGACTCCTGGACCTAGTCCGTATGCATACCCTCCTCCTCCAGGACCAGGGTATATGGGCCCTCCACCATCGACACCAGGCATGAAACTTCCCGACGGATACGATACCATGTTCCGAACTCCAGCTCCTCATCCCTCTACTCACCCATTATACCCACATCCTCCACCACAAGCATATTATCCCCCGCCAAATGCAATACCAGTCGACAATAGCCTGACCTCTGCTATCCTCGAAACACTAACAAAACTAAACAAACATCTCGAAGACGCGGATAGCACTTCATCTATCGTCAATGCTCTAACTGGAAACGACAAGAACAAGACTACTACAGCCTTAAATGGGACAACATCGCCCCCATCCTCCTCCCCCGAAGAACCTCGCACCCAAGAAGCAGAACCTACAGAACCCACAGACGAACCGACATCCTCCACATATAAAAAGATCCGCGCCGAACTCCGGGCCGAATTTCAGACTGAAATGGCAAAAATGCGACAAGCATTCACCGCAAAATTAGACGCATTAGAGCAAACGCAGGAGATGATTATGGACATGTTGAGGCAGGAACCTGGTCGGGAGGGATCTACGTGATCTCTCTTTTCGTCCCAGAATGGACGATTCGCTCGTTTTTTACTTTCATTGCTTGAGTTTCGGTTATATCTGTTGTAATATGTATTAATAGATACCCTTTCATAAGTATATAGTTATTAGCTTGTTGCGTATATGTATAATCTGTCTTGCGAACAGTGTCTACTCCCTTCATATATAACTTTGGAAGCCGCACTATATCAAGTAAGGCAGATGAAAGTACCAGTTTTGCTCAAGGGGTAAGAGGTAGGCTACACTGATATTTTTTTTCGAAAGATGAAAACTAAGTTAATGATTTTTGATGATTTATTAATGGCCATGTTTCGATACGTATTTTCACTAAGCTCCTAAGATAAAAGTTATGATTCTAAAGCAGAAGCAGAAGCAGACACTATATTAATGAACTGAGAAAGAGATGAAATGAATCACGTGTATTAATCTACTACATCATGAAGAAAATCAGCGCAAAGCGCATCTATGCTCATAAAAAACATGACCCGTCATAAACATTAGCGCCAGTGTACTCGCATTGCATGAGAATTTTTGGCCAAACAAAAGGAAATTGATAAGACAAAGGAAAAGAATTTTAAAAAAACTCATTCAGTCTCGTGAACCGTTTAGTCGAGTTCCTCAGGGCGTTCCTCGACCTCATCAGCTTCGCGAGTAGCGGAAGCACCAGTGGCGCCAGGAGCAGCACCAGCACCGCCGTAGGCAGCGGAGATGATGGGGTTGGCAACGCTCTCGAGCTCCTTCTGCTGAGCCTCGTACTCGTCCTTGGTAGCGGTCTGGTTGCTGTCGAGCCAGCTGATGGTCTTTTCAATCTCAGCCTCGAGCTTCTCCTTATCGGCAGCCTCGATGTTGAGCTTGCCCTCACCAATGGTGTTCTTGAGGGAGTAAGCATAAGATTCAAGACCGTTCTTGGCTTGGATACGAGAAGCCTCAGCCTCGTCCTCAGCCTTGTACTTCTCGGCCTCAGCAAGCATGCGTTCGATTTCCTCCTTCGAGAGACGGCCCTTGTCGTTGGTAATGACAATCTTGTTGCTCTTACCGGTTCCCTTCTCAACAGCAGAGACGTTCATGATACCGTTGGCATCCATGTCGAAGGTGACCTCGATCTGAGGAACACCACGAGGAGCAGGAGGGATACCAGTAAGCTCGAACTTACCCAACAAGTTGTTGTCCTTGGTACGAGCACGTTCGCCCTCGTAGACCTGAATCAAGACACCAGGCTGGTTGTCGCTGTAGGTGGAGAAGGTTTCGGATTTCTTGGTGGGAATGGTGGTGTTGCGCTTGATGAGAGGAGTCATGACACCACCAGCAGTCTCAATACCGACGGAGAGAGGAGCAACGTCGAGAAGCAAGATCTCGCTGGTAGACTTGGAAGAAGTATCACCGGAAAGGATAGCGGCCTGGACGGCAGCACCGTAGGCGACAGCCTCATCGGGATTGATGGATTTGTTAGGCTCCTTGTTGAAGAAGTCCGTAACTAGCTTCTGAATGCGGGGAATGCGCTAGACGTGAAAATTCGGGTTAGTAAAAAGTTTAATTTTTCTTAAAGGAAGCAGGAAAAGCTTACAGTTGATCCACCGACCAAGACAATTTCGTGAACGGAAGATTTGTCGACCTTGGCATCACGGAGAACACGCTCAACAGGCTCCATGGTGGAGCGGAAGAGGTCCTGGCAGAGCTCCTCGAAACGAGCACGGGTGATGGAAGTGTAGAAGTCAATACCCTCGAAGAGAGAGTCGATCTCAATGGAAGTCTGAGCAGAGGAAGAGAGGGTACGCTTGGCACGCTCGCAAGCAGTGCGGAGACGGCGGAGAGCACGTGCATTGGTGGTCAAATCTACATCGAATGTGTTAGTATACAGTTCTCAGAAGCTTGCTGGAAGCAGATTTTTACGATACGACTCGACAAAAACATCCGAAACCAAAAAAAAGGAGAGGGAGGGGATGGGGATTGAGGGATTCTTACCCTTGCGGTGCTTGCGTTTGAACTCTTGCACGAAGTGATTGACAAGGCGAGAATCAAAGTCCTCACCACCCAAGTGAGTGTCACCAGCAGTGGCCTTGACCTCGAAGATACCCTCCTCGATGGTAAGGAGAGAAACATCAAAAGTACCACCACCAAGATCGAAGATGAGGACGTTGCGTTCACCCTCAGCCTTCTTGTCGAGACCGTAGGCAATAGCAGCAGCAGTAGGCTCATTGATGATACGGAGAACGTTCAAGCCGGCAATGAGACCAGCGTCCTTGGTAGCCTGACGCTGGGAGTCGTTGAAGTAGGCGGGGACAGTGATGACGGCGTTGTTAACGGTGCCACCGAGGTAAGACTCGGCAGTCTCACGCATCTTGATCAAGACCATGGAAGAGATTTCTTCAGGAGTGAACTGCTTGGTCTCGCCCTTGAACTCGACCTCGATGACGGGCTTGGTGGCCTTCTCGACGATCTTGAAGGGGAAGTGCTTGGCATCAGCCTGGACCTCAGGGTCGGAGAACTTGCGTCCGATCAAACGCTTAGCATCGAAGACTGTGTTGTGAGGGTTCATGGCGACCTGGTTCTTGGCGGCATCACCGATGAGACGCTCGGTATCGGTGAAGGCGACGAAGGACGGGGTAGTTCGGTTACCCTGGTCGTTGGCAATGATTTCGATACGGTCATCACGGAAGACACCTACGCAGGAGTAGGTGGTTCCCAAGTCGATACCAATAGCGGGGGCCATGGTGTGTGATGTGTGAAAAGTGTGAAAAGTAGAGAGAAGGGGTATCACAGGAGAAGGAAATGAGAAAAGAAGTGTGTAGTGTAGTGTACAAGATGCACTCGAATATTATTTCTCGTGATTAATGTGTGTCTGTCTGAGGAAGAATGAGAGAGGAAGAGGAGAGCAGCTGGAGGATAATATAGGCGTGGGCGGTGAGACGAAGCTTCTTTCTAGTGACTTCCTTACGATTCCACGGACGGCTGGGGCCTTCCAGCAGCTCAAGGTGGCCCAACAGCCATTGGCCACGCTGGATCCAGAGCCTTCTTTTGTTCTCTTATTTGTCTTGAGTATTTGTCTGTATGTTTGTAGGCCGATGCTGCTTTCAGTAGTAGTAACTTGAGACTGTAGTGTAGCTAAGCAAGTCATGATGTCGAGACATCGCGGGGTGGACGATGACGTACTAGCCAGAATTTTCTGTCGGCTTCCCTTTGCTTCCTGAAAATTCAGGCATCGCCACTTTGTTTTGGCGGGGCTCTACGCCCGTCACCATGACGCCCGGTCGACTAAGGGTGGCCTGATGTCTGATTGCCTGATTGCCTGATCTAGGGCTGCTAAGTTCTAACCCTATGTCCAGACCAGTCTGTCTACTAACTGATAATCTTAGATAGTCACTTAGCACTTATGTCTCTGGCAGATTATCATCGCTCCTCTAAATACATTCACATGTACTTTACAGCTATTTCCTTACAGACTGGCACCTGGCTACACAGTTTACATACTAGATAGTGTATGTAACTAGAGTAAACAACCCGCTATTGAAATATGCTGAGATTGCACCATGCCTCCCTTGCATCGAGCTCAGTTAGTTAAGCCTTAGGGTTAAGCTTCTTGTCTACCAACGGCAGGCGGTCAAGGGTCATTACCGTGTCTACGCTCCTGCCCAATCAGCATCCCGGGGCCGTATACTGGTCCCTTGCTCGCCGTCGCGACTTAAACATCGCGTTGATTGTTTTCACTTCCTTCTTCTTTCATCCTTCCTTTCTCATTCGAATCCATCTCAAACTCTCGTTTACCTCTACAAATCGCGTTTTTTCATCAACCAACGGACTCGCGACAAAGCAATACCCCGCTCAATTCAATTATTCAATCAATCACATTCGAAATGGGTGACCACTCTGTAACTGATTACAATGACCCTGCTGCCAATGCCCCCGATGCAGCTGCTTACGAGAAGGGAAAGGGCAAGGCTGCTGAAGCATATGATGATGTGAACATGGGTGAAGAAGATGATGAGGAGAGCTCTGAGGAGGAGGAAGATGAAATGGTACGACCTGCGTTCTCTCTCATATTGGTGATTATTTCGTGTTTACCTTGGCGATCACCAACGCGATGACTCGCAAGCGATCTTCGCTTTATAGAGCTTATACTAATCTTTTTCTTACTGCAGGGTGCCGAAGGTATCTTCCCCGCTTCATCAACACATCACCGAGCAACATTGCAATATTTACAGCTAAGCACCGCGCGCACCACCCGCTAACAAAATCTAGATGACGACGAAGATGAAGGCGACAACCTCGAACCTATCTCAACTGACAACATCATCGACAGCGGCCGTCGCACTCGCGGCAAGCGTATCGACTTCGCCGAAGCCGCTGAGAAAGCCAAGGCAGAAGGCGACGATCCTATGGACGACGAAGACGAGGACGACGAGGATTTCCACGGAGAAGACAATGACGGCGATAACATGCAGGAATAAAAGTTACCAATCGCGACGACGTGCTGCTTGCATTATGGAGATGGGGTTACGGCTGCTCTGGGGTCTTCTGACTTTGACGCATTGATTATTTTCGAATATGCGACAGGAGATATGTACATGGGATATGCAGTGGTCTCGATAATCCACGAAAGGAGACCGTGATACTACCCAAACAGATGATATTTGAGATTACGCATTGCAGTGCTATGACAAAGCAATAAAAGTCACTACATGTGCGTCAATATTAATTCCTCGTAGAACATAATTAATCACAATAATTGTATGAATTTGCAGGGTCTCGGTGTTTATTTTGAGCTTATCTGATCTCCGCATCTAACCAAAACAATGCCAAGCTCAGGCACCTCGCCGCAAATGATCTCCGGACAAGTTCACAACATCACCCCAGTTAACCATCTTCTCATTGGAGATCGATCAACCACCATGTCTACGAAACGATAGGACTGGAAATTATTACAACAAATTTCTGAGCCTGAAAGGCTAAAAAAGAACGATATCATGGCGTCCCGGTACGAACCTCCTCACAGTATCCGGACCGATAACTAACTTGATCTTGTGCAAACAGCTTCTCACACTCAAACCTCCACCAACGAGACCCCCGCTCCTCATCCTCCCTCTTCGATTCCTACAGCGGCGACGGACGATCCTCTCGACCTTCTTCTAGTCGATCACCTGCCACAAACGCCACGTCGTCTACCTATACAAGCGCATATCCCAATGGAGGAAGCGGAGGATTGTATCCTGGTGGTAGTCAAAGTCAACATGGTTACAGGGCTGCGACGCCGAATTCGAGGTTCGTTTCTTTTCTAACGGAGTAAGATGTAGTATACATGGATGAACGCGCTGATTATGCATGTGATTTGATAGAGGCCATTATTCGGATGCGGTGTTATCGGAATTGTGAGTTGTACCTTCTTTTCCTCTACGGATATGAAGGACATGCGAAGCTAATATGTGTGCCAAAGAGAATCCCAAAACGATCATGAAGTCGAAGGAATCACAGCCAAGGTCAAGGCACTCAAAGAGGTACACCCATTCCCTCTTCTCGCCAGATCATTCAGGCCTAATTGATTATAGCTTACAGTAGCAATTGGCGACGAAATCCGCTCCTCGTCTAACCTGGTATGTATCTATCCATTACACCTCTTCTTATACTGTCCATTTAACAAGAATACTCTGAATAGGCAGATAGCATGAACGAAGCCTTTGACAACACCCGCCTCCGTCTCCGAGGAACCATGAACCGAATGCTGCGCATGGCAGAACGGACGGGAGTTGGTTGGAAGGTTTGGCTTGGATTTTTCCTTGCGGTGGTTTTGTTGTTTGCTTACGTTTGGCTGTTCTGATCCAAAGCTTGCTCTTTTGGCTCTTTGAGACAGTATACTTATTCTCAACTGCGTTGTTTCTTTGGTTGATGAGACTAAGAGGTGGATGACATGGCTATTGCATGGGCTGGCGTTATGTCTTACTCACTTGTATATACAGGTATTGAAAATGAGCCTTCAATATTGCAATACAACAGACTAGTTGGGTTGAGTAATGAATTCATTGGGTATCTATACATATAAAAACCATCTAATCCACTGGAAAGAGTCACTAGTCAAGACTATCTCTCGGTCCACCACGCCTCATAAACCGACCAAATCTACTCTGGACAAGCCTCGTTCGCGCCTCCCGCGCAGCTTGATTCCGAGCACTCGTTATAGAAGCACGCAAATCATCCTCGTCCTCGTCATCATCAACCATCATAACCGAGGGTATAATTTCGTTGTCAGATTCGGTCTCCCCACCAATCCCGCTCCAGCGCTGCAGGAACCGTCGCTGTGCAGCTGTTTCGCGTGTTCGACGTATTTCTGCCGCGGATGGCGGCGGTGGTGGCTGACGAGCGCTACTACGCTGTGACCTTCGCCGTGCTGGATCTGTGCTGACCGGTGTTTGCGTATTCGTCGAAACTATACCGTCGGCCCCCCCTCCTCTATTAAGATGCGCGTACGGGTCATGTATATTACTGTTGTCTCCGTCTAAATCAGAGTCGTCGTCGTCGTCTTCTAGTTCCGAGTCGGTATGTTGCCATTCTTCGGCTTCGGCTTCTTCGTCCATGTCTTCGTCTTCTGGGTCATTTGCTTCTGGGATGTCGTCGTCTAGATCACGGACCATGATCTCATTCCCTTCGGGCAACTCGTCGTCATCATCCTCATAATCATCTTCGTCATCCTCGTCATCTTCCGGGAATCCCTCAGGTATGTCGTCGTCCAGATTCCGCTCCAGAAGCTCTTCTTCATACCCCTCTTCACCTTCCTCAACCAGACCTTCCTCTTCATCCGAGTCCCCAAATCCATCATCTTCAGCTTCCGGGATATCATCATCTAGATCCCTTTCGAGCTCCTCCGGTCCAATCCCATCCCCTTCTGCAGCACCTGTACCATCCCCTTCAACCATCTGTTGCTGCTGTTGTTGAAGCGCCGTATCCTCTGCACCAAATGCATCCATATTCGTCACACCGTCCCCTACATTTCCGGCTGCAGCTGCAGCAACCATAGCAGCAACATTTAATTCCTGCTGTGCCGCCGCCAACCCCTCCTCCCGCTCCGCTTCTTCCTCTCTCATCCCCTGCATCGTTTTGGGTATACCCGCCGGTTTGATCCATGCAGCTCCAAAGGAGGCGATATTCTCCTTTCGGAGTCGTAGGGCGCGTTCTTCGAGTTGCAGCATGGCGAGACTGTTGGATGGTGCGGTCGAGGAGAAGAGAGCGCGCGCTGATGTTTGCGGGTTTGAGAGGTTGCCATTGTTGGGTGCGCCGTTGTGGAGTTGTTGGCGTCGAGTTGCTGGTGTCTCTGTGTTCGGGCTGTTTATACTGCCTCTGTATCGAGGTTGAGAGGATCCGAACCAGAGCTCGTGGGACTGTTGTTGTTAGTTTTGTTCCACGCGAATGGAAGAGATACTTACATCGCGAGGTGCTACAAGAGGTAGAGATAGCATTTTGAGCCAGTCAAGCAAGGATTATAAGTTTCTGCTTGCTGAGATTGTTTTCTTGATACTTGATACTAAAGGCGGAGAAACTAAGATGTTAAACACGGGAGCTACGATAAGAAGTCTGCGGGGAGACAACCACAATGGTGGAATTCTGCAGGGACTCTCCAGCAATATGTTACTGACATTGTCATTATAAATAACTACATGGAATTTAGAGACACATAAACCAAGTAATAATGCAATTGACCGACAGACTACGCACAGGCAGGTCATCTAGTATCAGAGACCATGGATGCAAACAGAACAAACAGCATTACCTTACCTAGGAACATGAAGCCGAGCGAACTAACTCCGACATGGTATGATCTGAACAATTGTCTGCTGACACTATTCTACAATTGCAACAATTCCTACGTGTATAAAACCTATTATTTTCTGTCGAGAGTTTTTTTTTTCCCTTTTCACCATGTCCACTCGTCTCTACACACCGTTGAGCAGGACTACACTGAGATATAGCATCTCGAGGCCGCCGCAAATAGTTTCCAAACTACCCAGAGCTCGAACTGTGAGATTCTATACCTCTAGAAAAGAGTCAAAAGATCAATTCATTATTTGGAGACCGTGGCTTCGTATTGCAATTGGGATTCCCTTTATTGGCGCACTCATTTACTCAATGGTTTGCATCTCTTCACCATAAGATCATTGAGTATATATCGAACATCTCTAACATGTGCCAGGCTACCGAAAACGCCGCCGAGACAGAGGCCCCCTCAATCGCCGAAATAGATAAAGCGCTCAAAGAAAAATCCCCCGTCACCGACGACTCCCCGATGCGCCTACGAATGGAGAAATTGATCAAAGAACACCAAAAGAAAATCACAGACGAACTCAGCAGAATCGACGGCAAACCCTTTCAAGCCGATACATGGACCCGTCCCAACGGCGGAGGCGGTATATCCTGCGTCCTCCAGGACGGCAACGTCTTTGAAAAAGCCGGTGTCAATGTGTCGGTTGTGTATGGCGAATTACCACGCCCAGCCATTGAGAAAATGCGCGCAGATCACAAGTCCTTTGTCGGTGCAAATGTGGATTCACTGAGTTTCTTCGCTGCTGGACTGTCGCTCGTGTTGCATCCGCATAATCCGCATGCTCCGACGGTGCATTTGAATTATCGGTACTTTGAAACCTCAGACCCGAAAGATCCGGTTAATGGGGATAAGAATTGGTGGTTTGGAGGTGGAACTGATTTGACGCCTTCGTATCTTTATCCGGAGGACTGCAAGCATTTCCATCAGACAATCAAGGATGTCTGTGATAGGCATGATAGTACATATTACCCTCGATTCAAGACGTGGTGCGATAAATACTTTTATCTCCCGCACCGCAATGAAGCGAGAGGTATAGGCGGTATCTTCTTTGATGATCTCGACGCCCATTTCTTGCAGAGCTCATCATCGTCTTCGCAAAATCCGCAGGAAACGTTATTCTCTTTCGTGAGTGACGCTCTAGGTTCGTTTCTACCTTCCTACGTCCCCATCCTGGAACGCCGAAAGGATACACCTTTTACCCCCGAACAGAAAGAATGGCAACAACTCCGGCGGGGCCGATATGTTGAGTTTAATCTGGTGTATGATCGTGGCACGAGTTTTGGGCTTAGGACGCCCAATGCGAGGGTTGAGAGTATCCTGATGAGTCTGCCTCGTACCGCGAGCTGGGTTTATATGGATTCTGTCTCGGGGACGAGGACGGAGGGTGCTTCGACTCAGTCGGAGGATGGTGTGGAGGAGACGGAGGAGGTTAAGAGACAGAGGGAGTTGTTGGATGTGTTGAAGCATTCTAGACAGTGGGTTTGAGTGGTTGTCTAGACGTTTTGTTTTGGTTATATGTATATAATATGAAAAGTTGTGTTGATTGTACAAGATCTACCAATTATGCTTCTATTTAGAAAACATGTACAATAATAGAGAATGCAAAGAAATGATGATACAGCGAATGATGCACCGATAAAAGTAATGCAAACGAAAGACTGGTATAAAACCCCTATGTATGCTGAAGTCTAGGAAATATGACATGAAGTGAATAGGTGACAGAAAATGACAAGAATATTAAAAAGCAGTCTAGGTTATATGACTAAGTGAAACAACTTACAGCAAGTTCCCCCGTTCCTTTTTTACAGACTTATCTACCAAAACTCGCCACAGATACAAGATTCCTCTGCTTCGCGAGCCATCCCTTTTGCATATCTGCACTACCCCCTCCTGCACCAGTGGCAGTATGTCGGTATCGCGCAACGGTAATGTTGCTATGTTGTAGGCGGCCCTGGAGGTCGTACCATGCCGAACAGATCAGAGCCATTTCGCGAGATTGGCGGTTGATGATTTCTTGGAGTTCGAGCTTTGTGTTTATTGTTAGTAGTTGAAGCTAAGATGTAGGAGGGGTGGGCGTACCTCGCGTTGTTTGGGAATGCTATCATCGTCTTGATCACCCCTGGCTTCTTCGATATGTCTGATTTGTTCTTGCAGTGACTTGATGAGATCGTTTTGTTGATCGATATGCTGAATCACGTCAGTTGAATTGCACCTGCGTCTGAAAAATGGACTCACTTCAGCCCTCTTCGCGAGTGTCTCTGCGCTCTTCTCCGTCACGTCCGCAAAATGCTTCAACAACTCAATACCTGATTTCTCAGGCGCATCCGGATTCTCCGTCTTTGCTCTCGCCGCAAACTCAGCCAACAACGTCTCAATCTCCTTTATGAAGTCCTCGTCTTCAGCGCGCATGGCTGCCTGCTTCTCTTCAAGGCAAGCGCGTAATTCATTCCGCTCAACACACATGTCTCGGACAAGGGCTTGAGAGACGTCGATTTCGGCTTCGAGATGGTGGATTTTGCGCGTTAGTTGGTCCCATTCTTCGCGGATTTTGGTGATTTCGCCTGAATTGGAGTCTTTGACTTCGGTTATCATGTCGAGTTTTTCTTTGTCGACGAGTTGTACTGTTTATTGATTAGTATTAGACGTATAGCTGAATATGGGACTTACGCTCTGCTCGGGCATCGTCGAGTTGTCTCTTGGTGGCATCGATTAGATCTTCTGCGTCGGCCAACTTTTGGCGAATCTCTGCATATTGATCGTAGAGTTTCCAGTACTCGTCACTAGAATTGTCAGTCAAGTAGGACAGAAGCAAGGAAATTTCATACCTCTGTGAAGACTTTGCTTGGGCCAGTTGTGCTGTCAAGATAAGATTCTCGGAATATCCCTCGAGACTTGATCCGAGCTGTAGAAGTCAGTATCAAGATGCCACACGAAGGAAATGGGCCTACCGTGTTGGTCATTTTCAATTTATTGACTTCCTTCCTCAATTCTTCATTCTCCGATTTCCTATAAACGTCAACATCAATACTTCACAGAAGAGAAGGGGACTAACAGCTGAGTTTCCCTTGCCCCAATATCGTCAAGATCCTTCTGCAAAGTACTTTGCAACCTAGGAGATGCATTTCCAGGTGTATAAGAAGGACTATCAGTCGAACCTTCTAGTTCTCGAATCCGTTCACGCAATTCACTAATCAACGCCTCGTCTCTATCCCGTTGCTCTTCCGCGCCCTGAAGGCGCTCAGTCAAAGCATGATTATTGAATTCCAACTGCTTCTTCAAACTCTGAATTTCATGACGATCCTGCTCGATGCGCGGCAACACGCGTCTATACTCTTCAAGCTCCACATCACGTTCCGAGGACCGCTTCTGGTTCGAATCGGCTTCTTTCAGTTGTTGTTGAAGATCCTTGACCTGATTTTTCAATGTTTGGTTCTCCTTCTCAAAGTCCTGGCTTGCTTGCAGTTTCTGGCGATATTTCTCTGCTGCATTTGCCTTGCGAATCAGCTGGTCTCTCTCAGTTTTCATCTCGTCGTAGTCATCCTGTAATTTCTGGAATCGTTGTGTCTTGACCCGCATAGATTCCAGTGACATTTTGAGACTATCGATTTCATCTTGTGCAGCTGATAATTTCGCTTCTTGGTTGGCAATCAGCTCCTCTTGCTGTCGTGATCTGCTTTCCAGAGCCTTTGCACTAAATCCTACGTCTCCTTTGCCCGATTTCAACGTCACCAATCGATCCTCAGTTGACGCAAGTCGGGTTTGAAGAGTATCATTGTTCTCCTGCAAGCGAGCTAGACGATTATGCAAATCCTCCAATGCTTTTTCCATTTCTTTCTTTTCAGTGGCCAACCGATCATTCTCCGCCAAGACCTTGCCTACTCTCTCCTCAAATTGTAATTCCGGGTCGACTGCGAGGTCACGCTTCGGAGCGCCATCTCCATCCTCCTCGTCCGCCGACAGATCCTCATGTTGCGAATTATGAGCTTCCTCAATTATATTCTTGAGTCCCTCTTGAGTCGGCGTACTCAACTTTTGCAGCGTTGTCACATACGTCTCGGCGTTGGGTGAGCTAATAGCCGCAATCAGGAGTAACTTCAGCAACTTGTTCGTCTCCTTTAACGAATTTGACTCGGAAATAGCTTTCAAATCCGGCGATGGATCCAATCCGGAAGGGATCTCATCATCGAACTGTTTCCGAATGTACCCCGTCAGGAGTTTGTGGAGGTGTTTGAGGTTCTGCCATTTTGTAACCCAGTGGTCGGACGGGTTGCGTTCGGGGAGTTCGTCGAGGAAATATTGAGGGTCGATATCTTGTAGAATTTCCCAAAGAATGATGCCGTCGCTGAGTTCTTCGGTGTCTCGGATTGTTTTGCCGAGGGAGAAACTGTTTATCCATTCGAGGAGGACTTTGGCGACGGTGTGTTCGGAGGTCATGTTGTTTATCACCCAGGGGTGTAATCAAGAGGTGAGTCGGGTTGATTGTGAGGAGTTACAATCTAACATTGCAGTGTGTATGTAGTAAGCAAGCCGGTGATTTGGTATACTCTGTATAGGATCGAGAAGTTGGATTAGAGTAAGCTTGTCATCTATCAGGAGTGTTTGTCGTGCTGTTGCAGATCCACGCGTTACTCCGTCTGATGCTCCGCTCTTACCCTAAATAACCCTATCCCGGTTGTCCCACCATAGTTTCAACAATAGCTGAAACTCATGACTTTTACTATTCATTATAAGATACGTATGGCTACATAGTAGTGTTTGGAAATCATAAACAAGCTGTCATATTTGAAACGAACGACATTAACGACCAGACCTCCCAAAAACGCCAATCCAAGACCTAATACAATACTAGCCCACCATAAACTCATATCAATACTTCGTAGTTCGTACACATATTCTCATAACCCGAATGAGCGTTGCTCATCTGCGGAAGTCAAATAAATTCCAAACGATTAGGCCATCCTCATGCATTTCAAGTCGTAAGTCTCGAGACCAGGCTTTACTGTGTACCGAAATCACCGTCAATCGTAACAACCTTGTCCTCCTCAATGACCGGAAGGAAATTGGTGGATGATGCTTGGATGGTCTCTATGGCGGACGAAGAAGCTTTGGCAGCAAAGCCCCTGTTTATATTAGTATGTGATCAGAGTCCGGCGGAGTTGAAGTAATTACTTGAATAGATCTAAGGATAGCAATTAGTCTAGTGCTCGAATAAAACTGTTAGAGTCAAACTTACTGAATTCATGAGTTATCCAGCCGCCCTACATACAACTTGTCAGTATTTGTATTCTTAGAGCGGCATTGCGAGATCACTCACAGCATCAGTGATAGCCTTCTTGGCCTCTTTCAAGACCGACTCCGGGGTATTATCAGGATATGAAACGACGATAGATTTCTGAACCTGTACTGCTAGGGCAATCTGGAAAAGCCCAAGGATGAGAACAATAAGATATTGGTGGAAGAGCTTCATTGTAGCGGTTGTAGAGGGTGCCTGAGTGTCGATGCGCCACTGAGCGTAGCTATAATAATGCTGCTGAAGTTGAGGTAGTGATGAACCGTCAAGTAGACCGAGTGTGGATTACTGGCAGTGCAGTGCTATAAATCGATTATTGAAGAATGTGATTGTGGTCTGGTAGATGTTGTCTGATGGTCAGAGTAGAACGAAGTCACTTGCCGTCACTCGGAAGGATAGCCCGAGTAGTGCCTCAGGTGTCAAAGTCACGCGACTGTTTGTCCTGTTTGTCTGTCGCAGTCAAGACTTGACTTCTTTCTTCCATTCCTTCATCGCTTCACTCACCTCACCTTCGACATCTTCCCTTTTCGTACAATTCATATCATATTCTCTTCTCGTCTTGTTCAAACTACCTATTCCTTCATCGTTGCGTTTTAGCGTGCATCAACCGTTGAGTCTCATATTCGATCGTAATCCCACCGATGATTTCGTACATCCCTTTCTTACGTCCCTCTTCTCTGATCTGAGCTCGGTGCGGCATCTGATAATCTCTGGCAAAGAATCCTGTGGTAGAACAGTGGGTTTATGAGTGCTCCGTGGGGATTCGGATTCCAGGTTGTCTTATCAATCGGGTTTGGGCGTTTCGCATGACCTTTTTTCTCAGTCTCGCGAAGGTAGCTAGCTAGCTAGCAGGAAGCATTCTACAACTTACAAGCTTGTTTCGTCGTTTCTTCTTTTTTTTTCTGTCTACCACATATTGCACTTTTACGAGAATCAGAATTCTTACTTTTGGGGGTCTGAGTGACCTGATACGTTCTTCCATCAGCCGCGTTGTGGTAAACAAGCAATATTGACGCTACAAGAAAAAGAACCAAGAGGGAAAAAAAGTCAAGAAGAAAAAGAAAAAGCACAAAGCAGAAAAAAAGGAGTAGAAGCATCGTCTTCAAGGGGGAAAAAAAGGCTGCAACAGGAAAAGACTGAGTTCATGCTAACTAAATCCTAACCTTCGCTCCCCTCCTTACATACATCTTCATCATGTCGTCAGGACTCCCGTCCGACGAAGTCGCGGAGGATTACAAAAACTCATTGGAAGACTTAACGACAAATGACAAGTTCCAGATCAGCAATCTGACCGTCATAGCTAAGGAGAATACGGAACATGCCATGGCGATATCCCGAGTCTTGGAGAATCATATTCGAACAGTAGGTGTTACCCTTCTCCTTCGAGCGCGTGTGTTCATGTTTGTTTATGTATGCGTATGTTTTATTATTGTGCGTCGTAGTGCAGCTGGAAGAAAAGCTCTAATATTGCTTTTGGTAGACACCTCCATCTCAAAAGCTACCTGCTCTGTACGTAGTCGACAGTGTTGTGAAGAATGTAGGAACACCCTACACACTCTTCCTGGGCCGGAATCTCTATCAGACTTTCATGAATGCATACACCTTGGTCGACCAGCAGACGCGGAGGAAGTTGGACGAGATGCTCAAGACATGGAAGGAGCCTGTTCCTGGTTCTCTAGATCCTCGTCCTGTCTTTCCGGTTGAGATTACTCGAAGCATTGAGAATGCACTGATTAAGGCCAGAACGGCTGCACTTCAACAGCAGCAACGGAATCAGCCACAAGATGTACTGGCCAGGAGCCGGAGTTCTGCAGCACCACCGTCTTGGACGCATACTCCTACGCCTCCACAGGGTGTACCATACCGATATCCATCTGCAAGTCATGCCGTGAATGGACATCCGCAGGGACATGGATCAGAGGTGAGTTCAAACGGGATGTATAGAGAAAAATATTGCTAACCCGTCGATAGTCACATACACCTCAACAGGGTCAAAATGTAGACCTTCCGGCATTGCATCGCGATATCGAGAACCTAATTGGCAGTGCACGTGCTGATTTCGCTGCTAGCCCCTTTGATGTATCGATACAACAGCGTCTGAAAGCCTTATTAGACCTTCAAGCAATTCTGCAACGTCAACAGCTTCCTCCAGACCAACTCAAACTTGTCAGAGATCAAGTTTCGGCCCTAGCTCCAGCTCCAAAACCCGCAGCAACTCAGCCATTTCCTCAGTCAAATGTACCTATCCCGAATATCTCAACACCACCCTCTCAACCAATCCCACAAGCAACACCTCAGCCCAATTTGGCTGCATTGCTAAACCCAAACACGCTTGCTAGTTTGCTTCAAGCAACAGCAAACCGTCAGCAATCGACTCCCCCACCAGCCGTTGGTGGTATTGTTCCCCAGACTCAACCATCCGGTACTCCCCAACCTGCAACGGCGGAGAATCCTCTCATTGCATCGCTTAGAGCACGGGGACTACTTCCTCCTGTGCCTAGTACAGCTACACCGCCAACTGGGGCTCCTCTTAGCCTTCCGTTGCTCGTTCCTGGACAGATAGGATATACTCCGCCGGCATCGGTTTCTACTCCGCAGAATATGACGGACATTACGATTAATGTTCATTTGAGTACGGCTTCTATCAAGATGTGAGTCTAGCAATCTCCCGAATGATACATGTTCCATGTTCTAACAATATATAGTCCTCGACCTGTGTTGATAAACAGTCTTTATGATGCAAAGAGTAATCGGTGTGGTACCTGTGGAAGACGGTTTTTAACTACAGAAGAAGGCAAACAGAAAAAAGCGCGGCATTTAGATTGGCATTTCCGGACGAACCAACGCATGACGGATTCTATCAAACGAGGACAGAACCGAAGTTGGTACGTCGACGAAAGAGTATGCGTTCCCTGGCTCTTTGAGGTGGCTATTCGTTAACATCGTATTACAGGACTGGATTAAATCACGAGAATTCGACGACGACAGTGGCCTAGCAGGCACCGGACCCGGTAACGGCACCACCAGCACCGAAGAAGAAGCCGCAAAGAAACAACCACAAAAGCAATGGATCCGCGCACCGAACGATGTGGCTCTACGCAATGCGCCCTGTCCCATCTGTCAGGAGAAATTCGAGTCGACGTGGTCAGAAGATGTCCAGGACTGGATTTGGCAAGATGCACTCAAAGTTGGAAATCGGGTTTATCATGCTAGTTGTTATGCGGAGGTTACCAAGGATGGCTCTGCTACAGCTGCTCGTGCGGGGACTCCTTTAGCGCGTACAGGGACGCCGGACTCGGTGTTGGGGAAGAGAAAAGCTGAGGTGAGTTGTAGTACAGTGATGTTTGAGATATGTGCTAATAGTGTATAGCATACGGAGTCACCTGGGTCCAAGGTGCGGATTAAGACAGAACCGGTGTGATTCTATTTGCATCCATAGGGCATATATATTCTAGCAATGTAATATATCCATAGAAATGAATCTTTTCAACCGTAGTGTTTTTACCCCTCATTCCCCGCTGACATCACTGGGCAGGTTAACCCGCCAAATTCATACTACGTTACATGTCTCCGTCTACTCCGATAAACCTGTATATAATCGGAGTTGTCCCCGTAAACTCATCTAGATCACGTACCGTACCATATACATCGACTGAAGCAAGATGGTTCACAATACACGTTGGGGTATCCTGGGTATGCTTTAACTAATCCCCTGTCTTTGACTCTGACTGACTGTGAATAGCTACCGGAGGTATCGCCAAGGGTGAGTTTATCCATCTCAACCCAATCAACATCCTCATACTAAGCCATGTACAGCATTCGTAAAAGACCTCCTCAAGAACCCCCAAACCCGCAATGCCTCCGACATCACCCACACCGTCACAGCAGTCGCCAGTTCTTCCTCTTCCAGCCGCGCACAGGAATTCATCACTGACCTCTCCCTCCCCGGAATGCCAAAGGCCTACGGCTCCTACGAGGAATTGGTCAATGACCCCAATGTAGACGTAATCTACATCGCAACACCGCATTCGCATCACTATCAAAACGCACGCCTGGCGCTGGAAGCTGGGAAACATGTCCTGTGCGAAAAGGCGTTTACCGTTAACGCCGCCCAAGCAAAGATTCTAGTTGATATTGCTCGGAAGAAAAATCTATTTTTGATGGAGGCTGTATGGACGAGGTTTTTCCCCCTGAGTGTGCAAGTTCGTGATATCATTCGAAAAGGGGGGGAGATTGGGGAGGTGGTTAGAGTACTTGCGGACTTGAGTATTGCGAATGCCGATGGGTTTGATGTTAGTAGTCGGATGGTAAATTTGGATCTTGCAGGGGGTGCGTTACTTGATTGTATGTCTTCGTCCTTTCCCTCTGCTGGACGGTGGTGATTGACGGCGACAGTGGGAATCTACTCCCTAACATGGGTCTTTCAAACGCTCTATCACACTCTACCACCGTCCCAACGCAAACCACCCTCTACAATCCAATCGTCAATGACAAAATACCCAGCCACAGGCGCAGATGAGGATACCACTATCCTCCTAACCTTCCCTACAACAACACCAGCAGATGATAGACGCGCATCACACGGTATAGCCACAACAGCTTTTGCGGTTCATTCCCATCCCAGGGGCACACCATCAATCCGTATCCAGGGGACAAAGGGTGAGATTCAGATTTTCGGTCCTGCTTTTCGGCCGGTGAAGTATCGTGTTGTTCCGGTAGATGAGAAGAAAGAAATTCGGGAGTGGGAGTGTGAGTTTCCGGATGGAGGACATGGGATGTATTGGGAAGCGGATGAAGTGGCGCGGTGCCTGAGAGATGGCAAGTTGGAGAGTGAGAGGATGCCGTGGGAGGAGAGTATTGTGATTATGGAGGTTATGGATGAGGTGAGGAGGCAGAATGGGTTGGTTTATCCGGAGAAGATTGAGAGTGTTGAATATCCTGTTGCGTTGTAAATTTTTCTTTTTTTTTCCCTCTACATTGAACAAAAGAATTGAACATATGATATTCATCCAACAAGTACCAAATTACTATACAATAGAAAACAAATCAAGCAGCTATATGCAAGCTCGGTTGCTTCTGCAATAGTTTCAACATATCAAACAAACCAGCCCAAGAGAAGGCTAGAAAGGACTTACTTGATCTTTGCATTATTAGACAGTCATAAGCAACGTTCATCACAGTCCAACGTGTGATGCCATGGACAAGGCAAATCTATTGTCATTCGCACTTTTATGCTCTCTCTCTCTCACCCATTTCCACACAATATATCGAAAAGCTTATTTGGACAAACCGACTTTGCTCAAAATGCTCGAGTTTGGCTGAAACACACCGAGAAGGCTCTTCCAGACCTGACCGGGTTCCTGGCTAGCGTCAATACCGCGCCAGATACCAGTCTTCTTGTAGTAGTCGACGACGGGGGCGGTTTGAGCATGATACGTGGCCAATCGCTTCTTCAAGGTCTCGGCGTTGTCGTCAGAACGTTGAATCAAGGGTTCGCCGGTAATGTCATCCTTCATTTCCTCCTTGGGTGGGTTGAAGATTTTGTGATATGAGCGTCCAGAGGCAGGGTGGACCAATCGGCCGGTTATACGAGCAACGAGGAGAGCATCGTCGATTTGCAATTCAACGGCGTGTTGGAGTTTTTCTTTGCGCGCGGCCAACATGTCGTCTAGACGTTCGGCCTGAGCCACGGTACGCGGGAAGCCGTCGAGGATAAATCTACATCGATTAGTTGTTGTCTTCTTGTTCGACCTGCTGTCGTCAACATACCCGTTCTTGCACTCGGAGTTGGTCTCGAGCTCATTCTTGATCATGTCGACCATGATCTCGTCGCTGACCAAGCCACCCTGGTCCATGATCTTCTTCGCTTCCTTCCCCAACGGCGTTTTCTTGGCAACCTGGGATCGCAGCATATCACCGGTGGCCTAGTTGGTTAGATATAGAACGTAACAGAAAAAACAATGCACTTACCAAATGGCACACGCAGAATTTTTCCTTAAGACGAGGAGCCTGAGTTCCCTTGCCTATACAAACACAATCGCGAGTCAATTGTCAGGACTCTCGGCAACTTGTCCGAGCAACCTCGAAGACATTTCTAACTTACCAGCACCAGGAGGACCCATCAAGACAATACGGAATTGTTCGGCGATAGATTTCGAGCTGGAAGCAGGGCTACCGCCGTGAACTAGACGGCTCTCCAAGTCGGCAACGCGCGCTTCCAGCTTGTGAATGACATCCTTGAGACCGTCGACGGTATCCTGCGTAATGGGAGCCATTGTATCGGTATCCGTAGGGGGAGAAAAAATCGAGAGCGCTGATCGCGAGGAAAAGTCTCTCTGGACGGAAGAAGAAGGAATTGAAAACAGGAAGAGGTCGTGGGACGAGAGAAGTTGACTTGATCAAGCTCTGATGAGAAGAAAGGAAGAAGAGAAGAAGACGGGAAGACCGACCTCGGGATTATGGAGCCTAACTATGTTACCACCTAAGCACGCTGCCAGGCCAGAGATCTAGAATGTATCTCCGCACGACCGAGCTGGTAGCACTTTATGGCAATGATTTATATTTGAGCTGGCTAAATATGATGATTATCTAGCTTATAAAGTCTCGACACTGCACAAGTATTGTATATAACCGTAAACGCTTGACGCCGGATGCCCGTGTATCCCTGCGGGGATGTAGAAGTACATCTCTGCAACTTTTATAGTTCTAGTTTAAAAATTGAATGATCAAAAATCACCAAATACTCCATAGCGACCATTATACAAAAAGAGAAGTACGTAGTAAAAATATGAGTGAGCACTGATCAGCCAGACTGATTCGGCGCCACAGCGCACGGTGTCTGCCTGAGGCAGCAGGCGGCTAGCTTAATCTTAGCTCAACAGCTTCCTTCTCTTTGCATCATTCACCATCCATCCCTCACTCACTACTCTGCTCTACAGCTCTACAGCTCCCCTAGCTATCCTAGCTATCCTAGCTTCGAAACTCTCTAGGATATTGCATCTCCCTCTTATACAGCGCCTGATATACCACCGCCGCACCCATCCACCTCGAATCACATCATGCCGGCCACCACGGCAGAGACTCTGTCCCTCGTGACACGCACAGTCTCCGTGGCACCCCTCGTCCTTCTCTCAGCAGCAGATCACTACGGCCGAACTGCCAAAGGAACCCGAAAGCGCGTTGTTGGAGTGTTGCTTGGACAAAATGAGGGCACAAACGTGAGGGTATCAAACAGTTTCGCAGGTATGTAACAGCTTGTATTGGCAGATAACTCGTACGCTGATTTCCGGTGATATAGTTCCCTTCGAGGAAGACGAAAAAGATCCCAGGGTATGGTTCCTGGATCACAACTTTGTCGAATCGATGAACGACATGTTCAAGAAGATCAATGCGAGGGAGAAGCTTATAGGATGGTACCATTCCGGACCAAAGTTGCGTGCGGCGGATTTGGAGATCAATGAGCTATTCAAGCGCTACACGCCGAACCCATTACTCGTCATTATTGATGTGCAGCCAAAGGAAGTCGGTGTGCCGACGGATGCTTACTTTGCGGTGGAAGAGATCAAAGATGTATGACTGACCGTTAGTATGATCTGATGAGGTGCTAATTATGATAGGACGGTACTACGACGTCAAAGACATTCGTTCATACACCGTCTATAATCGAGGCAGAGGAGGCGGAAGAGATTGGAGTAGAGCATCTCCTGCGCGATGTATTTATTCCTCATCATCATGCTCCAGTTGCGTAGAACGTCTTGCTAACTGCCATAGATCCGCGACGTCGCAGTCGGTACACTGAGCAACAGAATAACAGGCCAACTCCAATCCTTACAAGGCTTGCACCTCCGTCTCCGCGATATCGGGCAATACCTACAAAAAGTCCTCGACCACGAACTACCCATCAACCACGCCATCCTAGGCAATCTCCAAGACATCTTCAACCTCCTTCCAAACCTGTCCACACCCAAATCCGCAAACGAAGGGAACGGTACTGAATCCGATATTGAGAATAGCGAACTTGTGCGCGCCATGAGCGTAAAGACGAACGATCAATTAATGGCAATTTATCTGAGCAGCTTGATCCGTGCCATAACGGCATTCCATGATTTGATTGAGAACAAGATCCAGAATCGTCAACAGCAGGAAGAACTTGAGGGGAAGAAAGAGGAAGAAACTGCTACTACAGCAGGGAAGAAGCAAGATGGTACATCTGGAACTGCAAATGGAGAGCAGTCAAAGGATGAAAAGGATACAAAGGAGAAGAATTCGAAGAGGTCATAACTGTTCTGTATCCATAATCTAGGCTTGGTAGGATAAATACTAGATATGTTGATCGTTTAATGGTATTATGCAGCACAATAGCCAGCAACATCATTCACTCTCTCGGTGTCGTTGACGTTAAAGGTCAGACACTTTCTCGCGAATAAATTCGGACATTTGTCCACCAACACACAGGCCAGAATGTGTTTACACACGGGTATCGAGCGATCATCGTAGTATTCCGGGTTGCGTATTGTGCCTCCAAACCACGACTCCTCTTTTGCATCCATGGCCTCGTCTTGATGTTGAAGTAAATAATCAATCTCGTAATCCACATCTTCCATATGCCTAGACATCGCGAAACAAGCCATGACAAAAGCAGGACAGGAACAATTCCATGTCCTAAGATGGACTTGGTACTCTCCTCCTCCTCCTCCGTCACGATCAGAAGTAGCCGAAGAGGATGATTGAACGATAAACATCACTGTCTCCGCACCACTCGAAACGGCGTTTCCGGTGATATATCGTTTGACAAACCCTCTATCCAGGATATCAAGCGCAAGTAAAAATTCATTAGGGAAGAGGCAGTGTAGTGTTAATAGCAGGTTTTTGAGTTGAGTTGTGTCTGTTGCGGAGAGTGTGGTGAATATGTTGTTGTTTTCTGGGTTTGAGGGTGGTGGTGAGATTTTGGAGAGTGTGGTTAGGAGGGTTGTGAGGATGGTGTCTATTGACATTTTATTGTGTCAAGTGATGCTTATTTTGTCATGTTGCTTTGAAGTTTGGACTTTTGGGTATTTGAAAAAGGTGTGATGATTGGGATAGAGTGGTGTTGTTGAGGTAAAGTTGTAGGGCTATCCGGTGGATGATTTATGTTTACTGTCTAGGTACGAATGATATCGAAAAATCACATAGATTGAATTACATACCATCGATCTGAACAAGACAGACTGATAACTGATAGACGATGTCCAGCACCATAGATGCAAAACTCAAGCAGTGATACTCAGTATGCATTGATCAAACAATAAGACTAAAATCGAAATCTGCACGCATATTAAATAATCAAGCACGATATATAGATAGATAGATGGAAAAAAACCAAGATTAGAATAAGGGATGGCATGGTCATCTCCAAATTCAAGGATCGCTTCAATTCAACTCATTGAGTCACTCCTCACGCCGTGTGATAGATGGACGGGAAAAAAAAGGAATAGAATAACGGATGGCATGGTCATCTTTAAATTCATGAAGGTGATTGTGCCGAAATATATTCATCACGTCGATGATGATGATGATGATGATGATAGTACCGTGCACCTTATTCCCCGAAAGCGATGTGTAAACCTCAAATATGCGAATGAAGCTATCCGCCTAGATTTATGGACGGAAAAAAGACCAGGAATAGAATAAAGGATGACATGGTCATCTCCACATCCATGGATCCATTCTCCAGTCCATCTCATCTAGTCATTCCTTACACTGAGTTCTCCTTCTCGTCGGTCTACCGGCAGGTTTCGTAGAAGACTCAGCTTCAGCTTCGGCCGGTGCTGAGTTTGTCGTCTGTTCTTCTCCCTTGATTTGAATCTCCTTTGTAGCTCTGGTTGACCGTTTCTTGCCACCAGCAGCTTCAGACTTTGCCCTCGTTCTGGCCTTTTTGGGTACTGGTGCTTCGTCAACTTCTTGCTCGTCATCGGCTAGAGCTTCTTCTTCTCGGGCCCTCTTAGCTCTTCCCTTTATCTTGGTATCACCAGCTTCTCCCATAAGCCTGGCTTGAGACCTTTTGGTCTTTGGTACTGAAGCTGTCGTCTCCTCGACCTCATCTTCAGCTACAGCTTCATTCTCACAGGCTGTCTTAGCTCTGCTCTTGGACTTGGTACCTGGCTTGGCTCGAGAACCCTTGGTTGTTGGAGCTGAGTCTTGAATTTCGCCTTCGGCTAGAGCTTCTTCCTGAGCGCGCTTCTTCGCTCTGCTCTTTGTCTGTTTACCTTCCGATTGTGTGGTTGTCTTGGCTTTTGTTCTTGTTTGCGTGGCCGTTGGTGCCACAGGTTCCGTTTGTACATCTTCCGGTTTTTGTGAGGCCGCCCGAGCAGCTCTTGTTTTACTTCTTGTCTGTCTGACACCCGGTGGAGAGATTGATGGTCCTGGAGCTGCTTCAACAAGGCCCCTCTGTCCAGGAATGGGTTGTGTTGTAGCATCTCCTGTCTCTGGATGAGCTGATACTGCCAGATCCTCAATCACATCTATTGGAGTAGAAAGGTGCGTAGGGTTGGATTGCTGTGTAACATTCTCCGTAGGAGCTGACTTCCTCTCTGACAGATCGGGTTTTGAGAATGTGATCTTTTGGGACTGCTCACTTCCTGACGTCTTGGCCCACTCATCCCAGTCATCAGGTTGCCCTCTAAGAGTTTCCATGTTATCGTCGTCTGAACTCACCTGTCCTACAGGGCCTTTTGGCTGTTCCTGGGGTTGTTCCCGAGACTGCTCCTGAGGCTGCTGCCGAGGTTGCTGAGGTCGTCTTGTAGACTGAAGTGCCGTAGACGAAATTGCTCCTGGCGATTGAAGCATAGGCATTTGAAAGAGTTTCCGATACATCATCATGAAGATTCGGTACTCTTTTTCCTGCGCCTTCTTGATTCTCGCCTCCAACTCCCGTCGGGTTAGTTCCTCAGCGGGTGCATTTATAGTGTCGTTAAACCATAACCAATGCCCCTGTTGCCGCTGCTCAAACGCGCAAACATAATGTCCCGAGGTAACATCATCTCCGCCAAGGAGAATGATGCCGTACAACTGATAAGAGGCCCAGTGAACGGAGTCTTTACCGTCTTCGCTGACAATATCCGTCGGATAGCAAGAGAATACCAAGTGTTGCTCTAATCCTGCAACCTTCTGTTCTAGAAGGTTTACGTTGTCCTCTTGTACGAGTGCTGGTACATGAACGATGAGGATAGGGGGAGGGTTCAGAAATGCATAATACGCATCTTGCTTCGTTCTCTTGTCGCATTTATCGCATCTGTCCTGGTCTGGCTTCTGGAAGTGTAGGATTTCGTCAAGCTTTTGGTATTTGGGCCCGGTGCGTGAGAGTTCTCCTTTCAAGATCCAATTAGGATCCCGGCGTTTGATGCGAACATGACATTCCCGACATATTCTGATGCATATTTGTCGCAATGAAACGAGCTCAGCCCACTCACGGAAGCTTAATCTATTGATCTCAGTAATGTGTAATGACATTGCAAACTGGAGGGAACCCACAGACGGCGGATCTGGTCGACTAAACTTATCATATACTCTTCAGCATCATTCTGCTGGTCCAGATCCAAGTTGGACATGACATTCTGTGAATCTCTCCAAAATCGATCCACGTCATTGTCATACACGGGAGGATTTCTGTTTCTTAGCCAGAATCTGGTTGCGAGGTCATGCAGTCTACACAGGAGACATTCCCCCTGGTCATGATTTTCGATTATAGGATGATGGTCTGTGATCCAGTTCAACAATACGGGCGTATGGAATAGCCAAGTGAATATAACATTCCGGTAACACTTTATTGCCACATTGTTTGCATTACGTCTATTCTCGAGTGGCCTCGGTCGAGCTGTTATCGAATTAGAAGAGACTGTCCGCCAGTCATAATCGAGATACGACTGGGAATGTATCAGTTAGTGATCGATTTATAAGGGTAAAGACACACCTGTTCGTCCGCCATTATGCGAGATCTTCCCAACAGGAGACGGTTTCCCTGCGACTTTCTTCGTCGAGACTGCGACAGTTCTGAGAAGAAAGTCTCAAGAGACCCTTTGAAGATGAGACCGAATACATATGTACTTTTTTCTCCTCCATGCAAGATGTCTCGCTGCCCATCCTTTGTATGTGTTGCTGCTCTGGTGAGACAGGCATCAAAGAAGCCAGAAACAGTCAACAATGGCATCTGGATTGTGAGTTTATTGAGTGGAAGGTCATTCCCGATATCTTCATTGACTCTTTCGTTTCTCTTACAACGTCTCAAACAATGACCTTTCATCATGCTTGTCTGAGCTGCTTGTCTGAGTTAGGTTCTTCAATTCGCACTGGTCAATGGATATATAATGGATGAAATCAATAAAGACAAAGCGTTTACCTTCAACAAGCACTAGTCAAAACTGCTGCCTCCACCTGAGTTTCAAGCTCTGAATATCAGTGTTGGGCATTGTCCTGTGTCTTTCCAATGAATATTGGATTGGCCTCTACTTGATTGTCAAAGCAGTTCCACTATGCTGGTGGAGGACTGACCTTACTGCGGTCGTCCCGTAGCACCGCATGAGTTGCTGAGGGGTTTTGGTTCGGATGTTGTCATAAGTCGTCTGATGGGTGGTGAGAATAGCACCTCATTTTCGTAAGGCATACTATTCCCATGATTGAAGTCCTGGAAGGTCTTCGACCATCCGGTCTGAAGATGATCGGGGTGAGATACGACTGGCATTGGCTCATAATATCCAGCAATGCGCCACGTGTAATCAATGTAAGAAATTGACCAGTTCCGAATATGCTCATTTCCTGTGCTTCAAAGGGAGTATGAGGCTTGATGGATTCTTCAAGGCCATAGCCAGTTGCACTAGGCATAGCTGTACCGACTTCAGAATAATAATAACTGGATTGCCATTCTCGTACGTCCTGTAGGAAATATCGTGTCAACTCTAAGAGCGCTGGAACAGCTTAAATATTACTTACCAGAAAGCCTCGCCAAATAGGTCCCTTCTTGGTTCTCTGTTATAAAACCGTTCCAACGTATGCGTTTGCTCTGTAGAGTGCCAAATGGAGGTTGTTAGAAGTAGAATAACTGTAGGGATGTCAGAAAGGCAAGAGCGAGTCCCGTGACACCGTACGCAGACTCAGCCTGATATCAAATGTCACCACTCTTTCCATTTACTCCTGACCACGCTTGAACCAACCGATAAAAAGAATAACATGATAACATGACAGAAGACAATCTACAACCCCAGGAATCCTTTGACGAATTCGTAATGACCTTCACCAAACACAGCTGCGGAGGCTTCCCTAAACCAACATGTTCGCCAACACGAGAAGAGCTAAAAAAGAGATACTGCAACAAGTCAAGTCGCCTCTCAAGATAACGGTTGATGAAGACGTGGCGTTTTTTCTTTACAATGGATGCAATTCGAGAATGTCCATCAACAAATACAAAAGTGTATTGGCGCAAAGTGGTTAGGGGGAGAAATATATGTAAAGGGGTTGGACAGGATTATGGTTCGGTTTGCGATTGATATCGGGAAGGAGTGTGAATTGGTGGCTTGGATATGTTAGGTATTTCTACTTTGCTCTGTGGGTTGTTTGCCGATGGTTTATAGTGTATATCCTGTTATTCGTTATGCTGCCACGCAACACCTTCTATCAGATAAATGGGTTGATTTTCTTGACCCCGAGATCGCATATTGCAATCTCGTTATATGTGAAAGAGTGCAGCGGATCGAGAGACAGCAAGCTGGCGACGCGAGTGGGGGACATGCCAGCAAACTCAAAAAGGCTGAACAGATCTTCGACAAGCATCTACAGGAGCGGCTGTCAAGTGAGCCATGCAGACGACAATTGCAGAAAGGATATAACTCCAAAAGGACGCAAACAGAATCAAAATGATAGCTGCCTTTGCATCTGGATCAATTACACGTCGTGAGGAGCGACCAGAGAGGAGATCGTCGTTTCAGCGCGGTCTCATAAAGACGATACACGATATACTCGATCAGGCTCGACAGGGGGAGGTCAACCGTACCCAAGAAGAAAAACCAGATACAATGCTTCATCCAGGATCCCGGATATACAGATATGGATTGGGAAAATCCTTTAGGAAAACTACAGAATCGCAAGCGTACTACTAGACGATCCAGAAGGACTTCTACATATCGACGACTCGACACTTGCTTGTCCTTTCATTCTCGCCGAATGTGCCCGTGAAGCAGATCGTAGTCGATATCGCCGAGCCAGCCGTCATGATCTGGAACACGATTGAGGACGTAGCCCGCATTCTTTCTTGCATTCTTTCGTTCGTGCCGTGTTTCTAACAAGCTGTTTCAGGACGGATCCGGATTCGTGTCGGGTGAGAGAGAAATCCGATCCATCGGTTCTATGAGCAGATCGAGTTTCCAGAGGAGGAGGAGGAGGAGGAGGAGGCGCATTTCGGGGACGTTTCTATCTATAGAGCGAATCCTTCGATGGGTGTTCCATGACGATTCTTCATGCAGTCGCAGGATGATACCGTCACGTATCGTCAAAACAACAGAAGATAAAGAACTGATCCTTTACTCCGTAGGCGTATACCGAGCTCTAACCGAGCAGCCCTAAGACGCTAGTTCCCAAGGTAGACAGACGACCGATTAGTGCGACGATCACATGTTTTACTTCTTTAGAATGAATGAATTCGGTGGTACAGAGTAGAAGACGTTCTTCAGGCCCTCTACGACAGGAGATAAAACAGAAACAAGTCAAACAGGACGATCCTCATAAGAGCGGTCTAGTCATAGTCCATTGTAATAGATTAGTTCGTACTTAGTACTCCGTGTATGACTTGAACTTACGATAGCTAATAAAGAGGATTCGTATGTATTTATTAGTATTCTAATAATTATAATTATTATTGCCTCATTTCGGACTGTACAGAGTCCCATGGGGCTAATACGTCGTTGTACATACTAGTACAGAAAAAGAAAAGCGAAAAAATTCTCCGATAGGGTTACGTATATATTTAGAACAAGCCGTCTTGCTCGAGAGACCAGAGGGGGGCGTTTGTTGAAGATTAAGTACGGAGTCACTCCGTATGAAGATAAACGTGTACAGACTTTGACCTGCTTCGGAGTGCTCGCGCCAATCAGATATTTCATAAGCTATGCTGCACGTGATACGGCTGCTTAGTCAGTCAGAAAGTACGCAAATTGGTTTCTTTTCTTTACAGAGAGTGTACTCCGCCGTAGGGGCAAGGATAGCGCCGTACACCGCCATAAAGGATGGTCTCAAGAACTGGAGGAGTCTTGCTATAAAGTATAAACTCATAATGGGTTTACAGAGATCGGCGTGTCTCAACTTCGTCATTTGATACGGAGTACTCCGTAATACTAAATGAGGCGGGCGCGGGATCTGAACGCTGGCCCCTCTGGTCTCTGGGCTAGAAACACAGCAACAGGGTTAGGGTTGAGCATGAACTAACGTGTGCCGTTGATCAACAAACACTGAAACAGCACCGATCATATGTATGCAGTCAGTCAGTCAAGCGGTGTGTCACCGCTGGTTATGCAGTTAAATCGACATTGTTATATCAGGATGCATCAATTAGACAAGGGATCCCTGTCGAGATGCGTGTGTTGCCCCAGAGGAGAAATACTTCCGAATCGGACTAGGGTATGGACGTTTAGCCCTAACTCTACGACAATACCAACACTAGAGAATCGATCGCGAGGCTGTACTCCTCCTACACGCGGATATGATCTCTCTTATTACCCTAGCCGAGCTTCCTCCGTATAGACTCTTATTGCGTTCACTCCGTACAGAACGAGCCTCCTGTTATTACGCTGAAACATCCTGATAATAAATAAACAACTAGGCTGATCTCGGACATTTTCAGCCAACCAGCACTGCGGTCAGCCGAGGTTGGCCCTCTGAGTGGAGGGCTGTGGCAAGGGTCCAGCCGCTACTGACCGTTGAACTTATCCACAGTTCGTTTATTGCAATCGATCTGATTCTGCGATTTTAACTTCTCGCTAAAGCGTGAAAAACAAGAGAGGAACATGTTCGAACTTGTTTGTAATTTCCCGTCGAAAAGGTGTAACCCTGTAATCTCATTTATCAAACCATGGAGCCGGTCCTTTAATTTGATACAGAACTTGTCAGGTTTTCTGTAAAACACATCGGCAGACTCCGCGATACGAGACGAGTACGTACAGTGAGTAAGTAGTATGTTGGCGAGGTGAGTTCGCTAGCCTGAACCTCAAACGTGGCGTAGTCAATCGTATCGTTTTCATGCTATCGTCTGGCGGGGTTCGGAATGTGTCCGCTGTTGTTGTTAGGCAGTGACAAAGTACTGGAGTAATGGAGTAACCGGTCGACGTGAGAGAGAGATGGAATTAATGCAACCTGGAACACCGTAAAATGTAGCAGTGACACGAGCATGATTTCAACCTCAGCATGGATCATGGTTGATGGGGATCACCAATGGAGACGGCCATCTGCCCTGTCTGCTGCTCGACTCAAGACGATCCACTGTGGATTAAGTATCTTACTACCACAATTAATCATACTACTATCACTACGTTGGTTTAACTAAATGCAGCTCATCTTAAGCATCCAGAACTACGTACTAGGAAGCTCTCTCTGTGGAGGTTAATCTTACAGTACGACCTTGCTCGTAACCATAATTCCCGGTCTAGAACTTTTCTCCTCTTCTGCTTTTTCTCTTTCCTGCTCTATTCACTCGTGCTACAACTGGCCGTTACTCAATTGATTGGGCTGATGCATACAACAACTACGACTACGACTACTTGTACCGTCTGGCTATAACACCGATAATATCATCACATCTTCTACCTAACCCAATTTGAAAACTGCTTGCTTTCCAGCAAAACAAACGAAACCTCAGCAGTCCAACCCTGTCGACCTGCCCAAACCAGAGAGACTCATCCCAGTCTATTATCCATCGTCGTTCAAAGGCGATCCACCCGCTAATCCCGAACCCTAAGTCCCTATTCAACGATCCATCCACCTCATCTCATTTCCAAGCTGAACGAAGTTCTGGCCCGACTCTTCAGCATCAACCTTGGATCCTTGACAGGACGGACCATCCCAGTTATCGTTATTTGGAATACCTGAAACAAGGAACAAATTCCCAAGGCACTGTTACCTCTTCTACCTTATTTTATTGCCTTACCTTGCCCTATCGACATTGATTCTGTCAGACATCCGATTGGACATTGTCACATCAGGTACTACTACCTCCTTTTCTACTACTACTACTACTACGACTACTACTACTACCTTCCCCTTTCTTTCTTTCTTTCTTCCTTCTTCTTAAATGTTGTTTTATTCTCCCGTCTCCTGCTCTTCTCATTTCTGACTGGCTCAGATATCCAACTGTTGCAGCAACAACAAACTCTACAGCCACGCCTCGTCCAGCCTATGGGATTGATGATCTCTCGCATTGCCACAACAACTTACATAGTTGTTCTAACTCACCACGACAAACAAGCATTATCCATGTTGCCATAACCCGTTACTCTTAGAAAGAAAAACAAACTAATCTGTTACGACTGATTTGGCGATTTGGTTCTGGTTTGATACAACGGTACATCCGGCCTGCCGCCTACTTACTTTCATGTTTTCGATATACTCATCAAACCGTCCAACAACAAAAAGAAAAAGACACACTTATGCTCCTCATACATCCTCCACCGGCATATCCCATATCCTCCGCCAAAGTGGATATCTCACTGTTACTCAAACCTGACGATGAAGAAGAAACTCTGCTTCATCAACAGACACATCATCAACAACCACCACCACCACCACCACAACAACAACAAAATCGTCCATCTTCTTCGAGGATGTTAGCTTCTGGTCCAGCTCCAAGAGTAGTACCACCAGGATCCGCTCCAATGACACCAACAACGCCAGGACCACAACCAAAATCTTCGGCGGGGGGCATTCTAGGCTCAACACCAACAACAACAACAACAACAGCAGGCACAAAACGACATTCGTCGTCTTCACTTGGGAATGAACCACCGGCTAAAAAACAGTCTAAATGGTCGCCCGAGGAAGACGCCCTGATTATCGAGTTGCGTGGTAGAGGTATGAAGTGGGAGGATATCAGTAAGAAATTACCCGGTCGAAGCGCGATTAGTTGTCGGTTGCATTATCAAAATTATCTCGAGAGGAGGAGTGAGTGGGATGAGGATCGGAAGAATAAGTTGGCTCGATTATATGAAAGGTACGTACTTTTTTTCTTCTTCATTTTCAAGTGTTAGAAAGACTATGTTCTGTATTAACGAAGGCAGATTCAAAGCGGAAATGTGGGCAAAAGTCGCAGAGGAAATGGCTATTCCCTGGCGAGCCGCTGAAGCTATGCATTGGCAACTGGGTGAACAGGAAATGGCTCGTCGCGCCGGTGTTGTCCCGTTCTCCCTGTCAAGCGGTTCCTCGATTGAGCCGGCGCCAAAACTTCGTCGAAATACGACGACGACCGTCATGCCTCGACTCAGAAGACAATCCATGTCTGTCGCCGGTGTTTCGCAGCGTTCTATGCCTCCTCCTCATCCGTTGGCGATACCGCAGGGAATGCCTCTTCAGGGACTACCGCCTCAACTACTTCCGCCAGCACATCATCCGCCTCCACCTCTGCCTCAACCTCAACCTCTTCCTCAGGGTCAATCTCAGGGTCAACCTCAACTTCCATCCGTCGAAGAACTGACCGCCGGCGTGCCAGCGTATAGCTCTTCACACACACAGCCCATCATCAATCCGTATCATCAAGGAGCTCGACCACAACAGCCTCCGCCGATGAATCTTCCTCATCCTCAATCTGATCTTCCCGGCATGTCACCGACTCGAACGAGACCATGATTTTGACATAGATAACCCATAAACATAGTTCATGATTTGTTTGCATAGCAAAGGAAAAACGAAAAAGGAGGAATCCGTCCAATTAGCGAATAGTTTTGGTTAATGGTGGGGGGAGGATATTTGTTTGATTTGGGTTAATGATCATGCGCGTGCTTTTTTCTTTTTTTTCTTTTTTTTTTTTTGAGGATATGACGATTGATACCACTTTTGCGGGCGATTAGAATAGATGTGTTGCAGTCTGCAGTGCATACTGGAGAGGAGAACAGGGCGAAAGATCAGCTGCCGGCTTGTGTTGTATGGAAAGGAGAGGAGGCTCTCGACGCAATCGCCCACCAATTATCCTTTTCATATCCAGATTCAATCACCACACCACCTGCGGCACGAATATCTCTTTCAAGCTCGTTTTCTTCATATAGATGATAAAATCGGTGGAATATTTTGTCTTGTGCCTCGGCTTTGTCCTGGTTTGATTCTTCTTGTCCATACTTATGTTTCGTGACAGCGGGCTTGTTGCGCATAACCCAGGGAACCATCACATCTTGCTGGTGACCTTTATCCCAGCCTCGACGGCTAGATTTTTGCTCCAAGGCCCAGACGTAAATCAATGCTTTTCCCCCGCCAGTGTCAGCTGGTTTGAGTGTTTGCAGAATAGCTGATATAGCTTGTCTCCTTCGCTCCGGTGTGGAAAGGTGATGTACCACGGCAATTGAAATGGCAAAATCAAAATAGGACTCGGGATGCGGCAGGTTGAGAATGTCTGCGACCACGGTTGAATGAGGTTGATGTTGCGTGGCGATTCGAACTAGGGCTTCGGATCTGAATCATGTATATTAATGACGGTCTGAGGAAAATCTCAGCTTATAGGGGCGTACCTGTCAGACGCGATTATGAATACATTCTGATTGACTTTTAGATATTTCCCATTTCCGCAACCGATATCAAGACCGATTGAGCCTGGGTTTTGCTCGAGAAGGAATCGTTCGACAATTGGCCATGGCTGCTGTTCTATTAGGACTTGATAGACAGAGAGGGGGGCAGAGACATACCTTGTATCTCGTCTCGGAAAAGTGACTAGCAATCTGCTGATACACTTCATGCACGAACTTGGACTCGTACTCTTCGGCGTCGGGATTAGATTGTTCTGGTGTGTCTTGAGACTCTGTCATGTCTATTGTCTATGAAATGAGATGAAACGTGAAGTTGAAAAATAATCGCTTATCGATACGCAGAAGTAGAGAACTACCTACCCCACATGCTCCTCCCCTCTCTGACTCTCCTCTCTGACTCCCCGCAATCGACAATTTCTGGTTCAGGAGATTCTCTTTCTTCATAAACAACATTACAGAACCAACATGTCCTTTCAACCAACGCCTGCAGACGTCTCGGTCATTATATCGACGGCATCAACACATTCGAGCAACGAACCATCTCTCGCTACAGAACGACGCATCACGCCGTCATGGAGCATAAGTCAACTCAAGGGGAAGCTCGAGACCATGACTGGTGTTCCGCCAGGTAGTCAACGGTTATTATTCAAATCTCCCGGAAGACCGGATCAGTGGATCGAAGGAGAAGATAGACAGATTTGCGAGTGGGGATTAGCGAGGGGATGCGAGATTGAGGTTTGTCGAGATCTCTAAATGCGAGACAGGATTAATATAGATAGGTCCACGATACACGTCCACCAGCAGCACGGCCCAATTTCGAGGATCTGTCGTCCGTGGAGAAATATGAACTACCACCCGAAAAATACGAGTCGCTGAGTAATTCTGTGCTTGCATGGAAAAAGTCGCAGAAATTAGGCAGATTTGACCCTAACGCGCAGTCCCCGGAAGATCTTTTGAAGGAACAGGTAGCAAAGGATGTTGAGGCAATTGGAAAAAGAAGTAGGTCTACAATTCGATAGTTCGAAAGACTCGTCTAAGGAATGGCAGATATAAAACTCCTCTCTCGAGTGATCATTCTCCCCTCCTCACCACCGCATATCCGTCGCGGCACAATTCGATATATCGGTCCAGTCCCCGAAATCCCCTTTGCGCCGCTCAAGGATAATAAAAAAGCCACAACTGAAGATGGCCATCCGCTCGAACCGTTATGGGTGGGCATTGAACTAGACGAACCCACAGGTAAAAATGATGGAAGTATAGCCGGGAAGAGATACTTTGAATGTTCCGGGAATAATAGAGGAGTATTTGTGAAGCCGGAGAAGGTGGAAGTAGGTGATTTTCCGCCGCTGGATGATGATTTGGAGTTGGATGATGATATGGAGGAGATTTAGTATGTTTACACCTTTACAGAGAGATGTGATCAAGCTAACGGTTGCAGGATACGATACAAATAAAATGTCAATTGAATACAGATATTATTACCGAATCATCACATCATGACCTATCAATCGCAGAAAACTGACATGGTATCAAAACATGTCAATCATTCAACACCCTCGACCTGATAAACCGTCACTATAAACTTGCTCACTCCATCCTCCACCGTCGCATTTGCAAACGCTTCAATCCACCCCATTTTGTCTGCCGTATCATATTTGTGGCAAACATCAACCTCCCATTCCGGATACGTCTTGGGCACGATTTTCGCGGACACGGACGAATCGGCACATGGATGCCAGTCAGATGTGAAATCGTTTCCTGTACAGGTTGTGTTGAAACCTGGGTTGTTGGGACCTGCGACTCGGGTTACGGCGAACTTGTAGACGCACGCGGCCGGGGAACAGCCGACTGTGAAGTTGGAGACGGGCCAGATATCTGTTGCTGTGTTTGATGTTGTTCTTTTGGTGATTGGGCTGGCTGTGGTGACGGTGGCCAGGGCCAGGAGGGTGGATGTAATTCTCATGGTGATTTGTCCGTTGCAGTAATTGAACGTGATTACTCAGTATCGATCAATTGATTCGAGTAAGTATTGATTGAAGTTGAAGATTATTTGTTTGAAGTACAATTCATGAATAGAGCAAAAGGAGAGACAAAGATCTACATATAAATCACCTACATCAAACGATAATCCCTTCCAGCTATGATAAGCTATGATATAATTAGACCAAGACACAAGTATAAACAAAGCATGACAAGTGAGTCAAGAAGTAATAATCCCAGCCAGTTCGTCTGGTATTATCATTCAAGTAATGATCCGACCTACCAACTCAATCAGCCCGAGACATACCAGGAACCAGCCACCCAATATCCACAAAACTGATCTTATCAGTGTATATGCTTGGTTCAGTATCACTGGAGCAGCTTGCAGAGGGAGGGGAAAAAAACACGTTGAATATGACTGAATCCTCGCCAATAAGAGACATGTATTCGGATAGATCGGCTTTGTAGATCGTTTTGGTCGCAGAAACACAGCCTGGTGATCTGCCTGCTAATAGAATCCGGTCAATTGGACTGTAGAGGAAAGATTCCTTTGCATGATGTAACTGGTACCTTCTAAGTTACTGGCTGAGTACCCATGAATGAATGCATAAACACATGGCTATCCCTGCTCTTAAGTTACCTAAGTAGGATATCGGTGGAGTATCCTGCAGGTCTCAATATGTTGTGTTTCTTAGCAGTCATGTATAGGTACATAGATATAGGTAGGTAGGTGCAAGTACATAAAAATAGATTCAATAGTAGATTTATCTGCGTTACATTCATATGTACTTCGCAACATAGGACTGCTTGGACAGTGCTGATTAGGGCTTTCTCAGAACAGGGCTAGTGTTGTCACTTGCCCAAGATGGCAATTTCTCCCATGTCTTTCCACAACAGAACAATGAATGGAATGGAACCTGTCATACTGTTACTGACGTTGATAAAAGGTATTCCAATCACTACATACGGTACTGGCTAGACAAAATCAACTTCATACATAGGGGGTAGTCATCAAACCAATCACCATACTCCATAGACAAGTACCAAGTAGATAAACAATTGTATAACGCCGTATACGATAGCAAAACTGAATCAAGTACTACGTGCCATACTTATCTGGCAGCAGCTTTTCCACGCCCACGCCCTCGACCTCTACCTTTGCCAGCTGGAGCAGCGGCTTTGCTATTTTCTTCAGGCTCGGGTTCGGGTTCTGCCGCGGCAGGCGCTTTTGATGATTGTGTGTTTTCATGGTCGTTGTCATTGTCGCTTCCATTGGGCATGAATGCTTGTGTGAAGAATAGGCGGGCTTCTTTGGGTGTCGTATTTGCGAAGCTGTAGTGGTTGCCTGCGCACTCAATTAGTATTGCCATATCCAGTGTTTGGAATCGAAGGATTACCGCGATGAACTTGGAATATACACCCCTTGCCCGCCGTAAATTGAACTCCGTTGATATCAACTTGTACCCTTCCATAACACACGTAGAATACCATGTGCATTCTCTTCGAATTCTTTGGTTTCTTGACACCCTTTGCTGGAAGTTCCACAATTCCACTGCCAAAGAATGGTTGACTGAGTAGTTTTGCGACACGGAATGTGGAATCTTTCACATCTCGTGTTTCGATACCAGAGGGAGAGAATGCAATTTCTGTCCTTTGTCAGTATACTCCTCCCCCAATTGAGACGTGTTGGGAAAGAAAAGCAAACCTGATATTTCTTCCTCATTCGAAGCAGCCTGCTTATCTGAATCCCATTTCTTGATATATCCATGCAACACTCCATCTTCGGCTTCCCACTTATCCCTCTCATCTTCATCATCATCGGAATCGTCCTCTTGTTTCTTCGACTTTGATTTCTTCGGCTTGCGCTTCTTGCCTGGTTTCTTCTCTGGCTCAAGTTCTTCTGTACGGATAATCTCCTTGATCGTGGATAATGGATATCGTTGTCCAACATCTGCTTCTCCATCACCGTAGACGCATCGCTCGTTACGCCAATACGCCAATGGACGCACTGACACTCGGCCTGAACGAGTATGCGCTGCTTGCTGGTCGGTTGGAACCTCTCGTTTCAATATATAAAGGCTGCGACCTTTCAGAGGCCCAGTGCGATTGACATGGTTCTCCACAACTTTCTCCAGCTGTGGATCCAGAGGTTCTCTTGACTTTGGCTCTGCCTTGGATGACTTGGCCTTTTTCGCTGGTCGTTGGTCGTTGGTTTTAGCTTGTGCACCCTTCTCGACTTGCGCCGTTTGAGGTCGTCCTCGTCGTTTGGGCAGACCTTGTGGTCTGTCCTCAGCTTCCACATCTACATCATCATTTGTAGCTGGAGATTTTCGCTTTTTGGTGCGCGAACTAGCTGCTGGAAGGGGCGATGGTTCCTCTTCCGAGTGGTCGTCATTCTCGACATTGACAGTATCTGGTGCTTCACCAGAATCATCCCCATAGCCATCATCGCTAATCTCGTGAACGCCATAATCCTCCTCCATAGGCTCATTCTGGTATGCGCTAATGTCATTAACTTCCTCCTCTTCCTCTTCCTCCTCGTCATCGTCCTCATTGATGGGTAAATTTTCGTCGTTCGCATACCCATTCAAAACACCTTTTTGTCGCGACCCGTTTGATATAGGCGCTGTATTAGGTCGACGATCATTGAGTGGTTGACGCGCAGAGGTTGTTTCATCTTCACCTACCCTACCCCTCCGCTGCCGAGCAGACGTCGGACTAGAAGAGACATTATCAATTTGCACAATAGGTGATGATCGTAACGCTGGAGTACGTCGCGGAGATCCACTCAATCCGCTCTTTCTTGGTGATCTGGCGATAGGTGGTGGAAAAAATGGGGAACGACGAGTAGCTGAACGAGAGAGAAAATCTGTCGGACCAGGGCCGTCTTCTGAATTTATGCATTAGCTGTCTGTACCCTGACGTTGTATATGATACGCCCCAGCTTACCTTCGTCTATAGACATGCCTTCAGATCCCATCACTGTGTCATTCCCTGTATTCAGTCCGTTCATCCGTACGGGCGACCTCTCTGGCGAAGAGAAAACACCATCTAATTCCTCCATTCCATGCTCGTCTCGTCGACCTTCTTTGAGTGTGATACCCGTTCTCCTGCAGGCAGTCAGTTTCGCAATCGCTATCCTCAAGTGTGGGTGCTGTTTACCTTCCCTGTTTACCAACATTGGAATAGTCATAGTCGCGAGCTTTTGCAACCCCCCGGAGAGCCATGGTGAATTAGATATTTCCGACGCAGTGCTAAGTCGAGTGAAGCTGAGCGACCGTATTTACAATATCAACAACAGGCATTTATCGAGCATTGACTGCGACAACTGAATCGAATGCTCAAAGCTCAGTGTATCACCTTATCGTCCATAAAAGAAAGTCGTCGATGCGCGGAACGTGCCAACAGCTCGTAGGCATGCGCTAACCCGATTAGTCTCGACGCGTTCACGTCGCACGACCAATTAAGCCCATCCTTTTATTTACCACTTCACATTTACGAGTTCACGATATCGATACACAGCGTTCAACATATAAAATGGCACGAACAAGCAATAAAAACAAATCCAGAAACAATAATAATGCCTTTGAAGACACGACCGGAGCTCTATCCTTCATCCCGCCAACCATCAACCCTACTCCTCTCCTACAAGGACAATCATACACAGTCTACTCCCCTTGTCCCCAAGCAATACAACCCATAAACCCAACAGCCATAACAACAGACGACACGAACAAACCCACAGAATGCGTCCTGGGTGTCGACGAAGCCGGCCGCGGCCCCGTTCTCGGTCCCATGGTCTATAGTGCATTCTACTTACCGAAAGACCTCGAACAATCGCTCCTTACGCAGGAACACAGTTTTGACGATAGTAAAGTGCTTACGCCTGTTGTGCGTGCGCAATTGATGCAGTCGATATGTACGCCTGGTCAGTCTTTGCATGATTCATGCGGATGGGCTGTGAAGTTACTCTCGGCACGGGATATATCAGCTGGTATGATGAGACCTGGTATGGGGATATACAATCTAAATGCGCAGGCTATGGATGCTACGGTTGAGATTATACGGGGCGTGTTGAATGATAAGCATATTAATGTGACGGAGATATATATCGATACGATTGGAAACCCGGCAACGTATCAGGCGAAATTGCAACGACTGTTTCCGACGTTGAGTATAACGGTTGCTAAGAAGGCGGATTCGTTGTATCCGTGTGTCAGTGCGGCTAGTGTTGTTGCCAAAGTGACGAGAGATGTTGCATTGGAGAGTTGCTATAGGGCTTTCTATCAAGAACCAAGCCAGAAGACTGTCGATGGAGACACAAATATGATGGAATCATCCGAGACAATACCACCTTCTGTATCGAAAGTAGAAGAATTAGGGTGGGGAAGTGGCTACCCCTCCGACTCGAAATGCGTCAATTGGCTACGACAGAATATGGACTCTGTATTTGGCTGGGGAAATGAATGCAGGTTCAGCTGGGGAACTGCGAAGGAGATGCTTGATGGCAAGGATGCTGTCAGAGTGGATTGGCCTGCTGATGAAGATGAGGGAGCTGGACTCGCTGATTTTCTCTCGGGGAACCACGTGTCTGGGACGACGGGGAAGGCTGATGATGTTGGGAATTGGTACGGGACGAGAGTTACTGCTTTTTGAAGTAATGGAATAATAGCTTGATATGACGATTATGTATGATATATCTGGAAGAACGCCTGACGAAAATCAAAGTCATTAATACAAAATACAGGTATAATAGCGAAAGGGACAGCAAGATCTAAAGAGTCGCGGTCGAAAAGTAGTAGTTATCCCACAGATATTCGTAATCGTCCAATAATGTACCAACAATATCCAAAAGAGGCTTGCCCTTGAGTCTGTCGGCAAAACCGCTAATCCACGGCCTGAAAAACTTAGCAATGAACCATACAAGGCAAACAAGGATACGTACCTGGTAAAATTCTCATAGAAAGCACCGCGCATCAGCCACCATCCCATCGCCCATCCTCTCTTCTTCAACTCATCTCTTTCCAGGCCTGTCAATCCGCGCAGACCGCCCGCAGCACGTTCGGCCAAATCCCTCTTTGCGAGTTGTCGACTTCCGTACTCCAATGCGAAACCGATCAACCAAGGACTCCAGCTTCGCTTATTCTTGGACCATCTCTGCATTGCCAACGCATATATGACCGGTCTCAAGATATAGAGAATCTCAGCAAACTGTCCTTGTCCAGAGACACGATGGAGCAGAGACGGAGGAGTCTTGACATCGTCCGCTGTGAGGACTTTCGAAATGAGATAGTTGGATATATCGCTTGCGTCTGGTAGACTAGGTAACGTCAGACCTGTCCGAGGCATAGTCCAACTAATATCAGCCGAAGACGACGACGACGACGCCACCTCTTCCGGCGCCGTATCCATTCCATTCCAATCTCCTACAGACGCTTCCTTCTCCGCATCCGCTGCACGAGGATCCGTCTCCCTCTCCGGCAATGGCGGACTAACCAGCGGTCTCGAATTCGTCAACCGTAACAATAACAACCGACAAACAGCCTTTGCGAACTCGATGATCATAATAACCCGCCATCGAACCTTTTCGCCGCGACGGCGCGCGGTCATTTCCCATAGTAATTCGGTGTATTGGATGATTTGTAGTGTGAGGGCTAGTTTGCGATAAAAGGGGGATTTGGTCGTCCAGTATTTTGTGTATCGCGTGTGCGGGGAGGGGATGGGACGAGGGATGGTGGAGGGGAGTTGAGAGATGACGCGCGAAACGAGGGAATCATGGTATAGAGATAGGAGTTGTACGCCGGAGTGGACTACCATAATCAGTTTGTATTCACGAGTTTTCTATGATGAATTTCATACCACATTCTGAGGGTAGCTCGGATTCTCGAAATCGGCCTGTTCTCGATGGTTAGCCCTGCACATAAATATTCATCGAGATATTTCTACCAGGAATTATATATGTAAGAGACCGCAGCGCCGATTCTACCTGATTCACTGTATTGACGTTCTTGGTCACAAAGTTCTCGTATGACGATACCCATTTGGATGGTCGCAGGACGTCGGCTTTGAGTTCACGGAGTGTTTCGCGATGAGACTCCATTTCTACCTATAGCCCATCAAATTATGTCAGTTAGTTAGTCGCGCATGAGGAGTATCGGTACTAACATATCGTGGTGTCTGGTATGAGAGAAGCACGCGACGAGTTGCGCATTGCTGGAGTGGCTGGTATGGACGGATCGTGCACATGTAGGAGAAGCTCGGCTTGCTTCCGACGCTACGGACCGAGGTATTTCTAATGATATATCTATCTACATACAAATTCCCATGCAGGTATCAATAACTACAACTGAAGTAGTCTAAATAATACTACCTGGGAGTTCATGGCAGAACTACATGTCTAAGATAGTTAATTCAGTTCAGTTACATATATATTAGGTAAGTCAAGTCCTGTGACAGACCTGGTCATCTCATCATAGCTAACCTCGAAGCTTCAAGTAGAATGATATTATTGTGAGAATCAGTATCCTATATATATTCTACGATAAAGCACAATATTACATTCTATGTAGTATGAGAATTGCCAAAACGAGGTTAAGATTACTGCTATCTGCTCCCAAGATGGAGTGATTCATTTGTGATATCCCTCTACTATACAGACTTTGGGGTTTTTGCAATCTGACTACGCAGCAGTGTTCTGCATACCTCAGGTCAAATGTAGAAGCGTAACTATTTCCATCAGCTGGAGCACTCTATACCCATTTGACTGGGTATGTTTAGTATGCTTAGTCAAACCTTTTTCGTCCCTAAGCGTGTCAAGAGCAGGCAAGTTGTTGATACTTAGGGCTAAGGGGTGTGAAGATATTGATTTGGAGGCTTCCAACACAGTAATGGCAAGCTGTTTGATCTCATTTCAATCGGGGTCTCCTTCCCTCCATCCACCGTCTTCCTCATCCTCATCCTCATCCTCTTCCTCTCCTCTCCTCTCCTCTCCTCATCTCACCCTTACCCTATCCTCATGCTCGCACCCTTTACATTCAAATGAATAGTTCTGGCGTCGTTTCTTCGGCACACAGGCCCTGATCCGCGCTATCAGGGGGGCCCTGCCCTGCACTTGGACGAAGAAGTACTGCACCTGCCCACAGGGATCCTGCGTCATAAACTCTCCTAGTGAAGTCCAAAACCGTGAGAAATGTGGCCACCCTATGGCTGACCACAAAGACCATGGTAAGCCAGTCTTCCTATTATTGGTGTATACTGCGTCTAATTTTACTGCCCTACAGACGAGTCTACGGCCACACTCACCGTGAAATGCCCACCAGCCCACGTCTTCAACCGAAAAGGTGAGTAACTGTTTATCAAGATGTGTTCTAGGATGAAACTAATACACGTAGAATTTGTCGGTCCCATTGCTGAGCGTGCTGAACTTATAGAGGAAGTTTTTGCCCGCCTAACCCTCATATCATCTATCGTGTGATGAGGTTCCATCCAGCGCAACAGATATCCCTGAATCCCAACCATTCTGTGGTTCCGAAATACAAGCCGGTTTGTCTGCTCATGAGTGAATACGAAAGCATGAACCTTATTGGAGATGTCATGTGGATGTACCACTCGTCATATTTCTCTGTATCTATAACAGAATATTTTAAGCGTGGTGCCTGGCAGCTCACTCAGGGTCATGCAGAACTGATCACAGCATTCTGCTATACTCTAAAATGTTTAAACGTATGTTATCCTCGGTTTCAAGCTATTTATTCAGCACCGATCAGTTGACTTATCTCGATGCTTCCCATATTAGAGCCTTTATCCATATAGACACCGTAAAAAGATTAACTGGGAAACAATCACCAATATTGTTCTCGAAGACCCTGATATGTTGTTCGAAAGAATCCGTTGGTGATTAGTGAGAAAGCTCCCTGAAATCCACGACTTGCAGGACCCTGTTGTCGCTAGGGTCCTTAAACAAGGCATAACATCAAACCACGGACTCGTCCAGTCATCGTTTGCTCGAGGAAGCCCAGAAAGGAAGGCTCTTAAGTTCATGTGGACCAAGAGCTGGCTGTATGCACAATAAACTGGAGAAAACAAGACTCAGTATGTTTTCGCTACAGAGTTTCACGAAGGGTAATTTGATGGTCCCTGAACTGTTCTATCTTGCTTCTCATATAATAGTATAGGTTTTTCGTCAAGGAGCCAACTAACGGAACCGGATCGGTCTCTGAACCATGATAGTCGACTCTATCGGGTTGTTTTCAGTACTAAATCCGTTCATACCCTTCGTGCAGACCTCGAGCTCGAACCAGCGTTCTCTTGTTGGGCAGCCGCTCTATTGATCGTATGCTCATTTCTTAGTTAGCCTTTCTAATAAACAAGTTGTCTTCTCTCGCTTTGCTTTAGAGACAGTAGGGATGATTTAAGATGAAGTACAAATTCGGTACAGAGTGCTTTAGCGTATTAGATACTGTAGAACCTGGCTATAACGAACAGAAGGCCTCCTAAAATAGCTATTCAACCTCCATATCGACAAGAGTCCGTAGCACGCCTTGCGTAAGCAGGTCCTCATTTACTAGTTACTACACAGGTACAACGTGAAGTAATTAACTGTACGAGCAATAGACATATTCAAAGTACATATACACAGTCACTTACAACAATATTACCCCGAAAATAAAAGTACTAATAGAAATCAAAACTCATCCGCAAATTTCCAAAGCCCATCTGGCTTCATAGCTTCTTTCATCCTCTCTAGCACCTTCTCACGCTCCATCTGATCAGCCTCCATGCGATCCTTGGCCTGTTCTTGCGTAGACGGCATATCCGCCCGCCAAAATCCCGGGGGCGTGCGACCACGTTCATAAGCATGTCTATGCTTCCCAAATCGATCCGACAATTCTTTCGCTTTTGCTTCAATCAACAACCCATCCATCACCTCCTGGGAGCGAGTCAATTTCTTCATTAGGTGGTTGTGGTCTTCTCCCAGATGGTTTTCTATTAGAGTCTTGTGCTTCGAGGGTTCGTATTTGATCCCTTGTGCTAGAACCATGGCGCGGAACTTATCTCCGCAGCAATCACGTTCCATGCATCCGGGGAGACATTTGCGTAGATCGGAGCGACGGACGACGTCTTTGAAGGCGAAGTCAAGGCCCTGGTTTCTTGCTGGATTGGGCTTGAAGTGACTGAGGTCGAGGCAATCCACAGGTAACTCTCTGAAAGGTACGGACTTTATGATTGCTTCCCAGTCCGGTTCAGGCGTTGGGTCTGGTTCGGGCTGAAGCTTCCTTTTCGGGGCACGCGCACGACGTTTATCGACAGCGTTCTGGCATTCTATTACCGTCTTAACAGATGGAATCAATATGTCGAAAATCTTCCAGTCTGACCCGGAAACAGGGTTTGCCGATTGTGCTAGGTTAGGGTTCCCAGGTCGATCCAGTGCAGGACTCTGCCTCTGGGGACGTGCTGCCAGAAGATCATCAAGTCGTCGGTGTGCGTCTGGATTCCGAACCGACGGTTTGGAAGGTGTCTCGTTCTCAATATTGCTAGCTTTCCCCGCTGCACGGATATAGTTTCGATCCTCCCCATCTTGAGCGACTGTGTGGATTGCGGATGCCCCGCTATCGCCAGTCCTTCTCCGTTTGACTGCAGACTCTTCTGGTGTCCTGAATTGATGGGGTAAATTCGTGTCTTTGGGTTGAAAAGCGCGGCACTCTCCGCTTTGAATGTTGGGAGTAAGAACCGGTCCCTTATTTTGTGGTCTAGAGCTGGCATCTGTGAAAACGGCAACTCGCCGGCTCCGGGGCGTAGTCACTGCATCACCCACCTCGTCGAGATCCAAAGATCCACTCGGAATTATCTCCTGGGGGAAAGATGGTTCTTGTAGAGATCCAAAGGAAAGGGGTTCATCCTTGACACGGATAGTGCGTTGTTGATTACAGGCCTCAATTTCGGGACGAGATCCACTCGCCTTACTGCCCGAAGATGTAGATGCTATTGGTGACGAATTCGACGTCGTTGAAGCGGTATCAGAGCTGTTGGGAATTTCCTGCCTCTGGTCTTGAGTACGGGCTGGTGTTGGAGTCGAAGTTGAAAGAGTGCTCTCATGCTGAGGGGCTCTTTGCGTAATCGGAGTATCATCACTGTCTGAGTTCGTGGCCGCAGGAACTACGTTTGATTTAGACAGTTCAGTACACCAGCGTTGCCATTGTTCAGCTCTGCGTTTGTGGTGTTTGACCTGGGTTCGAAGAGAACCCATAATCCCCATCAGACTCCTCGTTTCGCAGTAAAGTTTTTTATAAGAGTCTCGTACACGATTAACGCTCCCCAGAAATAGGGCGTTAACAGGTTCTTCAGGCCAAGATAATTCAGTTGCCTTTTCAGGATCGTACGTCTCCTTGAACTTTTGTAGCTTCGCTTCTATTATTCTATCATCGATGCCGCCATCGTTTTCCACTTCCTCATCCTCTTCTTCATCTTGAGCTCCCGGGTTTGTAGTTTTCTTGTAGCGTCGTAGCTCGGCAACCTCATATTGTAGCTTCTTGATCCGCTGTTCGTCAGCCTTTCGTTGTCCTTCCAGGGCCCTGATCTTCGATTCGAGCTTCTGGGTATCGTCCCGATACTTCATAAACTGTATCGCAGCTTCATCCTTAGCGGCTTCGATTGATTTCGAAACGGATATCAGGTGCTCTATTACGGAACCCGTTTCTCCTTGCACCATGATGGTTGAGCCGAGATAATAATGAGAGTCTTGATATATGTTGCTGGTCAACATGAAGTTAAACGCGTGACGCGTCTCTTACAGCGTTATCTTATCGGTGCCATCGATTATCGCTTATCTTATCAGGCGGAAATTCCCGCGATCATTTCGTCCGCTAATTCATCAACTGCAAGCTGACTGACAACTTGCAATAACCGGTTATTATTCTATTTCTTCTTATCTGGCTCCCCTAAAGCAACTATATGTTCTTACAGCAGCGTCGTTCCTACTCTAGAAAGACGGGATGTCAAAGCGCTGCCGGAGCGACGATTCAATAACTCCCTCGTCCAAGCGTCAACGGACAATAGTCGAAGAACGAGGAGGGCAGGATTACATATCGAATCTCAGTGACGAGATACTACTTCAAATACTATCATCTGTGTCTATAGACACTCTAGTTACATGTCAAAGGTAGGCGCTGCCCTTGGCCTTGTATGTCTATTCGTGTGAACATGCTGACCGCCACACAGAGTCTCTAAGCGATTCCATGCACTCGCCGGCGATTCGGAATTGTGGAAACGACGATATTTTGCAAAATGGGTACTACCTCGAGCACGCTCTGTTCCGCAATCGAAACATTTGAAACTTGCATCAACCGGAACAGTTTATTCACCGCGGGTATCGAAATGGCTCGGTCATAGTCACCTTGCGACGGAGGGCGGTAACTCCATACATTGGAAAACGCAGTATCGACTGCGACACAACTGGTCTAAAGGGACATGTCGACTTGATGAACTGGAGGTTTCGCGCCCACCACTGCCTCAGATATTGATAAAGCTATACTCTGGCGTCGTCATCACTGCGGATAAGGAGCATGGGCTGCGAGCTTGGTCTACAAAAAGCCCTAAGAAACAGCTAACAGAGCTACCGTTTCCGAAAGACGATGACACACCTACAGCTCTTTATCTGACGAAGGGCTCTTCTTCCACTACTTCCTCGTCTATTGAGATTACGGTTGGCTTTGATGACGGTCATTTTAGTGTCTACAATCTAGATGTGGCACAGAGAGAATTCACGATCCGCTTCTCGCAAAAGTCCACGACTGATGGCACTATAACTGCGATAGCTTCGGCTCCTCCGTATCTCCTCACAATATCGGATCATAAGAATTTCAATTTATATAAGATACCGCCTCATGTTGCTCAACATGAAGAACCATCACCTCCTGATCAGCTTCGTTTACTAGCGTCGTTGGAATCCAATAATACATTCGCGCCAATGTCACTTTCACTGAGATGTTCGGCTTCCGGTGTCATAGCATCAATAGCATACAGCTTCTTTCACCTCAGCAATGGCTGGACCATTGGGATACAGGAGCTACGATTCAACAGGGACGGAGAACATATTACCTCGCGCTTAGCTACCACGGTTGCAGTGCAGCCAAAAGCTGGCGATACTGGACTTAATGGCCATCCAATAGACTCCAGCGGCAAACCCAACACTAACACTCGTGGATTTGCGAATCTCGTCTCGACGGATTCTATACAGCACAAAGAAGCCCCGACATCTTTATCATACTCTCACCCTTTTCTGCTCACGTCTCACAGCGACAACACCTTAACGATGTACCTTGTCTTCTCGTCAGCGGACAAACTTGTTATTCGAGATAGTCGGCGTCTTTGGGGTCATACATCGTCGGTGTCAAGTGTGCAAGTCGGCGACCGAGGCAAAGCCGTATCCGTCAGTCCCCGGGGGAACGAGATTCGGATATGGGAATTGGAGTCTGCAATATCCTCTTCATCCTCGTTTGGTTCTTTCTCCTCGCCTCTCAGTTCCCGTAGTCGAAGTATGAAGGGCGAGTCCAGTGTGCAGATCCACTATGAGCAGCCATCCTCCACGCCGAGTTTTTCACTAAATACGACTTCCGGGGCCAAAGACTGGGGTCGCCGTGTCTCCTACCAGAGAGACCTGGATGAGATTTCGCCGCCGTCTACGAGGGATGTAGACGGATGGGTCGGATTCGATGAAGAGCAAGTTGTTGTCTTGCGTCAACGGGGGCTGAGAGCACAATTTCTGGAATGTTACGATTTTACGTAGATGGTTTTCCCTTCTTTGTGGTATAAACTCTTTTTACTGTCCATATATATGTCTCCCACAAATTAGAAGATCATATACTATCCTGAACAATTTCATCCACAACTGTCACAAGGCTATGTGACTTGGTAGATACACCCAGTCCAAATTGCAAGCCTCTCACCAAGGACCTTGCGAGTGACACAATTCCGATCTAAAGTTGCACACTCGCCTCTTAAATTGTATGGGGTTCTATAGACCAGGGACCTTCGGGGAATTAACTGGGACCGATTTAAATAGTTAATGCATGCACTATCCCTGTCGGTTTTCTTGGGTTATCTCCCCTTTTTGACTCCTCTTTTTTCTTTTCCTAGTCGATGTCGCGCTTTCTCTTATCTTTTCCCTCCTCATCCTGCTTTTCTATCGTAGCTACGGCGTGCCTACTGTGTCGCGGCTATGAAATGGCACGAAGACTACTACTATGTGATCGTTCAGTATCGCTGGAATCGAGAACACTTTACAATGGCTGAGATACTCAGTTCTCTACTTGCCGGAGCAAATACGATTAATAACAGCGTACAGCTGAATCGAGACCTGGATGCTTTCGATGGCAGAAAATGGATAGATCCTATCAGGGCTCTAGATCGACGAATATGATAAAAGGACGCCGACTCAACACCAGATGATCTGGCTGTTGAGATGCTGTCCAGTAACCAGCATCGACTAGCTCCAACAATCGCCTGGAAATGAATAAAAGACGAGAAAATGGAAGAAGAAAAGACCATCCGAGGATAATGGAGGAGGTTGTTCCCCGCTTATTTGGCAGAAAAAAAAGATATCGTTCCTTCCACCGCCGCCCGCAGCAGAGCCCTGAGAGACCGCAAAGAAAAAAAAATACAATTTTACTCCACACATACCGACTGTCTCTTTTCTTCTCTCTCTTCGTTTCTCAACAACCAACCAACAATTCTTCAATTCTCTCTTGCGAATTATTCTCTGCACCGTCTTCGAGATTAGGGATTATATATAATTTTTCCTAATCAAGTCCAATTCTCAGGTACGATTGCACTCTCCGACCTCGATCAGAAGTTCTCTTGCGCACGCCAAGTACTTGTGTATTTCACCTTCAACTGGTCATTGTTCTTTGCAAATACTTAACTACAGATTCTCTGACTGCTCTATTTTACTAGATTATTCTACATCTTCCCTTTGTTCATTACGATCAAACAAACCACTTCAACATAATGGAGAACCAAACCGGAAGTCGTGGCTGCTTCAACTGTGAGTTTTCCGTGTCTTTTGCCTTTTGTTCAAATCACCCAGGCCTTACTTGGGATTCACAAGCTGACAATTCTTCTCAACAGGTGGCGAGCCTTCTCACCAGGTAAATATCAACGGAACTATAGGAATACAGAGCCAATCGGATTGGACTAATCTCACCTGCTTTACAGGCCCGTGACTGCCCCAAGAAAGGCACACCTACTTGGTGAGTTTGACTTGGGTAGCACTGCTTATTCTATCATTTTGCTGACTTGTCTGACATAGCTACAACTGCGGTGGTACGTTACAACTCGCTACACGACAACTAGAACCATAATCTAACAGTCAACCAGGCCAAGGACACGTCAGCCGTGAATGCACTCAAGCCCCCAAGGAGAAATCCTGCTACCGCTGCGGTCAAACCGGCCACATCTCCCGCGATTGCCAACAGTCAGGCCCCGCCAACAACGGTGGTAACTACCGAGGTGGATTCTCTGGTGGCTCTGGTGGTCAGGAATGCTACAAGTGCGGTCAGGTCGGACACATTGCTCGCAACTGCTCTCAGGGCGGTGGCTATGGTGGTGGTCACGGTGGCTTCGGTGGTCGTCAGCAAACCTGCTACTCCTGCGGCGGATATGGCCACATGGCTCGTGACTGCACACAGGGTCAAAAGTGCTACAACTGTATGTGTAGAAACTGCTGTTGGGACACGACAGAACGACTAACTTTCAATAGGCGGAGAGGTCGGCCACGTCTCTCGTGACTGCACAACTGAAGGAAATGGCGAGCGAGTTTGCTACAAGTGCAAGCAACCTGGTCACGTCCAATCTGCTTGCCCCAACTAAATGACGTCTCTTTCTTATTTTTACTTTCTTTTGTTCTTTTTTTTTCTTTTCAAAATTTTATCATATGGACCGGTCCGAACGATTTCATATCGTAATGACTACCTAACCGACACGCCATGAACGAAGTCTAGTCTCTGATTCTGATGAGCAACATGATTCGAGGGAGGGGAGGATGGTTGCCAAAAAAAAAAAGAGAAAGGGAGAAGAAGAAAGTGAGAAGGAATGGAAGTCTGTTTTATCCAAAAAAGGGTTAATGAAAGGGTGCTCTCAAACAAAATACTCAAGTCATGAATCATGATGCCTCTTCTTTAATTCTTTTTTTCTTTTTTCCATTTTTTATCTACTGCTGCTGTTATTTAAAACTACCCCAAAATGATTCCCTTTGTCTCATGATAGGAGAGAAATTTCAATATGAGGAAATTGAGATGATACATACATAATTTACATTTGCTTGAAACGATAAATCTATGTTTCTTTCCTAGAGAGTAGGTGATCAAGACGAACAACTACACATCATAGCCCTCTTGAACCTGGGTACATCACCACAGAACCTTTCTTCTTCATCCTGGTCTATGCCCCAATCTTCTTGGAATGGGTTTAGGGTGTATTGCATGATGCGTTCGAGAATGGCACGGTCACCTTTGTGCTCGACTCGTTCGATGAGTTCGTCCAGGATCCAGGAGCGGGGGAGGAACTATTTATCAATTAGTATATTTTCACGTAGCTTGAGGGAGGGAAGTACCTTTGGGTTTACGAATTTCATTCTTTCTTTTCTCTCTTGATCGGTTCTTCCGTCTCGTTTCCAGTCTTCGTTGATTCGATCTTTCCACGATGATAACCATGCCGCTATTCGTTTGCAGGCGGATTCTTCTGTATTTCCAACTCCGCTTATACCTTCATTGTGAAAGAATCGTTTGGCGATTGCGAGTCTCTGCTCATCAGTCTCTATTTCCTCAATGCCGACGTCGGATAGTCTGCGGAAGAAGTGGTTAAAATCAAGCTCTAGATGCTCCATGGTGTCGAGTAACTCCGAGAACAAAGTTTCAAAATCAGACTCCTTGCTCGTGAGAAGACCTAATCGTCGTGACATTAATCGGACGTATTCGTTTTTGAAGACTGTTTTGTATTCTTCACCTGTCCGGTTAATGATTGTTTCGGCGCGTTTGATGAGGATTTGTCCGAATTCTTCAGTTACGCCTTTGGTAATGAATTCCTCGTCGTCGACTCTTTCGGCGGCGCCGATTAATTCGCCAAAGGCCTCGCCTAGGCGCACCAGATTCCACCATATGACTGATGGTTGGTTCTTGTATGAATACCTCAGATAGTGATCGTCATGGTTCGGTGTGTATGAAGGATCAAAGTTGTCCATAAAGGCGAACGGACCAAAGTCTAATGATAGACCGAATATGGATGTGTTGTCAGTGTTAAGAACGCCGTTCATGAATCCGTATGCTTGCCAGGCTGCTACTGTTTTGGCGTTGCGTCGAACAATCTCTCGGTATAGTCGGGTAAATCTGTTTTCTTCCTGGCCTTCTTTGCCCTGTAGCTCCGCAGCTGGGATGCCTCGCGGTGGTTCGTCGACATTTACATTCGCAGTATTTCCATCCCCATTAGGTAGGGTGACCACCCCAGGTAGCGATTCCCATCCCGGGAAGACGTCTTCAGCGATATATGTTGCTAAATTCCTTATCAAGTCTCGCTCATTGCGAGAATGGAGAATGTCAAACGAGCCAATTCGAAGCCAGCTCTGTGCAAATCTGGCTACGATAGCGCCAGGTTCCATCCGTTCGCGCAGAACTTTGGATTTCGGCAGTAATGTGAGGGATAGTGCTCTAGTGGTCGGAATACCGAGAGCATTTAACGCTATGTAAAACAGAACTGTAAACTTTTGTGCACTTCATACTCATGGAGAGAGGGCAAACCTTCGGATACTACGTATTCACGAATGCTCGAACGTAAAACCGCCTTGCCATCCGCGAAACGGGAATACGGTGTTCGACCTGCGCCTTTTAATTGTAATTCGTAGCGGACATTTGTGCTGGGATTCGTCAATTCGCAGAGACTGATAGCACGCTATTCCTGTTAGCATGCAACTTGTTTGACTTGCAGAATGAATACATACGCCATCTCCAAGCTGCCCAGCCCAAGCACCACTAAGACACAGTCAGATGAGCGTCGATATCAGTGGTAGTGTAAACTGACAATTGCCACCCTTCGCAATGCGTTAGTCCCGTATATCCATCACTCCATCACTCTATTCAGACGGGTAATGTACCTCCATAGCATTGCGCCCAAGGATAAACTCCTCCTTCTTGCTCATTCCAAAATATCTTGTTCCCAGCTACTAAATCGCGAAACTCATCCGTTTTCTCCTCGCCCGGCTGCAATCCCAAATCAGTCATGGCTCGTGGACTAACACCCAACAGCTCCGGGTCTTCGGCAGTTTCAGGACGGACGTAGGTGTACATGGCACCTTTGACGATGCGTGGACCTAGCGTTTCTCGCGGCGCATCGTGGGATGCTTTTGGCGTCTCGAATGCCGGGTCCGGTGGTAGTTTGGATGTAAATGTATTTGATTTGGGAATGGTAGCCAATTTGTTGTAGGATGCTGCCGGCGCAGGAGTCAATTGTGAAGCCATTTGACAGATGCGACGGTTGGTCATTCGCAGGGAAATGAAGGGCCGTAAAGGAATGAGACGGGACATCAACTGCTATACGATAGGACGAGTAGAGAATACACGAAGAGATTTGATATCTTCGCAGAAAGTGTATGGGTTGGGGTATGTTAAACGGGGGCAATATAAAAAGTTGCTGAGTGACTAAGCATACACATGATGACATCACATTGTCCAATCAGCGTGTTCCGCAAGGTTGAGACTCATCGCGACGTTCTTCTTCATACACTGTATATGATCATAATCTAATCAATCAGTCACTCAGAGCTTTTTTTTGACTATCTTGATCTTATCCTCAGCGGCATCTCCGACATCGATAGATAGTGGTGGATCGACCAGAGTCAGTGAGGGGTAACGACATTTCTGGTATATTGATGCTTCATGGCGCAATTAGTTTTCCTCACACGATACGCTCAGACTCCACAGTAACCTATCAGCTTAGCTACGAGAATGGACCTGTTCCTGTTATGCATTATAAATCCATGCAAGTCCTGACAATGCGAGCCGCAATCTTTTGCAGAAACTGGAGACCCCTCTATATCTACTCTACTCAACTACGCCACCGTAAGCAGGATATTTTCAGAAAAGCATTGAGCACAATGGCAAGCCCAGCAAGCATACCAAATGTCCAAGTTGGCGGAAACCCCTCGGTACCAGTGGTAAGTTCGTCAAGATCATTTGAGATGACAACGTTGTAAATTCCTAACTTGCGACCAGCTAGCCTACGGAACTGGCACAGCATGGTTTAAAGGTACCGGCAAGTCCGAAATCAACCGCGAACTCGTGGAATCCATCAAAACCGCTATCAAACTGGGCTACTATCACCTCGACGGAGCCGAGGTATATGGAACCGAACCCGAGCTTGGTGTTGCCATCAAGGAGAGCGGCGTCGCAAGAGAAAAGCTATTTGTGGTGACCAAGGTTTACCCAAATATTGCCGATATCCCTAATGCCATTGAGCAGAGCTTGAAGAAATTGCAATTGGGTTATGTGGATCTGTATGGCTAGCCTCCCAACCTCCCAGCCTCCCTGAGCTTGAATTGATCTGACAGCGAGCAGATATCTGATCCATTGTCCATTCTTTGCCAAATCCGACAAGGAGCTTCAAGACGCATGGGCAGCAATGGAGAAAGTGAAGGAGTCGGGTAAAGCAAAAGAAATTGGCGTCTCCAACTACACGAAAGTGCATCTAGAAGCCACATTCAAGACAGCAAAGATCCCTCCCGCTATTAATCAGATAGAATTCCATCCATACCTCCAGCATGGCGATCTGCTTGACTACCACAAGGAGAAAGGCATTGTCACCTCTGCTTACGGACCCCTCACTCCCATCACACGAGCTGCAGGCGGCCCCTTGGAAACGGTGTTAACTGGGTTGGCTAAGAAGTATGCAGTTACTCCTGGAGACGTCGCGATTCGCTGGGCCATTGAGCGCGGTGCCATAGCTATCACGACAAGTAGCAAGGAGTCTCGCCTCACTGAGTATCTACGTACCGTCAAGTTCGACCTCACCCCGCAGGAGGTGAAGCAGATTTCGGAGCTGGGTAACCAGAAACATTACAGGAGTTTCTGGAAAGACAAGTTTGCAGCAGATGACCGCACATAAGCGGAACGATATTTGATATATATATATATATAGAAAATGAATGGTAATAATGCATGCAATCGTTCTTCCAATAACATTCCGAAGGGATAATGAATGTCGCTACCGTCGGTAAGGAACTGATTCGTAATGGGCGAAAAACACCTCGATCGCTCCAGCTACGGCGCTAGTTTCCATCTCGGATCATGAGTAGAGGAGGTAGACATAGATCGGTTCTCACAAGAGTAAAAAACAATTTCCTACCGCCTACAATAATCACATCCTGTGAATGAGTTTAATTGAAGAGAAGAAGAAAGAAGAAGAAGAAAAATCGGCAGTGAAGGAAGAGATTCCCGCTTAGTTACCCGGAAGAACGTATCTCCGACATACTAGCCAATGACAGCGCGCTGATTTGTGACCAGTCTTGGCGCTGAGGTTCCCGGGTCTCCCAAACCTCACCTTCCCGATGCTCAACCCTTCCACCCCGACCTTGTGTCAATTCTCTGCGTCTCTTCTCCCCTCTGGACTACAGAGCCCTCACCTCTGTCTGTCTGACTTTCTATCGAGTCAATACATAAGGCACAATGCGGCCGCAATTGCTCCGTGCGGCCGCGCGCTCAAGACAATTCGTCAATGCCAGATCTTGCCGGTCCTTTGCTACCACCACGCGGCGTAGTGCTGAGGTCGAATTGACTATTGGTTAGTGGGACACAACTCTCAATTGAAGGATATATGACTAATCTGTGTGGTTTTCAGATGGCAAGAAGGTTTCGATCGAAGGTACTATCACCGGACTGCATCGGGTTATAATTACAAATGTGTAAACTGACATGGTTGTTGCATATAGCTGGCTCTGCTTTGATTCAAGCTTGTGAAAAGGCTGGTGTGACTATTCCAAGGTATGAAAAATGAAAAATTATATGAGAGCTACAATCGATTTTGCTTACTGACAATATCTTTAGATACTGCTACCATGAGTAAGCTCGCCGTTCTACGTCATGTTAATCGGATACTAACATCAATCTAGGAAATTATTGATTGCAGGAAACTGTGAGTAGTTGCAATGTATATCCTTGATAACTCCGGACTAACAAATAAAGGTCGTATGTGTTTGGTAGAGGTGGAAAAGGCTCCTAAACCTGTTGCATCATGCGCGTGGCCTGTTCAGCCCGGTATGGTTGTGAAGACCAACTCCCCACTAGTACACAAGGCCCGAGAGGGTGTTATGGAATTCTTGCTTGCAAACCATCCCCTTGATTGCCCCATCTGTGACCAGGGAGGTGAGTGTGATCTCCAGGATCAGTCGATGCGTTATGGTGCCGACCGCGGTCGATTCCACGAAACCGGCGGAAAACGCGCGGTCGAAGACAAGAACATTGGCCCTCTCATTAAAACCTCGATGAACCGATGCATCCACTGTACCCGTTGTGTCCGTTTTATGAACGATATTGCTGGAGCTCCCGAACTCGGTACTACTGGACGAGGAAATGATATGCAAATTGGAACATACTTGGAACAGAACATTAGCTCCGAACTTTCAGCCAACGTAATCGACCTATGCCCCGTCGGTGCCCTTACCTCAAAGCCCTACGCCTTCCGAGCCCGTCCATGGGAATTGAAGCACACCGAGACCATTGACGTGTTGGATGCTCTCGGCTCCAACGTTCGTGTTGATTCTCGCGGAATGGAAGTTATGCGAGTTATACCTAGACTCAACGACAACGTGAACGAAGAATGGATTAATGATAAGACTCGATTTGCCTGTGACGGATTGAAGACACAGCGATTGACCACTCCCCTCATTCGCCGCGAAGGAAAATTCGTTCCAGCAACTTGGGAACAGGCTTTGACAGAAATTGCTTCTGCGCATGCTAGATTGAGCCCCAAGGAGAATGAGTTCAAGGCTGTGGCTGGTCACCTAATCGAGACCGAGTCTCTTGTCGCCATGAAGGACTTGGCTAACAAGCTTGGTTCGGATAACCTGGCCCTCGATCAGCCTAACGGCAGTTCACCAATTGCTCACGGTATTGATGTCCGATCAAATTATCTGTTCAACTCCAAGATCTTTGGTGTTGAAGAGGCAGATGCAATTCTCCTCGTCGGCACAAACCCTCGCCATGAGGCCGCAGTCTTAAATGCTCGTATCAGAAAACAATGGCTGCGCTCTGACCTTGAAGTCGGTCTGGTTGGAGAGTCGTTTGACAGCACCTTTGGCTTTGAACACTTGGGAGCTGATGTCAACAGTCTTCAGTCGGCTCTTTCCGGAGTGTTTGGCAAGAAGCTTGCCTCTGCTAAGCGGCCCATGATCATTGTTGGAAGTGCCATTGCCGAACACCCCGATGCCAAGTCCGTGTTTGAGACTATCGGTCAATTCGTTGAGAAGCATGCCTCCACATTCAGAACCGATGAATGGCAAGGTTACAATGTTCTTCAGAGAGCCGCATCCCGTGCGGGAGCCTACGAAGTCGGTTTCACAGCTCCTTCCCCGGAAGTCGCAAACACCACGCCAAAGATGGTCTGGCTTCTTGGTGCGGATGAGATCAATGCTAGCGATATTCCCAAGGACGCCTTTGTCGTGTACCAAGGTCATCACGGAGACCGTGGCGCACAATTAGCGGATGTTGTTCTTCCAGGTGCAGCATACACTGAGAAGTCTGGAACTTATGTTAATACCGAGGGTCGTGTCCAAGTCACACGTGCTGCCACATCTCTACCAGGCGCTGCCCGTGACGACTGGAAGATCATTCGCGCAGTCAGCGAGTTCCTAGGCTCACCTCTGCCATATGATGATATTGAGGCTCTCCGTGACCGCATGGAAGAAATCAGCCCTGCCCTTCGCCGATATGACTTGATCGAGTCCACTTCAGTACCATCCCTTTCCAAGGTTCAATTGGTCGACCAAAATAAGGGCTCCAAGCCAACCGGTGCCCAGTTCAAGAAGGTTATTGAGGACTTTTACTTCACAGACGTTATCTCTCGAAGGTATGATTTTCATCCTTGAAAACTGTCGTTGACAGTAGCTAACTATTCTTATAGCTCTCCTACGATGGCTCGTTGCTCAGCTGCCAAAGCCACTGGCAACCCTGAAACAAATTTCATGGCTGCTGGAGAAATGTCACCACAAGCCCTCTACGGCAACGCGGCATAAAAGAGATTTTGTCTAGCTGTATCATCGTACCAATCAATGTCGGCGTTTCATTTCCTTTGTGCTGCTTGCATGCTTGCTTCCTAGCTTGAATTGAGTGTATGTGTCAACAGTATTTTAAGTTTTCCCATTTTTGTTTTTCTTTTTCTGCCTTCTTACCACTCTCTGTTCAGAGGATCTATATCTGTGTACTTGATTCTCAATTCTGCATGAAAAATAGCAGCTAGAAGGTGTTTTTGTACATAAAGGGAACGTTCGCAAAATGCAAGCTAACTGCAAGCTTAAAAGCATCTTCTTATGTAGATGATATAGAATTACAGGCAAATCCGACTCATGTCTAGTTATGTCACTAGGTTAAATAAAAGGTAATAGTACAGATTTACAACTCATCATCATCCGTTTCCCCTCCTGTAGCGTCATCGTCTCCCCCATGCTGTTCAGCCGCCTTCTCCGCTTCCTTACTGCTAGTATCAGCAGCACCTTTACCTCTCCGCGCAAACGGCAAGTCTCTCCTCGGGGGAGGAGGTGGATCAGCTGCCCTAGTCAAATTTGGACGTGTCGATTTGTTCTCTTCTCTTTTCTCCTCATCTGGGGGAGACGCCATTCTCTCCTCTTCAGCTTCTGATTCGGTCTCTTCTTCTAATGGTTGAGGTGTTTCTGGTCGTAATTCTTCATCTTCATCTTCTTCATCCTCTTCTTCAGCGACATCCTGTTGATCTTCTGCTTGGTTTTTTGTAGCTCCCCTACGAGATGGTTTGGGTTTGTCAATGTCCATCTTTTCGAATCCATCGTCTGAGTCCGATTCTTGTTGTCGGATTGGAGCTTTGCGTTTGTTGCGTCGAGTTTTGGGCGCTGGCTTTTCTTGGTCCATTGACTCTAATTCGCGTACTGTTGAGGCATAATCAGTTCATTATCTTTTCGTGTAATCAATGACAGATGATGCGACGCACCTTTATCGGAATCAACGATCGCACTCGCCAAAAGTCTCTGCTGATTCCTAATCTTGAGTTTCTTCTCATTAAGAACCTGCGCAAAACTGCCTAGTAGCATATTCTCATGCTCCTTCCTGGATTTCACCAAATCATCGAGGCTGGTTTGAAGGTCCTTGATTGATTTTTGTGCGACTTGGAGATGAGTTGTCAAGGTGGAGATTTGGTGCTCGTATACATCTGTGCGTGAGAGAATAAGGCCCATCCATTCGAATAGTTCGATGGTTTGGTCGTCATTTTGGGTAAGGGTTAGTGATGCGACGCGTTGCTATTGTTCCTTTTTAGGCCTTCTGTCTTTAATTCAGGAACGGTGTTGGACTTACAGTGATACTATCAATCTTCTTACGAATAGTAATTACCAACTCATTAACCTCCTCCTTGGTCGACTTTATTGAAGCTGTAGCCTCAATTTCCGACTCTTGCTTAGGCTCATAAGATACATTCCGAACCCTCAGTACGGATTTTAGAATCTGCTCAAGCTCTTGTTCGGTGCCTTGAAAGTTCTTTGAGCGGATGTCCTTGAGACGCGATTGTCGTACTATCATTATGTTAGCGTGATCTTCCGGAGAATATCATCCATATTCGATTCGCGAGGACCATACATACATGATCCTACATACGGGTTCTCTCCTTCAGTTGCGATGAACCTCAGATCCAAAGCTGCTTTGCCCGTAGGAGCTATGTATATAAGTACGAATTCATTGGTGTTGTCAGACCTGGGGATACGAATCACCCAATCCTTGTTTTCTGCTGGCATGCTTTCACCACTGGAAATCCCAAGTTCAAAGATGAGAGTGTGTTTGTTCTACTGGTGTACTCCGTCCTTGATAGCTAATTAAGTGAAAGAAGAGCTTCCCAAGCTTGTCTGCCTGGAGACGCTGACCGCCGGGAGTCGACCAATGAGCGAGCTGCTTAATTAATCGTCCATACAATGTTAGCATTTGGTTATTCTTTACAGTGGGAAAATTCCGGAGTGGTTCGGTATAAATGTCTAATAATATAGATCATGCATAGCTATATTTATTTGTATTTGTATGTCATACTCCGCAGGATATTGCATGAATAGGAGGGACCTCAATAGGCGCGGCGCGTTTGTACGTAATTACGCGTATTAGTAATACATTATTTCCAGCCCCGCGTGACACATACGGATATAGCCTGACTGGCCAATGTCCGGCATCCTTGTCGCATACCCACGGCCTAAGCGCACGGAAATACTGGGCATGCTCGTGCGAGTCATGTTACCGTCCTTTACCCCTGATAAATTACCAATACAGCCAACTTACACGATACGATAGTTCCCCAAGTTCATCCTAGTCTTCTTCCCAGTTGGAAATTCCCACTTCGACCTCATCCAACCTCCCAGCCACTTGCTGTACCTACGAAGAATCAAAAATTACATTGCTGCGATACCAGACAACTCGCTTATCACGTCACGATCTGGCCACCTTCAGTCTCTCTTCCACTTTCTGGTATTCTGCTATTCTCCAAGATTGCGGCCCGAGGTGCGTGTGTGGCATTGGCATTCCTCAACACGGCTGTCAACTGAATAACGGCCAAACCCTCTCGATCGAGCCGATGATAAATATTCGTGCATCCAGTTCTTCGGCCCAGAAGTTGTGTGGTAATTATGATATTTTACTGTCAGACGCGGTCCTTTATCTCGAGCAATTTGAGTTTACAGTGAATATCGACGACATCACACGACACCACGTACACCCCCAGCTTTCATAAATTCGACGGCCGATCATCCTCCTAGACCTCGACCGCACATGCTATATTAGCATTATCACCATCAGCCTGTCACCATGCAGGCCGATACATTTCACATATTGCAAGGTGAATCCCCGCCCATTGAATCTTGGGACGACGATGGAGACCTCCAGTGTTTCGACGATGCACAATTCCATGCTATTTCTACAACGACATCTGTGACCGGTTCTATGCTACGGTCTGGTCATCGTGACTCTATTTCCTCACGCCTCTCAATTCGCTCCGATGTCGAATCGAATGCCGGCGATGAAGACTGGCAGTTACTACTCCGAGACAACGATGAAACAGCAATTGAAGAGGCAATCGCTTCTGCCCGCAGTGCCGGCATACCTATCCCCGACAATGTACCCAAGTCGGCTCTTTTATCGGGCTCAATCAAGAAACTGCAGTCTAAACAAAATAAGAAAAGCTCTATTGATGATTGGTCGGAGGATCTAGAATTCCCGGCTGCTGATGCGGAGCTGGCTCTTAAACCGAACGAACAAGAGTCGTTCCCAGAATCCATACAACAAATCCACACCCCACTAAACGCGAGTCCGGCCAAATCCAGAGATTCGGTTGATAATGCCCCATTCAGAGGTGTAGAAGCCACTACTCCTCCATCAATCACCGCAAAAGAGACAATTCAGGGACTCGGTTTCCAAGATGTCAAGCAAGAATCACAAGATGTGCCAACAATTAATACAAGCACTGCGTCTCAATTGCATCTACCACATACTCCTTCCATTGGCAGTCACTCTCCTGCTGTTGGAGTAGCCAGAGATAAAGATGACGAATTCGAAAAGGATTTCGAGTTCCCCACTAAAGAGATGACTCTCAAGCTCTGTCTGCCATCCAGTATACCGAACAACATACCTAGCATCAATGACGATATTTGGGACATTGGTTGGGCAGATGGAGACGGCAATGGACGCTTCGGTGGCGTAAAGAGAGATATGCGTTCGACTCAGAGTTCGTCTGTTTCAGCTTTTAGTCCCAGTGCTTCTAGCTGTCTCACGGCCGAAACTGAAGATGACGGCTTAGATGGATTGATTTTACCGGATGGACCCTTTAGTTTTGAAGAAAATTTGAAGAAGAGGAAGGTGATTCGGCCAGACACCGAAGAGCCCAGTCCCAAGTCTAAACCAACATTCAGCAACAACAACAACAAGGGCAGAACCGAAACTGATGGATTCTTCGACGATCTGGACATCGATGATGGAAGTGTCTTCGCGTCAATGCAATCGAATGTGCATCGAAATGTCAAACGCAAACTAGATCCGCACCCAATGACACCGGGTCGCTCTGAGAAGACAATCACATTCACAAGCAAAACACCGTCGGTTTCGACCCGCATACCACGACTTTCTGGCCATAGTAGGAGCCATACCAGTCTTGAACCTGTCTCTGAAAGTGGCAACGCTGTGACTCACTTCCGAAAGCCACAGTCCCGCCTCACAGCACATTCGAATCGATCATCTGTCGGAAGTATACATACATCTCCACCAGTGACTCCATCCGGAGGTCGAAGATCGCTCGGCGGCCGAATTTCGAGAGAAGGCATGACCAGTGATTTATCTTCCAGCCATGCACAGCTTCTCAAGTCGAAACGCTCGGCGCCTAGTGCTCGTGGACGTGAAGAGTCAACATCCGGTGCCCCTTTCCAGCGACCATCGTCACGGCAGGAAAGCACATCTATGATTCCCACTTCTTCTAGACCCAAAACACCTGTTGATAGATCGACCACTGATTCAAGTCTTGGCAACAATCGATCTCAAGCACCTTTTCTGCCTGCTGGTGCATCACAAAGTCAGTCCCATCACGTCAGTGTCAAGTACTCGCGGCAATTCCGTCGATCCGATTCGGAGACTTCTACAGATTCGACTATCGGGCCAAAGTCAGCTTCCCGTCTTTCGTATCCTCTACGATCCGATAATTCTAATCGTCTTCATGCGCATTCCGCCAGTGAGGGCTCCAATATAATTGTTAAACGTCCAGTAACTAGACCTGCTCGTCGACGAAACTATGGAGATGGAACTGAACTAGAATCATTCGATGACCTACCGACATCCACTCTCGCAGAGAGCCGTTTCGTCAAAACTCCTGTAGGGCGTGGCGTTCCCAGATCTGTGAGAAATGGACTTGCACAATCTCCTACCGCGACACGCACCGAAACTCCAGTCCCGTCAATGATGTCCAACGCACCTTCTCGGCCCAGTTCTACTTCCTTCACGCCTCGATTTGCAAGAGATACTAACGCATCAAGGATCGCTCGCGAACAGAGAATTGCCTCACTATCTCTACCTTCGCGAAATCGAGATAGCGCGCCTCTCGCTCCTCTGAGCACCAATTGGAAGGGACATCAAACTCCCCGGCAATCCGATCCCATGCTTACTGTAAGAAGCAAGAAGGGCAAGGCATCCCGGCCTGGAGGATCTAGACCACAACTGATTCGACCAATGGGATCAGGGGTCAGTGAAGCGAAGAGTAGGTTATAATCGCCTTATCTATATGAAACATTCTAATCTCGCCTCACAGATGTCAAGGGTATGCAGTATAATCCCAGCACGTATCGATGGGAGGGCAACGAAAATGAAGTTGCAGAATTTGACGCCATCAACATTCCCAAATCTCCCAAGGTGGCGCCAGCACTGATTACCAGCGTTGGGACAATCAAGGGTGGCCAGGTTGTTGGCGGCATGGTATTTGATCCTCAGCGGATGTGTTGGCTGAAAATTGCATCCACGCAACCCGGCGCCGATAAGGTAGCTGTCATACATGACGAACTTGAAGACGTCTTTGCAGGTTTAGAGGACCTTCAGGATAAGCCGGAACTCAAGCATCGAAGAAACATTTCAGAGGCGTCTGTCCCGACAGAAGCCTTTGACGACCAGAGCGGCGATTCCTCGGAAGAATGGCCAATTACTGAAGAGTTTGACGTAGGTCCCGAGTTTGTTAAACGTCAAAGAGCCGAAGAAGACAGGTGGAAACGTAAATTGACTAAATGGGTAACTCCTGAACGGCAAAGGATTGGAGATGGCTGGCGATGGGCCATTAGAGATTTGGTTCCTGGTGGAAACTGATTTCAATACTGGGCTGAACCAATTTTTTTTATTTTAACTTCATCTATTAGCGATGTGTTACATACATTTCGGACAAACTTGTTACACTATGACGACCTTTACGACAACACAAAAAAGACGCATTTTTAGAAAACGGCAAAACAAGGACGCGCTGTATATGCGCTTTGCTGCCTATTGCATTGCATCAACTTATCATGAACCCTTGACGAGACCACGACCAGCACACGAAATGGCCGGAATATTTGCGATTTTTTATTGTTTACTGTTATTGTACTTCATTGGTATTGTACATGCAGCTTTCTACGCTGTTTAATTGCTTGCTTCATTACCGGTTCTCTTTTTCTTGGGGTTTTCCTGGTTTTTGCTTGGTATAGCTTGCATTTTTGTATTTATACTTTTAGTTTTATGATAATTAATTTGTTTCCTTGATCTCGGGCCTTCGACACTGCTTTTCAATCTCCTGCTCAGGCATAGAATAGTGTGTGCATGTAACTCATGCATGGATCGCTGGATACGTTTATGGAAACTTGCTATTTTCAGTAGGTATTTAGACATGACGTCTCTATTCCTTCCTCATCTACGCGTTCATAAGATATTATGCATATGGCACCGATTTTCTCCTTATGTGTATTGATCCGTCTTGCGTGGTAAGTAGATGCAGTGCATGGCTGCCATATTTGATATTGATGTTCGAGACCGGATCAATAAGAGTCCCATGAAGTCTAGACTCAGCACTCGGAGCCCAGATAATACCGGGCTTGAACTTAGCGAGGATTAGGGGGGAAATGGAAAGATAAACAGAAAAAGATAGCTGCAAGAAGCACTCCAGCTTGAACAATCACCAAGCAGAAGGATGCGTGTCTATTGAATAGGAAGCAGGAAAAGAAAAAGAAAGTTAATATCTTCATGCACATGCAAGCTTCCGCCAGTTCATTCAATTTTCAGCATTTTTCGTGTCACTAAGTTGATATCTGAGGATTTCAATCAAAAATAAGTACCACCGGACTGTCCGTAGAACCGGGATGTAGAAATCGAGGATTGTCGTACACCAATAAAAGTCATGAAATCCGACCATTCCGGACATGCATTTAGGCAGTGTAATAGTCGATAATGCTTAATCAAATGACGTTGGAAGTGGATATATAATCCCCCTTGGATATCCCACTCTTGCTTCTGGGGAATTTTCCTTCAGCAATGTTGCTCTTCTCCGAATCGTGTTTAACTTGAAAATACGGAGAAATATGGGTTATTCCCATTTTATCTGTCATGTTATGCCTTTGGTGGTTTATCCATGGATGAATGGTTGCATAACTATATGGCAGCCCAGAGTCGGGTGCTCTTGGGCATAATTGACATCATGCGTAACAGTTACAAAGAGTAAAAGGTCTCGAGGTTGGGTTTCAGACGTCAAATAAGCTTGATCATTTGGATATTCGGATGAAACCGTTTTAGGGCTTGAAGAGTACCGAGCCCTAAAGCAATCTTCAATATGCATACCATCCACCCGTTAGTTAGACCTAATCGCAACTTCCCCTTCAACTAAAATAGGTAGTATGATCTGGGCGGCCTAGAAGATTCGTTGAGTCTGACTTTGCATTATTTCATCGAGGACTGCCTATGGATCCCAAAAAAAGAAACAATATCCAAAACTCTGCCCTCGCACATAAAACTGGAACCCAACGGATTCGAGTGTCCATAGCTCTGATTATTCAAACAGACAAACGGTAAAATTGTGACCTATTGAAACGAAAATGGTAGTACGATTGTTGCTCAATGGTATGACAAACCGGTAGGGCCACTCGGATGACTAGGAACAGATGGAATCCAATAATCAGTCAACAATTTACGACGGATATGCAAGAATTTTCTTCCCGCCGTCTGTAGCGCATCGAGGCTGCAAGGCTGCATGACACGGCGTTGGTCTGGGATGTTTGAGAGCTGGAGGCTTTCTGTTACAGGTATGTTAGACAGCCCGATGGCTCTTATTATTCTACCTTAGGTTTTCCTAATATGGTCGAACTTTTGTCGATTAGTATTTCACAACTTTCGGGGAAAATATTATACATTATGTTATGCAGGCAGGCTCAATTGTCCGAGATGGGGTATTTGCTGGTTTCTTGAATAGGAAAGCTATCAAAGACTAGATGTACATCATGGAACCGTGTCGAGACCTCGTAGTATCTATGTATCTGCCTACTGATACTCGATTCGGTGTTTCAACTGGATTACTGGAAGAGGAAAGAGAGCTCACACAGAAATGTATTACACAGCATACACTGCCATACGCAAACTTGTTGCATTCCAGGAGCCTTTCCACCTCTGCGAACACGAGTTCAGCCTAGATTGAACTGGCGAGGCAGACTTTGCCAGCTTGCTAGGCAGTGTGGTAGCTACGTAAGTCAGTGAGTCGCTGTTGACTTTTAGGGTTGTCGTTGTTGGCATCTCATCGTCACACAACAGAATAATTCTTCAGCCTGTTTGCTTGTTCCCTCGAACCCAAAAATAATGCCAACGGTCCAAGATCCAGAGACCATCACACGAAGCGAATTCAAGAAAATAAACCATGCGCAGTCATTGGAATGAGCGGAAAATGCGCGTAAAAAAGCAATTACTGCAGGCTGGGTATATGGTGTTGTCCTTGATCATTTTGTCTCCGAAACCCCGGCTAACTGATTGACAGCTTATGCTTGATTTATATCGCCCTGCAAGTGGTGCATGTAAAATAGAAAAAGAAAAAAGAAAAGAAAAACGTATTCATGACATGGCCGCCACAGCCGACTGCGTACGACAAAATGTGAGCAGAAAACAGAAGACGAAAGACAGAAAAAGCAACGGAGAGAATTGAAGCCTGAAGAAGAAGGCTTACCCCACCCAGGTCGAATATTGGGCGGCAAGTTGCAAGCCTCAGAAGCTGTCACTGATTTATTCTGTCATGTCAGTGATCTGGCACTGATTATTATTCCCGCAATCTACGATGATGACTAGTTATAGATCGACTCGTGGCTGTTCCGACAGGGCGCTGGGTTTACCACCCGGAACAACAAGAAAATAACAAATCGAATAGCATCAGAATCGTATCAACGTGGCAAAGGGGGTGTGGGAAAGCAGAGACCGGGGGGAGTTTGTGATCGTTCTATGTTCCTATTTGTTGGAACGTCCCAAACATGCATGCAGTGACAATACACCAGCCTCTTCTACTAATGACAGTCGTCGTGGACGAATGGAGATGCTTGTCTCAGACATTCCTCAACGCTCATTGGGCTTTCCGCCTTCAGGATGGCTGTGTATTGTTGCCAGCACATCCAATGGCGATGAACCCTACATATGTTCTTATCCTCAAAAAAACCCTGGTTGTCTCTCCAGAGTCTCCACGTTTATCTTCAAGGTAATATCCGGAGTGGCTATAGGTATTGCTCCCAATGTCCGAGGTAAGTACAAGCTGTATCCATGTCATGCGAATCATCTTCTTCTGCATATAGGTGCTTGACAAGACCGCATTTGGTCAAATGGACTCGATGTGTACCTGACAGAAATCCGATATTACAGCTTGCAGAAACAATCAAGACAGCTGGTGACTTGGATGTCTCCCAACATCATGATTCCGTAACTCCAAGGCGCGTTTTGTACTCCTCTACGAATGAGGACCTGCTTCTTGTCTCGGTTCTCGTGGTCCCTATGATGTCTTCTATCTAACAAACAACTCATTCCAATTCCTCACCGACATTGTTGCCCCAAGTGATCATTTGTTCTTCTCATTCTCTTCGCTTCTCCGAATTCATCCTATGAGGCCGATCTGCATCTAGCCTCACTTACTTGGTCTACCTGAGAAAAAAGGTGCATCATCTTGGCTGCTACTCTATCTGTACATATACTGCGGTATTCCTAATTCTCCATTCTCCAAAAGTTATATATGACATTCAATACCCCTTCTGAACATGTCAAATCTCCACCTGCCCTTTATATAACTAGATTTTGATGTTTGCCGTTTGCTTGTATTTGTCAATCTACCCATCACTTCTCTGATAGGGATAGTCGTTCATTATACATACATATCCTCCTGATATTTATACTCCTTGACCCTAGTCGGCCCTTTCACATTACTTCAGCGGCGAGCAAGGCTAGACTATTTATTAATCTATCAGCCCCGTCATGAATGGTTACAAGACACGACCTTCACACGAACAGCATTATAACCATACAAGCGAATCCACCTCAATGGCGACTGTTTACGAGACCACACCAACTGCTGAGCTTCCATATCATTCACCCGGGCCGTACAATGTGCTACAGCCTTACAACTCATATTCCTCCCATTTACCGCCGTATTTTGAGCCTCAAGCTTCCATGGGACTTCAATCTCCTGACATGCACACGGTCCCGTCTTTACGCCATGACCACCAACATCTGAGTCAACATCACCATCCTTACAGGCAAACTAACACATACTCCGGATATCCTGTAGACGTGCAGTCGTCGCGCTTTGGTTCGGTACGGGGCGTACCGGAGAGTGAAATCGAGTGCCAGGACTCGATAAATGAACATACAATGTTGTCAGAGCGTATCAATCCACCACTGGAGGGATTTCCGCAGGTTGAGGACTTTGATAAGCTCATGGAGAAGTGGGTGATCGCCACCAAATATCTGTCATACCACTGGCTAATGATTCAGTTATGTCAATGAACTCTCGGTAAAGAAGCAGGATAAGGCCCTGATCAATGCTAAAAGAGCCCATCAAATCCGCATTGTCCTCACGGACCCGAAGGATACGACTGTGGGATCAGCCCAGTTTAGGTGTGCATTCCCTAACACTTACTTCCCAGGGATCTGGTGTGCTGAGTCATGATTTTACTAGGTTTTGGGTGAAGAAGATGTTCAAGCTTGAGCCAGCTGATAGTCGTATTCCCATGGTAAGTTGGATTTCGAAAACAACCAATTGACTCCAGTATTGACACTCTCAGAACAGGAAGTGGATATGTCATGAAGGGAAACCAGTCGCCATTCGAGAAAAGCTGTTCAAGATATTGACCCGAGCACATCAACAGTGCCAACACGGAGGTCGCGATAAGACGTCAGGCCAAGTGCGTCAAATATATTCTTGGTAAGACGAGTCCAATCCATTCCCTCGTTCATCTGCGAGCTAAGCACGCCTGTGGAATCATCCCTAATCACATACTGCTCCTAGGGTACCCAAAGAACTCATATCCCGCTTTGTCAAATTGTGCCCAACTTGTCAAGTGCGTCGTGGAGGATCACACCTTTCACCTCCAGATTCGAGGCGAAACTCACCCCCCTTGGAACTCAGTAGAGTCCAACCACCACAGTCACCGTTAGCATACATGCGACAACCCGTACCACCGATGGCATCGTATGACGAATACCGGCGGAACTCCTCGTCTTCCTCCTCTTACGGGTATTCAGACAGCAGGAACCGGGAATGGGGAACATATTCGTCCCCGGCCTCGCGTCATAGTGAGATGACATGGTCATCCCCCTCTTCTCATCATCAGCATCAGCATCATAACAGTCGTCAGCATGCTCACTCAGAGGTCGCCGAGGGAGGTAGCCCTAATGGAAGGAATAGCATGAAACTTATGAACATGCATCTTGATACCACATCATCTCCACCTTCGAGGTCAGTGTCCGGAGAAATCCAGCCTTCTCAGGCGCAGTATCTTTCGGGATACGTAACCACACACTCGAATAGTCGCTATCGACCTAGCTATTGACGGCTTGCTTGTGTAAAATCCCTGTACACATGTGTGTTTTTTCTATATCAGAAGAATGTGCTACTGAAGACTGTTTTCTTTTGGGGGTTCATTGTTGTGTTCTACTGGAATTGGAAGGGGTTAGGGTTATGATCTAAGATATTTATTGTTACCGTATGATAACATTCTTGTGCCCTGGAAAAAAGTATTGTATTTGATCAAGGAACGAGGCGGATTGTTAAAGATCAAAGAATTGAGTTGGAGCTTGCTGCTGCTATGTGATCAGTAAAATCTGACTTTCTATGTCAATTTCTAACAGAAGAAACACAGAGAGTAGCATGCTACCACCTATTGATAATGATGACTTTGACTCGTGACTAAAGTACATTTACTAAATAAGACTCATATGCGTACATGAAAACAAGAAACAGATTCATGCCCTGATTAAAAGGACCAATTTGCATATCCCACTTATTTGCTAACAGCGATAGCACAGTCAGTGGTATATAATAATGTTTTTGCTGGTTATTCCCGAAAGAAAAGAGAAGAAAACCCAATCATGCTTAACTGATTTCGTTCTCTCGTCACCAGCTGCTCATTTAGAGAACAATGTAGACTCAGAATGTAGCAGTCGAGAAACCACCCGATTCATGATGGGTATAAAGGCATATTGACATAAAAGAGGTGACCCACTGACGTCGGATTCATCAAGTCATGATTTAAACCGGAAGAGAAAATTTCCTTCCTTTCATCACCCTAGTAGCGAATAAGCACTCAACAACCGCATAAAGCCCAGAGGGGCAGGACGATCAGTATCAGGGAGTGACTTACTTCGTATAATAGATATAGAAGAAGTCGGAATAGAGGATAGTCTGAATAATCCCAGCAAGAACTGGGACCGCACGGAAGAAGCCCTCGAAGAAATACCGATAGATCCAGTTAGGGATGTATAGCGCTCGATAGAGACCCAATGCAAAGAGATAGTGGGTGGTAATAGTATCTGACTCGCCAGTTCGTTGAAGCATGAATAATTGAGGTAAGATCGCGACGGATTCCAGCCAGATCGAAAATGTCCAGAGAATCTATTACAGCTCAAAGTCAGTGCCCTTGTTCACCCCTGAAAGCAACGCGCGAACTGACCTCGGAAATAGTATATTCCCGAGGGAAGAGGACGGCCAGAAGGGCACTGAAACCAAGAAGGTATTCCACCTTGAATGTGTCGGTGTTTGGGTCCTGGGTCGGCTTGTAATCATTGAGCATGAGATAGATAGTATAAGTCGAAGTACTGATGAAGAGAATCTTGAAGACGGTGTTGTATAGAGAGTCCGTGAATGTCCAGAAGATATCTGTAATCACTCGATTTAACTTCCTTCAAGTATCAATGTGCCCACGAGTCCTATTTCAGGAGACCTACCTAAGTAACGTGTAACGAAAACAATTAAATATAGTACTTGTGATTTGAATGACAGTCCCGAGCAGCTCTATGACATATGGATCAGTCAATCGGTTCGAAAGGAGTATTCATTGGCAGTGCGGTGGTCGTTGACTGACGCTGGTGGATTTCATCTTTTGCAAAAGAATGAGTATAGATATGAGATGCGAAAAGTCCGCTATAAGAAATCAAAAAAAAGGATTAGCGCCAGATCCATCTACACTATTTCCAAGATCACACTTACCTAGAAGTCTGAAGATATTCATGTTGGAAACTGAATCGCAATGCGATCAAGAGTGGACACGTTTCTATTTCGAGATCAGGCGAAATGAAGGAGAGGTGACTTTTCGTCACAGGAAGCTTCGAAGTTCTAAGTCGTAGGGTGAGATGACACAATTGAATTGTAGTATCTGTTGAGCCCTTTCGTGGACGAGGTACAGTGGTAGACGAAGCACAATTGTTGAAGGGAGAGGTTTGTTGGTGATGCACGTACATCCAATAAAGAACGCGGGCGCAGATCTACCAGCAGGTGGAGCGCCAGGGCGGCGTGGGAGCTCCCCGAACAGTACTCTGTTAGTAGATAAACTACGTAGATGAAAAAAAGAATATTCAAGACAAGCTATCTACCTCAGCTTATGGAGATTTCTGTCAATATAACCTTCGAGGGGACTGCAGGAAGAAATATCAAATTGGGTATCAAACTAATAGGCGCGCTTAATAATTACACATCTATTTATCGTACATAGCTCGACGTATCGCAAGTGATACAATCTAGAATGCAACGCTGCCTTCAAGCCTATCTTCCTCCGTCATTCGTTGAAGGTGAATTTCCGCAAGTTCACTCCGCAGGGCATTGAGAGCACTTTCACGCTGTAATCGGTCCCAATCCTTCAGTCCTTGTCTTTTCAGAAGCTGCTTCTCCACTACATGTTCCACCAACTTCTCTTCGTCCGCCTTCAAGTTCATAAGCCTCTTTTCGATCTGAAAATCATAGACTAATGGTAAGAGCCTTCCGCCGTTCATTATTGTGGGTAATGACGCTAGATGATTGACTTTTGTGCCTCGCGGGTTGTTGGCTGAAACAATGTTGCTATGCCGATAACTCGGTGTACGATGTACGTCGTGAACCGGAGGGCTATAGGCGAATCTGTTTCGAGGCCCGGTGGGTGGTCCGTGTGGTGTATGAGACGCGTGAGGTGTAGGAGGGGCACGTCTTGGGGTCGGAGAGGCTGGCCATGTCGAGTCACGACTAGGATAACCAGTGGCTCCTCGGGGCCTCGTTGGAGCAGAGAGCAAGGATACATTGGACGAACGACTTTGAGAAGACTGTAAGATTGTCGCACTGGGCGCGGTGGGGAGATTTCTGTCTTGTGAGTTCCGCAGTGTGTTAGATCTGGAATCTCTCAAACGGTCGTCAGATACAGTGCCCTCACGGAGCGATCTCGGTGACCTGCTACGGTCAGGACGGCGGCTGTCTGTGGTTGTTCGGTCTCTGGCCTCACTTGGGGCTTGTTGTGCTGCAGTAGTCGACGTCGACACACCCTTTTCGAACTCTGAAGATGACGGAGACACGGTTGAGGATAGCGAAGAAGCTTTTGTAATGTCATCATTTGCGACCCGCCGAGAAGATGCGTCCTGTGCGGGAGACCGACTTCCCTGACCTGAAGCCGTGACCCGGAGCCGGTCATTGGAAGCAGGGGGAGAAGATCTTCGAGAAGTAGATGCCGAGTTCAACGCCGACGCATAACCCGATGACGGTCGTTTGGCAGGGGACAGTGTCCGATTGCCTTGAATGGAGTCAACACGCGGAGAACGTCCACCGCGATACGGGCTCCTTGAACGAGCCGGTGGACGACCATACGATTCCCGTTCCTTGAATGCTGATCTTGGGGGAGGTGAGATATCTGCACGCCTTCCAGGTGGCGAAAGTGGCCGGTCCCTCCTCGGCGATCTTGCACTATACGGAGATCTGAAATTATCGCCGACGCCTCTTATGGACAAATCATACGATGAACGCTGATTGTATGGTGAGCGAGATCTCCAAGATCGAATGGGTGATGGGGGACGATCGCGCCGTGGTGACCTGGGTCTCAAGGGTGATCGTGCTCGCTGAGGTTGACGGTAAGGTGGACTTCGCGAACGGTGAAAACCAGGAGGTGATCGGCTCCGATATCGTTCCGAAGGATGACAACGGGGTGCCCAAGTATCAGCGCCTAACCGTGGAGGAGACCTATTTCTGGGACCATGAGGGGGGGGAGGCGAACGCGGTCGTCGTACGCGGCTCGGAGAGCGTGAGCGAGAATATCTGCTAGAGGGACGATAACTTTCGCCGCCTCGTCGCTCTTCAAACCTCATACTGGAATATGATTCAATCCCTGTGAAAAGCTCTGATATGACGCGGTCGAAATAACTTTGCAAACACTACCAGTAATGATTCCTGTTCTGTCGATCCTGAGACGGTTGTTGGGCGTGAGATCTACCAAGTTCAACGGAGAATTGCAGAGGCGGAAGTCTCGAAGCTGAAGATCATCAGGCCGCAACTAGCCATTTTGGGACTAGTCCGACATTAGTCGGACGCTGACGTCACATGATTCATAAATCCTCATTGGCTTAGTGTTCTCTACATTTCAAGATCTTCCTCTTCGGTACTGCAACAACTGACCACAGATGGATACATTTTAATGCTGAATTGAATCCGGCATTTTTTTCAAATTGGAATATCATAAAAATACAGGTTTGTGCGTCCTCCAAGCCATTGTCATCAATGCCAAGGAATGACAGGAAGTCCAATTCGGAAAGAAGCAGCAACATTTGATACATATGACATGATAGAATCAACGCCTTCCACGGCGCTCCTCTTCCTTGCGAATCCTCTTGCTCTCGCTGGCAATCATGTCACTAAGGTCTTCCTGAAAGTTCCACTGCGAGAATTCTTGCTTCTTCTCTGCGTCGTATAGCCCTTTCAAGTGCTCCTTGCTGATCCCATCATTGGTCTGTAACAGTTCAGGGTCCATTGACACTTCGACATCATCCGCTTTCTTTCGTTTACGATGAGAGTCCTCGCTTCCAAGTAACGGTATAGGTGGTTCTGGAGCTTTGAGATCGTAGACTCTATCACCACCAAAGAATCCCGAGACTCTCGATGCCTGCTCAGGTATAACACGGTACGCAGCCTTCGGTTGTGTAATATCTTCTGTCTCTGTTCCTCGGTGATGTTTACGCACATCAAATTCTCCGCCGATACTCTCAGCTGCGCCAAACTCAGACGGGACGGTAGATACCAATCCGCTCGGAGTTTCTAACCCACTTTGCGCGTGAGCGGCATCCATGGCTTCTTCTTCTTCTTCTTCTGCCTCCTCTTCTTCCTCATCGCTCTCTTCTTCAGACTCTTCCTCCATAGTTTGCAACTCACCCCAAAGATCTTTCTCAACAGGTTCTCCTTGCTGAGCAGTCTGTTGAGTTTGAAGTACACCGAAGATATCACCACCGTACAAAGGTCTGTTATGCTCGTCAACTGGGGGTTTCCCATAACCCCCAGGATGGAATCCCCACATGGCTCCTGGCGGAGGCGGGGCATTCAGTCCTGGGATCTTCAATGCGGGATATGAGGGTGGTGGACCATATCTCTGCTGATTGATCAACCAAGGTGGAGGAGCCCCCGGTGGGATATTAAGCGCTTCCTTCAGCTCGTCACTAAGCTCACCTGGCCGCAAATGGCGAAGATTTGTCTCATACTCCTTGCCCTCATAATATACCTCACCGTATCGCGTTAACTCCGGTTTGGTCTGAAATCTGAAAAATGCTTCATAGAGTTTCTGATAGTCAATGTCAAGACGGCCCATCTTTGGTTGCACACGCTCTCGTTGCTTTTGCTTCAACGTAGCTTGCTCTTGTTTCTCCAACGCCGCGTCACGCATTTCAGCGATTCCAGTTTCCTGGATGAATTTTGGGAGTGCAAACGCAGGTTTCTCAATGCCTCGTTTGGAAGAGAGATATTCACGCTTGAGCGACCAATGAGACGGCACAGGAACTACATTTCGATGCGCTTTGATGTGAACTAGCAATCGTGGGTCTGGAGCTGATGTGTCCGTCCATTCCACCAAGTCGGGTTTTTGTACCAGCGCTTTCAGTTCGGCGATAGATAACTTCGTCATCTCTTTGCGCTTCTTCTTGGACATCTTGGGTTCTTCTTCTTCGTCTGGAATTTCATCATCCTCGTCGAAGAAAACTTGCGGTTTCTCGGCTTCCGGTTGTGTCCTCTCCTCCTCGCCTGCTTCAAACCTGTTCGCAATATCCTTGTACATCGACCAGAGACTACCATCAAGCTGAATATCTACATCCTGTTGCTGATCTCGTTCTTTCGATTCGAACCGCGGTGAAGCATCTACAGGTTTGTCGGTGTCGCCGTTTGGCACAACATTTTCAAATGGCGCTTGGGTTGACTAGAAAAGGAAAAAGAAACATCAAGACGTCAATTGTGAAGGACTTGCTGCAATATAGAGGACAAGAACACGTACAGCTTCTTTCTTTGCTTTTCTCCGAGCTCTTTTCAGCTGGTTCTTGGTGGGTTTGCTTGCCGCGGCCGGCATAGCTGGCAATTTCTCAGTAAATCCCTTGGTGGCGATTTGGTGTGCGTCAAATGATACTATGGTAGGCCGGTGCAGACGTGTCTTTGATAAGAGCCCTTTGTATCGTTCAGAATGTTATTGAATGAAGTCTGGATTTTGCCGTCTGTAGAGTTCCCGGAGTTAAGTTTGAGATCTCAGTCTTTCTTGACCGCCCAGTTTTGCCAAGTCTGAGCGTCCTGTTATTGGCCACTCACTCTACAAGAACATCAATACCTTCATAACTTATAACTACGAGGCATCAATGCTGACGGTGATACGGCTTTCTGAGCCCTCAATGCGACAGAATTAGCACTTGATGCAGCGTTGGACCCCCGCCACCGGTGGAGGCATGTTGAGAGAAACTATTCTTGAAACTATGTATTGCCTTCAGCCACCTTCGCCATCATGGATGTTTCGAGACGTCACTGTGGCATGCGCAATGAAGCGTCAGCTTTTTGTATCCTTCTTTTCGATCAATACCACAATCACTTATGATAACGCAGACAGTGTGAGACATATAGAATGGAATTGAACCATTCCCAAAAGATCATTCTGCCTGTCTCAATAGTCTTCTTCGTTCTCGGCAGCCTCTTCGTTGGCCTGTATCTGAGCTCATGCCTTTTTGTGGTGAAGAAGCTGAGATTTGCGGACTATTTAATGCTACTAGCATGGGTAACATTTCCACTCGGAACAATTCGGTGCACTACTAACTACTCTTACGACAGCTATTTGATTTGGGGTTGGCAGTTTGTATCTTCCTCGCGATTGAAAAGGGCTTGGGATTTCATGCAAGTGATATCAAGCCACAGGATGAACGCCCTCTCAACAAGGCGGTATATGCATTTGTGGTTTTCTACGTGAGTTGTCAATGGCTCCAGGCTTACATCGCGCATATTGGTTTACTTTTCTTACAGGACTCAGCGAGCACTTTCGCGAAAAGTTCGATTTTGATATTCTTTCTCTCTCTATCGCACGACCGGAGAGCTGTCCATTTAGTGAATTATATGGTGCTTTTGGTGGTCGTTGTTGTGGGCATAGCCTTGATACTACATCAAATATTTCGCTGCCATCCATTCTCCGCCGCATTTAGGTTTGAAACTGAAAAGCAGGGCAGACACTGTGAAAGCATCTTTGTTGAATTCCTCGCCTCGTCTCCATACAATATCATTACAGACCTGGCAATCTTACTCGTTCCTATACCTCTCTTGACTCGGATGACCTTACCTTTCCGGCAAAAGGTGATACTAGTAATCACATTTGGTGCTGCCATTTTGGTGATTGTCGTCGATTTGATTCGCATAGCTTTCCTCGAGCATAGCGCTCTGATCAGGGTCCGAGAACACCACGCCGTTAATGTAGGGAAAATCCGTGATGTCGACTACACATGTATGTTATATTTAGCAATAACTTCTGGTAGCTTTCTAACGGGCCATTTCTCATACAGGGATATTTCCATATTCATTCATGTGGTCCACTCTAGAGGTTAACATGACATTGATTTGCGCCTGTGTCCCAACCCTGAAACCCCTCGCTGCTAAGCTTAGTCCATCTTTGCTTCGGAACCCTCGGGAAAAACGCCAAATTGACGAAGGGACGTTGGAAAAATCACAACGAGACTTTGAGACAAGCGAGACTGTTGCCGGCGAGATGATGGATGTCGTCACATCTCGCTCGGTGGCAGGAGCAAGAGTTGAGCAGGGCTCAAAGAGAGGTTTCATTGATCCATCTCAGGACGAAGACGAGCCACCAATCATCAACTTGCTCAACAAGATACCGGCATCAATGCCAAGGCTTAACAATAAGCAGTCTCTCGCCCCTAATATGCTAGCCACTACGCTTTTCTTCCTCTGGGGGTTTTCATTGGGCCTTATAAGCGTTCTCAATCTCAGTTTTGGCACTGTCGTCGAACTAAGCCCAGTGCAAGTCAGGGGTATTCATGCAGCATATTTTGGAGGTTATATGGCAGGCGCGATCCTGTTTGGTCGACTATTCCTGAGGAGATTGGGGTTTGCAGGTACTATTATTGCCGGCCTATATATATTTGCTTGTGGTGCTCTCCTTTTCTGGCCATCAGCGGTTTTAGGATCTTTGCCAACCTTTATTATATCTAATATTACAATCGCTGTTGGATTGGCTCAACTAGAAACAGATGCAAATCTTTTTATATCCATCTGTGGACCGCTTGAGTTTGCAGAGATACGACTGTCTGTTGCGCAATCCTTTCAGGGCCTCGGTAATACCTGTGCCATGCAACTTGCTGAGAGGGCTTTATTTAAGAATCCCAAGGATGCAGCAGCAGTTGTAAATGCACAATGGACATATTTAGTCGTTGCCTTTGTTGCTGTGCTTCTCTCGATCCTCTTTTACTATCTGCCATTACCAGAAGCCCCGAATGACGATCTAAGGCAGTTGGCGGCCCAACGGCCAGAAAACGGTGCCAAAATTTGGGGGTTACGGACCAGCAATGTTACTTTTATATTGGGAGCTTGGTCGATGTTCTTCTACGTGGCAGGGCAAGAGGCACACGCTGTCAACTTTAAGAACTATGTGAGTTCTTCTCACCCAAGGTAGGCCAGGTAACTTCTTCTCTGAGACAGTCTGATAACATTACTCAATCCTGTGCTGACGAGATGCTTTTCGCCCCGCCCCCAAGGTCAAGTCTCAGCCCGCAAAATCTGGAAGCTGTCGGATATACAGCATGGACCGTTGGGCGTCTACTAGCGGCATTAATTATGTGGCGACTATTGAAGCCTCGGCAGATGCTGCTTATCTTGTATGTTGGCATAATAGTCCTTGGAGTTTTTTGCCTGCACACAACCGGCCTCACTGCTGCTGTCATGGCCACACTGGAGTACCTTTTCTCAGGTGGCATATTCCCAATTATATTCGCGATTTCAGTTCGCGGGACAGCACAACATGCAAAGACAGCTGCTTCTCTGTTAGCTGCAGGGATTGGTGGTGGTGCATGGGGCCCCTTTCCACAATACCAAGCCGCTCTGAGTCACGGCCAACCGTGGTCCTATAGCGTTATGATTTCGCTTTGGAGTGCGGGTACCTTATTTGCAATTTATTTAAACTTTGTTCCTCAGGCAAGGAAGCAAGTTGATCCTGTAAAGGACGATTATATTAAAGAGAAGGAGTAGTGCCATTGCTACGCTTGTTGTTACGGCCCAGTCGCGGCCTCGAGGCTGGAGCCTCGACCCAGTGGCTAGCAAAGCCCCAAAAAGCGAGACGAGGTCCAGATGCATCTTTTGGTGAGAATGAGGTGCTTAACTACGACATCCTGGCTATCCAGGAACCCTACATCAACAAACGTACAGACCCCCTTACAACGTACTCACTAGCCCTCAAGGGCCAGTTCCATATCTTACTACAGCCGACGCCACGAAAAGACTACAATATTTGACCACGCGTCTGTTTCTATGTGAACAGAAAGCTAGATTCAGCTACGTGGGAGATCCGATATCACGACAGAGATCTGAGCACGGTAACCCTCCATACAGCTACCCACGGCACAATATAGATTCATAACGTTTACAACCCAAGGCTAGCTAGTGGTAAAAATTCCATACTAGGCACCCTTCGCAGGCAGATAACATTGGGCGCTTAACATACTGTACTTGAAGACTTCAATTTACACTATCCACTTTAGGCAGGCACGCACTACAGGCAGGTTGACAACCAAGCTATAGAGCTAATTAATCTCATGGATAAATATGGACTGGAGCAGTGTCACGGACCTGGATCCACCTCAGTTCTAACAGCGGTGCGTCGTGATACGTTAGGATAATTGAACCTCGCACAGGTTCCGATCAATGATCAATGGAGCGAGACGAGTGGTAAGTAACGAAGTATGGACGATAACTGGGACGGTAACAAAACTAAGATAGAAGAGATCCCCCGTACAGCCTGGTGCCTGTACGAGTTAGAATGCTTGCTGAATTTCACTGTTGTATTCAAGTGACTTATGTCAAAGTGCTATGAAGAACTAAGTACATGATGGTAAACGAGCGTCCTTATATATCTAGGCCTCGCCCTCACCCGCGGGTGACCCTCGGAGGGTGACCCTCGCACCCTCGTTTTGAGGGTCGAGGGCCTAGGCCTCTCACCCGCGGGTCGGGTGCGCTCTAGGTCTGACCCTCGAGGGTGACCCTAGAGGGTCCCCGAGGGTCCACAAACAAGACAAACATGAGAAGCTCGTAAGTTGCATAATTTATGCAACTCGTAGCTGTATTTTTCCGTATTTCTCTTACAGGATTATTGTGGGAGAAGGGACAATAGAGTACTCATATAGATGCGGAAATGTCTGTTTAAAAGTCCTTTATTGTTAAAGTTACTATTCTATATTATAAATAAAGCTACGCACGACCAACTTCATACCCGTCAAGTAGTAGTAGTAGTAGTAGTAGTAGTATTGATATACCCGCTGTAGCTGGCCGCTGACTAAGAGCCGCTATCCAGGTGTGTGCCTAAGCCTGCAGGCACCAATAGATCCGCGGCCCAGCCACGGGTGGTGCGCCATAGAGGCGCGCCACAGAGAACGGAAGCTAAGGAAACAAGAATAACGAATGCAAACATGTCAAACAAACAAATAAATCAAACATCTTGGTCGGCTAGTGCGCGTACGCCCGCCTACAAGAATTCCCAAATTCTTTTCAAGTCCTCCGAACTGCACCAGTTCGCTTCAAACCCACATATCCTGTATCCCTCATAAAAATCTGCGTATCTCACCCTTCGCAAATCCGAATTGTACGTCCTCTACATCGCATCCCGTTGGCTGGCTCTGAATCACTTGATCGAAGGCTCGTATTCGTGTCAATCCTGGTCCTTACTGATAACGACGTCGACCTGGAACGCACGTCATCTACGAGCGTGTTCGTACATGTTCCCACGTCAGTGTCCTTGTCATTTGCAGGCTCCAATTGAGCCGCTGTTTCTGCGCTTTCATAGATGCCAACTGCTTCCGGATCTACCTCACGGAATTGATCAAGCACTCGCGTGTCAATGATGAACTGCGCAATTGCAATTACGGCCTTTTTTTCCTTGAGTAATGCTTGCAGATCTGTTGTGCATTGGAATCCCTTGATTCGTGACCACATGAGACTATGTTCATTCTCATACAGTGGGCATTCCATGAGGATATGTCGTACTGATTGACCAGATAGGCCGCAGACACAGTATGGTTGTTCTCGCCTGTTAATTCGCCACAGATAGTGCGCTAGCCCGATTCGTTCGGTACGCAGCTGTATCAGTATTGACGATATTGCTTTGCGGAGAAAGGTCCAATATTGGAGTGTGCGCTTAAAAGGCTGAGTGACAAGTTTTTTGGTAGGTTTCCCTGCCTTTTGCTTGTCCTACTGTCTCTCCCAGGCATCCTTAATTGATTGGCGTATTCTGCGTTTTGCAGCTGCTGCAAGTATGGTCCATCCTTCACTTGATAGATCTCCAGGTACGATTTGCCTTCGTGCACCCATTAGAGCCGCACGTTTTGCAGCCCTATCTGCAGCTTCATTTCTAGGAACACCCTCATGGCCTAGAATCCACCTCAGTATTACATCGATGTCCTCATCCGTACACTTCCTCAGTGAATCGACACAGCCCTGAATGTATGTTTGACCAGAGACCATACGCAGGTTCATGAGAGTTTTAAGCGCGGCTTAGCTATCTGAGAAAATAATTAGTTTCTTGGTTCATATGTCCTGATCTGTAATTTGAAGCGCAGTTTCGAGCGCGAATTTGATCCCACAGACCTTAGCTGCGTATACTGTTGAGGCGCCTTCCGTACCAATACACTCCGTTCGTTGTTTTCTGAATGTTGGAATGACCATGGACGCGCCAATGTAGCCTTGATATCCACTGCCGTCCATGTATATTGCGATATGCTCATTCTTGCATGTGATGTCATTATGTACTGATACTACCTTCTCTCGCTCATCAATCATAACCTTTGGAGGCTCATGCCACGGTGCTTAAATGTATGCAGATTAGCTCTCCTATTTCCCTGCCAAGGTTCTGGGGGGGAGCCAATAAGCATCCGCCCTTCTTCCAGGCATGAGCTTCCATGGGAGTGTATCCACCAAGCTTGAGTTCGTCGCTGGTGCGTTGATTGACTAGGCCGTCAGGAATTGCAAAGGCAGGACCTGTGCGGATCCGGATGGCTACAGCCTTTGTAAGTTGATCCAGTTGCAACTGGATTGGCATTAAGTGAAGCTCTATATTAAGGGCCTCCGCAGCCATTGTATGAAAAGCACCACTGATCAGGCACGCTGCGCGCTTTTGGATAGTTGTAAATTTGGGGGGGTGACCAACGGGGTGCAATTTGATCGCAAAAAGACTGAAGCCGCATTCTTTTATAGACGACACAGACGTCAAGTGGCCCAAAACATATCCCAAGCCCGGATCAGGGTTGGAGGCGAGTTGGCGACTGTCAAACTGTCGGAAACTTCGGTCAAACTACCGTCGAGTATATCTCGGATAGCTTATAACACGCTGAAGTTATAAGGCTTCTAAGTACGAAAGGCTTCTTGAAAGCAAAGTCTTAACAAAAGGATGAATATCCGGTTCGATAGAAGAACGTATTATTATTATTATTAATCAAGTTTATTGTCCGTACCCAGCCCTATTGGCTATGACAGACCTCTGGAAGCCTTGGTGAGACCCTAAAGGCCTCACCCCTATCAGAATCATACATACAAAAATTCAAAATAAATCACTATCTCGTCCCCATGTGGCCGATATGCCAGGGACCTTTGGGCACTCTCCCTAGGCTAATCCTCCCGGAGATCCCTTATAGCTCCAAACCCGTGGGCACACCTAATCAGTACAAACTCTGACTAGCGTGCCCTCACCCCTATTCATCCTCCAATGTGACACCTAGGCCACCTTCCTCCAACGTATCCCACCCCCACGCATCACTAGACTCAGCCTCTCTGGCTGTCCGCTCCTTATCATTGAATAGGTTGGCTTCAGCCACGAATTGCAGCAAGCCCTGCGTCGCTCTAGGCTCAGCAAATAGCCTAGCCTCGGGGTCTTCCTCAGCCGCTGTAGGCAGTGGCACGCCTGCTTTTTTGAGGGCTTGATAGAGAGTTCTTCGTCCTGTTCGACGTCCACGGCACTCAAAGAGTACATGCCTTACTGTCTCATGAGGCTCCTTGCAGGCCTGACACTCAGGCGATTCCCGTCGGCCTATCCGGTATAGATAGGTACCAATTGGGGCATGTCCTGTCTTTAACTGGTAGTATCGACTAGCCAATCTTTTCGGAGCTTTTCCTGCCACTGGGTCAAGGTTCCAACCTCGAGGCATCTTGTAGACACGTCCATCTCTATGCCTGCCTTGTACAGCATTGATTTGAGCCCATTCAGATACTGCAGCTCTCCTTGCTTCCGTGCAAGCCCTTCTAACGTGCGCTAAAGATAGGTGCTCAAAACCAGGCGCGGTTTGTTTACTAGCTGCACGTTTAGCAGCTTGATCAGCCTGCTCGTTCCCTTCAATCCCTGAGTGGCCTGGGACCCATTGTATTGTGACTGGTTGGCCTCTCAAGGCTAGTTTCTCAGCTGCCTTGTGAGCCCTGAGAACAAGGGCTTGCCCAGGGCCTGGCCTTGTCGATCTGAGGCGATCAATAGCATTCTGTGCGTCAAGGAACACCCAGATAGGACCAAGAGGTTGCCTCTCCAGTGCCCATTCAAGGGCTGTGGCTACTCCCACTAGTTCTGCGTCAAACACCTCGTGTCCGTGGCCCATTGGCACCTCTACGTGTTCCCAGGGGCCTCCAGGTACAGCCTGTAAAGTGACACCGGCTCCTGCACGTCCCCCCCTAGGAGTATTGGGGGGATACACATTAAGCTACTATACATTTATATATGCACCCATAGTAACCGGCTGCCGCTGGGGGCGGATAGCTGAAGTGGTAACGGCTATCCTTGGAGCCTCCATTCGGTACCCATCTTCGCTGATTGACAAGGCCGTAGGTTCGACTCCTACACCCCTCACCAAAACAATTACCACAAATTATCGTGGCAGCTGCAAGTGGGTGCACGCTGCCAAGGCTCGCGTGCTAGCGCTTTATATCTAGCCACCGTAGGGCTTTTGCCCTAAGAACCGCACCAATTCTCGGGAACCCTTTTAAAAACCATCCGACCCGCCCACGGGACAGGACACCCGAGGCTAGCCTAACTAGTGGTTAGTCCCTTATGGGGCAAGACTGTGAC